CACAACTGGAGTCTCAACGTAGTAGATAGTCTCCGTGGTTGGAATACCATCAGATCCAGTGAAGGTAGTCAACTCTGTAGAATAGGTAGATGTCACTGAGCCAGTCCAACCTGTGACGGTAGTGGAGTTCTTACCAACAATTGGAGTCTCGACGTAGTAGATAGTCTCCGTAGTTGGAATGCCATCTGACCCGGTGAAAGTGGTCAACTCAGTGGAGTACGTGGAGGTCACTGATCCAGTCCAACCAGTGACAGTAGTGGAGTTCTTACCAACAATTGGCGTTTCCACGTAGTAGATAGTTTCGGTCGTTGGTATACCGTCGGACCCAGTGAATGTAGTCAACTCTGTAGAATAGGTAGATGTCACTGAGCCAGTCCAACCTGTGACGGTAGTAGAGTCCTTGCCAACAATCGGTGTCTCAACGTAGTAGATAGTTTCGGTCGTTGGAATGCCATCTGACCCGGTGAATGTAGTCAACGCAGTAGAAAACGTGGACGTCACTGACCCGGTCCATCCGGTGACTGTAGTAGAGATCTTGCCAACAATCGGTGTCTCAACGTAGTAGATAGTTTCGGTCGTTGGAATGCCGTCGGACCCAGTGAATGTAGTCAATTCTGTGGAGTAGGTGGAGGTCACCGAAGCGGTCCATCCTGTGACAGTAGTGGAGTTGATACCTACAATTGGGGTTTCGACGTAGTAAATGGTCTCTGTAGTTGGAATACCATCAGATCCAGTGAAGGTGGTCAACTCAGTGGAGTACGTGGACGTCACTGATCCGGTCCAACCCGTGACAGTAGTAGAGTTCTTGCCAACAATCGGTGTCTCAACGTAGTAGATGGTCTCAGTGGTTGAGGAACCATCGGAGCCCGTGAATGTGGACACGTCAGTGGAGTAGGTAGAGGTAACAGATCCCGTCCAGTCCGTAGTGGTGGTAGAGAAGATAACGCCAACATCACAGGTGTTACCCTTGTTGTCAGTGTCTGGGAAAGAGTACACATCTTCCAGATCACTAGACTCTGTATTGTCTGGTCTAATCATAGTTACCTTCATAATAGCAGAACTCTCTTTATTATAGTAGACAATACGGAATGGGTAGTACAGTCCCTCGAGGAGATTGATTTGAGCATAAGTCATACCTTGATCGCCGGAGCTACGCTTCGAAATAATTGTACCCGTATCTTCTTCCGAGAAGCTTCGCATCGTAATATCGTTAGTGTTGTGGCCCAATTGATCAGTGTTACAGCACGCGAAGGCACCCTGTCCCAACATGAGGAGAAATCCATCATCAACTTCATTAGCTTTTATGGTGTAAGTACCGGATTGGGGAGCTTTGTAGTAGCCCGTCAATTCTAAAGTGAAATTCGTAATCGTAATGTCCAAGCCGTAGACTTGTCCGTCAGCAACAACGTTTGGCTTGTGTGAGATGTCAAAGGAAGGCGATGTTATACCAGATTTCTCTGCCAGCAGCTCCGCTTCGGTTTGGTACTTGTACATCAGGTAATCGTCGCTATAAGACGGCTCCTGGTCAAGATATTTGTGAGAGTAAAACCTAGCCCTAAAACCAGGAACGCTGTTCCCTGTTGGGGAACAGGCCTTGGGGCCACCTGTGTCATCGGAATAGTCGGGTTGGTCATGCTGGTCAGAGTTAGATTCGAGTTCGTCATACTGGCCATCGCTATGCGGGAGATCGCCGGCCGAAGGACTAGCAGCCGCGGTTGTCACGAGACATGCGAACAACAGGAAAGCCTGGAGCTTCATCAAAAGTTTGTTCATTGTGAGCAAACGATCGGCAAAGTTGAAGTTTCTGTTGATAGCCACTTCACAACTTATTGGAGATTACCCACTAGCTTCCCTTTATAAACCCAATCTGGACTTCTTCTCTTGCAGTGAATTGGGCATCAAATCGGACCTGAGTGTGGATTAACAAAGACTTTCGTATTTTTTTTGGTCACCATCGAAACCATTCGTTCCAGCTCACTGCTGCTTCCTATCCGACGTTCAAGACACCGCCTTTCTCAACTTCTAGTGAGCCATAGGTCATTCTTACGAGTGTGCTTTGTATTCTCTGTGCTTCTTTTCTAGAAGGAGATGCATCAACGGTTGAACCCAACTTGTATGCGTGCTGACAAAGACGTGCGTTGTATCTATGCATATGCAGAAGAGCCAACGCGCTAGCTGCCCTTTTTTTGTTTTTCGATTTGCTGAACAAAGGAAGGTTTCGCAGCTCCTTGGCATAGGCTTGCGCTTCGGTCCCTAACGGTTCTACTTTCATCCAGGGCAGTCTTCCCTACATGCGCAGGGCAGAATTTCTGCAGTTGCGACGTAGGGTTTTATAACGCTGTGCTGGAGCTCTGTGCACTGCATCACTTTCGGTGCATGAGAAATTAGAAAAAAAAGAAACGCTTTCCTGACTTATTTTTCCGCATACAGCCCTTGCAGATATCGTAAACGACACACACACGAATGAGCCTTTGGCTAAAACAGTTTAAACTTGAAAATTTCAAGGGATTTGTTGAATTTTGGTTAGACAGCAATGAGCGTAACGGCATGTAGTTTTGACAGGTTGCAGAGAGAAATGGTCCATCTTCCATGCGTCTCGCCGAGCTAAAATGCAGAAAATTTAAAAAACTCTGGTTCGAATTGCCTGACGAGGAGCTTCTGTACGGCTCACGACGTTTTCTTAGCAGTCCGATAGAATTGAAGCTGCACTTTCATTTAGTTCTTTGGTTGTCAGCCAAGTCCCTCGGGGGTCGCAACGGGGAATCTACTAGCAACCCGAGGGCTATTCGTATGCTCGTTCGTAATATCCATTCACAGCCAACAGTGGTCTAACGACCGAGCAATTTGAGGGTATGGCACTATGGAAACAAAAATAAGGCCATAAAAAAAGCGGGAAAATTTACTACCTACACAGTACATCGTACTGATCGGTTTCTTCCTATTGCCGATGCTACACTCACAACAGCAACTCTTGAGGAGTCACTTCTGGGGGGAACATGACGTGACTTGATCCTTTTTCCCTCGAGTTGGCAGCTACTAAGTGAAGCGAGGGGTACACTCGTTGGTCGTAATTTTAGAGTCAATCCACGCCAGCCCTCACGTAGTTCTCTTTCACATGTCTTTTCGAATGTGAGATCCACTCTTACCTTACATACCGCAACAGCGAGTGCTGTGCTGCTGTGTAGCGCTAAAATCTGGATCTGGCCTTTGGCCAATATCGGCGCCACTTTTCAGGTGAGAATTTTTTTAATTTTAGTTTCGTTCTTGAGTCACTCGAAAAAGTCCGCAACCTGCAGTGTCATTTCATGGCTCTGTGCCACTCGGATGTAACTTTTCTGTAAGAGCGGTCACCGAATTGCTGTCGCACTCGATGAGGAAGGTATTATGGCCAATAACTCTTGAATACTTCTATATCTTTTCACCTGGAATTGAAAAGTGAAAGCAGTTGTGCGTCGCTAGCGCTGGACTGTACGCTGCTCTCAGACTCAGCCATTGGGGTCAGCGAGATTTGACATTTATGATGCCTTCGTATTTTGCAGAGATCTGGTCATGTGTGTATGTTTCGAACTCCCACCAAAACGAGAAACACCTTTATTTCTAGGAAAGCCACGACTGTCTCCCCACTGTGTAAGAAAATTCCTACCTTTGGCTCTTTCAGCAAAGCATCACAAGCTCAGACGGTCGAGAGCTGTATAGATGCAAACTAATACGAGGAGTACAAATCACGTGATAGAGTTGTGTATCCTGGATGTACCTGGGAAGACAATTTTAATTGTACCGACCATGGTATCGAGAAGTTCATTCTTTGATCCGCTTTTCATCTTCGCCAACTACAACACCGCAAACTGAACGAAGAAGTTAAACCCCTTGCCCGTTGAATATCCATCGTCCTCACGTGCACACAACAGTATTGTGCCAATTAGCCCTGAGCACTAACGGTCTTCCCATGACCCTAACGCGATACGATCCGTCATAAAAATTCACAATACACCTGTCACCACAGTACGCTCGAACTAATTTTGCCCATGAAGAACACTACCTTTCGGAGAAGTGGAGCAGCATTTTCCAGTTTCAGAGACGAACGATGGTTTCAAACTTTGTTCTACGATTCCCAGTGAATGAACACAAGTTAGCTTTCGTTGTGCGTCTTCGACGTTAACGTTCTTGAGACAACTATCTGGACATTTTTGATCTCATGCCATGGTGATTAACTTTAAGGAGGTGTGCTTTTTAGCTATCTGTATTGGGCGATGAAAACACTCAAGTCTAGATTGATTTCCATTAATCTAAATAGAGTTGGTTTTGGTTGAATTCGACTAGTCCTGTATGGACCTAAAAGACACAATCGAAACGGTCGATCCGCTCCATCGAAGTCTCATGTTCACGAAAACCCCTCAAATGGTAATTGAAATTTTTAGCAACTCTTGTTGGATCGGACCTTTCGAACTAAATAGATTTTGATCGGTATCCAATCCTTGGCATTCCTAACCGAAGTCATTGAGGAACTCCGTAATTTAGCTCTATTGGCATTGGCATATATTCAAGGCCTTTGTTTCCTGGTTTCTTTCATGAATCGCGCTTTCGAGTGTAAAAGGATTCCGCTTCCTGTAGTGAGGGATTGATTTATGTGTTACTCTCTGCGTCGACTGAAGTAGTTGGTTTCGAAATGGTTAAATCTTCGAAGTTTTCTCCTTCCGATTGCCATAGGCTCAGGACGTGCCCCTGCAAACAAGTTCCAGATAGTAGATGTTCATTAATCTATTTCCGAGAGACTTACATGAATGTTGTAGACAATGAAAGTCAACGCTGATTGAAATTTCCTTAAAACTTGGTAGAACTTGGCTTGGGTGATACTTTAGATTTTCCCGCGAAATTATGAAGCGGTGTGATATTGCTTAAAAAATTAGAGCTATAGAACATTGGATTTTGTTTTAACTGAACTACTGGGCCGGGTTCATCACCTCAGTAGGGGAGTTCGCATAGAGCATTTCCATGATGTCAGCTCGTTTAGTACAGAAGCAGGTTTGATATGTCAAGCTTCAAAATCGTGCTCAAGGGCTTGAGCTAAGGGGTTTTATATATTGAAATTTTGAATATTCTCTAGACTAAAGCTTTAGACCAGTTTTCTTCTGATGAGAGCCACAGAGGCCCGTTTATTGACTGTGTACTACTGATTCTTCTTGCATTTCAGCAAATATCACGCACTGAAAGCATCTCTTACACTGGCGATTGTATCTCTTACCAAGTTTGCACCCTGGGTTAGTCTCTCATTCATCACCATGGCCGTATGTGGAACACCTTTATATATAGTGATCTTGCTGTCGATTCCGTTGGCTCTCAATTTGTCATGGTATGCCTCCGCTTCAGACCTCAAGACATCACATTCAGCAGCTGCTATGAATGAAGGAGGAACTTGCTTGAAACTGACTTCTGGGTAAAACAAGGGACTTGACTCAGGATCTTTCAATGTTTCCCCTGCGTCAGGAAGGTATATCTTCCTGTACCAAAGCATTTTCGTTGCAGGTAATTGTGGAGTTTTTTCGTTTTCCTTCCATGAAGGCTGTGTCTCATTATTTGCTGTATTATCAGTAACAGGAACGACCATCATCTGAAACTTTAGTGGTGGCAAACCTTTTGATAGCGGGGAGGATGCGTATTTATGAGTCATTATCGCGGTGAGATTACCACCTGCTGATGAACCGGCGAGACAAATTTTTTTGTTGTCAACATTCAACATCTCTGAACTTTCCATAACGTACATCAAAGCCTCAAATGCATCCTCGACGCAGGCTGGGAATGGAAATTCTGGAGCTAGTCTGTAGTCCACTGTTATAACGATACACTTTGCTAGCTCAGCAAGATGTGTGCAATAGGAGTTCTCAGTGTCGATGCTTCCTAAAACCCATCCACCACCATGATACCAAACGGTACAAGGCCAACCGGTAGAGGGCATTTGACCCTTTGGAACAAAAACCCGGACAGGAACTGGCGTTTCTGCAGCCGTATGTTTTCTTGATATTTCAATATCATAAATCTTTGCCACTTCCATTGGAGGTGCTTGACCAGGGATAACGTTACCCCCAGCTTTTGTCTTCGCAACAGGATACTTGTGAGTTTCAAGAATATCTGGTCTTTCGCATAGAACTTCATTGAAAAATTGCACATATTCGGGATCGAGTCTGTCCTCCATAGATGGATCTATCTTCAATGGCAACTCGGATAAAGGTTCTGGCCAGCTATAATCTGTATTCAGCAGCGTGTCATAAATTGACATCGTTCTTGTTAATCTGAAGCTGAGGGTTTGGGATTCCAAAGGGTCACCTCGTCTAACATGTAATCTTTAGACTGTCTTAAATACCAAGATATTGTTGTCTTCCATCAAAGGTGTCAGCGGACGTCAACCATGATCCATACTCCCCCCACATAACCGTTATCATATGTAGATTGATAAGCACTTTCTATTTTCTTATCTCAAGTAAATCAAGAGTGGGGGGAGTCAGATTTGTTATAAACTCCACCAATCGAGCAAAAATCAGCCAAATGATCTACTATGAGAAGCGCTTCACCATACGGCTTGATATAAGTCCGTCAAGTGTACCATACTCGCAGACGGTTGGAACTATCTTTAAGCTACTCAGTAACGAGGACCACCAAAATCATGTCATATCCCTATAAATATACTGCACGCTCGAACAAGGAAGAGTTGGTTGAAGCATTCAAGGGCAAGAAACTAGCAGATCTACCAACACCTTCTTTCATCGTTGATAGAAGAATATTCAAAGAGAACTGTGAAAAAATGTTGCAAAATGCTAGCCATCTCAACGCAGACTTCCGTGCTCACGTCAAGACTCATAAGTGCCTCGAAGGAGCCTTACTGCAACTCGGATCGGGAACGTTGAAAACTAAAAAGGTCGTGGTATCAACACTAATTGAGGCATGGGGCCTCCTGCCATTAATTGAAAAAGGTTTGATCACTGATATTCTCTTCAGTTTGCCCGTTGTTAAAAGTAAACTTCCAGAGTTAAGTGAGCTAGGTGCTCTAGTTCCTCATTTGAGATTAATGGTGGATAACAAGGAGCAGTTGCAGATTCTCGCTGAATATAGTAAAACGCATAATATCCAGAAAAAATGGTCTTTATTTGTCAAGATCAATATGGGCACAGACCGTGCTGGGTTTGAAGGAAGCTCAGGACTTGAGGACGCATTGAATTTGTTACTCAAGTCACCGGTCAAGGAATACCTATCCTTATACGGTTTCTACTGCCATGCTGGTCATTCTTATGCATCCTCATCAGAGGATCAGGCAAAGTCATTTCTTCTAAAAGAAATTTCCAGCGGCAATAACGCATGCGAGAAAGCCGTTGGCGTCGACCCTTCTTTAAAACTGCAACTTTCTGTTGGTGCCACTCCCACAGCTCACGCATCACAAAGTCTAGACATATCGTCAATTGGAAAACTATATGGAAATCTAGAGCTCCATGCTGGAAACTATCCATTTTGTGACCTCCAGCAGATGAGCACCCATTGTGTGGGTTTGGATCGAGTATCTTGCAGAGTGCTTGCTGAGACACTCTCCTCTTACCCTGGCAGAGGATCAAAGCAACCTGGTGAACAATTAGTCAACGCTGGAGTTATCGCCCTAGGAAGGGAATCAGGGCCCTTGCCTGGTCATGGGAGAGTTTTTTCTCCAAGTGGATATGAAAACTGGATAGTGGGCAGGTTGAGCCAGGAGCACGGTATTCTGACACCTTTGGAAGAGAAGGACACAGAAATGATCCCTTTGGGAACAAAAATTCAAATAGTTCCACAGCATAGTTGTATTACAGCAGCTTCATATCCGTGGTTTTTCATAGTTGACCAAGGAGACGTCGTAGTTGATATATGGGTTCCTTGGAGAGGCTGGTAATGAGAAGCTTCACCGAAAGCTCACAATCACTATCATGTATATTAATTATTAACTTCGTACATATTACGACAAAAGATTATTTCACTTCCTAAACTGCGTTCGATGCAGTTATTCAGCAAATTAGCGTATTCTCGCCCAACTTCCCACTTACACTTCATGTAGCCATTTCTTAATGAAATTAACAACCCAACCAAGTAGTTTACTTTCTTTAATTTCGGAAATGCCCTGTAATACTTCTGTATTGTAGCTGAGTGATCCTTCGTATTCATATGCTTCAGTTGTGCAAAAGAAGCCCCCGTCAACATTTTAAACTCATTCCGAATCCGGCCAAGATAGGTCGAGCCGTCTTCCATTGCTGGAGTACAGTCTTCGAAAATTTTGAATTTAGATGATGCAGACTTGAATAGAGATTCGGGGCCGAAAGAATAAAACGCATAAGCCCATAGTGAAAGGATTGCAGAAATGACAATATTGGGCCGGTATATGAATGGGTCTTTATTAGGCTCGTAAATGTAACTGGCAGCTTGCATGGAATCCTCTGGCGATAGCAAAATTTCGCAAAGCAATATCAATGAGTTTATAGCGCACAGCGGACCTGCCGGAGATTTTGCCCATTTGCCTATCCTTTTTACAACAACTTCGTAGTCTTCTTCCAAAATGGGAACATTCATTCTTTTGGGGGCTCCTGCATAAACGATGTAGTCGTAATGCGCTATTTTCAAATAAATGTGAGCTGCATGATAAACTGGGCAGCTGCAGCGTGTGTCAGTAAGTTTTAGGGAAGACGGAAGGGAAGAATGGGAAGAGTCGGGCGCTTTGGAGTAGACGCTGGAAGTCGTTAGACAGCAATCTTGGGAAGGCAATTCAGCTCTCCAAAATTCTAATGCAGATGAGATTGTACCTCTCCAATTTTCCTGTATGTTGTTCCATCCGAAATTTGACCATTGGGATACGTTTTGCTCGATTTGAAGCATCAAATTAATTAGGCCAGCTAACAATATTTGCCCGCTGAATGGGCCAACTTCGATTTCCTCTTTCTGCAACAGTTTTTGTAGCGCTTCACCAAAAAGCAGCGATTTGGCAACTGAGAGAGGCGCACTGCGTCTGTCAACATCGCTGTATTCCCAAAGGTCATCAGGACATGGCAGAGAAAGTTTTATTTGATTGGCAAAGAGGTTTAAAGGATGACCATAAACAATAGCATGAATACTGTCAATATAGAAAGACATTAATGCTACTCTCTTCATTGATTCACTCTCAATCCAAGTACTCCACAATTTTTTTGATCGGCTAACGTCAGCACCAATCTCTTTTAGTGGATCCCCCCCTAGGATAGGGCTTCTCCTCAGAAGCTGGACTTTAGCTCCGTTATAGATACAAGCTCTTTCGTGAAGATACCTAGAAGTGCTTGTAATTTCGAATGTTTCTAACATTATCAAGCTCTGAATAACCCACGATTTGCAGGGTGGCTTGGCTTGCTCGTGAGCAAATATTAACCACCTCAGTGGATCGGCTATCAATTCAGCCAAACCGTCTGGATCTATTAGTGCGAGATGGTCGTCCACCAAAGTTTTTTTGGAAAATGAGGCGCCTATCATGATCATACTAAGAAGTAGCACTACCTCAGCATCGTGGGTGCAGAAGGAAGGTCTATGAAGAATAGGGTATTGACTATGATAGAGAAGCCAGTAGATCTCTAGGAATCCTTCAAACTTCTTCGCCTCAAAGTCTGGGTGACCCCTCAGCGCTGGAATATGTTTCGCCATCATTAGAAGTAAACCTTCGTCCATTTTTGTTTGGTCGTCGGCACTAGGAAAGTCGGGACTTACGGCGAAAATCTCTTGCAGCATAGTCAATGTTGAAGGGCCCAAAAGATCGTCATAGGAAACGTGAAAGGCGCCGTTTTCGGGTTGGTTCGAAAATCTTCCACAGGGCGGTGACAAGTTGACGGGATCGCTGAGTAGCCATTGAAAAGACTGCGGGGGAAGATTGAACTCGGAATTTGATCTTTTATTCTCCGAGGAAATATCCGTAGCCTCCCAGTTTAACTCTCGTGTAAAAGGTTCTTCCTGGAGAAATTGAGGAGCCTGGGTAAGATCGTTGTGATTAGCTTCCGTACTCACGGAAACTTTATTTGCCTGATCTTTTTCATTAGTGTAAAAATCAACAAGTATGGGTCCAGGCAATCTTTGTGAGGCCGGTTCTGCTGATTTCATTGATTTGGAAGGGCGCCTTTGCTCCGAACCATCAGCAATTGCATTTTCATTAGACGATGTAGACGGTGTTTTGTGACCTATCGTATTTGAAGTTTTGCAATGCGATTTTAAGCTGACTCCGTTCGTACCGAGAATATTTTCTGGTTTGGTATAGTTTTCGCCGTTCACTTTGATATGCCTGCTTTCATGCTTCCTCTTGACGTCTAGCCTTGTAAACAATTTACCACATCCCAGCCAATCGCATTTTATCTTGTTCGATGTGTGGTTAGCTTTGTGGCGAGTTAAGTGATCAGACCTCGAGAACGATTTTCCACAGTCAGGAAATGAGCAATGGAAAGGGCCAGCCCCACGCAACCTCCTTTTTTCACTCATTTAACGAGGCAGTTCGTACTGAACATAGAGTACTTAATTGTAAGCGATGATGTAGATAATATATCTTGTCCTTCAAAAAGGGAAAAATCAATTGAAAACTCATTTAAGAAATACAACTTCATGGTCCTGTGACAGCTATTCAGGCACTATAGCAGGATGAGTAAAACACTTGCGTTATGAAATGCGTAGTTTGGCGACTATAAGACAACACTGGTTCAATACTAGAGCTCAAAGTACAGCTCACGCTCACACATCAAAGACCAAGAGGTAATAATTCATACCCTGCGCTTAATCGAAACTAGATAACAATGGATCAAATTCACAACAAAATGATTCCCTAAATTTTAACCATAAGTTTCAGTCTATTACTGTAGACGCCTCAACAAGACGGTATTCTGACATGAGAGAAAAGTGGGGGTGGGGTTCTCTCAAAATTTTATAAGACTTTATCTAAGTGGGGGTCTTTTAAATAATGTTACAAGACTGTATCTCGGTGGGGGGATTAGATAACGAAATCAAAGTAAGTAGTTGAGATCAATAATTTGGATCTTAACAATAGCTCTCTGATCAAAGCAGCTAATGATTTTGAAGCGGTGTCCAACTTTCGTTTAAAAGAGCAAGCATAAATGTCTGAACATTAAAATCCCCAGTCTGCTTTGTTCTTGTATTCTTCAGTTCTTTTATTGTGCACAACAACAAATACTTGTCTCAAGATGTCCAAGGAAGATATAGGTATTGTTGAGATTAGACCCCTGGAAGAGAAGCCAAGAATCTCGGACAGAGATAGCTCTTTCAATGGAGATACTATTGAAGGCGAATTGAACACTTTATTTGACAGTTCACTCGAGAGGAAGATATGCTGGAAACTCGACTTGAGAATTCTTCCCATGATTGCGGTGATGTATCTCTTCAATGCACTTGACAAGGGAAACATTTCTAATGCCAAAACAGATCACCTTGACAAGGATCTGGGAATAGAAGGCCAGGACTGGAATAACATGTTGTCCATTTTTTACATTCCTTTTGTTATTTTCGCCATTCCGCTTTCCCTAGTCATCAAGAAATACAACGCGGCTAATGTGATTCCAATCTTGATGTTCACTTTTGGCTCTATTTCGCTGTTGGCTGCTACTGCGTTCAACTACGGCTCACTCATGGCAGCTAGGTGGTTCCTAGGTATTTGTGAATCTGCATTTTTCCCTGGTATTATCTACTATCTGAGTACTTTTTACCGTCGTCATGAGCTTGCTAGAAGATTGTCGATTTTTTACGCCGCTGCAAATATTGCCAATGCGTTTTCAGGACTGCTGTCATTTGGTATCTTTCAAATAAAGCACAGCAAATTGAAGGGTTGGCAGATTCTCTTCTTAGTTGAAGGTTCCGCAACTGTTTTTTTTGCTGTTATTGCGTACTTCTACTTACCAAGAACGCCGGAAAAGTGTCGCTTTTTGACAGAGGAGGAGAAAGAATGCGCAAAATGGAGAATCGAAACCGACTCTTCTGCCAAGTCCGACGTAGGCGTTTCATTCAGAGATGCTGTCAAGGTTTTCAAACACCCCATTGCTGTTGCTTGGATGTTCCAAGAAATACTAATTGGTGTTCCACTGAATTCGATTAATAACTGGTTTCCTCAAATTGTTCAATCGATGGGGAAAGGAACTGTCCAGACCAATCTTTACACCATTGCCCCAAATATCTGGGGTGCCATTGCACTTTTGATTTTATCGTTTTCCTCTGATTATACGCGGATTAGATCCGTTTTCATCATGATTGGGGTTGCCGTAACTTTGATAGGTTTTGTTGTTTTTGGGTGCATTGATACCAAAGCACATGTCGGCGCTGCTTATTTCAGCTGCTTTCTAATGACGACAGGCTCTTCTGTCTCTTCGGTGCTGACTTCGACTTGGTACAATAACAATACTCCAAATGAAAACCGCCGTGTTGTGATTTCTGCCATCGGAGTTCCTTTGGCCAACGCAGCTGGCCTGATCTCTACTAATATTTTCAGGGCAAAAGATGCTCCCAAGTATCTTCCTGCCTTAGGTATTACTGCTGGCTTTGGTGGAGCGGCTATACTCTTAATTATCGGTATTGTCAGCTTCATGGTATTTGACAACAGGCGCAGAAATAGGTTGCAAGGTGTCAATTTAACTTACAAGGATATTCCTACTTCAGAATTAGCTGACGGCCCAGATAATCCAAACTACAGGTGGATGTACTGAATTCTCTGCGCGGGTTAAGACGAACTTTTGACGATTTAGTAGGGGGTATGTAGAAGCTGGCATTTTCGACCCATTTACTTTATTAGATATTTACTATATACAGAGCAGCTGTTAGCTCCTCAAAATTGCAATAATCGATTGGCTCTGACTTGCTTTGTCGCTGATGTCCACTGACGCAATACGCTTGACTCAACTTGTTCGAATATTCATATTTTATTTCGTGGAGTTTCTGAATACACGCTAATATTTATCAAACGATCACAATTTACTAACACCTGTAATGTAGACATCCGATGAGGAGGCTCTAATCGTGTTATTCACGAAGATCGTTCGCCTGTAGGTCACAACTCGAATAAACTAAACAAGGATGTAGAGCAAACCAAGCTGCTTTGTTTTGTTATTAAACTTGTATATTTTTCTCTGATGTCACTTATGAAAGAGTTGCAATGGCCTCCAATTCGTACTTTATGGCAGCATCCATGAAAGCAACAACAACACAACTGCGTGCGGGTTTATTTGGAAAGTATTGACCATATATCTCGTTCACTACTTTGGAGTATTCCGCATGCGAGATAAACATTGTTACCTTAAACACGTTGTTTAGAGAAGAGCCAGCTGCTTCGAGGACTTTTTCCAGGTTTTGGATGGCCAAATGAACTTGATCTTCTACCTTCTCAGGAGTCTCTCCGGTTGCATAATTGGTTCCAATAACACCCGAAGTAAAGACATGACCATTGCTAACGAATGCAGGAGACAGGGTAGGGTGTTCTTTACCTTGAATAGATTCCCAAGTAATTTTCTGAGCCACCATGACTAAATTTCGATGAATTCATGAACGCCACTTAACTGAAGTTCAACAGGAGAGATAGTTTAGAGGCCTGAGCACGTCAAGTTTTATGCGTTCTCTCATGTATAGGCTATCNGTTTTATGCGTTCTCTCATGTATAGGCTATCATCAAAATAATGGGTGGACATACTGGTGGGGGAGGGGGGTGGAACAGTTTGGTGGGGGAATAACAAATTTGGTGGGGGCAGATAACGATGAGTGGGGGCACTGGCCTGATAACAAAAATTAGGTAAGTCGTCTCTCTCAATCAAGATGAAGACTTTGCTTAACATAGCAGACAGGTAAACCGCTAAGTGACAAAACGAATCATTAGGCGCGGTTCATAAGCAAGTGGCAGACTAACATTCATTTTAAGAACCTAAAGATGCTGATTTGGCCTTGAAAATGAATAAAAGCTTTTTGGAGCAAGTTATATACTACTCTCGAGCGTTCGAATACATTTGGTACCCGCGCTTTGACAAAGCTCTCCACCTATGAATTGATCATGATGAGCACACGAGCCATGTCTGAAGGTACACATAGCTATTCCATCAAAAGCGAAACGCTGGTTAGCAACTGCAATCGTTCAGAGGAGTCAACAGAGGATTCAGTTCGTCTTTCCGGTACGGAGGCACACAGATCTGGAGATCTCGTCAAAATTTTAACTCAACATTTTGAGCCTGAAGATGCCATCCGAATGAATGCCAATATGGAAAAAACAGAAACGTTCCGATCCGGTCACGAAAGTGCTCCAAATCGCTCTATTATCTCTCGAATTTTTACCAACAAACCGAACGGTGGCATAGACTTACCACCAGATGGAGGTTACGGCTGGATATGCTGCATATGCGTTACACTTATTATGTTTTCAACGTGGGGTGCTAATTGCGCTTTCGGAGTTTACCTCGCATACTATTTCAACAATGGAGTTTTCGAAGGGGCCTCCAAGTACGATTATGCGCTGGTAGCCGGGATGACTGTAGCCTTTGGACAGGGCATGGCACCTATGGCCTTATTTCTGACACGTGTTATGGGATGCAAGGGCCCCATGTACATTGGCATTACGTTCATGTTTCTAGGCCTCCTTTTGGCAACATTCGCAACTAAACTCTGGCAGTTATACCTCACACAAGGCGTGCTGATTGGTATTTCAAATGCGTTACTTTATGCACCTGCAACTACAATTTTGCCTGGGTGGTTCCTCAAGAAGAGGTCGTTGGCGCTTGGATTCTCGCTTACGGGAACTGGTGCTGGCGGTGTGACTTATTCAATGACTGTCAGCAAGCTCATTCAAGAAACTGGTGATCAACGTTGGCCGCTTCGTGTGATGGCTATTGCATGCACTCTCACAAGTATAGTAGCCACTCTCTTACTTCGGCAAAAAAACCCAATTCAACCGTGTGGTTATAAATCCTGGACCGCAATCAAGGAGCAATTCCACATTATTTTTTCCATGCGTGTTGCAACTATGTACAATGTTGAGCTGGTAGCTGTCTGGTTCGCATTCGCCTTGTTTGGGTACAACTTGATGGTTTTCACTCTTTCGCCTTACGCTGTTGCCAAAGGTCTGTCACCCGACCAGGCTGCCCTTTTAACGACTTGTCTTAACGCAGCACAGTGTGTGGGTAGACCTTCCATGGGCTACCTTGGAGACAGATTTGGCCGAATAAATATAACGGTGACGCTAACCACCGTCTTAACTATTTTCACGTTCGCATTCTGGCTCACCTGCCATAACTTTGTCCAGCTATTGTTTTTTTCTATCTGCATAGGGTCCTGTGTCGGAGTTGCTAACGTCATGAGTACGGTGTTGATCGCAGATAGCGTTCATTCCGAAGATTTCCTGCCGGCTTGGAGTTTCGTCAATTCGCTTGGATCGCCATTTTTGCTGGTCTGCGAAGTGATCGCGCAGTCCCTTACTAATCCCACCAACCGGGCTAATCCATACCTCCATACTCAAGTATTTGCCGGGTTATGCTTTTTTTGCGCGCTAATGCTTATACTTTTGTTGCGCGAAATAAGTGTACGATTGAAACTAGAAACAACCGTTCGAAGTAGGCCATCAAGCATCGGTGTCTACGAGAGTGATTCCGACCAGCAAGCCGCTCATTCCGAGCTTGATGAAAAGCACAGCATGCATACTGCCTTGCTTGAAAAGGGTCCTCGACGCTTTCTAGAGCGCATGTTCCACGTCACCAAAGTATGAGAATTAAAGATAGCGTGTGACATTTTGAAATGATAACAGAGAAAGAATAGTTTATTCCGGAGTGGTGCTTGTGGAAGCTAGACCTGCATTCAGTAATACACAATAGTAATTTTGAAATACATATATCAATTATTGTGCTCTTCCGAAGCAACCAACAGTTTTGGCATTTTTTGTCGGAACCTCTGTCTGTCTAGCGTCAAATCCATGGCTAGGTGATTACGTACACGTGACAGATGACAGCGACAGTATTAACAAGATGCCCAAAGAATCTAGAACAAGTACTGGTCTAACAGGAATAACGTCGACAGGATCAAATAGCACCACTTACAATTGGCTGCAGGGCTCCCAGATTAGATCATTCCCACTATCTGCACCCGGAATGCTTGAAAATTTTTACATCCGTCAGCGACGGAGTATTTCAGAGAATTGTAGAAGAAGGGACGTTTGTCCGGCCTACAAGCTCATCGCGTTTATGGAAAGTACACCTGGGATTGATAACTCTACAGCCAATGGAAACGTAGTCAACGCTTCGAGAATCACCCAAGATATAGGACTTTTATAGTGCAACGACACTCCAGAGACAGAGCTTCTACACAAGTGTGCAAACATAGAACTCGCGCATCTCTCTCGCCGACTCATGCACACTGGTGGATTCGCTATAAAGACACTACTTATTCCACAACGTGATTCACTGGCCATCTGAAAATACATGGGAACACCAGAAACTTATCTCCTCATTGGTACTAGCCTAGATAATGTTACGCCAAAACCCTCGCACACCATGGTATCAGGACCGGAGACATGATCATTCTTAATTTTACCATTTCATCTCCTCTCAATGTTCATCTTCTTTCTTAAAAAAGGAAAATGACAGAGGTGTGTCTAGTCTAGTCTTCGATATGTACTTAACCATATAGCACGTTATGTCAATGCACCATCGACATATCTCACGCATGTTGCAATATGCGATATGTAGTAGGTAAATTGAAAATTTGTGGGTCTCACACATGCCTCGGTATCACACTCAAACCTGAAATCCAAAGCACCCGCCGCGCAATTCAATAAATCCTGGTGAGTATCTTTTCATTGTGCGAGGACGCTTTGATAGCAGCGCGAAAAAAGCGGTTTTAGCCAGTGTTAACCGAGTCCGAACGCATGTCAGTATCATGCAGGAATTCTGATAGAAGGAGAATTCGAATAAGTACTTGTAAGTTCAAGAATAATTGACACTAAAAAATTCTTTTTAAGTGAGCGGTACGAGAATCGAACCCGTGTCCCAACCTTGGAAGGGTTGGATGATAACCACTACACTAACCGCCCAATATTGAGATTTTTGAGAATGGCCTATGTTTATAGCATAATTTGTGATCATGTTAGGCAAACATCCGATACGAAGCCAACGTATTGAAGATAAAAGGCGAGCATGCAGTGCTCGGATAACGGCTGTCTTATATGCTAAAGAGAGCAAGTAAAGAACCATGAGTAAACATTTAGAAAGTGCCTGAATTGTTCTTGAATCCGACCTAATAGAAGTTTTCCCCTAGTCCTACCTCTAATACGGATTGATTATCCAAGACCGTAGTGTGACAGCAGAGAGAAGCGCCGCATATAAAAAATGACCCACATCTACTGGATCTTCCAGTATCGGTGAGAATTTTACTCGTCAAGAGAGGTCGGTTAATGGAATTAGAATCCAGGCTCTCATTGAGATTCTCCCGAGCAGAGGCAGAATGAAATGAGGTATATTATCCAAAGGCCAAATATAAACGCATCTTGACTTTGGTTCTAATCAAAGGATGATCAAGCTTCGAGCTTGCGAAGTCAGATATGTAGAAGGACAAGTTGAACTTAGGTCTCAGCCACTCAGGTTCAATTCGACGCGTTTGTAGAAAATCAGCTACACCGAATGCCTGACCGTTGAGGAAAATGGAGCATTCATCTCGCCGACTTTGCAGCATCGTGTCTGGGGCGCTTGATATTGCTTTGAGCTTCGTTAAACAAGGAGAACATCCAAGCGGCAGCAGAGACTGACAAGACGGTGCGAATAGAGGCTTTCGGCGCACGAGTGTTCTTGCTTGCGTTACTCAAGATGATTTTTAGCGACTCCAAATTCCTTTTGGATTCAAGCGGGGCGACCGATCTGTATTTTATTCTGCCAGCGTTTAGGCAACGTAGCCTGAATGTTGCGGACTTTGAACGAAGCACACAATTTGACAAGGACATCAGGTGGGAAATGTGGTTTAGAAAGGCAGCGGCTCAAAACTGCCCAAGCCGGCTTTCTCTCTAGTCCCACTAGTCGCTCCCCCACCATGGATTTTTCATGGTCTTCAATTGATAGCCATTTTCGTGTTACAATTCATGTTGTGATACTAAGGGGGGTGGTGTAGTAGCACTTAATTGCCAGAATGATTTGCGGATTTTCCGCTCTTCTTGGTCCCGGTTGGAAAAGACTTCTATCTAGTCCTTCTACGCTAACACTTGTAATTACTGTATGGTCAATCAAGGTGGCTGGCAATATTTTGATCTAGAGCGCCTCCACGCTGTACAAATAACATTCTTCAAAATAGTTTTTGCAAAGCCCGATTTATCTAAGGTAGTGCTATTGATGTTTCAATAGTTCACGAAGTCAAATTACTAGTTGTCTCGCATTCTTATTTTCTCTTGGATTACCAAGTACAACCGAGTTCAACGCATGAGAACAGAGTTGACATACACTAAGTCATATACAACGAGCTGATCCGGACCTCAACCAGGACATTGTTTTGAATCTTTCAATGGATCCTCATTGAATTCAATTAATATAGCTCGATCAACAATATGGTCAATCTTGAGAAAATCTGACGCTCCTTTTGAGATCCGAATATGACACTAATGGCAGATGAATAAATGTGACTTGAATATATTCTTGATACTGCAACTGCCTAACCTTGCAAGAAGCCTAAAATTTAAATACATCACTTTTTTGGTAGCCCAATTCTTTCAAATATCCTCCCAGCTGCCCTTGGAACATTAATGGGCCTTGTTTACCACCGTAGACTTCAACAAACTTAGGAGGACCGCAAATAAAAACTTGGCTACTCTGTGACCCATCACATTGCTTCAAGTCTTCTTTCGTTATGAAACCTGATTTTCCTTCGAAGCCTCCGTCAGATTTTTCAGCAAAATATGTTACGTTTAGCTGATCAGGGAAACGACCATGCAGCTCGTCCAATTCCTTCTTCAAAATAATATCGGATGATGTCTTATTTGCGTACAATAAGTTGATCTTTGTTTTATCTTTAGGATTTTCCAGGATTCCACGGATTAGCTGGAACATGGGAGTGATTCCACTACCGGCACCTAGCAATAAAATACTACTTTTGTGATTTTCTTTCCATTCAAACGTCCTAATAGGACCAGTTGCTGAGATTTTGTCCCCAGTTTTCAAGCTGAACAAATGAGATGACATTTTTCCCTTAGGATAGTGTTTCACAACTAGTACCAATTCGCCCTTACTGTTCAAAGAACTGACAGGTGTGTATGGCCTTATACCACTTGGATTCATTGACCCGGCAGGTTTGAAAAGCAGAAATGATGCAAGATTCAAACCAGCAACTTCATCAGGCGAAGGCAAGCTAAAAGTGAATTTGCGCGTATCGTGGGTGACATCTTTTATATCCTTAAGGGTCAGGGTCTTCCATGAGAACAACCCTGGTCCTTGAAATGTTTTTGACTTTGCGGTACCCTCACTTTTGACAGGAGTTGAGTGAATACTGTAGGCACATGCCGAAATGGCGCCTAAAAGTCCGAGCTGAAAACCGCGGCTGTGTTTTAAAGTTCTGACTAGCATAAGGAGAAAGCTTTCTGCAGAGCGTAGGATAGATTCCATTGGGCTCTACAAACACTGTAGATTTTCCTGGATTGGCGGATGGAAATGCTTGAATTTATACATTTTTGACTTCACCTCGGAACCGGAAGACCAATCTGTCCGATGTGTTTCTTAAATTATGACGTTAGATCCGGCATCAATTCGTCAAGTCAACGTGACCCTACGATCGACCCTGATAAAGCAATATAGAAGTAACCCTGAAAAGTTCCTAACACGCACCGAACTTCCTACTGTGGTATTGAATAACTTCCCATCACAATAGCGTACTTTGTACAAAGGGATGTTGCTGCCAAGAATAAAGCGGTTTTAAGGTCTGTTTGAATACTCTTACAGGTCTTTAAACCAAGTGCGTCTATACCACGACTGGAATTCCACTTGTTACTGCTCTGATACCATCGACCTTCCACTATGATCTAAAAATTATCAACTCATCGGGTTGCTAGGAAGTGTCTATGTCTTTTGCTGCCTAAAGTAGGTCCCTCGTAGTGTGATTGTGCACGGATAGCATTTAGACCATTCAATTGAAAGGCAGCGGAGTAGGAAACACCCTTACGAAATGGTATTGAAGTGTACTGAAAAACTAAAAAATGAACTACATACATGCCTTTGAGGCGTATTTTTGAATTTCATTATGTCAAGCAGTAAGGTCAGGGGCTTATCAGAAAAAACTGGTCCAGCGCAAACACGACTAGACAGCTTCACTTTCACTTTTGTCGTAAACCTCAGCAAGCTTCCGCGTTTCGAGACGAGGCGAGGAGCCCAGTTGCTACGCCAGTCGAATCAAACGTTCAAAATCACTCCACCTTTTCCCGAAAATGTTTGTTTTCACCCTATAAACAGTACCTAAAATTTAAAGCCTTATCACCTTCCTTTATCGTGCCCTTGTCGATGCGCTCGCCTCTCAGAATTGAAGCTCGTCTCCCATTGATGCTGTAAAATGTGATGATTTGGAATGCAACCAAAATGCTAGAAAAAACAACACAGCCTAAGGCAAATGAATTGCCCAACACGTATGGAGGCTCGATGTAAACCTGGCCTGCTATTGCTCCTGCCAGGTTGCCAAACGTTTGACTTAATCCAATTGCAGTGGCTCGCTTGTAATGAGGAGCAATGTTATTTGATACCCATGTAACGTTGAGTCCGGGCCCAGTGTAAGCTGAAAAAGTCATCAAATAGCAAGCAAAATATTTTACGCCATTACTCTTAACCGTAAGCATTAAAATGTAGCCTACTATGGTTACCATGTTGAAGCCCAATATAAACGGTCCCCTTAAATTGAAACGGTCACTGAGATATGCAGAGCTCAGGAAGACCGTCGCTGCAAGAACGTAAACGGGCACGCTCATATATTGTGCCTCCCTCGAAGTGTAGCCAAGCCCAAGCTTTAAAATCGCCGGTAGAAAAGTAGTGATCGCATACAAGATAATATTTTGACAAAATTGTATCAACAGACCTGTGTAAACTTTGAAGTCCTTAAGTGCGTCCCAAACAAAAGTCCAGCTAAATTCTTGTTTTGCTCCGACATACTGGAGGCGTTGCTTTGATCGTAGCTGCAGAAGCTTCCGCTCGTGTTCATCCAGAAAGTCAGGGTTTTCTACATCGTTTGGAAGGCCGAAATATATCCATGCGGCTGCTGTGATGGAAATGAGTCCTTCGATGATATATAACCATCTCCATCCGTTAAGGCCTGCTGCACCACGAACCGTTGCCATTCCTGTCGCAATCAAACCGCCAAATGCTCCGGCAAGTGCAGCACATCCAAAAAAAAAGGCAATTCTTTTAGCTTGCTCCTCAGGCTTGTAAACCATGCTGACTAGCAATACCATTGCTGGAAAGTAGCCACCTTCGAAAAGTCCCAAGAGCACTCTTAGTGCTAGCAAAGAGTGATATGATTTCACAAATCCGCTGCACATGGTGATTATCGACCAGCAAAACACCATTGCCGACATAAAGTATCTGGGAGGAATAATTCGGAGATATAAGGTGGTAGGGATTTGCGTTGCCAAAAATGTTGAATATAGAACGGAAACGGCATTAGAATATTGTCGAGATGTGAGATTCAAATCCTCTTTCATCCCAGAGGTATAAGCGTTCCCAATGTTTGTCTTGTCAAGGGACTGTAAAAAATAAGCAAATGCCAGGACAGGCACAAACCTTCGATCAAGTTTTCGGACCAGAGCCTTTTCTTCCTCGACGTCTATGGTTAGGCTTTTGGCTATCGTGTGAGACCCATCAGAAGCGGAAATTAAACACACTTGGTCTTCCTCATTGCTCTGAACAGTCAAGTCTTTGGAAGGACTTGGTTCTTTGACTGTAATGGTCTCAAGGTAATCTTCAACTTTGGCAAGCTCATTCATAAGCTCGAATGGGGTAGTCTACAGGAGACTAAGAGATACCAAAGGTTCTTGGCACTATGTTGAACGCTAAGATCTTCCGTGGTTTATTCTCGACTTCATTTTATGTGTTCGATGCATTACCTTTCATAATAATTATATTTTATATGCGTTCAGGTCCTTCGAGACTAGTTGAACACGTTTACGGAATTTTGACTGCTCCCGACTAAAATCCACGGAAAGCCTTTCAAATCCAAGAGCTGACACATAACAACAAGGTTGCTTTTAAGCCACTAGAAAGAAGCAAATACCGGCTTGATCTATGGCTTGATCTATGGCTTGCAGCGTTTTACACATCCGGGGTTATCTTTTTCGCTCTTTTCGTCGAGTCCCCACATGACGTTGTTGTTGGGCCTTTTGAGTCATCTACGATCGGAAACGAGGCTGTGAATGAGCATCTTGTAGTACCGGATGCAAACTGAGGATAACAAATGGATGTTGGAGTTCGGAGTTGTCGGGTCTGGTAGCGATAAGTAGTATTCATAAAGAGCGATTGCTAAATTCAGTGCTGAGTTATGTGCTGAGAAAGATAGTAAACAGGACACCTAGATACATGCGTCGACCGGAGTAAGCTAGGGTTCCGGGGGGAGTCATATTCAAGAGTTGAGCTTCATATAGATAGCGGTAGTGTTGGTGCTCGCAATGTCTAGGGAAGGATTTCACTAATGTAGAACGTTTGTGTCGCAGTAACCTGGCAATTACGGCCTTTTGGTGAGTCTGTGTTGTAGCTATCCGCAGTGTTGTTTGGCTTATTACAGCGTCATAGTGGTGCAAAGTAGTATTTCAGCACTTTTGAGAGGAAACCATGGGACTTAGGATTCACTTTTGACCAGAAAGTGCCCTGGTGACCTTCTGAAAGACATACATGGTCCTCAGATTCCACTTTTGACCAGAAAGTGCCTTAGCAACTCTTCGAAGGACATACATGAGGCTTGGATTCCACTTTTGACCAGAGAGTACCTATGCGACCCTCTAAAGGCCATAGATGGAACCAAGATTCCGCTCGTTACTAAAGAGTGCCTCGGCGACCCTCCAAAGGCCATAGATGGAACCAAGATTCCGCTCGTTACTTAAGAGTGCCTCGGCGACCCTCCAAAGGCCATAGATGGAACCCAGATTCCCCTCGTTACCAAAGAGTGCCTCTACGACCCTCCGAAAGACTTACGTCGAACCAAGCTGTTTTTGTAGCGTTTCTCGCCATTCAAGACAGACTAATGGCAGACAAGCATGGGTTTTGTAAGAAGAGACGTGATTCCGTTTTAAGAAGGTAAGTAATCATTCCCCCCCTCTTGTCACGACTTCATCTTGAGCAGGTAAGTGTTCCTTAGCTCCCTGCCACGACCTCATCTCAAGCCCCTGTCACTAGACTACGTGCAGGCTTTCTCTACCTGGAAACCCCAACGCACACAAGCACGTTCAACAACATCAATTTCTCCAGCGGGATAATCGGAGATTGCCGTTCTCGAGAGTGCAATCCATTCGGCGAGAGGACGTCGAAAATACGAATCATGGACGCCCAATGCACACGTGAAGTTACTCAATATTCAACAACAAGAACCGCACCAGCTTTGCACAAGTTTTCTTCCGTTGAAACCCCGACAACCGCGGGCCATAGCTCAAAAACGTGTTTGTTAACAGATGGATATTGCAGTAGTAGTACTGATGATAACTTATCCTGCAAGGTAAGATCCGACGCACCCAATTACCTAGACAAAAACGTTGTGCAGCATGTTATTCCCTTCTTTACGTATCTTCCTTGTATCCTTTTTTGTCCACCGGGATTGCCAGGCCCATAGCCAAGAAGCCTTTGTGGGTATGTCTAGCTTGAAAATTGCATGATTGAGTCCAAGAGCTTTTTTTGACCGTAAATTTGACCTCGCATATCCGATATGCATAATTGCTGCAGCCAAGATCTAATGGAAGGAACATTTCTGCATACGTGCATAATCCTCGAGACATGGAAAATGCATGTGCAGTAAGCTTTCTAAAGACAAATAGGACGAGTTGTGCATGACTTTGTTGAAAATCTCGCGGATGCGCAGTTGGCGGGGTATCTCACTCTGAAAACAAGCCATTTGGGTGTCATTTGTGTACACTTTGAGAGTTGAAATATGCAAAGTGGACGTGGGACCTGTGTCGGTTTGTTCAATCCCAATTTCTTCATTTGCACACGATTGAGTGGGCGCGTCTTTTTTTAGATAGAACGGAGGACATGGTAGTCTTGAACACGATCTCTGACCGTCCGCTAAAACCGGTTCTATCCAGGCCCGATTGGGGGTGTTTGACCTCCAATCGCCATATAAAGTGGGGGTCCAAATGCGAACATAGCTCGGTTCTTGTACAGGTGTCAAGGTAAACATCTCTTGTTGATAGGCCAAAATTTCCAAAAACTCATCGAAAAATGTCAGGTACCGGGGAACTGGATGTCTTGACAGTTGAATTCTCAGGCAATGCACTGCTAATCGCTGATAACTGGGATTCGACGTTTGTAAACGTTGCTTCTCGATACGGTGTAGGAATTGTCTGCACTACACCTGAAGGATTTGCAAGCGTTTTGACCTACTACCCCGACCAGTTGGCGGATTTGGAGAGTAATTTGGAGGAGATCGCAAGCATTGCTGGATTATCGTACGGAACTGTCGGAGCTGATGGCCAGACTACCGGTGTTGTTGCATCCGGCGCTGATATGAGTGTCTGGAATATTGGTGAAACCGGGAAAAGCGCTTGTGCTGGTCTGAAAGCCAAATGCTATGTACCGGATATTTGCGGACCCGATGGCACTGACAATACGCCAAGCACTGGCTCCGGTTCTGACTCGGGTTCAGATTCTGGTTCTTCGGGTTCCGGCTCTGGTTCTGGTTCTGGTTCTGGTTCTGCCTCTGCACCAGCTAGCTCCGCGCCAGTTGCCTCCGCGCCAGTTGCCTCCGCGCCAGCTGGCTCTAACTCTGGATCTGGTTCTGCCTCTGGTTCTGCACCAGCCGCCTCTGCACCAGTTGCCTCTGCACCAGCCGCCTCTGCACCAGTTGCCTCTGCACCAGTTGCCTCTGCGCCAGCTGGCTCTGGCTCAGGCTCTTCACCCGTGGGTTCTTCATCCGCAGCCTCGATTTCAGGTTCTAACCCCGCCGGAATTGCCAATGCTTCCCCAGTTGCATCCCCATCAGCTGCTGCAAAGGTAAATCCTTCTGTTATAGCTGCTCAAGTCATTTCAGCGCGTTCCGTATGGGCCGGATACAGGGCTAATGGAACTGATACCACAGTGGTGAAACACAATCCTTCTACCGCTGTTGTGACCATTACCTCTTGCTCGGACAACAAGTGTACAGAAACTCCTGTCACCACTGGTGTCACAACGATCACTGGAATTTCTACCACGTACACCACATTTTGTCCTTTGACTGAGCAATATGCCGCGTCCAATACGAACTCCAAAATAGCGCCTCTCTTGGTTCCGTACTCAACTTGGTTAGCACGGGGAGGATCTAACGGTGGGTCCAATGCTGCATCCAGTGTTGCATCCAGTGCCGCCTCCACTGTATCACCATCAAAGCAAACTACCACTTCTACTGAGGCTGCTGTCGTTGGTTCAGCTTCCACGAGCAAGTCCACCGGTTCTGGAGCTTCTGTGTCTCTTCAATCTTCTTCTTCCCACACTGGTTCCACAGCGTCTTTGAGTATCTTTACCGATAACCAGGGTGTGGAAGTTCTGGTTTCCAAGGGAGCCCTATTGGCTGCTGCTGCTCTTGTATTGTTGTAAGAGAGTGACGGGTCCAAAACAGCCATTCCTAGCCATCGAAGTCTGAAGAATAACTTTAACTTTTATGTAGAATACCAGAGCCAGAGATTGGTAACAAAAGAAGCACCTAGGTCTTTTTATATCTGTTAAATCAACTGCCGGGTCGTTCCTGAAATCTGTCCTTGAAAGATAACAACTAAAAGCAAACCAAACTCATCACTCAAGTTTCGAGTGGTAGGAGGAAGGACGACTGTGATGTCTGATGGGGGTTTCGTAGAAGATAGATTATTGAAAGATTTTGAAACGAATTTTCTTCAAGTGGCATGCCTTCCCGCTTCTCAACACATTCTTAACGTCCAGTTACACTTGGGCTTCGGATAGCTCTTGCTAGCTCTCCAAATTGTCTACGTTCCTTTACTATCGACATCCACTATAGAAAGTCAACCAGTCTGATATCTGTAATAGACCATGGAAATTTGACCGCCCATCTTCTAGCTACTTGGGTCAGCAAGGGTGTTCGATGAGCAAGTCGTCTACCTGTTCGAGGCGATGTTGTAATCGAAACTTTCAGATCTTGAAGATGACCACTTCCATATCCTATACTAACAAATTTAGGTCGCACTCGTCACCTAACGTAAATAGCAGAATAAAGGAGAAGTTACACCGACTTATATGAAATCGAGCCACTGCGAGGTTTGGGTATATCTCGCCTACTACGTCAAACTACTCCACCACTTTTCATCGGTAATACCTTGTCTTGTCATAATTGTCTATTTCTTATGTATCTCGTGGCAAAGCTGGTCTATCTTTGCTTCGCAAAACTTGGGACGGTCTAATCAACGTAATATAGTCTTCCTTCCCATGGTTGCAGGACCCGGGATGACTGGTCTATTTCATCATAATTACCCAAAATGAGGGTTGAGGATAAAGCTCCTTCCGGGAGGTTAAACTTGATCTCTTCGTCACTGAAGTTCAACGCGGCAAACAACTTTTTGTCTTCGAACTTCTTGGTGAAGCTAATGAGCTTGTCATTATCCAAGTCAATGTATTCAAAATCGTATCCATATACCATGACATTTTTATGCTTTTTCCTCGTTGCCAAGACTTTTCTCCAGAAATGGAGAACAGAATCAGGGTTTGATTCCTCGTCTGCTGCATTGATTCCTTGTTCGTAACTTTCATTCAAAAAAAACCATGGCTCGGTCTCGGCACCACAGAATCCCGCGTTGGGGCTCTCTGAAGACCACGGCATGGGAGATCTAGAATGATCTCTTGACAATAGATCAATCCCACGCAAGAAGGACTTGATCTGCTCCGACTCCTTGCCATACTTCTTCGAGATTATCTCGTAGTTGGTTCTGACATCAACGTCCTCGAATTTCTCGATTGGCCAGTCTTTCAGATTGATTTGTCCTAGCTCTTGTCCTTGGTACACATACAACGTTCCTGTCAATGAACCTTGAAACAAAGCCAAGAGCTTTCCGGACAAGTTACGGTATTTGGGTGAGTCGCTGCCAAATCTTGTGATGCTGCGGGGTTGATCGTGATTTTCGAGATAAATCGTTGACCATGTGTCCGTGCCGTTGACAAACTCAAAACTCTCAGCAACGGCTTGTTTGAACTCCTTCAGCGTAAATGGCACGGTTTCATACCGGAAATGGGGGCTTGATCCAATATCCACATGTGCAAATCCGAAAACCTCGCTCATTTCACGTCTAGCAGCACTGGTATATAAAGCATTATCGTTCCCATGAGCGACCTCACCCACTGTCATAATTTCTCTACCATCCTTGACTCTGTCATCAATAAAGCGACGCAACTCTTGGTGAAATTCGTGGATTCTAGCACCGTTGTGAGAGCCCCAATTTGGGTGCTGGAACTCGTTCTGGTCGTTAAAAATGGGAGAGTCTGGTAGACCCGGACGTTTCGAGTACAGGCCTGCGGTGTCGATTCTGAACCCGTCAACGCCTTGGTCGAGCCAGTACCCGACTGCACTTTCGTAGATTGCCTTTCTGCAGTCGTCATTGTCCCAGTTGAGATCGGGCTGCTCTGAGGCGAACAGGCGCAAGAAAAACTCGTTGGTTTCGTTGTCAAAACTCCACGCAGACCCCCCAAAGAACGATCTCCAGTTGTTGGGCGGGATTGGACGTCCCTCACTGTCGTAGCCCTTAGGAGGCCTCCAGAAAAACCAGTCCCGCTTCGGGTTGGTCTTGGAGGACCGACTCTCTTTGAACCATTCGTGCTCGGTGGAGCAGTGATTGATGACCAAATCGGTGATAAACTTCATTCCCAGTTCGTGCGTTTTGTTGATCAGCTCGAAACAGTCCTCGTTAGTTCCGTAGGTCGGCCAGACTTTTTCGTAGTTTGAAATGTCATAGCCCATGTCCTGCTGAGGCGAATCGTAGAATGGACACACCCAAATGGCGTCAACTCCCAATTTTTTCAAATATCCCAATTTCGACGTGATACCCTTCAAGTCTCCCCATCCATCGTTGTTGCTGTCTTTGAAACTTGCTGGGTAGATTTGGTAAATAGTAGCTTCTTTCCACCATTCAGGCTTTGTTTCTGGGTGCTCAATGATAGTCATAATTTGATGCCAATTTTAAATGACCCTGTATGTTCGTTCAATTCCACAGTAATCTGTATTTACCTGTTGAGAATCACCAATGAGTAGTTCGGATACACTTGAAAAAGACCCTATCTACCCCGGATTTTTATACCAAAAAATCCTTGTGGGGACCGGATACAATTGCCAAGTCTAGGACTTCCGAACATCCATGACATCCATATAAGTTTGTTACATGATTGCACCCTTCGACAATAATAGCACGTTCAGTTGGGGTTTGTTTGTTTCAACAAGGGTAGTCTTTTTCGTGGCCCTTGATCTCCTTTTAGAGAGATCAGTCTTGATAACATTCGCCGTAAGTAGTAACTTAGCCGTTTCCACTTCCACGCGTCACCCGCCTTCTTGCATGCACCTCTTGTTTCTCGAGGAAAAGGAAATATGCACCTATTGTGTCTCGAGGAACGAGAACACAAATGACGTGGTTCTCGTCCATACTATAATGAGCTTGGCTTGTGCACAGCTGCTGGAAGCGCGGATTTCATCAGAAGACTCGCTTTCGTTGGTTTCTTTCGCAATACCGCATAGCTAAAGAATCACGAACCACTGTGGTATGCTTGGATGTGGGGTGACGGATAGACACGTTGTGTTAGGCTTGGAAAGGGTGCTGTTTAGCCCCCGGAGTTAATTGTTGCGCCAAGGAGTTGTGCGCGTTGGGAGTGTTTGTTAATTTTTTGTTTCTCTACATAAGCGAGCAAAAGTTGATACGGGGAAACCAGGATTTCAGTTCCCAGCGCCTGAAATATTAGAGTACCAAGACTCGAGGAACACAAGACTCAGGGAAACTAAGACTCAAGGTAACCTTTTGAATCAGCAATACCAAGACTCAAGGAAACCATTTTGAATCACCCAGGACCCTCCTACGCTTACAATCATGAAAAATCTCCTTTCTTTCAGAGACAAACATACGAACGGTAGCTCATCCCACGACAATGAGGCGGGATGGGACCATACGGCGGCAAGTATGCATTCCATGACCATGGATAAATCAAAAAAAGGTGCAAGTGGTATTGAACTCTACCATATGGAACACGCACCCGAAACAAGTGGCCCCGGCGATGACGATGAAAGAGACAACCAGGTTGCAGAACTCGTAAATGCAACCAGGGACGCTAAAGAAGCCGATGACAACGAGAGAACAATGCCTCTCCTTAAGGCGCTGAAAACGTACCCCAAAGCGGCAGCATGGTCGTTGCTAGTCTCCACAACGTTGGTCATGGAAGGCTACGACACGGCCATTCTTGGCTCTTTCTTTGCCCTGCCCGTATTCAAGGAAAAATTCGGTTCCCAAGATTCAGCTGGAGTTTGGGATGTGTCAGCGTCATGGCAGGTTGGATTGTCCTTGTGTTACATGGCGGGTGAAATCGTGGGCTTGCAACTCACCGGACCTCTTGCGAACTATATGGGTAATCGGTACACCATGATTTTCGCCTTGTTTTCTCTGGCTATGTTCACGTTCATCCTGTTTTTCTGCAAAAGTCTGGGAATGATCGCTGTTGGCCAAGCTCTTTGTGGCATGCCCTGGGGTTGTTTCCAAGGTTTGACAGTAACATATGCCTCTGAAATCTGTCCTCTGGCCCTGAGATACTATTTGACCACGTACTCCAACCTCTGCTGGTTGTTCGGTCAGGTTTTTGCCGCTGGCATCATGAAAAACTCTCAAAACAAATATTTACACTCAGAACTTGGTTACAAGTTGCCATTTGCACTGCAATGGATATGGCCAGTTCCTCTCATGGTAGGTATATTTTTGGCACCCGAATCCCCATGGTGGTTAGTGAAGAAGGGCCAGATGGACGCAGCGAAAAGATCGCTTGAGAGAACATTGAGCGGCAAAGGGATAGAAAAAGAAGTTATGATCATCAAGGAACTCGAAAAGATCAGACTCACCATTGAGAAGGAACAGAAACTGTCAGATTCCGAAGGAAGTTACATGGATTGCATTAGAGATAAGGTTAATCGGAGAAGAACCAGAATAGCCTGTCTTGCCTGGGCGGGGCAGACCACTTGCGGAGCTGGACTTCTGGGATATTCAACATATTTTTACGAAAAAGCTGGCGTTAGTCTCGATATGTCGTTCACATTCAGCATTATTCAATACTGTATGGGTATTGCTGCAACATTTCTGTCCTGGTGGCTTTCAAAGCGCTTTGGGCGATTTGAACTATATGCAGTTGGGCTATTGTTTCAAGGCATCATGTACTTTGTCATTGGTGGCTTGGGGTGCATGGACACTGATCAATCAAAAATGGCGAGCGGTGCGCTCCTTATGGTCGTGGCGTTCTTTTATAATGTGGGCATTGCACCGGTGGTTTTTTGTCTTGTGTCCGAAGTACCATCTTCCCGTCTCAGAACTAAGACAATCATTCTTGCGCGTAACACCTATAACGTTGTGTCAATGGTAGCTATGGTGTTGATCTTGTATCAGTTGAACTCCCAAAAATGGAATTGGGGGGCCAAGGCAGGGTTCTTTTGGGGTGGTCTTTGTTTTGCTACGTTAGCATGGGCAATCGTAGATCTCCCAGAAACAGCAGGCAAAACTTTCAGCGAGATAAGCGAGCTCTTTAGGCTTGGTGTCTCAGCGCGAAAATTCAAATCGGCAAAAGTGGATCCATTTGCGATTAAGACAACTGAAGAGCTCTCTGATGACGAGAGGGAAATCACATCACAAGCATCTTCGAAAGCTGATAGTAATAGGGAAGTGCAAATCGACTGTTAACAACTAAACACCCTGCGCTATTCGAAAAGTGACATTAAGATAATGAATCCTGAATATATATATATAAACAAAGTCACATTTATGTTTGACGACGGTGATTTCATCATTTTGATTTAATTAAAAACGCGCCCAGGTCTTCAAAACAATAAATTCATGAGCTCAAATGTGTAGCTAGCCGACTCATCAATCCGTCTAACTTAGCTAATGTCATTAAAAAGAAGCTCATTCTGCGCACATCTTACTTCCAAGGGCCGAATGTATCTGACGCATTAAAAAAAGTTAAACGCATGTCCACCTTTCAATTTTTCGAATTCGGCTCAATCTTAGAAACCCGGCATCTCGAACTCTTCAACACGCTCAAAATTTTTGACATGAAGTGAACTGGTAGCAACGAGATGAGTATCACCATTTAATGGTGCAGAGTCTTTCAAATGTCAACTTTTCATCTGTAAACAGGCTGGCCTAACATGTGTTGCCTTGCAATGTGAGGCAAACGCGATAAAACATGATCCGTTTTATGTGTAACAAATTGTTGAGCTAGGCACTCAATATTTTACAGACGACAACAATGTGTTTAACGTTCTTCTTGTTTTTCCGCCTAGATACCTTTTACAATTAGTGACAGCGTCAAAAATTACCTGTGGTCTTTTACATGACTGATGAGCACCGATCAGCTGTAGAATTAACTAGGAATATAATACATCATGTCAATTTGAAAAAGTTTAAAGCTATAATTGCCTGCGCTTCTGGGTTGAAAGGGTTTAAGCAAATCCAATTGTGTGCTTTGCCACCTCTGGTTCACAATGTCCTATACCGCATGAAATTTGTTGAATATCCAAGTTTGCAAACCTAGTATTCCTAACGCAAAAACAAATCATTGCAAATCCGATCTCCATGATGCTCAAGACTTTTCCCATTAGCCTCCAATCCTTGCTGCTCGCATCTTGAATGAAGTTAATCAACTAATCATTGACTGGTCAATTGAAAACATCTAGCATGCTGCAAGTCCAGCGAACTACGAAGGCTCCTCCGCCCTGAAATTCCTTCAAATCTCATATACGTCCTGATTGCGATATAGAAAGAATTGTTGTATGAGCAGCTTCAAAGCCTATGGCATTATTGTCCTTTCGGAGCTCGTATATAGCGGGTAATATGGAAGCTTGAAATTTACACTAGGCAAAATGCCTAGACCCTGTCTACTCTCTCTAGCTTCAATCTCCCGTCCTCAGAATCGCCCGTATTATGCACATGCTCGTCGTTGGACCACGACAAAAGACCCGTGCACAACAGCAGTAGACAGGTAGTCCATTCCATAGACGTGCCCAAAACGTACTCCGCAGTAAGCGGACCCGGTTTCAAACCCTGGTCGTCGTAGCTCTGCGGCAAACCGTAGTTCCACTGGTTGATTTCCGATGCCAGTATCCCGTAGATGCCTCGAATCAAAAGTGGTAATACCGTGAAGCTCAGGATGTGCAAAAAATGCATCTGGTTGCGGTTTTGAACCAACGGATACGTGCGGGCACAGAAGACGGCAAAAACCACAACCCAAGCGATGAAAAGCGCGGTTCCAACGTCTCGCAAGATACGTCCACTGTTAATTTGTTTGGAGGCCTGATCTGTGGAGTGCGAGTTGACTCCCTGCACGGAGCCCACAATGATCAGAGCATTGGCAGCAGCCAGACTGTAATGGAAATACAAAATAGGATATGCAGCGGAAACCCTGTAAAATTCGCGAAGCGTTTTCCCCTTGCGTTTGGGCTCTATCCAAGATTCGCCCAGTAAGTCATTTTGAAAAGCAATCAAAAACCGGAATACGCACCATACAAGACTGAAGTAGCCCTCCGCTCCAAACACAAAATACGCAATGAGCCACTTGTAGTGCTCCACGCCGGCCACTGCATACCCAATTCCACAAATCTGGGCGGCCAGTCTCAAAAGTGTATGAATAAAGATGCTAGTGTAGCGAGATTTCCACGACACTCGCTTGGTGACTAGGAGTACAGTGACCCAGGAAAAGAGCACCGCGTATAAAACTAAGAAAACGATTGCTGGAATTCCACCACGATTTAGCATGTTCAACTGTGGTGTTCAGCCGAAGCTTTGAAATAAGCTTAATTGCTGAGTTACTGCGGGTGTTGTTCAGATCTTGGTCTTCACCTACCGGGATCTCAATCTTATTTTCAGATGCAGGGGAGTCCCTGCGCTGCCAATAGAGACACGTGGTGCATGAAGCCGTGTGTGAGAACGTTGCCAAGAAAAGGGAAGCTTTGACATGTGAAGACAGTGCGAAGAGTGTGGTGATTTTTGAGTAAAAATTGTGTAGTCGTTGTGCAGTGCAGACGCATTATAAGTGCATCCGGTCTTCCACCTCGAAACTGCGGCTTAAAAAACTCCTAAACTTCAATCCTCTAATCCCACGACGAGCCCACTTTATTTCGTTTCATGGCGTATGACAGACTAGCAGTACGCGCTTTATATCACTTCCCGCATGCGATCGTTCTTGCTCTTCATCCAAAAACAATTTAGAAAGTCCACTGGACACCACTTCTGGAGTCTCAAAATCTTGTGGTCTTTGCATAACACGTTGCTATACTGCAGTAAGCCAGTTACTTTGGCTCTCAAAGGCCCTGGATTTTACCACAGAGGTTCTTCCCGGAATAGCTTAACGAAACGAGCTGTAAATCCATTTAGCCTTTTCGTCTAACTGTCTTGATATGGCTGTTGCTCGGTTAAAAAGTTTTATCGACAAAGGGAACGTCGGTGAATACACGGCGAAGAAAGACATGAAGTAGATGGATTTCCCATTTAACGAATTCCATCTCTTTATTATCAAGTACACTGTTCCTTAAACCGGTAGGAAATTTGACCAACATGCCGCGAATTTCAACAGCTTTCACGGACAACGCCACTTTGAAAAACCATTGTTACCAAAAAGTATCAACTTCTAGCAATCTCTGCATTCGGCTACCCACATCTTCAGTCGCTATTGACCAAGTGTTCTTCGAGAGTGTTTAGGTCTTTCGACGGTCGTCTTGGCGTGTTAAGGTTCATTTCGGCTAATTTCCGGCTCTAAGGTTAATTGCGGGTTTTGAAAGCTAATTTCGGCCCTTAGGTGGAATTTATAAGGGCTTCCAGCAAAGCACTCCGGTCCTTATACGGAGAGCAGGGTAACAGAAAGGGTGCTCCATGCCGCCCTGGAAACTATATAAAGGGTGTCTCCAAACTTTAAATGTTTAACAACTCAACTACTGATTAAGCATATCAGTATAGCAAACTACAAATCGAATCATGTCTTTGGAGGGAAAAACTGCTCTTATTACTGGTGGTACCAAAAACCTTGGCAAACTGACTGCCATAGAGCTTGCTTCTAAACATAAGGCAAACTTGTTCTTGCACTACAATTCGGTGCAAGGAGATGAGAAAAGTCTCGCTCAAGAACTTTCGAGCAAATATGGCGTGAAGGTCGAGCTATACCAGGGCAACTTGGGGTCCGCAGAAAACGTTGCAAAGCTTTTCGAAGCAGCGAAAGCCAAATTCGGTTCAATCGACGTTGCCGTCAATAATGTGGGCAAAGTCCTCAAAAAACCCATCGCGGAAGTAACTGAGAAGGAATTCGACGAAATGGACCTCGTCAACAACAAGATTGCCTTTTTCTTCATTGCCCAGGCCGCCAAGCACGTCAGCCCCGGCGGTAGCATAATTTCGCTGGTCACCTCCTTGTTGGCCGCTTATACGCCATTCTACGCGGTGTACCAGGGAACTAAAAGCGCCGTCGAATATTACAGCAAGAGTGCATCCAAGGAGCTCATTGATAAGCGGATCTCAGTCAACTGTATTGCTCCAGGTCCTATGGACACTCCATTTTTCTATGCTCAGGAACAGCCTGAGGCAGTCGAATTCTACAAATCCGCCGCTTTTGACCATAGATTAACCAAGATTGAAGACATTGCACCAATCGTTTCGTTTTTGGTCTCTAGTGGTACTTGGATTACCGGACAGACTTTGTACGCTTCCGGTGGTATGACTGCTCATTGATTGGAGTGCTCATAATCCCTGCCGCAAGATAACATAAGTGGGGAAAAACACTCCGCAACTTATACACCACAGTAAATAGATCTATATGAGGACAAATATATTCATGACCCTACAAATCTCAAGCGTATGAATTTTATGAAGTATGATCGCGACACTAGCTGTGAAATCTCTTGCTTTCCTCAAAATGGTATCCATAGTCACATAAACTAAGCTGTTCATGTTAGAATGTGAGTGTAATTGCGCTGCGGGGTGGTAGACGGTGCTGCATCAGAGGAGGTTAGCTTGATAAATCGTCTCCTTGAAGCCTTATGATTGACAAAGCAAGCTGATTGATGCTAGCTCAATTTTCCACGTTGCCTCTAAGTGACTATTTTCGGCTAAAAGCCCGCTAACAAAAGCAGCAGTTCGTTTCGAGAAGAACTTAGTGAGAAGATATTTGATGACAAGAATACTACCCACCACCCTGTCTCAGCTCAGGAATGCAAGAATATTGAAATCTATTGACTGCGTTGAGTACTTAATATTAGTGCTTGGGTCTTTACAGTCCATGTTTGTTATCAAAATATATCCATTCAATGATTCTCGGTGTTTGTCAATCCGTGCTATATTGTCACAACCCTTGATGATTCTATTGATTTTCTGTATGGTACAATTGGCACTACGAACCAGAAATTCACTAGTTCCAGCGGCATATCTCTCAAATTTTTGTGCATGCTCACCAATGATCGCGATGTCAGGTCCCCATTGGTGCGCTAAAGTATTTGTCGTCCACATCGTAGATCAGTAGAATTTTCCTCTACACATCTTGAATGCAGAGGATATCAAAAATCCCCTCGTGGTTCCAGTACAGCTCGTTGAGGTTATCAGCCATCCATCTCGAGCTTGCTTAGCCACTAGGCTCAACAATCATTTTCATTCGGAGATTAAATCATTTACTAGGTGACGCAGAGACTAGTGAACTACGATTCCTGTGGTAAACACTTTAGTCACACTACTTATGGATTTCCCCACATTTATGTGCAACACCTGGAGAACTACGAAACAAATGGTCTGAACGTCGTACGTTTCTCTCAGCTGTATCTCCTCATTCTTGAGCTGATAAAATAATCGTTCAGCAACCTGAGCCGCCTTTTCGAAATCTGACAGATGCTCTAAATCTATTATATCCGTCGCTTTTCTGCCTTTGGGCAAGAAAGGCGCGAGCCTTGCCAAGTGCTCTTTAATGATCTCAGGAGGAAAATAATGGAAAAAAAGGTTCTCCCCCGTTTCCTTTTTCCTTTGTTCGTTGTCACTCAATTGGTCGTCTTTGGACGGTAGCGAAGAGGAATTCGTCCAAACACCCGCTATAGCCGAAGCAGCGAGCTCAAAACTAGGCCACTTTAGAGGTGTGATAGTAATACCCACAAACGCGAGGCTTGGATCATCGATAGAAAAGGTATCCAAAAAAAGCCCGTCCACCATAGACGCGGAGTCTTCGAGAACTTTTTGACCTGATTTTTTTATACTCAGGTGTGACACTTCATCATCTAAAAATGGATAATGCCAATGATATCCTGTCGAAAATATGATATAATCAACATCCTCTTCTACAGTACCGTCTTGAAAAACTACCTCGCGGTTATCTGTCGGATGAAACTCTTTGATTCTCGGTTTCGTTTTAAGTCCTTCAGAAGTTGCAGCCTTGGTCAGCCAAGGATAGACTTCTTCCTTGTTTGGTGTCCTGGATACTATCACTTTTTTAGCAATTGGGAAAACATACTGTAGTATATCGATTCCACTAAGTCCTGTTCCAACGAACACGCACTTCTTGTTATTGAACTTATCGAAATTTCTGAAGCTCTTCGAATGCAACGCTGAGTGTGGATATTGGCCAACCCACTTTGACAGACCATCGATTAGTGGAATGTAAGGAATAGAATAATGGCCATTGCTAACTAAAACTGCGTCAAAGTCCTCGTTGTACCAATGAACCAAGTCACTGCCCTCTACACTTTTTTTCACAGTTACTCTCCAAGATCCATCGCTGGTCTTTTTGATCTGCGCTACTTCGGAGTTGACTCTGACAAATCTCTTAAGCCCATGTCTTTCAGCCAAGCTCAAAAGACTATTGGTAACGGAGTAATTACTCACTAATGGAGCGATGTTTGGATTTTGATTCTTTGCGTTTTCATCGTAAGGTATGAAGGAATTGCGGAGATATCTTTCTGGAACATTGGAATACAGTTGCCGATAGATACCACTGGCTGCCCAAGTTTTTGAACTTGAGCTACCTGAGCCCTTAATAATCAACGGTTTCGAAAAAGAGGATTCCTTGTCAAAGAGCTCAGTGGGTGCCTCAGTGGGGGGTCTCAAAACGAGAGGCTTATTGTAGCGCTCGGAATCCAAGTCCTTTTGGTCAATGAAATCAGGATTATCGAAATCTGGAGACCATATCCCCCCAATTGAGTTTTTGAACTCGAAAACTACTACTTTTTGGAATGCAGGATCTGTATTTTCTTTCGTGTTTACTTCGTCAAATTTTCCGTCTGCACTATAAAGTAAGTTGGTGCTTCCATCCTTACGAGTGTTAAGTAGCTCAAAGAGCGAGGTCAAGCCAGCAGCCCCTGCGCCTATTATAGCTACAGATTTAATCTCCTTCTTGCTCATCTTAGTTACTTCTTTATGTGCTTCTATTCCAGCTAGAACCCTGAAGCTCCCAAAAGCTTCTTTGAGCTTGAGATATACAAGTGTTTGCAGTTCCTTCATCTTGAATAGAAAATAGGGCCAGAATCTTTACAAAGAATCCTGGATGCCACGGTACTCATGGTTCCTCGTTCTGTCTAAACACAAGCTCGGAGTTTCAATGTCCTCGGGCGGCACATCTACTTTAAAAAAAACTACCATAAATGTGGACTCGAGTCGAATCCAACAAGATCATTGGACTTCGGCAGGTGTCTAGAATACAAATGGATTAAGCAGCATAAATGAATTCAAACCTATTCTTCCTCAAAGGAATGAAATTTTGCGCTTCGCGGTCATGGTATCTCGAGGCCGCTTGGTGTCAACGTCTACCTTCAATTATCTTTAAATGAATAAACATCATAATATACGAACCGTCGAAGACAAATTAAGATCAATAATACTACGTAAGAGAATAGTAACCAATCAACTAACATTACCAACAATTCGGTAATCCTGTTTCACTGAGCTTTGAGAGTCTCAAGACTAGTACAAATGCCAATTTCAGTACTTTAAATTATTTCCTAATTTCGTCTTCTTGGACTGTCATAAACAGCTTTTTTCAGCGGCGATCTAGTCTGCGGAGGCTCTTCTTTATATGCGCCGAAACTCCGACTTTGAAGATCTCATCAAGTTGCTCCAGTGTGAAGCGCATCGTTTCCGGAATACAGAGAAAAGTGAGAATCCAGACAATAATGTTGAATCCACCGTAAAAATATAGGCCTCCCGAGGCAGTCATAGTGGCTTCCATTTTGGGCCATGTCATACTCAGGCAAACATCCAGAATCCAGTTCACGAACATACATGTAGCACTGTGTGCCATTCTCACAGTGATAGACGAGGTCTCTGCTACCAGAGTGAAACTAACTGGTCCAATACCAGTACCGTAGAACAACACGTACACGTACATTGACGCTAGGCCTGCTCCAAGTCTGCTTTGCGGATTTGTGACGTTTAGAATGCCCCCCAACCAGAACAAACATAAAGCTTCCACTGGAAGCGTGAATAAAAGCATCTTTCTTCTGCCAAAACGATCAATCAATTGCGTCGAAACGAATGTGGCCAAGAAGCAGCCACCCCCAATTCCAATAGAACCTGCGATAGCTGTAACGGGATCAACGCCGGATTTTGTTGAGATTGTGGTTGTGTAGGAGACTAGAATGTTGACACCTCCATACTGCTGACCTAGAATGCCAATCAGTGACACGATTAGAGCAAACCTGTTTCTTTTGTTTGTGAACAGAGACAGAAACTGCTGCCAAGAGGATAACCGAGTTTCTAACTCGGACTCGAACTTCAAAGATTGGTGAAGGATATAGAAGTCCCGCGCTCCCGATAGCTCGTTGGGTCTTAGTTTTAACAAGGAGTACAGAGACTCTCTTGTTTTTCCATGATTAATGAGCCATCTCGGAGATTCGGGCGGGAAGAAGATTAAGATCCCTGTGACAAATGGAGCAACACACGAGGATCCTATCATGAGGCGCCACGAAAGCGATCCGCTTATATTAACGAAAGCTCGGTTGAAAACAGAGCCCAAGCACACACCGAGGGCGATGAAAGTTTGCCACAACATCAGAACCGCACCGCGAGAAATCGCAGGGGCACATTCCGCTGTGTAAATTGGCACAGTCGATGAATTCAAGCCCATGCCTACCCAAGAAACAATCTCGCAAACAAAAGGCAGCCAAGTCCATTTGAAAAACCCTGGATGAGCGATCCCGCAAAGCCGATGAAGCAGCTAATAAATATAATCCATTTTCTGCCGACATACTTGTCGAGGTAAATGGTAAGAGGGGATCCCAAACAAGCAGCAGCGAGATATGGCGCAGCAACCGTAGGACCTTGTATATTAGGATCTGTTATGTTGAATTGATTTTGATACTGCAATACAGCACCACCAATGGCACTTTCGTCCATCCCGAAGTTGATTGCAGCACATGAGGTACAGAGGGCAGCCAACAGCATATGTTTGGACAGCGAAAACAAGGGCTTTTCTATGGCTTTTTTAGCAATTCGACGTTCCTCATCGCTGTAATCTTCAGTCTGAAGAATTTCTGGATCATTAGCCCAGAATGCACCACGCGTCAACAGGTCGCGCTGATCCTCGAGCTCGTGTTGCTTCACAATCTGATCAATCTCAGAGAGCACTTTCTCTTCCGGCTCATATTCTTTGAAGACAGCCGCTACCTTCAGAGACTGGTCAGATGACACGATGTCACTAACCTCTTCGATATTTCCGTTAAATTTATCCTCTACTGTCATTACTGCAATGTCGTTAGCTATTAACTATACCACAATGGAAAGACCGGTAACGTTCGAAAGACCGATAGTATGCCGAATATCAGAACGAAGGCTTTTGTATTGTGAATTATCAGTATGAATTTACGTTTTTTGATAAGCGGAATTATGTTTCGGTGTGACTGTGCAACATAGCATTCTGACTATCCACTAGCGCCATAGCAGGAGTCATCGATGTCAATTTCTGTTTGTCTTTGACTTTTATTGACTCGAAGTCATAGAGAATCAATGACAATTTACAAACGTACTACAAATTTCTCCGCGCTAGCGTCACGCTCCTCGAGCTCCGCTAACCCATTCTTTAACCCAACACCAAAAGTTCCGAACCCTTTGAAAACCCTGACGCTAGGTACTGGGCATAGTTGACCCTTTTCAAAGAGATCGGAAGTAAATTTCACGAAATTCTCTCCGAATACCAGGTCCTCGTGAAATTTTTTAATTCCTACGGGCTCCACTTCAGTGTCGGGATGTTTGGCCCTCGCGTTCTCACCAGGAGTGCCGCTGAGGCATACAAGAACCTTTCTGGTTTCCATCCCATCATTCAGAACCTCCAGTAAAAGCTCTGCTGTCTTTCTCGAAATTACGTCGACTCCACAATCGATCCCCGTAGGGCATATGTCTTTGACCGTCTGTATTAGCTCACCTGGAGCAAGCGTTCTATCCACAACGGCCGTAGCTCCTAGCTCTTTCAGATAATGCTCATATTTCAAGCTGGACACGGCTATGATGTTCTTGAATATTCCTAGATTCCTGGCAAGCTGAATTGTGAATATGCCCACGGAACTCGAGCCTCCCCAAATGATCAACGATTTTTCTCGAATTTCATTTGCCTTTCCGACATTCTGAAAATCAACAAAGGATGAGAGTGCAGAGCCTGCTGTCACCAGGGCCACACCAACACCTGCTGCGAAATCCAGTCCGAACTTCTTGCGAGAGACACCATCCGAGCACATCTCGCATGGCAATCTCCAAACAAGTCTGGAATCGAAGAGCGTGAACTCCTGGAATGTAGACCGTTTGAGCTCGCGGTAACATGTGCTTGCTAGAAACACCTTAGCTCCAATTGGAAATTTCTCTTTATAAACTTTTGCGCCCCTGCGGACTACAATACCACTAGACTCCCTACCATTGACCCACGGGAAAGAATGAATGTTAAAATGGTATTTTTTGGATTTCCAATCCACATGATTCAATCCTGTGTACTTGTTGCGAACCAAAATTTCGTAATCATCCAATCTTTGAGGGACAAGTATCTGGTCCGAGACTACTATTTCATCTTCAAATGACGTGACAACGGCCGCCTGTTGTAATAATGGCATAGGTGCTTCAGCACCAATTTTGGGGCTTTCCTTGACAGTGATCCTCTTTATATGCCTCTCTTGTAATTGAGAGACTACGATGCTCCCAATATCGACGTTTTCGAGTTTTCTCTTATACATTCGGACACTGGCGTTAAGTTGAGCAATCCTGCTGAAAAGACTCGACACTCCTCTGGAAAGACGGACACTCTTAAGAAGGCCTCGAAAATAAAAATCTTCGGAAACCTTTACAATTATGTGCAACTGCCATCATGATTACTGATTCATACATGTCTATCTTATTCCTTCTCCATTGGTCGGGCTGCCTCTTGACGCTGTCGCTATCTTAATATCGCATCATGTGCTCGAAGACGCAGTGTCCTAATTAACAATGGAAAACATGGCGAAGACATAGAAGGTGCAACTTGTAGATAAACACTGATGAGCCACGGAACAGATAGGTCAATATTGGCACCGTTAAGCAGTGTAGGAGGTGCACCCGAAAACTAGCATGCGCATAGCTTTTGGATATTAAAAGGGGTTCTTATGCCTTGTCCTTAGCATTGGAAGTAAACTAGCAACACTTTTGATGGGAATTAGAATTAAGACTCTGAATCCCAAATATGACAGTCCAACGTAAAGTGAAACGTAGCTCAGCCTCTGAAGCGGACAATGCAAAACGAGCACACTTAGAGGCTCCCAAGCGCAAAAACTTGATTGTCAACGCTTTTCTCATGGGATCTGCTGGCAATCAGTCCGTTGGGATCTGGAGGCATCCCCAGGATAAATCTTCAGAGCTGTACAATTCTCCAGAATATTGGATAAATCTAGCTAAACTTCTCGAGAAAGGCAAGTTTAATGCAGTTTTTCTGGCCGACGTATTGGGACCTTATGACGTTTACAAGGGTCCTTCCAATTTTGAGCCAGTTGCAAAGGCAGGTTCTCAATGGCCCATTTCGGATCCCAGCTACTTCATTCCGCTAATGGCAGCAGTTACAACGAAACTCGCGTTCGGCATCACGATTTCTACCATTAGCGAACAACCATACCACTTAGCTAGACGCTTAGGAACGCTCGATCTGCTCTCAAACGGACGGGTTGGTTGGAACATAGTTACGTCATACTTGAACAGTGCCTCCAGAAATCTGCTTGACGGAAAGAATTTGCCTCCGAATGAGGAGCGCTACGCGCGCGCCGGTGAATATGTTGACGTCATCTACAAGCTGTTTTTGAGTTCATGGAGAGATGGAAGCTTCAGAGCCGATAAAGAAACTGGAGTGTTCACCGATCCAAAAGGCCTTAGACACATCAATCACGAGGGCAAGTATTTCAATGTCCCCGGACCAGCCATCACTCATCCCAGTAAGCAAAAGCTGCCCGTTATTATTCAGGCTGGTACTTCGCCCAAGGGAAAAGATCTTTCCGCAAAGAATGCTGAAGTCGTTTTCCTCGCCAGTTTGACTCCAGAAGCTCTAGGTGCCTCCATCAAAGATATAAAACACATTGCTTCTACAAAGTACCATAGAGACCCATCGAAGATAAAGTTCGTTGGGCTCCTCACTGTTATTCTGGGAAATACTCATGAAGAAGCTGAACACAAGTACAACGACTACAAGGCCAATTATGCTGACGAAGAGGGAGCTAAAGCCATGTTTTCTGGCTGGACAGGTGTTGATATTGATAAGTTTCGAGATGATGAGGTGCTTTCGAATGTTGATCATATTGCTGTCGCATCAGCCGTCAAGAAGTGGCAAACTGCTTATCCTAGGGTAGAAAAATGGACAAAGAAGGCCATTATAGAGGAGATCAAGGTGGGTGGAAGTGGCCCTGTTCTCATTGGCACAGCAGAGGAAGTGGCGCTTGAAATTCAGAACTGGGTGGACATCTCTGATATTGACGGATTTAACTTTGCTTACACTGTTCTCCCTCAAACATTCGAAGAAATTATTGATAGGTTGTTGCCTGAGCTTGAAAAACTTGGGCTGTTCTGGCATGATTATCCTCCCTCCGCTGACTCTTCGGAGTACGTGACCTTCAGAGAACAATTGTTTGGGCAGCCATACCTTGACAAGACACATCCAGCATCAGAACTAAGATGGGAAGCTGGTGAAACAGAAGAAGCTTACACATTAAGACTAGAAGCGGCTTTAAATAAGTTACAATGATGTAGAAAACGCTTCTTTAAATGTTATTTAACTATTCATGAATCACAAAGTTGGTTTCTCGATATTTATTTATGCATTGAAGACTTGAAAGACCCTCGAATTAATTGAAGTTACGCGTAAATCAACCTATCGAATCATCACTTTCTCAAACCATTCTCAAATAGCTTTGACATGGATAATAGTGTTTTCGAGTTTTTCCCTCACAACGGAGCTGGCACTTGTCGAAGACAGATCAGAACTGCGTTCCGTTGGCACTTTTCTCAATAGTTTCTTGAACACGAGTGACAAAACGGAGTTTGATTCATACAGTGGATAAAGTATAATCCACGTCGCGGCCAGAAATGTCCATATAATAATAATATAGACATAGCCACGAAATAACTTTCTTGAAAAGATGTAATTAGTCCCATACATGGATAGTGGGATGATTATCAGGAAAATAACAAACTGACAGAAAGCTAAAATCTTGGTGACGAAAACATGTTTCTTGAGATCTTTCACCGAATCTTGGGACACCTGCGAAAACTCAATTTCATCAGAGTCTGCGTCATCGGCAATTCGGGTCTCGAAGTATAGCCCGTTCATTTCATCAAATGACCAATTTTGCGGTTTTACCTGCGAGAAAGCCCACACAAATATACCACTTGAGAACACTGAAATGAAATTACCGAAAGCCAAAGGCTCACTAAGAGAAAGGGATGCTTTATCAACTCTTCCATCACTAGAGTAGTGCGATGAAGAAGCCACCCACCCCACAATACCACAAATTGTTGCTAAAGGCACTCCGGCGACTAAAGCCACTGTATTCATTTTCTTGTAAAATAACATCCCTAAGAGTCCAAAAAATGCTGGCCCTAGGGCTATTCCCACGAAGCTGAATAGCCACCCAAGAGTGACGCCGATATAGTTGAACAGAACTGCCAGCGCTCCCATGCACAGTGAAAAACCCACGACGTTCAAGTGCGAAACAAAAACAAGCTGTTTACCAGAAGCTTTAGGGTTGATGTAAGTCCTGTAGAAATCATAGGTCAAAATTGAAGAGCACGAGATAAGTTCCGCTGACATTGCTGACGTCGCTGACATGAAAATCATGACAACAGCACACGCTGCTCCTGACTTACCAAAAATTGCCGCCATAGCATAAATAAGCGACAAACCCCTCCCTGCTTCCATATCAGTCAATTTGTTAGGGTATGTGAAAAAAACAGGATTCTTGGTTAAAGAAAGAGAAGCTAAACCCATTGAGGTTCCAAGTCCTAGTGGTATGGCCAACCAGCAAATTCCACCCATGATATATCCCCTCATAACCTGCTTACTACCCGCAGCAATGGCTTTCTGTGAATACGATGGATCCATAAAAACCGTTGCAGCCCCTCCTAGTAGTGCGTTCCAAGCAGTCAATATGACATCTTTGTTAGCAAATGTCAAGTAGGACCCGTTGGCGGAAGATTCCAGCGGAAATGACTTGCTCATATCCATTAACAGGTCATACATTTTGTCTGGGGACCCGAATAGCTCTGAAGTACAGTAAACTGTCACAATGGAGACTAGCACCATAACATAGATGATAATCGTGTGAGACCAATCGGATAAAAAGGTAGCTTGCAATCCACCAAAAAGAGTATAAACGCACACACTGACTGGCAACAGGAAGCAAGCCGCTATTAGATTCATTCCAGTGGTGTATGCGATCCCTTGTGATCCGCCTAGTAGAATCATGCCCGACACAATTACATTTGTGCCGAGAGAGTAAAATAGGTAACAAATATGGCCCCACTTACCAAATCTTACTTGTTCTAACTCAGCGATTGTGTGAATACCAGGGCATTTGAGCTTAATTTCTATTGCTACCAGGGTAAACAAAAGTATTTGGAAACACCCTGTAACACTGTACCAGTATGCACCTACAATACCGTAAGAGTACGTCCACAGATTCGAGGTGAGCAATGTAGCTGGCCATGTCCATGACGAGACAACAGCAGAAGATATGAGTCCCTGCTTGACATTGCGAGAAGCCGTCGTGAAACGCTCTGAGTCTTGCTTTTGGTTCAAGAATTTCGCCATTACCCAGGATATCGCTATCATGAGGACACTAAATAGGGCACCGAAACCAAGCACAATACCGTAACCATAGCCTTGGCTCAGCAAGAAGTCGCTCATACTTTTGCTGAATTCGGCTATTTTTCGAACAGCTACCACAAAGCGGTTCTTGCATATTGCTACGATTGCCAACTTCTTATACCAATCATTGTGGAATGTAAGCCAAGGTAATTGGCTCAAGTTCCAATCGAATATTAGTTGATATGTGATGTCTTTGCATCAAAGCGTCACATGAAGTCCGACTTGTTGACTTTCATATAAAGGTCTCGCAGCTCTTATCGAGAACTGCTAATAACTGTGGTGTCAGCGACGTTGGTGAAGACGAGTGCAAAACAGCTAGCCCTGCAGACTTATAAATCGCCACGGCAATAGTTATGGCTTCTCCGCTTGGAGCGCTAGAAGTCGTTCGAGCAAAGATGAGAGCCAACAAGCGCGTGTGGTCAAAGTAATTTCAAGTAAAGTGGCAGAATCTCCAGAAGTCTAAAATTGGCTTCCCCGACGCAAACTTCAAACTCAAGCAATTCAAATCTTTTGCTACTCCACTGAGTCGTCTGAGTAGAGAACGCTGCATTACCTGCGTGCCAAGATACAATTCTTACGATTGTTCGAACCACTCATCGAGGACGTTTACACTAAAATCACGAATAAATGTAGCATTGGTATAATACACATCCTAGAGTAGGCTGGTTGTGCGTGAAAGGTCACTGGATTTAAGTACTTGCTGCCGTGCCAAGCTTTGAACGATTTGTATAAGCAACTTCGAGCTTCAATGTGCGTCCTTTCGTATGCTGTTATTTCGTTCCTAATTTGGCTGCAGTGACACATTCATACATAGTGGAAACGACGTCAGGGTTCTTGTTATACTTTGGTAGTTATTTTCCAGTCGACTGAAAGCAGTGCGTATTCTTAAACATCGATGGGTGTTGGGCGTTAATCCTCAACACATACTGAAGCCATGTATTCAGTTGAGACCTCTAGCCGGCGAGCTTCAAACATCAACAAGTGATCGCTGTCATCTGATCGGATGACAGAAAACAGGAATGAGAATTGATCACTACACACCGTAAAAACAATTGTTATCGATCAGGCAAGCGGCAACAATCTCCCGTATGTTTGGAAGTGATGGCGTACAGGGCCATGGCCCACCATTTTATGTCAAGAGGAATAAATTGCAGTTACCACTCGAAAGGGAGCGACTTCTTCGGCTTATGAGAAAATCAAATGTACTATAAACTTATTTGGCTGGTAGATTCATTAGCTTTTAAAGAAGAGGAGTTTACAATCTAACAGAAACCGAAAGGAATACAAAGATATAGGAAATCTGTAGCGTGATAATAGTTCCAGAGTATAGTCGCGCCATGAGGACTGCCGCTCTTCGTGTTCTCAGTTGATCCAACTCGATTAATACTTACTTACCATGTTTTATATCAAGAATATGATCCATACCTTTCAAATTATCGAGAGTTTCTTACTCGCTCCCTTCGAGGTAGCCCTTCACAACGGGTATATGAACTGATCGTTTTCGAGATCCGTTAGATCTAATAGCGCGATGTTGCCCCTGACGGTAGAAACAGACTCCATGTCAGTACTTTTGATGAAACCTAAAGACGCACCATTGTTTAGAAGTGGCCTTCTTTCTTCGTTTCTTCTGGCCAAAATGAACCGGATAGCCAATGCGAATAATGGGGCCAAAAAGAATGCGAAAACAAGCTGCACACTCCAAGCGCGATTGTATCTAGGACCGTCGTTTTGTCTCCATAATTGTGGGGCAATGATATTGGCAATACCGTACCAGAACATTATCAGTGCGTTTCTGGTAATTTTCTTTGTGTGGCCAGAAGTTGATGTGGAAGTCCAGCTAAACATCAAGATCCACGCAATTCCCTTGGGAGCACAGATACAGATCATGGCCAGAAGTGCATACTTTCTGTGCCAAGGTAAGGTGAGCATAGCAATACTGCCAGCAAACGGGAAGAGGGTCCAAAATATCACCGAGTAAGCGGTGGAGTTTTCCCTCTTTCGAATGATTATTGACGCGATAATTGCACATGTCACCGAAAACCCACCATATGCGACAGATACTAACGTAGAGCCTAATGTCGAAACTCCAATTTCCTTGAACAGTAGCTTTTCTTGGTAAACAAGATTGTTTGATAGTTGGTTACAGAAAAAAAAGCCACAGAATAACCAAGAAACTGGGTCTTTCAAAGCCTCGATGATTTGATGTTTCTTGATAACTTTCTGCTCAATTGAAGAACCCGTCGTTTCTTGCACCCTTCTGATAACCCATATTTTTTCTTTTAAATTCAAGAAGCGCGCATCTGAAGGGTTGTTGGGATACAAGAACAGAACCAAAATCGTGACAACAAGACTGATGGAGGCAATGACTATCATGAAAAGCTTCCAAACAGCGATAGCTGGTTTGGCATGTAGAATTCCAAAAGCGATGAAGCCAACAATTATTTCGTTTCCCAGACAGGTTGTGTAGAACAAAGGAGCAGTCCAGCTTTTTTCTTCTGCGGTTAAAAATTGGCCCATTGTGACATTGAGGGCAGGAACCGCTATCGCTTCGACAAATCCTAAAAAAAATCGAAGGGCATAGATTCCCTGGTAACTAGTTGCCACGGTGTGCAAGTAAATTATGAGAGACCAGAGAAAACTCAGAACAGCCATCACACGACCGACTGGGTATTTTTGTAGAAAAAACAAATTTCCCTGTCCTAAAATGTAACCCACATAGAATAAAGTTGTGGAATTACTGTACTTGTTTTGATCCAAGTGTGTGTCCTTCCACATGCCAAAGATCGAGGTGTAGGATGCTGTGGCCTTGTCAGCATAAAGCACAAAATCGATCAGGGCACATAGAGGTACAATAAACCATACAACTTTTCTCGATAAGCGCCTTTCTTCATCTGCAGTGACGATGGGTACTTGTGCGTCGTTGGTAATAAGAAAGCCAAGTGTGACATCAGCATCACGTGATGTGACAACTTTGTTTTCGGTAAAAGAATCATGTTGACTTATTTCGTTCTCCACAACGTGGACCAATTGCTTGTCCGCGTTCTCAGAAGAAAGGCTACTAATGGTGTGGACAGAGTCGTGGTCTGGCATGTCGTTCTTTGGCCTTTCGATGATGAGTGTAAAGAGTTCCAAGCTAAGGCCCTTGCATAGCTCTATCGAGCATTCCCTAGCCGCATTTTATAGTAGGTTTAAGGTCTGTCGATGGCTGTTGAAATGTGCTTGAACACCACTGGCACGATGCTGTTTACCGGGCGCTCACGGTGTCTTGAGTTTTACAAAAAAAAAAGTCAGCTCCACGAAGACAAAGTTAATTATAATGATACACCATGCAACAACAGGAAGCATCGGGAAAATGAAATAACGAACGCAGTTCTAAGCCTTTGTTCCGCAGCATTAATTGTCGGTGTTATATTTTACCTTTGACACCGAATCTGTGTTATAGTTACAGCAGGCGGCACAACCGGCTTAAACAATTAAGATGCTCCCTTCCTTGGTAATCCACCTGTATTGTGGTTTTTACAGCCTGATTTTGACCTACACACTTCAGGTCTCTACGTCTCTCTGTCTCTAACTATCCCTTTTCCTCGAACAAGAGCCCTTTTTCAAAAGTCAGACTCCCTCTCCCAGATATTTCTAGTATTCTATGCTCACAACGCAACGTTCTGCGAGCCCGCACAGCTTATTCCATCAATGTTGACTTCCCGCGAGCATCATCTTCATCACTGTTACACTTTTATGACACTATTAATCACTTTACACATGTGTGACGTTCGCTTTTATTTATCTGACGCCCGATCAAGCATTAATTGTAACAAACGTGAGAGCTCATCGTTCAGATTTAGAGTTTCACGTCGTTTTGCTGCGTGGTTAAAAAGGGCACTTGCATTTTTAGTACCCCAACACCATCATTCAATCAGACTCTTTTCAAACCTCTCACGGCTCTCTCTATTTTCCAATGCAAAAAAAAACCGCACCTTAGGTCTTTGCCGGAATCTTGTTAGGTCTATAATATATGAGGCGGCATCAATTCACACTTGCCTATGACAAATTGCAAGGTTGACTAAATTCAGCGATAATAGCCCTCACGTTCGCTGTTAATTTTCATATATCCTTTATTAACCTTCTGCACTCGATCCCAACGTTTTCAATGAAAGCATTTTGACCGCGAAGCATCGCTGGTTAGAACTTCTGAAGATTTGCTAATTGAAATTACAATTTGAGGTAAACTGTATGTACATATAGTTGACAGCTTTTTCAAAGCTAGCTAGACCTTTAAACTACTGTGACATCAAAAGCCTACTACTTAATACTATCAGACGATTTTACTCGGCCATGACACAACAAACATCTTGCTTGAATTGATGCCCAAATGAAAAATGCAATGACATGAACAGACAACCGCTCACGTTAGGCAAAACGCCTGAAGATGGAAATCATCTGACCTCATCCCTTCCAAAGTTACGGTCCGGCATAAGATACCTGACAGAGAATAGATCCTGAACATAAGGAATTGGCGAAACTTATTAGCTTCAATTGGATCAATTTATCTCGGAATAATCATTATCTAATCTACATAAATTCATTAAAAAACCTCACTTGTACTCATATGTGCTATAGTCAGCCACATTAAACATGCATTCCTACCCAAAATTTGTTATCCAACTCTTTAACTCTTTAAATTGATTCCACATCGTGTTGTTCCCCATCGGTTTCCTTATCAGCCACAGGTTTTTTGAATCCCATTGTTTTGTTTGACGAAAAGACGCATGCGATCGCGGCCAAAGCGGCAAGTCCGAGCCCCATCCAGAAAACGTCTTTTATGGCTTTCATGAAGACGCGTACTTCTACCGAGTCTCTTCCTCCATAGTTGGTATACCAGTGACTGATGAGTTCATCAACGGAGCCGCTATGAGGTAGTGGTGGTTGAATTCTCGAGAGCTGGTTGTGCGCTGAGGTTGTGAAAACTGTGTTAGATAGAATTCCACCAAAAGCTGTACCCAACATCTTTGTAAAAGCATTAAAGGTAGTCACTGAGATGAAATCGAATCTAAAAAGAGGATGGTCTTTGGGGATTTGGATTTGTGAACTTAACATGGCACCATTTTGAATACAGCCAAAAGAAACACCAGGCAGAATAAGCAAACCGATTTTTGCTGAACTGTTAGAAGTTGGACTGAGCAAGGTTAGGATTCCTGAGCCTACAGCACCAACTACCCCTCCAAAAACCAAAACAGCTTTAACTTGGCCTGTTTTCTTGAGAACAGCCCCACAGAACAGTAATGCTATGACAGTTGCAATGACCGGGGCAATCAAGTGGATACTGGCTTTCCAGGGTGAGTCTCCCCAAACGAGCTGAAAGTACTGGACGATGTAGACAATCTGACAATTGTAAGCAAAACATGTGCAGAAGGTGGCAATATTGGGGATTAAAACGCCTGGCTTTGAGATTACCTTCCAAGAGAGTAGCGGCATATATGGGATATGCTCTTTTTTGGGTTTGATCTTATCAAAAACAACAAAGTCGTAGATCAGACTACCAAGTATAAGGAGAATACCAACCACGAAATAAGCAATAATGGACCCGGAACTCCAACTGTACCTGTTTCCGCCGAACGTCAGTCCAAGCAGAACGAGTGTGAAGCCAGCAGAACAAAGCGCAAACTCGATGAAATCGAATTTGAAGATCGCGACGCGATATAGTTTACAATAAAAACTGGGCTTCAGCACTTGGCCATAAGGAGCTCTTCTCACCTTGTTCAGAAAGTTTTTGAAATTTTCGAAGGTGTTCTCACGATCAGGATTGTAGGAAAGAAGGAAAACAATAAAGGCAAGCCCGCCGATTGGCAAATTGATGTAAAAACACCATCTCCACGTAACATGCGTGGCGAAAGCCCCGCCCAAAAATGGGCCCACAATCGAGGCAACCCCAAAAGCGCAGCTCAGTATGGATATCGCGGTACCTCTTGTCCGATCGGTAACCAATGTCGAGGTAATCACAAAACACAAAGTCTGAATCCCACTGCCGCCAAAACCAGCGACGACTCTTCCTGCGATGAGCATGTTCATAGACGTCGCAAGAGCGGCTACCAGGGATCCGATTTCAAAAATAACGATTGAAGACAGCATGGAAGCTTTGAAGCCCCACAATGTTGCCAACCGGCCCCACAGTAGACTTAACAGAGCGTTGGGCAGGTTATAACCGGAGACAAGCCACCCGGTCAGACTGTAGCCGTTGAACTTGGCAGCGACCGTTTCCATGATTGTTCCTACGATCAAAATATCCAACGCAGCCAAGAAAAGTGACAGCGCCAGTGATCCAAAACAGACGTAGAATTCGATGCCTGTCAACGGAGCAATTGCTTTCTCGGGTAGTTTGTTCTCAATTTTTCCATCGCTTGCTTTTGATTCTTTTTTTTCCACGCTCACCTCCTTTGAGTCCTGGAATAGCCCACTTCCTGGCTCATCTTTCGCCGTACACGTCGTGCCTGTTGGCTCGAGAGTTAAACTCCTGCTCATGGTTGGCAGATAAATGTTTTGAGGCTACCAAAAGTGGCGTTGAGAAGAGCTAAACTATGTAATATAAAAAAAGGCACTACATACTTTTTTATCCCTTGCCGACTTTATACTCCGAGGTTGGTCTCGGTTTTTTGCATCAGTTCATGGATATGCGTAAGTAACGGATATTGTATACTTATTCTTATTTTCATGTCCGTGAATCTCCATGAAAATTACTAGGCAATTCAAGATCGCCCGACCATTAACGCACAAATGCATAACACCACCTTGAACGAAGCGTCGGATTTGTATTTGTGCGTATAACATAAGGGTTGTGGTTCGAAGGCGGTAGAATGTTCTAGAAACCCTGTATCTTGGCGTCCCCGATTCGGGTTTCTAGGGACTGGGTAGACTTTCCAGTCATCAGATTACAATACTTTCACGAATGAGGCTGACTGATTTTCTCATGCTCTTTTTCTGCCCTAAAACGGTGTTCACAAGGGATGCGGATTAAACGCTCCTGCGTGCCCTCCCTTTTGAGCAGTATGTGAAAGCCAGATAGCTGTTCAGTCACAACTTTTTTGTGTCGAGATATATGTAAGGTGGCTAAATTGGTTACATCATATTGGGCTATCGTTCCAGTGACCCCGCTGTAGCCTGTGTACTGAGGTTGAATCCAATGGCTGAAAATTTGAGAGACAGATGCAAATCACACGTCAATGACAGCGAGGTGCGGTGAAATTAACATATATGTATTTATAGCATGTCTGGCGCATCATCATTGGCCTCATCTATTCTTTTGAGGGTACATCGCCTTCAAAACCATAGCGCAAACTCTAAGACACGTTGTTTGGGATCGATTTTCAGCTGATACTTTTTGTCGGGCCACAGAGCTCCGGACCCTTACCGGACTTTTTTCTGCATAGGCGCACAGCTCGAAGAATTTAAGGGACGCAGATCGGAAGATATTGTCACGTGCTTTGGAGCTGGCGGCTTACCAACCAACAACAGGATTATTGTAAGACGCGCGGTTGGGCTTTCGAAGGATTTCCTGTTTCAAAAGTTCAAGAGCTAAATAGCAAAAGTATTCAATCAAATCATATATATTCGAAGCTATTAAAGCCTTCTGGATTATGTCGGCAGCCAAAATTTGATTTTGAACAATGGCAGCCCATTAACGAAAATTTGGACCGATTTGAAGCTTTATCTTCAGTAGTGTCCTATGGAATTGCATGTGAGGTGGGGATTAAAGAGCATATCTGAAGTTAGGGTTTTCTTTGTCGGTCAAATCGGCAAATTCAAGGTTCTCGATGACAACCTCATCGGGACCTCTCTCGGCTTGGATTCTGTCTCTTCTCTTGTTCTCTCTGAAATTGATGAGAAGCAAAACGGATAAAGCTACTACGGTACCAGCGTAGCATACCAGCATGGCGATTTTGGCACCCGTATAGCCAGGCGCTTGGGAGGGAATAAACGTTTGTGGACCTGCCAAGTTCGAAGCTGCGTAAGAGACCAAGTTGATGGAGGAAACACTCCATTTCTTACTGTAACCCAACGTGTTAGAGCTGATAATCGACAGCACGCAGATAAAAGAAACAGGGGCAACGTAAAGCAAGTATGCACCTGCAAGTCTAGTGTTCTTGGATTCGTGAGCAAAGGCCAGCATGCACGTACCAAGAACACTAATGAGCGCAGCGATGATACCCCAGGCCAGCCTGTACTGCAAAAATGGAATCTTCTTTCGTGCGCACACTACAGACAGGTAGCCAAATAGTGGACATGCAACCAGCTCAACAGCACCAGTTGGCATTGTCATCAGTAAAGACTGGGCAGTGCTGTAGCCAAAATCGTTCTTGATCAATATATTCATGAAATTGGTTAGCCCACCATTGGGGATATTAGAACCCACAGAGAAGACAAAATACAACCAGGTTCTAACATCGGTAAAAGCCTCCTTTATCTGGTAGTGTTTAATGTTGTGATTACCGAAACCTTGGTGATTGGATCTGATTCTTTCAACCACCATGAATTTCTCCCGCTCTGACAAGAACCACGCTTTGGAAGGGTCATCGGGGATGTGAAAGAAGATAGCAATGCCTACCGTGATTGTGATCAAACCGGTAACGATAAATAGAATTCTCCAGGCTTCAATGGAGTATGAATCTTGTCTGGTATACAGACCATAAGCCAGAGAGTTAGCCCAAATGGCACCAAGACCGTTGAAACCAAACCACAGACAGACCCGCATAAACTGTTCTTCTTTCTTCCAGTACTGAGAGGTGATTATGGTGAAGGTGGGCGTAACCATAGACTCCGCACAACCGAGTAAAACACGGAGAAGGATGAACGTTGGATAAGTGATCGAGGGAACAGAGTGCAATGCCAGAAACATACCCCAGATCACGACAAACACAGCGAGCGTTTTGGCAAGCCACTTAGATTTCTGGAAAATGAACTGACCTGGACCCATATTAAAAAAGAGGTAGCCAAAGTAGAATGCCGAACCGACCCACGAGTACTGGTCGCCGTGCATTTTCAAATCTTCACGGAGTCCCATCACGGCAGCCGACCCGTTGGAAATCTTGTCCATGAACTGGATGGAGTACAGCAGACACAGGAGTGGGAACATATACAGATCGATCTTGCGAACTAGACGAGCATCTTCTTCTGGAGTCACGACGATGCTTTTAGAGTTCAGCGCTAGACGCATGGCGTCATCAACGTCGCCTGTTACTTTTACCTCTTTGCCAGAGGGTGACAGTATGGTCGAGAGCACGTTCGTTGCATCGCCGATATCTTCGCGGTTATACGAGACGACTGCCTGAACTTTATGCGGGACTTCAGATGCCGATTCACTGTCAGACAATGAGTTACGAATAACGTCCTTTGGGTCCTTTTCGCCTGACATGATAGGTGTTTAGTTGAAAACTTCTGCTTCAAAAGCGGACACTAGTGTTTTTTGGGCATTTTACAATTAGCCGATGACGCTGTATTATATAGGTCGTTCCTGCGACCATTTCAGCTTTTGTTGGCATTCGCACCTTGCCGAAAATCAGATACAAGCTTGCGATGCCTATATTTTTTTTCTACCTACCAAGTTCGTCCGGCATAATCTTAATCCATCGCGATGGAATATTGTGTTGTTCGCATTTGTTATCGCGATATCTTAAGCACGTGACTTGATAAGCTTTTTTGATATCAAAAGTTCAGCATTGTTATTATACGTTCTTTTTTCTTAATGGCCGCACAGATGCGAATCCCGAAATCGCATTGATGAGTAGTAACGTTCCCAAGAGGATAACGCTCCTGAAAAGATCAGCGATATTCCAGATGTAGTTAAATTGTAAATGCAGTGGTGAGATTGTGCGTTAGAGATAAGTGGACTTTGCAAGCGTTTCTTTTGTCCCAAAAATGGTCACACATGACCGTCACTTCGCTCAGCCATAAATGCAAATCATTTGTTCTGTAGTTTGCTTCTAATTCCATCTTGAACCGCCAGTTGGCTTTGCTTTAGGATGCGTCTTGATCTTGAAACTGTGAACAAACAGGGTTCACTCAAGGTTATATATGCATGTCTTCCGCTTGGATGACAGACAAAGTTGTGGTAGCAATCAAAATTTGTCTTTTGAACTCTTGACTTTTGTACCGGGCTTTTCGGTCATTTCCCAGCCAGTGTGATTGGTTTTTCTTGTACTTGACGTCTTACATCATGATCGACACCCTAAATTGGTTCCTGGTGTGCTTGTGGTCTCCTTCCTATGGGCACGATCAATTCTCTCACAGTTGCGGCGGCCAAAGTAGAGCCTCACGTCCGGGAAATCGAAGCGCCATAATGGGTACCCCACGAGGTGCTCTGGTGACAAACTACACCCATTTGGAAATAGGAATGTCAGAGCCAGTGAGAGGTTGACAACGTAGAAACATATTCCAGATGTTGGCCATTGTGCGCTTCAAGAAGCACTTGCGAGGTTATTAAATCCACGGAATAGTACCGCCATCACCTCTCTTCTCGCTACCAGCGGAATATAGAAACGTATGATCATCTGAAAGCTTAGTCTTTTTTATGATCTGGCCCCGGCCAAAAAGTGACCTTTCCATGCCAGCAACAACCTTGACATCATGGCCCAAACGACGTAGACCTTCCACGGCATCGGACTCCAAGTCCTCCTCGACTGATACCAATGTAACCGGTGTCGAAACAGGTCCGTCTGAGCCGCGACCGCGATCCAAGTGCACGTATTTTGGATGAGGTGATAGGCAGAGCCGTGGTTTGTCCAAGGAAGCCTGTGGTGACAATTGGAACAATATCAAATTCAGAAAGTGCTGAACGTGTCCAATGGGCTGCATAAAACCTCCCATGTTTCCAAAACTGTAGAGTAAGTCGCCTGTCTTCGAATCAGTTATCATAGACGGAATTATTGTATGATACGGTCTTTTTTTTGGGCCCAAACAATTCTTAGAGCCCTTTGTGAGGTTGAAATTGGCGCCTCTGTTGTGCATTACAAATCCTCCAAAATTTCTTGGAACGATGGCAGATCCGAATTCCACGTATACAGAGTTAATGAAAGATGTGGCATTCCCACCACTGTCGCTGACCGTGAAATAAACAGTGTCCGATTGATTTAAATCCGCATCTGGAACACCATGTTTTATTGCCTTACTGTCCAGTATGCTCGTTTTACTGAACAATTTGCATCTGGACTTGAGATAGCCTTTGGAAAGCAATCTGTGCAGTAAATCTGCGTCTTGGTGATGCGGGTCGGAAACATATTCATCAGCATCATAAAACGCGATTTTCAGGCTTTCTGTGATCAAATGCAAATAGTCTGTGGAATTATGTTTCAACTCGTAAAGATTTACGATACCTTCTTCGTGCAGTTCTTGGATAATCCCAAGTGCAAGCAGAGCCACAAGACCTTGGCTATTTGGGGGTGTCTCCCAGATCCGGTAGCCAAGAAAATCCAGGTAGATAGGGTCAATGAAAGTAGTTTCATGGTCGGCTAGATCGTCGCGCGAAAGCAGGCCGCCTCTACGTGCTACCTCGTCAACAATAGCATCTGCAATTTCTCCAGTATAGAAGCCTTCCTTGCCGTTTTCAGCGACGACGCGGAACACTTTGGCAAGCTGCTTGTTGATCACAAGGTCTCCATCTTTGGGTGGCTGCCCCGGGTTACCCACTGGCGCAAAGCTACTCAACAGCTCTGGTGACTCGATATTTTGACTTTGAAGAGCCTTCCAGCAATTTTGGGTCAAGTTCGCTGAGATCTCACTGATAGGGTGCCCTTTCTCACATAAATCTATTGCCGGCTCCAGTATCTGTTTCAGGGTTACTTTCTTAGAACCCAATCTAGTGAATGCGTCGATCCAGCCAGCAACTGCACCGGGTACAATTACAGCGTGAGCTGAAGAACGGGGCAATCTGCTGTCAGAGTCGCTCACCACCTGATTTTCGATAAGCCATTCACGGGTCAATTTTGAAGGCGCTCTGCCCGTACCGTTCATTCCAATTACCTGTTTAGTCGATGCTTCAAAATGTAAGAGAACACAGTCACCACCTACCCCAGTTGATGCCGGTTCCAAAGCACACAAGCAAGCAGAGACAGCGATGGAGGCATCAATTGAGTTTCCGCCCAGTTCTAATATTTTAATGCCTGCTGCGGCTGCCAATGGTTGTGAGCACGCTACAATACCCTTGAGAGAGTGGACTACCGATGCTCGGCTTGAATTGAACGACATGTTCAGCGAATGACGTTTCTCATTGCAATTAGCGGCTTGACAACTGCTATGCTTCCACTGGCCCTTTTATATATTCACCAATGACTACTCTCTATCTCTTACGTAACCTTGATTTCCAGTGACGACGAGATGACCCGTGAGAAGCGACTGGTTCAATGGCTTATCGCTGAGAACTAATGAGATTAGCTTGTAGTTCAGTTGTCGTTAACGGTATATCAAGGTATCGATCCAATAAGGTCATTCACATTTCGCCCAGAATTCGCTCGAGAGGCTTGGCGTCAAACTTCAACGGTGATTATAAAGCACGCGAAAAAGACGAGATAGCGGTGGGATCAACAATGCGCTGGAGTCGATAGTAGAAATCTTGGGTTTAAGAACTTGGTAACCACGAAATGTAAGTCACGTAGCTGGATTCTTCGAGATAGTAGAGATTCCATCGTAGTCAACGCTCCATAAATAAATGGGTCTTCAAATTGAAGTCCATATCTTAATATTATCGACCATGTCAAAAAATAGCTCATGTATGGTTTAACGCTTCGATGCGCGATCAGTAAAGGTGCTTAGACTTGAGACGATCGATGGCCACTGAAGAGTTGCATTTCTCGCCAATGTAGTTTGTAAGAAACTACTCGTAATCGAGGCAAAAATGAAATAGCTCCACGAGGTATAGGAATCTTGGTCGCTTGTCAAATCAAAATGTCCTCCTCTGGATGAACAAAGCCAACAGAGTTCTGGGCAAAGAGTATGTATTTTTTGATGGCATGGCAGTGTCCAAGCGCACCGCGATTGGGTTGCCAGTAGTAGGCCAATTAAAATGGGATATTGAAGAAAAAGGCTACAAATGCACTCTTTACAACCAAATGTTAGGAGGTATAGTGGCTGCCGCTGATTAATTCAGTCTCAAAAGCGCCAACGCAGCTGTGTTCATGCGCTCTACCCTTGCCATATTTGTGGATTTTTCACAAGGTGCTTTGGAAAAATTGGATGCCCTGGTGGAATTGAAAGAATCACATAGTATATCTTTGCTCCGTGTGCAAAAAATTCAATGAAAAGTCACAAACCGTGAGTGCGGAGAGGTTTTGGCCACTGATCCTTGTCAAATTGTCAATTTAGAGTATACCTGGTGAAGATCTTTGTATGTTGCTCGACGATGGCGGATAGACACACAGCTCAAAGACCATTTACGTTCTTGCTACCTTCAAGAACTGAATACTCTGTCAGAAACGTTAGCAGTGGATGTGAGCTATTTTAATGTTCTGCTGAGAAGATTTTTGACTGTCTTGGTGCTTAAGCAAGTCCTTACCAGTCAATTACTGTGTTCCTACAGACTAATCACCAACTGGACAATTTAGGCTCGTCTTGTTGCAGTGCTCTCTGCTACCGTCAGAATCGGTTCCGATTCTAATTTCCATGCTTAAACTGAGCGACAGACCTCATCGAAACGTTATGTGTTGTTCAACTTGAGTAGTTCTTTGACATCAGGCAAAACAAAACGGCACTCGCTCGGAGGGTCCGGTGCCGTAACAAATGCTCGATGTTTTTTTTTATTTGTATACATCTTATTATTTACTCAAATACAGTACTGAATAGAAACTGTGACGTTAGCCGCCGAAATGAAAAAACCAGCCCGCAGCTCATCCACGCGACCCCCACATGCCATTTCTTTACCTGGGGCTACCGCTGGCCCTATCCACAAGCGTGTCGTCATCCGAGTACTTCATCAGAGTCTTCCTTGTTTTTGTATCTTTTAAGTATGGTTTAGTTATCTATTACATGAGAACGAAATCCAACAAAGGGTTGGGTAATTATCGAAGAAAGAGTCTTGTTTCACTCTAATTAGCGTATTCTGATTTGCCGCGCAGCGTGGGTCCGTACTTGTATAGGAAGAATGGAATCACAGCTAGCCCAACGCAAAAGAATCCCACCAAAGAGGACCCCCAGCCAACAGGGTATTTTTCGCTGCCCAGGTTGTTGTACATGGCTTGACCAAACAAGGGGAAAGCGGAAGCGAAGACCGACCGGCAAAACCCGTTACTGGCGAAAACCGAGGCAAGATAACGTGGGTAACTGATAGCCAGGTATGCAAACGCGGCCTGGAACAGGTTGAAAACGGCTAGCACGAAAAACACTTCTGCAATAACGGGCAGAATCCAGTGCACGCGGGCGGTCCAACCAAACAGGAACAGTGCGAGTGGTAGACACCAACACACAAGCATGGCTAGCGGCAAAAAGTCTTCTGGTCTGAAAGTACCGTTTTTGAACTTGGGTCCGATGTACATCGCTAGGTACATCAGTAGAAGCACATAAGCTATCACACACCCAACACAGAATCCCATGTATGCGAGTCCCATCTCCACCAGCGTGAAGTTGTAGATGCCGATGAAAACAATAGGGAAAGCCTCGAAGAACAGGTAGAAAGCACCGTAGCACAACGCGATGTAAATATCGAAGGCAAGCACGGCAGGTTCCTTCAGCATAACCAAAAAGGGACGTACAAACAGCTCTTTCATGAAAGCGCCAACCTCCACTTGCGAGTCTATGCGTTCTTGGCGGGTGTAGTAGCGGTTATCTCCGGTCTGCTTACGTAGACGCTTGGCACGTCTATGCAGGATATTGTTGTGCTGCGTCTCGGGGAAAAATGCCGTTAGCAGCACTAGCGTGAAGGCACTGATAAAAGTGAGTAACCAGAACACCCAACGCCAGTCCTTAGCGACGACCATGGCGGCTCCCAATAGGGGGGCGATGACAGGCGCCGCTACGGCGCCTACGGCCCAAAGGCCGATAAAGATAGGTACGATTTCGGGGTTGATGATGTCACCCATGGTGGCACCACCGGTGGCAAGAGAAGGCGAGCACACAACACCGGCAATAAACCGGATAACGGCTAGACCGCCCATGTTGCGAACGGTGGCGGAACCTATTTGGAATAGCATGAATAGGAACAATGTGATGATGTATAGCGGCTGACGTCCAATGGTGACGACTTCCGAAAGCGGCGAGAAGATAATGGGGCCAAGACCGTATCCTAACACGTACAACGACAAATTCAGGGTGCCGACAACATGTCCCACATGGAACTCCTTTTGAATCTCTTCTTGTCCCGGCGTGTAAATGGAAGCGCCCATGTATGTGGTGGTTGTAAGCAGCATCATCTGGGCGACAATGAATCCCTTTTTACGGTTGCTCCAGTTGAGCGGGTGTTCCGGGTCCGAGTCACCGTTCCAGTCGACCAGGAACGGGTCAACTTCTTCGGCCTTTTCGAACACTTCATCTTCTTCCGCGGAGCTCGATCTTGACCTTACAGCGGCAACGGCAGCGGGGTCTGCGTTTTGCTCCGCCTCTTCGACAGCTGCCTCCAGGTCGCGTTCCACGGATGTCCTTTCTTTCTTGTCTGACGTCTCAGAGGGCGCGGCGGCAGCCGCGACAGGCTCTTGTTGTACGAAGTTTGAGTCTAGCTTGACTAGACCTGCGTGTTCCAGCACGTCCACCAGGAACGTATTGCGGAAGGAGTCTTTGTATCCCATGGCGAGAGAATGGGATGGTGGATGAATGTATAGATACTTGAAGAAGGTGCTAATAATTGTCTTGACAAACAACGATACGTTACCTCTGTTAAGTGCAGCGAACGCGGTCTACTTATATGCTGAGCCAGCTAGTCTCGAGGGCATCGCAGCATCCCAATGATTTCAAATCTTCAACACGTCAACAACACACATCCGCTTACCAATGGTTGTTACCTGCCAAGGGCAACCAACGCACTAGCGAGAGAATAGTGAATCAACAATTCAGTAGTTCCCAGTAAGCACACACACAGGCAGCGTCGTAGCGAATGTCCATTTTACAGGCGTGGGCGCGCACAGCGATGTCCGTGGAACGCATATGCTCAGACGGAACGCAACAGCAACAGCACGTTACCAGACTTCCGCTTTAGACCCGGTAATTGCCCCCCTACTGGTACCTCTATACGAGGTGGAAAGAGAAAGCTCTGGCACGTGATCGGATGAGGAAGCCGTATGTAAGACGGAGAATTTGTAACCCAGGGTCTTTTCTCCCAGGGTCTATTCATTACAAATATAGCAGGAAGGAGGAGAGAGACAGAGAGGGGGGGAGAAGACGTCGCATTGGCGGTTACAGAAAATAAGTGACCGGAGAAAACACCCGCGGAGTATGCTAAACTTGAGGGGAATCCTTGAATTTGTAATTGACGTATATGTCAGACAAGAACGTTCGCTTTTGTAAGTAAGCGTAATTGTAGCTGTAAGATCGCTTCTCCTTGAGTTCTTTACCATGTTAACCAGTGAGCTTTGCATAAGTCCGCCGAAATCCGGTTTGGTGTTAACGAAAATCAAAACAGTAGCGTGACTCACCCGTGTTGAAAATCAGCCAAAATCCGAGCGGATATGAGCGGAAATATGGGCTGCTGCAGCACAGCTGAATAATTATGAACGTTAGAGAGGGCTTCAGGTATAGTTGAACAATTGAGAGCGTCAGCGATCAGTTGTGAACAGTAGAAATGGCTATTAGCATAGTTGAACAATTAAGAGCGTCAGCGAGGGCTTCAGGTATAGCTGAACAATTAAGAGCGTCAGCGATCAACTGTGTAAAAATCATTGTAAGCATAGCGGAACAACTTAGAGCATCAGCGATCAGTTTGAATATCGGGGGCTTGAGCATTGCTGAACAATTGAGAGCGTCAGCAATCAGTTGTCAATAGTTGATAACGCTATGAGTATAGTTGAAAAATTGAGCGCCAATGCTCTCAATTGGGATTAGAATGATTTTTCGTATAGTGGAACAACTAAGAGCATCAACGATCAAGTGTGAATAATGGGGGTTTGAGCATTGCTAAACAATTGATCCCTGACGCTCTCAATTGTGAACAACCATGATGGCTATCGACACACCGAAACAATTAACAGCATCATCGATCAGTAATGAATCTTTCAAGCACCGTAGTAATCATATCAAAGCCTGCGATGGGCTCCTGACCATCACCACTATGACACTAGTTGGACCAAAAATACGTCATCTTCTGTGTCACTGCTTTTCGCCACAGAACAGCTTTGATCAGCAAAAAGTGCTGTCTGATGAAGCATGGTTGTTTGTATTGAACACCCTGTTGATTAGTATATCATTGACTCAGCCACCAGTGTTCAAAAGCATAATTACCCGAGAGCTCTGTTACCTGTCCCATCCGGTTTTTCGTTTTCATTCTTGGTAGTTTGAGCTGGGACAAATCAGTATGCTTGCAGTATTACTCAAAGTTGATTCAGACTACGCGTGATAAGGTGAATAGTCTGAAGGGAAACAGACCACATTAGGATGGAGGTTACTAATTTAACAAGCATAAAAGTAGGACATTTTGCGAATGATGAGAACCAAATGCTACCCGCTGACGCTGCTCGTGAATCAACCGGTCACTCTTTACGCGCTGAGGTGGCCAGTATTTGAGCAATTGAGGGCGACAGCGATCAATTGAAAATCAAAGTGAAGAATATTAGTATAATTGAGCAATTGAGAACGATAGTGTCAGATGTGAAGCGAAGTGAAGAATATTAGTATAGTTGAACATTTGAGAACGACAGTGATCAGTTGTGAATGTTGTGGGCACTTTATTAACTTAAACTAAACAAGTCAGAGCGCCAGCGATCAGCAACTAGTAGTAATGGTTTTTATTGTTGCTGAAAAATTAAGCGTCAGCGATCAATGGCGAACGCAAGAGAAGGTTTCAACTACATGAAGGCTCAAAGTACAGTTGAACAATTGAGAGCGTGGCGATCAATTGTGAACGTAAGAGAACGTTAAAGCGTGGCGATCAATTGTGAACGTAAGAGAAGGCTTGAAGCGTGGCGATCAATTGTGAACGTAAGAGAAGGCGTCAATTATTTAAAAACTTCAAGTATGGCTGAACAATTGATCGCTGATGCTCTCAATTGTTAACTCAAGAGAGGACCCCAACTATATCAAGCCTTCGAGCATTGGTAAACAATGCAGAATCTGTGGCTACTGAGTAAATCACCATCTACAACCCTCATCACTTTATACGGCTGTGTCACCCACTCTCAGCTCACTCTGTACATTTTATCACGTGTTCAAAACTTGGGGTAATTTTCCCCATCTTTTATTCACGTGACTCCTTTCTTCCTCTTTTTACGTGACTACCCCATCATCATCATCATCATCATCGTCATGTATCTGACACATACACAGGCCCAGTCGGAGTAAATTCAATAAATAGGCAATCACCGCAAAACTATATAAAGAGCAGAACTTCCTGTAAGAAACTCTCCATTTTCCAATCCACTCTTATTCCCACTTTTGAATATCTTATCAGCTACAAGCCTTTCACTCGTAAAACAGGAGGTTTACACTTTTTACACAATTCTTTAAGATGGCAGAAAGATTGACACAGATCAAAGATCATATCGTTTCGGCGGTTTCGCCTTCAGTCACAGATTCTAGACCCGATGATGTGGTTGTGGTGACAGCTTACCGCTCGGCTATCGCCAAAGGCTTCAAAGGCGGGTTCAAAGACGTGAACTCCGATTATCTCGTGTACCAGTTTTTGCTGGAATTTTTGGAAAAGGCTCCGGCTGCTGTGAGAGAAAACAAACATTTAATCGAGGAAGTGGCGTGCGGCAACGTGTTAAACCCAGGAGCAGGCGCCACGGAGCACCGTGCAGCGTGTTTGGCCGCTGGCGTGCCTTACACGGCACCCTTTGTCGCCATCAATAGACAATGTTCTTCAGGGTTGGTCGCCATCAATGACGTAGCCAACAAAATTAAAGTGGGCCAAATCGATATGGGAATTGCCATGGGCGCAGAGTCGATGACAAAAAACTACGGCCCACAAGCGCTCGGTAACGTTTCCCAGGAACTAAAACAGAACAAAAACGCCCGCAAATGCATGATCCCCATGGGGATCACGAACGAAAATGTAACCCAACAGTTCAACATTTCCAGAGAAAATCAAGATGCTTTTGCTGCGGAGTCTTACCGCAAGGCTGAAAATGCTGTCTCCAACGGACTTTTCGAAGATGAGATTATACCTATACGTTTGCCCGACGGTACTGTTATTTCCGTCGATGAAGGTCCTCGCAAGGGCGTCACGGCCGAAAAACTGGGATATTTGAAACCTGCCTTTAACAAAGAATCCGGCACCACTACGGCTGGAAACGCTTCACAAATTTCCGACGGTGTTGCCGCAGTTCTTCTCACGAGGCGCTCTGTAGCAGAGTCCATGGAGCTACCAATCTTGGCCAAATACGTTGCATGCCAAGTGGTTGGTGTTCCGCCAGAAGTTATGGGTGTAGGTCCCGCATATGCTATTCCAAAAGTTTTAAAAGACTGCAAATTAAATGTCAATGACATTGATGTGTTCGAAATCAACGAGGCATTTGCAGGACAGGCTCTTTATTGTATCGACATGCTCAAGATTCCATTTGAGAAAGTAAATCCCAGAGGTGGAGCTATCGCACTGGGGCACCCGCTAGGTTGCACTGGGGCCAGACAAGTTGCTACTATTCTCAGAGAACTAAAGGCTGGCCAGGTCGGCGTGGTTAGTATGTGCGTGGGAACAGGTATGGGTGCTGCCGCAGTTTTCGTTAAGGAGTAGGCTCGGCCTTGTTTTAATTGCACTCTGTTAGGAATTCCTTGTATAGCCGATCTTTTTGTCTGTAATTAGGACTGCTTAGAATAGGCCACTGCGTCAGCAGATAATTGAACTGAGATAACAAATGCTGTTTTCTAGAAGACATTTCATGCGCTTTGCTGTTGAAATTATTGACGAGGTTTACTAGTTCCTGTGCGTATGTTACTTCTTTTCCTTGGTTATCCTTGGGGTCAAGTTTGACCGGCTGCTGAGGATATGTGAAGGGAATAGTTGCCACAAGAGTGTAATGCTCTGAAGTGAAGAAATGAGGCATCACTAGCCCATATGTCGTACTGTTTTTGCTCTTCTTGAAAACTTTGAAGTTTTGTTCACCCAAAACATGCTGAACTCGGCGTATTTCGTCCTTTGCTTCCTTTGACATTCTGGCAGTTTTGCCATTTTTTGAAAAGGCTTTTCCTTTTTCCTGTATATCTGTGAGCTTATCCTTTCCAACAGCTTTTGATGGTCCTGCTATCTTTCTGTCGGCATCCTGTGCATGACGAGAATTCGTCCGACGATTGGTTACTAACGGTTTATCACTAGTTTCTGTCTGATTAACCTGATTTGTCTGTCCTTGATTAGGTTTGTTTGTTCTTCTAGGCTTGCGCCGTCTAGTAGACGGATCTTTGGCTTTTTTAGGCTTCTGGCTGGCCTTGTTCTCCATTCTTCTCTATTGAGCTTCGACTGGGATGGGCCTACAATGCGTACATGATGTGTAAATTGTATTGCATCTTACATTTAATATATATATATATATGTGAGAGTTGCCAGCTGCACCAAATTTATCTTAAGATGACTATAACAAAGACTGGAAAAGAGGAGTAAGTCTCCGCGATCTTATCCAATCTAGCTATTTCGTTATATACATAGTTCAATATTATCTTTGTCAAGAATTTTGGTCTGTTACGCTAATATACTACAAATACGGTCAAAATCTTACCTTTGAGGGTTTATATTTGAACGTCACGAAGTCGAGGCTTGATCGCCAGTATGCTGACCTTGGTAGAATTGGATACTCCAGAGAGTCCGCAACATTTTGGTCAATGAACGTGGCATTTCATTCCTATCCGTGAGGCAACTTTTATGAACGTCGGGTATTGAAAGATCACATTTATACTTTATAAAATTTGGGAGTGTTGTGTTGAATTGGCTGAAAAACGCAGAAATAGTTTCTGAGCTCAACGAACAAAAATTTGGGTATGCGAAGACGAAGTGAACGTACTTGGTTTTTAGGTTTTTATTGTTTTTTTTGGACGCTAGCGACACAGTCATCATACTGATCGACTGTGAAAGACGTCAGGTAACAATAGTTGAGAGAGCAGTCTGTTGTGTTCGCGCAATCGGGAACATACGGAGAGAACCGTGTAGCGTAGTTTTCGTACAACTGGTTGTACTCGACCGATCCGTTAATCTTAGACGCAACTAGATGCCAGTAGGTGGCATTCAGAGGAGCAGTCTCGGGCCACGTGATGTTGTAGCCGTCTCTCGAAGAATATTCAAACTCCCATACAGGTTCCGCTCCATTGTTCGTGAAAGTATCATTCAAACGTGTGTAGTAGTTGTAGGCGTTCATAACCGAGAAAGTCTTCTTGTCCACGGTGTAGTATCTCCACGAAGGGTTGTTGTTCACCCAAGGTGTGACGGCTTGCGATATCCAAGAAGACGCAACGACATTCTCGATGGTCTTGGCGTCATCACCGGGACCAGAGTAAAGGATCTCAAACTGGTCCAAGTGAGTATGTCCAAAAAAGATGTTTGCAATGGTGTAGGGGGAAAATCTTTCTACCACTTCGGCAAACATTTTAGCAGGCAAGGGTAGGGCATCTCCGGAGAACGGTATGTGGGCGATAATCCAAACTCTTTGATCCTTAGACTCACTTTCCACTAGCTCGTTCACCAAAAACTCAAATTGACCAAAAGTGTCGGGTTGAGAAGCGTTCCAGTACGCGTAATGGTTCTTCTTGTACCAGACGTTCGAGTTCAAGGAAATGATTTTCAGACCCATTTTCGTTTCCACAGAAAAGCCAGTATAATGCTTGCGAGCGTACTGCGACTGTTTAGCATCTAGCCAGCCGTAATCTTCCCACAAGTCTGCCATGAGCTCTGCATTCCAGGAGAAGTAGTTGAGAAAGCCGTGATTTTCTTGAGCAAGTTCACCGTAAGGAAATGTGTCGTGATTGCCCATTACTGGATACACAGGGACGTCCCCCAGCTTATTCTTGATATCTCTGAAAACCACCTCTTCGGACTTTACGGTCACATCGTAACTGGTCAAGGAAAGCTCATCGTGGTCCACCAAATCACCAGTGAAAATAGCAAACTCAAAGTCCAAATTGTTTTCGGAACTGAAGTTTGCAATGGAGTTCAAGGACGAGTTGATCAAGATTTCTGGTGCGTCACACTTATAGTTTCCGAAAGTGGTTGCTGGCGACCAGATCGAGTCATTCTTGAATACATCCAGTAGATCACCCTTAACAAAGCTGTTGTCACTGTATGACGAGTCGTAAAAGGAGTTCCAGTCTTTCTGTCCATGTGAAGTAATGTTGGAAAAGGCATTGACTGAACTAGGTGTGCAGCACATACTCAAAGAACAGTTTGCCTCGCCTCCAACCTTGTAGTCCATTTCTATGTGGAAGTCTGAGATGTGCAGGACATTGAAGGTGTCATTGGCCGCTGGAACGGGTGCAATGTTGTGCTTGGCCTCTTTTTTGGGCCATAGGTGTGACAAAGTGACGTTGGGTGTCTTTGGCTTGGGACAAGCCGATTCTTTGTAGTTGCAGTAAAGCTGACCGTCGTAGCCAAACGGATCCATCAGCGATAACATGTCTGCAAAGTTGGTGCCCGTGTAGCTGCTTTTCACGGTATTTCTGCTGAAAGTAGCCAGACATGTCGAATTCGACATGTACTTGGTGCGTTGGCACCACTCTGTGAACACCCGAGGCACCAAGTCAGGGCGCAGAAGCGACAGAGATTTCCCAACCGCCAATCTGGTAACACACTGGTCGCATTTCGAAATGTTTCTGCTTGAATGTGACAATGCTATCAGCTCGTCCACGAATGCCTGTGCAACACTGTTGTCAGAGTACACGGTGCTGTAATCCAAAACCTCGGACAAAACATGGTTCTCTGGGATTACTGGCGACGCCAAAGTCAGGCCCTCGAGGAGCACCAAAATTGTGCTCAGGAGCAATCTCACAAGCATTTTTGCACGCTTCGAAGCTCTTACCTTTTTTCAAATTTAAAGGCTTTTGACGCTGAACAAGTGGATGAGAAAACCAATTATCGAGGCAAACCTCGACTATATATATATATATTCAATATATCTGAATTCAATTACTACAGCGTTGATATGATAATTATATGTAGGCCATCGTGGGTCCGCCCAGCTTCGAGGTTTAGGTTTTCGTTTATGCTGTCGTTCGTGCAGGAGCCCTACGCCTGCAGTTCATAATTCCTATCAATCAATTTAGTTAAAAAAACTATTCCAGTGTTATTTCCGCATAAGTGCACCACAGCTAAATTCCTCGAACACGAGCAAAACAAACCACGTGTCGGAGGATTAGCGACCTTTAATTACGACGGTTCCTCAATTAAAGCCGGTTACTGGCAAGCATTAATCAACGCCGTCCGATTTGTTATTGTCCTAGTTTCTACCGAATTCCGATAATCTCGACAACGGAAAATTAGCCGAAAAAGTATTTTGATTATTTTACATTCTTGGCCTGGTAAAGAGGACGATTGGCGAAGACGGAATATCACAAACAATGATTGTAGATGAATTAATTAGGTTAGAGATGTGGTTGGTAATATGTCGGTAATATGTCGGTAGTATGACCGATGAAGAATGATAAACCCTGGCTTTTTCGATGGACGTATCATTATACACGTATGTGTCGCCCAGAAGGTCATATCCTCCGGGTGTCACACAGTAAGTAATTTCCGCCTAGTGGTGGATAGCGCTCGTCTCTCAGCAAAAGCATATCTAGTCAAAGGAAAAACGAATGGCAAACCGCGGTGTTGGAATGTTAGTTCACAGTTTTTGGGCGGGGAAAAGCTCCTCTTGCCATAGTCTCAAAACCTCGATAATTGTCTGAGTAACTTTCGTCAGCTCCTCTGCGCTGATGACGTATGGTGGCATGATGTAAACTAATCTGTTGAAGGGCCTCACGTAGACTCCCCTGGAAACGAATTGTTGGTGAAACCATGCTGAGTCGACCGGTTGCTTCAGCTCCACGACTCCCACAGCACCGGTGACACGCACGCTTTGGACAACAGAGCTCATGAGATCCGCGTCATTGTTGAGCGCCACGTAGAGTTCTCGTACGAGCTGCGACTCGATATTAATGACCTGCCGGTGCCAATCTCCTCTTAGTAGAATCTCCAACGACTTGTTAGCAGCACTGCAGGCCAACGGATTGCCCATGAATGTTGGCCCGTGCATAAAACACCCTCCAGTTGCACTACCTGAGTGAGAAATAACATCCTTGATGTGTTCAGCAGCGACTACTGCGCTTAAGGTCATATACCCACCAGTCAATGCTTTCCCAACGCATAGAATATCCGGGTACACATCTACTCTCTGCTCGTGTGGGACGCCCATCTTCTCCTGATACGTTTTACAATGGTGGAAAGCAAACATAGCGCCTGTTCTGCCAAATCCAGTTGCTATCTCGTCCATGATCAGCGGAATTTCAAATTTCGTACAAAGCTTTCGCACTTCAATGATGTACTGAGGATGATAAAGTCTCATCCCACCAGCGCCCTGCAAAAGGGGCTCCAATATCACAGCGCATATCTCGTCGCGACGTTCTTCAATGGCTTTGCTGAAATCATCGATGTCGTGTTTGTCCCACTGTACGTTCCCGCCAAAAATCTCGGGCGTCTTTTCAAAGACGTTAGACGTAGGAAGGGTCTCCAGCATGCTAGGTGCAGAAACAAAAATATTTTGAGGTAAACATCCACTGTAGATGGAGTGCATGGAACTCACGGGGTCGCATACGCTCATTGCGCCAAAAGTGTCGCCGTGGTAGCCGTTGCGAATTGTTAAAAACTTACTTTTGCTGGTTTTGTCGCCGCTTCTCGTGAACTCGTATTGCATTGCCATTTTCATTGCCACTTCTACCGCCACAGAACCGGAATCTGCCAGAAAACAGCACTGCAGCTTTTCGTGGTCAACGAGTTTCAGTAGCTTTTGAGACATTTCAATCGCAGGGGCGTGTGTGAGACCTCCGAACATTACATGCGAGACGTTCTTGATTTGAGCTATCATAGCTTCATTTATTTCAGCATTATTGTAGCCGTGGATCATACACCACCATGACGACATTGCCTCAACTAGAGTAACATCCTCGTTATCTTTACTCTTAACATCCAAAGAAATCGTGGCACCAGTTGCAGATTTGACAGGATAAACCGGTAGCGGTCTACTCATGGACGTGTAAGGGTGCCATAGATGATTTTTGTCGTATTCCAGCAGTTCCTGAACTTCTGGTGAATAAGTAAAATCGGTCATTCTTTCTCGGGAGTCAATGCCGGTCATGGTAATAGGGCTTTCTCGTTCATTGAAAACCGATAGTCTTAAGCATTTTTATACCTTCACGGCGTGGTGGCTCATGTTGTGCATTTACCGTGGTAAATTCTTTATCTTTCAGGTGATGAATGTCAAAGCTACGTTGTATGCAGTGATGGTCTTTTAATGAATCATGATGAGACATCTTGGAATGATTCAGTTTTGTTGAACATTACCAACAATCCAGCATAGTCAACACGCCTGCGAACATTTAGCAAGGTTCAAAGAAGCATGTATGCTAGTGACGTTTATATATAAGAGTGGTAGTTTCCTCGCTACTTTGATGGCATTGATCGTCTTGCAACAAAATCAACTTAATATTCAACCATGGCATCGCCAATAGTATTCGTCACTGGCACTGATACAGATATCGGTAAAACATTCACGAGCGCTTTGCTCGCACAGAAATGGAAAGCAAACTACTGGAAACCCGTTCAAACCGGACTTGACAGCGACCCCGGTGACACGAAAACAGTAGCGGGTTTTTGTAAAGACAGGAAGCATATGCCACATTTCTTCAATCCTCGGTACTCGCTCCAAAAACCGTTGTGTCCTCTTGATGCCATGCATTTTGAGCCAGAATATGACATCAAATTGTCGGACTTCTCAGTACCAGAAGAACTTGCCGATCAGCCTTTGATCATAGAAGGAGCCGGTGGTATCTACGTTCCTATTACTAAGAAGTTGGAAATCACTACCCATCTTATCAAAAGACTGCAGGAAACAACTCAAAGGCCAATCAAAATTGTGGTCGTCGCTAGAAGTGGACTGGGAACCTTAAACCACACCTTGCTGACTTTAGAGCACTTAAACCGGGCGGGACTCAAGGATCGGGTAGCAGGATGCATTCTGAACGGTCCGAAGAATCCCCAAAACTCTGCAACGCTAAAAGCCTTCGGAGCAAGTATTTTGGCGGAAGTAGACCACTGTGACAGCGAGAGCGACATCACGGCGGCTATAGCGGAGATCCCTGATCTAGCCACCCTTTTCCAATAATGATTGCAAGCATGGGCAGTGTCTCGGCAGGTTCATATGGTCAAGGACCTTGGATGACTTGAAATGCGAGGAAAGACTAAATTGATAACGTCTACGAAATTTTATTCGGTACAAGACCTTAATACTGAAATTATCGTGTTTTAAAGGCGGCCTGAACAAAAGCGTCGAGAATCAAGAGATGCTTTTCAAAGAATTGCCAGCCGAACACGATTTGGACTCCTGCGGGCCTTGGCGGTTACTTAATCATCCGAAAAACCTTCTAGCAAAGTGTACAGTGTGATATATACAAGACGCTTATCCCAAGCCTGCGGAGTTCCGTACGTGTACCGTGTTTTAAAGACCCAGGCGTATCAGCTTCAGTGCTGCAGTATTTATTATTGTAATCAATTTCGGCCTAAAGAATTCACATCAATGTGAGAAATTCCAATGTTTTAAGCACCAAGAGAAGTATTGAAGCTTCATTTCTCTGGCTTCAGTTTCGAGGAGAAATATTCACTTAGGAATATTCCCTCTCTCGGGTTTCGGTAGCTAGGTGGGTTAGGTTTCAATACTTATTAGAGCACAATGTTCAAATTCGAAGTTCATAACTAAGCAGCTTCAGAAGCTAGCCCAGAAATCTACATGGTTAAAGACTATCCCCCGATGTCGTACCTGGAATTTGCTGAACAGGAAAGCAACTCACGAGTGCTAAATTGGAAGCCTGCAAAGAGCAATATCCGTGAGCTTCTGTTACAATTGCAAGTCGCAGCACGGAATTCAACAAGTTCTCAAGGCTGGCTTGATTGTTGATTCCTACGTCAGTTTGGGCTGTCCGATCGTGAACCCTATAAAACGCCATAATGCGTCAAATTTAGCGACTATGAAGTTGACTATGCTTCTCACGTTATGTCACGTGCTCTGTACTAGGTTCTTCGAGATGATGGTGCTCTTCGCTTCACATTCCACTATGTGAAAAGAGATGATATTTACAATAATGTAGATCAACTTTACTGACACTAACACACAAGAAAGTACTAACATTTTGTTAATTCACCTTGCAGCTGGACTGTACGTGCTCAAAAAGGCTTGATCTACGTTTATGGATGGAGAAAACGTGGACCTCTGGAAGAAACCGCATAAATATGATACCAGATCAATATCTTTGGACGATGCGATCAATCGCACGGACGCTTTGCGAGACCATGGAGTTATTTGTGCCGATAACACTGCAGCACTAGGTCTCAGTTTGGTCGGGGTTGGACTAACCGAAAGGTCTAAAAGATCAGGGCCTGGACCTTACGTTTCAAAAGCTCGAAATTTCTCCACAAATGACGTTGGCAAAGCTAGCATTAAACGTCCTAACTCTTACAGAGGAATTGGCGAAAGTGACCACGGCGGGCAAGCCTCAACCAATCATTCAAAGCTTCTACCCAGCAAAGAGGTTGTGGATGAGAGTTTTAATCAGTTATTAAAAAGTAGATCTTTCTTTTGGGGCACTGCCAGATCAGGTCTACTCAGTCTCAGTCATGAGCGTAAATGGCAACTCGTTTGCAAAGAACGGCGCTTGCAGGAAGAAAGTGGGACTGAAAAAAAGAGCAAATCCACGGGCGATGACATGCTCATCGATGCGCTAAAGTCAAAAGCGTATCCGCGGAAGCTCGTGGCTGACAACCTGTACGAAGTAGAAAGACTTCTTCGAAGAACTGACATCTGCGAATGGTTTTTAGAAAACGAAGGGACACAACAGCTGGTAGAAGCTGGCGATTCGCTTCGACTTGACGACATATACGTCTACCTTCGATGTTTTAAGACGTTGACCAACCACAAGAGTGGGAGATTAGCAGTGGCAGGAAATGAAAGATTCATCGAGTTTCTATGCAGCACTCTTGTACAGGAGAATGTTCATCTTCGAGTCAACCTCCTGAGTGCTGAGCTTTTACTGCTGCTGACTTTTGTAGAGGCTCATGATTGCTGCAATAATGTTTCTAAGCATTTAGAAAGCCGATATTCTCAGTGGTTTACATTTCTTGAGTCTTTACTCGATGGTAGTACTTCGGCGGACGAACAAACGACTCTACTTTTACCGGCGCTAAAACCGCAACAAATACTGCAGAATTACTGCTTAACTTCAGCCTTCCTCATAAACTCAGTTTTGCAGGTGGCCCCATCAAACGGAGAAAAGCTGAGACTCATCAAAGCATTCCAGGAGCTCAGATTGCATCGCGTATTTCATCTCATGACGAAGTTGGAGTATCAAGATTTAACCAATGAAATTGACAAATACAAATCAAACGAGGAACGGATTATCTCTGAGGCCAATCCAGCCCTGCCCGATCTCCTTGACATTTCGTATGGCCAACACTTGAACTCGATTGTTGAGCAAAGTCGAAACAATCCCTTGGAACACTCAGTGCACCAAGTATTTGAAAGTTTATCCCAGACCATAATGTCACGTACGATGTCAGATAGCTTGAAGGCACTCAAGCTATTTTGCTCGGTCTTGAACTACCTGAAAGACTATACTTATGGAGAGGATAACATGAACATCGACTCGGTAATAAATTTATCGCTCAACCAATTAGTGGACAACCTTCAATCAGATGAGATAGCTCAACGAGCTCTAGATGAATTGACATCTGTGCAAAAAAATCTTGAAAGCCTAGAGTTGGAAAATGACGCTTTGCGCCAAGAAAAAAATGTATCGAAGGCAAGTATAATGGTAGAACTGCAAAGAACCAAAGATGAGCTAGCTACAAAGCTAAAACACATTGAATCTTTAAGAGAAGAATTGGAACTGAGCAACAGGCAGAGGATTCAGGATAAAACGCTATTCGATAGGTCTCTTGCTAATAAGAGGTCAGTACCGCCCTCAAGGGCGGCTACGTTGAGCGCATTCGATCATATCAAGTTGAAATCGAAGAAGGACAATATTCCAAAACTTACACGCAATTGCTCGCTGTCCAAAAGTAGCAGATTTACGTCTCTGTCGGATTTGGTCAAAACCTTCGATAGCGACAGGGAACTGAGCCTGTCCAAGCGAGGTACCACGGCGGCCAACTCTGACGCTCCGTTTAACAACTCGGATGAGGAAACACACATTAATTTTGAGCGACCTTCTCAAAACATGGTAAACATGGACAAAAAGAAGAATGGTGAAGTCGCTACAGATGACGTTGTTGGTCGTAAAGGTTTTGGTTTAACAAAGCTGGCCATGGACCGAAGAACTGGTTCTGGATTTTTGTCTGCCACGCCTCCCATTATCGGGCCTGCGCCAGATCATCAAGGTGATATCACCAGAAAACCTGCACAGAGTGTATTTGATCGCAGAGAAATAAACCGTGGAGAGATGAAAAACTCATTAAACGAGGGGCACACCAGGATTAATGAAACAGCCTCTGAAAATGCTCAATTCTTGCCGCCAAGACAAATAATCGATGCCAGTTTCAAGCAAACAGTGCCCCCACCTCCTCCCCCACCATTACCACAAACGTTGCTTGGTCTCAAGCCGTCGGACATACAAGGTAGTTTAACAGGCGCGGTTGTACCGGCAAGCCTATCGACCAAAACTGTTCCTGGCCCGCCGCCGCCACCTCCGCCACCACCTCCCCCTCTGCCGAGTTTTCCCAATAGAGGAGCGGACAGCTTACCAATTTTACCATCGAACGATAAATCTAAAGAATCCCAAGCTACCAATAGTCCACCCGCAGCTCCACCGGCTCCCTCAAGCTTATCTCTTCTCATGTCATCGAGGCCTACCGAAAATTCAAAACCCCAGGTTCAATTGAAACAAATACATTGGGAGAAAATAGAAAATGTCACCGACACAATTTGGAACCAAGAGGATGGTCGGCAAGATGTTGCTTTCCATTTGAAAAATACTGGTATTTTTGATGAGATCAGTGAGTTATTTGAAGTCAAGAAGGCCAATGCCATGAAGGCGAGAACGGTCAGCTCGAGTGCCAAGGGCAAAATATCAATACTGGCAAGAGACCTCGCACAGCAATTTGGTATCAATTTGCATATGTTCTCAAATTTGTCGGTGGAGGATTTTGTTCTTAAAGTGCTGCATTGTGATCGAGAGGTGATCAACAACCAAAGTGTGTTGGAGTTTTTCGCTCGAGAAGATCTGAGTAACATCCCTCACAGCACGGCGATTAAATTTGAGCCATACGCTACAAATTATGAAATTAAAAAGAACCCAACTCTTGACAGCGGAAAACTGGAACGTGCTGACCGCATCTTCTTGGAACTTTGCTTCAATCTGAAAAGTTACTGGAATAGTCGCTCCGCATGTCTTTTGACCCTAGCAGTTTACGAAAAGGATTATTTCGACATAATGTACAAGCTGCAAAGGGTTGACGACGCTGTGAATGCGTTAAAATCATCAAAAAAATTACAAGAGGCTTTAATGGTGATTGTAGAAATCGGCAACCACATGAACCGCAAGCAGGCTCCTGGAATTAAAATCAGCTCTTTACAAAAGCTGGCTTTTGTCAAGTCGAGTGCGGACAGCCATACCTCGCTGTTGCATGTCGTGGAAAGGGTTTTACGAGAAAAATGCAGGGACGCTTATGGATTTGTGACTGATTTGACCAAAGTGACGGATCTGGGCAACCTTGTGGTAGGCCAGATTGAGCAAGACTGCCAAGAGTATTTGAAGCGCATCACGTCGATGAAACAGTCCTTGGAAAAAGGGCGACTTTCTGATCCCAAAGTTTTACATCCGGAGGACCGGCTTTTGGTGAAAGTAGGGTCGAAAGTGGAGACCGCGACGCGGAAATCGAACCTGTTGCGAAATCAGTGTGCGCTTACAATGCGCGGGCTTGAAAACCTGATGAAACTGTACGGAGAAGACGGTCGGAACGCAGACTCCAAAAACGAGTTTTTACATCATTTTGCAAGATTCGTGCAGCAGTTCAAGAAGGCTGCCAAGGACAACCTAGAGAAGGAAGAGATGGAGCGTGTTTACAGACAGCGTACCGAGTTTTTGCAGAATAAAAACGCAAGCGCCGGTGGTACAAGTGAGGAGGGACCGCTGTCGTCCGTAGAGCAAGAACAGGACGACACAGTGGATGTTCTTATTAAAAGACTTCGGGGCTTGAGCAATAAGGAAGAGCGATTATCTTCAACATCGAAACGGAAGTCCGATGATCGCCAACTCTGGGTCAGGACCAAAGATGTGCTAAGTAGCATTCAAAAGATTTGAGAAATGGTGTTTATGTGTGGGTGGAGAGGTGTATGGGTTCTGTTGGTGTGTGGGTGTTTGGGTGACTGGGTGGAGTGTTTAACTCACCACCCACACATCCCTGGTACCACGTGGTTGATTATGTCATCGCTTTTTCTTACTTTCTTCAATTTTTCTTTTTTTGGATTATTATCATTGTTCTGGCCCAAATCCGTGCAGCGATCATTTTTTTGCCAAATTCCCTTTCAAAACGACAAGCCGCACGGAGATTTTCACAACAATTACACTCTGGTACCATACGCCAATGTTTCGAGAAGACCTCTCACTATCAAAACATCGCTTGAAGATAACAACGTTCGAGGATTTGGTTGAAAACCTTAAATCGCTACGCACGAATAGCGAATTCTTCTTGGCTTTCTCTCCCGAAAACGAAAATTGGTGGAAAAGCTAAAGAAAGAGAGAAATAGAAATAGAAAATCTAACGGGCCGACTTGGAAGGTAAAAGTAAGTTAGAATAACGAAAGAACGGTTCGATAATTACTTTAGGAAGATTAATTGGGACTAAAGTAACCAGAGTTTCAAAAACCGTTGGGAAAAATAGAAGTGGGCCTCTTTTTTTTTCGGTTAGCTTTCCTCGACAGAAGACAGTCTTGATCCTACAGTTTTAGTGCGTTCGGTTATTCCGCTGGTAGCTTTCGTTGTTGACTCTCTAACTTAATGGTGGACGGGGTTTCAGTAGCGGTGGGATGTGCAGTGGGCATCCCGTGCGGTATAGCAGTGGTAGTGGCCGTGGCGTTCTGGTTGCTGATGCAGAGACGGTTCCGGAAAGAAAGAGAAGAAGACGCTGAATCAGTGGGCGGAGATGGAGCCATCAGTTTCACAAATATGGAAGCGTTGCGGGAGAAGAAGATTGAAGAGCAAGACCTGGAAAAGTCAGAGGCAGTCCAGCACGCTGCAGAGGGCTCGTCGTCGTCAGATCTAACACACACGCTCGAAAGCAGCACCGCGGGAGGAGGAGGAAGTGCTGCCGGCTCTACACCCGCCAACAACGGCAAATTCAGAAAATGGGGGTTCAAAACCGATTCCGCAGCAAAACCAAGCAGAAGAAATACGTATATGCCGGCATATCGTAAAAAACTCAACTCGTCAATCGGTTCCCTACACCAGGGCTCGGACTCGGGCAGCACTAGACCCCAAGACGGCCTTCGCACTCCAAATGACAGCTCCTCGACGTCCCTTGGTGACATGAAACCCAGCAACAACGCGTCGTCCGCTAATGAACCAACGGTTCTAGACCAGATGATCCCAGTATTGGCTCATCGCGACACATCTGACTCTGCTCTGGCCACGCGGTCAGATTTCAGTCTCACACATGACAAACACTCCAGTAACGACAATCTCATCAAAAATCTACAAACCCACGATTTCGGATCATATCCGAGGAGAAGATCCTCGGTGAATCTGAACAGCATGGCTTCCGCCAACATTTCCACTTCTTCGGTCGCCACCCGGTCGTCCTCGACACATTCGCATGCCAAAGGTTCCGAAAACGTGTTTGGAACTCCCACCAGTAATAAGACTGGTAATGGCGTACCGGAACAATCAAAGGAACTACGCGATGACCAATCCGCCATCGATCTTGCTGAAAATGGCTTGGTAGACGACAAACGAGACTACTACATGCTAAGGAACAATTACGATGTCAAAAATGGCGGTGAAATTGCAGAAGAGGATCAATACGAGAATGAATTCACAAACTACTCTGAAAGTAAGCGAGAGTTCATCAATAGCTTGAAACCTCGAAAGCATTGATTGGGGGTATGTCTTTTTCATAAGAACCAACATCCCGCGCCGATACTATTGGCTCGCCCGTCCTGGTTCGTGGGATAAACTTCCTCTTTATGGGATAAAAAATGGGCACGCAACGCATATTTAGCAATTGTATTCTATTTACATGATGATCGTCGAAAACCGCTTTACAAGCTTCTAGTTCCTTCCTCGCTTAAGAGGTCAATTTTCTTCTCGCCCACCGTCACGCTCCAGTCGTGGATCAAAAATTCTTGGTGCTTGTTTTCTCTGTCCGCTACCAATTTGACAACTCCCTGTACGTTTTTAGAGCCCTTGATGTAGAACGAGATGTTGACCTTTCCGGCAACCTGGTTCAAGTCTCCGAAAACCCAAGGCACCAGACCATCGAAATCAATGCTGTCTCCCAACAGATCTCTTATAGCCTGTGATCTACGCATGTGGTACAGCGAATTGGAAACGATGGGAGACTGCGTTTTTTCGTAGTTGAAGATGCATGCCAACGACACACCGATGGCCACGGCAAAAAGCCCCAATTGTACACGGTTTTTCACTCTGTCCTTTGTGGGGTCTGGAAGTTCTCTTTCGATACGTAGCGGCTTAGTTTTGTCCTTCAGCACAATTGGTTCTACGGCCTCTTGAGAAGAAGCCCCACTATTGGCTTTGGCTGAAAGACTGCGATATAGGACAGGAAAGAGTCGAGGTTGACTACCGATTTTTCTTACACCTCCGCCAACGACTTGTTTCAACATCTTGATAAAAGTACGTGGATTTCGATTTTTGACCCAAACAATTGATAAAGCTTTAAATCGTCAACTTCTGGTTCATTCACGTTTGTAGCTAGTTCGTTTCTGGTCAATATTCTTAGATTCTAGTTATATTAGAAATTTTTGACGTCTTCCTATATAGATGAAATATATCTAAATATTCACTACTCTCTAGTCGAATAGTTTAAGAATCCTTTGCTCAAAAAACTTTAACAACTGAAGTCGATAAAATCGATTGAACAATCAAGATGACACTTGTAAGTTAATTTAGGCCTTTGCCGAATTTTGCTACTCTGAGTTTTTAGAATAGGTTTTACCCGTTCGGTATTTGTATAGATACTAACTAGCAATTGTGAAATTTGACAGATCGGCAAAGCGGTTCACTTTTCAATCGATCTGACTCTTCTCTCCGTGTGTCTTGCCGGGGTTAAGAGAAATACTGGTTTGACGCCGAAACTCGAGACGATCGAAGATTCCCACGTCAGAAAATATGCGCTCAAATACCTCAACCTAGGAGAATCTTGTTATGACTACACAGTCGCCTATTTGGGTTCTTCCCAGTATTTCGCCAGAAAGTAAGAATTTGAATGCACATTTCCAGGTCGTTTAATGTTGTCCAGTGTCATCTAACAGAACTTTGCTGATCCTACCCATCTTTCTCTCTCTCTTCTCTTTTGTTTGCTGCTCTCCGGTGCTATGAGGTTTGTCTACTAAGTCTTAATTTCAATATTCTGCTTCATCGATATGTGCTATATTTACGCTTCCGACTCGTGGGTTGTGGTCAGCTAGGGTTGAAAGGCAGACCCCGGTGTACCGACTCAGGATTATTGGTGTAGTTGCTTCGCGGTACTGCTGTGTCTGGTATTTTTGGCATCTTGGGGCTCTTTCCATCGTTCCTTACCCGTGTCGAATCAGCTTGTTCCTCGTAAAAGTTGTAGAGGTAATCGTACTCATCGAGCGGACCTTCATGACCGGACTTGTGTGAGCTCGAAGAGGGTACCGCTGCAAGCGAACGCAAGCTTTCCCAGAAATCCAAATCTTCTTCCTCTAACGTACCGGACACTGTATTGTTTGTACCGCCTTCAACATCCTTAGGTGTCGCACCACTGGAGCGATATCGATCCAATGGAGTGTTTTCATCCCAAACCAGCTCTCTTCTCTTTTTTCTAACCTTGTGCCTGTATTGTGGAGAAGTTGAACTTTCACTTGCCGGCCGTACCATACCGCGATTCTTAGCAAGTGAAGACGAACTCAGATGTGGTTTCATTGTGGGCGGTAGGTAATTGAAATGATACTGTCTATGTGGCGGAATCTCCTCCATTTCTGCCCCTGGAGTGGAACGCGACCCAATCGAGCTGCCGTTCCCAGGCTTCTGATGGTAAGCAGATAGGACAGAATACTGCTGAGATGAAGGATGACCAGTCGCTAACGGATCCGACTCCTGGTCAAACACAAGACCTGAAAAATTAGGCGATCTGCCCAGAAAATCAGTTTCGAAAGGACGAGTATTGTGTGACTTTTGAGCCCTCGCCTCACTGATACCATATGGTGGCATACCGCCGAGAAGCTCGTCAGTAAATGAAAGGCCTGGGACCTCTCCTGGATGATGGCCGGATCCAAAATTATTGTGAATATGTTGATGAATGGATATTGTCAGCGAGCTTTGTCGCGCCTGTTGTATAAGTTCCTGAACGAGTTCCGAATTTGATATCAAACCACCAGAAACTGATCTTCCCATTCCATCAGAAAGTGAATAGCCCCAATCTATTCTTGAAGATTGGGGTCTCCTCTTGTATGTAGATGTCTTTCTAATTTTTTGATCAGCCGTCGACGCTTCGGGAGGTGAATGAGCTAACCCTGTCCTTTTATCTTGAGTAATTTGTTGCTGGTGTATATCCTCTGGCGAGTAAGTTGAGGTAGGTTGAGTGCCATTGTTTGCTGATTGTCCGACTTGCGGTCGTTCGGTAAATGGAGATGTCTGTGCTTGAAGGGGACTTAAGTTCTCCTCTTCCTCTAAGGCCGGTTTTTGGACATGATTATGCTGTTGTGTTGGGTTGGTGTGCGTTGGCCAGTCTTCTTTTTCAGGCGAATCCAACTCTGATTGGGAATTAGACGAAGAGTCATTCGAGGAGACAGGGTGCAGAAGCTCCAGTGGCTTTTCAGAACATTCATTACTGTTTTTTACGTTCTCACCATCCGGAGGCAATTGTTCGTCTTTCATTTCTTCCAGTTTTACTCGCAGACTTTCCCTTAGCTCGTCTAACGATTGATGAGGTTCACTTTGGGATGTTCCTTGGACCGCTTTAGTGATTTCTTCCGACGCTTTCCCGCGCATTATCATTGTGATGATCTTTCTCCATCTGTTGCGACAAGTGAGGCTTGGACGTGACTCCATTTCAAGTGAAATTTTGCGCCAACTAGTCCCGTACTGTTTAACTTTACTGATTAGCGCCAAGTCTTCCTCTAGTCTCCAGTCTCGCAGCCTGTCCTTAGTGCTTGGATCCAACACTTCAATGTATCGTTTCGCACATTGATCTTCGGTCCTTCCTGGTATTTCAGATGATACTTTGAGCCAGTGGGGCCCCCACTGGGCGAATGATCGCATCAAAAGCTCGTCCTCTTTCACGGTCCATTTTCCCTTGCGTAAGTTCGGATCTAGTGAGCTCACCCATCTTTTTCTGATGTCCTTTGGTTTCCGTACGGTTCTGTCGAAATGAGTTGCAATCTCATCCCATGGCATATTCTTGCATACTTCATTAGATTGCTGGATTGTTTTCATCGAATCAATCCCATTTTCAAACCCAAATCGCACGAGATGCTTATTGACACAGCTTCTCAGTAGATCATCTTCTTCTTTGCTCCAGGGCTTACGAGCTTTCAGCCTGTGAGTTTGATACCCAAGGCTTCTGGTTACATCCAAGGGATCGATTTTTAAGTTTTTAGTTTTGCCAAGAGCCTGGTTCTTGACCATTTGGGTTCACTCTTGAGCTTTACCGAAACTATCAAACGTCACACAATACTGAATGTAGTGGGACTTGTAGAGTTGCGGTTGGTAGGCTTGCTCATCGCATCGTCAAGCTCATCTCAGTGACGTTTAATTTTCAGTATTATAGATAGATATCGCCTTACACGAGTTGTGCTTATCGAATAAAGTTACCCAAAACTTTAAAAAAGCACGGCATGCACCGCAAAGATATGACCAGATCTCTCATCAATATTTCGCGACCCAGCAATTGATAAACGCCATGTCTTTCCGAGCCCTTTTCTTTCAGACTAGAGAAATATCCATTCATTACGTTGTGATCCTAACCACGTGACGTAATGACAGCGACAGGATTTGACAATGTAGTCAAGAAACCTGAATAGCTGTGGGTACACGAACTACAAGCACATATGCGAGGTAGCCACACATACGTTCAGATCAGTCAAAATAATAATGCATAAGTGTTACATCCTTTTTTTTTTCTGATTCGAGAAAGATGAAAAATCCAAGAATCGTAGGCGTGGTTTGACCAAACTACCAAATCTTCTTTTAAACATCAAATTTTTCACGAAGAGTTACAACCATAGGCTACATGAACAAAAAGTAGTATCTCGCAAACATTTGTAACATTACAAAGTGCTTAGAACGGTGGTAGTACTCAAGCCACTCCTACGACTCAACCTGGCCCGTACATGGAGTGAAAAAAAACGATTATGTGTTACTGGCTAATTCCAAGTGTGAATGCCAGCTCCACAACCACCACGACCATCACCACCTTCTGTTGAGGACAGAACGACACTTACTGCCAAAGTGACACCAAGTCGCTCTTCACGAAATCTTCCTATTTTTATAGTGATGAGATCCATATCATTAATAGAAGCATGCATACCCTGGCTGAGCGTAACTCAACCATTAACCATATCTTCGCTATCAATCCTCAGGCTTCTAACTGTGCATCCGTATATCCCAATCCAGGTAACTGGGTATAAATTATACATCGGATGGCAAGTCTCCTTACTCCAGAGTATTCTGATGAGCTGCTACAATTCGTCACTGAAGTGTACACGCAGGATATAGCACACTATTTCCCCAAGTTAAGACTCGAAAAACTGATAAATCTGCTGGAACATGCTGAATATCTGTTCGAGTCCTATCGACAGTCTTTACAAAATAACCAGAAAGACGATTTACTCACTGCGTATGTTGTGGGCTGCTTTTACATTTACTTGATCATACCGCGGTCAATTCAGTTCAATTCCCGGGACAAATCGTATGCCATATATGCGGATCTAAAAAAGTACTATCAGGACGAGACTCATATGACAAATGTTTTATTGATGGTCACAAGTGTGATAGACACGATGAGCAAAGATGAGCACGAGATTGATCGAATAGATCGTAAAAGGGCCTACTCAGTCCCCCGCATAACTACCACCGAGAGATTGCGGCAAATCGCACTTAATGAAGAACAATCGATTTCTCCGAACAATCCAGAACCTGAAAATGACTCCACAATGTGGACAGCACCGGATCTTGAACCAAATGATCATCTGAAAGTAAACCTGGGTTCTCTGAGCTCATCTGCGTCCCTCATGGCAGATCAAATTTTCAGTAAAGCGCTGTCTTCTTCGTCAGACGAGTATGACCCTCTTGTCGCGGCTACCAGCTCAGAATTGAGAAATCGAAGGGGATCCGCTCCATCTAAATCGACTTTGAAGCTAGAAGTGGAAAAGAACTTTGGCGAAGGAATTCATTCCCAGGGCGTCGATCGCTACAAGACACATAGAAAGGACTCATACCATTCAGTGCACATGGGTGGTGATGATTACGACAGTTTTTCGTTCAACCTTGCGAGATTGCAAAAACAAGCTGTTATAAGTTGTGACCAACTATTTGACATTCTTTCAAGTAGCGAGAAAAATGACCTTCTCTTGGTGGATTTGAGACTCGCGAGGAGATTTCAGTCTAATCATATTATTGCTCCGAGCTTAGTGAATATAGATCCGAAGGATTTATGGAATAAGAACGCTGACACTACAATAGACAACAGCACCCAAATTCAACCTCTTGCGGGCAAAACATTTTTCCAGAGAAGGTCTGAATACAAGCGCATCATATACTACACCGATATGAAAACCTTTATGCGCCTAAATTTCGACTACCAATTGGTGTTTTTCCAGCTAATCTACAACTCAGGCAAGACACTACAATGTGTACCTCAAGTCTTACTAGGTGGCTACGAGCAGTGGAAACGTTTTGTAACGAAGATATCCCAAACTCGTCCAATTCGTAAAGAAGACTTTCTACTCAATTTTGTCAAAAGCGAGGCTCTTCAAACGAGCGAGAAGACGCATGGGACTCCGCCTCCACAATTTGCTCCCCCATCGGTACCTCCACCACCTATACCGATGGAGGTTGATACAGGTGGGCTGCGCGAGTCTTACGACCGCCCACCGTTTCCGCTTCCACCTAAAGAACCTCTTCATCGGGAACCATATATGGGAAGACCGCACACAGAGTTCCAAAAGCCGAAAAACTTGGCACTCGTTCCTCAGCATCAGCACCAGCATCAGCATCAGCATCATCATCATCAGCATCATCACCAGAACGTCGCCCATGACCCCTCCTCTTTTATTCCAACGATTGAAGAAAGCACAAATGAATATGTCGCCCTATCAATCACCGGGCTTCGAAACTCGGGTAATACTTGTTACATCAACAGCATGCTCCAATGCCTTTTTGCGACTAAGCCTTTTAGAGATCTATTCTTATCCAGTGGTTACGAGAAATATTTCTCTTCCAAGTATCGGAATCCAAATCAACTGTCAAAATATTTCCACCTTCTTTTCAAGAAGATGTATTTAAATGGTGGTTGTTCCGTTGTTCCCTCTGGATTCCTAAAGGCTTGCAATGCACTTCGCCCGGATCTGAAAATTCCACACGATCAACAAGATACGCAGGAGTTTCTGTTGTTTTTATTGAGTCAGCTTCACGACGAATTGTCTGAATCCAACTACGTTGCGATTGACTATCCTGAACTTGTGCTCCATGATGACAATAAATTACAAGTAGACGGGAATGAATACGACAGCTGGTATGATAAACATCTCTCGGCAAATGGTATTTCTCCCATCGATAGTATCTTTCAAGGCCAAATTGAAAACGGGTTGTTATGTCAACGCTGCGGCCACACCTCGTATAACTATTCGGTTTTCTACGTTTTGTCATTACCCATCCCTGGAAAGTCATCGACTTTCGGCCAAAAGAAGAAAATCAGACTGGAGGACTGCATCAATCTTTACACAAGCGATGAGCAGTTAACAAACGAAAATGCATGGGACTGTCCGAATTGCGGAAGCTCTGTTTCTGGTCAAGGTCCTGACGATGACAGGAGAAAAAAGAAGTTTTTGCTATCTCCAGATGGCCGTGGCAGTAGCCGAAGCAACTTTTTCAAGTTGCGCACTAAGTCAAGAAGCAGATCGATGTCTCCGTTTGGAAAACAGAGCACGAAAACAGCGTCCAACCCAAAGGAGTGGAAGCAGAAGAAGCTTACGTCGATAAAAACGCTCAACTTCATTTCTCTACCCTTCGTTCTTACAATCCATTTGTCAAGGTTTTATTATGATCTTACGAAAAAGAATGACAAAGTTATCACCTATCCGCTGAGGCTAGGTATTGTATTAAAAAATGGTGAAGTGGTCAATTACAGACTTTATGCCATTGCTAATCATTTCGGTAATCTGATTAGTGGACATTACACATCACTGGTCAACAAGGACCTGACACATGAGCTGAACAATGGTAATCAAAAATGGTATTATTTTGACGACGAAGTTGTGAAAAGAGACACAAACCATGGAGATATCGATGCAGGCATTACAAGTGTCTCCAGTGGCGATGTCTACGTTTTGTTTTACGAGAGAATAAAGGAATGAACTGCGTGAGGAAGCGATTTAATCGGCAGATTCTGATAAAGAGCTTCATATTACTCAATAGATTTGATCAAAATGATTATCATGGATAAAGAAGGCGTCGCTGTTTCAATAGCATCCAGCTTTTGATTTTGGTGTAAACGTTGTTATTATCGTTAAATTGTCATCATCACAGGAATATTTACTGACTCTGCTATTATATATAACGCAGCTATCATTACATTATTACTCAAGAGCTCGCGCTAAACACCAAAAGTCTTGATGAAATCGGAGGATCTTTGTCTCTCAGCTTGTCTTCTGTCCTCGTCCCATCCTAGTTCATCTCCCATGACGCTCACGGTCCCGTCGACCGCTTCTAATGCCTGTCTTGCATCCAGAAATCCGAATCTTGTTCTTCTCATCAAAAAGTCCAAGGCTGTTCTTGTATACTCGAACTGAAGACTGTATTTCAATTCGCCAATGGTGAATGGGTAACGGAACGAGTCGAAGTTTACGTTCTTGAAGACAGAGACTGTTTCTCTACCCCCGAAAGTGACAGGTAATTGGTTTCTCTCATCTTTTTGAAACATTTCACAAATTATTGGAGCACGAGTTCCGTAGTTGTTTGCTAGATGTTCCGCCATCTTGCTTGAAAGGTGGTATTTTTGAGCAAGCAAGGCAACAAAATTAGGATCCCAGCCTTCGGCCCCTGCAAGTTTAATTTTTTTAGTGACACAAGGCTTTGCTTGGAAATGGCCAACTTTGACAACTTCATCAATAGTCTCTTCTGCCATTTCTCTATAAGTAGTCCATTTACCACCTGCGATTGTCACAAGGCCATTATCGGAAGTGAATAGAAAATGGTTTCTAACGAGACCTTGAGTGGAGTTCACGTCATCGGTTTCTTTCAAAGTCCTAGGGTCTCTGACTAGTGGTCTGATACCTGCCCATGCACTCATAACGTCGTCCCGCTTCACAGGAAACTTAATGTAATGTTGCAATTCTTTCAAGATATCTTGGATATCCGCTTCAGCAGCGGTTGGGTTTTCGGGAACTTGTTTCATTGGGATATCGGTGGTACCGGCAAGAACTTTGCCCTGCCATGGCAGAAAGAACATAACTCTGCCATCTGAGGTCTTTGCATCTAGTAAACCAATATCTTTTGGGCAGTAGAATGAGGGCAATACAATGTGAACACCGGCAGATGGAACAACCATTCGAGGGTTCGAAACAGCAATACGGGAACCAATGGAATCATGACCTTCGTTAGCAAATTGGACCAAATCGTTTCTGGGTAGCCCGTCTTTCGAGTTATCCATTTGCAGTAGACGATCACTGAAGGGACCAGTTGCATTTACAACAACTTTGGCCTTAATGCTAAACTCCTTTCCGCTCTCACGGTCGCGCGCCATGGCACCCTCGATATGACCTGTTTCCTTGTTTTTCAGCAGTTGAGTGATTTCAACGTAGTTCAAAACGGTGGCACCGCGCTCGATGGCAGTTACGGCCAAAGCGGTATTCATTCTGGAATCGTTAAAGGAACCGTCGTGATAAACCAGCCCGGCTTTCAAAATCGAGGCGTCGAGCATGGGGGCCGCTTCAGAGGCGCGTTTGGCGCTCATCATGTAGGAGCTTTTCAGGTTTTGCGAGCCTGCAAACAAATCGTACATCTTGCAACCAACGTAAAAGTAAGGTACTTGCCAGTAGTTGTAAACGGGGATCATGATGGGAAGAATCTTACACAAATGTGGAGCGGTTTCCAGCATGTGGCCACGTTCGTTCAGAGCTTCTATCACCAAATCCAATTGGGCTTTGGAAAGTTCCCAAAACGCTTTTTCCAAGTATCTGACACCTCCATGAGCCATTTTGGTGGATTTCGATGAAGTTCCGGATGCAAAATCGTTCATTTCGACCAGCGCCACGTTCAGCCCACGCGTGGACGCGTCAACTGCGGACCCGGTCCCGGTGGCACCGCCTCCGATGATGAGAACGTCGAATTCCTCGGTTTTGGCCATTTTATCCAAAAGTTCTGCACGGGTGGGCAAATCAGGCACCCGCGCGGAGAGCTTGCTCGTAACGCGAACGTCATTTTGGAAATACGGTTTGGTCCACTCGTACGTGGCATACCCACCTATAGCCAAACTAGCAGTCTGTAAAGCTCGTTTGGAGACAACTCGACTAAACATGTTGGGGGTGTGGTTTGATGAATTTTACAGCTACTGGGCGCACAATTGGTGACACACAAACACTGGATATGAGGGGAAAGGAAAGGAAAACAACAAACGACGAAAAAAAAAATTTTAGCCGCCGACTGTTTTCACTCTGTTTTTTTTTAGTGACTCGTGTTTTCCACAGTTTCTGACTCGGGAATATCGGGCACCCCTTTTTTTTCTCTGTCACAAAAACACAAAAACACAAAAACGCGAAAAATGCAACGACAATATCAACAAGAACAACAAAAAAAAGTATAAAGAATTCTATCTTTCCAGACCAAACGCGTGACGCTTGTTACTTCGGTTTCTCCTGTTTGTTCTGTTTGATTTTCTACAATTCCAAAATTCTGGGGTTACCTGTCATCCGATTTTGCGCCTCCTTTATATACTTGGGTTTTTTTTTTTTCCCTGTTTCGAACTCCCCTTTTTTGAAATAGCAATACACGGCGATGTGTGACGGCACGGAACCGAACAATCATGGCAGGCTAATTAGCCAATTAGCCAATTAGCCAATTAGTGATTATGGTATGGTAGGTGTGTAATACTTCACCATGACACACATACTCACGGCACAAGCCCGCCAAGTTCTGTGTGCGAATGTGTCTGGGTCATGATATGGGTAGAGAAAATCCAGAACGTATGTTTTAGGCTCGACGGGAGGGGAGGGATTGTGTCCCTCTGGTCTCGAGGCTCGATGGGAGACGTGGGACGGGAAAGATGTACATGCACAGGGAACGAAACGGTGACTTACGGGTTGGACCGATGGGACCGGTGGGGACTCTCACACACAACCAATTAAGACGAGTTAGACTGGGCTGTTATTGTGGTCACGTGGTCTTGAGAATACGATGCACGGATTGTTTTTTTTCATGTATGTATAAGTGTTCTTTCCATTCGATTACTAGGGCTGTGTTTCGGACTTTCGGGAAGATCGTGATTGAGAAAATAGTAAACAGGATGGGATTCCGGGGAGCAAGCAAGAGTAGTGGGGTGGTAAGTAAATGTCTTGGTGTGGATTGATTCTACGTAGAAAGACTACTCGTAAATGCAAGTGCTGGCAAGAAAAAGACGATATGTGTGTCGCTTTGTACGAATAGTATTATGAAGTGCGTGTCTCTAGCCTGCACACTCCCGGTGACCCGATTATGAGTCGAACTCTACCCCGGTCATCTAATGACTGGTACTCTTATTCAAAAATAATTTGGCCTAGACGACGGTGACCTGAAACTCCAGTCACTTGTGGTGTGGCAAGCTCGTCATGTGCAAACTGTTGTATCCGACATATACAGAAAATGATTCTTGTGTGCTACTTACGTCCTTCAAATGTCTGTACAGAGAGAAAAAAAACACCTAGTTCGAGGGGGAGTGGCTACACATACTCATCTGTAGCTTGATAACCAAATTCCCGTAGCTTATCCATGCACATTATTGAATTCTTCAATTTTAAAGTATATTCTATCATTTGCAACGGCCCCGTCCCGCTTTCACTAAACACTACTTTCCTGCCTTTTACCCATCATATGTACCGTTCTAATACGTGTGAGCTACTGCTGCCGCTGCTGCTGCCGCTGCTACTCGCTAAAGCCCTTTTTTTTCGACCGTTTTAGTTTCCGGCGTATCACAACAGTCGGAATGGGGCATACGTAATTTTGAAGCGATGACAACAGCAGCGACAGCGGTACACACAGTGCCATCGGCTGCACAGCCAACACAGTCTCATTCAGCAGATGTTTTGGATAAGGGTGTGAAACAGAAACGACCACGATGCTTATGGAGTCTAATATCGCCGCTGAAGCGTCGAGTAGATACGCTACTTGGGCTTTGAGTCGACTCACATTTGACTGCAGTCCCTCGTGCGGTACCTTTGGCGAGACGTGTAGCACGTAGAGTGTGTCGTTGGAGTTTAAAACGGCTCCGAAAACGTACAGCAAAGCGTAGAATGACTCAGTGGTAAGATCCAGGTATAGCACGTAGGACGAGCCCTTTGTCGAACCTGCTTTTTCAGAATCCCCGCCCTTGCTGGTTTTGGGCCCATGCATCACTTGAATGGCTCTGGCGTAGCCATTTGCCAAATCGTCAACTTGGACCGGTTCGCTTTTACTCTCGATTTCAGCATGATACTTCGCGATCCACGGTTTTTCTGCCTGCAGAACCTCCCACAGACTGGATACGAAATTCGGAAGCACTCGAGCGCCCAAGTCGTACCCTAAGGCTGCATCGATATCGAGCTCGTTTTCTACATCGCTCACTTGTTCTTCATCGCTCACGTCTCCTTCCTCGTCGCTTGAGTTTGATTCACCATATCCACTTCCTACAGAAAGTCTTTCCGATGGGTCGTGGTTTAATACCGTCCATTTCAAATACTCTTGCATTCCACCACGTAGCCTGCTGGCCGTCCTAGATCTTGTTCGGGATGTTCCGCTTGATACTGTGCCCCTCTTCTCTCTGGTACGTCCTCTTTCGCCCCTACTTGGGACTTCACTTTCCAAAATCCGTATGTTTTCACCACCGCCCCCGTTGTCCGCTTTGCTAGGTAGCAGAATACTGCGTTTGGGCTCCATAGACTCCATTTTGATTATAACGATGGTTGATTAATCGGCTGGCACGATTGTTATGGTCAAATGTCTAAGTGGAGGTCTCAGGGTTCTTCCGTATATGGGGTGGTTTGGGTTACTTTGAGATAATTAATGAGCCTTGTGATCAGATTGCCGTTCACGGTGATACAGGGAAACCGGCTTTGAAATGTGCTGCTGGCGATTGAATGATTGTGCACCACGATTCTTGATAGTCAATTGTTTTGTGTTCGATTTTACCATGCAGTTTTTTACAGCTCCTTGACACAGTAGCTTTGTCAAATCTGCGTGCAGAAGAATGGGTCGCGTGATCATCAGATTCAGAATTGTCATACTTCGTTGGCAAAATTACAAGTAGCATTTAGGCTCAGCTTATGCCCAAGATTTGAAGTCACAGAGTTGCTTATTGATTCACCATTCTAGATTGTTTAGTTTATTCCTTATAGTATGTTCTAACTTTCTTTCATCACGTGCTCGAATTTTTCACACCTAATATCGAGAGATAGCTTCACATAAGTCCGGAAAGTTACACCCACAGATTGATGGATGCAGGTAAAATCCTAAAACTAGAGTTACCCATCAACCAGGTACTGATCTTATAGAGCTTGAGCCTCTTAGCGCCAGATCACTCAACTGTTGCGAAAAGTGAATCGCTTTCTCTCTGGAAAACGGGCTAACACAAATTAATCACAACCGGAAAATTGCAAGACTACTTTGAATGGCAGTCTTGAACAGTCTCCAAATCCATCGCATTTACACTTTTTCAGTACACACAAGATAATGGGAGCGAGGCCAGTGAAAATCGATGTACGTTCTACGACATTCGAAGAGCCCACAAAACGGATCTTCGATTCCCGCGGAACACAGGCCTTTCAGAAATCGGTAGCGATGTACAGGATCAAGATGTATCTCCATCGGTATGTAAGCATTGTGGAAGGTGAACAGATACCTGCAACAAGTGAGAATTTGAAAGTGCTCGACTTTGAGGGACTTCTGAGCAAATTGGCTGTACTGGTAGATGAAACCCCGGCATTTCCAGGACCAAGACGGTACGGAAACCTGGCATGTAGAACCTGGCATGATAAAATTGAAGATGTTCTGGTGCCGTTGCTAGAAAACTTCCTTCCATCAGAATGCCATAAGAGCATAGTCGAGCTGCGATACTATTTGGCAAATGCGTTTGGATCTCGCGAACGCCTTGATTACGGAACGGGACACGAGCTATCCTTCTTCGCTCTGGTATCAGCTCTGGACATGCTGGGTGCCTGGGGCCCTGATTTGAAGGGCAAAGACTTATTGTTTTTATTAAACAGCTACTACGCGCTAACGAAAAAACTGGTACTTACATACTCCTTAGAACCGGCTGGATCTCACGGTGTATGGGGTCTAGACGACCACTTCCACTTGATATACATCTTTGGTGCTTCCCAGATGGTAGGCATGCGTTCACCTCCAGCGACACCCAAAGAACTGCAAATGAAAGACATAGTGGAAGAAAACGCATCCACCAACTTATATTGCCAGGGACTGGCATTCGTATTTCAGGTCAAGTCCGGACAGCTGTCTGAAAACTCTCCTATGCTATATGACATCTCTCAAACAGTGGCAACATGGCCAAAAGTTCAGCGGGGCCTTCTGAAAATGTATTTTGCAGAGGTCCTCAATAAATTTCCTGTGGTGCAACACTTTTGGTTCGGTAAGGGTCTATACCCATGGGTCAGTAGCGATAGTGGCGATGTGCTTCCCATTTTTGAAGCATCTTTGCCGAACAACCCTGTCCAAACTTCCGTGCATAGCGCTCATAATGCTCACACAACGCGACACCCGATGAACCCTCCTGATTTACGTGGCGTTAATCGATTCATAGCTCACGACAGGTTCCGGAAGAGTTGATCAAGCAATAAAATTTACTAGTTTCCATTTTTCGCATATTAAATTATCTCTAAGTTACGCGTATTACCTGCCTACACGCTTATTTGAGTTGAAACTTACTTTGTGGATGAAGAATTGGGAGCATCATAATGTGTCCATCTTGTTTTACATTATTGGACCAGCTGCAATGACCTCGGTGCTGGCCTGCTCTGTGTATTTTTGAAAATTGGAAGCAAACAAGTTACCCAAAGACCTCACCGCTTTCTGATAATTGGCCTTACCACTGTTCCAGCTTTTCGCGGGGTTCAGTAAGTTGTCAGGAACGTTGTTGACGTGAACCGGTACTTGTAAGTTGAAAGTGGGCAAAACCTCAAATTCTCCTGCGGCTAGCGAACCATCGTGGATAGCATCCAAAATAGCACGCGTATACTTTAAAGAACACCTCTGGGCTCCTGAAACAAAACTGGCTCCGGTCCATCCGGTATTTACTAACCAAGCATCGGCACTGTGCTTTTGCATTTTCTCAGCAAGCATTGTAGCGTATTTGAGAGGGTGAAGGGCCAAAAATGGCTGTCCAAAGCATGATGAGAATGTTGCTTCGGGTTCTGTGACCCCCTCTTCTGTTCCGGCAACTTTTGAGGTATACCCGCTGATAAAGTGGTACATAACTTGAGCTGGGCTGAGTTTTGACACTGGTGGTAACACTCCGGAAGCATCGCATGTAAGCAACACAATGTTCTTAGGGTGCTCGTTTGCCAAGCAAGGAATCTTGGCGCTCGGAATATACTCAATTGGGTACGCACAACGAGTGTTTTCGGTGATCTCACAGTCATCGTAGTCTACCTCTCTGGTTAAAGGATCGTATCCCACGTTCTCCAGCACCGAGCCGAATCTGATAGCGCGAAAAATTTCAGGTTCTTTTGCTTCACTGAGACCGATACACTTTGCGTAGCATCCACCCTCTATGTTAAACACGCCGTGGTCTGACCAACAGTGTTCGTCGTCGCCGATCAGTCTACGCGCGGGGTCTGCAGACAGCGTCGTTTTCCCTGTCCCACTGAGTCCGAAAAACAAAGTAACGTCATTATCTTTGATACCTTGGTTTGCAGAGGAATGAAGCGTCAACACATTGTGATTAACGGGCATCAAATAGAACATCACCGTGAAAATGCCCTTTTTCATTTCACCAGCATATTCGGTGCCAAGAATAACCATTTCCATCTTAGCAAAGTTTATCTCAACGGTTGTCTTAGACGTCATTCCATCAGTGTGTGTATTTGCTGGGAATTGACCTGCGTTCCAAACTGTGAAGTCAGGCTCACCGAAATTTTTGAGTTCTTCGGGAGTAGGTCTGATCAACATGTTTGTCATGAAGAGCGCATGGTACGCACGCGCACACACAACACGAATCTTGATGCGGTACCGTGGATCCCAGCCGGCATAAGCGTCCACAATGTACAAGTGATCCCGTGTTCTGAGGTAGTCAGCAGCCCGCTCACGATTCACCAGCCATGTTTTTTCAGAGCACTTGCGATTCACAGGGCCCCACCAGACGTTATCTCTGGAGGAGGGTTCATCGACTATCCGTTTGTCGCGAGGAGACCGTCCTGTTTTCGCTCCAGAGAAAGCAATGAGAGCTCCGGAACTGGCAATTGTCGTACGGGACTCGTGCAAAGCGTCTTCGTAGAGCAATGCCGCCGGGGCGTTACGTCTGATGGTCACAACTTCTTCGCCAAGCGACAGTTCGGATCGGATGCAATCCTGTGCAGAAATGGGGACTTTATTTCTCACGGGCATTGTTGTTGTTTTTTTTGTTCAGCGCGAAGTCGATATATGGGCAGCCTTTTCTCACAAGTTCATTAAACTGGGAGTTTTTCTTCAGTGTCTACAGCCTCAAACACAAAGCGGAAAACGCACTAGGGGATATGCGAAGTGTGATATCCAAAAGGATAATTCAATTTGGAAGACGCAGAAACTCAAAATGTCAAGTGGGAAAACAAAAACACAAGTTTTCTACTCGACTTCACTAAAAATTTCTGAGAAATGCCAGAAGAGTGCGAGTCTAATATATAAATACTAGTGGCAATATCAAGCTTACCTTGGGGGAAACAAAAACAACAGAAGTACCACAGCTCAAATACGACAAGTTCGGTTTGAACAGCTCTTTTTATACAAACCTATGTAAGGGTCCTGGTGCAAATAGAACCGTCGGGAATACTTGGCAAGCTTCCGATTTGCTCCGAGATATTCGGGATTCGGACTCTGGACGAATTGAGGGGGCTCCTGTAACGGCGCTCTGCAGGGGCCGACATCGGTTTTCCTCATTTCGCGGGATTGTCAGGGGTGCTTACGTAAGTACGCAGGTGACACAAAGATAACTTTATAAATTATTTATATTTACATTACCCCGGATTAAATTCACCACTCGTTCAAAAGGATCGGGAGAAAGGACTGGGCGGCTAAAAGGAAGTAACTACACACCGCCCCTTTTTTTGTTTTCGGACCAAAGCTGAGCATGTCAGAGATGAAAAGGACGGGGACTAGAGAATCGACAGGAATAATGAGGAGAGGAAATCAGTGACAGGGCTATTTGGGTAGTAAAGTCATAGCGGAAGACAAAACCGAACAGTTGTACAGAAGCGCGCTCGGATAACCATAGCAAAGTTGCAAGGCCGAAATAGAGACCATATGAGGTGATAGACGCCCGTTGATAGCAGGGTTCAATATCAGAACTAAGAGGTAAAGTATATAAAGATCGTCTAGTTTGAAGTTTGAAGTTTGGATTTTGAAATTGAATAATGAGGTGTCTGGTAGTTTGGTTCTTGTTTGCGAGTATCTTGAGTCCATAAACTCCGCAACCCTTTCGACAATACGTGAACTTGAGGATTTCGACATTGGGGCCTGGCCGATTAAATGACCTCTAAGTTCTACTATGTTATTGAGCTACTGTATTTCTTGTCGCTTGTGTTTAGAGATTTCTCTCGACTGTTTGTCCGGTCATGCAGTAGTTTTATCACAATGTTTTTTTAATAGCTTGAATGATTCAGTGATGCCTTACTTGTGGGATTCGTAAATGCTCGGAATCCTGACCAAAACTAAAATTTCATGACAATAGTCTACAAATCAAAAGTGAGTAAGACCCGGAATTATCTGTAAAGCAGAACTCAGGAAATAAAAAATTGACATGTATGCTTGATGCGAGAACAGTGTTCTTTTTGGCTAGGTATGAAAGTTGGAAAATAGTATTGATCACGTGAGCATGTTCAATTTTTGATGTTATTTTGTTCATTGGTAGCCAGTCAGGGCACAATATATATAGCCGCAATGTGTTTCAATATCTCTGGGACTCTTGGGAATCTTGGCTCGCCTCTTCACAAAACAGGTATCGCCCATTTGCACGGCAGTCTTATAAACTGGCTTTCAAACGACACCAGAAACTACACATACTTCAAATGAAGCCAAGTTGAATAAAAAGCTTGATTAGAATCTCTCCAATAACCTTCTCCTTTCGCTATTGTCCCCGTCGTCGTAGTCGTCTGAACTAGCCACACGTACAGAGCGACAATTGCATATCTTGTGCACATGATCAGTGAGAACTTCGGGTGCGTCATTCTTCACCTAACAATTAGAGAACGACCTATTGTTTTGTGTGAGGGCACACGAAAAGTAATGTACTCCTGTGAGTGTAGGATTTGCATCTAGAGTATTTCTTTGTATCGCCCGGTGACAATAAAGAAATGAAGGACGTGTAATATTTCCGTATAATGTGCCAAGCTCTAATTATTACAGACATGATCAGTGGGTTACAATTTTATACGAAATCCCAAAGTACCCGTCGTTATGAACTAAAAGTAATCGGTGAGTTTAGCCATCGTAAAATATGACCAGTATAATGACCCTTCGTTTTGGGAGATAAAACCCAGTTGTACCTGGCACACAGTACGGAAACGATATTTGTATTCGACTCGATTTGGTCTTTTGTAAAAATCAAAGTAAAATTCAACTTGCTTAACATGAAAACTTGAAAGGCCTTCGAGTTCGATGTTGCCCTGTCATCGATTACAATCGGGTGTATCGACTCAAGCATCCTCTCAACCAACAGCACGTATCGTTTAGCATGGAAACCCAGCCATTAGTCCAACCAATTGTTATCCAGTCCATGGATGCCAATAGCCGCATTAGCCGCTCAACCTCCACTGAGGCAGGGAATTCGTCCATTGACGGTACAGAACGTCGTGAAACCTCAGAAAAACCATTAGAGTCCCCTAAAGTCAGCGGCTGGATGTTGAAGTCTGCCCTTCGGGTTTTTTTCGAGTTCCCGACGATCAATGGTAAGAAATTTGCACAGTGTCTGTACTGTAGAAGACGATACCCTGAAGGGGAGTCAACTGGAAATCTATCAAAACACATCCGCAATGTACATCCTGCAGCCTTTGAAAACAGGGATAAGAAAGTAAAAAAAATGAGAACTTTAAAAGCGTTTGTGAAGAGGTCGAATGCACTCAGGGTGTCCAATATAATAAAAGACGAATACGAGAAATGCCCCGAATCTTTCCAATCGGTCATGCTTGTCGTTGAAGGCTTTTTACCTTTCACTTGGGTTCAGCTGAATACTTGGGACATTATCAACAAGACGAGAGATTCGAAATTCATCCAATCCAGAACGACACTTGTCAAAAAGCTTGATTTATACACAGCTTATATGGATGAATGTTTGGCGATGAATCTCAAAGATACTCATCTCGTGAATATTCTAATCGATATCTGGACCGCGACCAACAATGAGTCTTTTTTAGCCATTATGGTGTCCTTTGTCCCGAATTTCTTCAATGAAACAACACTGAAGGTAGCTACAGGTCCCTCAATTTTCTTCAACAGAGCCGGTAAAGCTCAAAACATACATTTACTAGACTTCCGAAGTCTTGGTTCCAATAAACGTACCGGGCCATACATGCATACTCTGATTTCGTCGATTTTAGAGAAGCATCAACTATTGGACAAGGTGGCTACCATTACAATGGATAATGCCAGAAATAACGAGGCCTTTTATTCTTATTTGGTTAACGATAATTTGAAAATATACAAACCTTTGGCCTACCGTCTGTTCAAGAAGGTGCGCTATATCAGGTGCGCCAGCCACATTTTGAATCTACAGTTTCAGAAGTTGTTTGACCATCTCAATTCCAAAGGCTTATTTACAGACGCCTATGCTAACATCGTGAAAATGGCAAAAGTTATGAGGTACTCAACTCGAATATCAACCAGTTTGAAAAACTCGAGAACACCGCTCATACCACTAGATTGCCCGACAAGGTGGATGCTCAAATGGCACCAGATTGAAAGGTTCTTGGCAAATCGTGGCTTATACGAAACATGGTGCAAGACAATGGAAGAGATGGGTGATGCAAAACTCGCAGCTCGGTTGCAAAAGTTCCTCTTGATTGACTCGAGGACAACCCAATTGTTGACCTATTTCGTTCAGATCTGCGACATTTTTAACACTTTGACTCTTCAATTGCAAGAAGATGATTACAATTGTTTGTCCAATGCCGTCTCTTTTTATTACTTGTTAGACCACTACTATAAGGCCTGTTCACAAGCCTCAGAGGGAGCAGTATTTTCTGAACCACCCTCAGCCGCTAATTTCTCTCATCTTAATGGCTCATCAGCACTGCATCCGGAAGACAAAGAGCTTGTTTTGGAGGCCATGGCCATCGCTCAAAAGTCACATTCGAAGTATTTCACCGAGATCAAGAGTGATCCCATTTACTATTTATCAGTTTTACTTGATCCCAGGCTTAAAACTGAGAAACTTTACGGTACAATGCATACATCAGAGGCTAATGAAAGCATTCAGCTCTGTGAGACTTTCATTAAAAATTATTTCAAAGAATACGAATTGACACATCCGTCAAAGGAGTGTGCCACTGTCACAAAACCTACTCAGCCCGGGAATCACAATATTTTTGAATTTGACAGGCAACGACTTGGTTTGATTGACTCAAATCCTGACGGCGAATACAAAACTGATGATCGTATGGTTCAAATAGAGGAATGGACCAATTATTTGGGTGAACCTTTATTATCTGCTACTTCGAGAGAGGCTGCCATAACTTGGTGGTTTGACAGGCGTTTGCGATTTCCAAGGCTCTTTAAGCTTGCGATGTCTTTGTTTTACACCAAAATTTCTACGTGCGATGTTGAGAGGTGTTTCTCTTTGGCTGGTAGGGTTATGCAGAAGGATCGTAAGCGTCTAGTCGAAAAGAATGTTAGAACCTCAATGGTTTTGAGGGACAGATTCCATAAGTTTAACTTCTACAAGAATAGGGAAGGCTCTTTTGTCCCTAATGAGTTCGAAGAAATGGAAAGTGGCTCGGAATCCATTGGTTCAGACCTCGAAGGGTCTGTATTTGATACTGATAGTGACCAAGATGTACCAGCTTTGGAGCCCTTTAGTAACGAGGAAACCTGCGTTGCAGGCGATTCAGAGCAAGGCCTGAAGGTATAGCTTAAAGCAGTATCACAAGAGTATGGCTATTTGTTTAAAGAAGAGGCTTCACCTACTCATGGTGGAGATGCTCATCGCTCCACATGCAGCTATGAACAGAAATACGTCACCTTGAACGGAAACTTATCACTGACTCAAACGTACATAATCATATCACCCAAAGTCACTCATCACATGAGACGATCGGTGAGTTTTTCCATTATCTAGTGAGTATGGCTAGTACCCGGTGGGTTTCTTTTCTACCGAATATACTCACTGATCATGTCTGGACTCTGATTGATTTGCTCGTTCGACACGGGAAACTTGTCAAAAGTCATTTAGTACGACTTACAAACATCAACCGGATATTTATGTCATTCAACACGAACATATAACTCGCTGATCGTGTCTGATTTTTTGATGAATTAGACTACCATGCATGCATGGGCTTGATTTGCACCGTAATGGTCTGGAGAACTGAATATCCATAATTTACCCGTTGCTCATCCCACCAACGCCTCTTAACCATTCTAGTCTCATAATATGGAGGATGTAGATGCCGAGTTTGCCCCCTTGCGTAAGTCACTGCAAGCGGTGGACGCAAAAAACATCATACAGGATATATCTGTAAATCATGAGCAACAGGCGTTTTTGAGAAAAATTCGTCTTGTCACCGGCCAAAAACACGCCCCGAAGCCACACGTAGCAATTGGGAGTGCAATTGCAGGTGTAGATGGAGATGTAGATACAATCACAGCAGCGATTTCACCAAATACCGGTAATGACTCGAAAAATCATGCTGGCAAGCGCTCACATCCAAGCGATGATCATGACACAGCTGGTTTGAAACGAAAGCAGGCCACTGATCCCAGTTCTTCTTTCCTGGAATTTCAGTCTTATTTTTTGAGGCAACTGAATGGCTCTCTGCCACCACATGCAACGAAACTGCCGAAATTCGTTAACGAATGTTCCAAAGAAGTGGAACGAATTCTCAAACAGTCCATTATACAGAAAGAAAGTCATTCGGCGATCATGGTGGGACCCAGATCTCACTACAAAACGGCAGTAATCGAGCACCATCTTTCCCTTTTAGCCCAGAAATATGACCAACAGTTTGTAACCATTCGTCTTAACGGACTGATACACTCAGAACAGGCTGCGATCAATAGCATCGCTTTTCAGCTGGAGTCCCGTCTACAGGGTGTACATGGGAACCAGGACTTAGCATTCTCGATCAGTTCAGGATCGCTCACTGAGGTGTTCGAGAAAGTACTACGATTGATTGACACCACCACCATCCAGCATACAAAGTCATCCTCGTCTTCGCGGGCCGAAAAAATATCAGTGATCTTCATCTTCGATGAAATCGATACTTTTGCGGGGCCCTTAAGACAAACACTCCTTTACAATCTTTTCGACATGGTAGAGCACGCTCGAGTACCTGTCTGCATTTTGGGCTGCACAACCAAAATGAATGTCGTGGAGCATTTGGAAAAAAGGGTAAACAGTAGATTTTCCCAACGGATTATTTACGTCCCTTCCATCAAGACTTTCGAAGAATTTTTGGAAGCTATTCAGGAAGCATTTTGCGTAGACATTCCCAACGAATGCGCCACGAAATGGAACGAAACGCTCAAACATCTCGTCCAACAAGAGACATCAAACTTCCGTCGCGTGGTAAGGAACAACTATGAGACTTTTCGGTCTACCGTGCTTTTGAAAAACAGCCTACAGATTTTAGTCGCCAAAGCAAAATCAATTCAAGCACTTATCGACGGACTAGAAACATGTCATTGGATACATGGCTATAATCGCAACCAATTAGGAAATTCAATGAGCTCCAAGGTGAAATCTCTCTCAGATCTTGAACTGGCTGTACTGGTTGCAGCCGCCAGGGTTTCGCTCAAAACCGATGATAACGTCAATTTCAATTTAGCCTATGCTGAGTACTCTGACATGGTGAAAGAAACTAACAAAAAAATGCCAATAATTCCGCCTGCGACAGGTACGTCTTTGATGTTGGAAAGCACGCTAAGAGTGTGGAAGAAACAAGATGTGAAAAATATTTGGGAGAACATAATCGACCTAGATTTTCTGGCTGAAAGGGGCTCCGTCGGACTGCGAGTTTCTGCATCGGCTGCTTTTCAAGCTAGCAACTATCACACGACAGCGACAATCATACCCTTTGATTTGAGAACATATCAGATGCAAATAACCCTACATGAGCTTCGCCGTACAGTACCCAAGTCTTCAGTCTATTACAACTGGACTCAGTTATGAAAAGTCAATCACAGCGACCTCAGAGAGGCATTCCCACTATGGAATGGATATGAACGATTTCCTGTTTGGATTACATAGACAAAATTTACTCAAAACTTTTGTGGCAAGATTGGCTACCACGCTTCGAATGCGCAGACCGGACAGTTCAGGGGCTACAAGAGATTTTGGAAACGCAAACGGACACTTTTGCGTCATTGCAAGCAACGAAACAGCTGTATTGTCATGTTGATCACTGTGCAGTTCAGCAGGATTAGCACGCGACCAAAATTAGAGATCCCTTCTCACGGCCACAATTTAGTCTGGTCAAAATCCATCGCGTGTGATCCTGTAACTTTGACGCTTTGAAGTACAGGCAAAGCTTCATCTGAAAGCATTCTCTTTGTTCCCTTCGAGACTTAGACGAGAGCTGGACCTATCAAAGATGAGTGTTGAAGTTCCTGTGTCGAAAAAGCCGGACTCTAAGTACAAAATTGGTAAAGTCAAGCAGACACCGTCTGTAGTAAAAGATGAACTTACCGGGTTGGATTATATCGAACTCAAAATGAGGCAAAACGAGAGGGTTTATGGCTGCACTGCTTTTCAGAACCGGTATAAGGAGGATAAAAAGCTGGGGCAAGGTACGTTTGGCGAGGTGTACCGAGGTGTGCACTTGGAAACGCAACGTCAGGTAGCGATGAAAAGAACCCTTGTGAAAGCCGAGAAGGACCTGTTCCCTATAACAGCCCAGCGGGAAATCACCATTCTGAGAAAACTTAATCACAAAAATGTGATAAAGTTAATTGAAATGGTGTACGACTATCCACCGACTGAGTCCACAAACGGATCTAGCTCTCCGGCTAATCCGACCACAAATAATAATTTCAAATCCTTTTACATGATATTGCCCTACATGGTTGCCGACATGTCCGGTATACTGCATAACCCTCGCATAAAACTGGAGATGGGCGCCATTAAAAACATCCTTTTGCAGGTTTTCGAGGGTGTCAACTACATTCATTGTCAGAAGTATATGCATCGAGACATTAAGACAGCTAACTTGCTGATAGATCACAAGGGAGTGTTGAAAATTGCTGATTTTGGATTGGCGAGAAACTACTACGGAGCTCCTCCGAATCTCAAATTTCCTGGCGGAGCTGGTGTAGACGCCAAATACACATCTATCGTGGTGACAAGGTGGTACCGTGCACCAGAGCTAGTACTAGGAGACAAGTATTATACAACTGCAGTTGATATGTGGGGGGTTGGATGCGTGTTTGGAGAGTTTTTCGAGAAAAAACCTATATTACAAGGCCAGAGTGATATTGATCAGGGACACGTTATTTTCAAGCTTCTCGGAACGCCAGACCAGGAGCAGTGGCCCTTGGCCCGCTATCTTCCAGGCGCGGAGCTCACCAGAACGAATTACACACCGAATATACGTGAACGATTTGGCTCATATTTGGGTGATTCGGGACTTGACCTTTTGAGCAAACTGCTCTGCCTGGACCCATACAAAAGACTAACAGCCATGGCAGCTAAAAATCACCCTTTCTTTCAGGAAGAGCCTTTGCCAGATCAAGTTTTAACACTGCCCTGTGAAGAATGTCACGAAGCCGACATTAAGCGCTACAAGCAAGAACAAAGCAGATCTTTAAGTCAGCAGCCGCCACCCGCACCGCAGGGACACGTCGTTGAAAAGGCTGTCCCACCTACGCCACAACTTCCAAAGGCTCCCAGGGGTATAAAAACTCTTCCAAGAGGGCAAAATACAGGTAAACGTGGAGGGCAGAGACAAGGTCTTCCAACTGGTGGCCCAGGTTCTAGATATGCTGGTAATTACGGCCAGGCAGAACCAACCAGAGGCAATCGCAGTAATCGAGCGCCATACGGCCAGATAGCTGCCTCTCAAGCTTATGCACCCAATAAGGGTGAAAACCGTTTCAACAGTAACGGGTCAAGGGCTCGTTTCCACCAAAATGAGCAGCGTGGTCCACCAGGTGTCACAGATTCTCAGAGGGTGAGACCAAGCAACCCACCGCTTCCGGGAGGTCTAAAGGGTGAATCTCACGCTGGAAAATCACGATACGGTTACAATAACGGTGCACCACGAGATAATCGTGACGACAGGATGTACACAGAGTTTTCAGCACATCCAATTAGTAGTGGCAACAATCCTAATGCTACACCGCTTGGTCGCTCCGACAAAAACAAACCATTTTCGAAGCAGCATGATACTCAAACCGGTCCAAAAAACGGTGACGCACGCTCAAGACAACCCAATGAAAGCCAACAACATGAACCAACACATGCAAGACAAGACCGACACAGCTATAAATCAGCTCGAGAGGATATCGCAGATCTATATTGAAACAAGTGTTGCCATAAATTTACTGACATACGAAGAGAAAAGATCACACCCTTAATAGCCGAAACCACTAGATTTACCTCATGCTGCGGAAGTATCCTCTAAGTTACCTGATAACGTCATTTGGAACCTTCAGATTAGTTAGCACAGCGTACGTTCTCGCTACTCGTCTGAAATGTGCTGTGCAGTTTTGAGGTCCAACGGCCACTCTATACAAGATAGACCTGAAACATGGTTAGCTTTCGGTGTAAATAAACCTGAGCAAGGACATGGACTATAACAGCCAGAGGACACACGCGATGGATTTACAGACGTTGAGGGCGTCTCATGTGCAGGAATGATAAATCGTCATCCTCTACAAGTTGAAGAATTTTGATTTAGTCAAGAACGTTTGGCACTAGCAGGTCAAGTCTGAACAACAATGGATGTTCAAGGGGATAATCGAAGACACTCGGGTGCTGCACCGCATGAACTCTCCTCGAAAACGTTCAAACGGACACCTAACGGCCTTGTTTTCAGTGAGGATTTGAAAAGAGTTTTTTCGATCCTGATCATATCTTTGGACTTGAAAGAAAGGCCCAACTCGTCAAACAAAAATCCACTCTTGCCAACATTTCAGAAAAACTACCCATTCTCGTTTGCGTTGAAAGAGGCAATCACAAAAATGGAAAACTTGACACTTCAGGTGGACATGAACACCACCAAAGTCTGGGTTTCCTATTCTATACAACCAGAGTTAGGTCGCAGAATGCTCAGGACGTTTATGGATGCGAAACTGTTGCATATACCAGCAGACAGAACTCGTTGTGTGCTCAAGGACGGTCTTGCTATCCAACCGACACCCAAGGGAGTTGCGGTGCTACAGCGATTTGTGCGTCACATGGGACTCAAGGACATTCCCACCATTTTGAAGTCAGATCTTAATACGATGGAATTATTCACTTTTGAAAGAAGTTCAATGACCGATGCCATAATACACAGTGACTATTTTGTCTCACTTTTGTTTTCAAAGTTAATGGGGCCCACGAAAAATGTGTGGTCTCCAGATGATGGTCCCGATAGAGCACCAACCTTGGCAAAGCTTTTGGAATGCGCAGATGACACTTTCAGTTTTGAAAACGTAAATTTGTGTTGGACCGACTCAAACGCTGACGATAGCGGTGCAAGCTCGAATTCCCATCCTGACGCCCAGCAGATCCCCAATGCGCATGATGAAAAGCGCATCTCTTTGTTGGCTCATCGATTCTTTACTAATCCAGACTCTACATCTCATGCTCAGTACTACACTTCTAACAGTGGCTTGAGACTTTTCACGACGAAGACTTTTGGAGAGGATCGAATTTTGTACGAGTGTACGTTCTCCACAAAAGCCGTATGGCAGTGGCTGATGGATTGCACAGATATCATGTATCCTAAGGAAGCAGTGACAATTTCTTCACTTTTTTTGAGGAACGGCCTCATAAAACCCATAACATTACCACCATCAGGTAACCTCAAGCATAAATTTTCCATAGGGTTCAATTGTTACTTCACGTTGACACAACTAGGTTGGGAAAGCGTGCAATGGAGTACAGAGGGAGGCATCAAGAAATACCTTGTGGAACCTAGTCAAGGAAAGAAAATTGAGGACAAGCCGAAGAGTAAAGGGAGCCATCAAACATCGTCAAATTTCAGATCAAGGACCGACATTGGTCAGAAACCAGGATACTTCACTGACTTAACTCATGTTCTGCGGGATCCAGGAATGAGGTATCTTTTCAGAAAGCACCTCGAAAAGGAGTTCTGCCCTGAAAACCTGGATGTGTACATCGAAATAAAGAAATTTCTGAAAAGGATGACAGTTTTGAAAAATCTTCTTGACACGAAGACAGCTAGAGAACCCGACAATGTTGACGTGATGACCTCCAAACACTTCAGTGATCTTGTGGTGAATACAATAAACAATGCCCTTTTCAGACAAGCGAATGACTGCCTAGAAACAGCCTATGAAATTTACTCCTCATTCATCACCCCTGGTGCACCTTATCAGCTGAACATTGATCATTCGCTTAGAGAGTCTATAACGGAAGTGATATTGTATCCCCAACCATGCATGTTCATATCGCGCCCAGGAAATAGTGCCAACACGGAATACACCTTGAACTCTGCAGATGACAAAGAAGACACGACAGTGCTGAAGGCGCTAGAATCCTGTCCCACACCAGAGTTGAAAAATCAAGAGGCACTGTCCCAGCATAAAATCGACCATGGCGGTGATTGCAAGAGCTCTTTACAGCCGTCTCTTTCTCTTTCCGATGAAATTGACGGAAGGAGTTTTACAAGCATTTTGAAGACCTTGAGGCTTATTTATCCTCTTTTTGAAAGGGTCGCTAGTTCGATGTTCCAACTTATGAAAATCGATTCACTCCCGAAGTTCATAAATTCTGAGCTCTATCAAGAGGCTGCGGTAATGTTGAACTTCGAAGCGAAAAACGCATAGTTTCTGTACATTATTCTGTCCAACCATCCGTCCGCTAAACTCAAGCTTTTACAATATACAAGTTTTCCTGGCGATTATACAACGCATTTGAACTACTGAAAATTTTCGTTGAAACAACCGCATATGAGGTGGGGGCGACGATGTGAATGGTTATGTTACTATTTGAACAAGACCGTTCATGATGTACAATGACTATTATTATGACTAAGCAATTGGCTCAAGTGTAGTTCCCTTCTTGATGGTAGCCCAGCCGATTAGACGCCAGTGCTTTTCAATACGTCTCGACAAAGCGATTTTTTCGTTGACTTCTGTACAAGCGGGGGATGTCAGCTGTAGTCTGGCCATGTCGGCCTTTACTGCAACTACACGAGCACCGGTTGCGGTGGACCCAATGTTTACCATGAGAACTTCGTTCACTTCCAGATTTCTAACCTTAGCTTGTTTTTGGTTGTCGGTCTTGACACCCAACAAACGACGTAGCAAGAAGTAGTTGATCTCGATATCTGTGTAAATGCTTGGCAAATGTCCCTTGGCACCCGCAACCTGACCAACCAAACGATCAGCTCTGCACAATGTAGGGTCCACCTTCGTACCGACACCAATCAAACCACCGGGAACGGCGAACTTTAGATCATTATGTTCAGCGAAAAGCGAAACAATGTTGGAGAAAATGGGCTTGCATTGAATTTTACCTTGCTCATCTTTGGTTACAATACCAGGACGAATTTCGATTTCATCTCCCAGTTTGAAGACACCTGTCAAAATAGAACCACCTGCCACACCACCCTTCAATTCCTCGATCTCTGCACCTGGCTTATTCACGTCGAAAGAACGGATAACGATCAGACGTGGCGAGGCCATAAAATCTCTTGGTGGCACTGGAATAGTCTTTACAATGAATTCGTTAACTGCGTCAATGTTGTACTTCAGTTGCGCCGAAATTGGTACCACGGGGGCACCATCAGCGATGGTACCTCTTATGAATTTTAGAATAGAGTTGTGGTGCTCTAATGCGCTTTCCTCGCGCATTAAATCGACTTTGTTTTGTAGAATAATGACATGCTTCAGCTTCATGATTTCGATAGCTGCCAGATGCTCTGAGGTCTGGGGTTGAGGACACGACTCGTTACCGGCGATTAGGAGCAGGGCTGCGTCCATGACGGCAGCACCAGACAACATAGTACTCATCAAAATATCGTGCCCTGGACAATCCACAAAGGAGACGTGACGTATCAATTTGTAACGGCCATTGCAACCTGGACGCTGACATTTGGGGCTTATTTCTTTGTCAGACTTGAAAGAACGGTAGCAGTCTGGTTCTGGACAGCTGGGGTCGTCACATTTGTAAATTTTTGCGTTAGCATAACCCAGTTTGATAGTAATGTTACGTTCCAGTTCGTCCTTGAAACGAACTGTCTGAACGCCCGAAATGGCTCTTACCACAGTTGACTTACCGTGGGCCACATGACCGATGGTACCAATGTTAATGGTTGCCTGTCTATTGATAATGTCGGCTGAAAGTGGGTTCAAAGTGGAAAAATCTGGGTCAAGAGGCTGTTCTGGTAGCCCTCCACCTTCTTCAAACTCACGTTTGCGCTTTTCTTCATCAGATTCGAAGTCGTCGACCCCACTGAATGTTACACTTTTTTTAGGTTTTCCGTCCTCTTCCGGTTGTTCTTCTTCTAATGCTAGTTCATCTTCGTAGTCAAAAGCTTCTTCAGTATCCAAACTGTTACCTAGCTTATCACTCATCACTCTATCGGCGACTTCCTGTTCATTTAGTTCGGCTGCCATCTTTCACTGGTTTCAAATGTTTTATATCAAAGCACAACTCTGTCAAAAATGATCGTATTGAAAAGGTTCGAGTTGGAATTTATCGAGAATCTAAAGCTCGACTATCTCAACCAGTAGAAATCCCTGAAAGACTTTTCAATTGTGTGCAAGTTCGATTGGAACAGTATGTTTTGACAGTGTTAGATCTTGAAAAGTTAGACCATCATCTTAAGCTGTCTTTAGGTTAATAAAAATTTTTTTCCAAGACTTCTCAGAGCTGTATCACCATAGACGAAAACAGAAGAAAAACGTCAGTTTAGTGAATAGTGATCATCGACAATTCCACTTGGATAGACCGAATAGACGATGGCGATCGATGGTTATCTGGCCGCTGTCTGGCCGATGTTGTGCTATTATTCAGGTATCATAGCGTAGGATTGAACGCGAATTCATTCATCAAGATATCAACGTCTTTCCACACGCTATCGGATTCCCAATTGTCCCACCGATCTAGCGGGACAGGTGAGTCGCTGCGATTTGACGACGACACAGTCGCGTGTTCGTGTTCGTGAGACTTTGGAGTGCTTTTGGACTCGGTATTTTCGGCAAACAGTCTGCGGTCGATTAGAGGATCGGGTGTGAAACTTAGAGACTCGACAAAAGGTCCCTCGCGAGCATTGTTGTTGGCATCTTCCATTCGATTTGCAGTATTCAAGCCTGAAGAACGGTTGACTCTTTTGTTCAAAATGCTTCTTAGTGACACAACGTCCGAGGCCTCGGTATTTTGGATTTTGGGACTGTTGCTGCTAGTGGTGGTGGTAGTGGTGGCTGGTGCATTGATAGGCTCGGGGTCCAGTGGGATGGTTTTTATTAGTTTCCGGGCATTATCATCCACTCTTTCATGTGAAGACATATTTTGATCTTCTTTCCCGCCGTTTTCGTACCCGGTCGCATTGAACTCAAGTTCATTCTCGTCCGAGTCCGGCCGTAGCTCTCTCTTGAGTTTTGCCATCCCACATTTCTCACGAAGTTTGTAAAGACAGTCGAAGAAGACGCTTGCCGACATTCTAGACCTTATCGTAATCTCCAAATTGAAATTCTTTGGGGATCGATCCGCTGCTTCTGCCTGTTCAATTTTCCAACGCTCGTGCATGTTACTAAACATCCTCCATATGCTTTTCATGATCCCCGAAGACCTATATGCCATGTCATATTTCAAGACTGAAGCAGCGCTTGTCAAAGTTATGGCTTCCTGATACATTTCTTTTCCCTTTTGCAGATTCAGAACTGAATTCAAGGACGAGTGCGACAGCTTACTGATGATACAGGCGCTCTGCCAGATATTAAGGACAAAGACTCCGGGAAAAGATTTGATAAGATGTGGAGTCAATTTACACATCGACGTTGTGTGCGTGAGGAGCTCAATCGCGGCATTGTAAACCTTTACAAATCCGGCTTTAGCTTCAAAATCAATCTCCGTATCTCGGAGTGTCACTTCAAGCGATTTTGCACCGAGCGATCCATCTTGCGACGTATCACCAGTGAAAGTATAAGTCAGCAAATGAACCTTGGCCACCAGTAGCAGGAATTTTCTGATGTCATCTAATTTGCTGTCTCGAAGCCTAATCTCCAGCTCTCCCAGCTGCTGCTCTAGAACGCGCAACAACGGGAGCTTTTCGGCTCCAGAAACCATGCCCATAACATCCAGAGGATTGGAATTCATGGTCCTGGTTAGTTGGTTTTCGAAATGAGCGATGTACATCATTTGTTTGATACTTTCCGCGATTTCCATGTCCCTGTGATTAGACGGAGGGCGCTGTACAGTTCTGCAGGCACTTATCACAGTGTGGTCGAAAGAGACGAATGCCGGGAATCCAAACGATGAGGCTATCGTTTGTGAGACGATATTGCAACAGATCCATGTCTTTACTTGTTCGTGTATTTGTTCAGAGTTCGCAGTCGCATACTCTGTCGAGTATTCTGCACAGTTGAGACCGACGCGAATGGCTTGAAACATGGCAGACCCAATGGTGTTCCAAGAGGTATCTGCGCTCAAGGACGACGTCAGCGGAGGCCAAAAAGTGTACAGCAAAAAAGCCTGAACAGAATACACAGACGCCACGTTCAAAACGGGCTCATCACTCTCCATAGGTGCGTATCTGATAATGGGCGAGATCGTTATTTCTGCGAGGATGGACTTGACCAAGGTCGAGAGTTTGGTCATGATCCCAGAAGCCTTGAATTTTCGTCGCAGTCCGACTAGCATAATCACCCAGAATAGACACGGGGATAATTCATATATGCGTTCCGGGCCCTTGGATACATCGACAACTGGCAGGAAAGGATGGTATCTGGAGACGAACTCTTCGTAGAGCTCGCCGATGTCTTCTGCAGATATATAAATTTCGCCCAGAGATTTAGAAGTACATCCCTGCCTTGCATTTCGGAGCGAATCCGTGGATACGGGGCTTTTGCCGTTTTCGGGTTCTAAAAAAGTGTCATCTTCTTGGCGTAGCTTTCGCAGCTTGTTTTTGGTGAAATTATTCTGGTCTAACAGCACTTCTTGCTCCAGCTCGATTTTCCTCAAAATTTCGTCCGCATCGAGGTTACCCAAAGTTTTGGTGAGCTCTTTGAATCGTTGCTCGATAGCTTCGTTTCTGAACCTCTTGTAAGTCCTGCGAAAGTCCTTTTGAAGCACACATGGTATGTTTTTTTTGGTGCATCTTGTGCACGGATTCGGAGCCTTTTCGTGAGCATCACATTTGGATTTCTGCTGTCGACACTCTACACATGCCACTTTCTTTCTTCTACCAACACTGTCTCCCATTGATTCATGGAAAACCGGCTTTTTGAAATTCAACGAGTCCGGGGTTTCTGCTCTAGGAGGATTCATCGAGTAGAGGAAACAATTCAAGTAGACGGAGACGTCAATTGCGTCTTGAATGTGATTGTTCAAGATCTCTTGATGCTCAAATTGTTCCAATGTCCATCGTTTCTCCAATGCGATGAGTCAAAGCTAGTTAACGACGTATTTAAGGTGTGAAAAAGTCAATCTCGAGCTCATCTCATCGCGATGTCCAGCCAAGACATTAGACAGTAAAGAGATAAAAAGGACCATCGATGAGGGCATGGCAGGTATATAAGACTTCGGGCCGGGATTTAAAACTATGCTGGATATCTGCATTTTTGAGATTGGGTTCATATGGTGTCACCAACCAAGTCTTGACACTTTTTCTGAAAGAAATTGGCATCGGGGAGAAAGAAATGGGATGGTTTATGTCGTTGACATTGGTGGGTGATGTATGCATATCCTATTTGTTGACATGGCATGCAGATGAATGGGGGCGACGTAGGACTCTCACTTACGGTGCGGTGATGATGGTTTTGAGCGGAATTGTCTTTACCTGGAGCGAGAACTTCTATGTACTATTGGTTTTTGCCATTTTTGGGGTGATCTCACCGTCAAGCGACGAAGTGGGGCCGTTTAAATCCATCGAAGAGTCCATGATGGCCCATCTTACGCCTCACAATCGCCGTCCCGAAGTTTATGCCATTCATTCGTTGGTGAGTATTTCAGGAAGCGCTCTGGGGTCAATTTTCTGCGGATGGTTTGTCCAAGTACTACAGGATAAAAGGATTTTTGACACTCAATTGCAATGTTACAAAGCAGTTTTTGCCGTCTACACCGTCTTGGCAATCGCAAAGCTGCTCTCAATCGTTTTTCTGTCGAATGCCGCGGAATTGGACGTTCACCATCACGAGGAACCAGATGTCCAACAAGTTCTCGACGAGACTGTACCCTTAGTTGAAGAAAACGATAGGAAAAAGTCGCGACTGGCTCCTGAGACTTTTTCGGTCATGGTAAAGCTCCTGGTCATCTTCATGCTGGATTCATTTGGTTCTGGATTTATGACAAGTGCTTGGACTGTCTTTTACTACTCCGTTGTCTTTGGATTGGGTCCAGCAGCTTTGGGTGTTATCTTTTTCGCCGCGAAAATCATAATGGCCTTGTCTTCTCTACCATCCTCAACTATTGCCAGGGCGCTCGGCCCGGTAAAGGCAACTCTGATAGTACAGGTTCCATCCGCGATTTTTTTCATGTTGGTGCCATTCGCTGAAGGGCACTTGTCACTCTCTCTTATAATGTTCAATCTTTACAACTTGACTACTGCTATGGACGTCACCCCACGGCAAATTCTGCTGACCAACATCATCAAGCCGAGCGACCTAACAAGAGTGATGGGCGTTGTTAACATAGGGAAAACCTTTGCCCGCTGTATTGGTCCAGTTTTCACAGGACTTTTAGCAGATAGAGGTCTACTCTGGTGTTGCTACTTGATAAGTGGGTCATTTGTTCTCCTTGCCGATTTCGTACTGGCTGTTTTATTCTACGATATCGATTCACACGTCCTTAGAAATACAAACACTTGAGCTAATACAGATATGACCGTCCAATGAATAGCTGATAATGTGCGTTGGTGCTCCTCATCCGCCAAGTTCCCAAAGAGGGGCCAATTCATCCAGTGGGATTTGTCGGCCTATTTTCATCTTCTCCTCATTCGTTAGGAAATGTGATGTCAGCTCAATGGTCACAGAACCTGAGCGGTTATACCTCCTTTTATCTTTGGTTATTGAGCTATCCGCAGACGTCGGTTGTGTAGAAATCTTGCTACTAATGGCGCTGTTTTGCTCAGACGCGTTCCAGGGCTGAAACTTGCTATGCGTTTCATAGGTGTCTCGCCTGAGTTGGTTCGGTGCTGATGACGAATCCACACTCCTTACGCTAAAGCTTTGGTCTTGTCCAAAGGGCGCTAAAGCTGGTTCCCGTTCGCACTGGAACTTGCAGAAAAGAATCTGATCCAGAATATATTTTAGCGCTGAGAGAAATCGGTTTCCTTGTCTGAACTGCGAAGTGACAGTCAAATCGCATCTGTCGGGGCTCAAACTGTAACCTATACCAAAACCTTGTGGGACAGCGGGATTTATACCAAATCCCATCACTGCGGAATTGCCACAATGGGCCGCAATTATCTCAGGATTGGACAATGGGCTTATTAAGTCATTATCAAAAATGCCAGATGCAACTTCAAGGTCTGCTGGGCCCAGCTTGATTTGAAACTTTTGGTAGTGCTGGTAAAGGTACCGCAACATGTTGAAATGCTTCTCAAAGCCTAAACCACGCTTGGATAATTCGACGTTTCTGCGATGTATGCCGCATATGGACACGAACATCTCAGCTTTTAAATGCCCTTCCAAAAGGCTAGAGTTAAAAAGCTGGCACAGATCAAGTAACTGCTGATTTTGAACAGGAGCAAAAGCTGACCTTGAATTGCGGAAAGCCCTGGTGGAGACTGGTTCAAAAGTAGAGGCCATTTTCCCGTAAAGCGTGAAATGCGCAAGCTGTATAGCAACCTGTATCATGGAATCAGAATTAACTCCTAGACGACGTGCAATATTTCTTCCGTATGGGATGTCTTTCTGCACTATGTCATGCCTGCATACCAAGTCAGCGAGGTTGCTTTCGCACATTGATACGACTTCTTTCAAAGCGTCAGAGAAATCCCAAGTGAGCTTCTTCACGCTTCTTGGAGGGGACGTTTTGCTGACAGACGGAGAATCCCAGAGTGAAAATGAGGAACTGTCATCAATTTCACGAGCAAGACGAAGGACAGAATCTGCGTAAATATCAGAGGCGAATCGCACCACAGCCGAGCCATCGCAAGTGAGGGAATCCCATATTAGACTGGCTTTGGCATCTTTTGTGACCACCAATTGCAATTTATCGTACCATCTCGAGCTGCAAGAACCCTGCCAACCTCCTTTTTCATTTACGGTACTGCTGCCATAAAATAGTCGTTTGCACTCACGAGAAGCGTCCGACGCGAACGAAGACTCGTCTAAAACTAACACGAATAGGGCAGAGTCTATGATCGCGATTTGGTTGGGACATTGTTCTTTCAAAAGACAGCGGGCATGTTTCCACTGCTTCAGCGAACATGCGGTGAAGCTACCAAGCGCTGTACTGTGAGCTAAATGTTCCAGATTAGAGGAATCGTCCGAAATAGAGAGCAGAACTTGAGATAAAGTACCGTCGTCGTATAACGGAGCATTTTCAGTGTCCAAGACTTCTACACTGTAATACTGACCTCTTGAAATGACCAAAACGTGCGAAGAAGAAGGGTAAGTTTTTTCTTTGATTTCATGTTCGTCACTTAAGTCTGCTGCTGCCTGCAAATCATAGGACGATGCCTCATCCCAGTGATGAAGGTCGTTTGTTCTCGAAAACGGGCATCGGGTAGTTCCAAACAAAGCCATGTAGGGAAGCATGGAAAGCGGGGTCCCTGATTGATCTTTATCGGGTGGCAGAACTCCGCGTCGCAGAGCAGAGATAAACTTCAAAGCAGAATGACATAGAACCGCAGCGCGTTCGTGTTGTTCAATGCCTTCGACTGCATCTGGGGACAGTATCAGAAATGGATTTCGTGGCAAAACATCCCCTTCTATTTCGCGCGTCAAAGCGTGGCTATACATGTCCAGTTGCGAGCTGCCCAGCAAATGAGAGCCTCGTAGGTTCAGTTCCAGCAGCTTGGAGTGGAGTTTTTGAGCCACTTCTGAGTTCAAAAACCGTGAAATGGCCCTATAGAGCTTGTATTCATTTTCGGCATGTTGCAAGTCCTTATGGTAGCCGTCTGCCACATTCAATGGTTTTAAACATGCTTCTAGTTGCTCAAAAGTTGACTTCAAGTCCGGTATTGGGAGAACTGGAATCTGATGTTCAAACTCAAAAGTAACTGTCATCACGATACATAAAGTAGTTGAATATCTATATAAACCTACATTACGTTGATAGAAATCTCATGGATAACTATGTGTAGCAAGGACGTCTTATACAACTGAGGGAAGCCATTGTCTGCTGCGTCCTGAGGTCACAACCTTTGGTCATCCTAATTTCTTTAATATGTCGTTTCCCTTTTAGCCCCCGGTGACAGGAAATCAATAAAGTGACGAACTGACGATTCTCAAGAAGCACGGACGAAACACACCGATGAATATGTTCAAGACCATTACGAGGCGCACGAAAATTTGTTGAGTTCATTTTTCTGGAAGTAACAATGCCGATGTCTTTGGTAAGTTTAGCGGAATCATGATTAACATGGATAATAAGTTGGGACATATTTGACCGTTGAAAGCACTTTAAAAAGAGTTCATACGAACGATTGATCACCATCTAAGAATATACGTAGTTAGAAAAGCCCCATTCGGGGCGCAGGGTGTCTGTTTTTTATTTTCCTTTGATCGGTTTAGAAGTTCGCTGTCAAAGTGTTTATTACGTCGTCCAATTTATCACTTAATCATAGCATAACGTTCGATGACAAGGTATGAAGGTAAGATCAGAAAGTAAATATTGTGTAGGTTGGCATTGAGTTTGAGTATTTAGGTAGAAGAGTCTTTTGAGAATTTATGTGCTCAAAATCACCAGTTGATTCCAATTCCACAAGTTGACAACAATTAGACGTTTTCGAGCCTTGTAAGTAGTGTCACCCCAGCCATTTTGATTTGGTTAGTAAGGATGTGTCAATGTCTGCCGCCATTGCATATTTGTAAAGCTTATTTACCAGTTTCCTGCGTCTGCAAAAGATGTTGTCCAAAACACGCCCAACAGGAACAAAATTTGGGTTAAACCTAGATCATAAAAACCTCAAAACGTCTTTTGTCAAGAGCTGCAACTGCTAACGACATCAAGAAATACCTACTGGGTTCCAGTGTCACCCACCTACCCGTCTTATTAATAGATTTTCCCTTAGCATCACGATTATAGAGCTAGAAAGTGTACAAATACAAAGAGACATGTAAAAAGTCCCTGAGCGTAATGAGACAACCTTAACGGTTGGACTTGGCAACACGTTCCAATTCGTCCTTCTTCTTGATAGCGTAGGAAGTGGAGGAACCCTTGGCAGCGTTGATCAATTCTTCAGCCAAAGTTTCGGCAATGGTCTTGATGTTTCTGAAAGAGGCTTCTCTGGCACCGATGGTCAACAAAGCGATGGCCTGGTTGACTCTTCTCAAAGGAGACACATCGACAGCCTGACGTCTGGCAGCACCACCACCACCGACTCTGGTGGTGTCTTCTCTTGGACCGGTGTTGACAACAGCGTCGACGACAACCTGCAATGGGTTCTGGTCGGTCAACACGTTGATGATGTCCAAAGTGTGCTTGACGATTCTGACAGCCTTCAACTTCTTACCGTTGTTTCTACCGTTCATCATCAAAGAGTTGGTCAATCTTTCAAAGATTGGGCACTGAGCCTTTCTGAATCTCTTGTTGGCGTAACGGCCAGCGGTGTGAGGCACAAAGATCGATTGGCCAACTTGGACGTAGTCCACCAAAGATGGGTCCTTAACCTGCACATCTTCGAAAGACCATTTGTTGAATAGCTTGATCTCCTTCTGGGCTCTTTGGACGTCCTCTGGGATCGAAGTGGCCAATTCAACTGGGGCGAATTCCTCAACGACTTCGAACTCTTCCTGTTCTTGAACTTCAACTGGAACTTCTTCGTGGTCAGACATCTTGGCTTTGGGTTCTTACCGTGCTATGGGGGTTTCGTTCGGGAACTCAGATTCTCGGATATTGAAATTTAGCCAGGCATCTTTTGTCAAACTGGAAAGTTCACGCTGCCACGCTGACGTTGTGCGGAGAGTGGCAGCTGGTGAGTCGTGGCAGGAGTTCGCGACAGCTAGGCAGAGCTAGATGGGTGCTCTGCCTAGCCCTCCCTGTAGGGCTAGGCTCGAGCTAAGAATGGCTAGAAGGGAGCCAGGATCATAGCTTAGGTAGGATCCAGGCGGAGACCAGCCACGAGGAGCAAGCCTACGCAGAGCTAGACGCTTGCGCGCGGCATGGGCTAGGTTGACGGACCTCAACTGCTGTTCAAAGAATTAGCACGCAAAAAGTTTCACTTTCTTAAAATTTGTTAAAAATGCAGGTGATCAAAAATGTGGATATCTGGGTGTATGGATGTTAGAGAGAAAAGCAGTCACAGGACATGCCATAAAAATCATTGGAACAGTGTAGCGACGACACATAGAGGAAATGTTATTGATCCCAGTGAAAGAATAGATCAACGTCTCATGTCCTGAGCCCATTGTAAGTGGCATTCAGCTGAAGCAGCTCCTGTATTATAGTCGTATGGTTTAGCATGGGTGGGAGCTTACTAGCTTTGTAGTGAATCTTTTTGGGCAGAGTTTGGGCAGTGTGAAAGTGTTACGCAGGTCATACAGTGGTTATTTGTAGTGCATGTATCTTCTAGTAAACCAGCAAATGGGAGGTAGATTGATCCTGCATTGAAAATGGATTAGCCAGCATTTGAATCTTCTCTCCAATCCTCGAACCATGAGGGTTTTTGAGGGATCACAGAAACTCTGGAAAGAGAAGTTCCAGCCTCAATGTACAAGTTTGGAGGTTTCTCGAGTTCAAAGGCTTCCTGAAATTGCTCGTTTCGCAGGATTGCCACCCCGCGTTCCGCTTCGTAGCACAGCAAGGAACCGACGGGCCTCCGTCGTTTCCGGTTCAAAGTAGTGGTTGCAAATGGCCCGGACGATCCCGAGACAGACGGCGACACGGCCGCATCATTGTCGTCCCAGATTTGGAGATATTTGCCAGTTTCTAAGCCCTCAAGCAGTTCCCAGTTTTCTAACACCACAGGAACAGCTCTTTTTCGAAGTACGCCGGTGGAAAATGTACGCGCGGTGAGCTCTTGACCCACATAACAACCTTTGTCGAAACTGACAGCGTTTGGTATGAAATCGAAATTCAACTCCAACGGCAAAACAGTTTCTTGTTTGAAATCAGCAAGACCGTCCACATATCCGTGTGTGTATCTTTCACTCCTTACGTCTACGTCCGTAACCTTTTGAATATCAAACCCAAAGGGAAGTTCTGGCGCATTGAAAATGTCGCTGATGTCAGCGACACTTGAGGTGGTAATAACCCGAAAGATTAGTGGATTTTCTGGGCTGTCATAAAGTAAATGTGTGCTTCTCGGATCAATAAAAAGGCCCAGCACTTCGTGTTCGTGGTGCTGGAAGAATGTCGTCAACAAATGACGAGTGTAATCTAAAGCGATTTCGGGAGCTTTGACAGTTTCCATCGGAGTTATAAGATTCGGTAGCCACGGGTTTTCGTCTGATATTCCAGCAGGAAAACTAACTGATAAATACCAGGACTTCAGCTTCCCTGCGGGTTCCATTTTACTTTTGACTTTGCTTACCAATGTGTGCGACTCAAAAATATGGTCTAATTGATCACCGATGGCGCTGTCAACTTCGATCAGATACTCAGGGTACTTTCGTGATTCTACTGTGTCTATCAACAGTGGTGTGGGATAAATAATTGCATCAGTCATAAGTTTGCCTTTACTATTAAGTAAAGCGGTATACGCAGCGAATCTTGAGATGTAAGGGCCATTGGCGCCAATTTCCTTAAAAATGCCCCAGTTGCCGCGATGAGTATCAAAATCCTTGACAGCAACGAACTCAGAAGGCTCATGGTCTTCTACCTCTATGGTAGTGAGATTTTTTTTGACATATGTAGGTAGCATCTTTGAAGTAACAAGTCCATTGAGAAACTTCGCTGCATCTGGTCCTCTGATGTGCAGGAAGCTCTTGTTGGATAGTTCGCAGTATCTTAACTGCGCATGAGAACTAGCGTAGCGAATAGACGCTACTTTAAATAGTCTCAAAGTGTTTGCCAGTGTCATACTTACCTCTCATCGAATCTTTCAGCTTCAAGATGACCAAATGATTCATTAGTAAATTGAAGAGTGTTGGTGATGATAACAAATATAAAAGCGGACTCTTCCAAGAGGTTCAAGATATATATTTAATCGACAGAGAAAGGCAGTCATTCGAAGCTAGCAAGCGCTTCAACAAGTTTTTGTTTACTTGTATTGTTAATACTTATTTGAATATAAAGAGTCGATGTTCTAAGGTTTTGATGCATGACAAAAATCGCCCGCATTTTACCATTGAGAGGTGCATATGCAGACGGACCACCATAGAAAAATAAGCAGAATTCTCTCAGTTATCGATCAAGTGTTGGCCACATTCAATTTATAACAAAAATGCTCTTTTCAGAAATCTCATCATCATCATCATCATAAAATGTCTATTTTGTCTCGTTTTTTTATCTTGAAACGCACGCTCTACTGTGAGATGGAAAGTGGGTAATTGTTGTTGTTGCTCGTTTGCCATGCACGATTTGAAAGAAAAGCGCACACGTCAAGAGAAAGCGTCATTTTGTTCTCATTAATTAGCTTCGGAAGCCAACTTCTCGGCCTTGGCGACAACGTCTTCGATACCGCCAACCATGTAGAAAGCGTTTTCTGGCAAATGGTCGTACTTACCGTCCAAAACAGCCTTGAAAGAAGCAACAGTGTCCTTCAATCTGACCAATCTACCTGGAATACCGGTAAAGACTTCGGCGACAGCGAAAGGTTGCGACAAGAATCTTTGGATCTTACGGGCTCTTTCAACGGTCAACTTGTCCTGTTCGGACAATTCATCCATACCCAAAATGGCAATGATATCTTGCAAAGACTTGTAAGCTTGCAAAGTCATTTGGACCTGAGAGGCAACGTCGTAATGTTCTTGACCAACAACAGCAGCATCCAAAAGTCTGGACTTAGAATCCAATGGGTCGACGGCTGGGTAGATACCCAATTCAGAGATACCTCTGGAAAGCACAGTTGTGGCGTCCAAATGGGCAAAGGTGGTGGCTGGAGCAGGATCAGTCAAATCATCAGCTGGCACGTAGACAGCCTGGACCGATGTGACGGAACCCTTCTTGGTGGTGGTAATTCTTTCTTGCAAGAGACCCATATCGGTGGCCAAAGTAGGTTGGTAACCGACAGCCGATGGAATACGACCTAGCAAAGCAGACACTTCGGAACCGGCCTGGGTGAATCTGAAAATGTTGTCGATGAAGAGCAACACATCTTGGCCTTCTTCGTCTCTGAAATATTCGGCAATGGTCAAACCGGTCAAAGCGACACGGGCACGAGCTCCAGGAGGTTCGTTCATTTGACCAAACACTAGGGCCACCTTGGACTCACCTTCGAGCTTGATGACACCGGTTTCACGCATTTCACGGTACAAATCGTTACCTTCTCTGGTTCTTTCACCAACACCGGTGAACACGGAGAAACCACCATGGGCCTTGGCAATGTTGTTGATCAGTTCTTGGATAAACACAGTCTTACCGACACCGGCACCACCGAACAAACCAATCTTACCACCACGGGCGTATGGGGCCAACAAGTCCACAACCTTGATACCGGTCTCCAAGACTTCGGCAGCAGTGGATTGCTCGACAAAAGAAGGAGGTTCCGCGTGGATAGGCTTCTTCTGCTTGGTCACGATAGGACCACGCTCATCGATAGGTTCACCAACAACGTTGATGATACGGCCTAGAGTTTCTCTACCAACTGGCACCGAAATTGGCGCACCGGTGTCAAGGACTTTTTCACCACGCACGAGACCTTCCGTACCGTCCATAGCGATAGTTCTCACGGTGTTTTCACCCAAATGTTGGGAAACTTCTAACACAAGCTTGCCCTGTTTGGTGTCGATTTCCAAAGCATTAAGAATCTCAGGTAGGTTGCCCTGTTCGAACTGAACGTCCACAATGGCACCGATAACGGCGCGCACCTTACCCGCGGCAGCAGCCTGGGTTGCAAGAGCTCTGACGGCTGACACACCAGCACGTCTAGCTGCGTACAATCTGGGAAGAACCATGATCACAGCACAGACAGAGAGAAAGACAAACTTTTGTGGTTCACTCTTCTTTGGCAAGTAGAGACCTGTTTTTAGAAGAGTTTGGGTTAAGAAAAGTGTATCGAAGAAGGAAGAATCGACCTGTATATTTTTCACCACTGAATCATGGGCGTGGTGTTTAGAGGACGGGTAACTGCAATATTTTTTTCGAGTATTAGGTGAGGCCAAGAGACGCGCTCTGATTGGCTGAGAGGTGGGGAAGAGTGTGGAACAGCAGAGAGAGGAGCAAGGTGTGGGAGGGCGAGATTGAAGAGCTGTAAGATGGGGGAATTGATACGGAGTAGAAGATAATATTGGCAGAATATAATTATTGATCAATTTTGGGATGTGTCGTTCTGTACGTAAATGTAGGTATAGAAGTCTCAGTTACACGGAAATGCAAACTAGAAAAGGCAGTCCTTTGAATTGCTTTGTTTCTGAGTGAGCCGGTATCTCAACTTTTGTTCTTGTTTGTTGGCGTTTAGAATATTGAGTTTGTTTTTTTTGGTGAGTTTTCAACATGTCGTCTACTTGTTCCTCTGGTCGATCATCTAGTCGAGCACTAAGGGTTATGTGGGACATGTCGGCGACGGTATGGTGTCTGACTGTGGATTAACTGGAGCGCATCTATATCCTTTTAAGCAATATTGATACTTTGGCTTTCACATGTTGTTGAGCACTGAACTGTTAAGTTGCGCGGTCGACCCTCCCCACAACAAGGCTGTCGGCGACGTGGACGTGGAAAATGATCATCATCAGTAGTACCGCGAGTTCAGATGGTGTTACTAGCGCAGAATCGTCTACGCTGAGACAAGATTAGTTCTTATTTTATCTCGCATTTGTGCTGATACACAAATTGCACCCTTATGCTGTAATGTTCATTCTTTCAGGATCAATTTGTGTCCCATTGCAGTTGAATGTTGTGTTCGACATCAGAATCATTAAACTCCCCCCACTATCTAACTTCTTCATACACCTCATCCAATTCCTCTCAAATCCCAGAACGCCTTAAATTCCTATCTAATCTCTACTTCAACGAAGCATACTATCTATCTTGTGTTGTGCACGCTTCAAAATGTCCCGTATTTCGTCAGGGTGCCGGATATAATAAAGCTCATCGCGTTCAAACCGCTCGCGTGATTCATCATCAGAGACATCCTCTTCATCTGCCTTTTCTACCAACCGAAAGTAGTCATGGGCGCATAAAATATCGATATCGCCCTGTTCTGCCAGTTGGTTCCACTCTTCAGGTTTCATCGATTGCAGACGTCTTCTTTTGGAATACCGAGTCGATTTGGAGTGAGCAACGAAGGCAAACGGACATATTGTTTTGCAAGAGGAACAAAAAATGTCATCGTCACCATCATCATTTCCTGCACTCGAAACTGATTCTTCGTTGGCATCTTCATTGTTGCTAGACGTCACGGTCACTTGTATGTCAACGCGGAGCTTATCGTCAATGTGGCGACGTGTGAAACCTTTGGCCTCATTTTGAGCACATACAACGTCCGCTAACTGGTTTAAGGTCTTGACCTCACGATTGAACATCTCTAATAACTCTGAATGACATCTGCGCACCATACCCTCCTCAAACTTTCTCGGATTCTCCAGATACTCTAACAACACGGTAAGCATTAGTTCCCACATATTGAAAACACACTTTTTACCGGTGGCAATGTAGTCATGTGTGGCTTCCACACCGTACGGAAGCCATAAATCTAGAGTGAAATTGACCGCCTCGTTGAAATTATAGCCTGTATTGAACCCAGAGTGATAACATTTGGGAAAAGTGACGACGTATTCACCTGGATACTGTATCGCCTTATAGCAGCTTATTTTCGCGTCTTGGAATCGTTTGTCATATGGAGCTATCAGTGTAACGAGTTGGTGGAGGAGATCAGGTTGCTTTTGAAACAAATCTGGTGCTATGCTTTTCATGAGTTCGTCAAACTTCTCGCGAGAGTTTTCAGGAACACTGTACCATATTTTTGGATCGCCCTCATGCTGATAATTAGCGCTTAAGGTGTACTGATCTTCCAGATGCCAGCAGAAGGTTGAGAACGTGGATCCGATGTAAGTCCATGGCACGGTCATCCCAGAGATTTTTTTACCAAACACCCACAATAAGGAACCCTTGGCCGTAGGCAGATTCACCAAATTCATTGGATGCTGGACGTATTTTGTGTACTTTTGTCTAGCGACTGGATCTTGTTGAACGTCCGGAGGCACGAACTCAGCTGTAGGGAAACCTGTCATTTGGCCGGGCCCCACGTTGTGGATATCAGCGCCATATCGAATGGAGGACTCTGTGTCGATTTGGTTGACTTGGTCCCAGAACATGGTTTCGAGAAGCCGCAGATTCTCCAGTTTGTTGCCTTGGGGCCATAATTGCGAATCAAAGTCGCTGCACAGCTTCTGGAAGCTTTTTCTGGTGTATAACTTATCCTCTTCTTTGAAGCCATAGAAACCGTTCCCAATAATGCAGTTGTTGCATGCCCATTTCCCTCTCGGTACGTCGCTCAACGGTGGGTCCAAACAGAAAATGTGGAAAGGTTTATCGCACGAGTCGCACAGAATAGTTTTGGAGCGGTGTGACGTTCGACGACAGATAACACATCCCTCTTCTTCTTCTTCTTCTTCTTCTTCTTCTCCCTCTTCTTCTGCGGCTCCATGGCCGTTCCTGCTGTCATCTGCATCGTCCTCAGAGTCGTTCAACAACGACTTGGGGTAGTCCTCGGTGTATATCAGGTTTGAGAGCATAGACGCATGATCGCCATAGGGACCCATCTTTCGCTGCAGAAAGTCGTAATATGGCGCAAGAAATGTCTGAAAGACATGCAGCAGCTTTTCTGCCGATTTGACTAGTAATTTAGAGACGTCTTTCCACAGTTTCTGGTTATTATAAATGTCCCGTAGAGGCGCTAGAACGATTCTGGAGCTACGTTTTGCGTCACTTTCTGCAAATCGATCAGACTTGGACCTTTTCCGGCTAGAAACGGGCGTCTGTGAGTACTTTCCCTCTTCTTGTTTGACGGCGTTTGCTTCGTTGCCCAGTTGAGTGACGGCGATGAAAAGATCATAAAAGTAAATGCGGCCGTCTTGGGATTCCACGTAGGGCTTTGATAAAAGCACCGTGGCACTGCGCTTTCCATGCATGTAAAAATTGTTCAACTGTTTCATCAGAAACAGCCTTCCCCGATTGGATATATTGAGTTCGTTCAAATGCTGCACTCTGGCCCGAAACTTGAAACAGGTTTCATCAATGGAAAGAGGCGGTTTGAAATCCTGCGGCGGAACCAGCTTGACCATCCCGTAAATGTGACCCAACCGCCGCACATTGGGCTGCGACAGAAAACTGATGGGATCCTCCATTTCACTCGACGAAAGCCGTAAAACTGGGATATGTTCCAGCTCGTTCATTTTGCGAGTAATGGAGGTCAAACCAAGAAAAAAAAAAGGGGAAACCGATCCAGAACTAAAACACTCTACTCAATAGAATAATTCCTTTGATACTGGTGTGCTTGAGAGTTGTATAATGTCGAAAGCCTAGGTCGATGGCTGTCTCTGTCTTTTTTACGCTTTATATATTATATCCTACAGTTCATATCACTATTCAGCTAGCTCGTCGCTAGTCATCGGAAAAGTAGTGGGATGAGTACGATGATCGCTTTCGGTATGGTAATAAGTAGAAATAGGAATAGGAATCAAACAAGCCAAAAGAGGTAATTTTGAGTCACGTGAAAGATCACCACAAACGTATGATTTCGTATGACAGCATATATGCACGTGACAATGTTTATTACATAATCAATTTGTATATTACATAATCAATCTGTGCATATATCACCATACACGTAATCTTATCGACTGGTCACATGACCGAAACCAAATGTAGATAATATGAAATAATCTATGCAATGCTTCTTCCCATCTGTATCGGTGCTTCCCTCCAACCATCCAGATAAAACTTCTTGGCGATCTGTCAAACTCCACCCCTCAACCTCTGCACCAAAGACATGGGCTACACATTGACTATTCTGGGCTGCGGTGTGATGGGCCAGGCTATCTTGTCTGCCATCTACAACGCACCAGCTGCCACTGAAGAAACTAAGGATTTCTACCCAGAAAAAATCATCGCCTGCAACAACAGCCAAAACTCATCCAATGCCGTACAAGAGCTAATCAAATCGTTTGGGGACAGTCCAAATGCCATCGAAGTCGAGTATACTGTTGATCAGAACTCTCAGGCCGTGAAAAAGGCAGAAGTGATCGTGCTCGCCACGAAACCGTTTTACGTAGAACAAGTGTTGAAAGGCGTCGAAGTCGGCGATCGGCTATTGATCTCGCTTGTGGCTGGCTGGACGCTCGAGCAGTTCGGCCAATACGCCCCCGTTTGCACCAGGGTCATGACAAACACACCCGCCAAGTTTGGCTACGGAATGGCAGTGCTATCGCACTCTTCAGCTGTTTCCGATTACAACAGATCACTCGTGAGGCAGCTAGTTGGCCACGTCGGAAGCTGTATCGAACTGCCCGAGAAAAACATGGACGCAGCTACTGCGTTGGTTGGTTCCGGCCCGGCCTTTGTACTTCTCATGCTCGAGTCTCTGATGGAAAGTGGTATCAAGATGGGAATTCCACTGAAGGAGAGCAAACAGTGTGCTGTCAAAGTCTTGGAAGGTACCGCGAAGATGGTGGAAAAGACAGGCGCGCACCCTAGTGTTTTAAAGCACCAGGTTTGTACCCCAGGCGGCACGACCATCGCCGGTTTGTGTATGATGGAGGAAAAGGGTGTTAGAAGTGGCATCGTCAAGGGTGTCGAGGAAGCTGCTGCCGTTGCTGCGCGTTTAGGCAAGAAATAAAGCGTGTGTACTGTAATTTAGTATTTGAGACACAACGAAATTCAAATATAGATGAAGAATAGCTCGAACTAATGATCTTTAGGATCGATTTGAATTATCCCAGAAAGTTTTCCCATACCAGCACCTTTCAATTCTTGTCTGCTGAACATGCTTGAATCTGAATAATGTCATCTGTCACATGATGATGTTTAAATGTTCAATAAGATTGAGCTCACACGAGGCATCACCATTTTCCTTCATTAGAAAGACAATACTCACAACTCCAATTGAAGTCGTCATTATCCGTTATTACTTCTAATCAAACCGGTTATTCCAATTGACGCTATGGGTGTGTTATCATCGGTTAACATTACATTCTTCAGAGTGGGCTATTTGTCATTTCTGGCCTTTGCATGTCTTAAAGATGTGAATTTGATTTTGTCAAATGCGTCGTTTTTGATGTTTACGAAGGCTATGAACCTTCCAGCTCTGGTAATTCCCTCTTATAGTGCGCAATTGGGTCTTTTTGCCGTGGTCTTCAGTTTACTGGCCTTACAAGATTTTATTCCGTTAATAGAACGGAACACAATGTATTTCGAGTCAGTTGTCTCTCTCAGATTGTTTTTCTTCTTTGCGTTAACCACATATGCATACTGCGTTCCAGGAAACTTGTTCCTTCACAACAATGCCGTGGTGATCTACGGTGGCTGCGAAATTTGGATGAACTTTCTCATCTTCACAGCCCTAAGGGACGAAAAAAATGAGAGATTTAAGGAGGCCAATAGAGTGACCCTGGACGATGAGCCTGAGGTCCTAGAGCCACTGACTGAGCTGGAAGGAGCAGAAGCAGACGCGAGGGCTGAGGACTCTAGCAATTCTTCAGACGAAGAATAGGACACGCTCTAACTCTCGATTCTATATATCCAGGCAGTTTTTTATGTTTTTTTCCCTATCTGTCAGCTTGTCCTGTTTCCCACAAGCTTGTCATCCCGCATTTTTATTCCTGTTTGCCTTCCGTAACGTACTCGCTTACAATGAAATGCAGGAAATCTTCGAGTTCTTTGAAATTTGAAAATCTGGTGTCAAAGATCGTTGCGTTTGAGGCGTCCACTAACTTCACACTCGTGGTAGCGTTGCAATAGTTGGAGCTTTCCAATCCAAACTCAATTTTTCCTGAACCGGGAAGCTCTACTTTCAGATCAATTCGTGGCAGTTGTAAAATCTTGTCGAAAAGTGTGATTTCATCGTCAAGCTTCGTGATATGCTTGTCATAGGTTTCGCGTCGAACAGGTATATTTTGCTTGCGATAATCCGAGGGGATTTCAGTCACAACGGAGTTCGCTACAACATCTAAAACGTAAGTTTTTATGACTTTCTGCAACAGGTTGAGATAATTCTCATGTCTGAATTTACCCATTATCGGCCGCAGCAGTAGAGCTTCGTTGTCAAATGGATGTACAGCCTTTGAGTGTGCAACCATTAAAAGCTTCTTCCTGATTTGCTTCTTATACATGACGACCAACAGCATCCTTAACATTACCAGTATAAGCGCCGCCTTTCTATCATTTGTCTTTGGCGCGTCTTGCTGATGATTCAAGATTACCTCATCTGTTAGGTTCATCATCTCAAATTCTATCTTTTCCGTTGGGAACTCAACCGTGATCTTATTTTCGTTTTCCAGCGTTACACCGTAAGATATTAAAGTTTCAGACTCTTTTTTCAAATGGTACATGAGTTCCTTTTCAAAAATTAGGAACTGAAGCTTGGAGATTTGCCGGCGAATGTTTTGCTCTGCACCACTATTATCAGCAGCAAGCAATAGATCGTCAAGTGCCGTCTCTCCGCTAAGGATGTAATCATCTTCTTCTTGTATTTTAGTGAAGATGCGAACACGCATGAATTTCTCAAAAGGTCCCCTATTCATGGACTCAAACTGCTGTTTCTCCGCGGGAACAGCTTCCAAGGCGTCTTTGTTTGCGTTATATCTAAGTATAGCAATGCCCCTTTCCTGCTTGTAGCTTGATCCTGAATCTTCATAACCATATTTCAATCCAAGCGATTTTTCACCTGTTTCTTGATCTTTCATTTTGAAAATCACATCCTTTTTTGAAGTATTAGCTGAAACTTTTGACCAGTAGTTTTGTTCTTTTCTCAGGCTAGCTTCTAAAGTTTTGTGTGTGTCTTTCAGAAGCACTCGAGACTCTTCTAAGCTTCTGAGCTTCCACCCTCGAGTTGTCAATTTTTTGTCAACAATCTCAGATTCTGTAGCTTTTTCATATGGTATCTTTTCGGCATTCAGAGATGCGGTCGGCACAGCATTTTTCAAAAACGGAGACATAGATGCGTTTGCTGCGGAAGGGCGGACCGACGACAGTAGCAGAGAAACGAATTCAAGAGCAAGTGAAGCCTCATTGACCGAAAGGTTCAGAGACTGAACAGTTGAGTTTTTAAGCTGTTGAAATTGTTCCTGCGTCATTTGATCCTCTTCTTCCCTGGCGAGTGGTCCCTCAATTTGCTGAGGCTTTAAAGCTTCTTGATCTGCATTCGCTGGAAAATCAGAGGAGTCCATTTCAACGTCCTCATCTAAGTTCTTGACATGTTCCATATCTTCAGCGTCATTCGCTATCTCTTCACTTAGGACCCTTTCGGATAGATCAGCGAATTTGCTGCCAATTCCACGACTTTGCAAAATTACAGGTATCAGTTGATCCAGGGGCATACTTCCAAACATCTCATACGGATTATTCACCAATGATTGACCCGTGGTGGCGTTTTGATGAGTACCATTTTGACTTTTGTCGTTGTCATCAGATTGATCAGTTGGCAATGCAGAAGAGGTGGTTTTCATGAAATTGGGATCAATGGCCAACGGTATTCTTTTGGTTTCATGATTAGCAGCCTGTGAAGACTGATCAGGCGGGTTATTGGTCATCACAAGGGCGTTGAACGCTTTGCTAGGGCCTTTACATGTTCGAAGTCTTACTCTTAATATTAACCTGTTTTTCGGTGTAATAAATCAAGAACGATGATAATTAATTATGGATAAAGTTCAAAATAATCGATGTGCTCGTGAGAGATCACCAAAGCTGTTACTTCAAGGTGCCATTGGTCCAGTATTTAAAGCTGTATTCTAAATATTAGAGGCCAAAAAAGATTTGACCATACAAGCTCAGTAAAAGTCACCCAAATCACCCAAGTCGTCCTCATCCAGATCAGCGAGGTCAATCAATTCCTCTGCCTGATCATAGCTTGCAGATTTGTGCTTGTTATCGCCATTACCATTATCAGGATATCTCATGGCCTTGACGCATTCATCGTGTAGTTCATTGACAAACTTTATTCTTTCGTCAAACAATTGTTGTGGTTGCTCCGTAGCATATACATTTAACAGCTCGCTGCTTTCAATGAAGCCATGCTCATGATTAATTTTAGCCTCTATCACACCATCTCTTATGGCTCTAGACACCATGTATTCTACAGTTTGTTCCGAATCCAGACGCAGCTTCAGGCATATATCTTTGAGAGAAATCTTTTTGTAGGTGAGAGATATTATCCTTATACCAGTCTTGATGACACTCGATCTCAAACGCACGCAAAGCTGGTAGTTCCCATCGTTGAGAAGCTCTCTCTTGTAGGCAGATATGGCAGATGTGAATTTGTTCAGGTCACCAAGTTTGACAGCCTTCGACAAGTGATAATAAGGAAGCAGAGACCTCTCCATGTTTTTTTGTTTGAAGAAAGACAGCTCAGGGATATCGCCCATCAGAAGTTCGATGACACAGTGTAACTTGTTAGCTTGTTGTAAAAATCCAAGACTCTTCTTAGTGCTTGGGGCTTTGCGAATCGCAGCAATCACATAATCATTTGCCGTGGAGTAATCTAGTTGAATTGCGTTCAGCTTGGATAGGTAGTAGTAGTAGCGTGCCTCTAGCGGACTAGACACGTCGTTGGACCCAGGAAATTCGACTTTACTAATAAAGTCTGCCGCTGTGTCTACTTCACCGGTCTGCAAAAAGCTTCTTAGAATGAAAGTGATGAGCGTGGCACGAGTCTCGTTGTCATGTTTTAGAGTTGCTGTCCTCAGAAATTTGACCATTTCGCCTCTAACAGAAGTGTCGAAGCTGTTGCCAACGATTTCCCGGCCCCTGCAGATGTAAAACCACAATTTAGAGTTTACGAGGTCTAGCGTTCTTTCATCGTAAAACTGTAGAATCTTAGGATGGACAACCTTTCCATTGAAAGAATCGAGGGCTTCCAATTGCTGTGAGTCAAGCAAGTACAATTGCACCAAGAGGTGTACAAAACTGTTCAATTCTGCAGAAACATCCACACTTTTGTTGCCATTGACAAGCTGGTAGAACGCGGCGGGGTATTTCTGACGCTCTTCCTCGGCATTTTCTACCTTGCTCTTTTGGTTCTGATTGATGTATTTCAATAGTGGAATTTTGAAGTTGGATTCGTCTGGATACAATAGGTTGACCACAATTGATAGTGACTCTTTGTCTAAATTAGGTCTGAGAACACTCAGCTTTCTTGTGGCCTTCCACACAAATCGAGTGTCTAATGTCGTTGTAGTCTTGGAGACATCTTTTAGTAGATCAAATATGCGACTCACAACCGTCTGACCTTCATCTTTTTGCACCATGGCGGGCACGCTGTCTACTTCCATCTTATCAGAGGTCATTGTGATACTACGATGGAGGTTTCGCTCTCAAACAAGCTTCCAAGGCTGTCGTCGTTGGATTGGTTAACATTGGTGAAAGTGGTTTTTGGTGGCAAATGTTTTTAAGGTAGGATCGTTTAAGAGTACAAAAGTACTCGTCACATCGCTATTGCATAGAGAAAGAACAGAAGTAACGAAAACTACGAGGTATGAGGCAGTCCCAGTGAATCATTAGGCAATTGTCGGGTGTACCAAAAAAGATCCCTATTATTAAAAAGGTACTATGCGGTGGTGAAGTACGTATAATTAGTTTAAGGTGCCATTTTCGAGCAAGGCGATGGCGAAAGCTCGAGCTGAATTGAAGCCCTGAGAACTTCCGCTAAAGAGCTGGACTCTTTTTAGTTAGCTCTCGAAGATACGAGATGGCGCAAGTTCTTAGGTATGATGGGAATGTCACTTTGTACTATCCTGACATACGCTTTAGAGTACTTTAGAGTGACTGAACTAGAAGAGCAATTCACATTGTGGATTTAAAATGGAAAGCAGCACAGTACTTAAGAATCAGCATAATCTTTGTTCAGCTGTATAGGAAATCATCACTTGTAGTTCTCTTCGAAAACAGCTTTTATTGATGGACGTCACGGAGTACAAACTGTCATCCCGTGACCGGCGTCAGCGACAGATTAATCATTAGTGATGATTGGCAATCCGAACTACAGATGGACTACCCTTCACGGATACTAAGCATTGTTTATGCTTCTGAATTGAAGTGTTGCAACTGTAGAAATATGATTCAAGCCTCATACTGCTATCTTGAAGTTACTGGAGGCAAAAATCCTATAAGCTTTACAAGAGACCGGGGAGACTTGCAATACCACCGGAACTGACATTCCAGAATTCCACAAAAAAATATCGCTAGCACGTTTACTTGAAAACTGCTTGGAATTCATTTATGAGATTGAATACAGTTCTGTTTTAGAAATGTCCTTCGTTCACCAAGATTTCGTTTAGACATGATTTTGGCTCAATTTTGAGGGCTCGAGCACCATAAGAAGGTTAGAACAATCAAATTTAGACATATTGTACACTCACCAGTATATATAAGAACAAACAAGGCCACTAGGGAATACCAGTCGTTGAAACTCATTCCCCATCAAAATTGGAAGAAAGTCTCAACAGAAAGTGCTCAAGTTTTCGCGTCAAAAACCACTTCCAAACGAATCCAAGAAAACTCCCAGAAACATAAAAATTCCTACACATTGGTAATTATCCAAACACAGCTCAAATCATATCAATAGTCATATCATCTACTCAAAACTGCCCGTTGTAAAGCTCATCCATTACTAGTCCTTCGTTCAAGAGCATTTCAATTTATTACCAGGATATTAAACCAACACTTACCAATTCTACCCCACACAACAGTTCAAGCTCACCATCAGTTCGGCGCTTTCAGGGTCCCTTCATTTACCACCTTGACAATTGAACTGCAAGCTCGCTCAACCGCATCAAACACTTTTCAATCCGTTACGAACTGTTTTGTACCTTTAGAGTCATTCTTTCAATGGTCAAGGGAGAGTTTTCGTTGAATGGAGAACCGGTGGACATAACTCAAAGACTAATCCACCGTTATTATGACGCTCTATGGGCAGCCAAAAATGATGTGGATTTAAATGGGAGCTCTTCGGCAAATGAAAACGCTAATAATCTTAGCGAAGGCGATGATTGTTATTCCGATGACGCATCTGGCGGAACATTTCGAAAACTAGCCTCCATCGTCAAGAGAATGTTCAGCCGAGATTATGAACGTAATGTGCTGATAGAGAAAGTCACCCAGGAAAAACAGCATGCAACTTCATACGAAGAGTGGCTTGCAGCTGCACTTCGGCTTGACGAACTAACTCGTACCAATGAATGGAAGGCACGGGAAGAATCTGTTCTTTACGATTACAAATTTATTCAAACTCATACCCAAAATATGAGGCAAGCACGTCTAGATAAAGATTATGCTCAATTGCTGTATTTGATACGAACAACCTGGATCAGAAACTTGGGAAACATGGGCAACGTCAATCTTTACAGACATTCTCATGTTGGGACAAAGTATGTCATCGACGATTACATGCGCGAGTCTAAACTAGCTTTGCAAGAGCTTGTACGCCACTCCGATTTGGATGAAAGCTATCTTCTGGGAATGCTTGTGCAAACTCGCAAAAACATCGGGCGAACAGCTCTTGTTCTGAGCGGAGGTGGTACATTTGGTTTATTCCATATTGGTGTTCTCTCGACACTACTGGAACAGGACTTGTTACCACGGGTAATCAGCGGTAGTAGCGCAGGCGCTATTGTTGCAAGTATTTTGTGCTCTTGCCATAGGAGAGAGATTGTTGGACTTGTGGAAAGCGTTTTAGAAAAAGAGCTCAACATTTTTCAGGATGACTCCGAAAAGACGCAAGGTGAGAATCTCCTAATCAAAATCTCAAGATTTTTCAAGAGTGGTACTTGGTTCGATAATAAGAATTTAGTCAAGACCATGATCGATTTTTTGGGCGATTTGACGTTTAGGGAAGCTTACAATAGAACCGGTAAAATTCTCAATATCACTGTGTCTCCAGCTTCCGTTTTCGAGCAACCGGGCTTACTGAACAATTTGACTGCTCCTAACGTTCTGATTTGGTCTGCTGTCTGCGCCTCTTGTTCTCTACCAGGTATATTTCCTTCGACACCGCTTTACGAAAAAGATGCAAAAACGGGTGAAACACGCGAGTGGAACAGTGGTACTGTAAAGTTCGTCGACGGTTCTGTGGACAACGACCTTCCTATTTCGAGATTATCAGAGATGTTCAACGTCGATCATATCATCGCATGCCAGGTCAATTTGCATGTTTTTCCAATCTTGAAGATGTCCGTTTCGTGCGTTGGTGGTGAAATTGAGGATGAGTTCAGTGCTAGATTCAGACAAAATCTGTCCTCGGTTTACAACTTTGTTTCCAACGAAATAATTCATGTTCTCGAAATAGTAACGGAACTGGGCATTGCAACAAACGTTCTCACTAAATTCAGGTCCATTTTGTCGCAGCAATACTCTGGAGATATCACCATTCTACCTGACATCAAAATGCTGTTTCGGTTAAACGAGCTCTTAGCCAATCCTTCAACCGACTTCCTGCTACGAGAAACAGTTAACGGCGCAAGAGCCACTTGGCCCAAGATATCCATCATTAAAAATCATTGTGAACAAGAGTTTGAGCTGGATAAAGCAATATCTTATCTGAAAGGAAAGATTATATCGAATCCTACTTTTACTACAAAAAATCCATTCCAGTTTACTGACCTTTCAATATCCCTTATCAATACGCCAGAAATGCCTAGTCATGATGAGCAAGTCCCTAACGATTTAGACGATACCCTTTTGAATCATCATGAGACTGATAGGATGTTAGTTATCAATGATTCTTCTAAGAGGCCTCATTCATACGGTAAGACTAGCATTTCAATTGCAGACGCGGGCAGAAGTTTGCACCACCATCGTCGCAAGTCAGACTCGTATGCTAAAGGAAAAAGTGGTGCGCGGTATAGCATATCACATCCGGGCACAACCACTTCACATATATCGACAAAGCTGTTACCAACCTTGATGGGGTATAGCCCTCGACTGGATAGGAAGAAAAGCGTCGGACAACTTCCATCCGCCTCTGTAGCCAGCAGACCGCTTGATAACAATTTCAGACTGGAACCAAAAAGACATAGCAGTAGTTTTACTGCCCTTCATGGCCCCCGAAACTCCAACGTGTACTCTTCAGTTCGAACAAACCCGCCCTCACCGCTTTCAGCTCCTATAAATACCAACATGGAGGGGACCTCACGAAAGGGTTCTTTCTCATCTTACGAGTCGCCTTTGAAAGCATATCACAAACGTGGTGCAAAAGCACATAAAGGTAGAGCTCCAGCTGGCAACCGTTCTAATTCCACGGGCTCAGCCAAATTAAAATCTTCAGGAAAAGTGAAAACGGGTGGCAAGCCAGATCTCAAGACCGTATCGTATGTTGACGATGATCCGATGGATCCAGTCGAAACAGGAGGCGATGAGGAGATAAACAGAGAGAGTAACTAATTAGCTTATTCCTTATATTCATTATTCATGCTTGCCATTACCACTCTAGCTACAAATAACCAGTGAGTTCACACCGTAGGTCTTCCAAGAAGATTTCTCATATGAGCATGACAGCTCTTTTACTAAGTCACTCTGTTTCAAAGCATTTGCCGTGCTCTCTGCTACCGACAAGCAACCGTCAATTTCAAGTCTCTCTAAAACAATAAACTCTTCTTTGAATGCTCGCAAAAGCTCATAGATCGAAACACCAGTTAGTGACGTGTTGAATGAAAGATCCAGCCTTCGTAGCTTCTTGACGTACTTCACGTTTTGAGCGAAAACTTTGAGACCGCGATCATCTAATGCCACTGATTGAGGAAGTAGAAGTTCTTCAATGTGAGGCACTAATTTGAGGAGCTTTTTGACGTCCATGTAGCCAACATCATTTCCACGCTGAAAGTGAATGTGCGGACAATCACCAATGTTAAGCCTTTTTAACTTATTAAATGGGTAAGCTGCAAGAAGTGAAAGTAGGCCATGCGAGCTAATTGAACTCCCCATCAAGTCTAAATGCTCCAACGTGCTTATGTTTTTCATTAAAATCATGTTCTCCATTAATCGGGGGTATTGCCTCACGTCTGCTGCCTGACTGGAAATACGGTGCTCACGAAACGTAAGCTTTGACAGTCTTGAAAACAGAGGTACATATACGACAACTCTCAAGAAGTCTTCCAAATACGCATCTTTATTATTTTCCAACCAGAGCTCCTTCAAGTTTTTAAAATGCGGTAGCCAACCAAAGCCCGTACCAGCACCAAACGATACCCCACAAATGCAAAGTTTCTCTAGGCGATCTAACGGACCTGAACATAATAGGGATTTGAGTGGAAATATGTGTAGCATCTTCTTTAGCTCACATATTATTTTCAGCGATTTTAGACGTTGCAACTCCTGCACTTCGTTGCCACATTCAGCCATCGAGATATTGCTAGAGCGGCTGGTGCCCATACATGTTGAAAATATGAGGTCTAGATGGCTGATATTGGTAACCGATCTAACGAACAAGCGGTCTAACATTGCTGATGGGTTCATGCGATAACCGCAACTCAAGCTCAGTCGTTCTAGACCTGTGGCAAGAGTCGTGTTTTTGGAAAGAGCCGATGTCAATTGTTCAAAGTCCGCTGTTTGACTGTGAAGTATTAATGTCTTTACGCGAGGCTGCATGTTTTCAATCAATAAGGACAGCGATCGAGGTTCGCAGGACGAGGATGAATTGGAAAATTTGACGGATTCAATCTTTGATCCTGTTTGATTATGATTTATTTTATTAACAAACTTCTGGAAAGATATGATAGCTCTATGATTGCAAAAGCTAATATCGAATCGACTGAAGACTTCTGGAAGATTGCTGATACGAGCGAGCCAGACTTTGCTTACCAGCATGCACCTCGCAATTTGCGTTGCTTCCAACTGTAGTAAAATGACCCTCAGAATTTCAAGTGGGCATCTACCCACAATGTCCACATATAGTTGCGTGGCGTTAGTCTTCAAATTCTTATGATTTGGCAAATCTTTCTGTCCGTCAGCTGGAGGTGGAATAAACACGCGTTTTTTCCTCTTGGGCAAGGCTACCTGCGCCTTGGATCTACTATTGATCAGGGAAATCTGGTAATTTACGAGGGCTTCCAATTTCGGGGAAGAACTCAATTGCCATTTTTCTTCCATTTCCCTCATTTTCCGCAGTCCTTCCGTATAGGTGTGAAGAGCGTCCTGATCCTTGCCCAGTTTCTGCAGGATTTTGCCTCTTCTAAGGTAGCATTTCAAATTGAGAGGTTCGAATCTAACGCATCTGCAGGCATCTTTCAACGCCCTTTGCAAGTCTCCCAATTTTTCCCACGCGGCTGCTCGATTATCAAGTAGTTTAACTAGTCGTGGATGCACTAATTCACCTGATCCAGGAAGTGGCTTTTTGCTCAAACCGTGAAATACACGTATTTCTTCAAGCCTTTTCTCATCGTAAGAGACTGCCAGCTTCAATGCCTTGGTGAACAGACTCAGGGCATCCTTAAACTCTTCCTGTTTGAAGTACCAAATCCCCAGATCCAAAGCTTTCTCTACAGCATCCTCGCCGCTCATCTTGAGTTACATTCGAGTCTCTTCTTGTTATGGTTTACCGATGAGCTGCTGAAGTTGTATATATATATATATATATATATATATATCGAGATCACTAGGTATTTAAGTGACAAAAGTTTAATTAAGGCCATCACTGTATTATTTGAACTAACTCTCGATCAACAGAATAAGGTAGTGTGTAACCAAGCACTTAGTCGTGAGGCTTCTTGAGGTCGACCGTGGTACATAAATGGCGGTCCAGGTTTTGGAGATCTTGGTAACGGGCTTCCTTTTCCTCTCGGTGGTGTTCGCTATTGGTTGCGTGCCCATATACTATGTGAAAAAGCGGTCATCAATGATGGGTGAACAAGTGTATCTGACGATGCTTTCGCTGTTTGGCGTTGGAATGCTGTTAGGGACTGCTATTATGCTCGTTATTCCTGAAGGAATAGAAGCGTGTCTCGAAAACCGTGGAAATGTAGGAATTAACCTGTTGATTGGGTTTTTAGTCGTTTACTGTTTGGACCAGGCCGCGTCAGTTTTGGGGAATATGTCAAACCAGCAGCGCAGGGTGTCAAATTATAGCTTTCCACAGATGTCAGGGGCGGAAGTCACTAGTATCAAAGATGTTTTGAATCCCAAGAAAATCGTTTCGTCGGTTTTCAGAAATCAGGTTGTGTTTGCACTCGTAGTTCATGGATTTTCAGACGGGTTGGCAATGGGTGCTTCCACCAATAACGATTCTCTGAAAATTGCCACTTTGATAGCCATCGTAATACACAAAATTCCAGCAGTCCTATCTTTGAGCAGCTTAATGGTCACAAAGCAGAACTTGCCAACTTGGGAAGCGGTCTCAAATTTGCTGGTGTTTGCTGCTTCTACGCCGCTCGCTTACCTTTTGATCTCCCTCATCAACTTAGGGACTTGGGGTCCCATGGAGTGGATAAGCGGAAACATTCTACTCATGAGTGGAGGAAGTCTATTATATGCCGGAGTTAGCGCTTTGCTAGGTAATCATCGACACAGCCCGAACCATCCTTTGGATCCAACCGAAGCTGTTGTTCCGGACTTCAATGGTAGCTCAGGAAGTTACGACTTGCTTCCCAAAGATATGACTCCCTTTGAGGTCATTGAAGCGCCGGGATCATTGAAATCCACTCCGCTACCGTATGGCGAAACTGCCTACGTCTTAGCTGGTGTGATCATTCCTGTTGTAGTCTCTTATTTGATACGGGAGAAGTCTTAGACGCGCTAAGCCTTTTTCGGACGGCAGTGCGTAAACTTAGATTAGCCTTTGCGTACTTACTATGCTACAGATGAGGTGATATATCATGATTATGACGATAATGTTCTTTCCAGTTTGATTTTCTTGACATGCACTTTGGGTTCTACGAACTAGCGTTTGCGACCCAAAGCTTTTCTCTTGAGCCACTTGTCCTTTTTATTCAACACTGTACTATCTTTCTGAGGTGCCAATGTCCTGGTGGAGGACATGGATGCTAAGAGTGTCACTTTGACCGGCCCGCGCTTCAAGGTCGTTTTGCGTAGATGCCGCAGAGTTTTCTTTTTTTGTTTCTGGAGTTCTGCCTTGACATCAGCAGAAAAGTCCTCGTCGTTCAAATCGTTGAAATTGACGTGTGTGGGTTTGGCGGTGATCTGGCGAGCCTCCTGTTCAGCCAGATTGTCAAAAAAATCCTCTGGCAGCTGATCCGGGACAATATCATCATTATTGTCATCATGATTGTTTTCATTTTGCTCGCGCTGTTTGAGCACCGCTTCGAAATCTTGCATTTGCTTAGATCGTTTCTGGCCTTGCTGCTCTGCAAATCTAGAGTTTTGTTTCCGTCTTTTCTCTTTCAAAAGTTCCTGCTCACGCTCCACGGCTCTTAGTCTATCGGATTCTTGTCTTTCAACTGTACTCTTGGAGCTAGAAAGACCCGCTTCTTCTGGGGCATCGTCGTCGTCATCATCCTCGCTGTCGCTGTCGTTGTCTGCATGATAACTTACATTGTTCTCTGGAATTTCGGCGGGGACGTCTTTCAGAGCCTCAGATTCCTCACCAAACTTACGGTGCTTAACAGTGGCAACCATAGTGGTATTCTAAGTGGCAGAAGTTCGGTATGTATCGATGAACAAAAGCGCTTCTTCTGAACTAAGCTCATCTCGAATTGAATGAACATCGTCAAAAAACCACCCATGGAACTTTTTCATCACTATACAGAAGATTAAATCAAATTCACATACCTCGTGATAAATACATTCATGAGTACCATTTTACTATGAAAGAAGTGAATGACAGACAGTATTAGTGGACTTTTGGGCCTTAAAGGATTCCATGATTCATTGAGTATGATGTTGCCGCAGAGAGATGCCGCTTCCTTTGTTATGCGTAAAACCTCCAATCTGTACGCTTTCTCGAGGTTTTGAAAAAAATCGACAGTTTCCTAATTTCACTCTGGAACACATCCAGCTAGCACTCTCAAGAGCATCATATGGGTCACGTCCAAATAACAATTGTGAAGCGAGCCTTTCAGAGAAATTTAAATATCTTGGATGCCTTCTTTTCTTCTCTAATGCAATGAGCACTTCTAGTGACAGTGCTATAAATATTAGACATTTAGTGACAATCAGACAAAATACAGCATCAGCGGTGGTAGGAAGAAAGCTAGCTCCCAGGCATTCTCCCCTGCCTAAATTTTAAGTCCTCTTTTCTCTTGTGAGCTTAAAAACTGATGTGCGAATGTGCATTTTTCATATCGCTGTTAAAGCTTCCTCAGATGCTCCCCAAAGTCACAGAAATTCTTGCCAAAGACAGATTGCGCTCTGTCAGTACCGAGAACGTAGCAAGTGGATGCTCTCAATATTACTACGTAATATTTGGAACCTTGTCCTGTCAATGCCGTGTAAATGGTGGTCCCTACGATGATAAATCCAATAACGCCATAGAACACTGTCTTGTTGCTGTAATAAAGCCTCCATAACCACGCTGTGAGGACAGACATGGAAGATCCATTATTTTCATTGCGTGTAAAATTGTGTTCTCCATTGTCATCGCTTATTTGTCCGGAAACAGGACGTTCAGGAAATTCCATGGGTGCTGAAATCGAACGGTGTGCAGGTGGTTGGCCACCAGGAGTCAAAATATTGTCATTCAAAGGAATTGCATTATATTTAGATGCGGATGGCTTGAAAGATAATGGACTATCTTCATCCACTACCGGGCGGTCAAAAATCAGATCGCCTCTCTCCAATTTGTTCATATCAATATCTGGCGGTAGTTGCGATATTGTAGACCCAGTTTCCATCAATTTTTCATGCTCATGATCACTCAGAAGCAAAGGCTCTGAGACTGTGCGGTTAAGGTGTGATCCATGGTGCTGTTCTGACATTAAGGGTTGTAAGATTTACGTGTTCTTCTTCACTACTAGTTCTGCTGGAATGGTATGATATGTTTGTGCGAAATGTATTTCAAGCGCTGACGACGGAGCCTGACGTCAAATTTCGACGGTGAAAAACGAAATTTACTACGAATTTCGACTAGAAGATTGTAACAACCCCGCTGAGTGCGATGTTCAGTATGCGAAGTGACTCACCGAGCACACATTGATGCACCTTCACCATCGAGGAAAGAGGGATTGTGGTTTGATCAGGATGTTCAAGATTTGAGCGGGGGTAAAGATAAGCGAAAAATTACATGGCGTGTTCTACAGACGGGTCAATTTCTTCAAATATTTGCTTGTAGCTCGGTGCTCGGTGCTCGGTGCCCGGAGCTGGGCGAATCGCCACGGATCTAGAATACCATCAAACTTGCGAGTGAATAAACTTCACCAAGTCTACAAGCTGTTTGAAACACCGTGGTAGGGTTTATTCCAAACTTCAACGGAGTTATGTGACGGATTTGGATGCCAACATTTGCGGCATTGAATCGGTCATTTCGTGTCGCAGCTGTCATCTGTCATCGCATGGACAGTAGTAGGTCCTCGTCTAACGTGACACTCACTATTGACATGATCAAGAATTTGGGAGGAAAAGAAAAATGCAGTCTTTGATATAATCCTTGAGTATCGTTTCTATATATCGAGCTACCATCTACTAAGCGTGGCCCTTGGACGTTTATCCTGGTGTGTTTGTTTATGCGAGTTTTGTGGGACTGTGGTTTGAGTCGTCCTAAATGCAGCAGTACCCACCGTCGATGATGATATCAGTACCGGTAGTGTAAGTGGAAGCTCCTGAGCCTAGATACAAGTAAGCACCGATGAGCTCGCGAGGCAACGCCTCGCGACCCATGGGGGTGAGTTTGTGCCATTTTTCCTTGAGGTCGGCTTCTGCGAAATTCGTGATCTCCGTGGAGATGTAGCCTGGCGAGACCGTGTTGACACGGGCAAACCCGGCCCATTCCACGGCCAAGGATTTGCACAAATGAAGAACACCGGCTTTGGCCGCGTTGTAAGCAGCTTGCATTTGTGGGACGTTGACCACGTGACCGGACATCGACGCGGTCACGATGAACGAGCCGCCGGTTCTTTGTTTTTTGAAAATGGGGCCGATGGCTTTGGCCACACGGTAGATACCGTTGAGATCCACGTCCATCACTTTGTTCCACTGTTCGTCGCACTTGTCCTCCTGGTCCTCTTCCAACATGTTGAGCAACGCACCGTCGCTCCAGGCGACACCTGCGTTGGCCACCATGATGTCGATGTGCTGGTTGAAATCCCGCTGGATCAATTCAATTGTGTCGCGCACGTCCTTCGAACTGGTGACAGAGCACTTGTAAGCGCGGACGGTCACGCCGTATTTGCGTGACAGCTCGTCGACGACTTCTGTGATGTGTGGGTTTGAGTTGTACCACATGGCAACGTTGGCACCCGCTTGTGCATATGCAACGGCCACGTCATATCCGATACCCGAGGACGCGCCTGTAACGGCTGCTAGTTTCCCCTTTAGGGAGAACATGTCCATCACGTGGTCCGGAAGCTGTGGCGCTGGTTGTGGAATTGGCAAATTGGTGGCAATCGTGTGAGCGGACATGGGTGTATGGGTGGTTTGGGTGGCTGGGTGTTTATGAATTTGACCAGATGATTAGGTAATCAAACAATGTGTGATTTAGTAGTTCGTCCAAGAAGAGAAGTATCAGTCCTATTTACACCGTCAGTGGTTCGAGGCTTTATATGAGCCCTAGCGAAAAAAGGTTTTTTAACGGAGACGATAGCAAAGGCTGTATTCAAGACAGCAATTGCGATAGGGTCCAGGTGAAACTTTTGGGTACGTAGCAAGTACAGAGTTGAGTGGTTACGATTGCTAGCGACGACGTGGTGTACGCGGTGTACGTGGGGGCACGTAGTCGTAATCTACAAAGCACCTTTCGAACAATGACGAGTAATTATAGAGAACAGGATAGACGTAGTCAATAATAGTGTGTGTCGTTGCTCAACGACACATCTTGTGTAAGTCATCTTGTGTTAAGTCATCTTGTGTAAGTATACCCTGTTGCTGTTCTATGTGTGTGTAGTGTAGTAATTAATTGAGGTGCCAGGGCCCGGTGGTCAGGGCTCGATGGCTAGGGCTTCGAAGGCTTAGGCTGGAATATTGCGATGTGCTTAGAAAGCACCGCGCAGACGGAGGACATGGTGAGACAGGACTCGAATCCATCAGCGGATGATATGAACCACGTGACACTTTGCACTTTGTGCCAGCGTCCTGGAATTCGTGTGCAATTCAAGAACCGGGGTAGAGTAGACTCGAGAGGGTGCTTAGTTAGTGACCAGTGTACCGGTTAGACCTAGGAATCCACTCTTCATACATATGCGTCATGGTAGCATCGGACGTTTGAAAACCACTAGACGCTGGTTTTCATATCTCGTTAACGTAGGTGTTCTACATTTGTTGGCTTCGTTACTCAATGGCTTCTTGTTTCTTGCAATCGGTAGTTGTTTTCATCCTGACTTTCCTCAAAATCGCCGTTTGCAAATCAATCAACACTCAATCCACAATATGAGTAAAAAATCTTAGTTCGACACTGCTTCTGAATCCAAGAGCGTTGTTGGATACCTAAGCTATCTCAGGCGTGTGCCATCCTTTGAACCCGGACTCGCATCCCTGAGCATTTCGAACGAACGGGCTCGTGGACTGCTAGTTATTTGTCCCCAGTGCTGGTAGAACCATAACTGGACCTTGTATTCGTCGCAATGCTCACCGAGAGCATCGGAAAACATACTTCACCTATCTCAATGACTAGTAAGTTGAAGCAAACTTAGGATCTGTACATGTAAGCAAGGTCATGTATGAGTGTTCATGCCCTCGCATCGTTGAGGTGTTCGAAAGGTTACAACACCTGGAGTACTGCTAATCACGTCGGTCCGTAAGAACAGACGTCCGGGAGCTGTCTTTTTGTCACCGCTGAAAGTGAATGGGTCTACCAATCACTTTACACGGGTACTCATCTACACATCTTATATGCAATGCTTCAACTCATCACTACAAATAACGCGATGTGAATCTCACCGGAACTTCTCTTCTGTCAAAAAAAACTGCTTTCTTTATCACCCACATACCTGGGTCTGATAGAAGCTCGGTGAAAAACACCTTCAAACGGTTTTTGACAGAAACTTAGTAAAAAACATCTTGAAACGGGGTTTGAGTCCTCGAAAACCAATCGTAATCCACCGTCTCTCAGTTTCAAACAAGACGACACATCAAGACACATCCATAAGTCAAAAAGCCTTTCTGGCCGAACCCGGAACAATCCCAGCCCTAATGCATTTAGATCACGTGACCCGCTTTCTTCGACCATCGAACAAACTTTGCCAAAGTTTCCTACCATCGCGGTCAAGCTTCCCGGCACCTTCTCTGTAAATTTACTCAATTACTCCATTCTGTACTTGCCAAGTCTCTTAAACCCAGATCTATATCTCAAAACCTCTACCGAAACTCCACTCTCGTACGGTGTGCTCTTTACTTAAGGTTATTGATTCGAACTATCCAAGCGCGACATCGATTCATCTTTCAACGGAAACCTAAAACAGAGAAAAGACGTCAATCTCTCGATGTCAGGGGCTTATGAGGCGAGAGTGAGCACCAACAGAACATTCAGTGGTGGTCAACCTAATCTGTTCAACAACAACGACACCTTTGAAGATTTGGACGATGATTTCCTTGACATATACACCATGAATCCAAGACAACGTCTGTTGCATCAGGTTCGTAAATTTCGCAATAAAGTGTTCGAATGGTACAGAAACCTGCCTTTGTGGAAGAAAATTGCAGTCATAGTTGCGGCTCTTGCCCAATTGACCCTGTCCATATTGGGAATTATCTTCCATGACAAGCTATTAAAGACGATGGTCGCTGCATCCAGCGAATTGAGATCTAGATGGTACACTCCCCTTATCTGTATATCTCTTGTTTTCCTAGTGTCTTTCCCGCCCTTGATAGGGTTTTCGATGCTGTCTGTCATGGTTGGTATCATCTACGGCATCAGCTTCACAGGTTGGTTAACATTGTTTATTGGTTCGGTGGGTGGCTCGATTTCTGCATTTGTTCTGTTCAAGACTCTTCTGCGGTCCCAAGCAGAACGGCTGGTCCACGCAAATGCCAAATTTGAAGCCCTGACCTCCATTTTACAAGACAACGACAGCTATTTGATGATTGCCATGATCCGGCTGTGCCCCTTCCCTTATTCATTTACCAATGGTGCTATTGCCGGAATATACGGAGTGACGTTGCGGAATTTTTCTTTGGGAAGTGTTCTAACGTCTCCTAAGTTGCTAATGTACCTTTTCGTGGGTTCTCGGTTGAAAAGGCTTGGAGAAGACGGCACAGCGTCGTCCAGAATATTTGACATTCTGGGAATTCTTGCAACGGGACTAATTTTGGTCTTGACTACCTGGATCTTATATTCCAGAGCCCGGAAGCGGTATCTCGAGCTGCAAAGGAACCAAAGCATAGACGTTTCCTTCGAAACTGTTTTCTAGTTGGATATAATGCAAGATTCGCATATATTAAAACCGCAAAAAGAACTAAAAAGAACTGCATGCTTCGGATCGTCCACAACAACTATTTCAGTTTTTTAAATACGTTCTTTGGTTTTTTGCCAACTTTCCCTCTGCTCACTGGTTTCTTCGGAAGTGTTAAAGATATTTTTCCAATTTGAGTGCCGGGACTGATGGTTTCAATTGCATCCGTATCGTTAGCATGCGCGGTTTCCGTTTCTGTTTCTGGTGTCGATGACGCTATTTGACGCTTCAGCATCTTCATTCTAATGTCTTCTTCAGTGATATGTGAACCCTCTATCTCTTTGACCTTATTCTGTCGCAGCATATTTTCAAAGGAGCTGTCAATGTAACTCATCATAATTTTGCCGCTTTCAACGTCAATGCTATCTTCGTCTCCTTCGATGTTGTGAAGTCGTATTTTACCAGTTTTACTCAAATGTAAAATGAATTTGGTCAGTGACGTATACTTCGTAGCGTTCATGTGTACATGGTCTCGATCTTGAATAAACTCATTATAGAACTTATTAGCATCTATCTTCTTCTCTCCGTGAGATAGCCTCAGAAGTCGCAAGAAATCTTTTTCAAACTGTTCTGTATAGTTAATTAAATCTTGTGGCTTCATCTGGGCTACATTTCGAGTGTGAAATGGTGACCTGCAATGTGCTTTGTACCCATTTTCATCTCGACACTGTTTTTGGCAAACCTGACAGTAAAATCGCAGCTTTTGAAGACCTTTGGCCTTCATCTTTTTGTTCAGGTATTTGGCCGTACCCAACTCAGCAGACCCCATGGTGACCTTCTTCTAGGATCTTGACTCTCTGTATACTTCTTTTGTCTTACCCTTCTGTCAAGTTAAGTCTATGATCAAAGTATGGGTAATTTAAAGCCATTTCGATGGTATCTGCTTAGAAGTATCAAAACTCTAGTTTACACACACTTATGAGAGAACAACTACTGATCATTTCACTGAATACCCCACAAGATCATGATGTTTGGAAATTTATGGAAGATGAACTTTGGAAGGCTGTCGAAAACTCGGTGGAATTCCCGGTTCTACTCGGGTAGTTCTCAATATCGCAGATTTAACAATCGTCAATCCAATAACTTTACAACCCTAATAGCAGATCCAACAGCAAGAAAATATATAGGGCTGACTGCTGGTGCCGGTGCCCTCTTCTACCTTACTCACCTAGAAGAAGCCCCGGTTAGTGGTAGAATGAGATTTATATGGCTTCCACGATCACTAGAGCTGAAAATCGCCAATTATTCTTACAATTCAGTGCTCAGAGAGACACAAGGCTCGATCCTACCTTCGAATGACCCTCTAACAATAAAAGTGACCAAAATCTTCCGACAAATAGTGGAAGCAGCCGCAAAAGATCCTAGCATCGACAAAGAGCTGCTCCAAGGCATCGACTGGGAAGTACATATTGTGAACGATCCCAGGGCCCCACCCAATGCGTTTGTACTTCCAGGTGGGAAAGTATTTGTGTTCAGCAGCATTCTTAACATTTGCAAGAATGATGACGGACTTGCCACTGTGCTGTCGCATGAATTTGCTCACCAATTGGCCAGACATACTGCAGAGAATCTCTCCAAAGCTCCCATATACTCTATATTGGGAGTGGTCCTCTACACGATTACTGGTGCTGACGTCTTTAACCGCCTGATCTTGGATAGTTTCCTTAAAATGCCAGCATCTCGTCAAATGGAAACGGAAGCTGACCACATAGGTCTTATGGTTATGTCTCGGGCATGCTTCAAAACAGAAGAAGCAGTGCAGTTATGGGAGCGCATGGCTCAGTTTGAACAGAAAATGAAAGGAGCTGGACGGTTCGCTCCTGAGTTTCTGAGTACACACCCTGCTAGTGATCGTAGGATTGAAAACATGAAGTCCTGGATGCCCCAAGCGCAAGAGTTGCGTGCGCAATCCAATTGCGGTGCGACGGGTGGATTTTACGATGATTTTCAGACCTTGTTTGGTGGACGCAGATCAGGACAATCTGTTCCTTCGGGAGAGATCGCCTCTATATTTTGAAAGTTTAGGGCCTCCTTCTTTTAAACCCAATCTTTGATTTAGACTCATCTCTACCGCTTTGCATTTTTGCATTCAATGATTTACTTTCAGGCTCTGCCATGATGACCTTTCGATCTTTAATCAATTCACGTTTCACTTGCTCCTTTTTCATCACTGCTCGCTCTATTTCCAAGTCGATGCTGTCTTTGGGAGGCTGTCGGCGGTCTTCAGCGTAAAGAGTTATATCCTCCTCATCTTCTTTTCTCCGGCTGACATTGTAAAACAGTAGCCCATAGTCCATCAACCAAAATGGATCCACGGCGGTAACCATATTGATATATTCATTAGTTGTGAGTAACATTTCATGATAGATGACATAAGAGGGCAAATCACCTGAACCAAAAAGAGCACTGGCTGGATGTATACGCATTTCCATGCCGTTCCTCAAGTGTGCGTATTTGCTCAACCCCGATAGTCTACCTGCTTGATGAGCGTATCCGGAGCAAACACATTTCCTAATTACGTCCCAATCAGTACCCGAAGAGACAATGGGCACGCTTTTTCTCTCCATCAACATTGATAATTGACTTTGTACGTCCTTCGCCCTTTGCAAAGACTTAAACTGAAGAAAGTGACGCCTGCACCAAGCTGACGAAAAATTGTTGGCTTTCCATTGAGCATAAACATTTAGTAGCGTTAGATGATCTGATTCGGGTACGAAAAATCTTGACCTAGCCTGGTCCGACTCTTCTTGTCTTTCTTTTGGTCTGTAGAAGATCTGAGGAACTGATAGCATGGACACAATCGTCAATACTTCTTCGCTACATCCGCTCTGAGCGGCGTTCAGCAACATTTTGGATAACGCTGGCTGTAAAGGGAATGCTGCCATTTGTCGCCCTAGCTTTGTTAAATTTCCAAAATTGTCGAGCGCACCAACAGTCCACAATTCAAATAAGGAAGAAAGCATAATCTGTTCCGGCGGTGGATCGACAAATGGGAAAGACATCAGATCACTAAAACCCAAATACTTTAACAGCAGTAATGTATTAGACAAGTTTGTCCTCTGTATCTCTGGTATAGTTTGGACGTACATATCGTCAAAGAACGAGTCCTCAGTGAATAGCCGATAAGCAACACCTGGGCCCGTACGTCCAGCTCTTCCCGATCTTTGATTTGCACTAGCCATCGATATAGGCACCATTTGAAGACTGTCCAAACCGATTTGTGGATTGTATACCTTCAATTTAGAGTATCCACAATCAATAACGTATTTGATGCCATCTACGGTCAAAGATGTTTCTGCTATATTTGTGGCTACTACCACTTTTCGCTTGTTTGGTGCCGGAACAAAAATCCTTCCCTGGATGTCAGCAGGTAGAGCTGAGTAAATTGGTAAAATAAGAATGTCGTCTACCTCGGACAAGTTAGAAGACTCCAGTTTTTTTCTGGCGGTAATCTCTGAAAGCTTTTCGTGCAATCCTTCACAAGTAGCTTCGATATCCTCTTGCCCGGTCATGAAAATAAGAATGTCACCACTTGTAATCGGGGTAGACAAATGGATTTTGGTGGCTTGTACTATTGCAGACTCAACGTAGTCACTAACAGGATGTCTGGAAAATATAGTCTGTACTGGGAAAGTTCGCCCAGGAATCGTAAACATTGGAGCAGAGCCGAAAAACTGAGAAAACTTTGCGGCATTCATTGTGGCTGATGTTATAATGAGTTTAAGGTCCCTGCGAGCAAAAAGTAAATTTTTAAAGATACCAAATAGGATATCCGTGTTTAAAGAGCGTTCGTGGGCTTCATCCATTATGATGCAACTGTATTTCTCAAGCGTGCTGCTAGTGATAGTTTCTCTCAGCAATATACCATCTGTCATGAATTTAATCTCAGTACATTCGCTTGTTTTATCCTCGAATCTTATCGAATAGCCTACCTCACGTCCTAACTTGACATCCATTTCTAGTGCAACTCTTGTGGCGACAGACATGGCTGCGACTCGACGAGGTTGTGTACAAGCTATCATATGGCCTTCTTGGCAATATCCGTCTTCTCTTAGAAACTGCGCCAACTGAGTTGTTTTCCCTGAACCTGTTTCACCAATGACAATGACTACTTGGTTGTCTCTGATAATTTGGAGTAGTTCAGATCGTACCTTGAATGCCGGTAAAGATCTCCTGGCTGCTTGAATCTCGGAAAATGTTTCCGACACTTTAGCTTGGTCTGCGTGGGCTGAATCGATGGTTACAGCATTTTTTTTTCCTTCCGAAACACCCATAACTTGCCCAATCGCGGTTCCATTTAATTCTGCAGTTTCTTGCATTTTAGACTTGACAACTTCTCTATTACGTCTTTCAGCGACAAAACGACTGCCCTTTTTCGCACCCATTGAAAAATCGCTTTCAGGATTGCGTATCGGGTCTATCACTCTGTGGCTTGATGAGTCTTGCGAGTCTGTTATACCGCCAATCGCAGCGAAACCCGCAGGATCCTGGGCATATTTTGATAGAAAAGGCGGTACAAACGCTTGCCGCTGACTTAAGGACATGGTGGATATGTGAATTTCGGAATTGGTGTCCCGACGATGAAGGTTCTTTTTATCTGCTCGCCGATCGTTATCCTCCTTATCCCATAGTTTAGTATTTCTATCTCCTTGGGTATCGAACACCTCATTACTATAATAATCATCGTAGTTATACCAGTCCCGATCTTCTTCTAGTATCTGATTGCCATTCGTACTATCTATGTCGTCGTCCGAGAGGGGCACATCATCATTATTCTCCTTCATGACAGGATGGTCAATTACCAGCGCAGATTTTTGGAAAGACGTGAGTTCCGGCACAGCAGCCTCAAACGATGGTTTTAGAGTGGACGAATTTGATTTAATCGATGCTGGTTTTATTTCGGGAAATTCCTTTAGCCTCTGAGCTTTTGTCTTGCTAAGTTTCTTGAAAACCGTAGTCTTTGCAGTTTCAGGTTGAGTTTGTGGTTGTAAGAGAGGTGCTTGAGATATTTCTAGACTCTCATCTACATCTCCCTCTTCTTCCTCATCTTCATATTGTAAGCCCCTACTTCCGGTATGTCTCGTGCTGCGAATGGATCGCTTTGGCTGCTTAGCTTCCCGCAAAAAGACTGATTTTGGCCTAGAAACCTCGGCCGTATCTATACCACTTTCACTACTAGCATTTAGTTCTGAGTGTAACTGTCTCAGGAACTCATCTTGCCCTTTGAACTTACCTAGAGCCATGCATGATTTGACAAATCTATTCGTATCTTGAGCATGCACTTCAGCCAAGTTTTTCACAGTTTTCACAAAATTAGCTGTCACGTTCGACAGTGTATGTTGCTGGATCTTGTTGGCGAGGTCTGACGACATGTTGTTGCCATTGCTAGAGCTCACGAAGTTGAATTCAAGCGGCTAGAATCCTGTGTTCTTACTTGTACGGTCAACAATATAACGAACGTCTGGCACGTCTAGGATGATCATGAGGACGACCCATATGATCTTTGAACAGATTTCCCTCAATGCACCGTTACGTTGTGGAGGTGTTCATTTGACTGTTAAAGACCTTGCCATTGATGTTTACAATACTAATTTTGAAGCTGTGTTTCGCCTCTTCTTAATAATCGAAAAATGATAAATAGGAATCGAAGCTCTGGCCGGCTATGGAACTACCTTTGAGCTTTGGTTCGGCCAGATCTACCAGAACAGAAAAAACGGGGCATAGCTCACACTATAACTCGATGATTCCTCTCACTAAAAAAAATACACAGTCAAGTTTACCAAAATGATGCTGGAGTGGTATGCAGTATGGGTTTTAGCAAAGCGCTGGAGGATCGAACAATCATTTGAACGCAATCAGCTTAAAATCCAAAATAAACGTGTTGCCTATCTTATGACCACAGGTTGTTTCTTCTCTAGCTGTAACATCTCTTGCTATTTTGAAAATAAATTTGTTGTGTCTGGCACATTGCGTATACCGGTGTTTCTTGAGAGAACATCAATCAGCAACAAAGTTATTTATTAAAATTGTCGGAGCATCTTCCTAGAGAACCAAGTGTTCCTCAAGTTTCCATAGTTGCTGGTCAGGCATAGCATCTAGTTTAGCTTTATATACTGACGCTGATTCTCGTTGATCCCGTAAACTATGACCTTTTTACAATTCTAATTGATTATTGAAAAAACCGTAAGAGAGAAGACGAATCCATGAACAGATGATTTGATTCTAAAGAGTCAAATCTACAAAGTTTATCGGATAGTTTGATTATGTCTTTTGTGAGACAATTGCACACGTCTGTCCAGCGAGGTGCTGAATCGATAAGGACTACCAAAAACGGCTCCGGGAAATTGAAGCAGCTAAAATCCACCCCAAACTTGTACAATTCTAAAGCATCGTCATACAATTACAGAGGTGTTTTAAGAGCGAAAATAGAGCCGGGAACCTACCATGTACCATCACAATCGTCGTCCACAGGATCTATAAACAGTGAAACGTTTCCTAGAGCTTTTATGCCCCGTGAGGATCCACGTAGAAAATATGTGCAGACTTTGAGACCCCGCGATGGCCTACAAGCCAATTGGGCCCCAGCCCTCCATGTACAAAAAGAAAAGTCATACCATCTCAAACCGGAGCAAATTGCTGAAATCCAAAAACTCAGGCTCGAGAACCCCGACAAATATACCAGAAAGGCACTTGCTCAGAAATTCAACGTCTCACCGCTTTTCGTGTCCCTGGTATCATCTGCCACTCCAGGTCGGATGTCCGAAATGACACAAAGACTACAAACGATAAAGGACGAATGGCACCCCAAGAGAGCTCTCGCAAGAGACGACCGGAAGAAACGTAAGCTGCTGTGGTACAGACCTTAAATGCGACATACAGGAGGGCTCCTAATCCAAAAATCAGCTCGAAAGCGCATACATTTGTGTAAAACTTGTACATACATCTATTTTGCAACCAAACAAATAGTCCTTGTGTTGCAAAACGCTATCGACAAAACGCGCATGAAGCTATTCTATTAGTTACAACATATTGAATATAGTAATATTACAAACTCGAGCTTTTTTTTTTCCCAACGAGTCCCGTTTAGTTCCCAACAAAGTCCCCATATTCATCTGAAGAATCAGTGCCGCCCAACATCTCGTCTATCATCTCATATTCTTCGCGAATACGGAAAAGAAGATCTCGAAAGTTTTGATCCTCCTGCGGATCGGTTATTCGGAGCTCTAAAGCCACCAGCGTACCGTCATTTGAAGACTGTACAAGTACCTCGAAAAACTCACCACTACTTTGTATTGTTTTATTGAGATCCCGAGTACCTTTCATCATGACCGTTTGAGCGAAAAATCGCTTATCGGTTGTTGTAGCCACGTCTCCACCATCAACCCACTCAAAGACGACCCGATACCACGGCAAATCGTCCGTTTTACTCATTAGTTCGCACACCCGTGTGGAGCCTTCAAATATTCGAACTTGAGGTTCCCAACCTTTAGATACCCCGCGCGGTAAAACATTGTACAGTGCTGATGTTGTGAAGGCCTCGTTACTGCGGACAATAAGTCCGTGAGACATATGCCACGATTTCAAAGGGAACTTGAAGATAGATTTGGGCTTCAAGAAGCGATAATAGTGCTAAACAGACCGTGCTGTGTGTATGCTTCGGAAGGATTGTCGAAACCTCTCAGAGCCCATTGTCATGGAAAAGTTGGCGATAACAGCGAACTTCGTGAATAGTGATGCTCGAAAATTCGATGTTTCTTTGTGGTATTGAAGCAGATGAACTGGAAGTCAAGCAACAAAATTCAGCAGATCTCCCATGTAATGTTTCCAACCAGAGTCTCAGCCTGAAAAATCCTTCCTATCACTTGTTTCTATGCTACTACACTTTTGAATACCCGATATCATGTTATACGACTCATCATCTCATTTCACTTTATTTAAGCTCCACTATTCAATTACTTCAACATTGAATTGTGTGTCATTAACAATCAGTGACCGTCAATGAACTCGAAAGCTCGGTGACGCTGGCTCTTCGAATGTGTTGATTTGCAGTTTTTCTGTCCTAGGCGGACTCGACATTCATGATCTTCTGAAAGCTCACATGCGAACTACACAGCAGAAAAATAAAACGAATAACTTATCAAACTATATAGGTAAAAAGACTGACTCTGCTAAAGAACACAATTACAGGGCAATGATACTCTGTATTGTTGCTCTGGAGCGTGTGTGTCGCCACAGACCTGAAAATTCCATTTCTGTCATTGCGATACACGTGACCTGGTACCTGTAAGAATTGAATATATAACTAAATTACAGCTTCTCTTTAGCAGCAAATGTTGGTTAAACACCAGGACGAAACACAGTCGAAGGCTAGAAACAATGGCACCAGCGTATGATGACGATGACGGAGACTACAGTTATGAAGACGATGCTGTTGAGTTTCAGGATGAAGCGGCCCTCGATGACTATATGAATGACGAAGAATATGAACTCATGAATGATATGTTTCCACGGGCCAAAAAAGATCTTGCAGAATACCAAGGATGGGACAATTTAAAAGTTAAACTAGCCATTTTCGACCATGAATTCAATCTCGACGAAGCCTTGAAAGAGCTGAAAAGAGATCTGAAGAAGAAGAAACCGGAAGGTATGTATCACTGCTCGTTTTTTTTTTTTCTTACTTGACTGCATCATTTCATTTTTGTGTGGACGGCTCTTTTAGCCGGTCTTGAAGCGGAAGGCTCTTCCTCGACCGCGGATTTTATTTGTTTTGCGCTCTCTTGCTCTTATTTTCAAAGTGTTGGATGAGATTTCTCAAACTTTGAATTTTTGTTTTGGGCGTTTTCGATGGAATGCTCAACTCTTCATACTAGAATACACAGGGCCGGAAGGGGAACAAGCTTGGTTCGTGGTTGGGTAGTAGCTTCTTTCCAGGATTATCCATCGGCAAACCAATCTTATTAACATCAGTTTTTTTTTCTCAAAAGAAACCCCATCGAAAATGTCTGCCCTTGAACAGCTGGCCAGGAGGCGAGCCCTCAGTTCTAAAAAGGTAAATGCCACTGAAGAAACTTTCAAACTTACAGGCAGACTGAGCACATTGAGTACATTGGGTCCTCGGGAGCGAAATAGTAATGGAAAACCTCTGTCATCTCTTGCCGGGCGTTTGGCATCTTTACAATATAAACGGGAAAATACATCTCCAAAATCACCAGATCACGTCAAACCCTCTCATTCACTTGCAAGCCGACTTACCCTCGGTAAAAATAACTTGCAAGAACAAGTTGAAAGCGCTCCAGATTCAAGAATTTCGCTTTACTCGAAACTCTCCGCCCTTCGTAAAACCAAGGATAGCAGTCAAGTTCCACCCATGAAAGAGCCTCAAGATAAAGTTCCTCCACCACAAGTGAACGACAAGGATCACATTTCCGCCAACTCAAAACCTCCCACTTTCGAAGAGCTTGGGGTAGTGTTCAATTTACACGCTCTCTCCGATAGTCACAACCTTGCAGAGAAATCGTTAGGCATTTCAGAATTAGTCACAAAGCGCGATTTGAAGGAAAAAACCGCTATATCGAGGTTGAAACGCAAATATGAAGATGTTCACTCACCTTATTTTCCGTCTACTAACGACCAAACAGCTAAAAAACAAGCATCCACAAATTTTAAAAAGCAAAGCCCTGACGATGTGGTGCTAGAAGCTCAAAAGAGGGCTTTCGAAGATGTTGCGAAAGTCTCAAAGGGCGTTGAAGCCGTGACTCTAGAGAACCCCAAGCAGGTAAGTGATGAAAGTGCTGATACCGACGAAAATGATGACAAGCCTTTTTCTAAAGAGCCAGTAATGCGTACTCATAATAAGGCAACATCCCCTACCAAGCCCAAAAACCCCATAGATATGAACGCTTTTCTGCATCAGAAGAAGCCTCATCTCAGTTTTGTCGTGATAGGCCATGTTGACGCTGGTAAATCTACACTTATGGGCCGTTTGCTTTATGATGTCGGTGCCGTTGATAATAAATTGATCAGAAAGCTAAAGAGAGAAAGTGAAATGATTGGTAAATCATCTTTCCACTTGGCTTGGGTTATGGATCAGACAGCCGAGGAAAGGAATCGTGGTGTTACAGTCGATATATGCACTAGCGATTTCGAAACAAATGCGTCTACGTTTACCATAGTCGATGCCCCGGGCCATAGAGATTTTGTACCGAACGCTATCGCTGGCGTTAGCCAAGTTGACGTTGCTGTATTGTCCATTGATTGTAGTACTGACGCTTTCGAGTCTGGATTCAACCTTGATGGCCAAACCAAGGAGCATACTATACTTGCAAGAAGTCTCGGAGTACGCCATATAATTGTGGCAATGAACAAGATGGACAGTGTGGACTGGTACGAGGGAAGATTTATCGATATTAAGTCTGAGCTAACTAACTTTTTTGAGGATATCGGCATAAAAAGCGAGCAAACAAGCTGGGTTCCATGCAGCGGTCTGTCTGGCGAGGGAGTCTTTGATAAATCTTACCCAGCAGGTCTTACATGGTATAAGGGCCCCTCGTTAGTCAAAAGCTTAGAAAACATTTCGCAAAGCCTCTTCGACAATGAAAGTGCAGAAGTCACAAAAGAGCCATTCTTATTTTCTACTTTCGATGTCAGTCAGGGAACCAAACCAAATGAAGCCATATTGTTTGGAAGAGTTGAGTCCGGGCACATACAAGGAGGTGAAACCGTCACAATATATCCTTCGGAACAAAGTGTTTTGGTTACACAAATTCTGGCAGGGAATAATCAAGTACAGGTGCCGGCTGCTATAAAAGGTGATTTCGTCACACTCAAAGTGCGCAACGCATATGTGGAAGACATTCAAGTTGGAGATCTTGTTGCAATTGTGGGTTATGACATTGAGAGTGCACAAGAGTTTTCATCACAAATTTTGACTTTCAAGTTGGACCGTCCACTTCTTCCAGGAACGCCTGTCATGTTTTTCAGAGGGAGTTGTGAGCAGCCTGCAAGAATAAAAAAGCTTGTGTCGCTAGTGGATAAGGCAGATGCTTCTAAAATCATTAAGAAAAAAGTCAGACATTTGGGATCTAATCAGGCTGCAATAGTGGAAATTGAGCTAACCGAAAAGAAGAGAAGAATCCCATTAACGACTTTTAGTCAAAATAAACGTTTGGGTAGAATTGTACTCAGAAAAGAAGGAAGAACAGTCGCTGCTGGTGTAATAAAAACGCTTGACGTATAATTTGAAATGCATATAATACCTATTATTTTAGTTGATGACGTCAAGACAAACAATCAAAATGCCAAAGAGAATTGAAAGGTATACTATAAGTTTAGCAGACTTTCCGCCGTGTCTTTGAGCTTTCTTTAACTGCCGGTTACCTTGTACAATGTCCAGTTCTATGTCGTCGTGATTGTCAAGAAGCGAGTATATGCTTTGCGTTTGGGATTGGAGATGCGATGCTATTTCATTTTGTAGAGAAGTGATCTGTACCATCGTCTTACTCAAATTTTCAACTTTTTCAAGCTCTTGCGTTTTAATATTCAGGAGTTCGTCATGTTCGGTTTCCAAGACTTGCAATTGCTCCTGAGATAACTTGCCCACGGTCTCTTGATACTGACGTACTTCCTCTTCGGTTGTTGCAACCGTGGGATGCTGAGAGACAGACCTGATTACGGCATGTGTTGGATTGTACAGTTGGGCGTTGAAGTCTATGGAGTCCAATTCCCGCTGGCGTGATAATCTGTGTTGTTGCATCTTTGATATGTCGGAGAAAATGGACGATATTATCATATTCAGAGATTGTAAGATTCCACGTCTATGCTTGTTGTTCGTAGCGTGGAAGAGTATCAAAGATTCGTCTCTGGTCCGAAATAAAGAAGAAATTTCGCCTCGCGGGTCCTCCAGATACTTTTTTTCTATCATTTCCTGCCGTTTGTTTTCATACTGTTCTAAAAACTTGAGCTTCTCAAAGTACTGCTGTATCAGCAAACGCACTTCAGTATCGAAGTCATCTTTTTCGCGGTCTGTGAGATCCAGCTCACTCTGGTATTGTGTCCGGATCGAGTCCACGACTTTTTGAAGCTCAAAAACATGTTTGAGTACCTCCAGACACTCTTTAATGAAGGAGTCTTGAATCATGTACTTCTGGCGGTCCTTTGGGTTTTGTCCAGTTTTGGCTGCAGAATCGCCCTGTGAGTTTTCAGAAAAGACAGAAACATATTTTTTGAAGAGTGGTGTTACGTTTGGCATTCGAAAGCTCTTGGTACCTCGTTCTCCGCTTCATCAACTGGGATGAGATGTCCATCTTCTACTCATCGTAGGTTTAAAGATATCTTCAGTTCCTACTGAAGACCCGGGACGAGTCCCGTGAGTCCACTTTATTAAGCATGCTCGTTTATAATGCTCCCCTGGAAAGCGACACATGCGTGAATAGTGATATCGTGTTTTCTGTTGAAGCTCCATAAGTCCAGTCTTATAATGCGCGAAAGAATTTAGCAGTCGCAAGATTCGTATTTGAAAGCTTCTAGTTTGGAAGATTTACACGACGAATACTAGTGGGCGGGAATTGTCAAGAACAAATCGGATCACGTGATTTTGGTCTCTTTTTAACATTTACGCAACCATGGAAGTTGACTAGTACAAATGAAAAGTTTAATATGGTTAAGAAAATACAAGACCAATTAGAAGATATTCTCTAGAAGTCTTCTCCGTCGTTTCCTTCGCGTTCGGCGTTCTTTTCATAATTTTTATCTATTCATTATATATCTTTTAAATTAATTACTAGCATATCGCTCAAACAGCACGAAACTAACAGAGACAATACACGCGTAAAACGACACTCCAAATGGCAATATTCTAGATCTTAGGGCGTGAGGTGTGTTGGGATTGATTCTCAATACCTTGTTGAAAACCGGTATTGGTGAATTTTATCGCTTTACACTAAGTGCTTACGCGACTTTAATTTCGTGTCACGTTAATTAATTAAGCTCATGGAACGCGTAAATAATTCTCATAGGGCATCGATCGAGAGAAGGAAGTGATAGATCAAGACATTCAGCTCTTTTGTTTGACCCACATCCAAAAGGTGCCATTCGGAAACTACCCAAGCAAGTATTCTATCCCGGTATCAGCCACTATGACGGAACACGAAAACAAAAAGCAGAAACAAGAAGCGTCTGGAAATTGCGAAGAACAGCAGTATCTAGACCTGTGTCAAAGAATCATTGAAAATGGCGATTTCAGACCTGATAGAACTGGAACTGGTACATACAGCCTGTTTGCTCCCCCACAGCTGCGGTTTGATTTGAGCGGTGATCGTTTCCCGCTGTTGACGACCAAAAAAGTGTTCACTAAAGGGATCATTTTAGAGCTGCTATGGTTTATTTCTGGATGCACGGATGGGAAAAAACTGTCGGAACAAGGAGTCAAAATATGGGAAGGAAACGGCTCCAGAGAGTACTTGGACAAGCTGGGATTGACTGATAGACGTGAGGGAGATCTGGGTCCTGTTTATGGGTTCCAATGGAGGCATTTCGGTGCAGAATATCGGACGTGTGATGATGATTACAGTGGACAAGGTTTTGACCAATTGCAAGACGTTATACACCGCATCAAAACAAACCCCACGGATCGCAGAATTATTATGAGCGCTTGGAATCCACCGGATTTTGCAAAAATGGCATTACCTCCTTGCCATGTTTTTTCGCATTTCTATGTCACTCTCCCCAAGAGGGAGGGCGAAAAGTCAAAGCTGTCGTGTCTGCTATACCAGAGGTCCTGCGATATGGGACTCGGGGTTCCTTTTAATATTGCATCGTACGCACTTTTAACCAAAATGATCGCACACGTCTGTGACATGGAGCCAGGCGAGTTCATTCATACTCTTGGCGATGCGCACGTCTATAAAGACCATGTTGATGCAGTACAAGAACAGCTACAAAGGACACCGAGATCATTCCCAAAGTTGATGATAAAAAGGAAGGTAAGTGACATTGATGACTTCAAATACGAGGATTTCGAGATAACAGATTATTTTCCACACAAGAGAATTCCGATGAAAATGAGCGTTTAATATTTTCGTTTGTATTTTTATTCGATTACGTTACACTTGTTACTACAATCTAAATGCGGGCTTTTTGCCTCGCTTTCCAGCCTCTTGTTTAGCTTTAGCTCTATGCGTCTTCGGTGCTGCGTGCGCTTTCAAGTCGTCAAGCAAATTAAATAGCGACAAATCTTCTTCATTGACTCTAAAGCTTGTACTGCGGTTTCCAGAACTGTCGTCGAAGCTATTGGAGTTTTCACCGCCCAAATCGCCAACTATTGGCTTCTTGAACAGTTTTTTGGTTTTTATAGATGATTTTGCAGGTGCATTGTTGGTTATGTCCTTCAGAGGATTCAGTTTAGGTATCTTTGGGGATAATGCGTTAGTGGAAGGTTTCGGAAAACTAGTTTCGGAAGCATTTTTGGGGTTCTGTGGAATTGTGGTTGGTATCTGCGTTTCCAGGAGTTGTTGCGAAGTCTCGGGCGCATTTTTCAGAAGGCTTATTTTGGAGCCATCGACCTGATCATCGCTCATTATTGGTGAGCCATCCCTGGAATAAGATCCTGACTTGCGACGATTGCCCTCAACTTGAAGGTCACGAATGTTGGTGACTGTGGTGGCATCTACCAATTTTTCTGTAGGTCTTCTCATCTTGGCACGTAGGGACGGTAAAGCATAATTGATTTCTTTTCCGCGGGTCCTTCTCAATCTAGAAGAGTCAGAAAGATCTTCAATAGGACCACATGTGGCTGGCATGACCTCATCGACAATCCGCCTTTGTGATCCCCTGGATTTCATTGAATGCTTAACTTTCTTCTGGGAAGACGTTGTGTTCTGGACGAATGACACGTGTTGTACTTCACCACTAGCTTCATGGGCTCTTGATGCTGTATTTGTTATTGAATCTGGTAGTAATTGAGAGCGGTTGTTCTGGGTTTGGGCTTCATTATCATGATAAACCTGAAGTTTTGCAGAATCCGAGGTCACAGAACTTTCTACAGGTTTTTCAGGCAGTTCTTCTGGAATTGAAAACTCGATAAGAGAGTTTGTAAAGTTACATGACTCTTCTACAGAGTCGTGGTGCGGCGGCTGTGGTAGGTCTGTATTTTGCACGGGTTCTTCAAAGCTTTTTTGAGATGACGTGTTTTGTTCGTCCACTGTGGTGCCAGTGGGTCTATCCGACATAACATCTTGACCTGTGGCGTCCATATCTTCATTATAAGCGATATCGGCAAATTCGAAATCCGAAGGGTGGAATAACGATTCTCTGCGTGAACTTTTCCGTCTTTTCCTGGCTGCCGGGCTTTCATTAGAACCTTCTGAAGGCTGAATATGCGAGCTGTCCACTACGCGAGGCTCTGGTGAAATTACTTGGTTGTTACCTTCGTTAAATGCTATGGTAGTAGTGGTCGTAGAAGTTTCGCGGCTATTATGCAATCTATCCCTTTTCAGGATCGATCTGGGCTCGTTCATGAGGGCAGATCGCCTTACCAGTGAGTCGTGTGGTACTTCTAAGCCTTGCCTTCGGCGTACAGAGTCAAACATATGCAATATCTCATCAAATCGCTGCAAGACTCCTTCTTCCAATGATCCAATTGTACGTCCCAATCTCTCTTTGAATTCGTGTTCTTTCAAAGACAGTTTCGAGCGCAGACCCACGTTTTCCTGGATAAGCTCACTTATAGATTTGTCCATCTCACGAACTTTGATCATAAGCTCGCTATTGGATCGTGCTAACTGCACATTCTGTTGAGATAAACCCATTTTTACGTTCTCAAATTCGTTTCTTTGCAGGTCTATCAGGTCCTGGAATTCCTGGATTGCTGGGACACCCAAACCATGTATAGCAGTATTATTATGTCGACCAATTTCCACCACTGGTCCTTTCCGGTCCGTTTTTGGAGCTGCGCGCGAAACCCTTTTTCGCAGTGCTTTGGCCATCGTTGGCAGCGCTTTTTTGTCCCTCCAAGAACTTATTAAAGCGACCAAGCTGTTTTCCTCGAAAGCTAGCAGCACGAGTTATCTTGGCGGTGAAGAACAAAAGATGAGCAGCGCTTTTTAAAAACTTTAGTATATAGAAATCAGTTGTGTTTAGTTTATTTGTTTATTTATACATCTCATCTGTAATTTTCACCAGTCATGTGACTGGTACAAAAATTAATTAAAAATAAGTATCATCTTTGACGAAGGGTTTTTGATGTTGAAGTTTAGGGAACTTAGACGATCGTCATTAATTGAATGAATTAAAGACACTGTAAATGTACTCAAGAAATAGTATTGATAAGCTTCACTTACTGGTGGAGAATATCCATTGAGGAATTTTGATTTCAGAAAAACGCAATTACATAGCTGGAAAAAAATGATTTTGAGAGACCAAATTGTTGCTAAACAAAAAGAGTTGAACGCATTGAAACAAATAAACACTCAGACTGAATCCATGCGTTCGCAGCTGGATGCATTGGCAGTTGAGGTTGCTAATATGCATCAAAATGCTGAAAATGTCGCACAGGTGATGCAAAACTGGGACTCTATCGTAAGGTCTATCTCGCAGGCGAGCTTAAGCCTTTTGCAGTACTCAGAGAGGGATTACGAAGTTGGGGCCTGGAAACAGGAAACAGCGGACTCAGAGCAGCAAGGATCCTCTCCAAAAGACACGGCAGATGCACCCTTGCCAGAGACCTTGGTCAGGATAAAAGTTGATAAGGACGATACGACGTCAAACCGTTGATTGAGTGGTCAAATTTTATTATTTAAAAGTCCAGTAAAATACTTACTTAAAGATTGCTAAGCGCATCCTCGATCCGGTTCGTTTCATAATTGATGACACATCTATGCTCGCTGCTCTCATTAGCGGCCGCTACCACAGACGCCAACTTTGAACTTAATTTGGAGCCTAGCTCTTCGATTTGTCTCTCCTCCTGAAGAGCAAAATCCAGCAAATTGTGCGCATTCGCGTCCAGTTTGCTGTAGTTGGCTTCAAAGTATGCCGAAGTTAAAGTTGTGCGGTCTCTGAGCAGATCCGGATTTGGCAAAGTTACTCCTACTTCAAAAATCTGTTCATCAAAGCATTTACGCATTGTGAAGAAAAGGGTGGAATCCGTTCCATCAACAGTGTCCTTCCAGTCGTCCTGAAGAACACATCTCCTCCAGACCATGGCGTTCAGAAAGGTGTATGTTTCGTAGTTCACAGAGTCCTTGTTCAATGATAAAATTTTGGCAGCTTTGTAAAACCCGCATCGGTCTTGAAGTAGCGTGAACATTTCGACCACCCCTGCCAGCCTCAGTCTCTGAGAATTCTGTATGCTTGTTTTCAGTATTTCATATAGCTGTTCAAGTGCAGAATTTGCATAATTATCGCGAATTCTCACACCGTTTTCGATCGACGAGGCCAGATCTTTCTGGCCATCGATAACGTCCAATTCCGCTTGTATATACTTTAGTGTATCAACGTCCAGCGACGTTGCATTTGCTAAAGTGCATAGTTTTGCCACACTAAGCATTGCTTGTTCAGTGTTTAAACTCTGAGAGCTCTTACTCGGGTCGGCAGTAATGTTCACCAGATCGTTGGATGCTGCAAGATACTGGCCCTCAAACACTTTACACATCCAACCGAATTTGGCATAGCGCGGGTTCAGTTCAAAAAAGTGATGTAAAAACTCTTGGTAGTCCGGAAATTTCTCGTACAAATCCTTTATGCGACCGTTGGCGATGTCGTTGCTGAAAACTTCGGCCGCGAAATCATAATCGAATAATTCAAAATATTGAGGATACAGGTTTTCAGACTCGGCACTCGGCAGTGAGCCAAGAGTTGCTGCCAAAGAGGCCAAATCTTTGTAGAATTCCGTAATCTGCAATGACTCTTGAGTTTTTCCGGCGGCACACAAGGCCTGGTTCCAGAGTGATCTATTTTCTTCAAAAAAAACAGGAATTTTCTTCACTTCGGGAGTGGACACTTGCATTTGATCGTTATGAAGCCATATTGATGCTTGATCGCATGAATAGTATAGTATTTTCACCAGAGAAAGAAGACTTTCTTCCCGATCAAAGAAACGTTCTGAGGTGGGCTTGAAATGATCAAAACTTTTGAACACTTCGCCTAAAATTAGGGGAATACCATGTTGAACATACCACAGTGGTGCTGCGCCATGCTCATATTTGCTCATCTGAAGTTCGCCGAAACGATAGGTCTCTTCACCTTCCTGAAATGTCCTATTCAACAAGCACGATATGATGAGATTGATACACGAGATCCATATTTCTGAACTCCCGGATGCAACGAGAAAATACTGCATCTCTTGCAAGAACTTAGAAAATACCTCAGGAAACTTGTTGAGTTGATTCTTGAAAAATAATTCTTCATCAAGCCCGTTGAGCTTGATGGTTTTGTGCCAGCAGTCAGTCAGTTCCTGGGAGTCTTTGATTGACAAGAGAAGCTGTCTCGCTGCACTCAAGATCTCGAAGTTCTCAACTAGTTTGATTTTGACACCAGGTGATATCCTGCTAAGAAAGTTAGCCTTCATGAAATGCAAAAGACTTTGATAGAGCTCAGCTCGCAAGCCTACGTGCCTCTCCATTGATTGGAGCATTGGAGGAATATAATTCGACTTGGACAAAAGAATTTCATTTGCTGACAACATTAGGTCTTCTTCGATTTCTTCCCTTTCCAGAGAAATGTTGGCTGGAAGGTTGAAATCGATTGGTGTGTTGTTGAGGTTCGAGAAATAGACGCTCTGATCAATATGAGACTTGATGAATCTGCCCTCTTGCGAATCAATTGAGCCAACGTGGTGCGAGGCGGTGATGGCTAATATTCCCATATTCTTGCTCATTAAGTATACCGATTTTGAATCCATCCCATATCCAAAAATCTCGGCGTCTTTGCGAAAGCAAATAATGTCTTCCCATTTTCTTTTCAAGGAGTAGCTCTGATCAAGCGTTGAGCTAACTTGCGTGAGCACCACGCAATTTTCGAACACGGTGTATACGGAGGTGACGAGCGCATTTTTTGTCTCGGCGTCGAAGGGTATCAAGAGCCTTGGAGGTGCGGTTTCCCCGGAGACCATCGTGTAAGTGTTCAACCTATACGTGGAGAAAATCATGAATCCGTTAGTATGCACGTCCAACTTTATTGTGGTCAAAATGTAGTAGCATGCACCGTCGTAATCGGTAATTGAAGAAAGTATCATATGAGCCATGTTATCCTCGCCTAGAGGGTGAGAATCCAGAAGTGTTAAAGAGTTATACGCACACGGATACAGGTCTTTTAGTGCATCCAAAATCTGATCATATACGTTGAACTCACTTCTCTTGTAGCAATTGGCTACCGCCGATATATTCCATACAGTGAAGTCTCCATTGCTAGTCATCACCGATATAGACCTTTCACCTTTTCCTAAAACAGGACCCAATTTGATTGATTGTATTTTTTTGGTTCTAGAGGAGGAAAAGAACAATGCGAAGGGCGATTTTATCATTTGCATTTTCAAGTTCAAATGTGGTTTGCCCATGTAATCGCGAAGAGTGACGAAAAAAAGTCTACCACGAGACGTCGACACGAGAATACCAGCTGGCTCTGCATTTACAACGTCAATCACGTCTTCTGTGTCCTTGAGAGCGAGCTGTAATTCATGGCATCTTGTCCGCGAAATACGCGACGACAAATTGTTGATCGAGTCCACATCCTCATAGAATTGAATTAGCCCCGATTTCCGGTTCACGATGCATATGCCGCGATCCTCAAATCCCGATCCATGTTTGTCGCTGTTCCAACGGTCGTTGGTGCTGTCTTCAAGGGCCGCAGGCCATGTGACCACGATCTTAGGAACGCAACTTAAGGATACGTGCTCCTCATGGAGCGGGACATGTGTCACTGGTGGATTGGCCTGTGTAGTTGTGAAATCCCACATGTACAACGTGTCACTATCGTTAACCACCGCGTTTTTCGAAAATGTATCCACGTGACCATCGATTGAATCACTGTTTTGCAACCCAGTTGGAAGTTCTGAGGGCAATTTTTCCACTGTGTACTTGCTGTTTTCTGTAAGTACAATTTTATTGCTAAATTCTGACGTTACAGAGTGTTCAACATGGTTTGTGCTCTCATATTGTTCAACAAACGATTGCGTCAAATCAGCTTCGCACCCTACCTCATTTGATTCCTCTAGTTCTTTTCTAAGCTGAAATACCGGTCTTCCTGACATTATTCACTATTTCACACCGAACAGTCTGTCTAAAGACTCTTGCTGTTCCCAATTGAGACGCTATCTATGCCGAGTTGTACCGGTTGGTGTAGTAGTTATTCAAGTTTTCCATGTCTATTAGAAAAAACCCTTCGTGTAAAATGCTATCACCAATTCTGAAAAATTTGAATAAGCTCATCGCATCATTAAAAAAGGCCATTGTAAAGCGATGAGCTGGTAACTTCAGTCTATTTCACTCATCTAAGAAACCATATAAGATGATCAGAACAGTGTATGTGCATATGAGCTTATTATCTAATAAAGGACTTCCTTTATAGCTTGAAAGGCTTTTATGGAAACTTTTTTTACTAACAAAATGGTGAAGGAAACCGAAAAATGCTAGGGCCAAGAGAGCACTCGACAAGAAGGAGCCTAGGCTAGTGGAAAACACCAAACAGGCGCTTTTTGTGACCGGCAAAACGTCCACGCAAGTGCTCCACGATGCCATGATCGACCTAGGCGCTCTGAAGAAACCCGATCTCAAACGGTTCAATAAGAAGAATGATGTGCGCCCATTTGAAGATGCAGAGCCATTGGAATTTTTCAGCGAGAAAAACGACTGCTCGTTGCTAGTTGTTAGCTCAAGCTCGAAAAAACGTAAAAACAACCTCACTTTTGTCCGCACATTTGGATACAAGGTCTATGACATGATCGAGCTGCAGATCGCAGAAAATTATAAGTTTCTGTCTGACTTCAAAAAGCAAACTTTTGCGGTCGGATTGAAGCCAATGTTTGCCTTCCAAGGTGCTGTCTTCGACACCCATCCAGTATACAAACAGTTGAAGTCACTATTTTTGGATTTTTTCAGAGGCACTGTCAGCAACCTGCACGATGTGGCCGGTCTACAGCACGTCATCGCAGTCACTGTTCAAGGTGATTTCGAAGATGGTGAGCCATTACCTAACGTTCTCTTTAGAGTTTACAAGCTGAAAACTTACAAGAGCGAGCAAGGCGGACCTAAGCTACCTCGTGTCGAACTCGAAGAGGTCGGGCCACGTTTTGATTTCAAGATTGGTCGCATCCAATCTCCATCGCCAGAGCTAGAGAAGGAAGCCCACAAGAGAGCCAAACAACTTGAACCTAAGACTAAAAAGAATGTATCATCCGATGGGATGGGCGACAAGTTTGGCACCATTCACTTAGGCAAACAAGATCTAGGCAAGCTACAAACACGGAAGATGAAGGGTTTGAAATCGAAGTTTGACCAAACCGAACTTGATTCTGAGACTGAGGATTACGTCAATGAAGACGAGGAGGATCTACAAGGCGGCGCAGAAGAAAGTTATGGCGAAGACTTCGTTACCGCCAACGATATCGACGTCGAACCCCCCACGAAGAAGGCGAGAAAATAAATGTTGTTCCCGCCCTTACCAAAATGAAATAGATTATTGTACACTAGTTCCTTTTTTCTCTAATTGCATATCAAAGCCTCTTTAAGAGTAAACCTTTACTTTACATTTATGTTTTTACTCATGGCAATCGCACCCATCCCTTCGATTTGGCTTGCTACTACAGCTGCCCCAATTTTTGTCTATTCTCTACCAACCTTAGCATGTTTCTCAAAAGCATGGAAATTGTTACTTTTCCTGTACTGGGCACGTATAGCGCTGCTTTGCTCTTGACTGAGTCGTCGAAGTTCTTGTGGGATGAGAAGTTTACGCAAACAGCGCCTTCTTTGATGTATTCGGTGGGAATTTTGTAGCTTTCAGATGGTACACCGGTGATAACAACGTCTGCATCGGAGCAATATTCTTTGAGTGCTGCATCGGAGTATGTCCCAAGATCTTCGACTTGGTGTTTCTGAAATTTGAGACCCTCTCCACGGGTGAACCTTTGAATGTTGTTGATGTCGATCGAGTAAACGACAGCACCATCATTGGCTAGCAGAGCTGCAAGTGGTCTACCCACAATTTCAGAGCGGTTGACCACAACGCACTTTTTCCCATATAGCCTGTTACCAACGGGCAGAAGGTTATTATACACTTTCAAGTACTCCAGGATTTTAATCACGGCTAGCGGTGTGCAGGGCAGAATCGATTTGAGGCTTTTCTCGTCGTCCAAAAATCTGACGTTGTGGTACATGTTTTGGTAGTATACGTGGTTCAGACCCTCAACGTCCTTTTCACGAGCTACCACTTGTTGTAGATACTGGTCCTGGGCGTTTCCAAACACTGGAAAATAGACCATTATACCGTCCACGGATTTGTCTCTGTTGGCTTCGATGATTGCCTCTTCTAAGAAATCCTTTTCCTGCACTCTTCTCAGCTCGTAGCGGAAGCCCATGGACTCGCACGTTTTGCCAGTCCAATTGGCGTACATTTCCGCCGCGGGATCATCGTTGGCCAAAAATCCGACTAGAAGAGGACCCTCGGGCCTGATAGTTTTGAGAGAATTGATTTTAGCGGTGATCTCATCAACGTAAGTCTTGGAAATTGAAGATGCAAGAATGGTGCGGCCAGGCTTATCAGACATTATTACAGTAGGATCGGCTGAAAAAAAAGGGGAAAGAACTGTTTGGCTTGGGTAAATCTGTTGCCGTCGATTTAACCGATGGAGATAAATATACAAAGGTGAATAGCTATACTTATGGGTCTACAATTGCTGGATATTTATACCTAATCTGTTCAAAATGTATAAATTAGTGCTCTAATTAGACCTCTAATTTTTTACTGTCGTCCTAATAAACATAATATTGAATAATATCAGAGCGAGTCAGACCTGATAGAGAAGATTTAGGTTCGATCCCTGTGGGAGACAATTATTCGGGTTTCCCGGTTCTTGAACGATGTGGACAATTCTCGAAGCTGTGAAAGACAGAAATCCATTTTCCAAGAACATAGAAGAGTTGGATCAGCTCACTGAAATAGATGAAGTAAGCAGTGAGAGGTTTTAAATCTTTAGTCGGTGAAGCGAACATTTGAATGGATCATGGGAGGTTGCTCCAATATTAAGTCCCGTTCTCAGATCGTTGAAATTTTCAAAAGCTCATAGTGCATTGAACTCAATAAGCGCAAACTCGTTCTGTCGCCGACTAACCATGTAATTTTTAGTCTGACAGTACAGAAATGCCCGTACATGGCATAAATAGCCATAAAACTCATATTTGAGGTTTTTCAATACTATAATCAAATGCTAATTCACTAGGCTCGAACACCAGCGTCGTAAACTTGTTGACCTTGCTTTCAGCTACGGAAACCGAAGCGATGACAGCGTAGTACAAAGTGATATGTAACAGCGTATAATATATAGCTAGCTTATATGCACAGTAGCTTTCGATCCCTGGATTTATGTCGTATGGCACTTCCGAGCCATAAACACACTGGACGCAGGATTGCTTGAAGGCGCATCATTATGGGAGTAAGGCCCACTACCACCACCTCGTCTCCGACGCAGCGGGAAATATACCAAAAGTCGAACAATTCATCTCCATCATTGATGGGGTCATTAATGAAATCACTTAAGTCATCCAACTCTACCAGACATCATCATCATCATAATCAGTCCGGCGCCGAAGCCGGTGGCGACAATGACGCTGATCAGCGTTCCAGGAGTACATACCCTCTTTTGAGCAGATCATCTAGCCAGAACAACGCCTCTCAATATCATGGACACGGCGTAAGCCATATTCACATGAGTCCACTGAGGAAAAGCTCCTCGGGCAGTAGCAGTACCACTAACGTCTCAACACAAAAGGACCGGCACCATTTGAAGAAAGACAAGTATTTCAGGGACTTGGACGAAGACTGGAGTGCCGTTATCGAAGATTATAACATGCCTATCCCCATGATCAGTAACGGAGGCAGCGAGTTGAAACCACCAGTCAACGTAGGCTTACGACGAAAAGAGGGCGTAGAATCGCGATCGCCTTCAGCTGGCTACCCCAGTTTGCCACATCTCAATAAATCTCAAAGCTCGGATCTCAAAACTCAGTATGAGCATGAAAGCGAACGCGAATTGCAAGAGTTGAACTCATTTATGCATCGCGTTTCCAAGTTTGAAGCTATTTTACAACCTTCCAATGGCAGCCAGATTAATCTGAGCGAGCTTCGTCGTCTAAGCTGGAACGGCGTACCCATGTTGCATCGTCCACAAGTGTGGCGGCTTCTGATAGGCTACGCTCCTGCAAACATCAAAAGACAGAGTTCGCTATTACAGCGCAAGCGTCAGGAGTACCGAGATGGTGTAGCCCTCGTCTTTTCAAAAGAGCACACCCGCGATATCCCAACATGGCACCAGATAGAAATTGACATTCCCAGAACGAACCCTTTGATACCGTTGTATCAGTTTCCTCTTGTCCAGCAAAGTCTGCAACGGATACTTTATTTATGGGCAATAAGACACCCAGCAAGCGGGTATGTCCAAGGGATAAATGATCTCGTAACACCTTTCTACCAGACGTTTCTTACCGAGTATCTGCAGGCGGCCCAGAAAGAAAACGTCAGCAAGCTGAGTCCCGACGTCTATCTGACGCACGAGCAACTTTTGGATGTCGAAGCGGACTCGTTCTGGTGTGTTGCAAAGCTTTTAGAACAGATCACCGACAATTATATTCATGGCCAACCTGGTATATTGAAGCAAGTTAAACATCTCGGACAACTAGTCAAGAGAATAGATGCTGACCTGTATGAGCACTTCGCTCAAGAGAACGTCGAGTTCATTCAATTTGCATTCCGCTGGATGAATTGTCTACTGATGCGAGAATTCAGCATGGATATGGTGATTCGTATGTGGGATACATATCTTTCCGAGACCTCTTTGGAGTCCTCATCGTCTTCGGTCGCGGATTCCTCTGGAGTGACGTTATCCTCCGACCCTTCCCTTCAAAACTCACCGGTCAGTACCTATCGAGAGAAATCGTCTTCTAAAACTATGCAAAGCAAACACAGCGCTGTGGCCACTCCACGCCAGACATCATTGAGTGAGTTCCATGTCTTTGTCTGTGCAGCGTTTCTCGTTAAATTCAGTGATAAACTCATGAACATGGATTTTCAGGAAACTATCACTTTTCTACAAAACCCACCCACGAAATGTTGGGCTGAAAGTGATATAGAGCTATTGCTGAGTGAAGCTTACATTTGGCAATCTTTATACAAGGACGCAACGTCCCATTGGAGATGATTCAGAGGTTCAACGCTCTCGTTCGTGCATAGAGATCCCATCCCAATGTTAGCCCTCGCTTTAATAACTAATGATGTCTTCTTGCATCGAAAGAAAGAAGCGATGAGCTACGAACAGCACGCTCAAAAGCCATCTTCTTGATCTGAAAAGACGATTTTTATTCTCTGAACCCTTCATTTCCTTCAAAGTGTTGAGCAATCGCGGGGTACAGCGACATCTGGCGCGAAGATATAGGTCTTTGTTCAAAGAAAAGCATCAGAAGTTAAACAGAAGAAAGCCTGCTGCCCTTAGTGTAAAAGCTGAAAGAAAAAAAGCCGCGGACTCTCTGAGAATCTCAACGATGTTTACAATAACAAATATTACACATCCTACCGTGGACACCAAAAGACCGCTTCTGTTACTTCAATCGGAACATGGAGATAAGTTTTTGTTCGGACAGATCCCAGAAGGCACGCAAAGAACCTTTCCGGAAAACAAGACTAGGCTTTCCAAGCTTGAATCGATCTTTTTGACAGGTACGCTAAGCTGGGCGTCCATAGGTGGGTTACCAGGCATGATATTGACACTATCAGACCAGGGCGTAAAATCAATGGCGCTTTTCCATGGCAGGGAGATTATCAGCTTTGCAGTGGCTACTTGGAGATACTTCGTATTTCGATTCGGAATGAAACTCAGTACAAACGTGCTTGGGGATGGACAGGTCTACGAAAACAAAATTATGCGAGTGAAGTCCATCTTAGTCGATTCCAGCACAAACGATGATGAGAAATCTTCTAGTTTGCTGCCGAAAAACCTGAGTAGTGCTCTTCGGTACATTGTGTCGAAAATGTTCCCATCACAAGAGCCGACTGCGAGGCACGATCCTGCTTCGGATTGTCAGATGAATGTTGAGATTCCTCCACTTCAAGGATCACCTACGGAAAGTACGTCCTACGAAATCACGTTGAAGCCTGTCCGCGGCAAGTTTAGAGTTGAAGAGGCCATGAGACTTGGAGTTCCGAAAGGTCAGCTATTCGCCCAGCTAACGAAAGGTCAAAGCGTCACACTTGAGGGTGGCAAAGTAATTGAACCGCATCAAGTTCTTGAGAAACAGAGGGATTTTGCCAAAGTGCTGATTTTGGATATACCCTCAGACGCTTATCTGCCACAGTTTCGCGAGAAGTTCAAAGATTATGACATGTCCTTCCTTGGAGCCGTTTACTACTTTTTGGGTGATAGTGTCACCATCAGTAGGGACCTTATAGAATTGATGGAACATTTCGATCATGATCATAATCAGCATTTCGTCTCTCATTCTAAGATATGTCCAAATTCCATCGTCTTTCAAAGCTCCGCAGTAACTACCTTGAAATTAAAGGCCATTCAACCACAAAACTATAACCTACCGTTGTCTAGCAGAGTGTTATCCAAAGAATTTTACGAATGCTTCAACAAGAGACTGCCTCGGGGGAACTCCGTAATTCAGCAAAGTGAAGTGCCGTTGACTTCGACGATCGGGGAGGAAAAAGTTCATATCATGCTTCAAAATGACAGTGTCGTTATCGAGCCCTTTACTCAGGGAGAACAGCAGGTCAAACTAAAATGTCAAAAAAATTTCAAGCCTTTGCCGCCCTGGTCTTCACTTTACGAACGGCACATCGCACCTTTGAATATCGTGAGCGCAAGCCAGGAATCCGTAGTTGGAGGCGGAGGTCGCTCAAACATTTTTAATAATGAAGCAAAAAAGGGCAAGGTTGAAATCGTCACTATCGGCACCGGGAGTTCATTACCTTCGAAATACAGAAATGTAATCTCCACGTTAGTTAAAGTCCCTTATAACCTGAACGGTAAGTCATACGACAGGAATATTCTTTTAGATGCCGGAGAAAACACACTTGGGTCATTGCAAAGAACAATTGCATCCGCTGATTTACCGGAACTTTTCCGAAACTTAAGGCTTATACACCTAAGTCACTTACATGCAGATCATCATCTGGGTATCGCAAGCTTGCTCTCGGAATGGTACAAGCATAACGCTACAAACCCGAATGCAACTATTTACATTGTAGTGCCATGGCAATATCGGATTTTTTTGAAGGAATGGCTACCTGTGGAAGGTCATAAAATCGAAGAGAGGATCAAATTCATCAGTTGTGAGCACTTGGTTGAAGGCGGCTATGTCAGGAAAGAAATCAAACCACTCGCTTTTGAAACCTATTCAGAAGGAGGTGGACCGAATAATAAAAAGAGGCGCCTCGAGTGTGACGATAATTCATCTTTCAGAGACCTTGAAACGATATCGCAAATGTATCGAGATTTGAAGATTCTTTCATTCCAAACCTGTCGTGCTAAGCATTGCGATTGGGCGTACTCTTGCGCGATAACTTTTTTCACAAGGTCGAACTCATCATCGGTCTTCAAAGTATCGTACTCTGGTGATACTAGACCAAACATCGAAAAGTTTGCAAAATCGATTGGCAGAAACTCGGATTTGCTGATCCATGAAGCAACTTTGGAGAATGAGCTTCACCAAGATGCGGTGAAAAAGAGACATTGCACGATAAACGAAGCTATACAGGTTTCCAATGAAATGCATGCGCAGAAGCTTATCTTAACTCACTTTTCGCAACGTTATCCCAAGTTGCCCCAAGTCGATAACAATATGAAAATTGAAGCCAAGGAATACTGTTTCGCGTTCGATGGCATGATTGTTGCGTATGATGATATTGGCAGGCAAGTCTCTAAGCTAGGTCTTCTGAATAGTGTTTTCACTGAGGACCAATTCTCCGATGATGAAGAGGCATGATAGTCTGCAATGAGAATATCACTGTTTGACAAGATTGTAGGTTAAGATCCAGCATGTAGTTGATATGGTGTCTATAGATTATTTTGATAGAACGTCTCCCATAGCTCTATGCATTCCTTTTGAGTTTCTATGCTCGATTCAAGGAAAATTTCCATGTTGTTTCTGAAATCGATCATTTTGTCGTGATCGTGCTTGCGCAATTCACTCCTTATCTTCTCACCTACAGCTTGCCATTTTGTCTCAATCTTCTTTTGTCTTTCTTGAAGCGTTTGTAGTTCATTCACCAAGATGTTGACTTTATCGGAAGGGCCCTTCTGCGTATTTCTTTCGAGCTGAGCTTTCTTCTTGTACAAATCATGCTCCACAATAACTAGGTAGTATCCCAATTTGGACCTCTGGTTGAAAACACCTTTTACGCTGGCCAGCGCGCGCGTATACTCGTCAATAGTAACACCTAGAGTAAGAGTTTCCTGCATGGCACTTCTTTGTAGTGAGTCCTTAATCCGCATATGCACTTCGGCAAAATTCGCTAGTGTATCAGACGCTTTTCTAGAAACCTCAAGTTCTTCCAGAGATTTGACTGTAGCAGCAAATTCCTCGGTGACAGCGGCAAGGTCATTTCTTTGCGTATCAACAATCTCAAGCGATTTTGATAGCTGCCTCAGCTGCTCCTCGAGAACATCTAAACCTTGTTTCTGCTCGACAAAAAATTTATCGGGTTCCGTGTACTTCAAAGGTGCACCGAATGATAGATTCATGAAGCTTCTTTGCGTTTCGTCGAGCCCACCATTTTTCATCACATTCACAGCATCGTCATGGCCAAGAAGAACTATGGGGCTGATGTGGATTTCTGAAATATCGTTACTATCGCTTGAAGCATTGGAGCCTGTGATGTGCTCGCGAAGTTTCGAAGCCTGGGAGAAGTTTTGGCTTCGCAAGAACATCAAAAAGTCGATATCGTCATGTAAGGTCTTGTCTTGAGCTATTTTTGTCAGCATCCGCTCCATTTGAAACCTTCTACTCTCAATAAAACCATCCTTGAATCTTCCTACCGCTTGCTTTTCCGGTGGTGGAGGTATAATTTTACCCCAGTGGTTACTTTGGAGCTGTCTGTAAAGCCATCTGAAGTCCCGGTAGCGTCTTTGAACTCGCACCTCTTGGTGCTCTAATTTAGGACTTCGAGTCCAAATAGTGTATTCTACGTGTGCAAAAGTCAAGTCACCGACTTTGAGTGGATCGACAACTTCAATCTTGAGATCTGACTCCGCTGGTTCGAACTGTTCTAGATCTGCGGTGGAGTGATCCGTTTGAGATTTTGCATCCGCGTCAGTCTTCTTGGCACTGTCAATTTTTTTTACCACAGGAGTTGCGCTCAAAGTTTTGCGTGGAGAGATCCTAAATAATGGAGCGTCCACTTGTTGAAGAATATCACTTTTTGGACGATTAGGTTCCATATCGTCGTCATCCAAGGGTTCTTCCACAAAGGCGTCTTCGGCCTTGGTACCATTAGAGTTCGATGCCAATGGATCTTCGAAGAGATCGGCTTTCTGAGCTTCTGTTAGGGGATGACGGCGCAAACGAGCCGAAGAAAACAATTTCTGTGGCTTCGCATGGGATTTGCGCACCGGAGAAGACGTGTCCTTGTTTTCGTCTCGTCCTGAACCAATTTCGGAGTCCTGCTCGCTGATCTCCAATGGTGATGCGTGGACACTTCCAAATAACGTTTCACCTGTCCCGTCCAATAATGCAGGCGTTGGAGCAGCTATTTCAGCCAGTGGATCTTCTTGGGGAGCCAAAGATGCCAGTAAGTCTTCCTTGTCATGTTTGTCGCCTGCGTCTTGGTCCCAAAGCCTGTTTTGTATACTTTCTTCCTCTAAATGGTCCTGTTCATCGGATTGATGAGTGGAGGTGTTGTTCAAATTGGAAAAGGTCTGGGCCAATTCTGCTCCGTTTTCGACATTTGAAGGCTCGTTCAAATCGTCCCAAACAGGAGCACTCAATTCCTCGTCGTAATTCATGTCTTTAAGACCTTGAAGCACTATTTAACTTCACTTTTTGGTATTTGTTGATGTGACGAATTAAAGGTAAAATTCGTAAGTAAAGTCATTACATCTTCTTATGCAACCTTTATCTAAGATACAAACTACTAACATAGAAAACCTATGACGAAAACTGCCAAAAAGCCCGGTGGTGAATCTTCACCTGCTCGGAATGGCCCGAAGTTTTCGCTGTGGAATTTTTGGGTTAGTGCGACACTTTTGAAGCTACTTTTGATCCCAGGTTATTATAGCACAGATTTCGATGTTCATCGCAATTGGCTTGCAATTACCAACAAGCTACCATTGAAAGAGTGGTATTTTGAAGATACCAGTATGTGGACTCTGGACTACCCACCATTTTTCGCATTTTTTGAGTGGATTTTGTCGCTATTCGTACCAAAATTTGTGCGAAAAGATGGGTGTCTTGACATCGTGAAAGTTGGCGATTTTGGGCTCCCCACGGTGATATTCCAGCGTGGCACCGTCATTTTTAGTGAAATTTTGTTGTTTGCAGTTTTGCAAATTTACATAAACAAGAGTTCTCTTAGCGAACGGTCTGCAAATTTCGTCGTTGCCAGCAGCATTGTACTATCTCCCGGGTTTCTCATTATAGATCACATTCATTTTCAATACAACGGGTTTCTGTTCTCGATCCTAATCGCAGCAATTCTTGCTGCAAAGCACCAGCGTTACTTATTTTGTGGGTTTTTTTTCGCTACCGCTTTATGCTTTAAACACATCTTTCTTTACCTGGCACCCAGTTTTTTTGCATTTCTGTTGCGAGTGTATGTTTTGAACTTTTCAAACTTCAAGTTCAAGAGTTACTATGATTTGATTTCGATCGTTCAATGGAAAAACCTATTCAAATTGGGTGGGGTCGTGCTAGCTGTTTTCACCGTCAGCTTCGCACCCTTTATTTCTCAGTGGCCGCAAGTGGTAACCAGACTCTTTCCATTCTCCAGAGGTCTGACGCACGCTTACTGGGCACCCAATTTCTGGGCCATATACACTTTACTCGACAAAATTTTGACGCTATTATTTTTGAAAGTCCCTTACGTCCACAGGTTGCTCACGCAGATTATTGCTCCACCACTAATTCCAGCAACTATCGAAGAGATTAAATGGAAACTGCAACAGTATAACGTAGGGACGAAGGGTCTCGTCCAAGACGTCTATTTCGTGATCCTACCCCAGATCCAGCCTAAATTAACGTTTCTACTCACTTTGTTCTACCAAATACTGGCGGTGATACCAGTTCTGTTCAGCCCTTCATTCAAAAGATTTGTGGGATCCTTGACTCTTTGTGGGTTTGCTTCGTTCCTGTTTGGCTGGCACGTCCACGAAAAGGCAATCATGTTGGTGATCATTCCTTTCTCCTTTTTGGTCATATCTGACAGAAGACTTTTGACACCGTTCAGGCTCGTGGTATCTGCAGGCTACGTTTCATTGTTTCCCCTTCTGCACGGATCGGCTGACTTTCTTCTGAAACTTCTCTACACTTTAGTTTGGAGTATTATCTATTTCCTTGCATTGAGGCAGGTCACCAAAATGTCATCCAGTGTTCGGCGTCGCGTGTTTTTCTTCGACCGTTTTGCCCTTTTCTACATCATTATGCTGCTGCCTATGGTGATTGGAGTCCAGATGTTGGATGCGCTGAAATGGAGATATGAAATCCTCCAGAAATATGAGTTTGCAGGCCTTATGATTTACAGTATTTACTGCTCAATTGGCACACTTAGCTCATGGGTAGGACTTTCATGGCTGTACAATTTCGACGAGCCACTTTGGGAATGAATGTCCCAGTAGTTATGTCTGTCAGATTGATGTAAATATTAAAAGTATAAAATACAGATGCCACCATATTGGCTAAGTTGGATATCATAAATGTTTAAATGTGTTGCGGTTGTCGAAATTCTTGAAGCAAATAAACTCTTCCCCCACGCTCCCGTAGATATTTTGAGCGTACTTAATTGGACCCGCCAATTAACTTACGAAGCGCTAACCTAGCGTCATCCTGTTCGAGCACTCTTGGCGATTGTATCGCTACATTTCCATGGCCGTTCTGCGGTAGTGCCTCTCCAATGACTTTGTTCAGGGACCCAGACATTGTCTGTTGTATAAGCGGAGTGCACTGAATAGCAAAAGAGTAGTCCTGAGAGCCTTCAGCGACTGGAGTTGTTGGAACGTTCAACTTCCCGCGTGTACTTTTGGAATGCTCGCCGGTAGGCCTATTGTAATAGGAACGAGTTGTTTGTGGGTCTTGCTTGGATTGTGGTCTGGAAATTCCACCATTAAAGAAAGATGTGGGGGAGCTGAAATAGGATGAAGACTTTCTCGGGGACGATAGTAATTGTTGGAAAAACAATTCGGTAGAAGTATTATTATGTCCTTGGCTCACAAGAAACTCTGTGCTAGGGTCTTCCTCAGTCATTAACAAAGGATCTCCTGACGTCATCTTGAAAACCGCACTGTTAGATCTTGACCTCCCTACTCTCTGGCTTTGTGTTTCCTCATGTTTTACAGTAGGGTACAGCATCTCGTCAATACCGTTCCCAGGAGTAAACCCTGTTTTGAGCTGGAACACGGCTGTGCAATTAGGCGTCCACGGAAGCGCTGGTTGCGAGATGGTTGCTTCTTTGGGTGACTGAGGTGGATTTTCGGTGAAAACCTCGCTTGGCCGAATTATAGATACTTTGCTGAGAGGATTCGCATCTTTGCGAGAGCTCCTCATTTTCTTCAAGAGGCCCAACACCACGGACTTGTCGAACCCCGTCAAGGGCGGCTTTTGAGTGGTGACGTCCACCATTGCTTCGGAATCGCACGCTACTGTGGATGACGTGGAAGCGCCCGCGATTTTGGCCTTGCCGTCTTCGCCAATACAAAGCGAAAAGCTGAATTGGGCCATATTTTCAGAGCGAACAGAGGCATTACCATTTTTACATCCATCTTTGGACATAGATCCTGATGGAGTATCGGGAAGACCACAGCTAGCTTCAAGAGGAGAGCTCCTCAAAGGCTGTCTTCTAGGTTCCGAAGAGAAAATGTTGTCCGCTGGAGTTAAGGGCGAAGAATTTGCCACGTTTTGCTGGTATTTGACAGGAGTGGCTAGCAGTATGCCTCTATGACGATTAAGTCTGGTAATTGTCTGCGTGGGTGAACCAGACGGTGCTGATGCATAGCTACTATTGCTGCTGGCTGAGCTGTCTCTGCGTCTTTTCTTGTTGGACGGAGAAACGCGCATCCAAGGCTTTGTGAAAGTTGAGCTAGCCGCAGTTCTTTGCATTTGCATCGATGAATGCGCCATGGGACTTTTCATCGGGTCCGCATACTCTTTCAGTAACGGCGGTCTGCCTCGTTTCGCGCGCCCGAGAGTACCGCCTGTCATCATTCAAAATGTCTGGGAAACTGCAAAAATCAATCTGTGAGAAATATAGCAAGCACAGTTACGGCACAGGTCCTAGGGTTAAAATTGAGATTCTAGAGAGGATCTAAATGGTTGTTCTTATCAGAATAGTTGTGGGGTGTCGCATTCGCAAATCCCAAGACACGTTGAAGTTCAGAGATACACCTTTCTCTAGAAATCTGATTTTTTTTGGCCAAATGAGGTTTCATAAGAGCGTTAAAACGCGTAAACCGCCGAAGAAGGGAAAAAGGCCTATAAAAAAAAAAAAAACCGAAAATGACTTGAAACGCGTCTTCGATCGTATCCAGTGACCTGTTAATTAACTTCCAAGCTTACGAGTCATGTGATGTTCCTTTACCCGGCCCTATGGTTTTTGTGTACAGCTTTGTTTGTTTAGCCGCCCAAGGTGTTTTGCCGCCGAGAGTGTTAGAGGAAAGATGACACCCTGGGACCTGGGTTTGGTCCGTCTGTAACCAAAATTTCAGGCACTGTTTGAGGTTTCGCAGGGTTAGTAGAGCGTCATTCGGATTGGGTTGCATGATTGCTTGCGGTCTTGTTGAGGTTGTATTCGTGTTGTAACTCCGTCTCTGGAGTGTCTTGCCACGAGAAACGTCCCATTCCTTTATTGGTCCTTCCATTACTGTACAGTGTAAACCGTTATTCTATAGAGTTCGGAGTCGATTCTCCGTGATGTATCTAGCATAGAAGAGAAGAGCTTAGAGGCCGGATAAAACATTCCTTCTTATAAGATCCTTGAAACTGGTGCGTCACTGACGGGTGTAAAGGTTTTAAAGTCTTCCGGGCGCAATTAAGTCAGTTTATAGTTGCGTAGGTATTAACATCAATTGCAAGTGGTGTCAGCTGGTATGTTTGACGTTATTTCTGTTAGATCTTTGACGACTGGTAGTACTTCTAAATTCTTTGACTATTTGATCAATTCTGTAGCTGTCATCGTGTCACGTGTATAATATCTCATCTTCACAGAGCTGACGCTAGATGCAGAGAGAATTCGACAAAGGTAGCTTCAGAGACCCGATTCTTATTGCTTCCACTTGAGTATGACTTCGGGAAGCTCAACCCCCGCCCACAACATCCAAAACGGCATCTTTCAAATTTGACTGAGTTACCAAACAACAGCTTTTAGCTTTCCTTTGCCTCATTAAAGAAAGTATGTTCTTCGACTAATAAAGCTTTTCATATACTATACACAAAACTTGCTCTAGTGTCAACATACTTAGCGGTTTTCTTATCGATCGTATTGGGTTTAACTTTGCATGAAACTAGTGTGAAGCTATAGGTGTTTGCCCATTAGGAACCCGGCTTCTCGAGACAAGCATTTCACACGAGTACTTTTACGAGTACATACACCACGACAGGCAGTGTGGAACCTGATGACGCTGCAAATACGTGCTATTGGATTGAGCACCGTGTACTGGTTGAGCAATGCCAGTGCTAGCTGCAGTACGAATCTTTTGTTTTGGGTTCCGTTCGTATTCGCACTTGAAGGCTGTCGCACCTCCAAAAAATTCGCGTTCGAAGAACATAACGATACATAGGTGGGATCAAATATTGATGCTTTTTGTTTATCAAACAGACTATTTATTGCCTTCAACGTTTCTCAGTAAGCCCTAATGGCGGGTGTCCTTAGAAGCAAAAAACACATACATCCTTTTTTTCACATCAGCTTGCGTGTCTTATAAAATTGAGAATCGGGGTTTACAGACCATCTGTAGCTCTCTCTAATCGATGAATATAGTTTGCTCACAGGTTTTATCCACAAGATGTCAGTGTGTTTTTACTGGGCAGTAGTTAAAGGTCTTACAGATTTAAATAAATTATCGTATGGAGAATAAGGTGCTAGACAAAAAGGAAGCCGATTATGCGATGCGGAGTTGAAGTCAGAAAAGTGTATGGGCAAAATATGGAGACTTCCTTTCTCGAATATATATAAATAGTGAAGAAGTGAAATGAAATGATTGCCTGTAACAATAAACTGTAACAATCTCTTTTCTTTCTTTCACTTCAAACGTTCAAATACTGTTTTTGTTTTTTTTTGTAAAGTTTTTCTTTTACGGGTGTCAAATCGCAAGAGAGTATCAAAGCATGGCTTTTCTTCTTCTTCTTCGTAACCTGCTGCTCGATGCTTTTTTGTCTCATTTGGCATTCCCTGTCTTTCTCTCTCTCTCTCTCTTTTTCTTGCTTTCGTCATGTTGTGCGTCTTGGACACTGCTGCTGAATTTTTGGTACTTCATCATCTTCAAGCGTCGCTAGAGTTGGCTATACGTGTCTCGTTCATTTCTTAGGAGGGTTGAAGACGTACTTTCTGTTCTTGATGCCGGCCCACTTGAACTTCTTCACCCACACAGAAAGTAGGTACAATGAAGACAGCACGATGACAGCCTTGATACCCAATCTCTTTCTTTCGTCGTGTTCGGGCTCACTGCACCAGTGCAAGAAAGCGGTGACGTCCTTGGCCATCTGGGAAGTGGTGGCGGGGGTACCGTCCTCGTACTCAACCAATTCGTCAAATAGCACACGAGCCATGGCAATAGAGCCACCTGGGAAGTAAGGGTTGTAGTTGGAACCTGGTGGCAACACTACACCGGCTGGAGGTTCATCTGGGTATCCGGTTAGAAGTGAGAAAATGTAATCAGACGCACCGTGTCTGGCCTTGACGATCAAAGAGAGATCGGGAGGCAAGGCACCTTGGTTAGCCGCACGAGCGGCTTGTTCGTTGGGGTAAGGCCCTGGGATGTAATCGGCAAGCTTACCGCTACGTTTCTTGGGGTTACCTTGCTCGTCTGGTTCATCGTCGTACTCGAATTCCTCGGCCATGGCACGAACCTCCGCGTTGGTGTGAGACACACCAACCATGGTACGCCAGGCGACTCTGTCGAGCGAGTGGCATGCAGCACACACCTCACGGTACACCTGGTAACCTCTTCTGATGGAGGCGTGGTCAAAAGTCTCAAAGGGACCGTTGCTAGGCCAGGCGTACGAAGGAGGATGCAGACCGTGCTCTGAGGCGGTCATGGCCTCAGCAGTGAGGGAATCCGCGTATAGGGCGGCAGAGGCTGCCACACCAGTGGCAAGAGCGCCTGCAACACCAGCACGACGGGCCCAGTTGTTGGTGACCGCGTTTTTAGCAGTAGAGAAAGATCTCTGTTGTGAATTGTGTTAGTAGAATGAATACGGGATTGGGATAATTTTGAAGCTGAGAAGAAGGTCTCAGATGGGAGAAGCGCGGGGAAAAAAGAGGAAATTCGAGGGTGTGGCCGTTCTGGCCGAATTCTTCTTTTTTTTTACTTTTCCACAATGCTAGCGAGCCTGAAATCAAGATAATAAACAGCTACCAAAAAACAGACACCACAATCACAAACTTTCCCTCTGTTGAATCCATCGTCCGTGAGAGCATGCCAAAATCGGGGTCTATCGAACTCGCCTGTATTTTCCTGTGATTTTGCCATTCTGTCATTCTGTCATTCTGTCGTTCTTTACCTTTTCAATTTCTGTCATTCTTTACTGTCTTTCTTTCTTTCCTTCATCTCATTTTATATTTTCTCTCCCTCTCTCTCCCCCTCTCTCTCTCCCTCTCTCTCTCTCTAAACATACCATGCTGCTGCCCCTGGCAGCGTTTCTTATCGAGCTGAACATCGGATCGTTCGACGATTGTGCTAATAATGTGTGTGTTGGTTTCAATCGACCTCTTATGTCGCTAGACTTGGCTGGATTTTTCGTAGATAATCCAAGTTTCCAAAAAATACCGTAGCAAACACAAGTAACGCACTATTCCAAGTGACAGAGTTCTTTAAGCTCAAAAGTGTTAGGTGATTCTTCAAGTCTTCCACTGTAGTTTTCACGCTATGTTCAAAACTTTTAACTTTTTTCCACACTACGAGCCTGCTGGTTGGTTGGTGGGAAAATAATATAGATGGAGCATTTCGGCAATATCGCTGTGAGCCGTCGACAACGACCATGATTTTGGTTAAGAAAAAAGGGTAGAAAAACGCCTTGCGTATGAAATGATGTTGGGACGTATACTAAGTACTGCAAGCGGCATTTCCGCGAATATGATTGGACGAGAGAGAGGAGACGAAAAAACAGAAGCACGTGGGTGGTGTGTGGGTGGTTGTGGAATTGCAAACGTGAGCTGCACGTGAATGCAACGTGAGTGCAGCTCACGTGCATGCGTAGCTCTCTCGTCTTATCACTTTCCTCTAAACCGTCCAGTAGAAAAATACCTCGCGACAGAAAAAATCCATGGAAAGCAGCAGCGTATGTTAAAAGTTTGTACAAGTGACGGGATATCACCTTTGTCGATTAAGCATAGCTCTTTGACTTCCCGCTTCCTAAGCTCTTTTTCGTATCCTCATTTGAGTTTGGATTGATGTGCGACACACTTGTTACTAGACCACCAAGAAAACGCACCACAGGTAAACAGACTATAGTCTCGTCTTGATATTGTAACCTCCTCCGCTCAGAGACCACAACCAGTGACACATAGCCGGTTTTTCAGCTTCGTCACGTGATAGCGATATGCTTCAGACCTCGATCATCATCCAGTAACTACTACTAACACTAACCAAGAGGCCATTATTGTGTGTGATCCCATACAAACCGAAGATCACCCGATGGAAACTGATGTTCGCTACACGTTTTTGGATGCTTTGGATCATCTCCCATCGGAGCTGATACGAAGTCTTTGGACCATTCAAGGCCTAGGACTCCGCGAAGATAAAAATCGAACTTTCGTCAATAGAGAAGCCATCAAAGAAGCTCAGCACATCCAAAGACTGATTCAGCAACACCACGAACAACTTGAGTTTCAAAAACAAGAGATGCAAGAAATGGCTGCAATTCAATCACGGTATTTGGCGCATGAAGGCGCAATGGAGTTAAAAACCAAATCTGCCAAAACGCATACCAAGGCAACGCCAGCAGTTCCAGAACCTTTGAAAATTAAAATACATCTAAAACCGAGCCATTCAAATGAACCTGTTTATTGTCATTGTCGTGATGTATCCCACGGCCAAATGATCGCTTGCGATAATCGAAGATGCCCGACAGAATGGTTCCATTATTCATGTGTTGGACTTAATCATGCACCGAAGGGCAAATGGTATTGCAGCGAACGATGTCATCGTCAGGCTACGAAGAAAAGACTCAGGAATGCTTAACGTAACGAGCAAAGCTTGTAAAGACCCTCTGGTTGGGTTCAAGACTCCGGTGCCCGGAGCACGTAATTGATGTAATAATAATATAACGAAGTGGTAATTTGATTGATTAGTTCTTTGGCATTGGGCGAAACAGAGTCTATACATGTTAGATGATATACATACACAGTCTAGGAAAACCCAAGACCAAAGTGTGGAGATTCAAATGATAATTGAACAAAAAACATGGAAAGAAACAATACTTGTTGCTGATAAGCTCAGCAAAAAACTACGATTCTTACAAGTCCTTCTTCAAAGTACCCAAGAAAGCGTGCTTCTCAGCAGGGGTCTGGAATCTACCCTTACCGAACTTGGAGGCAGTGTCAATCCACTTCAAGGTGACCTGTTCCAAAGCCTTTCTGGAGGTGTTGGTGTACATGGACTTTCTCAAAGTAACAATTCTCTTTCTGTTACCTGGGATACAACCCTTGACCATGACGAAGTCGTTCTTGACAGGACCGTAGGCGACGAAACCACCCATTGGGGTGATGGTCTTCTTGGTTCTGTCGAACTCGGTGGAGGCATTGCCCTCATCGTCACCCTTACCAACTCTGTAAACCTTGTGGTTGATCGAGGTTCTGGTGTGGAAACCGTTTTGACCGGCTCTGGCGACAGTCCACATAACGTGGGCTGGATGCCAAGCACCGATACAAGCAACCTTTCTCAAACCTCTGTGGGTCTTTCTTGGAAGCTTCTTGGTACCCCATCTGTGGGTGACACCTTCGAAACCGTGACCCTTGGTGACGGCACAGACATCGATCATCTCGTTCTGCTCAAAGACAGAGTCGACGGCGACGGTCTTTTCAAAGTGCTCACGGGCCCAGGCGGTCTTGTCGGCGACGGAACCACCGTTCAATTGGATTTCAGCCAAATGAGCCTTCTTCTGAGACAATGGAGTCTTTCTGACCTGGGTGTGGGCCAAGACTCTCACGACAGTGGCGTACTTGTTGATTCTGGCCAACTCTCTCTCGATGGCAGCGCCGTCTTGAGCGTACTTGGCAGAGTACTTGGTGAAAGCCTTCTTCTTGGACTTGTACCAGTTCTTGTAGAATCTTCTCTTGATCTCGTCAGACAAGTGTTCAGCCCACACCGTGGTCAACGATCTCAAACCTCTTGGGGTCTCGACGTATCCCACGACACCGACAACCACCATTGGTGGGGTGTCCACCACGGTGACGGCCTCAACGATCTCACGCTTGTGGAACTTGGAGCCTGGACGGTCCAAGTCTCTGACGATGGTAGACATACCGGCCTTGTAACCCATGAAAGAGGTCAAAGCGACTGGCTTAGTCTTGTCGTCCTTTGGGAAAGATCTCACCTTACCTCTGATGGAGGCGGCTCTCTTTCTGGGCAAGAAACCCAAATGACCGTGACGTGGAGCTTCGTACTTTCTGTGAGACATGTCTGTTTTAGTTGTGCTTGTGCGGGAAGAAGGAAGTTTCTAAAACTGAAGTGATGGTGAGAATGGGAAGTTTGATGTAGCGGAGATGAGTTCTTCTTATATGGCGATGAGCTTAGAGCCGCTGGAGAGACAGTAGTGAAAAAAAAATTTTCACGACCGTGAAAAAAGATGTGAGTGGGTGGCGAGTAGATAAGTGAGTGGATAACTGGGTGGATGATCAACTGGATGGCTGGATGGCTGGGTGGCTGTAAGCACAAAGGCATAGTATGGGCCAGGACTGTGGACGAGTAGACTCGAGTAGACATGTTTTTAATGACTATGGTACTTGCAGGACCGTATGATATGGTTGGTTTACTGCGGCGCGCGAAGCGTTACATTACCTACAATACCTGACACATAGCTGCAGATGTAGGTTCCACATTCCCAATGACTAGTAAGTTGAAGAGATCTATTTAGTACAAATATAAGCAGGGTCAGTGGCTTCAGTGCTCACTTCGTTGAAATGTTTCAATTTGATAGATCAAACCACTAAGTAACCCGCTAACTACCTTTGGCCGCATTAAAGCGCATGGAAAGATGTCTTTCTTGTCAAGAGGTTCGTGTTATCGCTGAAGCGGAATAATGGTACTCACGGTTCTACTCGTGATTCTTGTCATCACTACCTGCGAACGCAACCGATTTTACTCGTACTCGTCACGAGCATACTAGTCAATGCGTATTGAGTAATGGTCATCTCAAGCCTCTTGGTCTTCATTATAAGCTAAAACCATCAGATGATGATATTCATACCTCTAACGTATGTTCAACTTCACCACTTGTAGATGCCTCGCAATAGACCGAAGTCAGTATATGGGCAGATGTTGAACCACCTCATGTTCGCAGAACCATCGTGCTTTCCGAAGAATTTGAATAAGTCGATAAACTTTTGATGCAAGACAAGGTCGATACATCTGATTTTTGACTAAGTTTCTCTTCAAGAAGCCCTTCTGGATTCTCAAGCGTGTAGGCCGAATGCTGAGTTGGATTCGCGACCGCATTCGATTCCTTGAGCATTTCGAACGAGTGGATTCGCCGGATTCGTGCACAGAGTAATAGAAAGCTAAAGGATACTAAAAGAACTGAGATTATCAGGCAGTTGTTGTAGGTAGTGTTAACCTACAGGAAGTCTGGTAGAAATCGAGAATAATACGCTATGGGCACGGTGTGTATTCTATGGGCACATTGAGTAGCGTAGGTTATAAACACGAGGCGTGAATACATGTCCTTGACGATGCGAATATATACTTCTCGACATTGTCACAATCTACCGAAGGCCTGTCCGGATACAGATTCTATGGCAGAGCCATGGGCTTTACCCCAGAAATATATCACATACGTACAAAACGATCTCCCGTCTAACTCCACACTTTCTCCTCCATTCATCTACACCACCATAAACGCTGTATTTTCCTACTCCTCCTCTGTTCATCCACAACATCTACCAGCTTTACTTTGTTATCCAGTCCCCTATCCTTGTAGGCCCACCGTCGCGGGCCTATAATTCCGCCTGTAAGATTGTCGAGGCGTGAAATACCACCCCACAATTATTTTTTTTCGAGATATTTTACATATTGGATGATATCCGGGGAACAAGGACGAAACCGGAGAAGGGAAATGAGTATATAAACCGCATGGAAGTCAGTGGTATCGAGTTGCACGGTGGCTGATATGGGCTAACACCCTCACATATATTTAGTAATAGATTTTACAATATTACTAGACATTTCGGCATCCTCTGGTGAATTAAGTCACAAGTCAATATTCAAGTCGGTTCCTATATTCCAATAGCTTTCGCTTATCAGGAACTATAAGAGGAAAACCGTGTCATATCAAATAAAGCCAGTGAATTAAAGGAGACCGAAATTAACAGCTATTAGCCGAATACATTCACACACATACGCACACACCCAAAAGATAGAGTCTCGAATGCCGTGCCAGGTGACAAGTGTAGACGACTGCGTTCTGATACATCAAAACATGATGCTATTGGAGAATGTGACCAATTTGGAACGTCCCGCTATCGACTACTACCATTGCAATCTATCGTGGGACGATTCGTTGGCAATGCCACAAACCTGGAACTTACTGCTGCATCTGGGCAAATACAAGCTTCTGCGACTGCCTTCGTGCTCTGCTGAAGACGATACTGACTACCAAATGTACGTCAAACGGTTGCACCACTGTCTGTGGCGACGCTGGTCCATCTCGTACTACAATCTCGGCGCCAACAAACTCGACCCGGGTGCCGTCAACTGGAACAAAGAACAGGATTTTTCAGTGCTCTATGGGCCGGACCTCACTATCGACGGAGAAGCGTCCGTGAAACAACCTCAACTGGATTCCCTTGTGGGCCACCAGTTCGCCATGCAGCAGCCACCAAATTTGCCTCTCCCGGTCATACTCAAAAATGCTGCTACTGACAATGAAACAGATGATTCAACAGGCTGTTTCTCTTCGTCCCTCGACTCCCGTGACTCGTCCATATTCGACCACATCCCATCAAAATCCTGTCTGAAACACAGCGACTCGTCCCATCGTGGCCGCAGGCGGCCACTCAAATTCAACGATCAAGTGCTGCGTCGAGATATAGACCCCTTCGGCTCCCTTTATGAGCGGAAAATCCTTTTAAATGACTCGCATGTACCCTTTCCCGACAACGAGTCCGAACTGGAATCGGAACCCGAGCACATCCAGTACTCTACCGAAATGTGGGATTCAGATAGTGATTTGGATTTAGATTTTGCATGACGGAAAAATACTGCTAAAGCCACCTTCGATTTCTTCACGAATAACTTAACGACCCTCGGCCCCCCCTCCAAACCTCTCGGGACCTCACAATATAAACTTTTCACTCGAATTACATATATGAACAAATGTAACGTTCATTACAGCTAAGATCCTGCTTGGCCCGAGCGCCGTGCTTGCTAGCACAGCTGTGGTGAGTTTCCGTCCATTTCTACGCCGTTACCGGCATGTGTCACCAACTGGAGCCTCAGCGGTCCCGATTAATGTAACACGCTGGACAAAAGTTCATTTCGCGAATCGTTTATGATCTATCTGGCGAATGTGGTTGCAGAACCATTACTCTTTGTAGTTTGTCTTGAAGAAACTATGGTTCAGAGTTTCTTGCGCTGTTAGTCTTTCCTGGTGATCGTATCTCAAAAGCTTGTCTATCAAGTCCATCACTTCAGGTCTGATTAGATTGCTGTCATGAGGTATAGATTCCGACCATTCTTTACGCGGAAAATCTTTCATGATATCATCGTATTCATGGGGCAGTTTGAGCCCATATTTGCGTAGGTATGCCAGTAGCTCCTTTGTCCCAAGCACACGGGCTATTTTAACCAATTGATCGGGATTTGTGCTACCTTTGAAAAAGGGCTCCTTCTTGAGAACGATGGCGGCAAGCATGCAACCGACGGACCACAAATCTAAAGAGTAGTCATACTGGTTCAAATTTACAAGCAGCTCGGGGCCCTTGTGGTAACGAGAGGCCACTCTGACATTGTAGTCGACCCCTGGATGATAAAACTCTGCTAGCCCCCAGTCGATCAGCCTTAATTTCCGTTCTACCGGGTCTATCATCACGTTCTGGGGCTTCACGTCACGATGCATGATACCCATAGAATGACAATAGTCCAGAGCCACTAACAACTGCGTAAAGTAGTATTGCACATCTGGCAGCGTGAATTTTGGGTACAAGGTGCGGAAATCCACATTTTTCACTTCTTCAAAAATCAGCGCTGGGATTTTGGAACCCGGATCCTGCACGATATCCAGCAGGCCGATTACATTGGGTCCGCCCGTTAAATTGGTCAAAATTTTCAGTTCTCTATAGATTTTCTTGAGTTTGACCGGTTTCAAAACCTTGATTACACAGTACTGATCGTTGACCACGCTTTTACCGCGAAAAACCTCCGAATATTTGCCACGGCCGATTTTGTTGACAATTTCGTAATGTTCGATTTTGCCCCAGTCCACCGTTACTCCTTGTTCGTAGTCCCAGTACTCTTGAGGTCTTTTGGCACAAGCGTCTTGATACACTCTTGCCACCGAGTAAACACGGGTGCTCTTCTGGTTCAAAGCTGAAGGGGGCAATGACATGGTTTTAGAAGAGCTCGGCACCGTTTGCTAAGATTCACAGTCGCCTAACTGGACGATTGTCTGGTGCTGATTCTTCAAATGGTATACAAATTTCATGATGTGGGATGAAAAGCCAGTCAATTTAGCTGTGAGAATTGTGGATTCGCGCCAGATCACTTTGTCCCGGCGTGGCGCCGTGAACGAAGAATAAGCATAAGAGCTCCATCTTTGTATGGTTTCCGAGATAACCGAAGGGAGAAATGCACACCATATACATTATTCTCTAGGCATGCCATCAACGTTGTCAAGTTGCTTTGGTCACAGTTTCTAGATGCTCCTACGAGAAAACTTCGTCAACAGTCGACTTCTTGTCTTGTTGGCAAAACACAACCGATTTTTTAAATCATTGATGGCGAAAGTTCGAGCTCAAAGCTTGACCTGTGTGATTGTTTTGTTCTGTTTTCTCTATTGTTTTAGATTATTTGGCAGTAAGTTTGATATTCAAATTATTGGCGTCATTAACCAGTCGGTCATTTGAATTGAGCCAAAATCCAACAGGACCAGAAAAAGAACTGTTTAAAATCGATAGACATAGTTTCTGGGGCAACTGAGTGAAATATATGGTATATTAAAACCTGTTTTTCTTAACTTCGTAAGAAACGGTGGGGAAGAACGTTGATACTGCGCATAAAAATGCCTGCACATCCAACAGTCTCAATGTGTTCATATTCAAGAACCGCCTCCTTCTCTATCCCGAAGCTACATACTAACGCCATAGCATATCACCGGATCAGAGCGTGAATAGTCTTCAAATCCTCCCTTGGTGTTCAAACTCTTCACAGGTATCACGTGATCTCCCCACCTTTCGTATTTCGTCTGTAGTGGGATATAAAAATCTCGAAGGCATCGAAGTAACTCGATTAAAGACTCGCAACTTTACGGATTGAAGTACTCTCCAGCCACCACGACTGACTGATATGTCTATGTGCGACACATTGCACTGATGAAACTCGATTTGGACGATCGAAAAGTGATCTTGAACTTAGAATTGGAACTAAAAAACCCTGCTAACGATGGGTCCCATAAATTGAATTCTGAGAGTACCGCTCGAGTAGCAGGATACATCGATCGCGCAAAGCTACCTTTTTGGGTTTTGAGAGGCGCTCTCTATGTGTGCTTGAGCGAAAGCTCAACGACAGCGGCGTTTTTCCGGTCAAAACTACTGAAAAAACGGCATCTTCGTCGTGGCATCGTTGCGTCACACGAAGATGGCCACTGCATGTTTTACGCTTCTCCAATTGAGTCTGACGAGACCCTGTTTGAGATACATTGTGTCGAGCTAGATCTGATCACAATCAAGCAGCAATTGGACTCCCAATTGCCCAAAAGTGCCACGCTTGACAGTGGCCATCCTTTGGACCATTTAGTGGAGCGCAAACAACGGCAGCAATTGCGTAGCCGCTCACGTGTGTCCCAACACGCTGAGGTTGCCGATTTGAGACGTCAGTTTCTGAAAACTGCTGCCGGCTGTATTCGGAGCGGCTTGCGTTTGCGGGGTATGCCCGAAAGTCAGCCAGAATTCCACACACTCTACAAAACCACCTTGTCCACCGTTGAATTTGCTCACCGGCACGACTTGAATGCTACGTCGTCGTCACCGCAAACAGTGTCCTTTGAGACTGTCCAAGACACTGTCGAAACTCTGCTGCGTCTATTCACTCGCACATGATTTTCACGTGTACTAATTTTTTACCCCGAAAATTCCACGCATTTTACACGAAGGGTATTTCGGGTAAAAGCCAAGCCCTGCAAGATGAATGACTTCCGATACCTAAGACAGTTTTAAACAGCTTTCACTCACTACAACAGAAGAACGAACGCTCGATACGCCAATTCCAACAGTTTGAAGCCTCTAGGAAGCTCCACAAGTTGTTTGGCGCGAATCAGATTGGTCAGACCTCTCGAAAGAGCCCAAACAGGGTCTTTTTCCCACACTTTTTGGTTTTACTAGCTCTCGACACTATCAATCAGGTATTGAAACTTGATTATACGGGGAAATAATACGATCTTGGACTAGGTTTTCTACTATCTGTAGATTTCTTGGCTCGGCTGTATCACAAATTTTTCAAGGACGAGGACTTGATACGTTGCCGAAGCTTGATTTTTCATTTTATTCGAAGACGCCAATTGCTGCTTTGAAAAGAGCCTCCAAAATAGTGTCACACAACAGCAACACCGCGTTTGGATATGGGCAAACATCTTTTCGTGCTGGTGCACGGGTTGTGGGGCAACTATAAGCATATGAATGCAATCAAGGATGTGTTTTCTGATGCATTTCAGGACAGTTCGGAAATTCTCTTTTTTTCGCCGCGACAAAACGGATATTTCAAGACGTTTGACGGTATCGAGATCATCGGGTATCGTACCCTTCTTGAAATATGCCAGTTTATCGACACTTTCCCGTCTGGAGAGATTACTGACATCAGCTTTGTCGGGTATTCCATGGGTGGCCTAATAGCGCGGTTCATTGTGGGAAAAATGCTCTCTGAATGTCATGAGCTGTTTCAAAATATACAACCTCAGTTGTTCATTACTTTTGCAACGCCGCATCTTGGTGTTCACTTTTTGTTGCGCGAACACCGCGCAGGTCATCATCGTGCAATATCGCGAATTTTGTCCACTTTGGGTACTACCGTCCTTGGCAGGACTGGGCGGCAGCTTTTCATCCAAGATAGCCTGCCAAATAAGTCAATTTTGGTGAAATTGAGCGAAGGAGAATATTTAGAGGGTCTCGCACGTTTCAAACACAGGATTTGCGTGGCTAACGTTAAAAACGACCGTACTGTGGCCTTCTACACCTCTTTCATAGCAGACAAGGATCCGTTTTTGGAGACTGATAACCAGATCAAGTATGAGTTTGAGAGGAACCTTCCAGGCGAGAATCTGTGTATGGTACCACGTATCATCGACATGGCAAAACTGGACCCTGCCTCTTCGAGGGCTCCAGCTGATGGTCCACATCTATCACACTGGCTTTTCATATTCGTTATCTGTTGCGTTTTAACGTTTGTGCTGCCACTCATTTTCGTAGCCAACGTCTTGGGTACATGCTACTCTTATTTGGCTACGGTTCATTACCAGAACCTGTTGCATCAGGGGGAGGGCCGTGTTATCTTGCGTCGCAAACTGGGACTACGCGACAAGATTGCCGATTCACTGCGGGACACTGTGGGCGTAATTGCGAGCGATTACGAGGACAACCCTGGTGCCGATAATGGTCAGACTATTGTGAGGGAAGACACATCTTGGGAAGACTTCATTGCCAAATACACAAGTGGCTGGCAATCTGATCCAAAACCTAAGTTCCATAAGCTAAATTTCGATGAACAGCGTAAGCAAATCTATTCGAATTTGAACGGGGTTTCCTGGATTCGCATCCCGCTCTACGTTAAGGCGCTAAACGCACATGATGGCATTGTCGCAAGAAAGGGTGTCAAGGCTGCTACGCCGTACAGCATATCAGGGCTTCAATTTGTGGCTCAAATGGTCAAGTTTCTCTGGTTTCGCACTAGCCGGCAATCGACGGCACGTATGGTCCAAATTGAAGCTTGCCATAAATTGCATAAAGAAAAATAAAGGTGGTGGCCTGGAAATCTGTTTTAGCTGGCTTTTGAAAAGTTTAGTAAGCGTCGCTCATCTATGCAATGCTGTGGTCAACGGGATCGAAATCCCCGGTTTGGTGTTATTTCTAAAAAAGCATTTTCATGTCAGTAGGCTTCTTATTTTTTAGTTACTTGTTTAGTTGATTAAGGTTCTGTTTTTAGGTCAGTATAGTAGCGAAGTGGCTACAAAGGGTCTACCAAAAGGACGATTGGGTTCTCACCTTTTGATCTCTTCAGAAACAGAATGTAAAGAGGATAAGCCGGTATGTCTATAGCCATTTCTCCTTTGGATTTGCTTTGTATTCTTGGTACGCCTGCATGTTAAACAACGAGATTTCCGTCTCATTCTCGATGTCGCAGTCGACTAGTTTCTTGCTTCCATCCTGCAACACCCAGTCATCGTCGTGGTCGAAGTTGACGATGAGATTCACTGTCTTGGAGCCGTGTGCATGAGTATAGATTTTTAAAGTGTCGTAGTCGACGTTACGCAGCGCCCGAAACGTACCATTTGACTTTATATGCGACAACGAATCATCTAAGAGATCCTGAACAGTTTTCTCCCTCAAATTGTATCCTTTGAAAATGATGTTTTTGACATTTCTGTATGGAAACGATTTGATCACTCTTACAGTGATTACAGCATCGGTCACTGCATAGCCTAATTGTTAGTCCGCTGCTGTCGCTGAAAGACACCAAAACACCAATCTCTGCTCAACTCTACATACACGGTTTAACAGAACTTGTCAAAGGTTCCTGGTCATCGTAGTTTACACTAGACGACATTTGATTTTGGTATTACTGGCAGCCGATGAGCTAGTTCTCATACTACGTAAGGCAATGAAATTTTACCATACACATTTAACTGTGTGGGTCAGAAGTGAAAAAAAACAGGTTCCATGAAAATGTAATAAAAAAGAATAAGAACTCCTCATAGGGGGCTCGAACCCCTGACATTTCGGTTCCTTGCAAGCGTGCTTAAAAGCCGAACGCTCTACCAACTGAGCTAACAAGGACGAGTTCTTAGAAAATTGGAAAAGTAGGAAACCATAACCTGTTACATTGAAGCTTGATTTAACAGAAATAAAGTGAACTTTCCAGTGCCGAAAGTGTACAAAGAGAAACTATGCATCACTGAAGCCCGATAACAGTAGGTCGACACAACGATATCAAATGTTTGAAATGATCGCCGTGCTCTTAACTGGCTTTTCTCTCTGTCTCTCTCTCTCTTTCGCACTCATGAACCTTGTTTACGCTTCTCTCGATGAGGAATATTATAAACAATCAACATTAGCTCAAAAATAAAGTAACTTGGTCAACTACTCACACATTTCAGAGCGTTGTCGTAGGGCATTTGAACTCCATAGAACATCGATTAGCCAGGGATCTGCTAGCTGATCGACCCTGGCCATGGATTTACACATAAACCAGGCCCCCGCGGGCACTATGAGCGACCAACTTCGAGACCTCAACGAGAGACCGTCGCAGGCATCGAAAACCCAAAATTCGTTTTTGGAAGACCCCTTTGGACACCCTACAAATCTATCACACCATTCATCGTCTACTGCTACTTCCTCGTTGAGAAGCCCACCGGGATTCCATCATTTCTCATCAGAAGCAACAGAGTACATGCGCTTGACACCGGTCAACATCAAGAATCTAACATCTCCAATACGAGGCCCAGAACAGCGACCAGCTCTTCTTTCCAGAGAAGAAAGTTCGACGTACACTGCTTACAAAGAAAATTTTAACCTCATCAGCAGGAAACTCGAAAAACTGCTGGAGGGGCTGGACGTCATCTACCGCGAAATCGGATACTCCAATACCGAAATTTCAGAAAAGGATCAGCTAATATTTAACCATATATCGGACTCCATCACTGGATTTTTCGAACAAGCCAACGAGGAACGTGATAGAATCACAGCGGACAACACAATTTCAAGGCAAGCCTTACAACGCGTACTTCAAGTTTTACAGGATCCAAAGGGCACTACCACCATTCCAGATCTCTATACACGTAATGTGATTGTCAGTTCCTCGGGGTCAAATGCTAACTCGCCAAAAAAACAGACGTCTCTGATTACGCGGCGAAAAATAATCTCAAAAGCGAAGAACTACGTTATCAAAACTTACACGCCCAAACTAAGTGTCTTTTTGGAACGTGTCATCAGACTCAAAAGTTTAGCAGCTGCCACTGGTGATTACATCCCAGTGACACAAGGTCTGGACACTCAAGCGCTTCTGTCGGTGATTCCGCCGCTCAAAACTTGTCGATATTTCAAATCCTGCTTGTCACCAATTCACCATGATGTTGAGAAAACATGCGCTTTTGTCATAGAACATCGAAAGGTGTTACTCAACACCATTAATTTTAACGATGTATCCGACAATATAGTCGAGCGCATCAACGTTACTATTTCTATGTTCGAGAAGGAGTTTGAATCTAGACTTCAAAAGGCTCTGGCCATGAAACGGGAGATCCTCGATCTGTTGAAGCTATTGAACCTCAGTCCAGACCAAAATCTTGATGAACCAACGAGGGATGTGTTCAAGCAGCTTCCTAGCGAGGCGATAAAGGACAAAACTAAAAGAGAGCTTCCGGAAGCAAAGCAATTAGCAGTGTCCACTTCGACCTTGGAGAAATTGGATATTGTTTTACGTGAATACAGAGATTTAGAAGCCAATTGCCGCCAAGAGAAACAGGAATTTTATCAAAAGTGCCGTCACCTTTGGGAGAAACTGAAAATTTCTAAGGCTTATACCTCAAAGTTTGAAAGTTGCAATGCAGATTTATCAAAAACTTCAGTGAAGAATTATATCCAAGAATATAATCGACTCCAAGACATGAAGAAGAAACTCATTAAAAATCTCATACAAGACTCGTGGACGAAGATACAAGAGTTGTGGTCAGCGATGCACTTTGCACCGCAGGATACTGCAGCCTTTCAAGATATGTTCAGCAGTATGATAGAAGCCTCGACAACTCTGGATGACGATGAGAAGGTTCTGGAAACCTGCGAAGTGGAAATTGTTGCATTAGAAAATAAACTTGCTGCATACAAACCGCTCTTGAAACTGATTGACGAGTTCCGCTCTTTACAAAACGACAAATTGAATTTAGAAAAGAGCAGTAGAGATTCTTCGAGACTCTTGCTAAGAAACTCGCACCGGATTTTATTAGAGGAAGAGAAGACGAGGAAGCGTATCACAAGGCATTTTCCTAACGTTATTCAAGAACTTGTGCAGAAATTGGAGAATTTTGAGGAAGACTCCGGAAGGCCATTCATGGTAGAAGGCTCGAGGTTTCTGGAAGTTGTGCTGCAGCAGGAAGAAGAGATTATCAGCAAATACCCTAGAAGCAGGATCAGCTCAAATTTCAAAAATCCCGGAGCATCAGCTTCTGCCACATCTAGATTAGCGCCCGCCTCTCGCTCTCCTCGCAAGGAACAAACGCGGCCTAAATTTCAAGCTAAAAGTCATAGAAATGTCATGCAAAGGACACCGATTAGGAATCATGGCGCAGTAAGCTCAAAACCTGCCGAAAGTGACCAAAACAGATTCCAGTTCTCCTCCAATCGCCGCACCAGAGCGGCCCGTATGTCAAGTCCCATTAGAAAGACCGATACCAAGAGTTCCGCCAAGGAAGCTACTCGAGGTAGCCCCACCAAGATTCCAACTCTGACGAGAAGTGCGACATTTCCGGAAGAGAGCAACTTTTTCGGCATTGGTTCAAAGCCAAAGACACGGATGGTGGCACCTGAAGGATTAAAATTGATTTCTCCAAATAAATTGAACTCAGTGAACAAGATCTCGAAAGCAGAAGTTACGAGCGAAACGCCCACTCTCGTAAGAAATCCTTCATCACTATCTTGGATGGAAAGACCGGAGAATCCAGAAAAGGAAAATATCGTTCCATATTCTTTAAAGTCACCTTTGCGGCTATCAAACAAAATGCTTTCTAGGCTGGAACCTCCCAAAAGAGAGGAGGTTGATAACTCGGTTTATACTATCACAAAGTCTCCGGACGGCAAGTTTCTTCTTAACGTTGAAGAAAATGCTACGGCAGACAACACTGCGGAGGGAGAGGATACCAGCATACTAGCAGAAGACGACAATTTTGCTATATGGAAACGAGAACGATTGGCAAGGATGAATAGCAATGAAGGTAAAAACCTTGATCTCCCATCAAGCCTCAACTGGGAGACAGATGTATTCTAGAGAAGAGCGAACGAATGTAACATTATTAATAGGTAATATAGGAGTTTGAAAGTCGGTATCCGACTGAATTTTACCACTTTTTGGGCTCGGACCCTTCAGGGGGGACCATTTCCACCGTCTTTTGTGCTACCTCTTCCCAGTTTGTGTTCAAAGCAGTTCCATTGCTCTCTACCATCGACTTCATCATTGCTCTTTGAGTGTCAGGGTCTGCCCTCGAATACAGTTGATGGAAAAAAGCGTCAGCAGACTGGTTCTGCTCCTCCTCGTCCACGTCAAACTTGGACCAGTCAGTTGATTTTTTGGACGAGGATGGATAAGAGTGTGCGGTTTTGCGCGTTGAGGATGATGTAGGAGCAGTCACTGGTGATGTTGAACTCTCGGCTGCATCGTCCAAGCGCTTCCATTGAATCTTATCCTTTTTCTTGAGTGTGATTTCTATTTTCTTAGCCAGAACGTTTATACCTATTTCTTCTGGATCAACCTCATGGGATAATCTGGTGTTGTACTGAAACTCCGAACCTGTCTGTGAAATCAAATATGAGACCTCTAGGTACCGAAGGCTGGGGGAAACTCGAGCGCTCACAGACTCTCGGCTGCTTGGGAGCGATGTGGTGAACAAAGAGATAGTTAAAGAAGTAGTTGATTGATACCAATCAGCTTTAAAAGCTGGTTTTTCCAGAATTAATGGCTCTTCAGTTAGCTTTGAAGGATCCGCTAGGTCTTTTTGGATATTAGTAGTAGTGGTAGGTGCCACTTCTTGAGCTTCGAGTGGGCCATGCTTTCGTTCCCATTTTGCAATCTTGGCTTTCAGATTGGCCTCCCAAATGCCAATCGTATCGTCCTGGTACCCTAGCTTACGCGATTTGTCAAAAAACCCTTTCGAAAGTGGATATTCCTTACAGTTGTAGTAATGAACAAATAGTCTAAAATTGGCGAAAGCCAATTTCGCTCGGTCTCCTCTTTTATCGGCAATTTTGACAGCACTCTCCAGAAACTCCAATGCGTTCTGCATTGTTGTTTCGTTGTGCCAGCTCCTATGGCCGTAGTACAATTTCTCCAAACATGCTGCTTTGTAAATGTGTGCGGTGAAATTCTCGGAGGATTGCTCTAAGATCGCGTCGTAAAGTTCTAATGCTTCCTGGGGTTTCTTGTCATCATAAAGTAACGTGTAGGCACGTTTCAAATCAACTTCCACAGGCATGCTGTAAATGTGTCGCTAGTTTTCAACTCTATCATTCCGGTATACTACCAAGGTGTTGAATAAATGCTATTTTCATCATACTATCAACAAAAAACGACGTTTTGAGACAAAGTGATAATTAATTAAAATGACACAGTCGTTTTAAATGATCTTTGGATTGTTGGTCCGGGAAGACTCACACAACGATCAAAGAGTTCGTAATAAAAACAAAATTCGACTTAGTATTGTATGACGATTTTCACTAGACTTGGTACTTGAAACAGAACATTTCCTTTGTATATTTCCTTTCTAGGCCTGAATATCTGTCTTCTTAACCCAAAGGGCATTCAAATTTAGAGCATAGCTATTAATATTTGACCAAAAAATTTCAGCCGATGACCTAGGCGATGAGCTAACGAACTACATACTTCAAAGCGGAATAAGCATAATAAGAGACCCGATATGTCCATATCATCGGTGGCTCATGTTAACAGTCTGGTACTAGATGCTACACCTTTAATTACACACTCCTATTCTCATTATCAGCACTATGCTAAGACATTTTTCACCACGCCTACAGTTTTTCATGAGATCAAAGATGAGCAAGCCAGGAAAAACCTGGATCTGTGGCTGACCTTGGGATCTTTGCAACTACGTCAGCCACGAAGTGAGTCTGTGAAAACTGTAAGTGATTTCGCAAAGTTGACCGGTGATTACTCGGTGTTGAGTGCTAACGACATTCACATCATTGCCTTGGCTTACGAGGTCGAAGTAGAGCAGAATAAAGGAGATTGGAGACTGCGTAAAAAACCCGGTGACGATTTGACTTCGGTGCTCGAACGAGAAGTTCAGGCAAGCAGTAATGGCGAAAAGTCGGCAGAACAGGATAAGACCAAGAAAAAACGCAGAAGAGGTGGTAAAAAACAACGCGAGAAACAGCAGCAGCGCGATCAAGAGGGCCAAGAAGATCAAAGCGCAGAACAATCTGCCGACTTCGAGTACAACACGGTACAAGAAGATACAGAACAAGAATCAAAGCCTGCTACAGACAACTCCAAAGACACTGAAGAAATCCCAACGCCAGAAGATGAGGCAGCATACTTCGAAGATGACGACGACGGTGACTGGATCTCTCCAGAAAACCTAACGGAGACCATGATCAAAGACAGCGGAGAAGATACGACGGGCTCGCATGTTCGTGAAGACTTGAATGGGTACATGTCCGAAAACCATCTAACATTTCCACAAAACCAGGTGGCATTAGCAACAGGTGATTTTGCCGTCCAAAATGTGGCGCTGCAAATGAATCTGAACCTGATGAACTTCTTGTCCGGTCTTCGAATCAAAAAACTGCGTAATTACATGCTCAGATGCCATGCGTGTTTCAAAATGTTGCCGTTCCCTAAGACCGGCACACCAAAGCATTTCTGCCCCTCCTGTGGTGGTTCTGGCACTTTGATGCGGTGCGCTGTGTCTGTGGACGCAGCAACAGGCGAAGTGACCCCACACCTAAAATCCAATTTCCAATGGAACAATCGTGGAAACCGTTATTCCATCGCCAGCCCGTTGTCCAAAAACTCGCAAAAACGCTTCGGTAAGAAGGGATTTGTGCATACCAGACACGGTCAAGATGCAGAGCTGTTAAGAGAGGATCAAAAGGAATACGAAAAGGCTTTAAAACAAGAAGAGTGGACTCGTCGCCATAATGAGAAAGTCTTAAGCGACTGGACTGCCGGTGGCTCCGCGGACAATTTCATTTCGCCGTTTGCCATTACAGGACTGAAGCATCATTCTGTGAAAGTCGGACGCGGCCGTCATGCCAACAGTGTCAAAAGCAAGAAATAATGTTCTTCGGGTTTGTCCCAGGTCCAACCTGCGGCCACAAGTCTTTCCCACAGGGATCCACATACAAGTATCTTTCGTGACTATGATACTAATTGATCAAAACATACAGGCTCTAGCTGCAAGTGTGTCCACGTTACATCGTGGCTAGGAGCATGTTTCTTACGAATATGCTCTTTTTTTTCCAAGAACTAGTGGCGCTATGAACATGCTAGCGGGCTCATTAGAACGCCCATATTCGAGGTATTGATACACAGTGGCTTTTGATTATCGTCAGCGTTCCATTCGGCTCTTGCTATGCCATTTTGTTCAACTAGTCCTGTCACCAAACCTGGTCGTCCTATACGGAGCTAGAGTCGATATATTAGTTTTCAATACCATTATTCTAATTGTTAAGCTGCTACCACTCCCAGTTGAAGCCAACAACCTCCCTCAGTTGATAAGTTATTCGTGTTTTAGAGTACGAGCTATTCGTGTTTTTGTTGAGAATGAGTGGTTCCATCCATAATAGTGGCAAAGCGCCTGGGATAGTTTCGCCTCGGTTTTCCAGTGCGGCCAATAAAGCAAACCCTGACGGTTCGATGGGTCCACCGCCCGGTATACCAGGTCAAGGTGGACTTACAGGGTCTCCCGTCCCACAGGGACCTTCAAGTCCTGGCTCTTGTGCGACAAAGTCGATCATGAATGTGTCAGGCACTTCGGGAGCAGTGGTAAGTAATACTCCTGAACCGGGACTCAAACGAGTGCCAACGGTCACATTCAGTGACTCCCGGCATCAAACATTGAAACAGCAAGCCGTGAATAATTCCGTCAGTCAGCAGGGTAAACCAGCCTCCGGAGACGAAGCTGAGAAGCACCCTGAAACCACGAGTCCCAAATTAAGGTCAACAACTTCTCCCACCAGCGTTAGAAACCCTTCACCTCCGCCAGTTTTGAACCGTATGGATTCCTCGGCCATACCGCCGCGGCAGGATTCGAATCAGGCTGTGGGCCGTTCAGACTCGAAAAAACTTAATCTGATATCAAAGCTTTTACATTCGGCTGATGTGTTGCACCATAATCCAAGCCATGCAGCAAGCTCTAATGAACACACGGCGACTGAAGAATCCAATAAAACCACTCCGGTGACTTCAGATACGGAATCTAAGCGAGACGTCAAAGAAGAACATCCCCATTTCGTTGTCGACGATGTCCTGCATTCCCCCAACTTCAGATCAAGGTCCAACAGTGGTAGCCCCATGCCATCAAATACACCTATCAATTCGGGCTTTGTTACCAGTGACAAAAAACAGGAGTCCTCTTCCAGGGTACAAGAACCTACTATTCTCGAGTCTCTCGATGAGGCCGTTGCCGAAACGCCACTAGATCCACAATCAGGCTTTCAACAAATTGCGCCCAACATTCCGAAGAGGGAAACTGGTAAGAACTCAGAGCCTCGTTTGCCTCAAGATGACGGCAAACTTCACGTTTTACTTGGTGCCACGGGTTCCCTGTCAGTGCTGAAAATAAAGGCCATGGTCAAGAAACTGGAAGAAATTTATGGAAGAGATAAAATATCGATCCAGTTGATTTTAACCCAGGCTGCAGCGCAGTTTTTCAGCAGTAGAGCCAAGAGACCATCCAAAGTAGAATCAAGATCTGTTTCTGAAACTGGAATAATGGCCAGTCCTGGAGTTTTTCCCTCTGACCACACGCAACATGTGAAATCGCCACTCAGCAATCCACTAGCTGCAGCACACAACAATGCAGCGAATGAGGTTGGTGCAGCGAATCCTAATGGTACCCCACTTTCGGGTGCGTCGCTCAAGATTGAACTTCCCTCCCACATTCAAGTCTGGACAGATCAAGACGAGTGGGATGTATGGAAACAGCGTATGGATCCTGTCCTTCACATCGAATTACGCAGATGGGCTGATATTCTGGTCGTTGCACCTTTGACAGCCAACACGTTGTCGAAAATTTCGCTAGGGCTGTGCGACAATTTACTCACCAGTGTGATCCGTGCATGGAACCCCAGCTTCCCAATTTTCCTAGCGCCTTCGATGGTTAGCAGCAGTTACAACTCTAGTATCACGAGGCGTCATCTCAAAATGATCAAGGAGGAAATGCCCTGGATTACGGTTTTCAAGCCCTCCGAAAAAGTGATGGGCATTCACGGTGAAATTGGCCTTGGAGGAATGATGGACGCCAATGAAATTGTCGACAAGGTCGTGATGAAACTGGGTGGCTACCCTGAAGAGGAAGATGAAGAAGAGGAGGAAGAAGAGGAAGAAGAGGAAGACGACGACGAACGCAAAAGCTCACGCCAAAAAGCGGAACGCTCTTTGGACGAGGATGACGATGACGACGACGACGACGACGACGACGATGATGATGACGATGACGATGACGAGGACGATGATGATGACGAGGACGATGGTGACACAGCGCGACCATTGGGATCTTTGCAGACAAAACTGGCACCTCAGATCTCACAGTGAGATATTGTCGTCTAGTACGAAAAATCCAAGCGTCTGAAACGACACGTTTTTGCACATTTACAAACCTTTCCCGTCTTTCCTTTGATATACATTTGACTCTTTCTTCATGAAGAATAGTTTCACATTGGGTTGTTTTAACCTAGGCGCGCCCAAGCAATGCGCTTTCGAACTCTCTCTCTCTTTCTCGTTATAAACGCCACACGTGATTTCGGGAAGTTTCCCGATTCGTTTTTCTTTTTTGACTAAGCATCTCATAAGAAATTCAAATTTCAATGAGTAATGGTAGAACCATCGCTATAGGCAGCCTGAAAAGACCAGAGAGCTATAAGAAGACAAAACAAGTCTTGCAAGGACAGTTGTCGTTGCGAAAGTGTTAAGTAGCATACAGTGAATTTCACAAAAGAAATAAGCGATGTCCGAGCTGCGCCATCTTCTTCTATTGCATCCAGCGATCACTGTAAGTCCTGAAAAGGTTGAAGAAACGAAGAAAAACGGTGTTATTTCAAAATGTAGTGCTTTGGACCAGTTTTTGATCAACAAACTGAACGACGGAAGTCTACAGCTACGAAACGATGTATACGAAGTGGTTTATTACTTGACACCGGAGAAGGTCGAAGAAATTCAGTTTCCAGTGAAACTTATTCCGATCTTGGCCAAAAGCCTGAAGGAAGGCGGGAAACTATATGGACTAAGTGATGCCTACAAAGTCCAAGCACTGATAAACGGATTTGATATCGTAAGCGGGAATGACGGAGAATACCACTGGACGAAAAAATCCAATTCATCAAGCACTGCGGCGCCCGTGGCTTTGAATTTGAAGCAATCGAAACATGCAGGTAGAACCACAGATGCGGGTAGTTCTGTTTCCGGGTCAAAAGGTCTCCCAACTTTCAAGAAAGCCGCAACGAAGCCTTTGCCTCTATTCCAAAAACCAGAGTCGCCAAAGGTCGTAAATGATCTTGATGAGGACGAATACGAGGAGCAAAATGATGAAGACGATGATGATTTCGACTCAGATGAGCTTACAGCTGCGAAGTCCAAATTTTTCGATAACGTCGAGGGCGATGATTCCGCAGAGTCTATCGACGAAGACGAACTTGTGGGAGAAGACGAGAAGAACGTAATCACCCTGGTGATGTGCGGGAAATCCAAGACAAGAAGACGGAAAGCATGTAAGGACTGCTCGTGTGGGCTCAAGGAACAAGAAGAGCAAGCGCTGGATGCGGCTCGAGCAGCTCAAAACAGCGTGCTAGGCCAAGAGGTGAAATTTGACGAACAGGAACTGACTGAAGTAGATTTCACAATCCAGGGCAAAAAAGTAGGCGGTTGTGGTTCCTGTGCATTGGGTGATGCCTTTAGATGTTCAGGATGTCCATACCTCGGGCTCCCTGCTTTCAAGCCCGGCCAGCCCATCAGCCTGGACACTATTGCGGATGACTTGTAAAGGAAAACTGTGCACATAAAGTGCGATATATACGTGTAAGCAGATATATATATAATGTAATTTGGTTCGGGGGACCTCGGTGAATATTCTTTCAGTGCTGTAGTTTAATTGTCCGCGGAGGACTGCTTGAAGAACGAATTATAGCCTACGACACGTTTTCATAAATCAAGAGCCGTGCCGAAACTTGATGCGTAGTTATTGAGTCGCTCCGTGGACCTACTGTTGTTACTAGACAAATAAGTAACTCATTTACTGTTAAGAGAGGGTGCTGTCATCAAAGGGTATTATAACAGTTGGAAACGAAGCCCTACGGCGACGGCTCAAGGAGAAATACCACGATGTTCATTACATGCGATGGTGAGCAAAAATAAACTGCAAAGTAATTGGCGAGAAAGTTTCCTCGGGACACTTGTCAGCGACAAGCTGGGAGCTGTCTGCAAACGTCCGCGAAACTCAGTTGGGCGTGAGGGCAAATTTTTTGGTTACTTTAGCATCGCTTTTCGATACCTGAGCTATTCGTGGTGACACGTATGGACCAAACACAAAGTCAGGAATGAATCGAACTTTATGTCTCGGAGACACTTATCATCGCTAGATTTCTCGTCACTAAAACACCAGAAATCTGACGCACGCACGAATGAAAAGAAAAATACCAAAATGGAACCGAAAATTCAGCGGGTAGGGGTTAAAATGTGAAAACAGTATTATCATCGGGTATCTGCAGAAAAACCGTTGTTGCCTTCGAGTTAGGATTGATGAAGCATTGGGTAGAGGGTCAGCTGACTAGCGTCAGCGACACTTTAGTACAAAGTGATGATCTCATAACGATAAAAATGTAACATTAGAGCACATCTAGTCACCGTGGTAAGAGCCCAGGACTGCCTGCCACTCGGGCGAGTGTCTTTACGAGATCGTGGATTGTCCTTTCTTCAAAACACGAATGGATTGTTTCACAAGGAGATAGAACAGGAACCCCCACTTTTTACGAACCCCAAGGTTTCGGCCATCACCACATAGGCTGTACAGACCTCCAGTGGACCCTTGAGCTACTCATATATGGCGGTCGTCTCTTCTTCGTTGTTGTTCTTATCTTAGAGAAGTCGGTAATAAATTAATTAATCAGTTCATCAATGAACAGCTAGCTCATTGGGAACTATTTAGTCAAGAACAACACCAACGGACCAGCCAAAGAGCTCGTCTCCAACGCTATGTATCAGCTCTTACCGCCACCCTTACATCCTCTTTTCGTAAATAGATCTTACGCTGACTCCAGACTTTCTTTACACACTCCTTTTCACACATATGTTAACCACCACGTCACACTTTGACCCTATTTGCGCACAAGAAACTAGCATAGCAGCCAGTAAACCGCATCACCTTCTCAACTTACGTTGCGTTACTGATAAAGAATCACACGGAATAGATATCGGGTAACAAAGAGTCCAAAAAAAGTCTATCGTAATAAGACGGTTCCCACAAACAACCAACGGTAACGTCACTTGCAGGTTTTCCTGACGTTGTGTGTCATCTTGACGTTGTGTTGTTGTTCAATAATGTGTAATGAGGTAGATTACCGTTACATAATCGGGGGAAAGAAGGGAGGAGGCGTTCTTTAAAGATAAAACCCTCCGCCACATATAAAAAGGACAGCGAGATTTCAAATTCTTACAGGGTTTCAACCCTTCAACAGTTCACGAGGATCAAATAGCCATCGATAGGGATCAAAAAGTGCAGGTTCACTTTCTGAAAGTTACGGAGCAGTTTTGATTTGACCTGTTTGTACAAGATTGTAATCACTAGATTTAAGCATTAGTAAAGTAAGTAGTATGTCTGGTGAACATGTCGATGAGCAGTTGACAAAAGCTGGGAACCAGGTGTTGCGGGAGAAGCCAAAAGAAGAAAGTGGCATCGTCGAAGAGGTGGTGGCAAATGTGGCTCTGAGCCGAGTTTCCAAGAAATCTGGACTCAAAAAGAAGAAGAAAGACCGGTGTTTCTACGACAAATGTGGATCTACAGCTCTCAAATTCATTGGCGATTGCCAGTTTTGCCAGGGACATTTTTGCTCACGACACAGAATCATGGAAAACCATGCCTGTCAGGGACTCACGTCTTGTAAAGAACAAATGCATCAGCGGAACGCGGACAAACTTGCCGCAGAACAAACAATAGTATCGAAAATTCAAATCTGAATATAACAGCGAAGCGAATCTAACCTCTACAACCACCATCAGCACAGCAAACACATGCACGCATGCCATCATTCTACTTCGCATATTCATATTTATCCAGTCTATAATAATAACAGTGATAACGGACAATAACCATAACAATCACCATTTTTGATTTTAATGTTCTTACCTAGCCTATCGCACGCTTTACAGCATCGAAAACATTGTCAGCGATAATGGTTGGATGGCATGGTAGCGGATCGCCATCGCGATAAACCCCAGAGCGCACCAAGCAAGTAGACCATCCGTAGTTATGCGCACCAATGATATCGCTAGCCGGGTTGTCGCCTACCATGAACACTTTGCTGAAAGGGGACGACTCCGGCGATACGCCGAGTTTGGGCAATGGAATCTCATTTTTCGAACCGCTAGCAAGCTTTTCCCGCCATTTTATTAGGATGTGATGAGCAAAATCGTATGTCACCGCGGTGGGCTTGCCGATTATCGTATTCTCTAATTGAGCACCATAGTTTAGTCTGGAATATAACGTCTCAATGACTGTGCGGAAAGCACCTTGTCCGACCCGGTTCAAAACGTATTGGTTTGCCCACACTAAGTCATTGTTGGAAAAGTAAATAGGAACAGAAGGTTTAGACATTGGTGGAGCATTCGGTCTAGCTTGACGTACGGTGTTCAGCATCCCGTTTTCACTGTTGAGAAGATCCAAAATGATTTGGATGTCAGCACCCCAATCGCGAGAATCGTTAAACACCAAGATGGCTTCGAAGGGCTCTTTATCAAGACCTGGAATCTCTCGAGAAAGCTCCATACGCACGTCTTTGGAAACCCCGGAAAAAGGCGCAATGCTAGGGTCATAGCGAACTATATCCATCGGATGAACAACTTTCTCAAAACCATACATTTCGGCCACTTCCCTCACAGTGGGCGATCCCACTGCCAAAACTTTCTTGTATTCAGGCACTAAGGTTTTGAATGGTGTGTGACTTTGGATAATCTGCGAAGGTGATAACGGTACCCTCAAAGCGTCTGACAAAAACGCTGTTCGCTGATTTTCTGATGTCCCACCTCCATTTGTCAAAAGAATAAATGGGATTTTGTTGTCGTGGCATAGTTTCAGAGCTTCGGAAGCACCTGAAATAGGCTCTTTACTTCTTAAAAGAACTCCATCGATGTCGAATGCAAATGCTATTTCAGTGTGAAGAGATCTATGAATACGCAAGATATTCGGCAACAAGCGATTGGCTTGTTGGCGGACCCTAAACATCTATTCTAGGCGATATAGCTACTGTTATTGACGACTTTTTTCAAATCTAGTGAGTTAGTTCGATAATAGGAACCTTCAAAAACTAATACAACTTATACCTCATCGCTCGATGAGATTCAAGCTAACTGGAAAAACCATTAGACGATATCGAACTGAAAAAACCAGACATAGCGCCTGTTCCAGCTCAGTATGCTAAATTGAGCCTTTTATATCAAGTTTTATAAATACAAAGGGCACTACACCGATCGAAGACCGATCAATCGTCCCTTCTAAGTAGAGTCTCCACTCGAATCTTCTTTTTCAGTTACCGAACATACTGAGGTCAAAAGGAATGTCTGTTGGCCCCTCGAATCCCTCTTCGATGCGAAACTTTGTGCTTTCACTTAAATTCAGTTTTTCCTGATCGATCAAGGCTTCCACGGCTTTCCCTACAACGAGTAGACCAGGGGGACGAGATCCGATTTCATTAACCACTTCTGGAACGTATTTCAGTAGCGTTCTGGTGATTCTTTGATCAGGACATGAGGCACGCTCGATGATTGCAGCAGGCACCTCGGGATCCCAGCCCTGGTGCAATAGAGCTTCGACTAATACGTCAGAGCGATGAAGTGCCATTAAGAAAACAGTTGTCCTAGTCGAAACGTACTCTGGAATTTGCGGCAAAGCACCCTTGCGACCGGTTCCCGTGCATATCAGAACTTGATCAGCAACGTCTCTTTGAGTAGCAGGAATTTTCGCTACCACAGTTGAAGTGAGAGCAGAGCTCAAGCCAGGAAGTACCTGAGGCACATATCCGTGCTCGGAAAAAAACAAAAACTCTTCGCCACCACGACCAAAGATGTAAGGGTCTCCTTGCTTGAGTCTGACAACTTTTCTACCTTCTTGCAAACCAGCTAGACCCTTGGTTAGTAGTTCCTGTTGCGCTCTTTCGGCGTTGCCGGGAAATTTTCTGGCGATGAACACTTCTGTACGTTTTGGAATCAACGCCAGCACAGTTTCAGGCACCAACTTATCCGCAAGGATAAGATCGGCTGTTTTGATCTCCGTGAGAGCACCCAAAGTAAGCATGGAGATTGAACCCGGGCCACTACCAACAAGCGAAATGGAACCAGTGCGTTGCTGTTGGTCGCTGACCGACCTCTCCGAAACGGAAGTTGAAGCCTTAGACGAGTTTTTGGAGGCGCCTTCCGCCTCCGGTATGGCTTTTGCTTTGTTAGTGGAGGATGGCTCAAGCCTGCTCCCGCTTGTCACCACATTTCCGCTGCTACTGTACTTGTCAGCAAGCTGATCGATGGACACGTCCGCCAGTTGAGAAAGTGGGAAATATTGCATAACTTGGGAGAGCCATCTCGTTCTCTTGAGTCTCTTTTCCGCATCGCTCATGGAAAACTCATGCACCAGCTTGTTCAATTTATGACTGTCCCAGCTGTCTTCATCGAGACCATACCCAAGTTCTTGGAGGTCTTTGTTGAGGTAGTAAGTGGATATCAAGCTATTGCTGTCCTCGTAGATGATACGGTCTCGCAGTTGGCCCATGTTGATTACCGCCTTTGATATGTTTGAAGGTAAACTGGACACAATCTCGCGCTTGATACGATTTGCCAAAAGACATCCTTGCCCATTAGTGGTGACTGCAATTTGAAGACCACTATTTGCAGGATCTGTGTATGTGGAAATGGGGCTGAACGTGGAAAACTCGGGTCTTTGTGAGGTATTGATGGGAATTCGCAGCTTGACACATTGTTGGTAGATGCTTTGCATCAGAAGAGCCTGGTCTTGTGCTAGATTAACAAATACTCTCTCCACTACTTTTGCTACAAGAGGACGTCCCAAGGTTGTCAAATGGTGGAGCTGGAAATCATCCTCAAGCACTGAGATGCGAGGTTCGTCCACGAATCTCTTACGCAACGCATCGGCATCTGATTGTTTTGAAACTCCCACGATTGTTGCAAAAGCTCCACTCTTGACAATTGCAGTGGCTCTACTTGTGGTTAAATTCAGTGAATGTGTTCCAACAAGCAAATGCGCTTCGTTTTCGCCATTAAGCGATGCAATCAGCGGCACTGTATCCTTCAACATGCTGTTACTGTGTAAGTGAAAAATGTGTAAAGTTAGGTTGTGGAGGGATCGGTCTATGAAAGATTGAGTAAAGAAACTAACTGGATTATACTCAAGAAGTTTACTAACCTGGATGAAAGAGGATCTGAGCTCACAAGGCTATTCTATTCTCCATCGCGAGCGATCGTTCACAGCAGCCACAGCGAACCTAACCTGATGAAAGATGAGTTAAATCACATGTATTGACGACGGTGTTTTTAAATTGAGAATTAGAATTAGCTGTCGTACTAAGTGATTACAGCGGGAACAGCGACGGGGACAAGCGTTGAACGGGAGCGGAAGTGTGCACGACGTAGTGCACTATGAAATGGAAACAAGGAGGGGAGACTAGGCCTTCTCTTGTCTTTCGATATCCGACTTGATGGTCGTTTTGATAATCACGTGATCCGTTTGCAAACCCGTGTTCGTTGTCGACCTTCGGCGAGAAAACACTTGGAGGAAGCTACGAGTTGATTTTGAATCTAGTTCTCAATATATACACAGTTTTCTTAGCCATCCGAAGAAACTGTCAGCGACCGGCGCCAGGGCCTGAAATGATTATATCACCTTCTACGAACTGTGTTCTCTCTCTAAGTTGACCATTTGCCTTCAGTTACAAGCTTTCCGCAGATTTCAGGAAATTCCAGCTGGAATTTATGCTGTGCTTTGACACTAATGTGTTTTATCCAGTCACATTGTCAAGTCGTGCGTCTAGCGTTTATAAAGTTCATTTCATCCTTCATGATGGTTTTCGGCTTAAAAATATTTGCGGACTCCTCCAGGTTGGAAGAATGGTAGTGAAGACCGCTGTAACTGTGTTTGCTCGTCAATTGTTTCTTCAATCGTTGCTTTAGAATCCCAATCCTATTCTAGTTCTCTCGTATGCACTGGTGAATCTGGTGATATTATTATATCACCTGGCGTTGAAAAAATGCATCTCATCGCCTATGAAATACGACACTTATAAGAAGACACAACGACGGCTCAACAGTCTCCTCATATCGATCAATCAGTGCATCGTAAGCAATCGTATAGGTAGGAATCAGCAATGGCTAAAAGGACTCTAGGTTTGGGGAAACAAAACAAAGGCTTGAAAAAGCAGAAAAAGGCAGAAGCTGGCATTGGCACTGACGCCGCTACTCCAACTCCAGAAACCACACCCGCTGCCAATCAAATAACCGTCGAGGTAGAGGAAAATGTGGATCCAGATAATGAGCTAGTGCAGCTTCGTGGTCTCTGGGACACTTATTTCAAATCTGATAGAAGCGATGAGCTCGTACTCAACGGGATCGTACACGAATGCGACCGTCTTCTTCGTGAAAACGAAACCAGCGAATCTAGCAGTGAGAAAGATGGAAAGTCAACGTCGCTGACTCTCACAGACGAATTCTACGCCATTTTCGCGTTGGCGTTGAGTGAATTGACAATTTTCAAAGCCGGTGAAGAAGAAGAAGGAGATGCAAACGAACAACAGACTGAAAAAAATGCTAAGGCCGTATCGGAATTCTTCGACGCAGCGCTCGAACGCTGTGTGAGTCATCTAGAAAAAGAACCAGAATCGTCTCTTTTGCAGCTAGTGAAAGCCAAGATTACGCTGCAGAGAATCCCGCTCCAGTATATTTCCAAACTGACCGTTACAGACAAAAATGCATCAAAGTTGAAGTTGCACGAATTGCTAGAGCAGGCGAAGCAGGATCTCAAAGTCGACGTGAATTATCCAGAACTGGCGCTCGAAGTTCTGCAGCAGTTTGATGATTTACTAGACATTGTGGAAAATTTCGGTCACGAGGACGACATAGATGAAGGGCTGGATAGTGACGCTGAGGACGAACTAGAAGAAGTACAATTGTCGACCAAGCATCCTCTTTATCAGATACGCAAAGAGTTGGCTGAGAATTACGCATTCTTACGCAAACAGTTGAAGTCGCTACTAAAGCTCGTCCCGCAAGGCACAAAACTTCATCGTTCGATCTCCAGAAGGTTGGGCCAGCTACATCTCACAGCAGCTGAGAAGCCATCCCAGGTTTTCTTGCATTTAACTTACGAAAACGATGAAGACGAAAAGGAAATTGATGGGCTAAGTGCACCAGTGGCCCAGACGGAAGCACTCAATTTCGTCACCGATGCTGTAAAGTATCTCGAACACGCAAGTGAAGACGATGAACCCCAGACCTGGGTTGATGTCGCCGAAGCTCTTACCGATGCTGGAAATTTATACGATGCAGACTCTAAAGAACAAGAGCAGTGCTATGCAAAGGCCGAAAAGCTCTTGAGAAAGGCAAACAAGGCTACGCATGGGAAGTATCAGGATATTCTGGATAATTTGCTTGCTTCGAAAGAGGATGATTAGAGCTAGCAGTGTGGTCAATGCCAATCTTAACGCTGGATATGCTCGAGTTCTTACATACACTCGTCTAGAACTGTCTTTATATACGAAGTACCTTCAAAGAATACCTAATTGGAACTGTAGCTGATCTATATCTTCACTGTTCAAACATCGGCCTTTTCTAAACTTCAATCGACCACCTAGCATCTCTACCATGAGTGCTAGCACTAATAGTGTTCCTAATTCTTCGACGGGCTCGAAGAAGTCTCTAAAAGCTTTCAGTGACGATATATGGAAGAACAAAACAGCGAAGATAAATGCCGAGCTTTTCACACTCACCTACGGATCTATAGTTTCCCAATTGTGCACAGACTATGAGCGCGATTTTGTCAAGGTGAATAACCAGCTTTTTTTGATGGGCTACAACATCGGCATGAGACTAATCGAAGACTTTCTGGCACGTACAGCCCTTCCCAGATGCGAATCGCTCGCTAAGACCAGCGAAGTGGTAAGTAAATGTGCTTTCAAGATATTCTTAAACGTCACCCCTCAGGTGGGGAACTGGTCAAGCAGTCAGGACGCTTTTTCTTTATTTTTGGATGAGAATCCTCTTTCTGATTTTGTCGAGTTACCAATGGATGCAGCCAAAGAACTGTGGTATTCAAATATTCTGTGTGGGGTTCTCAAAGGAGCTCTTGAAATGGTTCAAATGGACTGTGATGTGTTTTTTACTAGTGACGTCCTGAAAGGTGACCAAACTACCGAGCTGCGAGTGAAGCTCAACAGGGTACTTAAAGATGAGATTCCAGCAGGTGAAGATTGACTCACTCACGTAGCCGAGCACGCATAGGCACTAAACTTTTTGTTTCCCCGTTTACTTTTATTACATAAATTCAAAATGGTGCACAATGTTGATGCACTAATCTTCTTTTTCATTCTGTCTTTTTTCTCTTACCAGATTTCCTATCAGAGAACCTTTAGAAGGCGCGACAATTTGAAGCGCTTCTTCTTCCTCTTCTTCTTCTTCTTCTCCTTCTTCTCCATTACCTGACGATCCATCGCCGAGGATAGGAATATCCGACAAAGATGACCTCGAGTTGACCTTTGACAACGAATTTGAAAACTCAGACATGTTCGAGTGAACTGATGAGGATCTAGTTCTAGGTCCTGGATCTGCGTCGGTTTCACCTTTCGTGGCCGCTTCTTGGGTGATCAAAAATCTACCAAAATCTGGGAATACCGTGGGGCCCAAATCATTACACACCTGTGTAACTTCCTGGCTTAACTCTTCACGATTTTTTTGTAAACTCTTTAAATGGCGCTTTGGGTATATCAATGAAACAGCAAGCGGAGGTAAAGACTTGAGAATATCCACGCCCTGTTCTCCTGTCTTAAAACTTGCGTATGTGGCGGTAACAAGTAGTGCGTAGAAGTAGACAAAATTTCCGAAGTTACCGCAATTCTCCCTGATACTTATCAACCAAACTCTGTTGAACAAGGCAGGAAATGCCTTTACTAGATAGCACAGAGCCAATGAATAGGACACATATAGCGATGGTGCTAATACCAAAGCAACCAGTAATTTCCAAGTCGCTAAAAGGTCTGTACCCTTTAGCTTCACAAGGGATTTCTTAAGTCCATCTTCAGCCTTCCGCTGAGCATAATAATGGCATGTTATAAACACTGGTGTAAAAAGCACGGTCCCTGGTAGTGAGAGAAAAAGGTAGAACGCGAAAAGCAGTAGCCGGGATAGTAAAGTTAACAAGAGAATCCATTTCCCACCTTTGACAGTAAGTGCTGGTACTTGATGATCCTTCAATCCAAGATTGAACAGCCTGTTGTTGTATTGCAATACCATCGACTTGAGATGCCTGATTCTTGGATCGTCCTTGTATTTAGAGTATCCGACTAACAATCGTCTGTTCATTTCGACCACAAGTGAAAGTGGCAAGTGATTCGAGCCATTTTTCAGGGTGAGTGGTTTGTAAAGTCTTCTAGCGGCTTGAATTGTCATTAAGGTCTCGTAATCTGGAGCATTCACGGTCACTGAGTACAAAGCTTGGGTAATTTTTTCTAATAGATCTGAAGTTTCAGTCCTGGCGCTTTCCTTGTACCGCTTACCCATTTCCCCATCAACTATGATTGGGTGACCAAATTCCACGACTGCTCTTGATCTAAACTTATTTCTGTGAAAGTAATTGATACCACAGGGAACTACAGACACTTTCATGTTTGGATCAGCTGCAGTGGCACCCAATGCCATGATGGCCACTCCGGCTTTGATGGGGAGTAATGAAGGTCTGTCGTGAGAGCCACCTTCCGGGAAAATGCCAACGCAACCGTTCGAGTGTAAATGATTGAAAACATTTTGGAAAACCGTGGTATTATCAATTTTGGAAGCATATTTGAAATTTGTGCCTTTCGAAAGCAGTTCATGAATGCGTTCTGTGTCTTTGAAAGGTTTTGCCAAGATGAAAGTTTCGTCATCAGGAATATCAGCGATTTGGGTGTTTCCTAGGAAGTACGGTAATCCAAGTAGAGACTTGGCAGTAAAACGGGATCTGAGATCTGGTGATTTTCTACCCTCGACGACACGGCATTTGAGCACCGTCGGGTTGTTCCAATCTTCCACGAAGATTTGCAACGAAGCATCGACCAACTCAAGATTATCTTGGGCCCTAGGAACTGGAATTCCACCGGTACTTTTGCTGAACAGCGATATAAATCGTTTTTTGTAGCTCGATTCTGCTGTAACCAAACAGGTGCATCTAGAACGATTTCCCTTTAGATTTCGCACTTGCGACATTACCAGTGCGCCGTCGACGAACTGATTAGCATGGGGGGCACAAACCAGAATCATAGGTGTACCCTTTGGTGGTACATTGTGGATCCCGCGAACTTTGATCTCTCGAAAGAAAATAGTGAACAGAATGTTGAACAGAAAGACTACCAGATCGTAGATCCAGGTCTTTAAAGTGTAGTTGAGCCCGTTGTAAGGGTTTGAGTGGACCTCATTTTTGGGAACATGAGACACCATCTACAAGTGTACGGCGCTGATGGAGGGGCCCAAGAGTAGCGGATTGGCAGTTGAACAGTTATTTGAATTTTCCGGGAGAGTATTTGTTAAAAACCTGGGGTTCAAATAAGATGAGATGAGGCGTAGCTTGAGTGAGGCTAACCACTATTCCTTTGTTGGGAACGGAATCATGAGATCTGGTCACGTGACTCTAGTGACAGAATTTTGGTTGTTGGCTGATCCGAGAATTGAGCTCAGTGAAGGGCGTGTGTGTAGTTTGCGGCTAGATTCGACACTTTTTATATAGTGTTTGGAGTTATAGTGGGAAATTTCGGGATCTAATGTTGATTGTTTTAATTGTCGTTCTTCAATGTTCAATAACACATCCAAAACATTAAGGTCAATAATTGGGCTCGAGGATAAAAAAAACAAACAATCACTGACAAAGGCTTTACTTTGGAAAGCGTCGTCGCCTCAATTCATAGACACTCCCATAGCTACACCCATACTCCTCATCATTTCCAAGTTGTCACCTATTCTCGAGGTAGGGATGTGTGGATCTGTCCTACTTTCAGAACATCTTGGTCCCATTTCGTACGATATGACAGCCACTAATAAGAACATTTGCCCTTGGACAGTGTGGAATTTATCGGTGCTTCGTTGGTCCATAGTGTATCGGGTTTTATCGACAATTTTCGGTCGCTTTTTAGTTGTAGTTGTTGTCGCTGTCGTCCCGAGGATCACGTGATACATGACATAAGCAGCGTATACGTAATTAATTCGTGCAAGTGCATTCTTGAGAGAAGACCGTGGATTATTGGTAACTAGACGAGACTTGCAAACACCAAGAGACGATTGTCGTTGATGCTCATGATGGCTTTCGTTCGATTGCCAGCGTGATGTATCTAGTTAGCGTAAGTTACAGTCCCCCGTGTGTGTTCAGCGGACTCGACTCTTCGTAACCCTTGGAGCACGTCTGTCTTGGAATTATGTCAATCTTGATGGGCTGAAAACACCACCCACCTGGCGACGTCTCGATCGATGAAGACGGGAGTTACAGAGCTATCCCCGAGGGGCGTAATGTGAATTTGAGTCCGTTGCCAAGGCCAACCGTAAAGTCAAATTATTCGAGACCAAATGAGAAATAAAGGAAGTGTCTAGGCCTGGAAACTACTCGCTAAATGACTCTCCCCTTGCCCCAGATGGCATCAGTTGATGGGAATGCTAGCTTGGACTCCGCGTGTAACAAAAAAGGTTAAGAACCCTCGGTAACCCACAGAAACGTAACCGTCAAAAAACGAGAAGAGGAAAAAAAAGAGCCGTCACGTGACGAGTACCGAAAAGAGCCAAACAACAAGAACTTGGGATTTTTGCACACGAAACATGCTCAAATTCGTTGTCCAAACACGTCTTCTACCGCATTTTACGCACACACACACATAGCCACCCAGCCAGTCACCTACGTCTTTTCCATCTCGCTACCACCACCAACTCCTCCCACCACGCACGGCTTTACCTTACATATCATTTTTTCCATTCTTGACGCTCCTCCTTAACCCCGTTCCATGGAAACTGAGAAAAATTAAGATCGTCCGCTTAAGGCCGTCGCGAGAAGACAGCAGAATTAGACCCAAAGGACAACTACTGACATCGCTGCGCTCGGCTCTGAGGTCCGTGGGCCGGAACCAACGGAAACTGGGGTGGAACATCTTTGCGCATATATAGTATTAGCACATACATAACACACATCCGTATATATAAGACAAGGATGCGGGCCAGCTATATGAGTTTGTTCCGATCTCAGTACCGCTAGCGTGGAGTTGGCAAGAAAGAAGTGACAATTTTGAAATCGAGAGAATTGTAGGTCTAGGAAGAAGACTTTATAGAGTTACGCTGTACCATTCGAGGTAGAACGACATACACATATTCTCAGTGTCATCATCTTCCTTCATCGAACAATCCTTGCAAGAAGGTGTGGAATTTGTTCTGTTCTGTTCTGTCCTGTCCTGTCCTGTTCGTCCATCTCATCGATCGGCACGCCACAGGAGCTTACATAAGCGGAAAACATCGTCCACCCAGACACCCAGACACACACCCAGACACCCTCTCGGCGGCTCGGAACGTTAAAAAAACTCACACCCACACACCCACACACAAACGCATATGACGTCGGTTGTCTCAGCAACCATAGCGGCCGCTGCCACGGCAACGTCCGCGGTTGCATCTGCGTCGGCGTCTGTGGACCCGCAAGACCAATCTCTGTACGGTATGACGCCCAATCTAGCGTTTAACACGGCCATGGCGGCGATCTTCGGAGTTTTGTTCATCACACAAGCCGTGCTCGGACTTTGGACCAGACAGTGGTGGTTCATGGTGTCGTTTCTCATCGCATGCGGCCTGGAAGTCGCAGGATATGTCGGCAGAGCCCTCAGTCACAACGACAACACCGACATAAACGATTATCTGCTCCAGTTTATCTGTCTCACAATCGCGCCAGTGTTCACAATGGCCGGTATCTACTATCAGCTGGGCAAACTGATCGAGATCTACGGCCATAAATTTGCACTCATCAAAAATCCAATGCTGTACTCTTACATCTTCATGGGATGCGATATCGTCTCTTTGATCATCCAGGCCGTTGGCGGCGGGATGTCAGGCTCCGCCGCTGCCGACTACGATAATACCGCCACAGGTGACCACATCTTCGTGGCCGGTTTGGCGTTCCAGGTGGCATCCATGTCAGTTTTCTTGTTTTTATGGTTCCAATTGGCATATCAGATTTTCGTCGCAACCCGTATACAGCACGCAGGCCTCAGCAGGCCCCGCTGGTCGTTGACCTCGATCTCGCAGCTAGAACTGGACTATCTGTACCGTCCAAAATTCGAGTTTCTGCGTATCCACCCGCAACGCTGGGTTTTCATATATTTCCCATGGGCTTTGACGTTTTCCGTCATCTTCGTATTCATTCGGTGCGTATACAGAGTCATCGAGCTTGCAGAGGGATGGGGTGGCGATCTGATCACTCACGAGGTGTATTTCATCATCCTAGACGCGTTGATGATGTCGCTGGCAACCACCATTTTGAGTGTTTTCCATCCCGGGTTGGCGTTCAAAGGCCGTTCTGTAAAGATCCCAATCAAATCGGCATCCAAAGTTGAGGATTCAGATCACGGCGACGACGTAGCCGGTTCAAACTACTCCTCAGAGGGGTATCGTGACAAAGAAATCGAACAAAGGGCACCACTTCCGAAGCCCAATTTCGATTCGCCTTCAGTAGCCTCTTCGATGCAGCAAAACCGCGAAGTGTACATATAAGAAACGCTCGCGCTGGTCTTAGGAGGTGTAATAGGTCACTTCTGTAATAGCAGTAGACAAGAATTTATTAGAAACGTATTTCAACGTACAGAGTCCGATATATCATGTAACGCCGTGAGCTTCCCTCTTCGGTTGTAGTGTGGCGTGTCAACAAACGTCAAAATCAACTTAAGCTAGCTGGCTTTGCTCATTGAGCAACCACTACAGAATTAAAATTCCGTTTGAGTTCTGCATTCCGTTAGTTTCCTAGCTGAAGAAGCTTCCTTCAGGGTACATGCTTTTCACCAGGGCTAAATCTCTTTTCACTCAATCACCATGTAGCATCAGTAAAATCCGTATCAAATATTTGCTAGAAAACGAGTAATTCATGATACGTCGCCAGATTATGTCCCAAGCGCTACGGTGAACTGGCAGCGCAGCCAGTCGGGTTGCCTGAGAAATCGCAGCGATCAGCTATGAAGAACATCGAGATCTGCGTCTTTCATCCATCGTGCCCTCAATGCCAAATCCTTTTCCCCCAGAATTCGTTCGCTTTCATCCAAATCAAGCCAGTTCTCTGTAAAATCGGCTAATTCCTCAGATTGGCATATTTTAGTTCCATCGTATACAGATGCATAGATCTTGCGTATTTCGGAAAAGTCTGAAACAAAGGATGTAGCTTGCAAAGAGCTCAAGGGATCCAAGGGCCCGTTTGGCTCGAAAGCTGTAAAGCTCTTGACACCTGAACCCAACCAAGACTGCATAAAGCTTGTAATTGACGATTGCTGTCGCAGCGCAGCATCGATCGCTAAAATTTTATGTTCCGGCGCGCATTTTTCCAGCAATGTGAACAGCTGCACAAGCCTTGACGGAATATAAGTTTCAGCCACTTTGCTAGCATCCAATATGGGTGCCAATATTTTTAGTGTAACGTTGCACCAGTAATCGATATCTTTACTGAATCTCTCACTGAAACTTCCATCGGGGTAGAAATCGAAGTAACGCTGTTCCCACTCTTGAGACGGTAATCTGCGAATATAGTCCTGCGAAAGGTACCGTAGAACGTCATTAGCCATCATAATGTATATCGGGTCTTCAATGCGGAAACTTGGCGAATATGAGAACAAGCCATCTTGTAGGACTGTAATTTTTGTGTCAGGCACGTCCACTTTGACGCCACTTCTGCTGTGAAGTGGTAGCAGGAAAAAGTTGATGCGTTGGTAGAGCTCTTGCGGTACCGTTCGCTCATAATAATTTAAGATCATTCGCGAGAACCGCAGCGACTGGTGCAGATCGGTGTATACAGTTAGGACGTTGAGATCATAATAAGGATACGCATTGAGTTTATAGTCGACTAGCAACCAACGTGCCATACAATGCGCCAGAATATCATCATAATGCGAAATCGACGGAAGAACATGCCCTTGCATGCGTTTCCTGGGCGAAAAGAAATTGCGGCCTCTCTGTTCACGGATAGTCGCATATTCCATGTAGTCTCGACTTGGTGTAGTACCCTCTGACGGAATTCCATTCGAAACAAGTTGATAGGTGTCGAGCAATGGCAGGGTATGGTATCTATGGGCCATCACTCGCTTGGCTATCCGAGAAAGGGCCATTTTATGCAGTGCAATCGAAACGGGCCCTCAAAATATGTATTTATGTGAATATAGAATATTTAGCAAGACTTGGCGACCCCAGATGGAGTCCTCCGCGAGAGTGAACAACAATTCTACGCTGAAGATATGCTTTAGCTTTCTCTGTCAGTCTCATTTATATATGTATATCGTCGAATTAATTGATGAGTCGTCGAATAAGATGATATCGGGTCCTTGACGAGCACTTGACAAAGAGGAGCTGCAAGCATCTTGGTCTTGGGCCAGAAAGCGCTCAATTTCGACACATCAGTTCCTTAAATAAAAATCTGTACAATACTGTAGTCGGAGGTTCACTTTTTCTGATAAATTCGTGACACTTTAAATTTATCTTTCGATGCCTGACATTCCTGTCGAAAGAGCGACCGCCTTATTTTTCAGGATCATAAAGACTTATATCTGACACGGTCCTTCCAGCCTTTTGTATTTGGTCTCAATACCTTTGGTCTTGTACCGACGAGTGGTGTCCGTAAACATTGTTGATAATACCATTTATTACAGTCGTTGTGAAACGGTCTTTTTGCCAATTCAATAGCTAAGCTGACAGAATGAAGAAAGATAAAAACCGGAAGCGATACGTGAGACAACAACGACTACAAAAATCGTTCAAGAAACCGTCATATGGCTGTTCTGACACCTGGCAAAACACATTGTGAAGACGACACCCAGACACCACCACCAAGTCACACTACACGAAATAAATTGATCAGAAAACTTCACGTGACTAAATTAAAATTTCAAGATGTCAAAATAATCTCTAAAAACTCATCGAGCCATGCCTCTTAGCGCTGGCTAACAACACCTTTTGAACTGATTGCCGGTCTTATATACCATGGGTGTTCCGTCGTTTTTCAGATGGCTTTCGCGTAAGTACCCTAAAATTATCTCACCCGTTTTAGAGGAGGCGCCTCAAATCGTAGATGGAGTAGCGCTACCGGTAGACTATGCCGCTCCAAACCCCAATGGGGAGTTGGAAAACCTATATTTGGACATGAACGGTATTGTACACCCATGTTCGCATCCAGAAAATAGACCACCTCCAGAGACGGAGGATGAAATGCTTTTGGCTGTTTTTGAATACACCAACCGGGTCCTGAACATGGCCAGACCAAGAAAAGTTTTGATGATTGCCGTGGATGGGGTTGCTCCAAGAGCCAAAATGAACCAGCAGCGTGCTCGTCGTTTCAGAAGTGCTAGGGATGCTCAGATTCAAAACGAAGAGCGCGAAAGACTGATGTTGGAGCGCGAAGATCTCGGAGAGATCATTGACGATAGCATTAGAAACAAAAAAACATGGGACACCAACGCTATCACGCCTGGAACACCATTCATGGACAAATTAGCAGCGGCATTGCGCTATTGGACTAGTTTCAAACTCGCAACAGATCCAGGTTGGAAAAACCTACAGGTCATAATCAGCGATGCAACGGTCCCGGGAGAAGGAGAGCATAAAATCATGAATTTCATCAGATCCCAGCGGTCTGACCAACAATACAACCCAAATACATCGCATTGTATCTATGGACTGGATGCAGACTTGATCTTTCTGGGTCTAGCGACACATGAGCCACATTTCAAAATTCTGAGAGAAGACGTTTTTGCTCAGGACAATCGTCGCAGACAGCGAATCCAAGATACGATGAACATGACGGAAGAGGAGAAGGAAAGTCTTGCGCGTCAAGACTCTGAAAAGCCTTTCTTGTGGCTTCACATCGGCGTCCTGAGAGAGTATCTTTCTGTCGAGCTGTTCGTGCCTCGTTTGTCATTTGAGTTCGACTTAGAGAGAGCAATTGACGACTGGGTGTTCATGTGTTTCTTCTGCGGTAACGATTTCCTGCCTCACCTGCCGTCATTGGACGTGAGAGAGAACAGTATTGATATACTTGTCGAGATATGGAAGACTTTGCTACCTCGACTCAAGACGTACATGACCTGCGATGGGACACTGAAATTAGAATCCGTGGAACTGCTTTTGGAGCAACTAGGAAATCGCGAACCAGAAATGTTCAAAGGGAGATATCTTCAGGAAATACGGAAACAAGAAGCCGTCAAAAGACGTAAACTTTTGAAGAGCAATAACAATGTAACACAGGGGAAAACAGATAGGAATTTCACCGTACCATTAGAGAATATGCCTGTTTATGACGTCACAGGAAAAGCTGCCGATGGTTCGTTGAACTTGTCCAATAGAGATTTCGTAAATCATAGAAAGGAAATGAACCTTGCAAATGAGGGTGATGCGAATTCCTCAGCTGCATTGAAAATCGTCAGTGAACAGAATAGCGGCTTAGGAAAACAGCACACTAAGGAAGAGATCACGGCAGCAGTTGAAGTCGCCAATGACGCCAACATATCCGCTGCTGCTGCGATGAGGTTGAAGTTGCAAGCGAGAAAGGAGTCTCAGGACGTTCAGAACTCTGTTACAAAAAGTGAAGACTTGGGGAAAATTGTCTCAGAGGGTGCTGAAGGTTCTACAAAGAGAGGCATCGACGATGTGGAAAAGGATGCATCTGAGACACCTAGTGTTGCTGAAGAGGACTCGCAAACGCCTTCAAATATTCAGGTAATTCACACGGGGCTAGTAAAGAGTGGAGTGATTGATACTGAGGAAGAAGTGAGACTTTTCGAACCCGGGTATCATGACAGATACTACACAGCAAAGTTTCATGTTGAAGATAAGGATATCGATGCTTTACGGAAGGAAGTTGTAAGAAGTTACGTCGAGGGTATTTCTTGGGTACTTCTGTATTACTATCAAGGGTGTGCTTCATGGAACTGGTATTATCCTTACCATTATGCTCCCTTTGCATCTGACTTCAAAAACATTGGCGACTTGGAGATAAGGTTCGAGAAGGGAGAGCCGTTTTTGCCATTTGAGCAGTTGATGAGTGTGTTGCCCGCCGCATCTGGTCATAACCTTCCACCAATTTTTCGCACTTTGATGAGCGATCCAAACTCGGACATCATTGACTTCTATCCTGTCGACTTCCCTGTTGACATGAACGGGAAAAAAATGTCTTGGCAAGGCATTGCACTTTTGCCATTCATTGACGAAAAAAGACTACTGAAGGCTGTTCGCGAGCAATATGGTAGGTTAAGCGATTACGAGAAGGTACGCAATGTGCGGAAACAGGAAGTATTGCTGATAAGCAACAAGAACGTAAATTACGAAAAGTTCAGTAAGAAGTTGTACGGTGCAACCGCAGTAGAATTTATCAAGTTCCAGCATTTCAAAAGTGGTCTAGCGGGACTAGCGTTTGTGGATAAAGAAGGGTTTGCATTGAACAGCAAATTGGTGAGCCCTGTGATTGGCGGCGGACTTCCCGATCTTAGTACCAACCTATTTATGAAAGTTGGATACGAGATGCCCGAGCTACCTAGTCCCAGCAAGTCCCTTCTTTTGAACGGGTTCATTCCCTCACAGGCGATGTTGACACCCCAGGATCGAGACGCCGTTACGTACCGCTACAACCACAGATGGAACGCCATGGACATGAAGCACAACATCGTGCCTGTTGGGCCGTGTACTACCACGCAATACCAACCACGCATGGGAGGTTACAAGTCATTCTTGTTTTTCCAGGAGACGCATGCTAACATGCGCGGACCATCCAACTACGGCCAACCTTCCCAGCAGTCGAGGTACGGCGGTGCAAACGGTGGTGGACAACGCGGATACAACAGTGGACCGCCACGACATGGTATGAATCGCAATACACCTCCTGTCAATCCCTCGCGCTTTTCACGCTATTCTGGTTCTTCACAGCCGGACCGTAATGGCTCTCGCAGAGAATGGCAGAGGTGAAGTACCTCGCGCGGATACATATATTTAATATGGAGTGGAACTAAGTAATAGACAATAACGTTTCTGCCTCGAGAGCTGGTTGAAAAGTTGGGCGCGAATGAGCTGCCCTTTTTGTTTGTCTCCATCCTTTCTGGTTGAATAATATTGTGACGATCATCCCATCCTTTTCTGTACAATCATCTCGTCCTTCCCGTTGCGCAGCAACGCATAGCGCGTCCTTTGCCTACTCGTCTTTCCATCCACCAGGATCAACCAGCAGTACTTGTAAAGCGGCTAGCTCTTGCACATGCTCCGCTCTGCATATTGCATCTGCTACTCACATTCTTATCTCTTGTTGAATACTGAAAATCAAAATCGTGTTAACTCATTTAGATTAAGCAAGTTACTAGCCTACGGCTTGGTCCTTTTTGTTCTTCGGAGCTAACAGACTACTGTGATCTGTTCTCAACAAGAATTTCTTACCTTGAAATTCATATTTAAAATGATGAAGGGCTGATATAACTCCAAATGACTCGATTTCTCCTGCTGGATAGTTCTTCTGCGCTTTTTCCTAGGACCTGGAAAAAAATCCTACTATTCCGATTACACCCTTTCCTTGAACTTCCTCTAATATTGCACCGATTCCTTTCTTGGACGCATCCGTCGTAAGCCTATTGTCTGTGGTGTCTTCAAACGGCACAAGCATTGGCTAGTCCTTAAGATGTTTCTTCAATTGTCTGAAGACAACATTGTGCATTTTACTCCATGATTCCTGACTTGTAGTAAAGGCTACAATTGGTCTTGCCAACCTAGAACACTGAGGAATGAACTTCCTCAAATAGTTTATCATTCCTGAAAATCTCTGTGCCTTCTTTATATTCTTTGATCGAGAGAATTTTTTAATCGCCATGCTTTTCTCTTGTATTAGCAGGGCTCGATTCGCGCCAAAAACATATTCTAAAAATTCAACCATCTTTTGAATAACTTTACATTTATCCATCTTGGCTAGAGGGTTTTCTCTTTTCAATAGTCCTGATACTTTGTCGAGGTAGTTGTGACGTTCTTCTTTTGTTCTTGGAAAGACCAATGTATCATCCAACTAAACACAAACGTGCGGTAACTCACTAAAAAAGTCAGCCATGTATCTTTTGAATGTACTTGGAGCATTTACCAGTCCAAAAAGCATATCGGTTTGCTCTTACTTCTCTTTTGGTGTAGCAAAAGCTTATTTCTGTTGGTCTCTATTAAGCATCGGTATTTGATGATACCCACGTCCAACGTTGAAAATATCTGCGTGTCACCTATTCGAGTCGGCAAGCTCTCAACGTGGGGTAACGGGAATGGATCCTTTACTGCAATCGCGTTCAGCCGTCGATAATTTATGCACATCCTGTAGATACCATCTCTCTTGCGGACCAAAAATAAAGCTGAGCTGTACGGAGCTTTAGATGGTTTAAAAAGCCCGTTGTTTGACAGATCCGCTATAAGCTCATGCACTGTTCTTTTCAACTTTGGCGTTGATCAATATGGCTACACCTGAGGCAATCGTTCTCCTTTCTTTATAACGATTTCGTGCTTTACTAACATATCGCCTTCTTTCCTTGGGAGCAACGAGTTACTCACCGGTTCCTCATACTTCTGTGTTATCCATTCTGGTAATAACTAAAATGTATTCTGTGCTTGCCTTTTCTCACTTACTCTCATCACGAGCAATCCTAAGTCATCAACAACTTTCAACTTGAGGTGTTCCGATACGATAAATGGCAACTCTAACACATCTTTAGATCTTCCGATTCCTCTTTAACCTTCTAGGAATACTGGAGATTCTTCTAAGATAAGGTTCTTTATTATGAAGTTCTGCAACATTCTTTAGTCACATAAGCGTCAATGCTTACTGTTTCTTTATGATATCCAAACTCAACTGTTGCGGCATGGGCCGTGAGTGCTGTTTCTTTGAAAATAGCCTCATACTGCTTGAGCCCCAAATTCTTAACAATCATGCGATGTACAAATGTTGTTGGTGACCCTGTGTCTACCAGTACATCCTTTAACAGTACGGCTGGAAAATTCAGCTTTTAACGCCCTCCTGTTTCCAGTTTTAATATCTGGTTCGAATTTAAAAACCCCTCCTTTGATGTAGTCTGAAATCGATTTGACAAGATTTCGCAATGCTCCTCACATTATTCAATAGATTCTACTTGAGCTAGAACTCGGCTTTCGATGGTGACAATCTTTCATAGCATGCCCTGGTTTATGGCATCGAAAACATAGATCGTGTCGTTTGCAATAAGCTGAATCAAACTTCTTTCCTGTCTGATGCTTCTTATGACCTCTGGATGTACGAATTGCATCAATTTCCATTTCATCCGATCTCGTCCTTGTCGTTCCAAAATTATTATAACGTTTTGATGAACCTTCTTCGTTTGTAAGATTATCGTATCTTGATCCATACTTGAAATTTGCAAACCCAATAGCCTCCGTTAAATTGGAAGGTTCTAGCGCTCTAACGTATTTCTTAATGTCCGGTTTTAATCCTGAAACATACTGACACGCAGCAGCCTTGTCAGGAAGATTCAAATTCTGGCTCACGATATGGTAAAGTTTCCAACTTTTCTTCGAATATTCTTCTACTGTTCCAGTCTGACTCAACATCGTCCAATCTTCCCAAGTAATGAAAGTATTTGACGGTGCTCCGAACGTCTCTCTGAACTCATTGATAAGTGTTTGAAATTCCAATAGGTCATCACGTCCCATGGCTAACGCGTCTTTCCTGTATCTGGCTAGCCATGATGATGCATGGCCTTTTAGGTTAACTGCAAATGCCGCGAACGTAACATTTTCATCCGCATATGGCAGGAGACTCAGGCGTAGTTCCAATTGACTTAGAAATTCATCAACGCCTGAAGGATCACCCGAGAACTTGCTCTCTATCTTCAACGCGTCCAAATCCATATCCATGTTATTAATCGAACGTTCAATTGACATTTCCGAGTTCTACTAAAGCGGCGCTACCAATCTTTATGCACTAATCCTAGGTCTAAGATCCGGAACAGAAAGACCAAACTTACTATTCGTTTGTAGTATTCAATATAGTCGGTTCTATCCAAAGAGGGGGTTAACTTATATTCAAAGATGAAGTTGACCTTATTATCAATTTAATATACTGTAGAGCGATTCCTCTATTTAACGTAAAAGTCTGGCCCGTTCTTCTAATGTTTTTGCCCTGGCATGTTGGCTAATCTATGCTTAGCTTGGCGCACTTGGTTAAGGTCTATTATACATTCCGTTGTCGTATAACTCGGCTGTCACACCTTTCTCAAGTTATCGCATAAGTTCAGCTTATATCTTGAATAATGTCGTGCATGATTATCACAAACTACAAGAAGCTATAAAAGGTCTCTAATCCTGTTTGATATGTCGTTCTTATTCCTGTATCTTGCTTGATCTTCTGTCTATGCTATATTACTTTGCCTGTTCCAAGTCCCGTTCTATTGGTTCCATGTTGAGCTTCCGCTCCTCACATAGACTGTAATATCCTCATCTCAATCTCTCTGTACCTTCCACACTGTGGTTCCTTCGATTTTAGCCTATCCTTTCGTCATCCGTCTTTAGTCATTCCATGTCATTTCCCTCTTCGGCGTGCTAGCAGGAGTTGTGGAATCCACTTATCAGTTATCCTCACCTTTGTGCGCAGATTTCATGCTCCTGGTATAGCACAATGTCGGTCATCTTACAGGTGTGAATCTTTTCAATATGTCATAGCCAATAAACTCTCTAATTTCTGAGCATTGAACTAACTTATGCAGTGACAATGTTGATGTTTCCTTCGAATATGCTTCAGTTCGGTGCACGAACTTTTTTAGCCACTGGGAATAAATCACCTTATGTTTCTTAAGGTGATCGGGACTATCCAATTCGTATGCGTCATTATGTGGTAAAGCCCTCCACATATTTGATTCTTTGCCACGGGTTCTTGTAAAAATGGAATCTCTACACAGTAATCCCCATTCTTCCACTTTGAAGACCACTTCTCTCCTCCATTGGTCTTATCATGTTTGCATGTCAACCTGGTTTTCGGTTCAGATTTCCTTAGCTCTCGACGTGGTTGCCTGCAATTGTTCCATGAGTTGTCTTCGACTGGTGTTTCTTGCATTTCCAGACCATCTCGTGGCTAAGCAATAGTTAATTCGGGCAATAGCCTAGATTCATTTCAAATGAGGAGGCTCTGATCGCTGTATTCTTGGAAGCGGCGAACCTGGCGTAAGATCTATCTCGTGCTCCATCGATCCTGTGACATTTTCCATAGCCGACAGATCGTTGCCAAACCAGTTGATTTTGAACGTTTTCTTCTTATGCGTGATGGTCAACGTTGTATCACTATTAGTCTTAACTACATGTGGCGAAATGGCTTCCTTGAATCGAAACAGGGGAACAGAGTGGGTATTGAGTTTTAACTTCTTAACTACGTCAACATGTTTGAATGCTGTTGATGACCCTGTGTCGATCGCTGCCCACAAATGATTGTTTTGATTGACCTTCAAGTCCATGTCCTTGCGTTCCCCAAATTTTGGAGCGACTTTTAATCTGTGCTTCTCCTTTCTCCTTTGGGCACTAAAGGGATTAGATTCTTCAGATCTGATGAATGAAACTCGACTATCTAATTCTTTTTTATCAGGACATGCTTTGCTGAATTGTCCCAGTTTGTTGCAATTATGGCACACACGTTTGTAGTTGAAATAATCTCGATTGTTCGAAGTTCTGCACTTTGCCGGTTTCGTGATTTTTTTTGGTTTCCGCTTGTCATATCTTTGACCGCTACTTGTCTCCTTGATTTTCTTGGAGAGTTCTGACGCCTCATCGTCTACTACCCCTCTTCTACTATTCATTATCGTAGCAGCACATCTCTGTGCTTCCTTCCAAGTTTGAGGGTTCTGTTTGATTACGTCCAAATAGAGCGAATGCGTCAGTCCATCTACAAAATGGTCCAATAAAACATGGTCGGCCACCGGTCTGTCCAGAGGGAAAAGTCTCACTTGTTTTGTGAACGCTTTGATGTAGTCGGCAATGGTTCCTTCCTGTTTGAGCGACCTGAAGTTCCTCCACAACTGCCAGTTGGACAGGAACACCCCGTGAGCCTCCATGAACGATTGCCTAACCTCATCATAGGTTAGTCGTTTCAATCCAGGATTCTCGTCCAAGAGATTCTCTCCCCAAATGATACTAATACTGTCTCTAGCTCTTCGCATTAATTCATCAATCTTTTTGGAATCATCTTCGATTTCTTCAAGTCTGAACCAATAGTCTAGTTCTTGTAGAAACTCAGGGATCTTGGTTACATCGTCGTCTCTTTTGAAGAAAGGTTCACCAGGGTCCTTCGAGGACTTTGATGATGTCATTGGTATTTTATAAATTGGATTCGTGAAAGCCGCGCGTAACTACCAGGAAATACGAGATTCTATAAAAGATATCTAGTCTTGCCTGATAACGTCGTTCCTATTTCTATACCTCGCTCAGTCTTCTTCCGTCTATGCTGTATTACTTTGCCTGTTACTAAGACCCTCTTTTATATGTTATTCTTGGTCCATTGTGAGGTTCACTAGAAGACTCTGCTACTGGTTGCCTGTCTAGCTTTCACGCCTCACGTAGACTGTTATATCTTCGTCTCAACTTCCCAGAATCTGCTTGACCTTCGTATTGGGGTTGTGTCTGTTTCAGCCTATACTTTTGTCTTTCGTCATTCGTCTTTAGTCCTTCCAAGGACAATGTCGCCATCCTTTCTGAATAGAGTATGTTGTGAGAATCACAACATCTTTTCAACAAACATCCGATGTAGTGTAATGGCTATCACATCACGCTCTCACCGTGGAGATCGGGGTTCGATTCCCCGCTTCGGAGGATTTCATTTTTGGCTCCCTTCCATGTAAGGGAAACAATTCGTCAAACATGATATCAAAAATGTTCATTTCGTATCAAACGATATCAATTCTCTCATTGCTTCACATCTGATTCACAAGACGTTCATGCTCTGATTTCCATCTCTATGCCACCACCAATAGTGCCCACTCTTTCGATAGTTCAAACAATTTCTTGCCCTTTTCTTGAAGCCTTGTCTCGATCTCCCTCCACACTATTGCAGACCCTTTCCTCTCTTTCTACACATGACCCGAAACCCTGGTAACAAACACCGTTGCTGCCATTCCGGTGTTCCGCTGGTTGTTCTAAGCAACACACCGTGCGATTTCTTACGTAAATCCGGTGGGCCTCACGTTTTTCCGCATCAGCTTCTCTTTTTATCAATCTCTGCGGTCCCGTCTGTGTGCCTCGGGCCCCCGGAAAAACTTTCCTACTTCTTGGCCGGAACATCTCGTTTTTTTCCCGGATAAAATAGAAACCCAAAAAAAATAATGTTTGCGGGGTTTCGCCGGATGATATGGCCAATATAAAATTATATATATAGGAACGATGGAGGAAGAGAACCTGCATTATAAAATCCACGACGTAGAGACTCGATATATCAATACAAAACCACTCAACCAACTTAACCACGAACTGTACCATCTGTTGGCCATCTTTGGTACTGTTTCAAACGAAAAACAACACACGGCTCTCGTGTTAAGGAAAAAAATAATTTATAGTTTTTCGATCTGGAGCCAGAAATCTCACCCATTGTAGGACGAAAAGACAAGAAGAGGAGAAAAAAGATATTCGAAGAAATAAAGCGTAAGCTTCGGGACTGAAATAGGTTAATAGTGCATTCAAGGTTTCGAATATCGGTCTTGTTTTTTTTTTTTTACCCCCGCAAGATTAGCAAGCTTTGTAACGAGGTGAGGAAGCGTCTTCGGGTGAAAAAAAAAGAGAACAGTGAGCCTGTAAATTTCCATTTTTTTTGACGTGTTTTGACGCCCTGGTCTTTCTGTTCTTGGAGCCGTTATATCAGCACCACTTCTACACCACTCCCACACAACTCCCACACCAATTTCATGTTTGTGCTGCCACCGCCGCCAACTTCAACGAAAAACGCTTTGCCCGGGCTTTTGCCCAAACGAAAGGGACACGATAATCTGGCACCGGTGCCAGAGGACCAAGAATTCGTAAATGCACCTCCGGAATTCGCAGATCGTGCAAGAGATGAAATTCATAAAAGACTTCTTCTGACCCGCAACAAGAGAAACGGCCCGGCAGACTCAAATGGAGCCCGTCATTCGTCACAGAATCGGGACCATCAACCCCGTCGCGATTCAGACACCGTTTCGCTCGCCACAACATCCACCAATGGGTCTAGTGTCTTTTCCACTCCCAGCCATACCACAAACTCTACGGGGTCCACATCGGCTAGCTCAGCTGCATCATTTATTGACTATTTCGACAAACCCCGCTCCATTTTGCTGCAAGATGCTCTGCCCAAGACTTTTTACGACATGTACGCTTCCGAATTGTTATTGGATTCCCACAATTTGCTTTGCAATGGTCGTCCTAAGTTCACCAAACGGGAGCTACTCGATTGGGATCTCAACGACATACGTTCGCTCTTGATGGTGGAGCGCTTACGTCCTGAATGGGGATATAAATTCCCGACTATCGAATTCGACACCACTTCTATCACTACATCGGCCTCCACGGCCAAGACGCCCGTACCGCAATTCCGGTTCCAGCTTTTACCGCTGGATTCTTCAGATGACATGATAATCCGGTGTCTGGTCGAATCAGATTTATACTTGGAGGCAAATCTTGATTACGAGTTCAAACTCACCAGCGCAAGGTACACGGTAAGTGCTGCTCGAAAGCGTCATGAACAGCTTGTGGGCCGTCATGAACCGGTCATGATCCTTTCGAAACCCGAATGGAGAAACATTATTGAGAACTATCTGCTTAACATCGCCGTTGAGGCTCAATGCCGGTTCGACTTCAAGCGTCACTGTGCAGAGTTCAAAAAATGGAAGCAGCTGCAAGCTCTGGTGAAGAAACCAGACATGCCTCCCCCTTCCACCATTCCTCAGCGCAAACGCGAACCTTCTCTGTTGAGGAGAACGTTATTGAAGAACACTGCCATCAAATCGACGTCGTCCTCAATCCCCGAAGAGACTTTGCCCATCGGCACACACACTGCGTTCAAAGGCTCCAGTCCCAAGATTTCCTTGACTAAGGACGAGAAGTCCATGTTGTGGTCACAGTGCCAGTCTCAGGTCTACTCGAGACTGGGACTCGATTGGACTCCCGATCGCGTCTAATTCAACTTTTTCATCTTTATTTGAGCAGGTCTCATATATTCTGCATAGGCGACAACACAGGTGGTTCGTCCCGCATCCCAAGTATCCGACATATTTCACTACGTAAATGTGCTAATAGAACAAATCGAAACAGTTAACACTGTAACAATAATTCCAGATTCTTTATCAACAAACACTCGAAGTGTCTCTGCCAAAACTTCACCAGTCTCGTGATGCGTCAAAGTTCCATAAACTTTTCAAAATTTTAAGTCAACTAAGAACAACTAAATCATGCATTTAAAACCCATCACAACATCTTTTTCAAAAAACATTCAGCTTCCATATACGCAATGACCGGTATGATTTCACTTATTTATTGTAGTTCAAAATCCTTTGAGGCAATGGGATCTCTCTTAACGCAAAACCCTACTAACTTTATGTGGTTCTCGCCCTTGTAAGCAGATACATCCAAGAAACAAGACGCTGCTGATCTACTGGCTTCTTTGAACATTGAGGGCAAAAAAGAAGCCGAGGAAGCCAAGAAAAACAACGCACATAACAAACCTTCGCAACCAGCGCCAAAAAATACTATTTCTGAAACTTCGAAGCCTGTCGAGAGTAGTAAGAAAGACCCAAAATCACAAGAGAAGGACTCGAATTTGGTGAAATCCGAATATGAAGTCAAGGTGAATCTCGCCGATCTGCAAGGCGACCCTAACTCTCCTTTATACAGTATCAAGTCCTTTGAGGAGTTAGGGCTGGCACCAGAGCTTTTGAAGGGACTATATGCCATGAAATTCCAAAAACCATCTAAAATTCAAGAAAGAGCTTTGCCCCTACTTTTGAATAACCCTCCAAGAAACATGATTGCACAGTCACAGTCAGGTACCGGTAAAACGGCTGCTTTCTCGCTGACAATGCTGTCTCGTGTCGACATCACACAACCTGCAACCCAAGCCGTTTGCCTGGCACCTTCAAGAGAGCTGGCCAGACAGACTTTGGAAGTCGTTCAAGAAATGGGTAAGTTCACCAAAGTGACTACACAGCTCATTGTACCAGACTCTTTTGAAAAAAATAAGCCTATTAACGCACAAATTATCGTTGGTACCCCAGGTACCGTGCTGGACCTAATGCGCAGAAAAGCTCTACAACTGGGACAAGTCAAAGTCTTCGTCTTAGACGAAGCTGATAACATGCTTGACAAACAAGGTCTAGGTGACCAGTGCTTGCGTGTCAAGAAGTTTTTACCAAAGGCTACTCAGCTGGTGTTATTTTCTGCCACTTTCGACGACAGCGTCAGAAACTACGCTCGCAGGGTTGTGCCGGATGCGAACTCGCTGGAATTGCAGAAAAACGAGGTCAACGTGAGTGCGATCAAGCAGCTTTTCATGGACTGCACAGACGAAAACAACAAATACGAAGTACTGACAGAGCTATACGGTCTGTTGACCATTGGATCTTCGATTATTTTTGTGCAAACCAAGCAAACTGCCAACGTGCTGTATGCCAAACTCAAACAAGAAGGCCATCAAGTTTCGATTCTGCACGGTGACTTGCAGAGTGGTGAGAGAGACAGACTAATTGATGATTTCCGGGAAGGGCGCTCCAAGGTCTTGATCACAACTAATGTTCTGGCGCGCGGTATTGACATCCCATCTGTGTCCATGGTAGTGAACTACGACCTTCCCACAACGGTCCAGGGTAAAGCAGACCCTGCCACCTACATTCACAGAATCGGAAGAACCGGTAGATTTGGCCGTACCGGGGTAGCCATCTCATTTGTCCACGACAGGAAATCTTTCGAGACTCTGACCGCTATCCAGAAGTACTTCGGTGATATTGAGATGACTCGTGTGCCTACTGATGACTGGGACGAGGTCGAGAAAATCGTCAAGAAAGTGTTGAAGGAATAAGCCTCAGAGAGGTAATCAAGTAAAATTGACGAGTAAACGCCGTCACTTACGTGTTGACGAAAACGTTCCTACCGAAGAAAAATTTTCGCCATACCGTACATATCCAGCAGACGCTCATCATCTATACAAGACTATATTTGATACACTAGTGAAGCCCATTTGGTTCTTACCGATATTTCTTACTCGAGCACACCACACCGTTAAACCCTGACGACAATGGCCTCACGTGTGAAACGACACGACCGTCCTAAACCATTATCGCTATAATAGGGTTCAAAAAAATAATCATCATCTGAACACTTGTTTATACCTCAATTTCACCACATTTCACCAACTGTATCGACCATTCACGATGGATAGTGCTAAAATTGTCAACATTATTATCGGTATGTTCTTGTAAACCATCTAAAGCGATGTGAGAGCTCTTTTATTCCTCTTTTACTACGGTTTCACCATTTGTAAGGGAAGGGTTTATCCGGGTTTTTGGTACTAACATTTTCAATTCTGTGCACAGCTTTGTTTCTACCTCCTCTAGCAGTTTTTCTAGCTAAAGGCTGGGGTAAGGAGTGTATCTTGGATTTGATTCTCACCATCCTATTTTTCTTCCCCGGTATGCTGTACGCCTTGTACGTTGTTTTGACCGACTAAATGCAGTTGGATGCCCTTTAGCAGGAAGATACAGCGAGATACAAGGCCCGGGGAAAAAAAAGAACCATGAAGAGTCCAAAAGATACCACATTTGGTGCCTTTCTCTGTACCCATTCCGTTTCTATTTCCTCCCCGCTTGGCGTTTGATCTTCATTATGTACTATCAACTTTTAATACTGAACTTTTATAATATTCTCCATATAAACCTGGCAAGACAGCCAATCCATTAACCGGCTGGTGTGCATTGTGTCGTCAAACGCAGTTTATTGTTTCTGAAGCATTTTTGAAGCTTACATTATCTTATACATTTTAAAGGCCTGAACTCGATATGGTTCTGGCACAGTAAAAGCTAAATTCCTTATATACAAGTCGTCTCCCTGGCCCACAAAGCTTACAGTTGAGGAGCCATCATCTCCATCAAAGGCGATTGGATGAATGCAACGCCTGCTACAAACAAACTCAAGTTGACCAAAACAGGGTACGCTGGGGTTTGTCTGAATTGTTCGAATCTGGAGGGTTTCTTGGCGGGGGCACCAGCACCTGGAGCGTTGAATCTACCGGACATTTTTGACGTATTCTAGATAGTGAGTGGTACAGATATAGACTAGTCTGTATGTGTGTTCACTCGGGTATATTTCAACAGTAGGTGGGCCCACAGGAAAATTTTGAAAAGTTGAAGACAGGCCTCACAGGATACGACAGAACACTAGAAACTATAAAGCTTCAACTCCAGTTGACTGTCACCCGATCAGTAGTGAGAAGTAAAGCTTGTCCATCAATAGCATTGTTTTGATGCTACAACGCGCAAGGTTTCAAAACTAAAATTTAAATCCAAATATAATATATATGGCCATTGTTTCGTGGCAATTAGCAATAGTAGAAATTAGGCGGGTTTATTCCATCGAGTGTCCTCTCACCGCCGAAAAGAAGAGGACCAGTTTATAATATATGACCAGCATAACAGAATGTGTGTGTATGTGTGTAATTTTTGTCCTTGAACGATCCGAATGTTATCAAAAAAGTAATGGTGACCGCTCGGGGCCGGTATTGTTTAGCAATCAAGTAAAGCAAAGTAGCAGAGCGGAACGTAGTGGGTGGGCAAGTCTTCTGGTCCTGCTCCTCCCAGCCTCCCTTCAGGACCGGCCTGATACGAGTTTGATCTCGCGGTCGTAGTTTTCCACTGCACTTGTGGAATCGCCTGCGCCCGCCGAGATGGTGACGGTGATGAGGTCTGAAAACCTGGTGAACGAGCCCTGGATCCCACTGATACGTGGAGTAGCGTCTTCGTTGTCGTCCAACGCTGAGGTGTTTGCAAAGCTTGTTTCCACGGTGTCGTCGTCGCCGCCGTCGCCGTCGCCGTCGCCGAATTCCGCCGGAGACGTTGCTGTGATCGAGTCCCAATCGGTATCACTGGTGTAGGGCGAGTTGGAGAGCTCGTTGTTGGGATCCAGTGGTTCTGAAGCCTTTGTAGTAGTAGCTGCTGCTGCCGTCATCGTACGGAGTGACACCCTTCTAGTCGGACCAATTTCCAAAGCTCTTTGATCGGGCCCAAAAACGGGACCTGCCCGTTTTCCGCGGTTCACGACCACCCTCCAAGTGTACAATCCGACATCGTACACATAGAGTACGGCCAAGGGTCCCAAAAGCACCACCACTAGCGAATACAGACCCAGTCTTAAAATTTGCGCTACCGTTGTGACAAAAAGCCATCCATAGTCCAAACTTTGCCAAACCGCTTCCATATTGCGGAACTTTTGCAAACTCGAGACAAAGCTACACTTATTCGAATACAAACCGTTGCTCTCTGGTCTTTCTTGTTCCAAGTTTTGATCAAAAACCCTATCTCATCTCGAAATTTTGATTCAAGGTTCATTAATGGAGACATATCTATCTATATATATATATATATATATATATATATATATATAGATAAATATACATATTAACATATACTAACATATATTATCATATATGCCTCTACAACGACAAAGACAAAACTAACCAAGACACACGATACACACGATACACACGATACATACTCTCACTTTTGAAATCACACATTTATCTATGCAAATATTTCCACATCGTCGATGTTTTCAACCGGACCACCCTAACACCACACCTTGAACTTCACATTATCGTAGCGTGTCAAAAAACTAATCAAAAAACCCGTCTTACCAAACTATATCGAACCTCAAAAAAATTAGTGTCAATCACACCATTTTCGTTTCTCTGCTCAATAAAACGTCTCATTATACTGTGACACCACTGACAACAACGGTTTTTTGCATAGATACACATGTGAAAAAAAGGAAGAGTGCTGTCCTTGAAATAAGCCGCAAACGAGAAAAGTCTAGAACCCGGTCAAGTAGTGGTGGATCGGGTCGATGCAAGAAAATAAAAAGGTAATTGCTTGCATGTGGACTTGTAGTGCAAACTGTTGCGAACTAGGGGAGGGGAGTGTGAAGGATCGGGTTTAAGTAGAGAAGAAACACATAGGAGAAGGAAGGTCACTGTACACGAATAAAGTTTTAAAGGTCTTGGGATTGACACATAGACATAGGTTGACCAGGGAGGACGGTCATCATGTCCGTGTGATTACACCAGGACCGGGGACGAATCCGGCGAATTCGACTTTTTGGCCACGAATCTTGTCGTGTTTTACAATTTTGGATTCTCGACTTTGCCAAGAATCCATCACTGTATACGTACATGTAGTGGTAGCACTGGAGCTTCGAGAACCACCACACGCCCATATTCATTCCTCTTTGATGGAGTTACCACATGTATTCAATTTCACTGCTTGTAGATGACCCGTAAGTGCACGTTGGAACCCTTCCTTCGGTTTCTCATCCTCGCACACTATTCAAACTGTGTGAATAAGTCAATATGTGGCTAATACATCTTGGTTTCGACACTGGTTCTGAATCTTATCTCAATACAAGTGCCTTGTTAGATTTCCAAGCTATCTTAGGCGTTTTGTGCTGAGATTGGTAAACTATATGGTATAGTGCCAATTGCGTAACCAGGAAATGACATACTAGTCTAAAATGACATCTCAAGCGCTAAGGTGAAATGGACCAATCGTCAAGATATGAAGCAACAAGACGTCAACGCTATGCAGGATTTGCAAGCAATCCAGAACGTTACCCACGGTTTGCTATTGTTGTTTCAAAAATCGTTTAAATATCCGTGGTTTGGTCAAACCAAATTTACCAAACTTACAGTCAAAAAGAACCGCGGTGAGATAAGTAAAATCCATAACCATAACCATTCACTTAAAGCAAATCATGACTGAACAAACGAAGCAGATTATCAACTCGAACACTGCCGACGTAGTCGAGCCTCAGTAGTTTGTGCCCGGATTCTTTTCCGGGCTGATCATTATATACGGAGTATCCCAAATCCTTGAGCATTCGAAACCAGCGAATTTGCTGACTGCATTCGTGATTAGTCCTTACTCCTGGCGATACACAGACCATGGAGATGGAATTCCGCTGTGTTCTACCAGCTTGAATTTCATCACGTTATACGCATATGCATACGTAGACATTGTTTCAAAACTCCCGGGTCTCGAGTATAACTAAAACCGCTGAGCGTGGATATCCACACCTCTATAAAGTTATTGACGGAGGTACGAAATGCTACTACTCAATCGCTTTTCAGACTGACATTAGCGTGTGCATGCGTGTGCCATGTTTCAATTGAATCATTCTATACGTAAGCCATATCCAATCCTTGAGCGAAATGCTTTGTCACCGTGTCTTGTTCCAACGCTGTGCTCCCCATTGAAAGCCCCAAGTGTCCATTCCAGGATCCTCGCTGTAGCTTCAGAATGCATGTCCATGGGCACCGCTGTCGCTAAATGTAGTCACATCGTACGACTATTTCTATCCAGACATGGGCGATGTCTGGCATCATAGCTGAAGTTCTCAAAAGTGCATCCCAAATGGATTGTAAGTCAATACTGACTGAATCGGGCACCTGCCTCTTCCATCGTAAGGCTAAAATCAGAGACTCTTAAAAATTCTGTCGCCAGAATCAGAGAGTGTTATTAAACAATCATCTGCATCCTCCAATCTCTGCACAGATGAATCGGAATAATTCTCACGTTTATTCTTCAACTATATACAATTCATGCGTCACATTTTCATACGTTACGCCAATTCCGAGAAACTAAAATGGCTCCCAAAATGGATCACAGTTAGCGACATTTAGGTACTTTCGGAAACCCTTATTTTAACGAAAAAGATCCCATTTTTTGATAACAACTTACCTAGCAGCGAAAAGATCCATTTGCGTTCACAACCGATCGAACGTGGGCAAATGCCATACCCTGAAATCAAATTTTGAAACCTTTAGCCTCGCAACAACTATTCGAAAATACTCGTCGTTACGCCCATTTATCTGACGCAAGAGCTCGCATTGAAACAGCACGACTCATGAATCAATGAGAATCAATTAAGGATACATGTGGAAAGCATTTGAGGTAGCATCCCGAAATCAAGGTTCGTCTTACGAACATGAGAAATTCGAGGAAACCGGGTCTTAAGCAGATGACTACGTTATACGAAACGGGTACCTCCCAGGTTGCCGGAGTTTAAAATGTCACAGATCACGAGATGCAATGACAGCGTCAGAACTAACTCACCCAAATATGCAAAACGTATCTTGGAAAGCCAGCGATGGCCCCGACCTTATACCAATGAGGAACATCAGTATTGGATTTGTGACAGTTTTCAGTTGTAACCCTGGTCAGAAAAACACGGAACCGTGGCCTTCATGTCTTTTGATTTACGTTTACCACTTTTCAAACTCATTACTTGCAACATCGATATCGACGTAGAAATCTTGTCCACTTAATATCACTTTATTCTTCTACACTTAAGGCAAACGCACGGTGCTTTATTAGTGCTCACTGTGAGCTAGTCCGTAGTGCTAAGTTGTAGGTGCGAAATTCGTACTTATCATAATCTCATTCACACTCGGACCCATTAGTGGAGTCTTTCAATGCGACGACGAAGTAATTGTCATTTTTTGTATAGATGGTTGCTAAGAGACCTGATTCGATATTTTACTATAGCTTTAAGACATCCCGTTTTTCACTGGCGAAAGTAAAGTCGGTGTAGTTTATAGAGCATACAAAAGATGACACTGCTATACGACATCAAAAGATAAGGCGGTAGTTACAGTTGTTATCGCATTGACTAAGCTCAACCTAACACGCCAATTCAAACTGCCTTTAGACATTCCAAACGAATTCACAACGGACCACAGACAGTTAGAATTAAACACATTTCGGGACCTCAAATATACGAAAACAACGTCGCAAAGTTTTCTTGAACGGGTCAATACCGGGCTAGTTAAAGTTCATACGCACACGATAGAAATTACTTAATTCTATTCATAAAACGCCCGGCGTCATTTTTGGATCAAAGCGATGTGTAGGCTTATTGATGGGGAATGGCATCATCAGTGACTGGAATCCAGCACTGCTGAATAATGGGCATTGGTTTTGATGCCTTGGATTTTGCACTTCCCCGGAGCCACCAGTGCTCATATAATGGGGTAAAAAGTGCAGTGTCACTACACACGGTAACCATGTTTTTATCTTGCCTCCATCACTCGATCTTGTCTGTACACATATCTCCCTCCGTTTCGTCTATAATTTACCTACTGGAAGCTTGTCAATTACTCCACCCCCACAACGCTCAACTCCAGCGTCCAGACTCTTCTTATGTGCAATTTGACCGGAACCTCAACATCCACAATAGGACCTTCGGGCAATAGCAGTAATTCACCGGTAGCTTTATTGTACTCTCCATAAAGTTTCAATACCAATTTCACTTCTTCCTCGCCCCACCAGCATTTCCGCGCGGGCTTTTTCCAGAACAACAAGAGTTTCGAGTTGATATCGGGCTTGGGAACGAGTTCGTACAACGTGGGAGGAACGTCTTGACGCTGCCTAGATCTCGAACGCTGTCTTGAAGAAGAACGGGATTTGACATTGTCCGCTAGAGATGAAAGTCTAGATTTCCGCTTATAGTCTCCACTTTGAGACGTTTGAGATACAAGTGGAGTCAACGACGGAGATTCAGATTGGGCACGCGACGCCTCAGTCCTGTCATCGTAATTGCGCTTGGCTTCTTCATACTTGTCACGAAACTCTTGCGTGGTTTCGTTCATCAAACGGCACAAAGATAAAGAGCTAATTACCGTTTTGCCCGGCTCCTGCGCCCTGTTACCCCATTTAGAAGAATCGTGAAATCCGGAAGAACATAGCATATCCATCAAATGTTGCTCAGCTGGCCCCAATTTACCTGGTGTCCCGCTTGCACTTTTAGCAGGTTTTTTCAGCCTATTAGAGCTACGAAGCCCTTGAAATACACTGGATTGAGATGACAAGTAGCTGCCGGCAGCTATCTTGACCTGAGCGATGAAGTTTTCGTTCAGTTCTAATTTCAAGTCTTCAGAAACGTTTTCAGGAAACGCCAATGATTGTACTGGCACACAATAGTAGTCCATGTCTTCTCGAAGCACTATAAGGCTGGGTTTTTCGTGCAGGATTTCGGCTTCTGAGTCAGAAGAGGACGAGGGGTTGCTTGAAGGCGATGTGAAGCCAAAAAACCTTGAAGGCTCATGGGAAACGTGGCTACGCTCAAATATTTCATCCACAGGGAAATTGATAAGGTCCTCTTGGGCCCGTACGTAGTTTTCCATGATGTATTCAAAACAGTCTGGTGGAAAGTTGCCCACGTAAACTTCGTCCTGCGATGTCAAATTCGTGATAACCTGTCCAGTTCTGTCCATAAAGACTCCCGACGGGAAAAGACACAATAATAGGGACTCCGGCAGCGACATCAACTGGTCTCTGGTGATACAGTAGTGGTTTTCCTGGATGTTCAAATGAATCAAAGAATCGTCGTCCATAAACTCCTGACCCTGATCTTGCATCAAAGCCGGTGGTCCCTGATCTGCAGAGACCTGCGTTATGACACTGTGAGGTTCCGCCATTTCCTAAAACCTTTTGAAAAAACACTCAGAGAACGGTTTTCAGAGAGGCCAAAAAAACTGGTCAACAGTTTTGACACAGGCAGTGTTTGAATAAGTAAAGTCAGCGGCCTCTGAAGCTCGCCGTTCCTAAACAATTGGTTGGTTTTATTTCTGATATATGGACTGTACATTGAATAACTTTGGTCAACGATGAGCAAACTAATTTTCAGGCGGGAGAATCTAGAGCCGGGTAAGTCGATAATATCAATTTGGCTATCGCTGGTGTCATGATGGAGAAAAGTGACAAGGCAAGAGTGTAAGAATAGTAGTGACACAACAGACGGGAGTGAAATGTTTGCTGGGTCGGCTGCAGACACTTCGAGTAGCAGTTGTGGTAGTGTCCGTGAACTTCGCGATATGTGAAAAGTTAGGAAAAACACATCACGTGATTTAATGACATGTGTAGAATAAAAAGTCTCGGAAGTGATGCGGCATGATGGTATTCATCTATTGCAGATAATTAGAGGCATAGCACCATTTTGGTGCTTAATCGGGTGTTCGAAAGCACATATATACACGTATATATGAACTCTTATCGAAACGTCACACTCGTGTAGAATGATGCGAGTTTCTCTGCAAGTAAACTTTGTTGTTCCGGGAACAGTTGTCTAAATCTGCTTCAACACTTTATATGGCGTCTATTTGTACGGATCCTGCGAGCTTTGCCCTCACTCATCGACCTCTCATCGGCCTTTGCCGATTCTTCAAATTGTCCATCATATTTCAGAACATTCCCTACTGTGTCCATTCTTACTTTGAGCATAAATCGCGTATCATCAGACAATGTCCCTGATCTTTCCATTACTCCCAGACTTTCCCTCGCTACTACAAACATTCGATTCCTTGTGAGTTTAGCCCGTCTTACCAAAATACATGTAGTTACCCGAACAACGTTGAATGTCACTTATAAAAGAACAAATCTTTGACGTCCAAGGCCGAGTGTGTGAGAAGCTCTCCAGTTGAGACCGATACAGGTAAAACCGAGCGGCCGTTCTCGAAGACGTAAGGCTACGTCGATTTGCATGACATCAAAGCTCATGTAAATACTCCTTATGATGAACAATTATTCATAATCTTATCTACATTATCTGAATAACACATTGGAAGAGAATTTAATATTCTGATAGGAGTTCGTAGCATCGTCCGGCTGTGTTCATAGCTCATCATCGCTATTGATGAGAAAATCATTCTCTTCGTCTTTGTAGGCTTTCTTCTTGTCCTTGCTGGCGGTCGCGTTTACCTTGCTCGGAGTCAAATTGATTGGTTCTGGAGGAAGAGGCTGCCATTTCTTGCGAGTAGCTGTTTCTGGGGTGTCAATGTAAGTAGTTTCGGCTTCCACTGCTGGTTGCTTGTTCCTAGAAGGCAATTGAGGAGCAACGTCTTCGTCGTTGTCGCCGTATCTTTCGTCAGAATCCATTTTGTTGAATATTGATATACCATGGCTGGCGAGCCTTTGTGATGTATCCGCACTATCATCACCCTCTTTGGCCCCAAATGAGTTGAACCGTACATTTCTTTGTTCTGGCCTCACATGCTTATCGTTGTCTGAGCCGGAAGACCTGTTGGACGAGTTCCTTCTATGAGATCGTTGAGCTGCATTGTTACGCTGCGAGAATTCAGGGTAGTCCTCGTACTGGGACTCCTGCGGCTGTTGTTCTTGAGTCCAATTCTTGCGAATCCCAGTAAACCATTCATTAACCTTCTTGCCAGTTTCTTGAACTTGACGGCCTACCCTATCACGAATCTCAGGCAGATCTTTTTCCACAAATTGGCTTAAAAAATCATCGTCATTCGCTTCGTGTCCCAGTTCATCGTAATACCTTTGTTCTTCTGGATTCATAGGCCTTTGACCTTGAGCAGTGCGTCTTTCGTATTCCCTTTGGCGGCGGCGAATCCGGCTTTCGCGTGCTGCTCTCTCATCACCTCCTTCCGCTTCTTGGCGAGCAGCGTGGCGAGAACGAGACTTATTAAATTGAGCGTCCAATTGTCTCGCCAACAGCTCGTCTTGTTCAAACTGCGTTCTACCACCTTTTGAAGACCGGACAGGGCCCTCCCTGTCGGTCTGAGGAGGAGCGCTCGGAATGGCGGCCTCTGCTTCGAAAGTTGGGTCCGAAAGGTATAGCAAAGCGCTGAAAGCTGGGTCCAGAGCGCCACTAGAGGCAATCAGAACGGCTTTCACGTACTTGGCCTCAACGTTGGGAAACGCCTCTGTGAGTTCCGCCAAAATAGGATTCTGAACAACCTGCGTGTTGGAGCTGTTGCGCTTGGGCAAAGGCGGAAGTTCTTCGTCCGCGTAATCCATATTTTCCTTCTTGGTTGTCGCTTCAGAGAGTTTTGGCTTTTCAGTAGACACAGCGGGTTCAGTGGTGTCGATTTTCCCCTTTGATTCTGAAACTGGCTCAGCTTGTTCCTCAATTGGTTTCTCAGCTGGCTTTTCTGCTGCTCTTTCGGTAGTTTTCCCTTCAGAATTTTCAATTCCAGCCAGCTTTTTTTCGTCCTTAGACTGAATTTCAGTTTTCGCACTGTTTTCAACGTCCTTGGTCTCGCCAGAAGACGCTGCTTCCTCTACTAGTGGGACATCTTCCACTGTTTCCTTTGTGCCACTTGTTTCTGCCATTGCGGGACGTATTACAAGGCTGAAAACAGCAAAGAATATCTGACAATGTAAATCTAGCTACTGGAAACGTCGCTAGTTCAAAAGGCTTTCCGTTGACTTTTGGTAGCGTTCCGAACCATTCATGAACCAGGTTTTTTATGGAAACCCCTATGATAATTCACATATATATATATATTTAACTTAATTTATATGTCAGTATCGGCAAAAGTGACACAGTTCTAAGCGTATTTGGACTATTCTGCGCCGTTGATAGAATTCTGATCAGCCAAGAGCTGACCATTCTTCTGACAATTCCTCTGCCTTTTCTTAAATTGCACGATGCACCGTGTCCTACGGACTCTCCTTCAGTCACTAAATAAACCATGTTCATATTATTTTCCAAGCTACATTTTATTTTTCAGAGTTCTCAAACGATCAGTGACCTGGGCTCTAGTGAGGGAGCCCTGTGGATCTTTCACGGCATCTCTTACCGTTGGGTCATCCAGACGCATAAATGGGTTGTACTCAAGCTCGTCTTGCAACGTGAAAACACCGGCTGTGACGTCATTCTCGTTACAGAACTTTTCCAGCTTGTCAAGGGCTGCGTTTTCACCAGCTGTCTTGTACACAGCGTGACGCACAAACTTAACGTTGCTCTTGGTATATTCATGGCCAGGATACACCTTGGTCGTCGCCCAATTGGAGTTCCCAACACCGTCCAGAATCCTTCTATTCAAGGCAACGTCCATTTCCTCGCCAGTACCTTCGAAAAAACGGCCACAGCCAGCGATAAATAATGTGTCGCCTGTAAATATGGCTTTTTCTTGCGACATCGGATCACTCACATAGTAGCATACCGAGTCTTGCGTGTGGCATGGCGTACGGATACACCTTATTTTCAGGTCTCCCAATGCGTATTCCTGCAGATGTTTTGGGATCTGCGTAGTACCAGGCGAGTTGTGACTCCCGCTGATCACCTGTACGTCTGCGTTCTCCAATTCGGTCAGTCTGCTAACTACTGCTCCATTTCCTCCAGAGTGGTCATAATGGTGGTGAGTGTTGACCACTGCTTCTACGCTCATTAGCTCTTCAGTTTTCAATGCCGAGAACACCTCTGCAGGTTCCGCAGGATCAATGAGCCATGATTTGGTCTTGTCCTCCGTCGACAGCAAATAGCTGTAGTTCACACCTCCGGTCAACCATCTCATTTTAACGGGTTTGACATGCATTTTCCTGGTCTGTTGAGAAAGTTTGGATGCTGATTTAAAAGAACCAAGTTGTCTAGCGATGCTGTTCACTCTGAACATATAAAGGCACCCTAACAAGTTGCGTACTGTGTTGGATTGGGTTTCCTCCCTTTAATAGTCGATGTCATCGCTAGTAGAGGAAACCCATAGGACACATTTTTGAATTAATAGTGGGTAGCTTTGCTGAGCCGTTTATAATGATCTGAAACTCGGATAGATCATGTGACGGACGGTTCAGCGATGAGTTTAAGCTGCCAAAGCCGGCTCTGGCAGACAAATCTGGACAAGTACGTGGCATTTTTGATGTATGACCCTTCCTGTGAAAAATACTAGCAATTGGAATCCGATAGATGTTGCAATCATGCCATAAGCCCGGTCTGAAGCTCGAGATCCTCTGTCAAGGGTTTATGCTGCCGCGATCTGAACTTGTTTAACAATGCGGAGAAGACATGTGTTCCACTTCTCTTGCTTTTCACTGCGTCCAATATAGGCGGCGACCATCTGTTCAACAAAAGTGAACTTCCAACTACACTGACCGAGCTGGCCGCCATGCATGCAACAGCGACAATAGGGTCTAGAGTGATGCCCCAAGGAACTAAAACGCCCATTGCGATAGGAACCATGAAGATATTGTAACAGATTGCCCAGAAAAAATTCATGCGAATACGATTCAAAGTAGCCTTAGCAATATTCAGAGCATAAACGACTTCGCGCAGAGAGGCCCGACTTGATTCCGGACGACTCAAGATAATAACGTCTGCGGCCTCCATGGCGATGTCTGTTCCTGTTGATATGGAAATTCCCAAATCGCTGGTCACCAGCGCAGGAGAATCGTTGATTCCGTCCCCCACAAATGCAACCTTTCTTCGACTACCATCTTTCAACTCCTCGACCAAATCATTCTTTTGTGTCGGCGTGAGCTCGCTGTAGACATTGTTCGCTTCAATTCCCAGCTCTAAAGCTGCATTCATGGCGGAATTGTGATTATCTCCGGTCACCATACATATGCGATGGCCCTGAGCTGACAGATACGCAATCACTTGTCTGGCATCTGCTTTGATGGTGTCACTAACCTCGAATCTCCCTACCAACTGCCTATCAAATTCAACATAAGAAACCGTCCGTTGAGGTTCAGGAAGATGCTCTCCTTTTTCCAGAATGGTTTTATTACCGATAACGACGCGGTACCTTGATCTTGAAAACTCACATTCACCCACCAGACCACCTCCAATTACTGCTTCACTGCTAACGACGTTTGCTGTAGAATCAGAGTCGGTCAGATATTGAGCGGTATATTGTGTTAGAGCCTTGGATACCGGGTGATCACTGAGAGATGCTAGTGCATTAACGCAAGCAGCCTGCTCAACTGTGAGAGCGGTGCTATCTCCCATGGGTACATATTGGTCCACAGACATGTTCCCAGTGGTTAAAGTACCGGTCTTATCAAAAAGAATAGTATCCAGGGAAATGCAGTTCTCCAAGATGTCACCACCCTTGATAAGCACACCATGACGTGCTCCCAGACCTGTGCCAACCATTATTGCAGTGGGAGCCGCCAGACCGAGTGCACAAGGGCATGCGACAACGATGACTGATATTGTCATTTGTAGACAAACGAAGAACTTACCATTTTGGTCGTTAAAAATGGCAGGTGGCTTTTCAAGATAGTGCGATAAAATTAACCAAGTTGTGAATGTTATCAAAGCGAGAGTCAAAATGCAGGGAACAAACTTGGCGGCAAGATAGTCCGCATACTGTTGTATTGGGGCCTTTGCGAATTGTGCTTGTTTCATGGTCCTAATGATATGAGCCAATTTGGTGTCTTCTCCAACATTGGTGGCTTTAAAAAGAAATAGCTTGGGTCCATTGATAGAGCCCCCAACCACCGGAGAACCTACGAACCGTGGCACCATCAGTGACTCCCCAGTCATCAGCGATTCATCTATCTCACTTTCACCTTCGATTATTATACCGTCTGTGGGGATTTTGGCACCAGGTTTTACCTCCACGATGTCCCCAACCTGTAAGAACTCTACTGGGATCGTAGTTGCTGTGCCGTTCTCTATTATTGTGCAATTGGACGGAGCCAAAGATATTAGTTTCAACAGCGAGTCATTAGTCCTGGATTTTGCCTTGTTTTCAAGTAGTTTACCCACGGAGATAAAGCCTATTAGCATGGTAGCGGCGTCAAAAACTACGTTTGGCAGACGGTCTGCTTTCTTCCAAATGTTGTTTAGCATGGAAAAAACCGAGAAAGTGTAGGCACACATGGTCGAGATCACCACAAAGGTGTCCATGGATCCAGAGCCCTTGCGGATGGACAGCCAACCGGCTTTGTAGAAGTGGCGACCCACCCAAAACTGAATGTAACTTGCTAATACCAGACCTGCGATGTCTCTGTAAAAAAGACCCGGCAGCGGTGTCGGCTGATACACTATCGACTCCCGCAGACTTGGAATATACCTGGGTATGAGTTTGTACAATAGCACCATAGTCACCATACCACAGCACGCTTGAATGCATGAATATTTCCAGAACCGAATTTCTCGTACTCTGGCTAAAGTATGGATCTGGGCCGTGTTATCGAACGCATTGGAGGCCGCAGTTTGGAACCCAAGCGCTTCAATACGCGCAGCGATGGCACGTATACCAATGCTCGATGGGTCGAACTGTACGGCGGCCTGTTGGTTTCCAACGTCTATGGAGACACTAATTATCCCTGGGACCTGGGACAGATCACTTTCCACTAAACTGACGCTGTCGGCATCGATAACTCCGTAAATCTTAAGTTGTGTGGTCTTGGAGGTGGCCAGCTCATCGTTGGCGGCTGTTTCTAGTGCTGCTAGCTCGCAGTCAAATCCACAGTCCTTGATGGCCTCTGAAATCGCGTTTACAGCTGTTTCAGGGGTCAGATTCGCGCTGGCATCGATGACCACACGACACTCTTCTGTGGCAAGCGAGACGGCCACGTCACGAACTCCCGGAACCTGCTGCACGCTTTTGGTGACACTCACAACGCAGCTGGAACACGTCATGCCATGCACCATGAAATTTAACACCATATCCGCAGCACTTTTTTGGAGCGATGGTTCTGCCACTTTCAATGTGCGTGCACCGAAACCACAGTCCTCAATGGCCTCTTCCAACGCTGTAACTCCCACATCTTCGGCCTTGTATATTACCTGGCACTCATTGGTAGCCAGTGAAACGGAAACTTCGTGAACACCGGCCAGATTCCTTATTTGTTCTTCCACAGCCGCTACACAAGCGCCACAGGTCATTCCTTCGACCTCTAACGTCGCTACACTGTAACCTACCATTTCTGCTATGGGAGATGTTGATGTTGTGTGAGCAAGGTCTCCAGAACGTACTATTAGTAGCCTAAGAGTCTGTGTTATACTGTTTTTCCTGAACTTTTTGTAAGCGATGAGTGATATTGGTAATGATTGTCTAGTTGCATTATATTATTATATATAGGTTTTAAGTAATTAGAGAGAGCCGAGAAATATTAAAGCGAAACCTGGGTGTGATAGTATAAACGGACGAGTACACTAAGAGTGAGAATTTATAGAATAAATAAGTACTCGCGAGAAGGTCAGGTGATAATCAGATGACAGAAAATTATCGTATAGAAGCATACAGTCATGTGATACAGGCCACGTGATTTTAATATGCACGTGATAAAATCATTCGTAGAGAAACATAAAGTCACATGTTTGAATACACACGTGACTCTGATCCCCAACACTACTATTCTCTCTCTCTCTCAACCACACGCTTACAACCTATAATCTATTTGTAATTACCGTCTACTCCCTTGGATTTCAACCGATTCTCGAGCTTGAGACGCTGCAGCTCTTGCCACCTTGCGGTCTGCGCCTGTTTGTGCAAATCAAAGCCAAAAATCTTGGGCACGTACCGTTGTACGGGGTGCTTGGGCACCATCTCTGGGAACGCTTGTAGGAACATGCCTGCGAAGCTTGTACCAAAATACGCTCCGTCGATGGCACTGTGACGCGTGGATTTCGGCACATACAGATCCTCACAGCACGGACAGTACAATTTCACGCAATCCACGCCCGGAGCATCGTGCAGCCCGACCGGCAGCAGCGGCTGGAAATTGCAGTAGACCCGGGGACACCGTCCAAAATCCGCTTCTTTGTATTTCTGCAACATCTTCTGCAGACCCTTGATCGTAATCACGTAGCGTGCGTGGATCAGTCCGTACAATTTGCAAGCATCGTGTTCCAACTGCTGCATTCGTCCACTCGACAACTGTTCCAAAATCGTGTCGTCCAGCTCGTCCACGATGTACTGGATCACCTGCGTGAACTTGTTCACCGTCTTCTGCAAGTTTATCAGATTAAACCGGTCCACAATGTAGTCCGTGTCTACGTCGCAGAAGTATTCATGGCCCTTACGTCCCAGAAATAAATCGATCCAAAACTCCACGTATTCGGAGGAATCGCTACCGTCAGCCGTGTTTGATCTTGCTTCTACCATTTCGATATCTGCCATACCTATAACAATCGGTCCCCAAACAATGTTTCCAGCCCGCTCTTATACCTTTAACCTGAGTGTTTTGAACTATTCTTTCAAGAAGGTCGCAGCTGTTATAGTTGAAGATTCTATAACATATAGAATATATATAAATTAACGTCAAGTAACTTTAAACCATCGATGCTCAGAAAAATATCAAAACTTGATGAAACTACTGAGGTACCCGAGGGTTTTGAACGGTGGAAAGGTGAGCAGCAGCTCGCTGGTGGATGGAAGTCTGGTTGTAGCGGGTTTGAAGTCGATCGGATGTTTTTCTAGCGAGCAATTGATAAAATGCGCTTTGGGAACAGCGTCTGTGAAAGAAGTGGAACCAGAGTTTGAAATTAGTGGGTTAGTCGAACAAGACGACCAGATATACAATGTGTCGGCTACGGGAACGCATCTGTATGCGGTAGCGTCGCGGTCGGTGCTATGGGGCGAGCACTGGCGCGAAATGAAGGCACAGACCGTGTTTACGAAATTCTGGACCGTTGACGCCCCAGCCTGTATAACTGACGTGCAATTCGACCACGGCAGCGGGGTCGTATTTGTATTGGTCAATAAGTCTTCAACGGAGAATTTTGTGTTTCTGTGCGACGGAAAAACCGCAAAACAGGTGGGAGAAATTCCTTTAGGCACTTCCAAACCTTTGACAGGCGTGGTGGATCCCAAATCGCAGATTTTCACCGTGATTTGCGCAGACAGGAACGTGGCGGTATACCAGTTTACAGCTTCAGGCCGTCACAAGCTTCTTCACAAACTCAATCACTACGTACAAGTGGACCCTCTGCGCTACAAAATCAATATGTCACCACAAGCAGATATTTTGCCGCTCCCCAATTCGACCAGTAGCTCTTCTACGCCCGCTATACTACTGCTGGACCGCAAACATAACTTCAAAATCGATTCGTCACTGGTGGGCCATTTCGACAAATGTCAAGTTCTACAATACTCACCGCGAATTTACGGCAAAACGCTCAAATCGGGCACAAAGATCAATTACAATCTGGTTGCTACAGCAGGTTTTGACACGGGCTCTGTGGTCATTTGGAACACAAAAAGACTCAAACCTTTGCTTAACACCAAATGCACACCAGACTCCTTCATTACTGATCTTCAATGGACTGCCGATGGCCTATCGCTTTTTGCATTCACTAATCACGGCCACATGTTGGTCTTTGCATTTCGACCAGGCGAGCTGGGCGAAGTTTTGCCACAAACCGAAATCGTAGCTACCGAAGCTGTCAAAACATCCATTGTCAACCTCGATCCTCTGCCTTTACCAGAGGCTTTAGAGCCCAATAATCAATCAAAGCCAGAGACTGTTCAGGCCGGATCCATTGGCAATATCACGAAATCTGCGGGCAAGAAGAAAGTGAGGCCAACCACGATACACAGCACATCAATGGAATTGAATACGCCTTCCTACAGCGTCCCAAAAGACCTTAAACGAAGACCAAAAGATCCTACGGCTACAACGACTAACAAGAGACAAAAACATGATCTAGAGCCGATGGATTTTCTCGATACAACACTTCTAATGCCGGGCATCAGTTTTTCTAAAATGAGATTAGCCACTCCAAAAATCCGGCTGTCTTTCACATACATAGCAGCTGACACTGCAAGCTTGGCGATGTATGTGAAAAATGGGACAGGTAACGAACAAACTCCGAGCGTTGTTTCGCTCAAGCAAAAAGAGTTGGGACAGGAGAAGACGCTATTTGAGGATTTCCTTCCTAAGTTCATAACAATCTGTACCGCGGGAGCTAATTTTTGGAGTTGCTGTACTGAGGATGGGACAATCTATGCGTACTCAGATACTGGAAAGAAAATAATACCGCCGCTCATTATGGGTGTACCCTGTAGTTTTCTGGAAGCTGTAGGACGATTTTTGCTTTGCATAACTTCAACAGGGCAAATGTACTGTTGGGATATAAGTAATGCCAAACTTCATTTTCCGTCGAACTCGGTGTACTCTTTGCTCAGTCCCACTCTTCGATATTCCGATGACGTTTTGACAAGAGCTGAAAATATCACCATGTGCACACTAACAAGCAATGGAGTTCCAATTGTCACCTTGAGCAATGGTGATAGTTTTATGTTCGACAAGGAAATGGAGGTCTGGATGCTAATCAACGATTCCTGGTGGGCTTATGGATCGCAATACTGGGACACTACCGCGACAACAACTCACGGAACCTATCTGAATGACAACGAAGAAAAGCTCTCAAAGAAGGGCCAGTCCTGGAACTCAGAAGCACAAGAGTTGTCGGACAGCTTAAAAGTGAATAACACTAGTATTCTCAACTATTTGGAAAAGAGAACAAACGACGAGCTCAATCGGAAAGGACGAGCGCGCAACTTACAGAAATTTGCAAAAACAATTTTAATGAAAGAGGGCTACGAGAATTTGGAGGAAGTTGTAACATTATCTCATTTGGAGAACAAACTTTTGGTATCACTTCGTTTAGGAGAATATGCCGAGTTTATAAAATTGATTGTTCTCTACTGTATCCGCCTGAGTGAGATGGGTTACAGAGGCCGTTTGGAAGAGGTTCTTCAGTGGTTGTATAATGATGGAAACTGCAAGCAGATGACTGTGGCGGAGCTCAGCGGTGAAGAGCTTATGAAAAAAATTCTAATAGCTTGTGCGGACATTAGGCACGTACAGCGGGTGACCACCAGCTATGCTACTGCAATTGGATTAATAGATGATACTCTTTGAGTAAAATTAACTCTTTCTAAAGTATTTACGAATTACGAATTCAAAATCCCATTACTTCCTTGACCTTTTTGATATTAGTCTCGGCCAGCTGAGATGCTGCCTCTGAACCCTGTCTGACAACTTTTTCGAGATATTCAGGCTCCTGGATGAGCAAGTTGAAGTTCTCGCGCGGGCTGCGCAGTGATTCGATCAAGACTTCGGAGACATAGCTTTTGAATTCACTATGGCTTGTAAAATGATTTATCTCCTGCTCGACGTCGGCAATGGACATTCTTCTAATGCCGCCAACAATATTGATCAAATTGGAGACACCGGGACGGTTTACAGGATCATAGCGGAATTCGTGTGATGTTGAATCTGTGACGGCTTTTTTGATCTTTTTGGCTATAATATCGGGTTCGTCATTCAGATAAATTGTAGCATTACGGTTAGGATCGCTTTTGGACATTTTGCTTGCTGGGTCCAGCAAGCTTAATATACGCTTTGTTGGAGCCAATATGGTCGTTGGTACAGTAAGAACTTGAGATTTGAACATCGCGTTGAAGCTTTGTGCTAGCGTTCGTGCTAGTTCGAGATGCTGAGCCTGATCGTCACCTACTGGCACATGTGTCGACTGATACAGCAGGATATCGGCTGCTTGCAAAACCGGATACGAGAAAAGACCTAGTTTGACATTTCCCAGACTTTCTTCGTCACTGCTACTCTTGATGTTCGATTTAGACTTCCACTGCGTCATACGATTGAGAATGCCCATTGGAGCAATCGTCGACAGTAGCCAGTGTAGTTCCGCATGCTGGTGAACAGCGGATTGATTGAAGATAATGGCCTCTGAAGGATCGATGCCCAATGATAATATGCTTGCGATAGCCTCTTTTCGACTTTGTCGCAGCCTTTGCCCATCGGAAATTGGAACAGTTATGGCATGCAAATCTGCAATTCCAAATATAAGGCTAGTATCGCCTCTTTTTAAATCACATAGTTCTTTCCACGTCCGGACGGAACCCAAATAGTTACCCAGATGAAATTTACCAGTAGGTTGAACCATGCTGAATATCGTTGAGTTCGCAGGTATATCGCTGGAATCTATCTTATATTTTGTCGTTTTTACAGTTTTAGAAAGCCCTCGAGCAGGTTGAAAGCTGCGACACGACTTTAGCATTTTCGATCCTTTTCACAAGAGTCTAAGTTGCCACTGTTTCCTGATCGTTTGTCTGACATTTTTCAATTGTCGATATACGTGCATGGTTGGTTCATTAAGTATGAATTCTAGATATTCTAGCTTCTTGCAGTATATGTAGAAAGTAACAGAAAGACTGAGAATAAAGAGACGTTAGCTATCTGATCGCATGAGTAATGACAGATATGTCACCAAAACAGTGAGATTTGATATCTGCACTCTTTTCAGCCTAGAATTAGGTCTAGAAGAGATATTCGTAGTTAGTTAGGTTCAACGAAACGTCAGTTTAAGACAATTTGTATACGTTGGAGTTGTTCCAACTTCTCTGTGCAAGTATGCCTTGTATTGGTCCCTGCAGTAGACCGTATTTAGGACCCGCAACTGTATTGATGTAAGAATCAGGTCCGCAAACAAGGGCTAAAATAGGATTTACGGTCGAAGCACTGTTTTCTTCCACTGGCGCCGATTCAGCAGAGTATGGCGTTGGTAAGAGTGCCAGCACTTCGTATGGAATTTTCCGTATATCGCGGCCGTGTCTTGATTCGTAATAATGCAATTGGATGCGCTTGTTGTTCTGAGCTTCTTCTAGCAAGGGCTGCAAGGGCCCCAACTCTTGTCTTGCACCACAAGAGTGGAGCATGAGAACCCTTCCAAAGTGTGCTTTATTTGTCAACAGCATTTGTGCAACTGGAGCTATGCCAGTGCCTGCCGTGAAGGTCACTACATCGTACGAAACTCGGTCTTTTACTTTCCCAGCGCTGCTGCTTATCGACTGTGAAGGCATCTCGTAGTCCACGTAAGGACCCCGTAGCTCTACAGTGTGACCCTCAGGCAATTTGCTCAGCCAGCGTGCTACTTCACCATGCTTATATTTCTTCAAATAGAAAAACAGCTTCCCGTCCTTGAAACTGCCTTCAGGAAACGTCCGTATCTGACCGTTACCAACGTGCTCTAGTGGAAGAGGTGTATAGTTTCTCACCACCATGATTTCAGGCTGCTTGATTTCAATAGACCATAGTTTGCCGGAGCTCATCGCCTTCCACCAGTCGATCTTCTGAGGCCTTGCTGGGGTCAATTCAAGCATAAAATGTTCCGAATCTATCTCATCATTGTAGGTTATTTTATATGGAATGAAATGGTCAGGCGATAGTTCATTGCTGTGCCTTTTTTCGTTGAAGTAGTAGTAAGCTAGAATTGAAGTTGTGATAGCAGAACCGCTAGCAGCCCATTTAAAGTTGCGAGATTTGGATGAAATGCGCAACAAACGTGTATTAATGGAGATGCGATGCGGTAAACCGTTAATCCTCATATAAATACTAGATATTTGTCTTCTATTCTTATGAAGGCCTGTATTATCATCGAGCTCATCGAATTAATACTCATCAAGAATAAAATTCAGATCCCATCGATTGTTTCGGTGCCATCGCCACAACCCATCGTCACAACCCATCTTTAAACTGAGGATGTCCTTGACACTACTGAAATCACTTTTACTTCATAAGGATAAGCTTTGGTCTATTGACTGCGCAAAAGGATTAGCAGCAACAGCTTCCTCTGACCGTAAGATCAAGCTCGTGAATCTAAGAAACTTGGACTTCAAGGAAGTTGAAGAGCTCGATGATAATACGCATAAAAAATCGGTGAGATCGGTTGCGTTCAGACCGCACTCTTCCATCCTCGCTGCTGGATCTTTTGATTCTACGATTTCCATATGGGGCAGGGAAGACAGCAACGACCTACAAGATAGTCAAGAAACAGAACTTTTGGCTATCATTGAAGGACACGAAAACGAGGTGAAATCGGTTGCGTGGTCTCCGTCTGGAGAGTTTCTGGCTAGTTGCTCGAGGGATAAGAGCGTTTGGATTTGGGAAGCAGACGAGTTGGGTGAGGAATTCGAATGCTTGAGTGTATTGCAGGAGCACAGCCAAGACGTCAAACACGTAACGTGGCATCCTCAAATCAATTTGCTGGCTTCTAGCTCCTATGACGATACCGTGAGACTTTGGAAAGAGGAAGAAGACGATTGGGAGTGTGCTGCAGTACTCACTGGTCATGAGGGCACCGTTTGGTGCTCAGATTTCGAAAACTCTGATGCGCCTTTAAGAATAGTGACCTGTAGCGACGACTCAACGGTACGTGTGTGGAAACATGTGGAAGACAGCGAAGACGGTGAAGACGTCTGGGTTCAAGAATCCATCTTACCTCAGATGCACACTAGAGCGGTTTACAGTGTCAGTTGGAGCCCGGACGGTTACATCGCCAGTACAGGTTCCGATGGGGTCTTGGCAATCTACAAAGAATCAGAACAAGGCAAATGGGAAGTGGTTGCCCAACATTCTGAGGCACATCGTGTTTTCGAAGTGAACGTCGTGAAATGGACAAAAATTAACGGAGAGCACATCTTACTATCGGGAGCAGATGATGGGAGTGTCAACGTCTGGAAGTTTTCTGCATGAAGACCGCTTAAAAAATGTATACTCGCCGTTATACTGTACAAAATAAAAACATGGACCCAAACATCAGCTACCGCTAGCTTAAAACAACCAAGATAAACATAATCAAAAGAAAGGAAAAGACTGCCAAAATCATCAGACACCTTTTGCTTGAGCCTCGCTGATAATTCATAGCTTTTGTCAATTCACGGGCCCCAGACCGGGCGCTATCGGCAACAGAGTAGATGTTGCTTTCAATATTGTCCACAAGATGGCCCTGCTGCTGCACGATGTTACCCAAATCATGGAAAATTTGGTTCAACTCACTAACACCGCTTTCGATGTGCGAGATTTCCCGATCTCGTTCTTGTATTAGCTGTTGCTGGTAAGCAAATTCCTCGTTATTTAACGCTTCTCGTTCTATCACCACCATGTGCTGTTGCGATTGAGACTGCTGCGATGTTTCTTCGTTGGTCTCTTGACCTTCCTGGCCGCTCCCAATTGTTTTCCGAGCTTCTTCTTCTTCTTGGCTCAGGGCCACCTTAGCTTCGTCATTCATGGCTTTGGAGACGGTTGTAAACTCTTTACGTGCATCCTGAAATTCTTGGACTGAGTATCGGATGTCACGGATTAGTTTATCCCTCGAAATAACCTGCGACTTATCCAATGCTGTTTCCTCAATTGAGCTGATCTTTTGAGCTAAGCCATTGACTACTTTAACGAGCTTGGTGATTTCGTCTATGTGGAAAACTGACTTTTTGTCAAGATTCGCAATCATTTTGGACTTAACGTTGCCCTGTTCCTGGTTCCTTTCCAGCGTCTTTATGAACTGCTGTAGCGTGCTCAGATGCCCATTCATCTCGAATAAGTTACTTAATAGTGGTTCGACGATACTCTCAAATTCTGGGTTATCAGAATACCGCGGTGTGTCTTCAAAGTCTTCATCAATCCCAAGCATATTTTAAAATGTTCAGCTAGCCTGATAGCTAATCTCACTAGGTTTATGATCGTGCTGGATTGGGAACTCTCCTAACTACTCTTTCATTCACTCAGCCGTTAGGAATCTAACCCATTAAAATAACAGTGAGGGCCGTTTTCCGTCGTAAATGACTAGAGTGTCGTTGGCAACAGTCAATGACAGAACAGTTGTCGGCTAGCGTTAGGATAGCCCGTTGTCACCAGTTGCTATCAATTGTTACCAGTTCTTTGAATTGATGTCTTTTTTGGAGTTCCTAAGTTCACGACGGAAATGTAACGTCTGCAAAGTCGTTGCGGTCGCTAGTGAAATTTGGTTGTCCAGTGATGACAGCGAATCATCTCGTGTGGTGATTATGAACTCAATACCTTCTTACGCGATTGTAATTTGAATTAGAGCAGCAAGCGATGCTCAATTTTGAGACAAAATTCTGAGAACACCAAAAATGTCGTTCCATCATTCAAATCAAAGAATATTTCGGCTACTGATTTTTCTTCTGTTCTGCAACTTTTTGGCGTAGTCGAGTATGGCCTTTGGTTCTGTTCCAAAGTATCAGCTGAGCAACTGCATACGTTAGCGAAGAGATTATAATCATTTTTATGGTTGTGCCGTGCTGCTTTAGAAAAGCGGGATCAACAAGGCTGAGACGAGAATCAACCATTCCGGTGAACCTGGGATGGGGCGTATTCAGTTCATGCTTTTTCTGTACGGTGTGTTTGTTTTTCTCGATATCGGTCTTCTTCTGAGGATCTTCGAAGATGTCAGAAAAAATACGGGTTGGTGACTCAGTTTCTTCAGTGTTTCCTGTCCGCGAAGTCAGAACAATTTTGGTGTCCGACGAGGGTATTTGCCCCAGTACATGTTTAATGGTTCGATCGCAGTAGGCAAAAAATCCTGCCCTATTTCCAGCCGGTGCTTGTTCAAATTCAATGCGAACAGTTCTGGGACGCCAATCTATGTAGCGTTCGAATGCATCGATGTGATCGCTCCACAGCTCAATACGGTCTGTAATATCCCATTCTTCCTCTGTGTAAGAGACTAATTTGTCGAAAACTTCTTCCCATTCTTGCTCTATCTCCAGATTTTCAAACCTAAGGGCTGTAGAGCTTGTTTCCAGGTATTTCTCAATTGTTTTCAGCTGCTCTCGGTGGTCACTGAAATCCGAAGCCCGTAGTCCAGGTATGTTTATGAACAAGTAGGCATCAGAGCGACTTCCTGAGATGAACTTCTCTGCGATTTCGAGAAAGAGTTCCTGTGGCAGCACATTAGCACTGTCATAATCTTCTTGGTACTTCAAGAGCCCGGACGTTCTAAGTTCAAATCATGTTAGTTGGCAAATACTCAATCTGCTAAGAACAATATTGAGAACATACAATTGATGGCTGGAAAGCACAGCTGGAACAGACTCTTGCAATGACGAAGAGATCAACGTCCCCAGAAACGCAAGGTTGCGTAACGTAAAGAGTCTCATAACTTGTCTATTGAAATAGAGATGTTAACTACCGATATTGATATAAAAGTTGTTTTGGCGGTATTGACGATGATGATATTAGACATGTAGAACTTGACATGGGCCATGATGACAGGCCTAAAATATATAAAAACTTAAGTCAAGAACAGGTCAAAGCATCGAAAGAAGACTTTCGATGAAATTCTGTCGATTGATCAATGGTCAGTTGTTTGGAAGATCAGTTGAGTTTTTGTATCTAACTATGACGTTAATGGACGCGAGGGCTCAGTTATTTGAATTGAATCCCGTCTATCTCTCCACCATCTGTATGGAAACGCGACAGCTATAACGAGATCCGCCTGCGGACCTCGAAAACTGCAATGGAAGAGAGGAAGAAAGCCTTGTCAGATGACTAGATGGTCACCACAGCACTACAGAATATGCCATAAACACTGAACCGCCGAATTAATATTCGTGACATCACACGCCATACCACATTCCCACCATGCGAGAAAATTTGTAGGCCGTATTTCTGTAGGGAGTGACCTATTAGATTTTGCCCTTAAAACTATTAAATTTAAGCGTCTTATTCGATGGCGTTGGTCTTGACGTGAAGTTTCGGGAACGTTTCTCTTCCTTCCCATACACTAAATCAATGCATCATTGCACCAAGATTCCTGCGCAAAAGATCTTAATTTGTTTATCTCAAGATCCTGCATTCTTCTGCATTTTGAAAGAACTCAATGAATTCACGAGCTCTTCTGCAAAAGCCGACGTTACGTCAATTTCTTCCTCCATTAAGTCATCGGTAACCAAATCTTCAAGCCCTTCAACCGTGTTAACCGTGTCAATTGTATTTTCGTTTGCTTCTTCCAAAAAGGAAGTGTCCGTATTTTCCGGTAGCTCCCAGCCATATTCAACCGCTCGCTTGATTAGTAGCTTATGCGAAATGGGGAAACCTGTAGACGTCAACTTTATGTACCATGAATGTGCATCGTCAACTTGTCCGGCTCGCAGATGATAAAAGACCATTGCACATATGGTCTTAAAGTCCAACTTCAAGTGGTTTCGATCCATTAACACAAATAGCGATGAAAGTTCTGTTTTGGTTATGGTGTTGTTTTGGTACATGGCCAAACCAAAAGGCGAGCCTCTTGTGCAGGATATATGCGGCTCAGTTTTGAAAAAGTCCTCAAGTATCTGGTATGCCAATCGGTCCTCTTTTAGAGAAAAACGGAGGTGGTATATCAACACGTTTAGAATACCACAGTCAGGGTATATGAAGTATTGCGGAGTCTGTTCGAAAGTTCTTTTGTAGTGCTGATAAAGAGTAATAATGAGTTGTTTGAATTCCATAGAGCTCGTTGTATTTTGCATAAAGTGCAATGTTACGCGATAGAGTTCTGTCATCACAACAGCGTTGGGAATGAGGTTCTTCGTGAGAAAGTGGGAGACCTCTGATTTTTGTACCATTAAACTCTTTGCGTCTGCTTCTAATTGAGATGGCTGAAGTTGGTGTATTGAACCGTGGTGCAGAAGCCCCCAAAGTCCTAGCTCATTTAGTAATTTTATGGTGCCAGGATTACGGTAAACCGTAGCTACATAGCTCAGCGTCATTTTTGGATCATTAAAACTTCGCAGCGTCGAGACCAACTCACCGATAAGACTCTGCTTGAATTTGAAACTTGACTGTAGACTTAATTCCTGTGCTAAGGATATGAGTTTGAGTGCCTGTGAAGGTTTGTTGAGTTTTCGTAACCATGAGATGGCTAAGAGGAATGGCTTATGCAGTAATCTGATATCAAGGTTCTGACTCTGAATAAGTCCCAAGATAAGTTTAAAAGTACTTTGAAACATGTCGAAGTTGCCAGACTCTTTGAGATATTTTGATAACGTATTCGTGAATTTCACAAAAAAAGCAACGCGTTTTTCCTGTGTAAGTCCAGGATTGTTCAGTTCCCATGATTCCAATCGATCTAAGAGCGCGGTGAAATACACCTTTGTATGCCTTAAGTCTTTTTTTGACAGCACAGCATCTGTGATCATGTTGATTTGAGCAAAAGTGTATAGTGTTGTGAGCCTTTTTTGATATTCGCTATGATGAAGCGGGCTGTTCAGGAATATTTGAAATGATGCTAACTGCTGTTCAATTTGTGACCCTTTGAGTAGCCTAACCAAAAAGCGATGAGCTGGACGGGACCCTAGAAGCACATTATTTTCGATCAAAAAATGAAAATGTTTAAAGGTTTCAGACCTATCTAGATGGGCCCAAAACCATTCATGAAAACAGCCGGGTGCCAGTATTCCGTTTTCGCGGGCCAATTGTGGATACAAAGAACCCTGGAGTTCCACCAAAGTGTACAACTGAGACTTTTTCTGTTCCACAGATGCTTCACTGTCAAGAACGGCATGAATACTGGCCACAAATGCCTTGTATTGTCGTGGCCCAGCGCTTTGGAAGAAAATCATCTGAACTATATCTGATTGTAGGACGTTTGCGAGTCTCATTTCTGCGACAAATTTCTTATAGTCTCTCTGTAAATGTCTTTCAAGCTTATTTTTCAGCGTTTTTAGCCCATCGACCTCTCTTTTCGCCAGCTGAGAGTTCACATACGTGACTACATCTCTAGGTTGGTGTTGTGTCAGATCAAAATGAAAGTCTCGAGGGCCAATCCATCTCCACGAATTTATACGACGAAATCGCACCACAGTACTACCATGTCTAGAAAGCATGGATTTGATAACAAGTTGACCAGTTTCAGCTGGATGCTAAGAATCGGCAAGCTTGTTGGATCGAGCTCATCTCACACATGATTGACATTTATTGATATCGAAAGATCGATGAGATAGGTCATTTAGTACGAAATTAAAGATCCTTCAAAAAGCCGTATGACGACCTCTCCTTTCAAGTGTCATGATGTGCATACGTAGTTCAGAACGTTTAAGTATTTTGGTGATGGATGTTAAGCTTTTGGATATTCAAAGAGGCATCTTAAGAACATCTTGAAAGTGTGAAGAAAAATAGGTACAAATGACTGAGATAAAGGAGGATTCCATCCTTTGAAATTCACCAGAGGACCTCACATTCCATAAGAGAGCGTCTAGGCTCTACTTAACAAACAATTGTCAAGCTCAGTGGCCTATTTACCAACTTTAAATTTGACAGGTGACGCGAGTACTTTTGTACTCATTATCTCTTTCCAGTGAGTACTCTTAATTTCAACCTACCATTCCAGATCTTGTATGAAAGAAAATCGTTGAAGCGGTAGCAGCAGAACAAAGAGACTTGCAGCCACTCCAAGCTGCCTGCTACTCTATTTATCTCCTCATATATGGCGATGAATGGTACGCAAAACTCGAGCGGCCAAAACAGGCCGTCTGTTACCCAACTTTTCAAGCGAACAGAGGTCATAGGACGAGGCAAGTTTGGAATAGTCTACAAAGGTTACCACATCAAGACTCGACAAGTATGCGCTATGAAGGTTCTTAACTTGGATTCTGCTGATGACGAGGTTGAAGATGTGCAGAAAGAAATCCAGTTTCTGTCGTCGTTAAAAAATGTACCAAACATCACGCATTACTACGGCTCTTATTTGAATGACACCAAATTGTGGGTTATCATGGAGTTTTGTGCCGGTGGGTCCTTGAGAACGCTGCTGCGACCCGGGAAAATCGGTGAGCAATACATTGGGGTTATTATGCGCGAGATTTTGACGGCCTTAGTACATATCCACCGCGACGGTGTGATACATCGAGACATCAAGGCCGCCAACGTACTGATCACCAATGATGGTCATGTCAAACTGTGTGATTTTGGCGTTGCGGCTCAACTCTCGCAAACCAAGATTAGGCGGCAAACCATGGCAGGCACCCCATATTGGATGGCTCCAGAGGTTATCATGGAGGGTGTGTATTACGACACGAAAGTGGACATTTGGTCGCTTGGGATCACAATTTATGAAATAGCGACCGGAAATCCGCCGTACTGTGATGTGGAAGCGCTACGAGCAATGCAACTCATCACCAAGTCCAAGCCTCCACGGTTGGAAGGACGTCAGCATTCTACAGCCCTGAAGGAAATCATTGCATTATGTCTAGACGAGGATCCAAAGGAAAGATCTTCTGCGGAAGAACTTCTGAAAACAAAGTTTATACGGCTCAACAAAAACATGCCAGTATCGATACTAAAGGAGCTCATAAGTCGGTATTTGCTACACAGAGAGCAGCAGCCACATCGCGAATCCACATCCATGACTCTCGATAGTGGAAACTCCATTAAAGTGGATGCATCGCCCTCTGAACATGATCTGAATATGAAATGGGATTTCGATTCTTTGAACTCCAACGAGTACATTATGGAGAATGATATTAATGTAGACGCAATTTCCGAAGAGTCGTCACCTAACGAACAATTCAATTATGCATATCCAGAGGACGACCTCCTTTATCAATCCAATAAAAGGTACTTTCACAACACAACTATTGGCAAAGCGACGCCGAACGTTACAACAAACAACTTTACCCTCCAGGCAACTAATAATAACAACAACAATACAACTTACCAAAACAACACAAATACAAGATACCAGAGCAAGCAAAGCTGGGCGAATACCGCTAAAAAGTCGGAGACGAAGGCATCAAAAGCTCTACTGCAACTATTTGAGGACAATGGGGACAGCACAGCAGACACTGAATATCAAAGAACCGGAGCGGCAGTGTCTGGTAACTCCCAGGACGAAGCGCTCCGAATAAACACCCAATTGACTGAACGTCCCTCGCATCCCGACGCTTTCAAATCACCCATTTACCAAAGCCAGAGCACGCCTGCGCTGCCTATGTTACAAACAACATTCAGCCAACCTGTCGTCATGGGGCATCAAAGCGCGACGGCCTTACCTACTCCAATTGAAATCGAAATTCCCGAAGAGCTGCCTTCGAGCCAAGAGGGTGCTGGTACGTCAGTGACGAAACCTAGGTCCTCTACGGTCTCGGCGCCTGTAAACAAACAGGCTTCCGTTCTTCAAAGAAGACCCACCGTTACTGGAAGTGGCTTAGTACGCGATCCATCTGCCGCTGGTTTGAAAGCTGCTCACGATGATAAACATCGTCAAGCCGTTCCTACGACCAATCCTGGCGTGAATAAGTCCATCATCAGGAGTGCATCTCCTTCAAAATCGATGACTGGATCACCTGGAAAACCCGCAGCTACCAATTCAACGGCGAGTACCACGCCGCTAGCAATGAAGCCTGCTGCAACTGATAAATCAGACGTGCTATTAAAGCCCTTGAACGGCGATGAGACCGAGAGCGGACGTACAAGAATCAATCGTGACTTTAAACGTCGTAATCCGAATCTAAAATTACAAATGCCTTCCCCTACCTCAGCACTTCCAAACGCATTGCTGGATTCTTCCGCATCCGCGCACCTGAATTTCGATGATGCCAATATCAATCAATTTGGATTCAATACGAGCTCAGCGCTGCCGGTGGCTATGACGCCTGTAGTCGAAAGAGGTAATGATCTTCTGAATAAACGGAAAGTGAGCACTGCCGCTAGTACTGGGTCTAGCAGCAGGAATAACAGCATAACACAAGAGCATTCTACAAGCACACCCGCACAGGGGCTGCCCACCGCAGCTGCTCCTGGAGGGTTAAGCGTCAGCACCTTATCAAGTGCCGTGCCCGCTGCGATGTCCCATCCCGGCATCAATGCCATTGCCCCTGGTTCCAATGCCAGCGGGACCTCTACGAACGCCTGCCCGCTGATGGAGAAGCCGCCAAAGTTTCTCCAGATGGACATGTTTGTTGACTATCCTTCAGATGAACTTGCCGGCGACGTTTCCAATGACCAAGAACATGATCGCAAGTTTCTGGTTTTGCGAGAGCTGGACTCTCTGCTAAAAACTTTCGAGGACGGACTCCCTGCAATGGAGTTTGCTCTCAAAGAAGTCCTGAACAAGACAGAAGGATGAAGCTGAGTGTGGTTACGTTGCTGTGCGATGTGCCATCAAAAAATAAAACTTTATCGCGAATATTAACAGGAGCTATCATCCAGTGCAATGATCTCAATATCGACCACTGTGAAACATCTCCCAGCTGACCATCCACGATTTCAAGCTTACAAGAGCTCTCCTGCTTGTTGATGTCGGCGTCCCATCACCCAAACCATCGTCCTGTACGAAGGGCTCTAGTTTCCAATAATTACATTCTTTCATCAGCATTTAGTACCGTCAAGAAACGAACACCGTACTGGCAACGAGTACTCACAAGAACCAGAGCTTTAGCGAGTTCTTGAGAGTTCTAATATCTACGAAGTTTTACATAAGAACGAAAAATATCGCTTAATTGCGTATATCTTTTGTTTTCCTAGGTCTAAAAATAAGGTACCAAAACTTGTGGGAACTTTCCACTCATTTCAACCAACCTTACGCTCGCTTTGATTCTTTAGTATTTTACTTCGAACAACTCTTCTCACATGAGTTCAAGCGGACAAAATGGTGGCCCGCTCGAGACACTTGAAGAGGAGGCAACAGCTTTGAGTAAAATGGGATCGCCAAGAGCCATTGGCTCACACCAACACCAACCACAACAGCAACCGCAACAACAGGGACCAAAATCGCGGAGTAAGAAAACGGTGTATCCAGAACCTTCATTCGCGATGGGTAGTGGTAACGGTGCTGTAAATAGCAAGACTATTGGATTGGGTATATCTCGAAGGCCTAGTGATAATGTGTTGATGAGTTTGGCTCAAGAACAGCAGGAACAACAGGAACAGCAACAACAACAACAACAAAAACAAAAACAAAAACAACAACAGCAGCAGCAACAACAACAAGCAATGTCTCCACCACCGTCACGCAAAAAACTGATTTCAAACCACGAACGCCCGTTGTCAAATGACTCTATTGTAACGCAGAACTCGAATTTATTCTCTTCTAATGCAAGCTCTACAGCTTGGTCATCTAACGATAGCTCCAGAGGGTCCTCCATTATTGGCGAACTTTCGGTCGAAAACGTCAAACGGATCAGCGAAGAAGTGTCCTTCACAGAAACCGATGGGGAGTCCACCATCGACCTGACTTCAACTGGAGGCTCCGAATATTCAGCATCCACCCAGCAAAATCTCCCACAAACTCGCCAGTCACAAGCTCAAAACCAAACGCCACCGAAGAATAGGTATGTCTTTACCAATGCCTCTATGGCTCGAACTCAGGCTTCTTTCTCTTCTAGCCATCCATCTCCTCTAAAAAACGACTTCAGCCGAAATTCCGTTCCCAATAAGCTGTATTCGAAATCCACATCTGCTTTGGCCCAACATCAGCAAAAGTCCACACACGGCAATCAACAGTCGGCTTTGACACCATCGCAGAGATATCGTCTGCGCAAGGAGCAAAACAAAACAGCGTTGCAGAATTCCATCAAACAAAAGGAGAAATATTATGACGAGCAAGAAACTTTACCTTCAAGTCCTTATGCAAACGACACAGATGTTGGTGCTGATTTCATTTGGAATATTCCCGTTGCATCCAATAGTACCAATTCCTTTTTGATGTCATTGCCACATCCGCCTATGAAGAAGGGTCGTTCCAAACGTTCGCTGGGGTTCTCTCGTTCATCATCGCAAACCTCAGGACTTTCTGACTCATCTGGACAGTATCTTGATTACAACGAAATGCCACCACTACCGATTCAAGGACTCGACGATAGATCAGACTTCCAAGGCTTTCAGCAAACGTCCGAAGCTCTTTCATCCATTTATCAACATTCTTCCAATAAACTGATGCAAAGTAGACTTTGGGAGCGCACAAACTCAATGGAAACACTTCCGATGCAGTTTAAAGTGGCAAGTGACGAAGGGATGGAGGATCTCCAGCTGGTTTCTGAAGACAAAGTACAACTCTGTAGTCCATCTCGGCCGACATGGTTGCCTCCAAAAGGTGAAGTGGAGCGTAGGAGTCATGAAGAAAAAATTAACAAGACAATGAGTATGGCTTCTCTTGACCAATTGGACCGAAGTCGTGGACGCGAGGAAGCGCTTATACGTGATGAAACCAATCGACAGAAAACTATTCTTCTCATCGACCGGGGACTCACGAGACAATCGTCGTTGTATGACCTGAAAAAAATAATATGGGAGACGCCGTTATCGTCCGACACTCGTGCGGAGGTTTATAACGTATTACTCCAGAGCGAAGAACGGATGATCAGCGAGCTGTATATTGAACCGTTCGACAAGGTTTTAGATATCGTGCAACACATGCATTTTCCAAGAGGCAAGCAACTTGAGATAGAAAAACTGCTTGATACAATACCAGCACCTGGACGCTTACCGCGTTTTGAAGAAGTTGTTCTTCTCTTGAAGATGAAGTCCATTTCAAGCCGGGGCCTACTCCCGGGCGATCAATTACTATTCTTTCACCTGCTGCATGAAAACGCGGGGCTCGATCTGAAGAAAGTTTGGGAACTAGTCAATTTAATACAAATGACTTGTTTCAACGACGTTACCACCTCAAAGCTGGACGTACGTACCGTGAGCACTCGTGGTGTCATTGCCAGCTACATCGCGAATAGTGCGGACTTTAAAAACGAGTTCAACTCCGAGTGCCTCAACATTACAACTTGGTGGAATATTTTGCTGCGTATGGAACATGACTTATTTATGTGGTGCTTGGATATCATTATTGTTCACAACAGTCAATGTTATAAAAATCGACCTGTGGTGCGACAAAAAGTTGCAGACAAGACTTGGGATGTTTACAAAGCTCAACACGTTGTTGTGAATTACAAAATTCTCGCATCTCTTATGCTGAACGTGCTTCTGAACTACCATTTTGGATTTAATGACCTGCGGTCGCTAGGTGAGATGACAGACAAGGAATACCGGATCCCATCCATCGCACAGGAATCGATTGATAGTGGACTGGATTACGAGATGTTCATTAAAAAGTGGCGTCATTACAACAAGAAATTTTAGGCAATTCACCATTTATCTGCCCTTACCAAGTCACCTGCATATTCCTTCGATTCTCGGCGCGTTTTCACGGATATAGACCATGGCCTAATAGCACTATAAGAAAGCCATTTTAGGCCCTGTATAATAGTAGTATTGATTACATTTACGTCTTACGAATGGATTGCCAGCTTTTCCTTCTTAGAGATGATGTTTTATCCTCCGGTATAGGTTAACGCTATCTTCAATATTAATGAAATCACATATTTATCGAGATATCGGTAATCAGTCGATCAAGAAACAAACAAATCCTCTACAAAAACAGGTTCCAGACCTTAAATGTCGTGTTCTCAGAGTGCGCTAGCTCAAGTTTCAATTGCCGCAGGTTATGTTTCGTTTCTGACGTCCTTTATAGCTCAAATTCCCCAAGTGCTTGAGACATATGTGGATAAAACTGTAGAGGGACTTTCACCTCTTTTTCTGCTTGCATGGCTGGTAGGAGACATCACGTCGCTTGGTGGAGCGATTTTAACAGATCAGCTACCCTTCCAGATCATCCTAGCCATTTATTTTCTGATTAACGATGTCTTTATTTGCGGTCAGTATTACTACTACGGAGTTCTGCATGAGAATAAGCTGGCCACACCAGGTCATGAACGAATGGAAACCGAAGAAAGAATAACGTTGGTGAGAAGCAGAAGCTCAGATAGGCATATTGAACCCAACCTGAACCAAAGATCGTGGCTAGCAGGCTTATTGTGCTTAAGTACGGGCGTTAGAGGCATGGCTTTGGGGGAAAGTTTCCGTGTTACCAGCGCCAACTCTACCGCTGCATCTCAAGCTGGTGAAGTTTTGGCGTGGGCTGGTGCACTGTGCTACGTGGGGGCCAGAATTCCCCAGTTGTATAAAAACTACCAGCGGAAATCTACCGATGGACTTTCTCCCTTCCTCTTTATCAACACACTACTTGCCAACACTACTTACAATGTGAGCATCTTCACGAGTTGCAAGTTCCTGGAGGAGACGAACAAATGGGAGTTTGTGATGAACGAGCTGCCCTTCATAGTCGGAAGTGCGGGGACCGTGTTGTTCGATTTTGCTTATTTTTACCAGCATTATGTGTTGTATGCCGAAGATATGCGTTTAAGAAGGCTAGAGACGCATCTAAGCAACGACGAAACAACACCGTTGTTGTAAAAAGGAGCATAACAGCTTGTGCTCTTTCGAAGAATAATTAGGAGAGTGGAAAAAGATAGACAAAAAAACGGCGGCGTTTGCGCGGAGAGGGATAAATTTTTGTCAACAGAAGAAAGGAAACGATATGAATCTATTGGGACAGGCGTGCTCCTTAAGCGAGTGCTCTTTTCATGCACCGGAATAGTGAATTTCCCTAAACATCTGACAAAAAACTTTCACAAATATGATAGAGGACAGGCAGGGAATTTGTGAGGCTTTTGAGAAGATAGTGAAACTAGCAAGCCTTGTTCGATGTTTCCTATGCTTCTTAGAGTATACTGACACTCCCATGTTATCATTCTATCATTAATCGTCCTGTACGTAATACCATGTAACACATGACTGTCACGTGCAAAGGTAGAAGTATTTTAATGTAACACCGTTTGATCATACTTGGACCCAGTTTAAAGCCTAGCATCAACCACTTGGCTACTTGCTTATCAGCTTTTCCAACAGAATGGTGACTCAAGTAATTTCTTCTAAAATATCACGGTTAATCACATATCATTAAGCACGGGAACTTGGCTGTCGTCGAGAACATGAAAGCTAGTTTTAAAATGCTTATGGAAACAGAGGTAGCTTTGGATTTTGACGCGTTTGCAGCTTAATGGCTTGCGATATGATGGTTATAGACATCGACGATTTGAGAAGTGATTTATGTACCCTTGTACGAAACAGTTTCACTGAGAAATACTGACGTTTTAACTTGTGATTACACTTATAAATCTGTTGTATTCGAAACAGTCAGCAATGGCACACCGCTACCGAGAAGTTGTACCTGCAGGTGCCGTTAAATATTAAGATTCTGGAATCCATACTGAAAGCCACGGTCACGTGACAAATACTTTCCATCATATTTGCACGTATTTGTCTCTTTAAGAAGCCAACATCTGGTATTAATGAACTCGTACAATACCCATCCTATTGATCCTAAGTCTCCATTATCATCTCTGTATTCAGCCTTCCCTTGGTAATGTCTTTCTCTCTTATTGTCTTTTCTCCCTCTTTCACTAAACAATCGTTGTACCGTGTCTCCGGTTCATTAATTTACCATCATAAGGGTTCCCACACTTTATAAAAGGGACAAGAGGTGGTCTTGACATAAACCTCTTCTCCTCCTCTTCTCTCGCCAGACCGTATAATCAAGCACAGAAACTAAAAATCAAGAATATAAAGCGTTATGGTGTACCTTTCGGAGACAGTTAAGCTCAACAATGGGTTAGAAATGCCTTTAGTAGGCCTGGGGCTATGGAAAATCCCTAACGAAGTGTGTGCCTCACAGGTATACGAGGCCATCAAGTTGGGATACCGTCTTTTCGATGGTGCGCAAGACTACGGAAACGAAAAAGAAGTGGGCGAAGGGATCCGGAGAGCGATAGATGAGGGCATTGTAGAAAGAAAGGATCTGTTCGTGGTGTCTAAACTGTGGAATTCCTACCACGATCCCAAGAATGTAAAGCCAGCGCTGCAGAGAACGCTGCAGGACTTGGGACTTGACTATCTGGATTTATTTTACATTCACTTCCCGTTAGCGTTCAAATACGTACCCTTCGAGGAAAAGTACCCACCGGGCTTCTACACGGGCGCCGAGGACGCCAAGAAGGGAGTCATCAGCTTGGAAAAAGTGCCTATCTTGGATACGTATCGCGCATTGGAATCTTTGGTGGAAGAAGGGCTCATCAAGTCAATTGGAATCTCGAATTTCCGTGGTATATTGATTCACGACCTGCTTGCTGGCGCCAAGATCCCTCCTGTGGCCTTGCAGATCGAACACCACCCATATTTGACGCAGGAACAGCTCTTGGAGTACGCTAAACAGGTTGGGATCCAGGTCGTGGCCTACTCGTCTTTCGGACCCCAATCGTTCATCGAACTTGACTCCGAGCTTGCTAAGACCACACCCACGCTTTTTGAGCACCACAAAGTCAATCAGATTGCAAGACGCCACGACGCTACGCCTTCTGAGGTTTTGTTGAGATGGGCCACCCAGAGAGGCATTGCCATCATCCCAAAATCGTCGAATAGGGACAGGCTTTCCACCAATCTCCAAATCAACGAGAGATTTACCCTGACAGACTCCGACTTGGACGAAATATCTTCTCTCAACAAGGACATCCGCTTTAACGACCCATTCACATGGCTCGACAGCAAGTTCCCAGTTTTCTCCTGAATATAAAACGAAAATATGAGGAATAAACTGAGAGGTAGCGCGGTGCTAAGTGGTGATTATTTTGCGGTGTCCCGATGCCGTAGCCGTTATTATATAACCTACTTACTCGAGCGTCACTGAGGTACCCTACAATAGCTGCTCTTACATATCACGATCAACGAAGCTTTGCAACGAATAAACTTTTAATTAGTAGGTTAGTATCGTCTACAACGTACCAACGTCTAATGGTTCAACTACATAGGTGACCAGACAAACGGTCTGTTCGATGTTAGGTGCGCTTTAGAGTCGAGTTTCCAGCTACTGGAGGAAGGTCTGTGCTTGTGGAATGCCGCACGATTTTAAGTTCCTGGCTCCGGAACCCATAAACCTGGCGATTAACGAGCCTACATCTGACGACAGCCTGGTGCCGACCTTGCACTTTCAAAATGTGACAGTGGGGGGCTGTACGATAGTCAATAGCCTAAACAACAAGTTTACAGTATGGCAAGTGGAGCTCACCTTGGCGTCAAATGGTCCTTCAGAACGGGGGAGTCCCAAGATCAATGTCTACAAGAGGTATACAGATTTCGTGGTGTTTCGAGAACGGCTAATCAGAGAGCTCCCGCTTGTTTTGCGGGCTAATGTGCCCGGACTGCCACCAAAAATCTCCTGGTATGACGCTTTGCGCTACGAGGATGCCAATTTTCAGAGCAGCTGGCTAGCACGGCGACGTGCAGGGCTAGAACTGTTTTTAAATCAACTACTACTTAACGACAAGATGTTAGAGGCAGCAGTAGAGCTGGTTAAACGGTTTCTAGAAAAGTAGGTAATATTCGACTAAGCAGTTGTGTATATAGACATTTTGCAAGGGAATAATGTCGCGGATGTGAACGCATGCCATGCCAAGCGCTAGCCGGCTGTACTGCTGCTATTCATTCATTATATATATATTGTTATTATTATTATCCTCATGAAAAAGCAGATGACAGGCTTGTTGCCAAAGTTTCTGGAAACATTGGTAGTTGGAAACAAACAGGAAACAAACGGGAAACGTTTGAAAGTCACGTTTCGTTTTGAAGCTTCTGTTTCCCGTTTGTTTCCAGTTTGTTTCCCACTACCAGTGTTTCCGAATTCCTATTGCGTTCATTTGCCACCGGCCAGAGACGGACTGGATTTGCGGGTGTGTGGGTGTTGAAACTACGCACTGTTTGTCTCATGCGGGCTGCGAGTGACAGACGTGTTTGGCAGGCTTCTAGATGGAACATTTGACATTTCGCAATGGGTGCGAAAATACAATAACAACACACATTACCGTGGTCGTCGTGGGTGGCAGTGTGTTCAACGAACATACTTGTCACTTTAAATCGCATTGACGTCTGTCACTCTGTCACGTGACCCAAAACACCGCCGTTGACGACCTTTTGGATTCTACTCTAGAGTCTGTGCACAACCAAATTTTCTTACGTCCAGTTTTTACACGGCCCAATTCATGTTTTCCTAACATCGAAAGGGCTCAGAGATCAATCTTTTCTCTTTTTACTCTTCACTTTCACACGAATCGCGCACTTAGAATGCTACCAAAATGCAGAGACAATCAGACTTAGCCCTTTTAAAAAAACCACAACTGGAAACCCGTTTTCTACACTCGAATATCCTTTCCCTGTTGTGTTATTTCGACTGGCGAGACCGCTTTAACATATGTAAGACAGTATATGTCATTAGTAGTAATCGCTAGCTGTATAATAGGGTCTGGCCAAAGAAAAATCAAAGAAGGTGTCACGTGGTGAGGTCAAATATCAATCACTAGTAATGAAGCATTCAGAAAAGAGTCTTACTAAAATACATAGTGCTCGCTCATCAGATCCCCAACAACATATATCACAATTCTCTCTGTTCTTCATTGGCGATCCTGTACGGTTGCGACACAGACGTATAACATGATGTGTAGTTTACTAAATCCTTGGTTCGCACTCCTCTACTGCTAGAACTTGCACCACACCAACCTCGCTACCAAAATTTTGTTATCGCTCTCATCTACTACCTACACATTCCCTGGCTTTAGTCTTGCTTCGTGGGCCAGCCATTACCAAGCGTCACACCCGTACCATGCGATGTTCTCGCTCATTGTATGGATCCGGACCCAAAGGGCCTAGCTCTTCGATTTGTAAAGGTCTCTTAGAAATCTCGAAAACGAGAACACCTATGACAGATACGTATAAATACGCAGGTAAATTTATGCTCGAGAACTTGAGAAAAGTTAAAGGTTTCTTAGCTCTTCTTTATGATCAATAGCAGAAGCTTCAAAGATCTTCAAAGGCTTAAAAACATCCACATTTCTTCACCCTACAGAATGGTTCATCACAGAGTTACTATCATTGGTTCCGGTCCAGCAGCTCACACAGCAGCGATCTACCTTGCCAGAGCAGAAATCAAGCCTACGTTGTACGAAGGTATGTTTGCCAACGGTGTCGCTGCCGGAGGACAGCTCACTACCACCACGGACATCGAGAATTTCCCAGGTTTCCCAGAAGGCTTGTCTGGTACCGATCTCATGGAACGTATGAAACAACAGTCTGAAAGATTTGGCACCGAAGTCATCACCGAAACCGTCGCCAAAGTGGACACCAGCTCCAGACCCTTCAAGCTGTGGACCGAGTTCAACGAGGACGCGGAGCCACACACCACCGATGCGCTCATTTTGGCCACCGGAGCGTCAGCCAAGCGCATGAACTTGCCAGGGGAGGAAACCTACTGGCAACAAGGTATCTCGGCTTGTGCGGTCTGTGACGGTGCCGTGCCATTGTTCAGAAACAAGCCACTTGCCGTTATCGGTGGTGGAGACTCAGCTTGCGAAGAAGCTGCGTTTTTGACCAAGTATGGCTCTAAGGTGTTCCTGCTCGTACGTAAGGACCATCTACGTGCCTCGACCATCATGCAAAGACGTGCCGAGAACAATGAGAAGATCGAAATCCTGTACAACACCGAGGCCCGTGAGGCCAAGGGTGACGGCAAATTCTTGAATGCCCTCAGAATCTTCAACAACAAGACCAACCAGGAATCAGACCTCCCAGTCAACGGGTTGTTTTACGCCATTGGTCACACCCCAGCTACTTCGATCTTGGCTGGTCAAATTGACCTCCACGACACCGGCTACGTTAAGACTGTTCCAGGCACCGCTCTCACATCTGTGCCCGGTGTCTTTGCCGCCGGTGACGTTCAGGACTCCAGATACAGACAAGCCGTCACTTCTGCCGGTTCCGGTTGTATGGCTGCTTTGGACGCCGAAAAATTCTTGGCCGAACAGGAGTAAGTATGTGGTTTACCACCACGAAACATTGTACAGATATAATTACGAAACAGAAAACCAATTTTTGATAGATTTGGGAGGTGTTTTCTTTTGGCAGCTCTACTCTATACACAAGATCTCTAATTCTTTAAATCTTCCAGCAGTAATAAAGGATTCTTGACCGCGCTATACATTTTGATTTTGGTAATTTTTACTTAAACCCGTACCGGTACGTCCTGTTCAATGCCGTTTCAATTGCAAAGATCTCACTTGTTCTTCCAATTTCTTCACCTTTGTCTGCACATCTTCCAGATCGCCGTTCAATCTGATTCTCTCATTCACGATGTTTTGTTCCCATTGTCTAAACCTTTGCTCCTCTGCCTTGACTTGGTCGGTGAAATATTTCTTTAAGGCATTTTCCTCTTCTTTGAATTGTGGATTGTGTGACAGCTTTCTTGCAGGTGCACGCACTGGCACAGACTGGTCATCAGTAGCACCAGAACCTTCCAGGCGTAGCTTCCTGTATGCTTCGTAATGGAGTTCTTCCGTGGAAAGTATCAAATCTAGCAAGTTTGTTCTCAACAACAAACTTCTCAGTTTGCGGAAATCACAGTGATTGTCATTCTCGACTTCAACAATCCCCCATGGGTATTTTCTTGCCGGGACCAAAGTTCCTTGGCCATTGTCAAACTTGGTCTCTGAGCCGACTACTGCAAATGGCATCGATTCAATTAGCTGCCGGGCGTGTTCCATGACTGCAGGATCAGGAGATTCTGATTCGTCCAATGGAGGTGTGAAAATGCGGATATCTTGGGCCTCCACCACTTGTCTAATCCGTAGCTTAAATTCTTGCAGTTCTTTGGCAGTCAAAGTATCGGATTTCGCAATCACAGGGATCAAATTGGCACGCGTGGAAATACGCTTCATTGTCTCGATATCGAGCGGTTTGAGACCGTGTCCTGTGGGTCTAATGAAATACAATACCGCGTGAACTCTGAGATCAAATTTCACGTCACGATGTGGTTGTTGTTCCTGACGCATGTAAGAATCATGCTGTTCGTCGATGAAATCCACAATTGTTTGCCACGACTTGTTATTGTTGACGTTATCGCCAAAACCAGGCGTATCGATAACATTGACTCTTAGAGAGAAATTCTTTTCTTCAAGAATGGCACGCAAAACATCGATTTCTACAGTTCTCTTGATAGGCTGGTTGCGACGTTGATGTGGATCCGCATGTTTAAGAGTTGTTTGGAATAATGTGTTGATAAAAGTAGTCTTTCCCAGACCTGATTCACCACACACCATTAACGTGAACGTTCCACCTTGTTCGGACACTATTTTGAAGCGCTGATTGGGCAAGTTGGACACACCAACTATAATGTTTTCAGAGGTCATTGTAGTAGAAGAGGAAATACTCAATTGGCGCAATCTATGTGAATGGAACAAGTATCTTTGATCTATGGCTATTTGTTATTTACATGTATGTATTTTTCAATTAATTCTTTCGAGCCTTAGTTTTAGATCGGCCAAAGCTCGAGAAATGTGATCACGTGTATCATAGACTAGCTATTCGTTTTTGAGCTGTGAGATATACGTAAAAAGAACGACTTGGAATTAGACTGGGTGAATATGTGACTTGTGATAGTCTTATTCGAAGTGGTAGTGGAAAATCCAATCTTAGATTATTGAGGATGTTTCTGATGTTTTACTTCGTACATAGTGACACGTTTTCAAAAACCGAGTCAGATGGAGTACAAAAGTTATCAATATATGTGGGAGGAGTATGGCTAATTTTTCCTTACAAGTGTGAGTGTTTCCAATATTGTGATCTCTGGTTGTCTTCATTTGAGAACGGGATTGTTTTGGAATATTTGATCACGTGACTCACCATACGAAGGAAGAAGCAAGCTGTGGTAAGAATGCGACAGGCATGTAACATGGCTCAAGAAGCTTCATGAGCTCAGATTCATCAAGTAACCCTTCAATGCTGACCAAAAAATAAATTGTAATTGAGAGGAAAATGGGGCCGTTACCAGCACGTGATCTGTATTACAATAGTGACAATGATTGAACAAGCTGATACTTTTGGAGCTGGAGCCCAGTGCAGTCCTTCAGCAGGTCACAATGTGGTTTCAAAGCATCAGTTATCCCGATTTGATCTCCTTACAAGACCCAAAAAGGGGATCACATTGCCATCGGTAAGTGTGTCAGTATGAAAACTCTGTATCATATTCTGAAGCTGCAAAGTGTTCTCAATGAGCCCTTGCGTATCGTTACATCAAGACTTGTACTGACGACGAAAACATTGCTCATCATAATTTGAACTCAGGTTTTTAAGTCGGGCAATCCATCACGTTCCCCACCTCGTTCCTGTATATAAGGGCCATAGTATAACAGAACACTCAACATATTTTATACTCAGTTCAATCATGGATTCTATCAAAACCATTTTAACGCTACTCCGCTCAATCGTACGTCAATGTCTCCCAAGCACTTACCATCTGTCACTTTGTACTATTCTGGCACGGCACCTTCACCATGGAAAGTTAGCATAAACCCTTCTCATGAGCTCCATTCACAAAAGTTTGCCATCTCTATTTGACACGATCTACTAGCCCAACGCCGCTTAGCCCAGTTCATGGACAAAAGGCTCTAAAAGCTTATTGTAATCAAACTGCATTTCACGCACTGGTAAATTAGCCAAATCTTGAATTTAACACATCATATGAGCATCTGTTAAATGTAGAATCAAAAAAACGAAAAACCTAGAACAGCAGTTACTGCGGGCGAAGCGCTCCTTCCACCACTTGTACCGCTGTATTTCGATTATGCCAGATCTTTCACACTATACTAAGCTTCTTTTGAAGTCCCCTCCGCAATTGAGTCCGCAGGATCTTCATGCTGCCATCATTTTAATCATTGAGGAGTTGGCGTCCGATTCCAACAACAGCCTTGAGATTTACGTACCGATTGCCAGTTTTTTGACGAGCCTGAGGACCACAGGTCTCGATCTGAAAGCTGAGTATATCGCACAAGCAGCAGAAGCAGTTTTGCAATATTCCAATGTAGTAAAATTGGCTCCTCCACCAAGTACGTCCAACGTCACTACCATCGATATTGTGGGCACAGGAGGTGACGGCCAAAACACTTTCAACGTTTCTACCTCGTCTGCGATTGTTGCCTCCGGAGTTCCGGGCATTAAAGTGTGCAAACACGGCGGGAAAGCGTCCACATCCAATAGTGGCGCTGGGGATCTGATCGGAGTTCTAGGGTGCGATTCTTCCAAAATAACCAGCCAAACCGTACCGCGGTTATGGGACGACAACTCTTTCCTGTTTCTGCTGGCGCCGTTTTTCCATAATGGCATGAAACATGTGGCTCTGCTGCGCAAACTTCTCAAAATACCCACTATTTTCAACGTTCTGGGACCCATGTTGCATCCTGTTGGCTGCGTTCAGAAGCGGGTTCTAGGCGTATATTCTGAAAGTCTTGGTTTGGAGTACGCTCGTGCTGCGGCCATGGTGTATCCGGAAAGCGAAGCTTTCGTTGTCTGGGGTCATGTGGGTCTTGACGAAGTCTCCCCCATTGGTAAGACTACTGTATGGCACACCAAACCAGGAAATGGAGTGCAAATTGAATCTTTCGAAATAGAACCGTCTATGTTTGGTCTGCAAGAGCATCCACTAAGTGAATGTGCCTCCTTGGGTCCCCAAGAAAACGCTGAAATCCTCAATACAATACTCGACGGCAAGTATAGTAGCGGTGAAAACGCTATCTACGATTACATTTTACTGAATACGGCAGTGCTATATTGCTTGTGCAATGGGCATAAGGACTGGGTTTTGGGCGTGAAGGAGGCTGAAGATGCCATTCATTCCGGTAGAGCCAAAGAATCGCTCCGCAAGTTTGTCTCGGACACCAAAGCTCTTTGAATATCGATCTACTAAGCTCAGCGGTTTTGCAGAAATTTATAGAGAGTGTACTAAATAATCCATCAATAGGACAGTTCTAGCTGACCAAAAAACATAAAAACAAAGCAAAGCTATCCGAGCACAGCAGTGACTGGAGAATTTGAAGTTCATAAGCTCCAGGGTAAGGTATAAAGCATGCGATACTGGTGCCAGTGTTCAGATAGATATATAGATACTTACACAGTTGTAGTAGTCGTACAATGTGATTTTCTATATTACTCGCGTCGTCAGCGTATAATGTTGACAGTTTTACGCGTCGCACAAGAAAGTCCACAACAAATACGGCGATCTAGTCAAGCAGTCCACGGAAGCACAAATGGTGCAATCTCCCAGTACACCATTTGCTGGTGACGGGAAAGCCCAGTTTGAATTCACACCTATAGGCCACGCCAATGGTAAAAGCGTGTCAAGTTCTGGGACTCCTAGTGAGGACCGTAAAAGACGGACATCTCACATAGACGAATCATTGCTGAGTGTAGACAGAATTGATGACGGGTCACGTAAAAGAGCCCGAGCCTCAGATGATACCTTAAACTCTACACGAATATTCAACGAATCTTCTTTTGATGACACGCTGCCCTCTCATGCTGGGATACCTAGTGTCAAAAGATACCAAGGTAATGAGATCCTCGGAGAGGCAAACGGCAATAATGAGAATCTAGGGGCCTCAAATCCTCTTAAAGAACAACAGGACTCTATGTATAAGCTGAATGTGGAGAATTACAACCTCAGAGTGAAATGCAACAGTTTACTGAAGTTTCTGAATAACGTAACAGATGCAGGGGAACTCAAGGAAAATCTAGCCATCATGGACGAACTTAACGATTGGAAATCCAAGTATCAAAAGCTTGCAGCATCGTATAGGGAGCTGCAGCTGAAGTTTGATGACGGTGGGGACTCAGATGAACGGCAACGAGAAACCGCCCTACAAAATGCACAGCTTGCAGAATTGGAGCAGAAATTGAGAAATTACCAAGAGAGCGTCAGCACTTCGAGGGAACACATTTCGCGTCTCGAAAGTAAACTAAAGATTTCCAATCAGGGCTCCAATACGCGAGAAGACGAATTAGAAGTCAAGATTAGACATCTTCGCGAAAAGATAGGTCGTCTAGAAGCTCAAATCGCCGAAAAAAACGATGAAGTCAAAAGCAGAGAAGACACAATCAAGAGTCTTAACAGCGATTTGGAACGGCAAGATACTGCTTGCCAAAATCTACAGAACACGATTGGGCAGCACCTGAAAAAAATTGATGAACTCGAATTGCAAGTCCAAAACACCGAGCAACAGGTTCAAAAGTTGGAACGCGCTTTGGATGCTGCAAGACATGAGCTTCAAATTTCTGCGCAAGGGAAGGAAACGCACGATACGGGCGCACAACTGCAAATTGATAGCCTTCGAAATACGAATTCAAAACTACAAAGTGAGCTAGATCGAGCTCAGTTCGAAACGCGTCAAAGCCAAGCACAAGTAGAAAAGCTATCTTCGAAAGCCAAAGGTGTGGCCATCAACATAACGAGGAAAGATGATCAGATACAAATACTACAGCAAGAGATCAAGCAGCTACAGCACGATCAGGTGTCACATCGCAAAGAAGATGCGCGAGAAAGCGGCTCATTGAATGAAAAAGTGGAAGCCCTCACGGCCGAAGTTAAGCGCATATTACAAGATAAAGAGAGGTTAGAGAGAGACAATGACAGCTTGCGAGGAAGGATAGTGTCGCAGGCAACCAGATCGCCCGCGTTAAGGGAGAATAGAAGAACTCAAGAAAGAGCGCTAGAAAACTCTAAATTGCAAATCAGAATAGAAGAGTTGCAGAATGAACTGAATTTGTCACAAAAAGCTGCTAGTGCTGCCAAGCAAAATCACCGTTTGGAAATCGAGCGGCTTCAAGCTCAGATTGAAAGTTCGGATATGCAGCCGTTTTTGACCAAGACAAAGCTCGAAAAAGAAATAAGTATTCTTAAACTGGAGCTTGAATCCCTACGCGAAACCAAGAGTCGTGAGATTTCGTTATTAGAGAACAGATGTGAAATGTTGATTAAAGAAAACACTCGTATATCACAGCAAGTTGATTCTCAAGTTGGTCTTTCTCAGCGACAAAAAGTGGACAAACAGAAAGAGGTCGATGAGTTAATTCAAAGATGTGGCGAGCTGTCAACTGAAAGGCTGAAACTCAGGAAGGAACTGAGCCAGACACAAGAATCCGAAGCACAGAAAAATGGCGAAATATCAAAACTAACGTCTCGTCTTGAGTATGTGACGAATGAGTTTGTTAGGTATAAAGAACTGCAAGGTTCCAATTCTGACCCAAACACAGGAACGCTAAATGAAAGGTGGTCTGAAAAGTATCGTAACATGAAACGAAAGATCCTGCAGGAGCTAAAGACCTTGCAGACTGAAAACCTTGATCTTGAGAGAAGACTTCTGGAGGGCACTAAGACGGCCCCGCGCTCCGCAAGCCCTGATTTGAATAAACTATCTCTGCAGGATCAAGTCGACTATTACAAATTGCGGTACCGTCACGAAGTTGTGCACAATGGCGATTTGAAAGTCATGAATGAATACTTGAATAGAGTTTTGAGAGCCAGCTCCCGCCACCTACGTCTCGACATAATGAAACTTGAAGACGAAGCTTTATCAGATCTTTCACCGCAGTATCCTAATCGTCATCGTCTGAAGTTTAAAACCGTGGCCTTGATGGTCTTAGCGGCCGTCCGGTTCGAACATGCGGCCCAAAAAGTACGATGGGACGCCCAACGTCTGAATTATCTCCGACAGAAAATCGTGCTGGACCAAGACCGCGTTACTTGGTGATGGGAAGCCGTTCCAGTTCTATCGCCTCTGAAGATCTTTGTGGTCTGCAATGACCTTTTGAAGCCGTGGTTCAAATGACTCTACGATACCATTGAGCTGGTCAAGCATATCAAAATGTGACTCCAGACCGTCACACTGGGCAAGGATTTTTTTCACCTCATTCACGTTTTTGTCGATTACTTGCTCGATGATGCCTTGCTCTATCAAACGATTCTGCTGCTCGCATGTCTCGATTGTTTTCAATTGGATAGACGATACGTAGTCATGAATCTTGTACAACAGGTAATCATAATCCACGCAAAGTCTGTCGATACCGAAGGGATCCCTCTGTTCCTGCGTGGGTTCTGCGTCCCCACTGGTCATAATCCCGGCGATTGAAGTGACGGGGGGAAGGAGAGTTGTTTCAACTTTCTCCACGGTATCTCTGTTATCCTTCATTTCATTTCACCATTGAAATCTATTACAACTGTATTCACGATGACAGCGTGAGCAATAGTGATCTATCTTCAGCACCAATAGCATTCAGAATTGGGAAACGCATCTCACCGGAAGACGTCGTGCGAATTCCATACGATAATCAGAATCTGGTTTGGATTGCAATCAGTGCCCGATGGTGTAAAACCGAAGACCAGCTCAACTCTTTCAGGAAAGCACTGAAAACGTCATTTCACCCTCCGAAAATCGACCCAAATAATTCTGCCGCGAAGAATGGTGATTCATCGATAAAATCGTCCTTTTCGTTCCAGTTCAAATGACTCTATTGTCTGTTTGAAGCATGTTTTTATTTTCCCGTCGTCGGTCTTCAATTCTAACTATTTCACGACTTATAGTGGGTGGTCAATTAAATTCAAAATTTGACCCTATCAATGGTGAACTTGACCAATTGAGAAAATATCAAGAGGACACAACCATAGATAAGTCAGTTCAAGGCATTCTTGTCTGGTGAACTCACATTCCAATATTCACGTGGTAGATTATAGAATTTATAGTTATCGAGTTTTCCACTGCTGTCGAGTTTTTCGCTAGGTTGTATCTAGGGGTAGTAATAGATCGCATTTGAGAAGAAGAAGATCGTGGTAAGATTTGTTTGTTTGCAGTCTAAATCGTGAAATAAAACTATGTCGCAAGGAATCTACTTATCAGACCAGCCTGTGAGAAGACCACAGCCTGCTGGCAACTCACTGGTGAGAAAAATCCAAAGAGCTTGTAGATTGACGCTGGACGAACCGGACCTGGGTTTAAATTTGGATGTGGCCGATTTTATCAATGCCAAGCAAGGTGCAGCCCCCAGGGATGCAGCAATTGCCATTGTGAAACTGATCAACAGTCGCGATACACACACAGCGGTGTTCGCATTGGCACTTTTGGACGTTTTGGTGAAAAACTGTGGGTACCCGTTCCATCTGCAAATATCGCGGAAAGAGTTTTTGAATGAGCTGGTGAAACGATTCCCGGAAAGACCTCCTCTGCGTTTCACCAAAGTGCAGCGTCTGGTGCTCACAGCAATCGAAGAATGGTACCAGACTATCTGCAAGCATGCAGCCTACAAGGAAGATCTAGCGTACATCAGGGATATGCATCGTCTTCTCAAATACAAGGGCTATGTCTTTCCAAAAATCAAAGAAGAGGATCTCTCGGTTCTCAGACCAGGAGACCATCTTAAAACTCCAAGCGAGATTCAAAAAGAACAGGAAATTGCTCAGGCAGCAAAACTCGAAGAACTCATCAGGCGCGGTCGTCCAGAGGATTTGAAAGAAGCCAACAAGCTCATGAAAGTTATGGCCGGTTTTAAGGAAGACAATGCCATCAAGTCCAAACAGCTTATCAATGATGAACTTTTCAAGTTGAAGCGTAAGGCTGATCTGTTTAAAGACATGCTCAGCGCTTCTGACGCACCTAACATGGAAAATGATACCTTAGTGGAGCTCTACAGTGCTTTGAAAGTATCGCAGCCCAAATTTCAGAAAATCATTGAAGAAGAGCACGACGACGACGCTTTGGTGCAAGACATTTTGCAATTCAACGATACTGTTAACCAATTGGTGCAGAAATACAGTTTGCTCAAAACCGGCAATCCTGGTGAGGCAGCAAACATTCAGGTGCAATCTCTTTCTGCCCCAATACCTGCGAGTCAGTCAAGTGGAGCTCTTGCAAATGAATTGAATCTTATTGACTTTGGTGATGCAGACGAACAATCTCCATCTCCCACTCCAGCTGGTACCTCTGGAAATTCTGTTGACGATCTTTTGGGGGATTTAAACAACTTGAATTTTTCTCAGCCTCCACAAAGTTTCGGCTTAGGTGGAAGCATAGCTCTTGGAGCAGCTCAACCAACTACTCAAGCTCAAACGGCACCCGCATCAGGGCTAGACTTGCTGTCTGGGTTTAATGATTCGGTGTCGTTGTCCCCACCACCCCCTCCGCCTCGTCAAGATCTGTTCGAGGCAAACAAGTCTGCATTTGATGATTTCACAGGAGGTTTCGATCCCCCCAGCGCTAGCAGGGTTCAAGTCTTCAATTCAGAGCACCTGAAAATTGAATTTGAGATTTTAAGACGTTCAGAGTCTTCAATCAAACTCTCATCGTTCTTCTCCAACTCTGGATCCGCACCAATCTCGGACCTGACATTCATGGTAGCCGTTCCAAAATCAATGGTCTTGAAACTAGACCCTCAATCAGGTAATTTCATCTCTGCTGGCGTGAAAGACGGTGTCACGCAATATGGATCGATCGAAAACGCCTACCATAATGCTGGCAAGCCACTGAAAGTAAAGTGGAAAGCCACCTACACTGTGAATGCCACGCCAGTTGAGGAAACTGCAGTATTCGCCTTTCCTCAAGTTTAGTCAATTTTACTTTTGAATTGGCCGTGTTTACCGCTGCTGGATTGTATAGACTGAAATAAGTGCATATTAAGTCTTTTGAAGGATGTTCTTAACGTCACATATGTACTTTATTTCCGTTGAAGTATTTGAAGTATTTCCTGGGGAGTCGGGGAATGAATCTTTTCACCATTTGATTCGTTACTGAATTTGCCTCCAGTGCTGGTCGGCGCTTTCTGTTGACGTTGCTGTTCGTTAGGCATTCCTTTGAGCTGACTGTCTGAAGACCTCGGATACTGCTTCATTTGAGTCTGTTTTGGAGTTTGTGTAGTAACCTTCATGCCGCTCTCTGCAGAAGCTCCACGAGGTAATACCGTCCCATTATTGATAACTCTGCGTTGACCGGATGGAGGAGAGCTATGTGGTAGAGCTCTTGTGTTACCACCACTGGAGAAACCTTGACTCAAAGCAGCTGCTTGTAGTTTCTGCTTTGCGATTCTTCTAATTTGGATATCCCTACGAAGAGCATCATCCCGCTGCGCTTTCAGTTGTGACATTTCAGCAGGTGTTGGCACAGTCGTATTCTTGCAGTCAAGAGGCTTTCGTGGCTGAGTAGGGTTTGGTCTCGGAGCATTTTCACGTTTTTTGATGCACTTTCTCATGGCCTCAAACATACTAGCCCAACGCAAGCGCCTGTGTCCTCTCTGTATGGATTCTTCACCAATCCCAAGCGGAGAAATACGCCTTTTCTGCTGCTGTTGTAATTTATGGGCCTCTATCAGCCAAATTTGTGCATTATGTGCCCGGGGTCCTTTCATGTCAATGAATTGAAACTTTTCATTGAGCTGGATGAAACGTTCAAAACACTGCCAGGGTGTGCGCCTTTCAATATTCGAACAATAGGACCTGGTAGGTCTTGATGACATGTGCGCGCTTATCAGGTCCCAATTGTAAGCGTAGGTATTAATGTTTCTTACTAGTTCTTGATCATCCTGTGGCAGCCAAATCGTTGGAGTTCTATATTTCAAATATCTCAAAGATGGCGCAATAGGAGGTCGCAAATAATGGCTGCGTCGATTGCCGTAGAACATTCCACGTCTCTTGCTGAAGGGTACCAGCGATGGCTCCTCATCTATGATTTGTCTTTCGACCAATTTTGAGAAGCATTCCTCGTCCAGCAAAACGGTCGCCTTAGAAATTGGTTCAAACGGAAGGCGGTCTACGGGAGTTTTCTCGTCGTCTGCTTCAGACACACCTAAAACAGGGCGTAAATTATCAATGACTTTCTTTTCGACAAAGTTGAATTCGTCCATAGAAACATGAAGTTTGAATGGCGATTTCGTTCTCTTTTCCCTCGCATATAAGTTTTCATCGGTATGAGGGAGTTCGAGAGCCTTGATCTCATCAAGTGGATCTGGCCTCTTTAAAAGCAAAGCGATGTCAATTGTATTCGCAGTGTCTGCAATCTCGGTCGTGTCAGCAGTAAGATTAAAATTGCGTTCGTCTGTTGACGCCTTCTCTGATTCGGAGCTTTCTTGCTCAATTCTGTGCTCAGAAGACTGTGAGAGTTCTTTTTCATTTTCCGTTTCGCTTAAGATGGGTCCTAGGTGCTTAATTGGAGCCTTCTTCACACAACACACCCTACCGTAGGTCCAAAAATCCATAACGCCCTGCGCGATGGTCAGGCAAACAGCCCTTTTATATTTGGTATGTTCATGAAAGTCGTAGTACATCCACTTTGCCTCTCTTAATAGATGACCTCGATGTGATTCAATGTCTTTAGTTTTTTCCCAAGGGTCTAAAAATTTTTTGGGCTGCCTCAAAGACCACAAACCCTGTCTTCGAAGCTCTTCGATCCTAGAGCTCACTACGGCAATTCTGCATTCGTTTAAAGCGGTATTCATAATTTCAGAAGTCAGTGCTTTATGTGCCGTGGGGATAAGCTTGACGAGAGGCAGCGTTTGGGAATTGAATTTGAGTTCCGATAAAGGAACAGCCTGTGGTATCAGTGATGGAATGGTGTCATTCATAATAAGATAAACACTCTCCTTGGCATTGATGTTTCCCTCGTGAAAAAGAGTTTTGTTCTGTGGCTGCTTGTGCATGAATTCACGAATCAAGTGATTGGTTCGTTTGATCTCGGACTCCTTGTGCTCCACGGTTCGTCCTCTCAAGGAGCTGCTAATTTTCTGGCGTTTTGTACCACTCTGAACTTCATGCACTGTTTCAGTAGCGCCTGGCTCTTGAACAGTATTATCCGGCTGTTGGTACTCTGTAGCCTGCGGTATGTTATCTTCTCTTAGTCGTTTTCTATCTTCTGTTGCAACGGACGCCTTTTCAACGTCTTCGGCTTCTTCTTCATTTAATTTGTGCGGCGAGTGATCATCCTTACTTAGTTGGTCACGATCAGTCTTCTCTCTGGCTTCCCTGCTAGCCTTCTTTTGCTCCTCAGCTGCTTTCTTCTGATCTTCCTTGTCATACTTCGCTTGTTCTTTATCTCGCTTGAAGTTTTCAACGGGCGTACTACTTCTGCTCTTTAAAAGCTTTTTCTCGGACGGAGGATCGATTTGTGAAAACTTCGGCAGCGTATTGCGATCGAACCTGTAACCTTTGCGTATGTCGTGAACATCCAGAAACTCATTAATTTGTGTGGTGAGCGCTTTCTCATTAGTGATTTGTACGAAGTCTTGTATTCTAGACAGACAGTAGAGTTCTGTTATGAGTTTGCTCCTCTCTGAAATGAGCTGATCCAGTCTAGCGCCATCCTCTGTCGTATGTTTCTTGTCGAATTTGGTCATTATATATATGATCGCTCAATGCGATGATCTACCGAAGTTGACTTAAAACGACACACTAACGAGCGAAGCTCGTCGTTTTTTCACGCCGTTCAGTCCTAAAACTAATGCCTACCAGTAGCGGGCCGTCAGATGCCTTAAAATCAGCTCTTATCGTCTTGATCTGTGCGTTTTCTATACATTTTTCTACTTGTTTTGTCAATGTTCAAAAGTTGTTCAACTTTGAGAAACTGATCCCTTCGTTCATAGTGCTATCAACACTTTTGAGAAACAACTATCAAATGCTGTAGGTCGGTCAATGTTGGTGCTTTACTCACCAGGAGTCGTCCCAATTGGCATGGAGTCCTGTAAGAATTACCAGGTGGCCACCAATGTTGTAACCTCTTCGATCGATTTGAGCAAGGAAGAATGGTCGATAACGACGTAAGTGGAAATGAGGCCCTTACGGCTTTCTGAATCAAAATGTATCTTCGCATTGCGCTCGAAAAAGCGATCCTCCTCGTGAAAGTAGTCGATCTCAGATGTCTTTACACGTTTGCGACCTTGGCCAGATTTTTCGTCATCGTCCACTTCCACGCTGACTTCAAATTTTCGACTCAAAATCACGTAATAGTCGTAGTTTTTCCCTTCACCAAGGCTGCTGGAAGCATCCTCCAAACCGATATTGAATAGAGGAGCAATTATCTCGGGGGGCATGTTTATGAGTCTTTCGCTCAGTATCAACGCGCAGGTTTTGTTAGAATTATCGATCGTCTTGAGGAAGTCTGCCATTTTGGGATCAGCTTTCTTGAGATAGCTGGCGTAGTCAGAATCTTTGTGCGACTTGTAGTCGATAAACGACAAAAAACAGTAAGGATCCGATTCTTGACCGTCAGTCTTGATGGTGGTGGTAGGCGATTCCAAAATCAAATCGGCCAGGGCACTGAGTGATACTTTGTTGGACTCCTGGGGACCCATCAGTTGACGCACCAGGTTCTTGAAAGCATGAAAATCCACATCTTTGTTGCCGTTGAAAAAATCAAAGTCTATATTCACAATCTCTTGTTCTTCACCGCTTTCACCGTCGTTTTCTGAGTCTGTGCTGCTGATATCAATGTCGGACTCGGCGTCCTGCAGATCCCGTTTACGTTTTATCGCATCGCTGAGCTTAACGGTGGCTCCCATCCTGCTTATTGGGTGGTGAATTGACGAGCTTTTCTGCTTCTTGAGACTTCTTCTGAGGTCATCTCATCGCATCAGCATCGATCCATTTTGACTGATGGCATGGAAATTTGAGCTTGACGGTTATGCTCGTCGAAGATGATGATAATTATAGCGACGCCATGAATGTAGTTTTTAAGCCTCTCTCTAGTCCGTTGTTTCGCTACCCAAACAAAATAACGGCTTTGCTCGAGGCTATCAAGAATCTCAAGCTCATTGTCAGTGTATGACGTCTTAATCGGCACTACGATTCAGACGCTGACACCGATCACGTGGTCGGTCTACTAGGTGGTCAACTCAATATAGTGCTACTGGATCATGATAAAGCGGTTAACACCCATCCCAGATGCGCTCAGTAGCCAATACTAGTGTAGTTTTGATGGCTTATAAACCACTTGACTCGTCAGATGTGGCAGCAAAGACCTTGGACAGTTTCAAACGGCTATACAATGTCAAAACCTCGGATGCCTTACTTTTAGGTAGTTCAACCATCACCAATGAGATGAAATGCATAGGTACGTTTGTTGACTTGGATCGAGTGAAAAAAAAGGACAGAATTGATGGTTTGATTGAGCTGCTGAGGATTCCTCGTGCATCGACATTTTCGATCCACACAATTCTAGAAACAATAAATGAAAGATCTCAGTACCACACGCAGCGACAGTTTGAGGACACTACAAGCATGGTAAAACGATCTTTGGCTTTGGCTTTTTCTGATGACACGATTGCAGAGAAAATATCAGAAACGTTGATCTTAGTCGTTTACTTTGTCGTTTTTGAAAGATTGCAACAACTGGAATACGCCTTGCCGGCGGTCATTGGCGAATATTTGAATAAGGTCCTTCTCACCACTGAAGTGGGATCTTTCTACACTGCTCTTCCGGACCTCAAAACAGGGAACAATCTTGAGCTTATGGGACAGTATGGACTGTTGGAACTGTCTAGTATTTTCGAATCTTTAATAGGCATTTGCAACCAGAGCTTTGATGCTTCTGCGGACCCGAAAATCGTTGCAAAAATTATGGCAAGTGTGATTTCACGCTGTTTAGAGATTCCACAAGAAATTGAACCAAATAGTGACGACTTCCAGGTGCATACTACTCTGGTTCCTATCTTGGACTATTCCAATCACGATAACCAGCGTATGAACGCTCATTTCGATATTGATCGGCGTACAGACGAGGTTTTGCTGCTACTGGACATTGAAAAGTGTCCTAGCAAGAACGGCACTTGTGAAGTGTTCATAAGCTACAATCCAATTCACGAGCTCGTGCAGTTTGAAAAAATCTACGGGTTCAGTCCTCCGCTGGAATCTCAAACACCCTCATACATGAATTGCTGCATTGACAAGACATTTTTGGCCAGGAACATGCACCTGGATCTTTTTTACAAATGGTTTGACATCAAACCTTGCATTCAATTCTGCATATTAGATGGCGCGGTTTACATCAATGACTGCATTGAGAGCTTCAAATGGCTAACCTTACCGTTTTCTACCCAAGGGTTTCCAACTCAATCCCCAGCGAAGTTTCTATACGATGAGAATGTTCCCAGAGTATTTGCGCAACACTTTTCTAAGGCTCGAGGAGGTGACGCTAAAGACTTTATTGATGTCTGCGAGGAGCAGGTGGAGCTCAGTGAGAAAAATGGCTCGGAGAGTATTGGAATGCCTCAACTAGCCTGGGTCTTACAATATACGCTAGATGGTGAAACGCTTCACGGGCGTTTTGATAGGAAGCAGATTCCTGAACTGCCTGGTTACAATTCCACATTAGCTAGAGAGTCTTTCCAGGCGTACCTGTTGACATACTTTCAATGGCGTCAACACCAATTACAAGACAAATTAGCTTATTTGTCTTCCTCCTTACAGAACGTCGCAATACATGAGCTCCATTTCATTACTCAATTGTTGCGTCAAAATGACGAGAACAAAAGTTTACTACTAAGCGACACAAAGTTAGATTACAAAAAGTTTCAAACACCGCCGATCCCGCCATTACTCCAGAACTCCAATCATCAATTCTCTAAACCCGTCACGCAAGAAAACACAAACGCCCAAGAATCATTTTCATTGACTGATCCGCAAGCAGAATACCAATATTACGAAGACTTTTTCTCGCCCTGACGCTACTTGAAACTAAATAGCATATCCCTCATGCTCTCTAGAATTTTTCTGGTGTTGATTTTGAGTGCTTATACATTTGCGCTTCACGTTTACCTGAGTAATGGCGACGTGAAGTGCTTTTATGAGCATCTAGAGCCCAAAAACCTTCTTTGGGCTAAATTCGAGACTGCGCTTGTCTCCGATAAGATTGTTTCCAACCCAGGTGTGGAGTTCAATTTGAATGTCACTGTGGATGAAACTTTCGACAATGGTCATACCGCTTTGCGGCAGCGACTGACGTTCGTAGATGAAATTGTGTTCACCGCGCTTGAAAGCGGTGAGCACCGTATTTGTTTGCGTTCTTCTATACCAAACCCCGATTACAAGCTATGGGTCAAGCTGAATTTCGACATTTCTACGTTGCGCCTGCCTGAGGTGGAAAATGCACAAAAAGCGATAGATGCAAGAGATCGGGTTGGACGTTTGATAACCCGTCTGGAATCGTTGCGGAACAACCAGAGAGCAATCAAAGCTAGCGAGAAAGCTGCCGAAGATTACAGCAATTTTGTGCATTCCCGAGTGTTGTTTTGTTCGCTTCTTCAGTTTGCCGTTCTGACCATCTCATTTGCTGTGCAGTTTAGGGTACTAAAAAAGTTTTCCTGGCATCGACACTAGCGCAAATATCTTATTCTGCTGTGCTCATATCATGGCGAGTTTGATTGTTTTTCTCCTGCATAAACAGCCCTGGTGAGGTTAGTCTTCGCTCAGAACAGAAAGCATATACTATTTCATCGTGATCCTTGTGACTCAAGCGACGTTCACAAACCCTATCTTCTTTGGGAGAAATAGTAACAAGAGTACGATAATTCAATTCAAGCTTAGTTTCAACACCGGGGTGGTGGAGAAAGTCCTTGTATTGGGTGCGCTGTAATCCATCACCCCATCAAATCGTTCCACAGGTTTTCAATTGGCAGAAACTCCAATTTTATTGCGAGCAAATATCGACTTAGGAATTTTGAATTCGTCGATAAGTGGACGCAAATGTGAAAGCAACGTTCACGTTCAAAGATCGACAGCGGTTCAAAAACGATGAAGAACTCGTCCATGTGCGTCATCCAGTGAGAGGTAATACCGACCACCACGTGACTCTTGAATTTTTCAAGCGGTTTACATTAATAGCCATCTCGCCTCATCTCATCGCCCTCATCGCCTCGAGCTGAGTGAGCTGGGTCTTGCAGTTGATCCAGTTGGTCGACAGTTTTCAAAGTTTCAATGGACACCGAGATAGCGGCTCTGAAAGCCGAAAATGAGAGTTTAAAGCAGCAACTTAGAGAACAGGGCCAGCTTCCGATGTCTTTAGAAGAGTTCAAGAGATACGGAAGACAAATGATTGTTCAGGAAACCGGAGGTGTGGAAGGTCAAATAAAACTAAAAAATAGCAGGGTTCTGGTTATCGGTGCTGGTGGACTTGGGTGTCCCTGTTTGCCATACCTGGCCGGTGCAGGTGTGGGACAAATTGGCATTGTCGATAATGACGTTGTGGAGACCTCCAATTTGCATAGACAGGTGTTGCACAATTCGAGCAAAGTTGGTGTACTGAAGTGTGAATCTGCAAAGGATGTGTTGGTCAAGCTTAATCCGCACATCAAAGTCGACACTTTTCCGGTGAGACTTGATTATAGCAACGCTTGCCGTATTTTCCAAGGTTATGATGTCGTGCTGGACTGCACAGATACACCATTGACGAGGTATCTGGTGTCAGACGTAGCGGTAAATTTAGGCCTAACGGTAGTCTCTGCCTCTGGTCTTGGTTTCGAGGGACAATTATCCATTCTGAACTTCAAGAACGTCGGGCCATGCTATAGGTGTTTCTTCCCGGTTCCTCCACCACCAAATTCTGTGTCATCCTGCCAAGAGGGCGGTGTTATCGGGCCGTGTATTGGACTCGTGGGTGTTATGATGGCGGTGGAAACGCTCAAAATCATCCTTGACAGTTACACATTAGATAACTTTAAGCCCTTCCTGATGCAGTATTCAGGTTTCCCCGCACAGTCTTTACGCACTTTCAAGATGAGAGGCAGACAAGCAACGTGTCTGGCGTGCGGAGAAAATCCTTCCATTACAAGGGATTCCATTGAGAGAGGTCATATCGATTATGAACTTTTCTGCGGCAAAAGAGATTACAACGTTTGTTTACCCCACGAACGTATGACGGTCGACGAGTTTCAAAAGTCTTTTCTGAAAACGGCCGAACTGAATCACATTCTCTTGGATGTCAGGCCTCGGCATCATTACGATATATCACATTTGCCAAACACGTTCAACTTGACCGTGAAAGAGTTGAGAGATATGGATGGTGATATGTCTCAACTGAAGCGTGAAATACCCACAGTTGGTGCGCAAAGTGAAGTCCTGGTCCTTTGCCGACACGGAAACGATTCCCAGCTAGCTACAAGGATCCTGAAGGACCAATTTCATTTGAAAAATGTCCGCGACGTGAAGGGAGGACTCTTTAAATATATCGATGAGATAAATCCAGCCATTCCAAAGTATTGATCGTGCTTTTCAGCTACCCAGCTCTTCGATAACGAGCAAGCCTGCACTGTTCACAAAGGCGTAAATTTTACCACCTTTGCATGTTTCGTTCCATTTCACGCTTGCGATGTTTACCCCGGGCGGACTTACTCTAGCCTTCGAAACCTCATTCACACTAAAGGTAAAAACCTCATAGTTGGGATCTAATTGGTATTTTTTGTCCTTAGCGCTATAATTCCATTCCCACAGCTTTAAGTATTTGTGTACAGCTGCATTGTTTTTGATGCCTGTTAAAAATCTTCTGGCCAGATTGTTAATCATTAGGGTCCCATCGGCAGAGCCAGAAAGCAGAAAGGGATGGAGCTTTGAGGTGGTGAGCGTGCTGACAGTATTTTCATGTTGGCAAACTTGGTGAGAAGCAAAAGCGGCTTTGGGTGAATATGCCTTTATTGAATTTACTCCATCTGTGTGGACAACACCATACACAGGAGGACAGTAAGTGGCAATAGTAGTGTTCCCTCCGCGAACACGCCCTAAGGAGCTTTTGGTGGTCTGGATGCTTTTAGGATTGAAGATACAAATGAATCCATCTACCGATGTAGTATTTATCACATTGTCTTCGAATTCAGAGTACGCTACAACGATGGAAATAACGTACGAATCATGAATCTGGTAGTAGTAAGAAGGCACGTTTGAACCCAGCTCGAATTCGGCGACGTGACCATTTTGGAACCCGCATACTATAGTTTCCGCAGAAGTAAAATCAAAGCAAGAGATGGGCGTTTGAGGTATTTTTACACTCAAATCAGCATTTTCGTAGACCTTTATCTCATATCCTGTCGGTTGATCTATCTTCATGAATTTCACAGAGCCATCTTGACAGCAGGCTCCTATAAGACCCAACGCGCCTTTATCTTGAAAGCCAGAATGCCATTTTAGATCCCACATCTCACCAAAAGAATGAATGATAGTTTGATATTTCTCGAAGACCAAGGAGACCGGGTCCAATGCAAAGACCAAGATGCAAGAAGTATGTTTTTGCTCACCCCAGCATCTCAAGTCTTCATGCACTGGATCTCCTAATCGGTTGGACACTGAAACGGCCAAATAAAGCTTGTCCAAGTCATCGCGAGGGAGCCATGCCATGTCGGTTACGAGTCCGCCTACGCAATAGACAAAACCTTTGCGTTTCCCGCAAGGAAAGACTGGAAAATCGATACTTTGACCTGTTGTGATGTGTGTGTCAAGGTCAGAAATTTGTAAAAGAACCTCCTCTTCGCTGAGAGGAAAAATTTGGTGTAGTTCAGATTCATCTACAAGACGATAGTCACCCTTTTCTAACGGCAAGCTCAGCGCGTTACCTCTTGCGGCAGTACATGGAGAAGGAAAATCAACAAAATATTTGGAATCGCGCTGTATGGTTTCTATGTCGAAGTCAAAAGGGCCTGTTTCAAAGCCCTCCTTGACCTTTGCAAGTCCCAAAAGTTTTTGAGTGTTCAATCCATAAATACGCTCTATCTTGTCCCTAGCAGACGTGAGGTCTTTCAAAGCACGAACCACGCGTCGTTTGTTGTCCAGTTTTGACGTAGGCGTTGGAGACTTCAAATTGTCATTCTTCTGCGGTGTGGGTTGTTTAGGTTTCGGTTTTCGGCCTCTTTTTTTCAAGCCTTGCTTTTTGGGGACTGGGTTTGCATTACTTTTCCGCGAAGGATTCTGTTCTATCAACTCATTTTTTTCCGTGCCTTCGAGTGCTAGATCTTCTAGATCTTGTTGTTTCTCTTCCTCATCTTCCATAACGCCAATTTCATGTTCGTCTTCTTCTTCAGGGACAAAATCGTCACCATCTTCGTCACCAGACCCCACTGTCGGATCAATTGACTCAACTATAGATTTTGAAGCCTTTTTGGATGCATTTCGTCTTGGCCTAGGCCTACTGACGTGCTCCTCTGTGTTAAGTACGGCTAACGCTGCTGCAGATTCATTAGGTGAGCTTGAATTGACTCTTTGGAAAGAATCGAGAGTCCTTATCTTTTTTGCAGGCCTTTTTCCGGTGTCCACCTGTTTTGCACGGGCCATTACAGCAAGCTATGGTTGAAATAGTGTCGGCTTATGTGCGAATGTTTTAATGCTGCTTCCCGAGATTTTCGAATAGGATCAAAGTTCCACGTTCAATTTATATTAGCATTAAGGGAAGTATCAACAAAAGTCTGATGACAGCGACGCGATAATAAAACGTGAGAACTATTCGATGATTATGGGTACGAGAAGTACAGTAGAGTTAATACCCCGCCCGGGGAGTACTATTGCTCAATGATGCTGACTTTTTGGTTGTTAGAGAGAAGGTCACTTGTAATGTGTTCGAGTTTTCCTATTTGTTTTGTCCAATGCTGTCGCTGTCATCTCATCACGTGTATTAGCACACTACGTAAGAAATTTGACGCGAGACGTAAGATGAGTGTCTGGCGGGCAGTACTTTCCTACTTTGGATATATATAAGCTTGAAAGTTGTGGGAACAAATCAAGACGGTAACTTGTGCGTATTGGGAGTTTGACTGGCTCGATTTTCAATCATCTTGAAACTTCTAATAACATGTATTTAGCTCACTGAGATGGGGTCTCGATAATCAGATATTTTTGACACAGTTCATTGCAATAGTTACGCGATTTGACGATAACTAACGGTTGTTGCAGGCGCGCGAAAAAAAAGGTGACAGTATAGTATTAAGTGATATGATGAGTTCGTAGCTTCAACGATTGTTTGGCCAAAGGCTCCCAAGACGCTCAGGCTATCGTTGCGATGATGCGTCCTATATCAAAGATTGACACCGTGGCTCTGTCTGGAGTTTTTATTCTGAACAAGTAATTTCATGTTGTTCGCTGTCTTCGTCGTATTCAGGTGCCTGAGAGAACCGTGCGAAATTTCATTTATCTTACTTCTTAAAGAATGTCCACGAAGCAAGTATACCCAAGGACGTTTTTCTTGATCCCTCAAAATGCCGTCTAAATCATCGTCCATCATTCGATTCCCCTAAAGCTTCGCTTTGTAGATATTCGCTTTTGGTTGTAGATGTATATCTACCTTATCTTTCCTATCGATTCATTATTATTGAACATTTAAAACCTTTAAATCCTAACTTACTCACTTTGCACCGTAAGAAGCTCTCAAAGTGTGTGCATGCTTCGCTTACATCTACGGAAACAGCCCTCGATGACCAGTACAAACGTTGAATACGCTCGTGAATTTGTAAAGTTTCTCAATGCCTCTCCTACGCCTTTCCATGCTGTGCAAAACATCAAGGACCATCTTTCAGAACACGGTTTTGAGCAACTGAAGGAAGAAAATCCCTGGGAGAACTCCTTACAAACAGGTAAAGGATACTTCGTCACTAGAAATGACTCAGCAATAATTGCGTTCTATGTGGGCAGTCAATACGTAGGTGGTAACCCATTCGCTATCGTTGGTGCTCATACTGATAGTCCAGTATTAAAAATCAAGCCCATTTCCAAGAAGACTAATGAAAAATACGACCTCGTCGGTGTGGAATGTTATGGAGGCGGTATTTGGCACTCGTGGTTTGATGCCGACCTTTCCATTGCCGGGAGGGTCGTTTACCGTGAGGATACTGCGAATGGGTACCAGTTGATCTCGAAACTGGTAGATCTGAAGAAACCTTTGCTTAAAATTCCAACTCTGGCTATTCATCTGGACCGTGACGTTAACCAAAAATTCGAATTTGACCGGGAAAATCAATTGCTGCCATTGGCTGGCCTGCAAGCAAAACAAGCCGGCAAGGACGGCGACGAAGATCAACACTCTTGTTCTCAGGCTCAAGAAGACTCCTTTTTTTCCATCAAGTCTGTTTTACAAAGACACCACCGTGATTTGGTGGATTTGGTGGCCAAAGACTTGCAAATTCAAAGTGAACAAATTGAAGACTTCGAGCTTACTCTCTACGATCACAAACCTTCTTGTCTTGGCGGTCTACACGACGAGTTTGTTTTCTCTGGTAGACTGGACAACTTGACTTCGTGCTTCACAGGGATGCATGCGCTTACAGAGGCTGAAGACGACGATGACAGCAACGACGCCAGTTCCTCTGCCATCAGAATGCTGGCGTGCTTTGACCATGAAGAAATCGGCTCATCTTCTGCACAGGGTGCCGATTCAAATTTTCTACCTAGCGTTATGGAGAGACTTGCCACTCCAACATTAGGCAGCGGGGCTCACGATGCCTTTTCAGGCGAACGCGATCTTTTGAAAATAGCAACAAGAAAGTCCTTCTTTCTGTCGTCTGACGTGGCCCATGCTGTGCACCCCAACTATGCGAGCAAATACGAAGTTAACCACAAACCTATGATCGGCGGCGGTCCTGTGATAAAAATCAATGCAAACCAACGCTATATGACCAATACTCCCGGGTTGGTGCTCGTCAAGGCTTTGGCAGACCTTGCCAAAGTGCCTTTACAACTTTTCGTTGTATCGAATACGTCTCCCTGTGGATCTACTATCGGACCAATCATTGCTTCCAAGACAGGTATACAGACGCTTGATTTGGGTAATCCAATTTTAAGTATGCATTCTATTCGCGAAACTGGGGGTTCCGATGACCTAGAATCCCAGATATCATTGTTCCGTAAATTTTACCAAAAAGGTAACCAAATCCTCGAGACTGGGCATGTCAAAACTACATGAAGATCACACAAATTTCCCAAAGGGCACGCCAGGGTTAATGCTACTGGCATTGATCTCGAAATAGACAGTTGGCCTACTGAAGTTTCAAAACTCGTACAGTATTATTATTTATACCTCTTTATTTGACTGTCGTCGACATCTTATAGAAATACTACAACCATACCGGTCTGCAAAACACACGAACAGAGCCCTGGCAGTTTACCGCTGCTTCTAGCTTACCTAGTCGACAATGGCAGAGGAGGAAAAGGCCTCACACACTGGTCTCAAGGGGGCCAAGGTTACTGAAAACATTCAAGAATTGATGTCGTTTTCTGATGCTAACAAGACCATTGGAGGGTACCTTCAAGATGACCAAACTCCAGAAATCGTTCACTCAGAAAGGGCTAAACTACCAAGGTTTTCATCCACTATTCAACCAAATAATGAAGAAGACAGTTCAGATACTGCTGAAAACTTGGAAGTAGTAGAAACCGACGATGATGACCAGACGAAGGCTGGAAATGACGATAAAAACGGAGTAAACGGGCCGAACAAGGAATCAAGCAACCAAATTGAAGTTAGTAGGAACAAGGAAACGGATGCTGGTCACAAAATCGATGAGTATGAAGAAGTACAAGGTGACGATGACCATGTCGATGATGATGATGATGATGAGGATGATGATGACGACGATTTCTTCTGTGGTGACTACATGCTCTCCAGTAGAAGTGTAGATAACAGTATTTCTGACCGTCCTGTTATCGTCCAAACAGAGCGAGGTAGCAGTTCGGTGCATAACAGTCGAACGGGGGCGTCGAAACTACAAAATGCTTCCTTTCAGACCAGTGAAAGAGATGAAATTGTGATCAATACATCTGAAAGCGATCAGTCCGGTAGCGAGAAAGAAACGGTAATCAAATCTAAGAAACGAGTCGCAAGCTCGATTAAAGATCAGGATCTTGGCACGAAATGGCTTTCGAAGAAGACTCGCAATACAAATGATCACAATGGCTTTCAAAAGGAATCCACCATCAGTATGGCAAAAGGTTCAGAAGAAGATGAAGACGAGCAATTTTTCAAGGAACTAGCAAGAGAAGCTGGTCGATCTGCAAGCACTGTCGAGAAAAGTCCTTCCCTACCAGTAAATCATATATTCAACATCCGGTTTACCTCGCACTTGGAAGGAAGTATGGACAAGACAGTGAAACTAAAAGTTAATGGCTTCCACACTTTCACACAGATTTTGCCATTGGCATTAAATTTATTATTGAAAGAGCACAATGTCAACAAGGAGCTGCGACATCATTACCAGAGTGATAAAGTTTCAATTTATCGTGGCGGCGTTAAGATTTTGGATTTCATGACGTGTAATTCTCTGCAAGTTTCTACTGATCCTGACATTAAGTTCATCGAATATTCGTTGACATTAGTTCCGAAAGTGTCTGAAGAAGACTACAAGACGACGTTGGAAAAAAAAAACCAGAGTGAAACATCACTATTGGCAGATGATCCAACAGTAGATGCCAACGACACCAGTTTTTTCAGTGGAGATGACGATGTATACAACTCACAGAATTCAGAGTCGAACCACATATACATTTTGGATGATGATCTTTCGCCTGAAGATCAGGCCAGTACAACCCGGATTGCACTGATGGCTAAGAATAATGAGAAAACTCATGTCAATGTGCATCAAGATACATCGGTGGCAACGTTGAGTAACCATTTTCGGAGCGTTCATAATGTGCCGGCGGAGCGCCACATAGACCTTTATTTCGACAACGAGAAACTTGCTCCCTCTCAATTGACTCGGGAACTAGACCTAGAAGATGAAGATATAATTGAGGTAAGGCTGATATAGATTCCTAGGTAAAGTAAGCACTGCCCTTACGTCCAGTTTCCCCAGACGCCTTCAAAGAAGATTAGCTTTCGAGCGATCAGCAGGTTCTGTTAAAAGCTTATAATGGTTTGGAGACTTCGAAAAATCATGAAGAGCCTTGTTGGCGCAATCGGTAGCGCGTATGACTCTTAATCATAAGGTTAGGGGTTCGAGCCCCCTACAGGGCTTAATTTTTTCAAACTTTGAAGATATACATGGACCACAATCACATTCCAACAGGAGGCATCTGCCTAGGAAAGAAGTTTTCGTTATAGTTTTATTCATTATATGCTTTATGCGTATATTTTATGCGATGCTAGTTGACCTTTAGAGTGGACATGTTGTTGCACAAATCTTCGAAAAGTACGGGCTTTGGTTTTAGATCTTCGGTACATAGCGCCGTACCTTTTACCACTTTGAAGGCACCTGTACCAATGGACATGGTCTGGCCCAAAATAATGCATTCCGACACACCTTCAACAGCATCTTTTTTCATGTAAAAGGCGGCGTCGAACAAATGGTCTGTGGTCTTCTCGAACGAGGCGAGTTGCAGTACCGAGTCTCTCATCTTACTGAGACCAAAACGAGTGATACCCAACACCTCGCCCTTGTAGGTCATTACATCACCCAACAGCTGTACGTGACGAGGATCAACACTCATTCCGTGATTACTCATGGTATAGTCGATTTCACCAATGATACTGGCCCTGGCCGCCTCAATACCCAATACACTAACAACTTCCAAGACATGATTTGTCTTGGTCTTCGAACCTATGACACCATCCGTGGTCATCACATCGCGTAAACCATATCCTTCGACCAAAAGTTCTCTCTTATCATTATCCTTAACATTGATAACTGCTCTAGCAATGTCCGGAAGACCCTTAACGACTATGGCGGGCAATGCACGACGTAGATGCTGAATCCTGTAGAACAGCTCATTTTCAGCAGGCTCCTTAGCTAAAGTAGAAATCGATTTGAGTTTAGCACCGTCTGGATAGACATTGATATTAATCTTATCCTTACCAACAATAGTGACATCAGAAGCTGCAATTTTGAGTTTGGCAGCTCTAGTTATCGCAACTGCAATATCTTCAACCGTCAACTCTAATTGCAATTTTTCGATGGTGCTCAAGTCGACTTTGACTTGTAAAAACGACATGTTGTCTCGGTAGACATCCTGGATATAGAAGGCTACGTCGGACATCAGAGTCTTTTCAATTCTTCCCTTGACAACTCTAGCTGCTCTTTCATCATTGTCATTGACAAGAACAGCGTTGATGATAGGTGTTGAAATGACCTTAGAGGCGTTGATGATTTCTTTGATACGAGGTACACCAAGCGTAACATTCATGGAAGCGACACCAGCAAAGTGAAATGTTTTTAGTGTCATTTGTGTACCAGGTTCACCAATAGAATGAGCACCTACTGCACCTACTGCCGTACCAGGTTCAACCTTTGCTTTATGATACTTGAAGATCGCGATTTCCAAAAACGTAGCAACCAACGACGACGTGATTTTGCACAATTGAGAGACCGATGCTATGGCTGCATCAGAAGCTTTGTCGTCCAGATCCATTTCTTGTAATTCGGCAGCGGGTTCTTCCAAATATTCCATTAAACCTTTGTGCTTTCTTGTCGTTGCCAAGTGACTGGCTTTTTCATGCAGATATGACCTCAGAGATTGGTAGAAGTTTCTTTCCGCATCGTGCTGATCAATAAATTCCACACAGTGCGCCTCATGTCCGGTAACTAGATTCCCCAAATTATCGAATCGGACCAACTTTTCTTCAAGCGGTTCCAAAATTCTGTTCGTCTGCTGCATTATTTGGTAAGGTAGTAACCCTTGGTCGATGTGATTGAACGTAACGTTGTTAGCATGTTCCCATGATCTCGCGAAATTTACAGGCTGTGCATTGCCTTCCATATCAATAGGGTCCAATCCATCACCTCCATAAGTGAACTGTACAATACCGTTCGAGGAGGTTCTAATAGTGTTGTCGTATTGACATGACAGGTCTTCCAGTGATTTCATTAACCTACGAGACATGTAACCTGTTTCAGCGGTCTTGACGGCTGTATCTACCAGACCCTCACGCCCAGAAATGGCGTGAAACAAAAACTCTGGCGGTGTTAGGCCGGTGAAGAATGAGTTTCTCACGAAACCCTTCGACTGTGGTGTTTTGGAATTTTTCAGAAAGTGAGGTAAGGAACGGTCCTGGAAGCCATCGGGGACACGATTACCAGATATAATTTGCTGACCCACAACAGCCACCATTTGGGATACGTTCAAATTCGAACCCTTAGAACCACAATTTGCCATGATTAGACACGCGTTCAGGTTATCCAGCTCCTTGATGCATACCTCACCGACTTCTTCTCTGACTTTCGATAACAAACCACCAATCTTGGCTTCCAATGTTTGCTCCTCATTACATCCGGGCTGAGTTTCCAACTTTCCCTTGTCGAATAATTCAATGAGTTCATCACATTTCGAGTACGCATCTTCGACCATACTTTCCTTTTGCCGTTTCAGTTCAAAACCTGGTGTAACATCGCTAATACCGATTGAGAAGCCCCTGTTGCCCAGAAAACGAGCGCACAATTTTGCCATTCTGTTCATAGCGAAAGCGGCTTCCTGCGGTCCGAAATCTCTTAAGATTGTGTAAAATACCGAGTGTTTCTTACCATCACCCAACACAGACTTGTCCATGACACCACTTAAGATTTGAGACCCACGGATGACAACGAAACCATCATTTTGAGACATCTCATTAGGAAATTCTTTCCTCTTCGGAGGGATGTAGACCTTATTTTTGGCATCCAAGTTGATGACGACAGAGGATTTCTTATTTGGTCTGATGAGAAGGGAAAACACTTGCTTTCCAGTCCACATGTAGTAAGGTTTCATAATGGCTGGAGGCGGTATATCAAACTGCAAATTTCCATCCGACATCATCGACAAAAGCTGGACAAACTCAGCTCTGTTGTAAAACGAGTCCTTGTGCGAAATAAGATATGACCCGGTAATGAAATCTTGAGTTGCAGCAATAATAGGTTCCCCAGATTTGGGTGTCAGAAGATTATTTTTCACACCCATAAGATTGATGGCCTCAGCACGAGCCTCCTCCGTCTGAGGAACATGTAAGTTCATTTCGTCACCATCGAAATCCGCGTTGTATGGGGTACACACACATTCGTTCAGCCTGAAGGTTCTCCAAGGCCTGATTTTCGCAAAGTGCGATAAAATAGAAAGTCTGTGTAACGAGGGTTGTCTGTTAAATAAAACGACGTCACCATCTTCTAGATGTCTTTCAACCACATCACCAAACTGAAGATTTCTGGCAAGCTTCAAACGATCACCGTAACGTAGGTTTCGTCTTGCTTCTTCATCTTTCTTCAAGATATAATTAGCTCCCGGGTGTTCATTAGGACCGTTTATCACCAGCTGTTGCAATTTTTGTTTGTTATAGCGTGTGACCATCTCAGGGTACGTGAGTACTTTAGCAACACGATCAGGTACCGCCACTTGATCGATTGAAAGGTTTGGATCCGGTGAAACGACTGTTCTGCCTGAGAAATCTACACGTTTACCGGAAAGGTTACCTCTGAAACGACCTTGCTTACCTTTCAGTCTTTGACAGAAACCTCTAATTGGCTTAGTCTTCCCACCGGCATTCCCTCCTGGCATCATAGCCGGGTTAACCGAATCAGAATTAATGTACATGGCAACTGCCAATTGCAGATAGTCCCATTGCTCCATCATGTTGTTGATCGATATACCCTTTTCCAGACCTGCTTTGATCAGAGAAGAGGTCCACACAATCTCTGTAAGCTTCACAGTCAAATCATCTTCATTTGAAGCAGGAGAGTCCTGCATCATAACAGATGGACGAATACACACTGGCGGTGCAGGCAAGTATCTCCAGATGTAAGTTTCTGGTCTGCCTGACTTGACAGAACTATCAATCCCTAGTAGCTCACAGTCTTCAGATGCAATTTGCTTGAATAAATTTAGTACCTTTAAAGGGTTCAGATCATCGGTGCATCGCTTTACGTAACGTTCGAGCTCTGGACTATGGGCGAGAACTGTTTTCCAGTCTCCAAACCATTTATCCTTTTCTGGTGCAGATTTCTTACCCACCCATCTGAAAGTGTCATGTAATATTTTGAGCGAGGCAGAACCAGAACCTGCAGCAGCTTTCTTAACTACACCATTCAACGCACCACATGCAAAACATCTCCTCTGTTTTTTGCACTGATCCACGACTTTTTTCAAAATCCCCATTCTTCTCAAATTGTCTATGCCAGGACGACGTAGTTCGCTCAAAAATTGTCTTTTGTCCTCTTCAGATAGTAACAGGGCACCACAGCCTTTACACACGGATTGCAAAACCTGAATAGTGGCTTTGAAGTACCCTACATGGAAAACAGGCAGTGACAACTTGATGTGGCCAAAATGACCATGACAAGATGCAAGATTCCCATGACAAGTTGAACACTCTGCATGCGATGACGAAACTCCCATTCGTGTATCCAGAGCACCTCCATCTTTAGGTTTTCTGCCACTCTCCAAGTCGAAAAGATCTCTTGTAGTGATTTCTACTTTCGATTGAGCAACTATATCGCTAGCTGAAAGCGCGCTGAACTCAAGGCCTTTAATCCTTTTGGGCGCTATGTCCACCACTACTTCCTTCATGTTCAAGTGCCCAAACGGGGAGGAGGAAGTTCAGGTTCTAGAAAGAAGTTTTAGCAATTCCGAATGTCCAAGAAATTTGGAGAGCACAAAAACCAGAGGATCGATCCAAAACGGGCAAAATCAATGGTTTGGAGCTTACTTGACCTTCGATGAGATGAGATGAGATCAAATTTTGATTAGATTTTTTTTCATCACATGGTTGACGAATATTTGCTTCGTGAAAAAGCATAATTAAACTGTCACAGACGAATAACAACATTGAAGGGTTAATCCTGAGGAGAACGGGCTCTTTGAGCAAGCAGGATATGTATAGTGTATAAAATTGGACTTTTGGCTCGCTGTTGGTGCTGAACATGTAAGGTTTCTTTAGAAGAATATACAATCAGGTCACGTGACTAGCGTCAGTTTACAGCACGAGAAGAAGTTTTAGGTTGTGGAGGTTGATACTCATCCAGACGAGATTGTTGTACGTGACTTTGAGAGTTTTAAGGTGGCTGTAATTTGTGAGCTGGTGAAAGTAAAAGGTACTAGGGTTTATGCTGACACCAGAAGTGTCGGGAGGATGAGGATACTAGATTTTAGAAAATATCTCATATGAGTTGGCACACGTTAGACACAAGGAAATTTTGAGATAAGATCCATGTTTCTTCCCGGTATCTTAGGACTTTGGCTTTGTCAGCTCTGGATAATTTTCAAGCGCTTGTAAATGATGGAAATTACTGCATTGTGCCAAACCTCTTTGGCAGAAGGCTATGGTGGAAATATTCAAGGTCTCGTACAATCAGAGGATAGAAGACTCGTTGAAGATATCAAAATCACATTCAATACAATTGTCGTCAGTCAACAAGCGCATCTGTACGTCACTAGTTTTTGGTGACGCACTCGTATACAACGACACACATAATTTACAAGCTTGGCGGATGAGCACTGTCTGGAAAACAGAGTATCGTTCTGAAGCTTTTATCTACCCTTATCTGCTACGATAGGTCATTCTACAGTCTGGCCTTGCTGCTTTAGTTTGTTGACTAGAGAACTAAAGGCTACGTAGGAAACGACTACGTTAATTAACGTGGCGAATTTCAATACATAGCTAAAGAGTCCACTTCTGTCACGAAACCTACGACTTTAAGTTCGAGTTTAGCACATCTCCTTTTGAAAGAACAGCTTCAACACATTCATAATGAGCTTGGAAAAGGAGCACCAGAATACGCTGGAAGAAAACGATGAATTTGAGGACTTCCCTGTTGATACTTGGCCAGATTCCGAAACCATCAAAGAAGACTCCAGCGTGCAAACAAACCTTTGGAAAGAGGACTGGGACGATGTAGAGGTAGACGACGATTTTACCAAGGAGCTAAGAGCGGAGCTGCAGAAGCACAAACAGTAAAAAGATATTGTGTACAACGTTTTTGAAGGAACTCTGTGAACACCACCAGCGAAAAAGAACGAGACAGGATACTGAGGGAAAACAAAGGTGAGTTGCTTTTGAATATAAAGCTCAAACATCGCTCAGACCACTGGGTATTTCTATTAAGATCAAAGGAAGGTAAGAAACCTGTAAAGCGAATAAACCTCGTGAAAAATGATCAAATACCACCACTTCCCAGTTGAATTGGTAAGGCTTCTTTTTCAGTTTGGGCTCCAGGATTTGGCCAATTCACACCGGAAATACCCAGCAAACCAAGTTATGAGGCGGCTAGCACACACCGCTATCCTTACAAATCGTTTTCTTACATAGGTCTTTTTCGACGCGAATATAAAAATGCGAAGTACGTACATAATGACCACCTTTAACCACTACACGCGCCTATATTCAAAACTTAATTCGGTGGCAAACCTAGAGACCAGACCTAACCGCTCTACAAGAACCTCACACTGACCAGTTCTAGTGTCCTCTGAAGGTTCCGAAACAACACTTGTAACTGTAACTTTAAGATGGCAACTTTGGAAGAATTGGAGTCGCAGCAAAACCCGGGCGAAATCGAAATTGATCAAGAGATATTGAATCTACCCACAGGAGAGCTCCAGACAAGAACCAAACTTCTAGACAATGAAATTCGGATATTTAGATCAGAGTTGCAAAGATTGTCGCACGAAAATAGTGTGATGCTCGAGAAGATCAAGGACAATAAGGAAAAAATCAAAAACAATCGCCAGCTACCCTATTTGGTGTCCAATGTGGTTGAGATCATGGATATGGATGAATTGGAAGACGAACAGCAACGAGAATCGGCCACGCAAGGTGGGAACGTGAATTTGGATAACGCTGCAACCGGTAAAGCGGCGGTGGTGAAAACATCATCGAGGCAAACGGTTTTTCTGCCTATGGTAGGGCTGGTTGACCCTAATACTTTGAAACCTAACGATTTAGTGGGTGTTAACAAAGACTCCTATTTGGTGCTCGACACTTTACCGTCCGAATTTGACTCGCGTGTCAAAGCCATGGAAGTAGACGAAAAACCCACAGAAACGTATTCGGACGTTGGTGGTCTTGACAAGCAGATCGAAGAATTGGTCGAAGCTATCGTGCTTCCTTTAAAACAAGCCGAAAAGTTTACAAATATGGGAATTAGAGCTCCTAAAGGTGCTTTGATGTATGGTCCACCCGGTACTGGTAAGACATTACTAGCAAGAGCGTGCGCCGCTCAAACGAATGCCACTTTCCTAAAATTAGCTGCACCACAGCTGGTGCAAATGTTTATTGGTGAGGGTTCCAAGCTCGTGCGTGACGCGTTTGCTCTAGCAAAGGAAAAAGCACCTACGATCATATTCATCGATGAGCTGGACGCCATCGGTACAAAACGTTTTGACTCCGAGAAATCTGGTGACAGAGAAGTGCAAAGAACTATGTTGGAACTTCTCAACCAACTGGATGGGTTCGGGTCCGATGACAGAGTTAAAGTACTCGCGGCCACCAATAGAGTGGACGTCTTGGATCCGGCTTTGTTGAGATCCGGTAGACTGGATAGAAAGATCGAGTTCCCACTGCCCTCTGAGGATTCTAGGGCTCAAATCCTACAAATTCATTCCAGAAAAATGACAACAGACGATTCTATAAATTGGCAGGAACTTGCAAGATCAACAGATGAATTTAACGGTGCTCAGCTGAAAGCGGTTTCAGTGGAAGCAGGAATGATAGCATTGAGAAATGGCCAAAGCGAAGTTAAGCATGAAGATTTTGTTGAAGCCATTGGCGAAGTCCAAGCGAGGAAATCCAAGTCCGTATCTTTCTACGCATGAATAAATCCATAAATGAGTAAAATCGTTCATTAATTGTCATTTTTTAGTCGTATAAGTAAATATACCCGCCATTGCCCCCGCAAATGAGTTTGCTCGTCTCTTGTGGTGACCAAGCTACTGTAGTAACGGGCTTTTTATCGGGAACCTCAAGCTGCTTCAATTGATGCTTTGTTTTCCAGTCCCAAATAAACACCTGCCCTCGCGTATCCCCAGAGCAGATATAGCGACCATCAGGGGAAAATGTAAAGCCAATACCGTATCCTGCGCACTTGTGTCCCTCAAATTTTTTCTTAGAATGCCTTTTGTATTTGGGTTTCATTGAAAACGTGTAAATGACGTTGTCCATACTTTGGGCTGCAAAGTAATTATTCTCTGGATGAATTGCGATGTGCGGCATCGAGTATTGTGCGGTATCACTTATCTGTTTGATGGGAACGTTCACTTGGTTTTCCCAAATGCGTATGCTTTTGTCTTCAGACGAGCTGATGAGTTTAGATCCATCGGGGAAGTATTTTAGCGCAATGATTGATGATAGATGATGGTCATAAATTTGAACCAACCCATTCTTGTGGGGAACCCGTAAATCATAGTGTCTAATTTCGCTGTTTGATAATCCGACCACTAGCTCATTCGAGTTGGTTGGACGATACTCAACGCAGTTTGGCGTGCTAGAAAAGCTGTAGCGATATTTTACAGTCCCGGTCTCTGTATCCCAAATTTTCATGTTCTGATCAAAAGAAACGCTTACAAACTCGGCTCCGTCCTTGTTAAAATTGGCGTCTCGAATAACTTTGGTGTGCCCTTTATAATCTCGCAACAATTGGCGTTCGTGGTACATGTCCCAAATCTTGAGTTGATTGTCATTACCTCCTGATAGAAAAAGATGCCCGGTTTTCGGTAGCATTCGTAGCACGTTTGTGCCATTCCCATGTCCGGCGTACCTGTGTAGTAGTTTCTTGGGCAAGAAAGTGCGAAAAGATAGAGGTTCCTTCGTGAAGTCTATATTTTCTTCCATAGGAGGATTAAGGAAGGACCGGCCTTTATAATCCAGCTGTGATTGACCATGAAATTCACTTGTTTCTTGCGCCTTAGTCAGATTTCCTTCATCTTTTGAGTCGGGCTCATCATCATCTCGATAAACATCTTGACGATTGAGGATGCTGGAATTCAAATTTTGAGCTTCTTCATCTTCATCCGAGGATGACCACGAAGCCCATGGACTTTTTCGCCTCTTTTGTATACGCTTAATTTTTTGACCAACTTCTCCTTGTTTCTTAACTCGTTTTGATCTAGAAGCGTGTTGTTCACTGTCATCACTATCCTCGGATTGATGACCATTTCCGACTACTAGGTCGTTCGTTTCCTTTGTAGCACCTTGTGAACCCAACGGTTCGTCTGTATCAGATGATGAACTGTAGCCACCAACCAATGACATGGCAATTGATGGGATTCGAAGGGACTAGGTGAAGACTGAAGAGTAGTTTAACCGCTTTGACATTATATTTTGGAAAATGACAAGCATGATCAATTATTAAATATATAATATATAATTTGATTGCCATTTCTCAATATTTTAGGAGCCTTGTTGGCGCAATCGGTAGCGCGTATGACTCTTAATCATAAGGTTAGGGGTTCGAGCCCCCTACAGGGCTTATTTTTTGAAGCTTAGTTAATAAAAACAGCCAAATTATGAGAGCTCTTTCTGAGCAGACCTTACACTATCCAATTGCTGAACTTGAAACTCACTGTATATTTTGCTTTTGATATGTACAATAGATATGTTTGAACTTGATCTGGCAAGATCTAGTTTGACGATTTTTTGCTCTTTTTAGCTGACCGTTTCATCTTGCTAACGAGGCCTGCAACGTCAGAATTATTTTGAGCAGTTGCATCGAATTGTGCGCCGCTTCTTTTCTTAGCTTTACCTTTGTGTGAGCGTTTGTTTCTCTCTTGCAAAATTTGTTTCATTGCTGGCGTTTGCTTGAACTCAGGTTGAGATGGATCGATCGCAAAATCCCGATCCTCGAACATCTCGCTGAAACGTGGATCGTTGAGGTCAGGTTTGAACTGGTCGTCGGTGATCTTGCGTTTATCCTGAAACTTAGATTTCTTAGACTTCTCCTTCTCCGATCTCATAATTTCGTTCATGTTGAAATGTGCCTTTTTATTGATGCCCGAACCACTTCCTTCATTATCGTCTTCCATCATCAGCAATTCTAGTTCGGCAGCTGACTTGGAATCGGTGTTTTCGTTAGAATTGTATTTCTTTGATGTCCTTGACTCCTTCGATTTTTGTTTCTCATCAGACGATTGCTTCTTTAATTCCTTGATACGGTCCTTACGCATCTTACGGCGCTCCTTTTCCTTACGCCTTACTTTCTCTATTGTAGTTTCGTCTGTGTTTCCGTCTGCTCCCTCCTTTGAATCATCCGTTTCTGCCAACCCGGGAGCAAACGTTATTTGCATATCAACGTCGCTTTGTTCTTCATCCGATTTTTTATCGAAAAGAGAACGGTCACCAACCTGTGCTGATTGGTTGGCCAAAGCTTTGAGCTTATCTTTGAGATTTCCAGTGTCTTCTGGTTCGGATTCCTCACTGTCAGATGCCAAATATGCCTTGAAATCCATCTCGTCAAGTTCCTTTTGACTGAATGCTCTTTTGGCCATCGAAACACGGTCCGCAGGCGTTTCATCCCATGTGAGCTTAACTTTCGAATGCTGCAGCGCGTCGGTACTAAATTGTGCAGGCCTGTAGTTTTTGGGCAGCTCAGAGCATTCATCTCTTGGTTCATCGTCAAAGTCCATTCCGTCTGGAACGTATCTAAGATCGAACATGTTGGCGGTGGATTCGAACTCTGTGCCGTCGCAGTTTTTGTAGATAGACTCTGCTGTTTCCACATTTGTACAATTTACCACTGCATAGTAGTATCTGAGCCTTTCAAGTTGGTAACGACGCAACGACTTGACATCGTAATCATCAGCGTCACCTTCTTCGTACAGGTCTTTTACGTCCACATCTGAATCGCTTTCGTCGTCTTTGCTTCTCTTACTTTTCTTCTTGCTTGCGAAGATCTCCCTTGGAGGTCCCTCGATTTGCTCACGGTTCAACCGCTCTTTTCCAAACTCGCTTGGGTAAATGGAAATCTTGACTATTCTGCCACCCTTGGGAACGAAACTGGAAAATGTGATCATCAAGTCATCGGATTTGACATGGTCCCAGTCCAGATTAACCACCGCCAATGTCTTGCTACTTTCTCCCGATTCTGGTTTGCTGCCTTCGATCTCCACTTCGGATTCCTCACTTTCGAGATCGCTGTTGCTAGAGTCCGATTCTGATTCTGAAGATGACTCTTCATCCGAAGAAGAAGCATAATCGCTGGGAACTTCACCACGAGCTCTATCCAGACTGGTTTTCTTGCTTGCAGCTTTTACGGTTTTTTCGTCTTCTTCGCTGTCGTTATCACTATCTTCTTCGCTCTTGTCCTCTTCTAACTTCTTTGGGGCCTCCTCTTTTTCGTAGTATTTTTCGAAATCCTTTTTCTCCTTATTGTCCTGGCCTTTCAGACGCCGGCCATACTTGTCAACCTTGGCTTTCTTCTTGTATTCCAAATCTTGTTCGCTGAATCTATCATCTAGCTTGATCTTGAACTTTCTTGCTTTGGTCTCTCTGAATTTTGGGTCGCTGTGAACACCAGCGAACCTAGCATCCTCTGATTTTTGAGCGCTTGAACTCGACTTGTTTGCCATATTTGAATGGGCTTAAACTTGTTTCACTAGCTATACTTTTGGTGTTGTACACTAGGCGATGAGATGCGATGAGCTGGTAAAATTTGTATGCACTGTTTTTTTTCCAATGATTATCGCTGTACTGACTTAAGGCTCGATTGGACCGACGACAGCGTCAGGAAAAGAACGTGAACAAAGATTCTCAAAAACAGCTTTTGATGATTTTATAAACTCGACAGTTGTATCAGCAATGGATGAGAGTCTGTTCACTTGGAGAAATGTGCCCTTTTGAACCGAAAAAAATTGTTGACATACAAAGGTTCTTAATTAAAAGCGATGTTATAATTAAAGTGCAATTTTGGAACACATTGCGTCTCTTATCAAATCAAAGGTCTTTAATCAGGTATTGTGCTCTTTGCTTGCTTATCTGATGACTTTGGAGCTCACCTCGCGAACTGGAGCATGGAATAACCCCGGTGACAGCGGTTTTTTCATTGATAACAAAAACCTCAACAAATGCTGTCAAAGAACAACGCAAAATCCTGTCAAACTGTTTTTAATAGAAGTACAGATCCTTAATTTCTTGATAAAGTACTTTTGAAGATCCCCTACACCTATTTAACCGATAGTTCTCGATTGTCTCTCAAGTAGTCATGTGGCCCTCTGGAACAAGCTTTATTGGAGATGTGTTGTTAATCACCGAAAGCGGCCCAGACGTTACCAACATGAGGCAACAAAGACTCGGAATTTGCCAGAAAGCTCAACAACAATGGGTCAGACTGCATCGGCGAATGCCCCTTCAAACCTCAGCTATACCAGTGAAACAGATGTAATGATAGCTTACGATAAACGAGCTGTGAGATCTGTCAGTACTCCAGAGCTCACATCGTACAGGGCCAACATCAAGGGCAAAGCTCTCAATGACCCGGTCACAAAAGCAGAATTGGTAGATCTGCTTCGATTGCATGGCATCAATGACACACTCAGCACCCTGCTATTCAATTTTTTTCAAACGCTGTCAAACTTCCCTATGATCAAGGACTGTTACGAAAACGTCACATACGTCGGAGTTTTGAAAAGCTGTGTGTTAGTGAGCAAGCAGAGGTGCTTGAAATACGTGCGGGACAAATCGTACAACCATGTCAAGCTTATATTTATAGCACTGGCGCTGAGTAAGAATGTGAAAGAGGTTACTGGCACTCCTAGTTCCGATATATCGCTCGATGTGCCAGATATCATTTCTGGTTTTAACAATGTTCAGACCGATGAGCTCACGATACCTGCAGATTCAATGCTGGAGTTTGTTACCTTGATGCTGCGAATATCTATGCTAACTTTGACCAAAAACTCGACGCTTGATGTAAAACTTTCGGAGAAGTGGGACTCCTTCCGAACCTTCGCATTGAACATCGTACGAACTATGAACACTAGCATTGTAACCTCACAAGACACTTTAAAACATGTTATCGCTTATGAAGATTTCCAAGAGGTGGTATCTTCAACATGCCCAAACTTACTGCTGCCTCTAGAGATGTTGGTGGAGCACGTTTTATTCTTGGAAAGAGATCTGAAAGAACCACCGGCCTCAAACATTCCAATGGCGGAATCGAAACTTGTTACTGCACCTCTGTTATCTCAGCTTTCCACTTTCTGGCCTCGCGAGCTGGTCTTTTCAAAACTACAGAAGCTTTATGTAGGTAGAGACAACGGGTTCTCAATGCGCTCATTTCAAGCAAAAGTTTTCAAGTGGATGGCACCATCATTGCTGTTAGTCAATGGGATACGAATTCCTGACGACGATGAATACGCGAGGTCAAAAAATCATAGGTATCAAAACTTTCTAAATGACTACCCACGTCTCAGAGGTGAAGACCAGCAGCTTCTCCCACCGTTTGCCGGTAAAAAGAAGCTCCTTTTTGCTGTATACGTCGCTGAACCCTGGAAAGTCACCAATTCAGAGCTTTTTGGCGATACAAAGACGACCATTATACAATTGTCGCCGGTTCAAGAGATTTTCAAAGCTTCTAGACCTGAGAACATATGCTTCAATACACTGGGGGGTGGTATTGGAGTAGGAAGCTCAATTCCTGTCATTAAGAATTCTAACAGGCGGTATATGCCCGGAAACGTTTCGTTAAATATAGACCCCAACCTAGAGTTTGGGACTTTTAGAAACGTCGGACCTGGTGGCAGCATCAGTCCTGGATCTCTCACAACTGCCAGCAGTGAACACAAATTCTTGATACAGGATATCGAGGTTTGGGGGTGCGGCGGAGAAAAAGAATTAGAAGAGCAAATGAAGAATTGGGAGTGGGAAGAAGCTGAGGCTAAAAGAAGGCAGCGCATCAACCTGAAGAGTATCAATGACGACCGGGCCTTATTGGAATTGGCAGGCCTGGTCGGTCAAAATCAGAGTGGAGGTTCGGTTTGAATTGAATGCTACTAAAAAAAACATCAAATTTTAAGACCTTTGTCCTTGTCTTAACTATACACGTCAATCCAATCACTTTTTGGACTTGGTTTTCTTTACCAATCTCTTTTTTATGTGCTTCTTTACTTTGGTCTTCCTTTTTTCGCGTTTCGCATCCTTTGCGTCGTCCTTTCGTTGCTTCTTTACGTCTTTATCTTCGTGCTTTTTATGCTTGAGTTCTTTAGACTTTTCAACGTAATCACCATCCGATTCATCTTCGGTATCTTCTTCAGAATCGCTTTCGCCATTGTCACTATCCCCGTCATTTTCGTCCTCTTCAAAGTCGTCCTCATTTTCGTCTTCACTGGAAGACGAGAGATCGAATTGTTCAGATGCAGTGAAGTTCTTGGCGTTTTTCTTGTTGTCGTTGGCAATAAGGCTCTTCAAAAGATCGAATTTTCCCATTGTGAAGCGGTCAAAATCTCTTTCTTCCAGACCCCCCAAATTTCTCACCAAATGCAATGATCTAAACACCTCGTCCTCTGCCTCATCCTCGGGCGTGGTTTTGATTGGCAGATTTTTTGCCATGTATTCCACAAGATCTTCGGAAGAATTGTAGTCACCCATAAACTTTTCAAGCATTTCCGAGATGACGAATTGAAATATGATCCTTTCTGAGAAAATGTCGATAGAAAATCGTTCAAAAAATCCGTTGACGTTTTTGATATCCATTCTTAAAAAATCCAAACTCATGGGATGCTCTGGTTGCACACTCTGTGACACGTCAATGATGTACAGTCTCTTTTGATGGACGAGCGCGTTGTATTCCGACAAATCGGCATGCACCAAGCGGCAGTTCTGGTACAGCAGTCGCATATAAGAGATCATTGTGTGATAATAGTATGCTACATCTGCCGCATCTTTGAAAGGGTAATCTTTTAGTCTTGGCGATGCAAACCCATCACCTCTATTCAAAAACTCCATAATCAACACGTTGGACTTCACTTCCACCGGTTTAGGTGCAGGCACCACATTACTCTGATGAATCCGCTTCAAGTTACGGAATTCCTTCTCTGCCCAAACTTTGATCATTTTGCGTGGGTTGTGTTGAGACCGCGAGTTTCTGAAACGAAATTCACCGTCCACGTATCGTTCTCGGTCCTTGAACACCAGAATCGACGTTTTGAAAATCTTGATCGCCAATTCGCTTCGTTCTTTGTCGCCGTTTGATCCTGTTCCTGAGTACGCATGGTACACATTTGCTTCTTTACCAGTGCTGAGACATCCGTTGAACTCTGAAATCACTCCTCGCGAGGTCAACGCTTGCAGGAACCGCATGGTTCGCGGATCAAGCACATTTTCCACTGTAGCCCTGTTGGCCTTGTCCTTTGTAGTCTTTTTCGTCTTACCTCCAGAAAGCTCATCGGTCTTAATGTTTTGCGCATGTTTGTCCAGAACTTGTGTGTTGATATGGTCGATATGGGTATCATTTTGATCCTCGAGATCCAGGCTTTCCAACTTGCTACTTAGACCTACCATTACTCTTTATATTGGTTCGCTTTCCACCGCGATGAGCTAACTTTCACCTTTGATGAGATCTTAATTCAGGTTTTCTGAATATTTTCCACTTTATATAGATACTAGAAAACCGTACCATAGATTTAGTCAACCGCTCAACTCAAACACAAGTTCGAAATAAACAACGTTCAAGAAAGTATATAAAGCCAGCATTTTGCCCAGCCTTTATCCTGTCTTTTGAAAAACACTTGAATCTCTAGTTTGTTGTATAAAAGACCATGGTACATCTTCCAAAAGTATGTGTTTTTTAGTGTATCTCGAGAGTTGTCTTTTAGTAAATTGTGTACATCGCTGGGTCAGAAAACGCCAGTTTACCTGCTCGAAAGAGTTTCTAAAAGACCGCCAATCCGTCCATATATTAACCAAAAGTATGCATGCTTTTTATAGTCGTTTTTAGGTTTCTTCCCGCTGTATCTGGGCGTTGAAATAGCGCTTGGTATCACCATTCTCAACAAATGCAGCGGAGTGTACGGTATTTTGGGCCTGATCACAGGCCATAATCTGGACTTCATGCAGTGGCTGTTGTATATAACGTCAATTCTACAGCTGGTGATGTATTCGAAGGTGCTGAAGCATATCTATAATCCACAAGTGCTGCTATTTTCGCTGGCTCTAGTGGTGTACTGTTTAGACACACTGCTCACCTGTTTCTTCACATTGTGGTTTAGCGGACAGTGGTTCTCGGCCAAGAACCGCGAGTTTGACAACCCAAACTCGCAAACACACCAGTCCGCTAACCCAGGGTCGTCGTCGAAGTTGAGATTACGGGGCGACTCATTGACCTCTCAGAGCGCATCTCAAAGCACCGAGTTTTTTTTCACCATTCTACTAACATTGCTGGCACTAGCGTCCAGATTCTACTTCAATTCTATTCTACTAGCCTTCGTTCAAGGCCTGATCCGGCATCCTAAATACTCATTGGATATCGACGATGTTGAACAAGACTTGAAGAACCAAAACTGGCTGATCAGAAATTGGAAAAAAGCTCAATACATCAGCTACAAGTGGTGTCGTCATTATCTTGCATAGAAGAGGAGTGCACCTCTTACAGTCCTATTAACTTTGTTACTTCGAGTCTGAGAGGATTCGGCATCGCATTTTGCTAATGACAAGATGATATAAAAAAGGACCATTCAAGTCGAAACGAAAACTTTTGGGTATGTGTTGATGTGTGAGGCCAACTAGCTGCAATGTCTACTGTTTTGAAAACCTGTACTGCTACTGCTACTTTGAATACTGGATCCAAGATCCCACTTCTGGGTCTAGGAACTTGGCGTTCGACCAAGGACAAAGGATATGCTGCTGTTCGGAAAGCTCTTGATGCTGGTTACCGCCATATCGATTCTGCAGCGGTATGCATGAACGAGCAGGTTATTGGCAAAGCGATTCGAGATTCTGGGATTCCAAGAAATGAGGTGTTCGTCACTGCCAAATTGTGGAGTACTCAGCATCGCCAGCCGGGGAAAGCACTTGAACAATCATTGGACAGACTGGGACTTGACTACGTGGATTTGTACATTATGCATTGGCCTCTAGCGTTCAAGACTGACCGTCTCAGCTCAAAAAACTATATGGTTATCCCAACCAATGCCGAAAAAAAGCCTGACGTGGACACTGATTGGAATCATGTAAAAACCTGGGAATTGATGCAGTATTTGCCTAAAAGAGGTGGTACAAAAGCGATTGGAGTTTCTAATTGTTCCATTAGGCATCTAAAGGAAATTTTAGACTCACAGGGCAATAAAATTGTTCCAGCTATCAATCAAATCGAAGCACACCCTTTTCTTCCACAAGACGATATGCTTGATTTTTGTCACGATAAAGGCATAATTATGGAAGCGTACTCACCTTTGGGCTCCGATGGAGCTCCTTTTCTAAAAGAGCCAGTCGTTAGAGAAATCGCGAAACGCTACCATGTGGACACCGCCCAGCTACTTATTAGCTGGGGCTTACAAAGAGGATACGTGGTTTTACCGAAATCCACTAACTTGGAAAGAATCGTGTCCAACTCGCAAACCTTCGAACTTGCAAAGGAAGACTTTATAAGACTTCACGAACTTGCCCAAGAGAGAGGAACAAAGAGAGTTCATAGTCCACCGTGGTTTTTTTTTGAATGAATCGAAAGAAAAATAAATTGTGTATGATTATATGCTGTGCTAGTTATGTGTTTAGTGTCGTCACCTCTAGTTGTACTTTCACATTTACTTCACCTTTTTCGTGAGCGAAATCTAAATTTTGGCTCATCGTCACTATCGTCACTATCGCCCTCGCTGTCAACACCACCACTACGCTGACGTCGACTGTTCTCAGGATATGAAATAGGTTTACTATGAGTGTTCGGAACGCTTGCAAAACCTGGCCCTACCGCGTCTTTATCAGAAAACAGGTTTTCGGTAGCTTGCTGCTGTGAATCATCCTCATCGATAATGAAAAGTTCTTGTTGGTTTTCCGACTGGAATTTTTCAGGAGTGGTATGCGCTGCATGTGTGCTTGGCCGCTGACTCGTAAATTCAAACACTTGCTCGTCATCTTCGACCTGTACTCCAAAGTCTATGCCATTTTCAGATGCGATTGGCTCCTCAGTGTTGCTTTGTCTGGGATCTAGAACCATGTCTTCCACTGGTGGAGAAACCCTTCGCGGATCGAATTGCTGCATTGGAACATAATCCCTGGTGATCATGTAGGCTTTGTTTCGAATAGCATCATTTACAGAGCCGGAACTTGATCTCGAAGAGCGCTGGGGCCATATCTTGACAAACTTTTTAAAATTCTTCCTTCCACTCCATGGCGCATTGGCATCCGTTGTAGTTACACGACTAACGTCGTTTCTGCTTCTTAGCAAGTCTGTTGATTCCACAATAGCAAGATTGTCTAGCTGCATGAGGGCCTCCTCGGTGAGTTCCCCTCCTTGAACATCTGCCATCTTCTCCTTGATTCTATCCACCTCGTGCGATTTTGCTTCTTGGATAGCACGAACAAAGGAGCCAGGACGAGTGCTATTCCTTAAAGTAATACCGTCCACTGCATGTGCGCTATCCCCTCTCGAGCTTCCAAACGAATAATTGGGAGCGGCAAGTTTTTCCATTCTTGATTCTTTATTGATGCTGTCATCGATGTTGTCATTTCTATTTTCGAGTTCAGCGACGTCAGTAACAGAAGGGCTCGAGGGAATTGTGGGGCTTTCTATTGTGTGCCGCTTTGAGACTGCAGATGATTGCCCGTCTTCATCTTCAGTGCTGTTGTGAGCTCGTTTTGACGGAATTGCATTTTCACTTTCGGATGGCATGACGCTTAATTCTCTGGCCTTGACATCATGATCAAGACGTGGCTTCTTGGGTGTCGGTTGCACTGCTGCGTCTTCAACCATGAGCTGCTCCTCAGAAACAGCCGTCTTTCCAAGTTGAGGTTGTTCACCTGTCGCTTTAGTCTCCTGAGATGCGATAGAGCTGCCACCGCCAAAAAAAGTCAAACTATTAAGTGGCTGAACTCGTTGCCGATTGAATTTCCTCTTTTTCAGTGTACTATTCATTGTATCTTGGGAAACACTTATGCCTCGCTGTTCCGAACCTGAGTCGACCCGTTCTGGACTTGCAGCATCTGGAGTATTTTCTTGCACAGAAATACGCCGCAGCAGTGGCGTAACGTCACGGTTCAACACAGCATTGACAAGATCATTGACGTCAAATACCCCTAGACCAATCTTCTTTGCACCGGCCTTCAACGATTTCGCCTCTTGAATCTCGTCTAAACCATTGGACTCATCTCGACTTAGTACCGACGAGCTGACGTTGTTAAGGTGCACCAGTATGACGACGTTATCAGAGCGCACCTGATATTTGACGAAAGACTCGAGATTTGCAACGCCGTCACACATCCAAAGTGTACCCTTCCCAGCGTCTACGATGTGTTTAAAAATGGCAAAAACTTTCCTGCTGGTGACCACAAAGTTGAGTGTTTGGAAAATGGAAGGAAATGGCACATATTTTGGAAACAGAGAATTGTTTTCCACAAGCTCCCTCCATCGCTCATCAAAGTTGGTATGAATATTGTCTAACTGCTGCAAAAAATCAGATATGATTGTTTCTCGAAGGACTGGAATTCCAGAAACCAGAGCAAACAAGCAATTACCGTAGTTGCCCTCTCGCTGCTTGACGATTTGCATTGTTGTATTTGGAGAAAGTGTAACGGCGGCATCGATCCCATAAAGACTCAATTGCTGCTTCACCGACTCAGCCATCGATATGTCGTGCGGAATTTTCCACAATGCATTCTCATAAGTTAAAATAGCTACGATGGGTTCAGCACCTAGCTCAAACGTTGTTTTCGACGTTGGCGAGAACTTTGCTGTGTGACCGACTTTGACATGTTTCCCATTTATTTTTGTCAACTTCCCGGTGTTGATAACGTTTAGAAAGTTTTTGTCGTCCGTTTCAAGTTGGAGGTGGCTTCGAGATATGCTTTTATCGTTTTTAATGTGTAAAGGGCTTTTTGTCGACCTTCCGATGTCGTAACGAATCGCTTGTTTCAGACAGCATGAGCATTTGAATTGAGTTCCATCCTGGCCTTTACATTCAAACCTCAGCACCCACATATAAGCCTCATATGTGCGCTTTATACCTCGTTTAATGTTCTTTTGGAAAGTTAACCATGTAGTTAAGTTCAGACATGAACACCATTTATATATACACTTAATCAGCCATTATTTCGAAAAACTGACATCGAACAGACAGAAAGGGTGGAAGAATGTTATTTTTGGGTCCAAGCAATCAACTACATACGTGAATACCATCTAAAAAATTGTTGTCGTTTTTTCGGATTGTTCCTGGCGCTATTCTGGAGTTCGTGAAGCAATTATTCGTGATTTTGTAGCTTTTCAGAATAGTGACAAAGAAACTCCAAAGGAGAAACCCGGTTTTGCCACATCCTGGACTCTGTTGGTGATGGGTAGTGCATATGTCAGATCCATGTTTGCCACGGAACTCTTGTAAAGTAGCGAAAGCCCTGAACTGGCTGCATAGGAAAAGGTGGAAGGTTTTCCTGTCGTAACATCTCCGCCATTGAGGAAGAATTGAAGACGCAATGGGGAGTTAGCTGGAGTGCTGGGAAGCTTGAAGGAAGAAGCCAACTGTAGCTTATAGAAAAAATCACCACCCTTTGTCCCGACCTCGTTCCGGTTGAAACCCTTTAGACTTGACAGTCCGCCCAAGTAAAACCTGTCCATATGGTGAACTTTACTTGCAGTTTCGCCAAGACTAATTATTCCTCCAAGAGCAAAATCTAGCGAGTTGATCACTTTGTTTTTGAAAAATGAGCGCTGCGCCTGTAGCGTGAGTGCAAACTTGTTGAAGCTACCCTCATCACCTGTGTTAAAATCCTGCTTTTGCGAAAGCACATATTCATTGTTCACAGCAAGTTTCACACCAGATGATGGAAATAGTCCGAAAAACTGTCTGTTGTCAAACAGAAGTTGAGACACTAAGCTGTTTTTCACATATGGACTATCAGCTGCAGTAGCCGATAAAGGATCTTTGAAATTTCTGGCCACGATAGAAAGGCCGTTGTAAAAAGTAGGAATACACTTGAATTTGCCCGAGAGCCATGCCTTTTGTACTCCAATGTTGACAGATGCCTGGTTTTGTAGTGTGCGGTCTTGAGACTCGAGAAATTTCGCGTCGCGGAGATCGATTTTAGCATAGTTGGCATCAATCACAGCCTTGACAGATGGATTTTTTTGAAGGGGAACCATAAATTTGGCCTCTAGCGTATTTTCATCCACAGAGCCTTTGAAAGGTACAAATCTGACCTGGTTTTGCAGCGTTAAGATTTCAGCCCTTCCAAGAGCATTTATCACTGAATAACGACTTCCAAACGCAGAGATTGAATCGCTGGTTGTAGAGGTGGCGGTGACTTTGTTCCACTCCATGGGTGCAAGAACAATTTTAGCGGCTGTTGGAATTGGACTTTCGAGACTATAATCCCTTATGGCATCTTCTGGAAGTCTGTCTAATCTTGATGCATCTGCTTCTTTGTCCAAAACCACTTTTACGTCTTTGAAAAGTCCGGTAAATACCAATTTGCGCTTAATGTCTGAAAAATGGGCCACTGATTGCTCCAAAGTTAGCAAGGGCTGCGAAAGTACCGGTTCAAGCACCGACTTGAACATGGCGTCCGACAACGGACTAGATCTGTTGTCGCCATCTACCGTCACGGAAGTGATGAAAAGCGGCTTCAAATTGGAATTGTGGAAAGGTGCAGTTTTGAAATCTTGGTCATGACCCAAAAATAAATCTAAACCGGTCATTTGAGTGTTACTTGGTCGTTTGGTTAGGAAAATACCCTGTTGTAATGCCCATCTTCAGATACGATCTTGCTGGACCTGAAATTCTTAATATGCCAGGTAAAAAGTGACTGGAAAATGAAAACACGTGACCTCATGCTTTCAGGATATAATGTTGAGATGCATTCGGGTATTGATATGTAACAATGAGCCGAATGTCATCCCAAAATATGTCCCGTTAACGCTGCAATACCAACGAGATTTGAACTCTCTTCAATTGAGACTTTGGCAATCTAATTCGTTTGTCACGTGATATGGAATGACAACCCCAGCGTCGGTGTCAGTAAACTAGCCATGCTCAGCGAGCTTGGGCTTTCAACGATCAAATACGAAACAATTGATGTTTCTCGATGTGCCAAATATTCAGAAAATTGTGTTGGGTGGCATTTTGTCGAGTTTTCTTAGCTTCAACATTAGCGTCTTGGTTACCGTCAGTTTAAACGACGTGTGGGACCTGGCTTCTGGGGTGTCGGGCACTAAGTTTGCTTCTACAAGTTTTTGGATTGCTTTGAATAGGTGACGAAACCATTCAATCGAAACGTTTGCATTGTAGTTGTATTTTTGAGGCAGAAATTTCAGGTTCGTGTTATTGAATTTGCGGTATAGTTGAGCTCTGGTGTAGCGTTCGAACGTGGTTAACTGATTGTAATAGGGATCTCGAAGACCAATCAGGAGAGTTGTACTCGGTATCAGAGAAGTCTGAATCCACATACGCAACAGTTTCTTGCGATGGTGAGAAGATTTTGTCTTCAGCCCTGTGGAGCATTTGATTTCTGTGTAAGTATTAGAGACTGGCTCTAGAGCATCCATTTCGGCTTTGAACAAGCATTCGAGATCGGAGTCTATTTTACCGCATACAATTGAGTAGAAAGCGGACGATTCAGTGGGCTCTTTGGCCTTGGTAACGAGATGTTCGAGCTCAAACCCAGTGTAGCATATTTTTCGAGTTCTTGGATCCTCAGAATTAATCCCCATGGATCCAGCGCCAGCTTGTCGATCAGGGAAAAGATATAGGTATCCGTCATAGTGTATTGCATTTAAATGAATGTCTTGATCAGAAAAAGGCGCCATAATAAGGTCTATCATGTTATGTCTGGAGCACACAACAGTGAGTTTCGATTTCTTGTCCTTGTCATTTCGCTGTGCGATGAATTGCTGCATGCCGCGCATATCTTCTAGCTGGTCCACAGAGACCGGTGTAAAAGTATCGTAGTTTTCGAGCATGTCGTGGCCTATGTAGTTGGAGACACTGGAGCGGCTGCCATCTCTCACAAAACACGAAACGTCGTCTTTCAAAAGTGCAAGTCCATCGCGGCAGTTGAGAGTGAACTTGTCTTGGTCAAGGACCTGAGTGAGGCCACAAAGCTCTTCCACATCTGTGAAGAAGGAACGTGGCTGAGGTGACATCTGCGATGGGTGCGTATGCTTAAAACTCTTGCAGTTAATTTCCCACTCCGTGGCCCTATCTGCAAGGCGGAGCCCCTCCAATTGGCTTACCAGATTGTTTGCCATTGGCCGAAGATGAGTGAGTGCTACAGAGCTGCAAATATCTATCCATCCTGCTAGCTTGAGTACTGATGAACACCGCTAGACTATTACTTTTACACGTATATCAATGTGTATCACTATATACGCGCCAAGTTCTTTGGGTGACTCAATATTCTAAGGTCAGCTAGCTCAACAAGGCATCTGGCCTGTGGCTTATCGTTGGCAAGGAAATCTGAGTCCAAGCCTGAAGTTTCTGTTTCGAGTGTGGCCCCTGTCGCCATTATTGTTTCTACCTTCTTTTTTTCTGTAAAGAGGCCTTCTATTTGAGTTGACCAAAGTAGTACACATTTTTACAAAGCTCATCATTGCGCTCTGACTCTTCTCAACAATCAGCTAAAATACACAAGAATACAGCATATTCTAAAGAGTAACATCTAAAACTCAAATGATCACTATTTTACTAAGTGACACCATGCCAAGACCCTTATTACATAATCTTGCATGATCTGAGCGGCTCGAGAAGCATCATGTGACATACGTCATTAATTAAATTCAAATTAATTTCCACCCAAGAAATTCCGAGGTCACGTGACTGAAAAATAGCGCTGCAATAGAAAAAAATTGCTTGAACGTTAGGACAATGATGAGTGATCGCACCTGGACAGTGATCAGTCCTGGCCCGTAATTTAAACTTGTTTTCTCTGCCAAATCACCGGACGTGCAACGCTGTTAACCTGTAACTATTTAATTCGATAAGAATCGTGCAGGGCTCTGTATTTAATGACGGGACTAGTGAGATATATTCCCAAGAGTTCTCTATGGCTCTGTCCGATGTTTCTAATCGGTTCAGACCTGATTGCGAATTTGTACGGTAGCGATAAAGGACGAAATAGTGTCTCTCGTCAGGTCCAGCGCAAGGGCAAGAAAATACTTGGCTCGCATCGGTCTCGACCAGCAAGACGCCGAAATGGCAAATCAGATGCAGATCGCGGTATTTCACAGAAAATTAGCGAGTTTGAATGATCGTTTCTTTAGCGCGGGCGCGAGAAAGTTTATGGAGTCAAATGGAAAGTGCTATTGGGACCAGGAGGTTGTCCATTTTTTTTCAGTCCGGTGACAGACACAGCAACTTAACTTCAAGCCAAAAATGAGACTTGGTTAGCTCATGTTGATATGAGATAATAAGGAACGCAAAATTATCGACGATGGGGTTGTTTCTTCTAACTTTCTTTTGGGAGTTTATCTTCTGGTTCTCACCATAAGAAGCCTGGCAAATACACAGCCATGTATTTTCATTCGCTTCGAGTTGTAGTTTTTTTGCATAGCCCGATGGGAACTGAAGATAGCGGAAACTCACAGACGTTAACGAAGCATCAATCAGCATGCTGAATGATAACACTTTCGGCTGTTACCAGCCGATACAAATGCGTATCAGGAAATGAGTAAAAATTCTGTTTCTATAATTCGAAGCTATTTTCTAAGGTAATCCAATCCGGTCCTGTAGATGCTTGATGGGAAAGCTTCTGCGTGGAATACAAACTTTGGAGAGTTTAAATGTGCCAATTGCCATTACAACGCGATCGCAGGTATCATTCCGAGGTCCGGTTAGACCTTTACTGAGTTTTCATTGAGACTTAACGTGCTGTACATCTTCATTTACTAAGCTATGCGTATGGGATAAGGGCCCATCACTTTTTGGAATGCTTGTCACTGTCGAGTCACATGTTTCGCTGTTGTTCACCTTCCATGCGACGCTCCTGTTGAGAACCAGTGGTAATTTCTTAATGGATAAGAAAGCACCCTAGGCGAGTGGTTTACTCGATTCGAACTCTGATTTCAAAGTAATCATGACAGCGGAGCCCTTGTTATAATTTTTGTAGTTACGAGAAACAGAGGTATGAAATAACCTGGGCATGAAGTGAATCGGTGGATACCAAAGGACGTGAGATTTTGCACAAGGTTAGAGACCGAGAGGTAAAATTTACAGCGTTTGTTCGCATTTCGGAGACTCATTAGTTCTTGTCAATTGTGCGCTATCTTAATCACTTTGGTCCACATTGTCGCTGGTTCTCCTCACGTGACACATTATTCTTAATAAATGCGCTTTTTCTTTGGTGAAATGCTTGAGTGTGGAATTCAAAGCCTCCGTACTCATTTGAAAGAGCTCATAGCACAGCCCATGGATATTCAAAAACTCTGCTTTCAAAGCTTTCGCTGGAACCCGTAATATAAATCACAAATCACTTTGTACTAGACTGTCATTATTTCATGAGAACTGTTCCATAGCTCCAAAACCTTTCCCGAGAACGTGCATTTCTCCCTAGATAAGTTATGGGGCAATGGAAAGATGCGTAAGCTCTTTAGAGGCACAAAACAATCACCCTTCCGTTCAAAAAACCAAAAACCAACACCATGAAACCGATATGGTTTTTATATCAATTTTCATCGTATAGCCACTATATCGCTTCAAATGCATCGTCTATTCTTATAGTATTCAACGAGAAATTGTTATCTACTGCCAAGCTAACGTGATAGAGAACGATCTATGATCACGTGACGTTTAATCCCACTCATTTACTTCTATGAACCTATTTATGTTAGAGCATGCATATACGACTAATATCAACGATGTCGAAGTTGTACAACTTTATCCGAGCACTTTTGAGGAGTTGATACAACCGGTTCATATTGTACCGCTTGATTGACACACTACCGGTGAGAAACTTCAATAGAACATATCCTAAAAAAACATTCGCAAAATGGTGGAATGGGCCGTAGTTATTTTCGACAAAAAGGGCAGCGACAGAACCAAGTTGAGACCTGAACACCTGGAAGGTGTTCATTACCAATACGGTAAGGGTGTTTTGAAATGCGCTGGTGCAATTTACCACAATGTTGGCGATGACGGCAAATTAAGCGAGTTTGCGGGTTCCCATCTACAAATCGAAGCACCAACCAAAGAAGACGCTTTGCAAGTGATTTACAACGACCCTTTTGCCAAAAACGACATTTGGGATCTTGAAAACATTATTATCTACCCATTCGGCTGCGCTGTTCGTGCTGCTAAATGAGTAGCTCAGGCTTTGATGTAGATATTGCGTTTTGTAACATTTAAATCAGCTTCTTTCCAGTTCATCGTTGTTTCTTCGAACAAAACCTCAGAAGAAGATTTCATTAGTATAGCGCTTGACGTATATAGTTGGTTTGAGAAGAATGCAATAAAAATCGCCGTCAATTCGTCTAGTATATCTCTGACTAGTATGAGACGCCGATCAAGTAATCTGCCAGTTGCTCGACAATCTTGGTGGCCTCACCAGCTTGCACTCCTGATGGATAATGGGTCACCAGGATCGTCTGCTTCGTACGTACGCAGACCACGCCCTCGGCCTCGTGTCTCCCGTAGATACTTCTGTCGTCAGCCCTGATCAACATGAATTTCTGGCCCTGAACATGCAGACCCGTGCTCTGCAACCCTGAAGGGTTCTCGAAACCCTGTGCAATTTCCAAAATTTCGTTAGAAGGTAAGTTCAGCCCACCAGACGCAGCCCACAACGAGTCTCCAGCTCTTGAGTAGATTGCGGCTTTGTCAATTTTGCCAGTTCCAATAAGGTTGTCAGTGTAAGCTGTCATTTGCATTACATGTTAGTACCCAAATGAATCAAAAATGGTCGCAAAATGACCGGTTTTTTTTCGTTGAAGACCCTAAACGTATGGATACGTACCTTGCCAAGACATGAGGAATCAAATGTGTTTGGGATGTGTGTCTATACCAATGACAGAAGTGCTTGTCGGAGAAAAGTGTGTCGAACGGTTTGACATTTGCTAAGTTGGCCATTATTATTATATATGGAAACCTACTAAATACGTTTTGATCGTTATTGACGACTATTTGTGCGGGTAATGAATCAGTGTGGTGTACGGATGTTGGGTTTTTATCTCACTCATCGTCTTCGTCATCATCATCTAACACAGCTATTTTACGTCTCTTGAGCAACGCTGAATCGTCCTTTTCTTCTTCATTGTCCTCACGATACTGAGCAGCTCCGCTTTTCTTCAGTTGTCTCAAACGTTCCGCTTTGGCGTCGTCGTCACTTTCGTTGTCGCGGTCTAATTCTTCTTCCTCTTCCTCTTCCTCATCCCCATCCTCATCCTCATCTTGGTCTTGATCATCATTTTCATCTTCGTCATCCACCATGAACCCATCCTCCTCGTACTCATCGTATTGGCCACGACGATCGCGGCTGGCGGTATTCGCACGCGAGGATTTTGTCATCATACCGGTAGGTTCTGGCGACTCCAATCCCTCACGCTCTTGTTGTTCGCGCAGCTGTCTTTTCCTTCTTTCACGTAGAATTTGGCTTTGCTTGCGTTCTAGTTCTTTTTGCTCGAGTTCTGGATCCACGCGTGTGATATATGTGTTGGGGCCCTGGTGCTCACGCTTTTCTTTACGTGCCACGGCCTTCGTGAGCCGTTGATGACTCTTCGAACTCGTCGATGTAGGGATGAAAATCATGGTCTTGGCAATATCACCGCCTCTCACAGATTGAATAAGTTCCTGTTGGTCGTGGGAAACTGCCAAATACGTGTCACCGGTATCGTTTATTAGCAGATCTGTATACTCGTCGCCCAACCGTAGCGAATACGAGCCATCCGACCATTGTACGATTTGCGAGTTCGATTCCTTCAGTACGTTCTGTTGCTCGTCCCTTGAGTATCTCCACCTCACTGTGTTTTCGTCTATGAGCCTATCGTCAATCTCGTCTTCGCGAGACTTCAATTGAGCCGTTCGTTGTTTCACTTTTTCCTGGAAAGCAGGGGGATCAAACGGTATGGGATCTATGGTTAAAAGTTCTGGGATTTTGGCGTAAAACAAACCTTTTTCTCCACCCACGGGAGCCGTAGGGTACGGAACAATGTGTTTGATAACGTCCACGTCAGCTTCTCTAAACTCGCGCGGCGTTTCTTCATCAGAGTCCCCCGTAGCATCGCCGTAAAACTTCCGGTTATACATCTCCTGCTCGTTATCCTCGCCTTCCACCATACGGCTGTCTCCATCTTCTTGGTTGGCGCCAGTATCCTCTTCGGCCAATTCCTTGTCACTTTCGTCACCAAACAAATCCTCCATTTCCTCCGGTTCCACCGCGACTTTTGGACTGTTTATTGGCTCTTCAGCAGCCGCTGACTCCCTAGAAAACTGGGATTCTTCTGCAGGGCTTGACATGTCTGAATTGATGGTTGTTTAGCCTAAACTTAGTTGTGTAAATCTAGCTGGTCCTTTGGTCTTCAATATCAACTAACTTAATTGAATCATTTTTCATTTATTTGACCAACACGGACGACAGTTTCGCCAAAAACGATTGGGCGAAACCTCTGAAGAAGGCGAAACCTGGCATCACCGCTTAAAAGTATTTAAGGCAGCTTCACAACAGCGCTGTTCAAATGATGTTGACTTTGCCTACGTTTCTGCTTGAATTTTCAGTGAAATGCTTGAATTTTTGACTCTCAATTGGCTTAGTTTCTAAGACATGTTGTTTCTGAACGAACGACTGACACTAAAATTAGCGGTGCTTCTGTGCTTCATTGGATTGATTTTAGAAGCACTATTCATCAGGCGTATAATTGACTTGGCAGATAGGAGGATTCTATCCCACATCTATAATACCAAACTCCGGAGCCACAGCATGCTGAGTATCGAACAGGACAGAAATCACGAATTAGACTACCGTGATGACGGTTATGTTGCGGGAGTATACTATTCTAATTGGTCGCCATACCCTCCAAGAAACCATTTCCCGCACGACATTGACTTCCGGCAGATTTCGCATGTTTTTTACTCGTTTTTCTTGGTAGATGCTAAGTCGGGACGGTGCATCAGTAGCGATGAGTATTCGGACACTCAATTGGACACGTATAAGCAATTAGAATATTCCTCTCAGAAACTGAATTTAGGCGGTGCCAAAAAAGCCCTACCACAACACAATAATGCAACAGGTCAGAATAAGCTACCCTTGGGTTGTTTGGGAGAGCTATTCTATTTGAAATACACCAATTTTCTGCCTGCCAAAGGTGGTCCATCAGGAGTGAACAATTTCAAAACTATCATGTCCGTTGGTGGATGGTCCAATCGTGCTGCCTTCAAAGCACTTGTCGCGGATTCGACAAAGCTACAAGTATTTGTAGAGTCTTGCGTTGAGAATATGTTCAAATTTGGCTTCGATGGTATCGATATTGACTGGGAATTCCCAGAAAACGATTCGCGGGAACCTGCAGTATTTCTGAAGCTATTGAAATTACTGCGCACCAAGCTTACCGAGCTAGAGAATGCCATATTTGGATTGAATACTACCCATCAGCATTTTGAGCTTACTGCTGCCATCTCTGCTGACCCGTCGACGTTGGAATATTTACCTCTGGCGGAAGCGGATTCGTGTTTGGATTATTTTAACCTGATGGCTTACGATTTCAGCGGCAGCTGGTCTGAGCAAACTGCATACCAGAGCAATCTCTACAATGGTCGACAGCCCCTGCATGCAAGAGATATAAGCGGAACAAGCACTAATCTGAGCGTGGACAAAACTCTTCAAATACTAGTCCATCAATGCAATGTACCAGTCAAGAAGATAGTGTTAGGCATGCCAGCATATGGCAGAGGATTCAAAAAGGTTTCTTATCGAGACGAAATTGGTACACTTGCGATCAATAGAACGTTTCACGGAATTCAAGGCACATCCAAGGGAGAAGAAGGTATTTCACTCTACAAGTCGCTGCCTGGCAAAGGAAATAAAGAGTTTTTCGACAGCGATGCCGTGTCAGCATTTTGCGTTAAATCCAAGTCTTCCAAGAAATCTACCGAACTAACAGTTTATGATAATCCAATGTCGATGCTGAGGAAAGCACAATACGTTCAACAAAATGGATTGGCCGGAGGATTTTGGTGGGAATCGTGCGGCGAAGATTATACAAACCCAGAACGCTCACTAACAATGCGTTTTACTCAAGAACTGAAAACTATTAGAAAGGCAAATTCGACAATTTACAAACAGCCAGAAGTAGCCCAGTACTATAAAAGCCGTTTCGGCCAAGACTTTTTGTCATCAATTCTACAGACATGATCAGTGATCAAATATTGATTTTGTCGTTGAGAACGCAATCTAGCACATACTTTTTTATGCTTTCGTCTAGTCTTTCGAGATCTATAGCAGTAGTAGTCCTACAATAGAGTGTCCATTCTCGAGAAAACTTCAAAAACGCCTGCAACTACCTCGAGCTGTAGCTGTGCGTCCGGATACTCTGCTACCTCTTCTTGTACGTCACTGTTCAAGTTAACTGCGATACCCGTTTCCGTTTGCTTGTCAAGAGCAAAAGGAAATTGCGAAAATTGAGCCAAAATTTCGTCAGCACGAGTGAAAGCACGGTCCCTTTTCTCGTAGTCCAGACTCGAAAGAACGTTTTCCAAAACATTGGCACCGTGCGCTCCACAAATCAATGACAGAGTTCTTATAAGTTTGAACGAAATCGATTCAGTGAAATAATCGTTGAAATTGAGTTGCACGCTTCTCGAAACGAGCACTGAAAGTATTCTGCGCTTTATCGATTCTTTGCAGCTGTTATCTACAACTGGATGTGTGGGCATATCAAAGAGGAAAAAGTTCTTCAATTCCGTTCTCAGAACACCTTTATCGACAAGTCCTTTGGCAAGACGCTCACGCACTTGTTTGAGCTGGTAGCTGATCTTCATGAAATTCCAGGTCTCGCCGCTTAGCAGATCGATCCAGTTAGCTATTGTTAATGGCTCATCTTTTTTCATCAAGTTTAACGCCTCGTCTAGCAGCACTTCTCCTGTCTTGGTCCCGTTGATAACCTCCACAAGTCGTTCAGAAATGTCAAACCTTTTTCTGGCCGGATCGTTCACAACCTGAATTTTGCCTCTGAGTGCTAGTTCAATGAGAATGCATCCACGAAGAGCATATGAAATGTTGTCGTTCCAAAAAGAAAGATAACCTTCTTTATCCTTCAATCCCATCAGCAAGACTTCTTCCATCAGCGTTAGTTTCGGAACCTTAACGTTATTTTTCAGCATCACTTCTTCTGGATCATAAGCGATTCTTCTTGTTTGGCCTTCTTCCTCCTCTTCTAACGAGCCAGACCGGTTTTCTTGATTTTCGTTGCTGACATCTGGTGAATGGTTTGAGTCAGATTTGTTGACGCGTCGACGCTGGAGACCCGACATTCTCGTTTTTAGATCAAAAACACCTTGCAGATCCGCAGAATATGAACTTCAAAAAAAGGTTCAGAATTGAAGCTTTTTCGAAACTTGAATTTCACAGTTCTGGCTATATCAAGTTCTGTGATGTAAAATTCTACCAAAATGTGCCTGAAGGACCTGTTCAGATGGTATGCGATCAGTTTGTCTAATGCTCAGATACCCTATTTGCTGCCTTAGATGGAGTTTGGTATACTTTTTCAGATATACTGTAATATCGTGTTCGTTCAATGTGATGATAATTAGTTTCGAGGATCATGTGACATTAAGAGTAAGATCCAGCTAGTTCAGTAGTTGCTTTACAGGCCCAAAGAGCTCACCAATCATTCTTCAACGACCCTTTTCAATGGTTCGATAACACTTTCTTGCCCTTTTCTGACGTATACCAAAAAATAAGGTGTTGCAGTGTTACCCACGGTAAAATTTAATACTTCACTTTCAGGTGCTTCGGTAACGGTCTCGTCGTTGTATTTACGCCAGATTCCATTGCGGGACCAGTCCCTGATGTATATCCAATAGTGGCCATAGCTTGCCTCCCCGCGGTGGATGAAAACTGCAAACAAAGAGTACTCATGTTCACGGAAGTCATCAAAATGGTCATTCATCCTCTGTTCGATTACGTTGATGCGTTGGTAGATTTCGGCAAGCTCGTTGTCTATTTTCAAGATAAGAGAATCGACGGTCTTCAACGACTCTTCTTTCTTTTGAACGTTTATATCGTGCTGTTGAAGAACATCGGACTGCATAAACTTCTTTGTTTCGAGCAGCGAGGTTTTGAAATTGAGTCCGCTGCCATTCTTACCTAGCAGTTCACGCTGTCTTTCCTTCAAAGATTGTAGCGCTTCTTTGAGAGCGATGGATTCTTGTTTCTTTTTTATCAACAATGGATTCTGTGTGTCCATATATCGGTCCATGTAGATCGTTTTTTTGAATGGAAGGGGCTCGATGGATTTAAAAGGCATTAGTTTCTCGCGATCATAGTACACTCTTTGGATTTGAAGCTGGAGTACAGTTGGAAGACGCTCGACAGCGACGCTTCTTTTGACATGGCCGTCCTCCAGTTGTAGCACATCGTCTTTGAAATATTGGTCCAGTGCGTCATAAACGTCTTTTGGGTGGTCGACTACGCTGATTAACAAGGATACAAACCGTTCGATCTTTGTCCTCACCTTATCAGTATTATTCAACGGTATCAAGTCCTGCTTTAGCTTTCCATAGAACAAATTTTTGATAATATCTTGCTGCTCCCCGTCTTCATCCAGACTAGTAGGTTCAGATGCACTTTCTAGTTGGAATAATACATTACCAATGCATTCAGTCACATCCTGCTGCCTTCCCATTTCAAGCGCATTTTCAAGCTGATCAGGGCTGATGTTGGCAACTCTAGTAGATGAAGCCATTGGTTCCAGAGTCTGGAGATCTTCAAGTAAAATGTCGCCGTCGGCAGGCTCCTCTTCCACTTCCACTTCACTTTCTGGAGGAGTCAACTGGATCATATTGACATCTTCACTGCTTTCGTTGGAAACATCGATGACTGCAACATCTCCCTCATCTGAAAGTGATTTAGCGGGTGGCGTCTCCTCGAATTCAACTTCGATATTACTTGGTGCGAACGCAAGATAAGCAAGTTCCCGTGTTGGAGTAACGAATTTGCTTCTTGAGTGAACCATACTTGTGAATAGATCGCGAAGCTGATAGACAAACTGGACAGATCTTTCCACTTCAGGATCACTGACTTCTCTTCCACCAATTCTTCTCTTCCCGCCCAAGTGACCGAGCGACTGTTGAAACTCACCCAAAGCTCTTTGGTAGTCAATGACAGCATCACGTAAGGGTGAAATGCTGAAATAGTACTGTAGTAAGGAGTTCAAGTAACAAGTGTTTCCAATATTGTTCAATCCGGTAGGCCAGTTACCGGCTGGAAGGCAGCTGACATCTATCATTCCCGTTTCCAGATATCTTTCGATTAATAACGAGTTGCGTACATGTCCAATTTTAATCAAAGCCGCTAAGGACTTCAAAAAAAGGTCTGGCGACATATTGGTTTCTTGATTCCACATTCTTTGAAACACTTCCAGGATAAGCTCATCCGAAGCATTTTCATTGAGTTGTAATGTGCTAAGTGCATCCTGGTAGGTTGTCCTATCGGCAGAATGAACTTCGGCAAATTGTGGACATTGCTCGAAGAGAAACTTGAACAACGCCATGCTTCTTTTGTTCACGGCTAAAGTATAGAGAGCCCTATCGCAGTCTACCTTGAGTCCAGGAGAGTCAGCCGCTTTGATGGTGTATGCTGTTTGAATGACATCAACATCTACCGATTCGTCCACCTCGAGCATTCGATAGGCTTGATATGCATTCTCGTAGGGCTCGTAGGTGGAGTAAAATTTTAGTGACTCACTATTTTTGGCTTTAGCTAGCAACTTCAGCGCGTTCTTAAATTGCGTGTGCTTTTGGGCAGTGGCTTGCGATATTTCTTTCTGATAAACCCCAAGCAGCAAGTTGTCATCGATGGAACTCAGCACAGTGGTTTCAGGAGCGATGCCAAAAAGAATAAGAGCAGAGTCTAAACTGCTTTTTCCCACAATATCCTGCTTTCTTGCAAATGTACTGAGTTGGTAACTGCTTTTTACATTCGCAATGTAAGTTAGTGCGTCATAGTACAGTCCAGAGTTAACAGTATCCAACTTAGTCTGATTTTCATAGTTTTTGATCACATCTTTATCAGTGTAATAATGGGCAGCAGATAAAATCATGAAATGGAAGCTGCCATCAAGTTCTTGATTCCAATGATCAGTTATGTTCCTGCTTTCGCCCAAGACATGGAAAAAGAACGAGGAAGAGTAATTAATCTGGTATAGTTGAAAAGAGCGAACCTTTGAATCTTGAACTCCACCGTTTTTAACGGCAACATTATAGGATAATTTCCCCAATAGTACCAGTTCCAGACATTTGCGAACGTATGACTCGCGAAGATTCCTTACCTCGAGGTCTTCAACATAGGTTGTCAGATTGGGTGGTTGAAATTCCATTGACTGTGAGCAGTTTTCCTCTCCTTCATTACCTTGAGTCTTTGAAAGCTGAAAATGAAACCTGTCGGTCAACCAGTTCGGATCGATTTGAGAGTTGAGAAACTTATTGTCAGCGGAAATTGTTTTTAAGACGTCCTGGGGGCTCTGTCTATTCAGCGGGCCTTTGAATATTTTTAAAAGCGTACTAAAACATTCGGCTTGCGAGGGTATGCTGTTTGGATCCAGATCTGGAAATTTATGACAAGCTGCCACGTATCTTTGGCTGATTCTTTCCGGACTGAATGCCTCCAGGTCAGATTCATCAAGTTCTGGTTTGAAAATTTCGATGCAAACTAGCTTGTTCGTATCACTAGAAACATAGTAGGCAGATTCGATGAGTTTTGGGTCAGAGGGATCAGTCCACAGTAGTTCTGCAGCATCAGCAGGGTGCAGCGCTGAAATCAGATGGTACCGTTGAACGCCAATTTGTCTACGCAAACGCTCTAGATACGTTCGCGTTTTAACCGTGATCTTGAGATGGTAAATAGGTACTTTGGCCACTTCTTCAAGGCCCGAAGGGACGAAGGAAGGGTCGGTCAGAACTGCCATGAAAACGGTGATTTTGTTGAACTCTGGGCATGATCTGGATTCGTACTCATAACGGGTCTTTAGAGCCACCTGGTCAAGTAAATATCCGATACTGTAAGGATTATGAATGTTGCTGCGGGCGTATTTCAAAATAGGCAGTTTTAGAATGCCGCTCTGAAGGTCATTGACGGCTATTTCCGGATCGTGCGATTCCCTAAATTTCATTTCAAGTTTGATGTCGTCCAAAAGTCTTTCTGCTGTTTTGAATGGAAATACATCGCTTGCATTGGGATAAAGTAATGTCTTGCCATCGTCTTGGTATTTGCTGTCATCCGTAGCCTCACAGGGACTTTCGGAGCTTATCTCTGGAATAGGCAGAATGGAAGAGTCTTCATGTCGAAATTCAGACAATGGAGACTGCTCAACGTCTCTAAACATGGTGCCCCAGTGGTATAGAGCTAGGCCTCGAGGATTTAAGGTTTAAGAATTGATCTTGAATTTATACAGATCTGGTGGAAGGCCTTAATTTAAGATTTCGTAGAAAAGTACGATTGTTTGAACCTATCCAACGAGAACGTCAGAGACGTATTTAGCTATAGTTGTTGGGCATTGTAGCTGGATATTGAAGAGTAGGGGGAGAACTTAACACCTGAAGGTGAGAAGGTTGTCTACCTAGTAGGTATTTTATCGTGTCGCATGGACCGTGTCACATTAGTACATAATGATATTCAACGACTGGATATTGTACATGTACAAAAGTCTCTAGAACACGATGTCGAAATCGGTACGAAAACTCCCGTAAACGTAATGAAATATTAGTAAAAATGAGAACAATAGTTACCGAAAAGTAGCAAGTTAATCATCGGGCCAAAAAACGTATCCTTGTAATGACATCGAAGCGTAAATAAATGGTACCACGTGATCCGAATTTTCTGAACATTCTTCTCACCAACAATACCGGTACTCTGAGCAATACAGTGCATCACATTAAAAAAGTCTCATGGCAATTCAAGCACAACTTTTGATTGAACTTTATCATTTCATGGTCATTTTCATAGCATTAATGGGCTAAATGATGTGGGAGAACAAATTTCACAACTTCTTGGACCCTGGAACTCAAAATTCTTCGTGATGCTTTCAAAATTTATATAAATTCAAGGAATTCAAACACTATGAGCATTTCGCTACGTCACTTAGAGCTACGAAAACTGCGTCGGCACTCATCAGTATCTTTATCACAATGTACGGAAGTCGATCTGATAATCTATTCACAAGGCTTAGACCGCATTTAGGCTAATTTGGCCCAGATACGGACAAACTTTGACTTGAAGGGACCCTTGATCCACACTGCATTCAAGTTATTCCCCTCTTTTGGAGCTCTTTCGATGCTAACACCTAACAGCATTTGAATTTGCCAGTTTTTACGAATCTTTAAGCTTCAAAGACGCATTTGCAATGGGTGCTAAAACTTCTAAATTATCGAAAGACGATCTCGCGAGTCTTAAACAGTCGACATATTTCGATCGACGTGAAATCCAACAATGGCACAAAGGCTTTCTTAGGGACTGCCCCTCTGGAACGTTAACGAAGGACGAATTTACCAAGATATACAAACAGTTCTTCCCCTTTGGGGCCCCAGAGGAGTTTGCCAATCATGTTTTCAATGTCTTTGACAGGGACGAAAACGGCACAATCGACTTCAAAGAGTTTATATCGGCGCTCAGCACCACTTCCAGGGGCACGCTGGAGGAAAAGCTGGTATGGGCTTTCCAGCTCTACGATCTGGATCACAACGGGTTCATCTCGTACGACGAGATGCTTACAATCGTTTCCAGCATATACAAGATGATTGGTTCGATGGTAAAACTGGAGGACAACGAAGCTACACCTGAGTTGCGTGTCAAAAAGATATTCAAGCTGATGGACAAAAATGAGGATGGTGAGATCTCCCTGGAGGAGTTTCGTGAAGCGTCCAAGGTCGATCCCTCAATTGTAAGTGCTCTGAACCTTTACGACGGTTTGGTGTAGCGAAAACAAAGCGACGATGAGTGGGAAGTTTTAAAGTTTTCTCATTACTCTATTTGCCGTTCTTTAAATTTAGCATTTCAAGTTTATTATTATAACGGTGTTGGCGAAACGAAACGTTAGCGATGTAAACATAATTAACACACACGATATTTGGTTTTTCGAAAAGTTGGCAGGAGTTTACGCATCTCAAATACGTTCGGCTGTCCATACGGCTGATCTACAAACCAGTTTGATTCCTTCGGTGAGCATGACGTATGGTACAGCCTTATGAGAATCGTGTTCGACGGCTGTATCCAGATGTTCTAGCTCTTCGTCCCTGAACTGCTTAATGGTTGAAGTTAGATTTAGAATTTCCCGGCTTTGGCCCTTTTGGCCCTCTGTAGATTCCATTTCGTACTGATTGTTGAGACATCTCAATTGGTCGTTGTAATGCGCTCCTATAACGGTCTCAACAGCTTCCGTACACGCCATTGCGGCCTCCGGAGATATGAGTGCTGTCCCACTACCCATGGCAAAAGCGCCAAGTTTCCACAGAGGGGTAAACAAGCTTGGCCGCACCCTGCGTTGCAATTGTAGCTCATTAAACGTATTATGGTGGTGAATTTCTTGATCCCACATGTGTTGTAAAACAGGCTTTAAATGTGGATATTTGTTAGCCAAAACGAAGTACTGCCCCGCATATATGTAATTGGCACCGAGCTCGCCTGCCTGGTCCACTCTGATAGCACGATCTAGATAAGCAAGTTGCGCGCGTGACAACGGTTTGTATTTTGGTGAGTTTGGAGACCCTTGGCTCCCAGAACTTGCAGTTTTTGCAGCTTTTCGAAGACTTCGCACAGCCGAGAAGGGCCGTGAAATTACTGCATTAAAAGGTTTAGGACTCATCATGATGATTATATGTAGCGCACCTGTCGTCAATCGATTGGAGACCAGACTATTAATGGCAAGCTCGTGAATTTACGGGTTTCTGTTGTTCAAGGCACACTTAATTATTTGGGTCAATAGTATGTCGTTTTTGTCGAAAATGGCGGTCCTTGATAACTGTTGATATGATCTTCATAGATTCGAAGCAAAGAGCGTCCTATATTCAAGGGAATTTCCTGAGTATCCCTGGACTGAATGACTGATTTCATTTCGTTTAGCGGATTCGAAAAGTGCCTTACTTTGTAGTTGGGAATATCTTGCGTAATTATCCACCGGACTGAGAATATGTGCTTGAAACGCTTTGAGTCAGTCCAAAAATCTAGATTAGTATTGCGCAGATCTGTTATCATTTCAGCTAGGCCGCAAAAGCAGCCAGCTCCATTCACGGAATACAATAAGTATATTTGCGCATTCGTGTCACGATTTCGAAACGCTTGCGAAAGTCTCCTATTTCCTAGTACTGTAGATGTCCACACGCCATTTTGTATGGAAGTTTGAATATGGTCGGCATTGTTTGACTTTATAACAAAAAATCTTGACTTGTTTGGCACTTTTATTTGAAAGGGCTGTCTTCTCAAAAAAGGTGGGATATTATTTTCATCGCGGCTACTGGTAGCATCCGATAAGTCAATTGCTGTGGAACTGACACCAGAAGAAGTAATACTTGAGCTCCGACTACTTGACGTTTTATATCTCGGTTGCAAGCCAGATGCGAAATTTGGATCGAATGACACTATATCTTCTGAAATGATCGAAGGACGCGTTTCGGATCCAAAAAATATTTCTAACTCCTTCAAGGAGTCTTCTATGGTCTTTTCATGATAATATTGGCCATTAGTGGCACAATCACCATTTCGTTGTTTTGGCGTAGTAAACCCTCGACTATTAAACATCTTCTTAGCGCGCAAAGGGGTAAGACAAAAAAGGTGAGAATCCAGAACGGAACGTTTCCCTTCGATTGACGCTGAGCTCTGCAGTGCCTGGTAGACCTTTTTAGAAAGCCTGAATCTTTGACTATTTACAATTTATTTACAAGTGTGTTTTGTATAAGATGTTTCAAGATTACTATTCAATTGTGAATAATGCAATGCAGTTGAGGAAAAGACAGGTAAGCATACAAGATGTCTTTGAAAAGTTCACTGGAGCAATGGAAATTATGCTCCGCTGGTTTTCTGAATAGTATGTTGTAATTCGTGATAAACCCGGTGAGTTCTGGCCAATTTTCGATTTAATGTCAGTCGGTTCATGCGATTACTATGACCAACATGTTTATAGTGGCGTTTTTACGCTCTGAATGTTCAGTTGTTGGAATTAGAATACGTGATTTGGTGATTTTAAAGTCTCGACCATTCTGAGAGACGATTCAGGATCGTCTTTGTTGAAAACAAAAAGGCCTTGTAATTGAGCCGTACTTATCGACACGTTCAACGCACTTGCCTTCTTGACAAACTCCTCGCAGTATTTGTCCTCGCCAGGGTAGAACTTCATGAACATTCTGCCAATCTGGTATGGAGTAGCATTTCCAACAAACACTTTGTAATCAATTCTACCAGGTCTCATAATGGCTGGATCAAGTCTCTCTGGGTGATTGGTAGTCATGAAAGTTATAGTTTCTTCTGAAGAAGCAACCCCATCAAGTGCATTTAGCAAACCGCTGAAAGTGACACCCGATTGGTAACCTTGGTCGCCGGTTTGAGTTCTCTTATTAAAGGCAGCATCAATATCTTCTAAAAGCAAGATACTGCGCTCTGGGATGTTGTTCATAAGATGATTCAAGCGATCATCGGTGAGATTTGCTTCCGACAGGTTCATAATGCAAATGTTATAATCAAGGTCACCAGCAAGCGCTTGAATAAAACTAGTTTTACCGCTTCCTGGTGGTCCATAAAGTAGATAGCCTCTTCTATAAGGAATACCACGATCCAGGTACCATTTCCCGTTTTGTAAAAACTCATTGACATCGTGTATAATACCATCCTTGATACCTTTGTCCAAAATAACCGAAGGGAGAAGCCTCTTAGCCTTAGGCTGTCCAAATGGTCTCCACTCTGACCCCCATGACGTAAAAACCACGGTTTTCCCATCTTTGGCTTTGACAGCGAGGTTTTTAGCGTCACTCAGCAGATCACGGAACAAGAGTCGATCTCTATACAGTGTGGTGAGCGTCACAGTCTCAAAAGGCGCACCACTGGTCATATCAAGCATTTTCCCCGATCTTTCACGCTTTATTAGCATGAATGCGCCTTTGTATCTGATGAGATGATTTCCAGGTCCTGGTACCAGAGAAAATTTTGTAGACACCGATCCGTTGTCGTGCTGAATGAAATTTGTCTCTACCGAAAGATGGCGTGAAGAGCGCTGTGGATGTTTAGCCATCCATTCCAGGAACCATAGGTACGATTTATCTTTGGATGGGATTTCCATGTCTACCAAAAGCTGGCGGTACAGAAGACCGCTCAGTCTGATGATCCCAGATCTGGCCAAGGCAAGACCAGATCCCAAAACCATCAGTCCTCCGCCGGCAGCAAAATATGGATTTCCTTGGACCACCTGTTGGAAAAGGTTTGTAGCCATACCAGACATTGAGCCATCTGAATCTTCTCGCAATTTCTCTAGATCCAGAGAAGGCGGAGAGTTCTCGTTTCCGCCAGCAGAGCTATCCATATCTCAGTTTATAGCTGCGAAGGAAAACACAGAAAAAGAGGGCCAGTTAAAACGTCTACTAGGATGTATTCCTCTCTCTTCCTCTCTGTCGAGAACTGAGTTCCACCGTAAACTGAACATATATATCAACTGATATCGTCATGTACGAGTATTCTACAATCAATTAATTTTAAGCAATATCACGCAGTAATAGACAAAATATTGCAACCCGAAGCACCATTATTCCCTTTATGACAGTATTTCATTCTTCACTGGGATAAAATTGACACTTCAGGCTCTTTCAAAAACGAAAATACTTTGTTGAGTCTATATCACTATGTACGTATTTTGGGCCGTTTAGTGCCGATGACATTGAGATGAGCTGAACTGCACCAGAAGGAGATCTATATCGATAACTGGATTCAAGACACCAACTGTGATCCTTTTAGCATGAAATGGACGGCCTGTAGAGATTTGGCTTTGCGAATTGGCCTACGACATTTTTCGAGTGGCAGAAAAGCAGTTTCTGTGGTAGGATCTGGACCCTCCGGCTTTTACACCGTATGTAGACTGCTGGCAAAATCCGAGATACCATTAAATGTTACACTATGGGAGAGATTGCCCGTGCCATTTGGATTGAGTCGTTATGGTGTTGCTCCGGACCATCCGGAGGTCAAAAACTGCGAAGACACCTTCACTCGATGCGCTCGAGAGTTCGGAAAAGGGCTCGATACTCGACACACTTTTACATTCATGGGAAATGTCAGTGTCGGCAAAGACATCAAGCTCAGAGATCTCTTGGATACACAAGATGCAGTTATTCTCAGTTACGGGTGTAGTGGGGACCATGTTTTGGGTGTCCCAGGTGAAACCTCCACATCAGGTGTGTTCACTAGTCGCGAGTTTGTGAGCTGGTACAATGGACATCCTGAATTTGCTGGTGACAACGATAAACTCAAATCCTTTCCGTGGTCCAAAGTGCGAAATGTGGGGATTATTGGTAACGGGAATGTTGCCCTCGACGTTGCTCGAGTGCTATTGAGTAATAGGATCCCAGAACTGTGGTCGAATACAGACATTAACCCTGAAGCGCTCGAAGCGCTCAATACCGCACCCATCGAAAATGTCAAGATCATTGCCCGTCGAGATTTCATTCACAGTAAATTCACAAACAAAGAGTTTCGAGAACTGTGGGAACTGGAGAGATACGGCATTCAAGGAATAATCAAGCCGGAGTATTTAAAACTTAGACCGGCAGATCTTGAAAGTGGCGATCGGGTTTTCAAGAGACGTGTCGAAATGGTGTCTGAGTTTTCATTACCCTTTGATCAGCGGACCAAGAAGAATTATAAAAAACATCGTCCTCCAGAGTCTCATAGATACTGGGAAATGGACTATTTAAAAACTCCTTTAACGATCAACAGTAATTCCAAGGGCGAGATTGAGTCATTGACCGTTTGTCGCAACAGCCTTACTCCGAGCAACAGAGTAGAGCAGCATCTCACAGAGACTCTTGATTATGATGTGGACGTTCTAGTAACGTCGCTAGGTTACGGCAGTAGTCCTTTGCAGGAGTTTGGTCCGCTGCAGATAGGTTTTGCTACAAACCGCGTTGCAAATGCCAATGGTCATGTTTTGGATACCAGTGGTCGAATTGTTTCTGGGCTTTATGCTTCGGGATGGATTCGTAAAGGAAGCAGCGGCGTGATAGCGTCTACTATGTCAGATGCATTTCAAGTAGCCGACGCTGTAATTGCTGATCTCGAATCAGGAGCACCACCAAAGGACCGGGTTTTGAAAACAACGGGACTGGATAGTACTACTTGGGAAGATTGGGAAAAGATTGACGAAGAAGAAAAAAGAAGAGGTAAACTTCTTGGCAAGCCAAGAGAAAAGTTCTTGTCGGCCTCTGAAATGATAGATTTCATTAAAGACAATCGTTAAGACGCGATTTACATGGTAGATGATATTTTTTGATGGTCTTGTGGAAGATAGCGGGCGCTAGAAGACTATTGCGACATAAGTCAGAAGACGGAATTTGAGATTGCTGTCAGATAGTAACATATTGCGCTGATGATCATTTTCGAGGAACTGGGGCATGAAAAGCAGTACGTCGGGCATAGCTAACGGGAATGAGGCAGGGAAAAAATAAAGCTAACGGCTTATCGTAAATTTTATCATGGTAACGACCTTGCGGCCTTCAATAGTGAGCTCATCTTATCCCGAATCTTAGGGCTCTACTATGTTCGACTTGTGCGAGACAAGGCTCAATATATAATAATCAAGGTCTATCGCTCATGTATATAGCACAGATTACAACAAGATTTTTCGAGCATCACGTAACTGAAGAGGATTTTTACAAGCGATATTGAAACATGCAGTGGGCCAAAAGGCTAGACGCAACCGGCTGAAGCACCAATATTGACCACAGCATGTTCAAGAGTATGCAAACAGTATTTGAAAAGGCACTTGTCGTGGGCCAAAGAAGATGACGTGAAAAGTGTAGCCAAACTGGAAGCAGCCTCTACACGTTTACTGACCGGTTTGAACACTCAGGGAAAGACGAGTTCGAAAACTCAAAGCGAAATTTACGATCTGACGGGCGCTCCCCGTAGTCGTTTGTATCATATATGATATTAGATAAAGTGCACAAATGAAAAGTCTCAATACAAAATACCATCGTTGAGCACTGGCAGATAAAATCCAGATCGACAAATTTGCTAAGAGGTTTCGGCGTCACCGACAAGGTCCGCCCTGATGACAGTGCTTCTTTGCTGTGATTGCGGTAATGAAAAATCACGTGATCCAATAACTTACAAACCGTATCTTAAACTGGTACCTGTAATTGAAGCACCAAAAGTGTAGCTCTTTCCTACGCCTTTTTCGACACCCTGTATTCCTATCCCATTTCCAGCTGCATTGGATAAGCTCCCTACTCGTGCGAAAGGACGAAACCTCAACACACCACCACGATGAACACCAAAACAGTCACACCAGTATCCCAATTCCATGCCGGCATCGATAAAGATAATTCCGCATGCCCATATGCTCTCTTCATCAGCTCTACACTGCGCCATATTATATGTGCGATTGTAAATCTCAAGTAACGTCACACTCGTCATAAGTGATTTTCCAACATGTCCTCAGTGACACGTCCGTTCAAAGTGATACGTTTCCCCCAGCATCAGTATCTCTCTCTACACAAACTCACTATGCTACGTTCGATCCCTTCACCAGTACATTCTCTCCTCAAGTAAGACTTAACCATCGCCCATTATCATCGCCTCTGCTCCGTCTTTCAATCTTCGTCACCTCCTACGGACTTTTTTTCTTGTTGGCGCGCCTGTCATACTTAAAATTTTCATGGTTCATAATAAAACCCATGTCTATATAAATACTGCTCTGATAACCTCGCCACCCCTACCGCAAGACAAACTTACCAATCGAACATTTAAACAAAAATTGTAACGACAAAAGCTGTTGAAATAGTGCGGTTATAACAAAAACTATAAGTGTACTGGAACGGCCTGGACGCGATTGGAACGTGCTCGAAAAAAGATTCAAAATCGGCCCACAGGTGAGGAAGATATAGGTGAAAACAAAAGGTAGCAAATCAAGCAAGCAAGCAAGCCAAAAGAAAAAAAAATGGGTCAGATTTTGTCGAATCCAATCATCGACAAGGAGATAGATAGTGGGACGGACGTGTTGACGGCGTTTGGGCTGTGTGCTATGCAAGGATGGCGAATGTCGATGGAAGACGCACATGTTTGTGCAGTAGACGTGGGGTCCGAAAACAGCAAACACAGCCATGTTGCGTACTATGCGGTCTTTGACGGCCATGGAGGGTCTTCGGTGGCACAATTCTGCGGTGTGAAGGCAGCCAAGGTGTTGCAATCCCAAGAATCGTTCCAACAGGGTAAATATGCGCAATCACTCATTGACGCGTTTATCGCGTCAGACCGGGAGATTTTGCGGGATCCGCTTCTCAGAAACGATCACAGTGGCTGTACCGCTACGACAATGCTGGTTTCAAAGGAGCAGCAACGGTTGTTCTGTGGTAACGCCGGTGACAGTCGAACAGTATTGTCGCGTAACGCAATTGCCAAAGCATTGTCGTACGATCATAAACCTACACTAGTGAGCGAGAAATCCAGAATCGTGGCTGCAGATGGATTTGTGGAAATGGATCGTGTTAACGGTAACTTGGCCCTCAGTCGTGCCATTGGAGATTTCGAATTCAAATCCAACCCAAATTTACCACCACATGCACAGATCGTAACGTGCGTGCCCGACGTGGTGGAACATTCGATAGACTATGATCAAGACGAGTTCGTTATTTTGGCGTGTGACGGAATTTGGGATTGTTTGTCGTCCCAAGAATGTGTTGATCTAATCCATTACGGTATCAATCGGGGCGATATGAATTTAGAACAAATTTCATCTCGTATTGTCGATGTGTGTTGCTCACCGACTACAGAAGGCACCGGTATTGGTTGCGATAACATGAGTATTGTTATTGTCGCGTTGTTGAAAGATGAGGAATCGGTGGAACAATGGTTTTCTCGAATTAGAAGCAAAAAACACGTTGCTAACGTTTCTTTTGAAGAAAGAAGACGCGCCGTTTTCTCCTTCTACGACTTCCCAAAGAATGATGCCGACGTTTTCGCGGTCTCAACCAAGAAAACAGACGAACATGGCAACAGCTATACTTCCAATGAAGACGAGGATACTGAAATGGATCGTAACGAGCCTCCAGCAGGTCGTTCTCAAATGGACATGTTTTCGTTAGAATCCCTGTTGGGTGCCAATGGTATTCAGGTATCACAGGGCGGTAATAACGTTTCCTATATTCACGGGTCTGCACTTTCTGAGGTCTTGGCATCGCTTGGAGGTGGTGGAGGCGTGAATCAGGCCATTGATGAAGAAAATGATTCTGACGAAAAGAGGGAAAAACTTGAAGAAGTAAAGGATTAAAGTACAAGACAATCTTTTAATTCAAGGACCCCTAACCTCAGGGGCTGGAACTCTTGAAATTCAAAATACCAAGCTTCTAGGTAATTGCTCTGGAAGAGAGATTTGCATTGTTATCGTGTTTGTTTTTTTTTTTTATTCTTTTCCAGTTTCTTGGGCGTGCTTTCTGTTTTGATACACTACGCCCGCTGCCTTGGACCATGTACGTTACTTTGCCGCTCCTTTGTTTTGCGTCAAACAAGATGGCATATGTTATTCCAATGGCAATCTGTTCCTCGGGACATATGGCATTGTGACGATTACAACTTTTTTAATACCAAACCCACTATTATTACACATTCAAAATCCTTTATCCGAGATCGACCAACCGATCTTAGGCAGTGACGCACTCTTAAGATGCCGCTCACTCCGAATCAATATGATTACTGCTCCCGCTATACGCCTAAGAACTACCAGGTCTTGCTGTACATTAGTTCCCCGCTTCGCGCCAGATAAGTTATAATGAAATTTCGAAATGTTTAATGAGTCCACCTAACACACAATAGAAATAATATCTGCTTTTTATTGCCCGTAAACTTCGCACGTAACATTCCAAACCTGATCCGCCACAACTTCGATTGGAACCTGTTTAACGCTTGCAACGACAGTTGCGACATGACCCATGAAACACGGTTCATTTCTGGACTTGACTGTAAGTAGTTCACGATCCTGTACCGGCTTTTTATCCAATTTATCACGTTTCACAGACTTGTACCACTCTTTGACTTCAGGATACGCTTGAGAGAGTCCAAAGTCCCAAGGATCATCTTTTTCTGTGCTAACTTCATTATTAGCAAATAGGTGTTTATAGGACTCGTGTGTTCTGCGAATATCACACCAAGGTGCATCCGTCTCTAGCAGGAGACGATCAAGTGGCACTTCCTTCAAACACTCGATATTTTCTTGGGTCTTGAAAGAACATCCATTCATACCAATGTAAGAGTTTTTAGACAGCGCTAAAATATTCTGCATATCTTGAACACTTCCAGTAAACGAGTGTGTCACAAATTTGCGCTCAGGGGAAAACTTGTAGTGAACATTACCGTCGTTGTTCACACAAGGTAAGTGGGATTGGTCATTTTTGCCAGTTTCCAAATCTGCCTTAAAATCGAAACGGTCAGACGTATCCACGAAGCCGTGGATAAACTTTTTGAGCACGGCAACAAAATCAGAAGAGCAGCTTCTCATATGCAAAAATAAAGGCAAGCTAGGAAAAAAACAGCTTAGTTTGAGCTGTTCCTCGAAAAATAGCAGTTGCATCTTTTTGGATGAATAATAAAACCGGTCGTAGTCAAGACCGATTTCACCAATAGCACGGAATTGATTGTCTTTGCAGCTTTCAGCAATAAGTCCGTAAAGTTCTCGCAGTTTTGATTTGGTGAAATTGAGATCGATGACGTCTAGCTTTTCATTAAAATCGATATCATCCGTTGGATTGTCGATGGTAGATTGTGTATCTTTTAGAATAAACTCATTGACACAGCAAGGATGTACCCCGAGTGTGTAGAATAAATTTGTATCTTCGTTGCGATATTGATGTGCCAACTGGATTGCGCTTCGAGATTCCTGGATGGATGATCCGGTCAGCAATAAGTTTTGAACTTTTGATACTTTAGCTCTATGCAAGACATTTTTGATATCACATTCGTGATATTTTTTACCGTTGTAGATCCCCTGGTACATGGGATCAGTCAGATTCACGCCAATGTCATAAAACTTGAGTGCTGGAGACATCTTTTTGAGCATTTAAATATTGAAGCCTCAGAATTCAATGCAGTGGGGTAACTTAGTAAAGCCTTGTTACGATTTGGATGATAGTTTCAAGAGTTGATGGGAAGATTCAGTCCAGAGCATTGGTTGTGTAAGAACACTCGAGCTGAGGTAGCGTTTATAGTTGTCAATTATCTTAACAAATGACAGTATAGTATAGAGTGATAACAAAAGATCGGTGGTGCGGTGTGATGACGGTGAGTTCCTAGTTTGACGGCAATGTGTGGATGCTCTGTAGATGGATATTAAGATGCTTGATACTTACTGGTTTCCGCAATGAATAGGTACATGTCGTGTCCAGGAAAAAAGACAAATTTCTTTAGCAACAAGCAGATCGAAAAGTAGTGCTCATGAGTGAACCGTATCTGCTTTTAGTAAGATGCAGTTACGTAGCTCAAGGACGTCTTGAGCTCGTCTTTTTGTCGTGCGACAGATGTCATTGAAGTACAAAGTGATGTGGAGTTGACATTTTCGTATATGGCGATCTTGTACATTCTTAACTAAAACTGTGTGGGGGCCTCCAGGATTCTGAACAGGTAGCGAGAGTCTTTCACGCTATCAAGAGAGTTCACAAAAGAGTCGTAAGTACTTCTTCAACTCTGTGTCCCACCGGTCAAACTTTCATTATTTGGTGAGCTTATTTCGTATAGAGTGATCTGAATCTCAAAGCTTCATCTCTACCATTGTTGCATCAATGAGCTGGCTTCTTAGCTCTACCTTTCACGCACACACACCAGATCTTAACAGCTCCAGAACTTATTCTTCCTGCTCGTCATATCACGATTCAGCTAGAGTCCGGGTAACGCTTTGTCACAGAGAGTTTTCGAATGTCATAGAACTGATTAACTAATCATCCAAAAAAAAGGTTCCTAGTCCTATATAAAGGGCCCAAAATGAACAGGTATCTGGCTAAGCTGAACGTGTCGTTGCTTTAAGAACCTAACTTGATTCACCTTTGCAACGCTATATCGTACGCACCCAAGTGATTCAATCAAAGCTAGTGAAAGTATCGATATCTTTGGTACTTCAAATCGCACTTTCCAAATTCACAAGCTCGCAACACACACATCTTTCATTTTTGAATAATGTCAGACTGGGACTCAACTACTGTTATCGGCCAGAGAGTAAGAACTGGCGGTGGTGGCCCAAGACAACAAGTGGCACGTACTCAAGGTGAGATTAACGCTGCCAGAAGATCTGGTAATGTGCTTTCTGTCGACAAAAAATACAGTTCTAGCAACGCCAAGGGCAACAACGAAGGACAAAGACTCACAAAAGTTGACCGTGAAACGGATATTGTCGTTCCTAAGAAATTGGACGCCTCGGTCGGGAAAGTAATCGCCAAAGCTCGTGGTGATAAGTCGTTGACTCAAAAGGACTTGGCCACCAAGATCAACGAAAAGCCTACCGTCATTAATGACTACGAGGCTGGTCGTGCTATTCCTAACCAACAGATCCTAGCTAAGCTGGAGCGCGCCTTGGGCGTCAAACTACGGGGTAAGGGTATCGGAGAGCCTTTGGGCCCTAAGAAGAAGGCTTAAACGGTTGGAAGTTTAATTCAGGTTCTTGAGAGGGAAAAAATAAACTTTCCTCCATATCCCAATTTTTCACATCCAATCCGCCCGTAACAAGGAACTCTTTCACGCATGCATTTAGTTTAATGATAACGAACGACCAGTTAGCCAATTAAATGGCGATTCAAAATGAAACATTTAAGTCTGTACTAATTGACCTTTTTTTTCCTCAAAACTCCCTTCCAAAGATCTAGCTTCCGACTCCAAGTCTACCAGCACGACCTTGCTGGTACTCTATTGGTTCTTTGAAGCTCAAAGTTGAACTAGTCTTTGATCCTAACATTTACGTATAAAGTTACAGTTATTTTTCATAATCCACATATACATATATATATACAGTTCATTGAAGTTGTCACTGGGAAGACCGAAAACTAAAAGACAAAAGTTAGTATCAATTGACTACCTATAGAGCCTTTACATTCTCATTCTCCCAACTTGATGACTTCTTTGGATTTCAGTGCTTTACACGAGAAAAGCACAATCTTTTCCGTTGCAAATCGAGCGTTGAGGCTCACTTCTGCAGAAGATATCGAACCTATTTTGAAAGACTTGACAAAACTTCCTAAGGTCACTAAACTCGACTTTTCTGGTAATACAATTGGCGTGGAAGCTTCAAAAGCGCTGGCAAAAAGTATCATTGAAAACTCAGGAATCGCAGCCAACTTAATTGAAATAAATTTCGCGGATTTGTACACTTCTCGTCTAGTCGATGAAGTCGTGGAATCTCTGAACATTTTTGTCCCAGTATGGCTTTCATGTCCTCAATTGAGCATCGTAAACCTTTCCGATAACGCCTTTGGTCTCAGAACTATCGATTCCTTGGAATCGTACATTTCCCAAGCAGCTCAATTGCAGCATTTGATTCTATCCAACAATGGTATGGGTCCATTTGCTGGGGAAAGAATTGGTAAAGCTCTTTTCAAACTAGCCCAATTGAAACAATCAAAGGGTAAACCATTTTTGGAAACTTTCATTTGCGGCAGAAATAGGCTCGAAAATGGGTCCGCGACATACTTGGCTCTGGGGCTCAAGGCGCACGGATCTGGCTTGAAAACCGTCAGACTTTATCAAAACGGTATCAGACCACAAGGTGTTGCAGTTCTTATCAAGCATGGGCTTGGAAACAACAAAAACCTTCAAGTTTTTGATTTGCAGGATAATACTTTCACCACCAGCGCCTCTTTGATCTTGGCCGACATTTTACCTGTATGGAGTGAGTCTCTGGTCGAACTAAATGTAAACGACTGTCTGCTCAAGGGTCCTGGCGCTGACGCTGTGGTTCAGGTCCTAAACGAGCACAAATTTGTTAATCTGCACTCGTTGAAAATGCAATACAACGAACTCACTCAGGATACATTGATTTCCTATTTGATTCCAGCAGTACAATCTGCAAACCTGCCTGCTCTGAAGCTGTTGGAGCTTAATGGTAATAGATTAGAGGGAGATTCTGATGCTTTGACAGAATTGGAAGAATCATTTGACGGTAAGCTTGACGAACTCGATGATCTGGAAGAACTGGATAGCGAAGATGAGGAAGAAGATGAGAGCGAAGAAGAAAGTGAAGATGTCATGACTGCAGCTGATTTCGACGCCGTTGAAAAAGCTTTCACTGAGCTGCAAGTCGACGAAGTGACAGCGGAGCTGGCGCAGGCATCTATCTAGACTAAGGTAAGATAGGTTTAAACTAGACAGATAGGATGGAAGCTTCCCAAACTAATATAATCTAACGGAATCTTGCATGTTTTTCAACACTTCGTCTTTTGCTAACCAAGTTTTTTCTAACCACGATTCAAGCTTTCTGTCATTCATTTTTAAAAGATCTGGGATAGCAACCTTATTGACGTGTACTCGAACGAAGATAGGACTATCGCCCCAAGGACATTTCAGGAACTGGAAAAGCGAAGGAGTTATTTGCTGGAGCTGATAATGATTTTTTTTGTCGGTCACGGCATGAACCTGCATGTCACGAATGTGGGCATGTTCATTCTGACAAAAATATGTTGCACGGTAGTATACGATGGCGATATCCCAAAGAAATGGGCTTACGATGATGGGAACTTTGTTGGTATTTGGCTTCGGCTTTGCCGTCACTGTAGCATCGGCTAAATTCTCGTCACCTAAGAAAAGGTTTATTTGGGCCATCTGTTTGGCGCTAGGATGTCCTCTGGAACTGCGCACTTTCAGAATCATGGAACCTGTCTTATGTGCCGCTTTTTTGAAATAGCGTGCTTTTCGAGATCTATCAATATGTTGTAGACGGGCAAGACAGCTAACGGTAGAATTGAAATTCTTGAATCTGGGGTATAAAACGTTATCGAGCTGCGGCAAGTAGCTTTCTTTAGCTAGCTTCCTCTGCACGAGACGTAACTCGGAAGTTATTACATTAACTTCGGGAAACAAAGCTAAACATTCATTGCCCTCTCTCATAAGGACTCTTTCTATGTCGCTACTGCGTACCGTGGCATTTTCGTCCCTGAGCAGAATACTGGCAAAAAACTTGATAGACGGTACCCCGGTCAGACGACCCCAACCTACAAATCTGAGTTTTGATGCCGTTGGATAATTACCATGGTTGAAAAATGCGTGGCCAAGGTATTGCTTCAAATCTGGGCCGTGTTCTCCATGTACAAGAAAATCTATCAAGGCGTAATCCATTATAGAGCGGTGATTGGCAATGATTATCGAAGTGGAAGTTCCTGTGATGTCCAAGGGATCACCTGTAAGAATGAATTTCACATTTCGATTGCGGAGCGTTGTATCGATGAGGCATATCCTGAAAAGCTTTTCTAGCGTCTGCTTTTTTCTTATCATGAAGGGCATAAGCTTCAATCTGATAAAAATACACAAACGATCAAAAATGTGTGCAATTGGTCCACCGATGAGTGGAATTGCTTTCAACACCCGAAGCACAAATTTTGCAGTTTGAATCAGAACTTTGCTTTCCACGCAACGCTCGATGACAGCAGTTTTCATGCTCCAAATGTGATAAAGCACCCAGCATTGAGCAAGTGACAGAATCTCAAGAAAAATCCAAAACAAACCAAAAACGTCAAGTTTTTCCCTCTCTGATTGAGCACCAACTACGTGCGTCTTGATAGTGCTTCGGACTGCCATATTTGTAGCAACTCGCTTGTTGAATGGGAACAATAATTATCTTGGCAATGATGAACAAAAACTGCCCAAAAATAAAACGGAAAAAAGGGAGGAGGAATCCTCTCAGTACAAATGACTAGCTTGTACTCACAGTACTAACTGTTCGCTAGCTAAAATGTCACTGACCTTGACTCGGCTGCTTTTACCTATGCGTCAAATGTCAGTGTCAGTTTATATATCTCCAGTTTAGTTGTTGTATCTTTCTTCTAAATTGTGTCATCACTATATAGTCAATGCTACTATACTGGTCACGTGGATGGATATACAAGATGTAGTTCACGTGATGGATGAGCTAAGTGAAATATTCAAATTTATTCAATCATGAAAGCTTGATGCGTTTACCTTGAGAAGTCGACAACAAAAGATAGCAAGCAAAGACTTCTCTTGCGTTCTGACGCGTTTTTTGTTTGTGCAAACTATCACCACTTAGCTATGCTGAAAAGCAGCCTCAATTTGATGGTACGAAATGGTGTTCGTACCCCTCTTGCAAGATCTAGAAATGTTCAAATGAGTGCGATGAGATGCCTCTCACTGAAGCCTAACTTTGAAAAATTGAAGCTCACACCACCACCACCTGGAGGCGTAGAGGGGAACGTGAATGACCCTTTGAAAAAACCCGAAATTGACTTTTTCCACGGTTCTTACCACTGGGACTATGAAAGAATCACGGCCGTAGCTCTACTACCTCTCACAACGATCCCCATATATCTGGCAATTAGTGGTAGTGGTCTGCACCCTATGTTGGACACTGCTCTATGCTGTACGCTGCTGATTCACGCCCAGCTGGGTTTGACCAGCTGTATCGTCGATTACATCCCGAAACGAAGATTTGGCGTCTGGCATCAGGTTGCAATGCTCTCACTGTACGCGGGTACAGCTTTGGGTCTCTATGGTGTTTATGAGCTAGAGACCAAAAACAACGGATTGGTGGACCTCGTCTGTAAGCTTTGGAAAGATGAGGAAGAAGAATTGACAATTTATTCTAGATTTTGAGGCAGATCATAGTGAGCATCAGAAAGCCTTGTGAAGTCTTACGAGACTGATATTCTGTTTGCATTCGCCGTCTTTATTCATCTTGCTGTTTCGGCCCGGCATTTGTATCACGTATCGTTCATTTCTCCTTTCTAACTTGTTTGTCTCTTACAACAAAAAGTTCTTGAGGAAAAGTTAATTAACGGTTCCGAACCACTAAGCGCGACTGGCACCGTTTCTAGCCAGCTCATCTGCAATTTCGTTTCCGGCCTCTCCAGCGTGGCCCTTCACCCAATCGATCTTGAAAGGCACGTCACCAAAGGTGTCCTGATTAACCTGGTAGAACGTCTTAACTTTTGCATATTTTTCAATGAGTGGTTCGATCAAGTCTCTGTTAGGTAAACTATTAATCTTTTCGGAATTGTAGCCCATATAACGATCGTTAAGCAGTTTCGAAACATATTCGGAGTCTGTTTTGATCTGGTAATTGACAGCAGAATTCCGCTTGGACAAATCTGCCCAAATTTCGTCAAGCGCGGAGGAAACAGCCTGGATTTCAGCTCTGTTGTTGGTGGAGGCACCTTGATTTAAGGGCTCAGAGATGTTTTTAGTGGAGTCACCCTCGAAATAGACCCCGTAACCGGCGCGAGATCCAAAACTTCCGTTACCGAGAGCAGAGCCATCGCAGTAAACATTTCGACGCTGGACACTTTCATTTTGAGGACTTTTTCTTCTGTAATGCTCAATAAAACTGCTTTCTTCCATTCCGATGAGCTTGTAATCGTTTGAGCTGACACCTTTGATGAAATCCTGGGCGTCGTTCGCGCTACCGAACTTCTTAAAGGACAATCCTCCGTTTCCGGATACGTACCTTTTGCACTCGTCCCAGCTTGCGAAAACGGCATCTTTAACCTGAGGGCTCGAGCTTTTCACGGCGTAGTAATTTTTTGAGCCTGAACGAGCCCCGCTGCTTCTGCTTGATACACTACTGACTGATGAACTTGGGACAGCCCTTCGGCCATAGTCGCTATAATCCGCTCTGGCGTTTCTGGAACTGGAGTCTGTATTGAACCTATTCTGGCCACTATATGGTGGTTTACTCACCTTCGTTTCTGAAGTCTTGAAGGCAAAGTTAGAAGCGGCCCTACGTTGTGGTTCACCGTAATTACGGTATGAAGTGCTTCTCGATCCGTAACCTGAACTGCTGGATCCACCACCAGAGTAAGCCTGCGCTTCAGCAAATGTGTCAAACTTCTTATAAACAGCACCAGAGTATCCGCTTACTTGCGATTTGCAGTCATCCCAATTGTTGAAGACACCGTTTGAACGACCGTTCTGTACAGCATAGAATCCACCTCTCGCCATCTTTCCCAGCGTTCCCTGGAGAACAAATGTAGCAAACTTCAATTGATAATGACGGACCTTGAGTAGAGTACTCAGACCAAAGATTGACCTCAACTCAACGTTCTATACCTTCAGAACGGTGGTAGTTGCTGTTCTAAGCTTCATAATGCTGTGAAGTTCTGTATCGATGCCTAAATATCGCTGTGTCACTGTATCGTTTTACTGACGCTGAAGTGATCGACATGTCATGAAATGATAAGATGATAAAGAGAAACGAATTGGCTTGAAACAGATATAAAGTTCAGATGAAGCTATTACAGCATATGTGAGGTTAATATGGTACTATTTGAGAAATTCCTGTCAGGTTTCACATAAGGTCCCGCAGCAGATCGTGAACTTAAGTTAAATGAGTAGCTGGTGACGAGTTTTACGTTGATTTGAATAGAAAGAGGTAGATATTGGAATTAAGAGAAAACGAAGTGCTAACAGGAAGAGAAACCTCGCACATCTCTATGCATTGGGTCAGATTTAGAGAACATCATTTCACCCAGTGCTTACACGTACATAATGATTTATATGTACGTGTATAATGATCTAATATAAATCACATTTACGTGTACAATCATGTGATCTTGTCAATGCTCGAGCGTCCCAATGCTACGTACTACTCTTACGCGGTGTTAGTTGAGAAGACTACCGTGTTTTCGTGATCATGAGTGTTAGATTAGTCAGACTATGATGATTTGTCGTCGCTAGACACGAAAAAGGGTAATGCCCAGCTTTGACAAATCCAATTCCCAGGAGTTTACCATGGCTTGGCATTTGGAGAGTGCCCCGAACCAAACTTCTTTGAAAGATGTCAATACAGGTCAAATCTCGGGTTCCTAATTCCATCAAACTATATAGCTGATCATTATGAAATCCGCTGGCTTTTTCCGCGAGTTGCTCACCGGTACCCTTGGCTGCTTGACAGGCATAACTGTCTACAAACAGCTTATAGAGCCTAGAATTCAGGTTCCATCTAAAAACCAAGAGCCCTCCGTGGCAAGACAAGACTAAATGATAAATTTGTTGGAATTGATGGACTATATGGGATAGTGTCAATTGCGTAACCAGAGAGTGTAAGAACCTCTGTCTGTCTAGCGTCAGAAATGTGCCAAAGTGATCACAAACACGTGACAAGACGACTGCGTCACAAATAACAAGAACCTAGAATAACCATCGATCTAACAAGAACGAGGTCAATCGGACCAAGTGGCACCACTTACAGCGCTCGTATAGCTCCCGGATCAGACCATTTCCACCAATTGCACCCGGAATGCTTGAAGATTTTTTTATCCGTTGACGACGGAACATTTCCAGGAATTTGTATAAGAAGGGACGTCTTATACACTCCATAAGATCATTCCGCTTATACTAAAGACACCACGGAGAGATAAATAGATCCTATAGACCATTACTATTCAACAGAGAACAAATTATGACCGAGCAAACTAAGCAGATCAATAACTCAGACACTGCTGACGTAGTCAAGCCTCAATAAAATTCAATTTGGAGCACTTGTAAACACCCTGTGGAGGCTGTGGTGGAAATGATATAGCGAACTTCGGAGAAACGAGAAAGACACACGTCAACAAATTTACTATATAGATCAAAAGAAGTACGTGGGAGAAGCCAAGATCTGATCGAGGACGTGAGGTTTTAGTGTCATTTCAGAACTAACACTACCTATTTGAAATCCAGAATCACGAGATCGAACTGTATAGTTTAATCATTATTGATCGTCATGTACGACTAGCGTCTACCGGCACCTGTCATGGGCAACCCATTGACCGTTCTACTGAAGCCTGGTAAGGTCAAGTCATGCACCGCTGCTACGTTCCAATCATACCGGGTTCTATTAATTATTACTGCACCATCCGCCCCTCAACATTATCTTGTCAAATCGTGTCATTTTGATTCTCGATGACTTACACGAGCAGCCTGAACGATGTTCTGTGTGAATAGCGCCCTGTCTAGACTATCCCTAGCCTCTAAAATTTTCGCCACATGAGCACTCTCTCCCTTTGAGATCAGGATTCGCAGCAGAATATCCTGAGTTGCAGTGACTTTGTCCAAGAGACTATTTTCGGCAGACTCAATTTCCTTATCGAGCTGCACACGTCGTTTGCGGGACGCGTTGGCTAGAATGGTTTTTCTTCTTGCTAGACTTTTGGCACGTTTGCCCGAAAATTTAGGAGCAGCATTAATACTTGCATCACCACTGTCCCCGGTATTGAATAACAATTTGCGATATTCTTGTAGAAGATTTTCCGCTTCTATCTTCAGTTGAGGAGTCGGCTGGTCGTAGTACACCGGTATGAATAACAATGCCTGGTAGTGTTTGTTTTTAAGGTCCTTTATTCCTGGACCTTCCCCGTTATTGTGGAAAAAGTCGAAGCACAGTGCATGCAGCCATTCAAACACAGTATGTACCTCAATTTGAGTTAAAGGTCTCTCCGATGCCGTTGTTGCATTGATTCCGTGTTTGGCAGCATCCACTGCGTTCTCCCAAATTGTTTTCGCTTTATTCTTGGAGTTCGAATTTCGGTGTTCGAACGCCTCGTACAGGTATGGAAGTAAAAGCTCATCGGCCCTACTTACGACGACCTCCCACGCTTCTAGCATGATTTTAAGAAGTAGTTCGCGAGGTAGATGAGAAGCCAGGATATTAAGATTAGCGTTGAGGTAATCAAAAAGAGGTTCTATCGAGTCATACACGATAGAGCCTTCTGGTTGGATCAATCCATTGGGACCGCAAACTGTCTTCAAAGTCAATCTTGAAAACGCAAAGTGCACAAATACCTGGAATTTCCCCACCATGAGCTCAATTGACCTATCTCGAGCCCTGCTTATTGATCTGAAAGCCCTACCCATAGAAAACAATGCATCCAGTTTTTCTGTCTCAACGGCTACTTCCACTACAACTCTACCACGAGCATCAAGATTCAGTGACAGTTGTCTAGGAAGACCATCTTCTTCGAACTTGTTTGGTTCCAAACTGAGGTGGGCTCTACCGTAGACACTAGGAGCAGACGAACCAAATTTCGACTTTCGATACCATAAGATAACATTTAAAAAGCGCGACTCGGTCAATGGGGCATCAATCTCAAATTCTTCATTCCATACCGCGCGACCGGATGTCAGAACATCTCTAGTCTTAGCAACTTCACGTCTCAATCTTGTGTCCACAATACTCACGGCTGTGAATGTATTATTTCCTTGTGCGGACCCACTCAGATTCTCTGCCCTTAGCACCTTGATAGTGTATAGACGCCGAAGACTTCTATTCTGCTTTTCGGTTACCGTTTTAAGTGCAGGATCTGCCTTCTCATGGCTGCGAACAACTTTAGATATGCTTTCAGGATCAATTCGATCTTCCAAGTCGTTGATCAGGAGCAGTATTTGATTTAGGTTTGTTAAACAAGTGCATGTTCTCAACCGAAACTCAAAAGGCCGGGGAGTTACGACATCGACGGACTTCAATGCATTCTTCATTTCGGTGTAGACCCACGAATTTTTCACTTTAATCTTAGTAGAATGAGCAAAAGGGCTGAGACCCTTACCAGAATCTTCCTCTTTCTCTTCCTCTTCTTTTTCTGCTTGAAATGCTGTAATATCTTCCTCGATTTCTCTTGTCACACAACTAGCATAAATACTCAGTCCATCGGCTATTGCTTTCAAAAGATAGGTATAAATTTTCGAGATTTGATATTCATTTGGCCACTCGAGTTTCATGAATAAGTCCATCGATTCGTTTATCATTTTGAACACATCTATCACAGATGTACTATAGCCTACCAAAGTGTTGGCGGCCTCCCAATTTTCCTTAGTAACCGCCGTTCGCACAACATCCACTGTATTGATGCAAGCATCGTCACATAATCGCGAAACGTACCTGAGAAAGTACTTTTCTAATTTGAAGGGAAACTCTTTTGACTCCTGGACTTGATGAAAGACATTCCGCAGCTCTCTTAGTGATCGATATGTCTCTACAGCATCATGAAAAGGAAGTTTCTCATCCCCGTCAACCTTGAGTCCGGCTCTAACTTGGGATAAGATAGCTGCACAGTCCAGTCCAAACGCTTGTAAAAGAACTCTTGCACTTTCTAAGACCAAATTAATCTGATTCAATAACGGTTTTGGATACATTTTCTGGATGTTTTGAATCTCGGACAAAATCCTATCAGCAACATTTTTGACGTCAAAGAACTCGAGCTGTCTATCTCTCGGGAGATCTTTGACAAGACTGACGTAAAACTCCTCTGTTGCTTTGAAGAATGAGCGGCGAAGACGTTTTATATGTTTTCGGTGAAAATCCGAAAGTGTCACGTCCTCAACCGAGAGCTCACACATCAAAATGATCTGATAGTAGACATTCAAGGTCTGGGAGAACTTAGGTCTCGGCTTGTGATGTATTTCAGAAATCAAAATGTTTAATGATTTAAAAGTCTGTTCCAAATTGTAAGTCAAATTTTCTAACCAGCAATCTTGATCCGTATGGCTCCACAATTGTCGTTCTTTGATAATGTCAGTGCCTTCGAATACTTTTGTTGATATCAGTTCAAAAACTTTCTCAAGCATGCGAGGATCAGAAGATTCACCATCCAAGAGTCCCACATTTGCTGCATTTAGTATAGCTGTGGCCTTTGTGGATGGCCAAGCCAAGTTCCAATAGGAGCCACATTTGTTGATGAGGAAAAAGGCCTCTTTGCTCAGGTTGAAGGAGAACGTATCCTTCCGAGCTTCATTGTTCAAAATTAAGCTTACTAGGTGAACATAAGTATCATTTGAACCTGAGGGAAAAAGGTTTGATGTCGTATTTGAGTTTTTCGTGTATGCTTCTGTATGCAGTTCGTAGGCCCCAGCCATTCTTTGGGCAGTTGCCTCGATGTCTTTTATTTCTTTATTCAGGCACCTCTTTGCCGTCTCTTCTTCAGATAGCGATGACATAGACCCTGGGGTATGTTGGCGGACAACCGTTGCTTTTAAGGTATGCAAGTAATTTTTGATTTCATCGCTGTCGATTTCATTCACATACTTGACCATTTTGAGCTGAAAATCTACCTCTGACAGAGAGAAGAGCTCCATTAAATATCTGGCGCATTTGACATCAGAAACCTTGAATGATGGTCTGACACAATTCTCTGAAAGGGTTGGGCTCGAACTGGTTTGTGATGTACTAGGTGACAGACTTTGTGGAGCATTTCCTGGCTTACTGAAGGACTCTCTATATTCCTTCAATCGCATTGCAAGCGGCGATCTTATTGATTCATCTTTCCACGCTAAGTCCGTTATGATGTCAGTAAAGCGGCAGACCTGAACGTAAAGTTCTTCTTTTGCATCATTCTTGGACGGCACCTTAACTAGCTCGCTTTGGAGTGCTTTTGTGAACAAAATGATGATTTCATGGGCCCGTTTTAAGGTCCGAAGTTGACTTCTGGCTTTTGGATCCAGAAAACTGTCGTTGTAAAACTTAAGCAGACTTCTCCGTAAAAGCTCCTGCTCCACAAGAATCTTTTTCATTGCAACCTTTCTAAGATAGTTCTCCAATGTTGGTATGAACCTCTGTAGTTGTTTGGCCTCGTTTGTGTCGTCTTTCTTACCATCATCAGAAAACAGCCAAGACCTGCGCTTTGCTTGTTTTGCATTTCTCAAACGAACATTTCGAGAATCTGACTCCTTCAACTGAAGCCTTGTTCCAATGACTTCTCTTCTGCGAAATCTCGGTTCGCTGATGTACTCCAGTAATACAACTATCGTGGCATACCTGAGAACTTGATCTGGATTGATTGGTGACAGCTTTTGAGCAGGCGTTTTTGACACAGCTATGGGGCCATTGCTTCTTGAACTAAAAGAACTTGACGTCGATACATCTCTAGCGCTCATCGATCTTACTCAGGGCTCAAGTTTACCATCTTTTTTCAGATTCGATGGCAAACAAGTTTGTTTGAACTCCCAAGAATTTCAGATGTATTACAGACATCGCTTATTTAGAATACATACACACAGTTGAATGATATGGCCTATCTGTGAAAGGGATATGAGCCCTTCTCCACATTATAAATCCTATATAAACCAGCTATCCAAGATTTTGTAAGACTGTAGATCATGGCATTGGGCAAACAGCATTATCTTGCCTTGAAAATTGGAGCGACACACGCTTCTATGAAAGTTTTGTCCATCAGCACAGGGAAATGCATCAAACCAATGAACCTCGTATGTCTGGGGAACGATCAGATTTCGCTATTCAAATTTTGCAGATAAAACCGCGCCATTGGTCAAAACTGTTCTGAATTTTTGAAATTGACCCACCAGCACTTATGGTAGACCTTACTCATGCTTGGAGTTCTGAGCAATTGCAATTGGGCTGACAACGGAGGTATCAGTTGGTCGACGGTTGAGCTTTAAAGCTCATGATCGATCGTCGAAAGTTGTAGATGCTTCGGGGTTCATCGTCTTATCCTCCTGGTCGACAACGTCTTCGCGACTGAAGATATGCTTCGATAAACTCTTATTCAGTGCGAACATGGTTGTCTTTGCGCCAAATATGGGCTTCATTCGGTCGTCACATATTATTTCCCGGCGATCTGCTGGATTTTGTAAATCATGCTCCTTTATGTACTCCCAAAGTTTCTTAACAACTTGCGTTCTAGCCATTTGAGGCTCCTTCACAATATGCTGTAATTCAGGGCTCAATTGCATCATGGTCTGACTCAGAGAGTTCCCATTTTCACTGACTTTCCGCTTCTTTTTCGGTTTTGAAATGCTAGAGCCAGATTTGGCCTTCTTTCCAGTACTATCGAGCTTTTTAGAGAGAGCTTTCGCTATGGCAGCATCCTTTTTCGCCAGTTCTTGAGACGAAATGTTAGACCTATTCTTTTGAATATCGTTGAAACGCTCAATTATCAGTGCATTGACCATTTTCCGCTGGCTTTCCAAATTAACTGCAAAAAGTTCCTGAATGGCTTTTCGTATCCTTTTAGCACTGACTTTGTCAGGATTGGAGACGCTTAAGATAGCCTGAAAAGGCGTGTTAGCAAAGTTGTTCAGTAAAGCTTCTTTGGTGACTCGCTTTCAAGCTTTTCTCACATACATCAATCATTGGAACATATCCGTCCAAATCTGACATCAAGCACTTGCTCTCTTACAGTTGTTTGTATCAAAGATGTCTGTAAACTTTCTCTTGTAGGTGTAGGTGAACAGGTACTTCAATAATATCATTAACTCGCCCGATGCCATCTCATTGTCTGTAAAGCAAGAAAAAAAGTGAAAAGACAACGCTGTTGATTGATTTGTTCTATGTGAGAATGCAGTTAAATGCGCTATTGTACAGTTGACCGGTAGCTATATATTAGTTTTGGAACTTAAGCCGTTTATTTGGCGCCCTTTAGATTTCTCTTTTGCTGAAGCTCGTTTTTCTTGACCAGCTTTTTACGTTCGGCCCGACTTAGGTTTCTGGGGTCGATCAGCTCATCACCACTCTTTTTTGGAGCATCGTCCACTTCCACTAACCACTGAGAGTCCAGTTTCTTGTTGGCACCTTTGTAGCCCCATTTTGGCACCCATTCGCCTGATGCCTCGTCGTAAACCATTTTGCCCGCTTTCTCCTTGGACTTGATACCCTTCTTCGCAGCAAATTGCTCCCATTTTGTGGGAGCCTTGGGCTTAGGCAAAGGTTTCTCTCTGGGAAGATCCGTGGTTGGGTCTGGTAGCTGTACTAATGTTACATTGGCACTTTGTCCACTCGAACCATTAACGGATTCAGTACTATTTTTTATGGGAAGGGATAAGATCTGATTGATCATAAGCTGCACGTTATCACGGGTCAAAGTTTTGATATGCTCCTCCCGCTTGGCGTTCGAAGAGTCCAAGTCATTCCTGTCCAATGTGTTGGAATCGAACACGGCCAAGTTTCCCAAATCGTACGTGACCGGAATAGCTTTCTCTACCGTAACCGGTAGCGATTTTCTCTCCTCGGCACTAGTTGACATTTTCTTAGAGTCGGTGAGCCTTTCGGGTTACTTTTGTAGCTTAAACTCAAGTCTCTGTATAGCTCATCGTTAGCTCATCGCATGTCTGGTAGACCAAAGTTGTAAATTTTTCAGATGCCAAAAAATACTTGTCGTTTGATACGCCTCTGTCATCGAATGACAGGATAATAAAAGTGCATATCATAATTCAAACAACTTTCGCACCACACGGCTTTCCATGGCCCTGCCATTGCAGTTCCAATTTTCGCGGATCAATTGCTTGACATAAAATCTAGAAGTCGAGAACATCTGAAGAATATCAAAATTATCGCCAGAATCCCGTTCCCCGTTTTCAAGCAGCTTTAGTTCCCGATTCAATAAGCGTTTCCCACCACACAAGGACTCCATGTAATGCAACATGCACTTGTTGTAGCCTAGAAGCAATAGCTCTACTAGTTTGAATACAATCTGAAGAAAGAATGGCAGTTCTTTCAACAACTGCGTCTGAAGTTCTTCAAAATGCCGGACCAAGAGTTGCGTTTTAATATCACGCTTGTCCTTGGTCATCAACGAAGCCAGGTAATCCTTTTTGAGTACTTTGAGATTCCCTACTTGGATGCTGACATGTTCGCACATTTTCCGCATGTGCTGCAGCGGATCCACGACGTGTGTTTGCAGACTCGTTAACTTAAGTAGCATTACTTCTTCGCGTTGCTGATGAATCTTATTGATGTAGGCTGTGTAAATGGATTCCACGTTGTCTTCGACCGCAAACAGTGGAATGGCAGGTTCGAATTCAAATATGTTGCGCCACTGCTCTGCTTGACGCAGGTTTTTGTCAATAATGGCGGTCAAGTCTAAATTAATGAGCTCTTTGTTCAACTTGTCAAGTAATCGCTCCACTCGTTTGAATTTATCAATGGATTCTGCGAGGGTTGGGTTATCCGAGTGACTATGAAACTCCTTCGACCTTTCATTTTCTTCTTCAGCTAGGATAAAACCATTAGTAACATCCATGTTGGTGTGGTCTGAATATCGACTCGATGACAGAGAAAAATGTGTGTCACTCGATCTGCAGGAATCGTTGCTAATTGGTACTGTTAGATGTTTCTCGTTTTGAATATCGGGTGGCATTGAAGGCGCGCGGCGCGAGCTTGTCTGCTCGGACGTCAAAAGTGCCAAAGAATCCGTTTGAAACGCCGAATAGCGTTCCGTGAAAGAGATGAGCCCTTGCAATGTTTCCGGTGTAAGATAATTCTTGGCATGAGTGACCATCCGCCGCAGATCTTCGAGAAAGCGATCAACATGGTGGATGGGGGCTTCTAAGATATCTTCCAGACGAAGGTGGTCACTTTTTTGAAGGCAAATTTCGTACCATTTGTAAAACAAAGGTCGTTGTTTGGTCTTTAAATCGGCCAATAATTGAGTTTGTTTTTGATGACTCGAAAAATAGGCAGAGTATGTTGACTTGATCTTGTTCAAATGAGAGTCGAGAAATTCAATCGGATTGAAATTGTCTCGAAATTCTTGCGGTACGCTGAGATAGGTGCCAAAATTTTCCCAGTCCTCTCTTACAGTGCCTGACCTGCAGCATGCAAATACGTATTTTTTGATCGATTTGACTAGAATTTTGCTCAATTGTGTTATGGTGTCAATGTTACCAAAAACTACAATCTCGTCTTGAGAATCTTGAGCAAGTAACTTGTTTTTGAACTTTTTATTGTTATGAAGCTCCCAGCGGTAAACCATGTTGAGTGAATCCGTCACATAAGCATATTTCTCTTCATTAGCGAGCAACTCGAATAGAGAGTCGAGAAAATCTTTCCCATGACGTGTCGGTGGTCGCGGGTTATCGATTTTCTCTATGTGGAGAGGTTCCGTTGGTGAAGGTACACACTCCATTCTCGTTAGCACATCACACTTATTCGAATAACGTGCGTCGGATACTCGGGACTTCAGTCTTGCTAACTGTTCTGCGTTGGCCCTAAAGTCGTGTTCTGTGCGCCAGATAGATTTTGAATACGGATTGGTCCCTGTGTTAAAAGTAGTGTTTTTACCTGATAATCCTGTGAGGGGTTTATCCGAGTCATCGAAGAACCCTTGCCCACTTTCCCTGATTGGTGTTATTGTCGACTTTGTTGGATAATCAAGTGGAAAGACTGAAGTTGTCGATTTCATCATTTTTAAACGATTTCTTCGAGCTCCCATTGTGAGGATTATGTTGTGAAATGCGATCCCGTTAAATACATTAGTAGCCGGCTGTGTCTTTTGCTTGAAGATGGTGTAAACTTTGATGTGTCAGATTAGTATCATCTTGAGAGAACCTGACACTTCGGATGCTCATTTACGACGAGTCGGCACCACCTCTACCAATAAAGTCTGTAACCACTTTGAAACGGTCTTTGGCATTAGATTCATCGTTCAGCGTCATGCGAAGAAGCTCTGCATTAGTTTTTGTATCTACCTGCACTTGTTTCATTCCAGCAGCTGTTTCAAAATCAACCATACACTGCGGACACTGGAAATGCCGGTCGTCCCCTGCAGACGAATCAGTTTCATTCAAACAGCTCTGATGATATAGATGGCTGCACTTGAAGAATAAGATAGGTGGAGTGAGTTTTAAATGACAGGTATCACAGGCCTGGTCTTTGAGCTGGATTTGAAGCGGATTTTTTTCATCCGTCAACGATTTCAGCTTCTCGTTCTTCTCAGTAAGCTCGTGCTCGTAAGACTCGATGAGCTTCTTGTTATTGTTTATTTCTTGGTTCTCAGATTTGATGTGTTCAATGAGTATATCTTGAATAAGTCCGAAAGTGACAACGTTGGTTGAGCCTAGAACTTGTAAAATGTCCAGCAAGGGCATTAAATCTAAATCCAAAACTTTCCGCAAAACTTTTTCCTTGAAGACGGATTCGCCTCCGATCTCTTCCATCGTGGTTCTTGCGACGACGAAGTGTGCCAAACCCATCGAGTATAGCTCGGGCTCTTGACCTCCATAACGTTCGATAAACTGTAAAGCTGTTTTGGCATCATTCGTTGAACACAGTGCTTCAAATTTGTAGACCAAGTCGGCTTTATCGAATGCGAGCTTCGGACCTTTAGGGCTGAGTTCATCTTCCTCTTGGGGTAAGTCAATCTCATTAATTTGTGAGATTAGCATCATCAAAGAATTGTCCACCGGTTTAATTGGTTTATCTGATGCTAGCGTTCCATTTGTAGACTGACTTGCCCTTATCAGCTGTACGCTTTGTTGGTATACAGCGCGGGCTTTCTCTTTCCACTCTTTTTGACGGCTTTTAATGTCATCCTTCGCCAGTGACAGATAAACGTCATATAGTGTGGTCAAGATAAGCTGCTTGTCGTGATCAAAGCCATCAAACTCGTTATAGCTACCCAGGCAAGCCTCGAGGAACACAACAAACTCGAAAGGTTGATGAACGAATGAAGTGAAAATTAATGCGGGCCTCGGTGGATGATAGGTTGGAACACTTACATCCAACTCCGCATTTTTGGAGTTCCCTGTGCCTCGCATGAAGTCCAGGAAAGAGTTGTAACTGTAAAAAACATTGTGATCCATCTCTTCGTTGTGTAAGGGCTGCTTTTCGTCATTCATATCCTCCAATTTTGCGGGCTGGAATTTTCCTGTAAAAAGCTCAATGAGTAATGCGTTCGTGTCATTCGGTAAGAGCTCTAAAAGCTGTTTTGAGAAAGCTATCAGAATACGAAGCGTATCGTCAACTGGTAGACTCTTTGTATACTTTAGAGCCAAGTGTGGATCATTTAGGTTTTCGATCAAGATATCGACCACGACCTCAGGGCTTTTGGAAAACTTTCTAGCAATCTTGTAAGCCTGTAGTGCAAATCCGGACTCTAGAAGTAATCTTAGTACGAGTTCGAGATCGAAAAGGTTTGCATCAGAATAGTAGTATGATTCATCATCCTCCATCCAATTTTGCGCGGGTTCTTCCTGTTGTAAATACCTCCCATTCCTAGTGAAGTGCTTTACGAAATCTTCCAACCCTTGTTCGTCCCTCATCTTTATCAAAGATATGATGTAAAGTGTTACATGATCGGAGGTCCCCATCTCATTCTGGATCACTGAGAAAACGTAAAATGACAAGTTTGATATGTCCTCAGAGCTCGATGAGCTCTCAATACCGAACTTGGCAATTACCTCACTTGTCTCAGTGACGTTAAGACATTGTAGATATTGCTCAATAGCGGCGGCTTTGGACCCTGATTTATAAAGATAATCGGCGTACCTTTTCCTGATTTCCTCGATCTGGATATCTTCCAGTCGGTTTTGTTTGGCAATATCAAGAGCTATCTGAAAAAGTTCTTTCTGCTCAACAATCTGCAGCCTTTCTGTAATAGACTTTTCGGTGATTTTATGCAGCGTGCCATCAGACGTCAGTAGCATCACTGATTGATCTCCCGTAAATCTCATTGGGAAGACATCTAATACATTTCCGTTCACTAAGCTGTTCATGACGATCAGCTTATTTCGAATGTCAAGGACGATAACCCTGTTGCTCGGGACAGTAGACTTGAAAGCATGCAAGGCGGTGGTATTTGACGCTTGTACCCCGGCTAGAACGAGCAGATGATCTCCATCAATTGAGAATACTCTTTTGATCATGGACAGATCAGTTGCCAGGGATCGCTTCTCACCGGTGGGTTTGTAGAAATCAATGGAGTTCGCAAAACAGCAGATAAATTCCTGACCATCGCTGCTCGAACAACTGCAATTGATGTCAACCCCGGATTCAGAACTTAGAATCAAGTCTGCCTGCCCATGGTTTCTTCCAGAAGTGTCAAAAAGTAGCAATGCCGATGTCGTGGAAGCAAAACAGTTTCGGCTGTCACGGTCGAAAATCAACGAAGTTATCGGCTCCTTATTGGGGTCTTCGTATATGATTCTCTGTTTTGAGCCCCGATCATGCAAAATATCACCTCGTATCAATACTACCCTTCCGTTGACGAAGCCTACGGCGATACAGTCCACACCTTTTGATACTGCGATGGCTGACAAGGGAAACGTGTTCTTGCCATTTTTCACCTCTATGCTGCTGTGAAAATCGAATTCATTTCTGGGCCTTTTGTCCAGTTTCCATATTTTTAAAGAACATGGCTTGCCCATTTGTTCAGCCACGCTGAGAATAAGATTATCTTGTACTGCGCTCAGGTATGTCGTTTGGAAACCTTCAGAATACGCTTCGAATTCTAGTTCAATTTCCAACGTCGATAGATTCACCAAACGCAAGAGTCTCGACTGTACTGCAATGAGAAGCCTTTCGTTCGAAACCGGGCACACGGCAGTTATTGTAGGATCAGAGAAAAAGGGTCTGTCGCTGCCCAACTTAGGATCCCGAATCGGGATATTCTCGAAGAAATGGAATTGACGCCATGAGCGAAATGACATATGTTAGCAACTAATAAGGGCCAACGCTGGCAACTTGTAATGGATCTAGTGGGTAGATTCAAACTGGTCTACCGGGAAACTTCGAGATTCTAACAAGCAGTAATTACTGGTAAACTAATATATTGTGCAAGACACAACCACACGTGACCGGTGATGCTTGATGACAGTTCTAAGTACCAAGATTCCACAACAGGTTGGACTCACACAGGTTCGATCCAACTGGAAGTCGACAAGTGTTTGCTGTTTGACTAGGTTATCGGTTTGATACATGTCCGGTGAATTGAAATTATAACAGAGAAGTGTCTTGCCAAGCATGTTGTAGAAGCTCGATACTGCTTGGCCGTTTGCGATAATCCAATTCAAAAGTTTCACGCAGAAAACTCTTGGCTTCTTCACTAGCCCAAGACGGAGAGTCTGGGTAGGTATTAGTGCCGATCTTGAAGATGGCCTGCATCTGCGAAAAATCTGGGAACGGGTGTTTGCCCGTGAACATCTCGATTATGACGCATCCAACAGACCAGATGTCAGCTTTCTCGGTGGTCACCACTTGTTTCACTACTTCGGGAGCCATCCAGTACACCGACCCCTGCAATGATGCTCTTTTGTTTTGTTGCTGGTTCAAAGGCGAAAGTTTCTTGGAAATACCAAAATCTGTAATTTTGACGCAGCCCTTGATGTCAATCAGAATGTTTGCACCCTTGATGTCTCTGTGAATAATGTCCTTCCGATGCAAGTAAGCAAGGCCGATCAAGATTTGGCGTGTAAAATTTTTGATCAATGGCTCTTCAAACGGACCGTAGTTGTTGAGCATGGAGGAAACCGATCCACCCGGCACATATTCCAGAAAAATGTTGAGATTCCCACCTTCTTGGGACGAGCCGAAGTAGGTCACAATATTGTCGTGGTGTAATTCTTTGAGCAGCCCCATTTCGTGCTGCAATGCGTCAATCATTTTCCTGTGTATCTGAGAGCTATTTTTGGCGGCAGCTGTGCCTGCATTTTGATTGTACTGTTTTTTGACACCGTCAGATACGGACATTACGCCTGCGGTGACCGCAGCTGGCTGGAGTTCTACCTGCTTTACGGCCATCAGTTCACCGGTTTGGGCATTCATACCCAGGTACACACTACCGAAACTACCTGCTCCGATCCTCGCACCCTTGAGCCAATTTTTAGGAGTGGCGACTTTGGTTGGTAGCGAAATGATATCTCCGTCGTCTTCTTCGTAGTCTGATTGCACCTGTAAAAGTTCTATGCGATCCGTGTTTTTCTGTCTGAGTGATGCTTTTTCGCCGTAGGTACTATGAGAAATGAGACCTGGACGTTTAGTTGGTGCCTGTTTGGACTCTATAGAGCTTCCGCTCGCCTTTCGGACGCTCAAATCTTCGCGAGACGTTTCTGCAGGGCTGAAATTCAGCGTATCATCTTCAGCACTGCCACGACGGGTTGACACAGCAGTACCGGTCTTTTCAGTTCCCGCTGTGGCCGATGGATCCGTTGAAGTCTGGTCTATGCTTTGCAGAAGTGCTCTGCCAACCGCATTGGAATTGTTCACCCATATATTCCCCACATTGTTACCGTTAGCAGGTGCGACAGAACCGTTGATGGAGCTTAGTCTTATAGATTGTCGCACTGAGCTTTTCACAGTTTTCCGAAGACTTTTGGAATCCGCGAGCGGGAAGTATTCACCAAGATTTGTGGAGATCAATTCACTTGGAGGTCTTTGATTGAAAATCTGTCTAATGTTGTCCTTAGAGTTTTCGATCCTAAGACTGCTTTGTGGAACCGGAGAGGCACCGTAGGACGCCAAAGTATCTGCAGCATGAAAACGAGCTCTCGAGTTTGGAGTGGCAGTTGTGAAGTTAGAGATAGAACCAAGTTGGTTGATAACGCTCAAAGTTTTGAGATGGAGTTTTTTAGATGTCAGTGTAGCTCTCTCGTTTGGGGTTTGATCCTTCGAAACAAAAATGAGCCTATTTTTCTCAACACGATCTGTGGAATGACATATAGTGACTAGTTCTACGTCATACAGCAAATGCAGAACGTTTTTGGTGTAATCCACTACAAACACGTCATAGTCCTGAGAATTGCGTGTTTCTTCGCCTTGCGGAGTGCATGCAATAAACTCACTTGGAAGTTTCTTGATTAGCTTTTTCTTAATGGAATCTGCGTTGAAACAGCCGTTTACATTCACTTTCTTGGCAGATCCATCATTCAGAATGAAAATGGCGGAGTGTTTGTCTGTAACCAGTTCTTCTGTTGTAGTTAGTTGCGTAAGGCTGAGAGCCTGGAATCTCTGTAAGAGTTCCCTTGCCTCTATAGGGGACCGGAACTTGCTTCCACGTAACGTTTGGGACCGTTTAAGAATTCTAATACGGTCTCCAATTTTTTTGACACCTACTTCGATCAAGATCTCTTTATCCAAATGTGCGACCACATTTTCGGATGTAAGATTCCAGGATTTGAACCGGTCGATGTACTGGGCGCAATTGAGCTCGTTCAAAAACTGTACGACAAAAGGCTCATTCTCGGCCATGATGGTAGAGTAGGCAAGGTATTAAAGGGGAAAGAGGGACCCAGATCAAAGAAACAATTGGTGCGACTCGCTCAACCATCTTTTAAATATATGGTAGATCAATCAATATAAGTCTTCATGAGACCTTAAATAAGATAAAACATCACGTGCCACAGCCCGAGGTTGTAAGTTCGATCCATAAGGCCACACATAGCGAGATTATTGGGAGCAGCTAGAGCCGCTTGATTTGAGATCTGATCAAGAGTTCGGAACGTTGAAATTTGAGAATTCTTTTTCCTGTTTTACACGACCCTACAAGTGACTATTAGAATCAAAGGATACTGAAAAAGCTTAACACAGCAGAAAAGATGTAGAAGTCAATAAATATAGCGACGTACAAAAACTATGGATTTTCACGCCGCGCAACGAATTTTTTGGCAATTTTGGTGAATGAAAGTTTGATTTTATTAATCGTACCGTGTAATTGAAATGCAGCGTTATTTGTGGTCGCACAAACGAAAGAGGGGAGAAAATTAATCTGCAACTCTCGTGAAATACCCCATTTCGATTCTACTGCGGTTCGCAACTCTACTGTATTGCAACGATCTCACAGTTTTTTTTTTGTTGATCTGACAGACGTCACACTCGTGTATAGCGATCGTTGTTTTGCTCATCAGTTCTTCGCTATAATTCGAGTTCTTAATAGGCTATCGCGTCACCAGTGTTATTGGGATTCTATACAAAATTGTAAGTTGATGTAGCACCCCCCTATCTCTCGAGTATAGCTTCACTTCCGAACTTAGTTCATCTGACTACTGTAGACACATGACTGAAGAGTGACACACACGTCAGTAGTGATTTTTATTCCGAAATATCAGTATAGACCCTAAATTAAAGATGCATTACTGCACTACAACCTTAATCAACATCATCCAGCGCTCATCACAACTAACAATGAGCAACAATAAGGACAACCTGGACAATCAGGACAACCAGGAACGCAAAAAATTCTATCTTGATCGTGCCGGTAAGCGTGCGGAGGTGAATATTGAGCATTTACGCAAGCCACATACTTTCGAGCCCGTCAAACGTTCAGTAGGCGAGAATTTGTCTTCTCCTTTAACTTTAGGAGGTGATCATAGACCAACGGCAGATTTAAAGGGGAAAGAACCGTTCAAAAAGAAGGAAACCTGAGGTTTTAGCTAGTCAGCCCTCTCGTTAGCCTTTCGATGCAAATAGGCTATTCTTTTTACCTTCTAAGTCGAATTTTTTTTGTATTGAGTGAGATTGATCCATCGCTTTCTAAGAATAGAAACTTCTGACCAACTCCATACGCAATGTTAGTGCCCAAACGCTATGTGCGGTTCGGGATCTCGCTGCTGTTGCTCTTAGGAGCAGTTTGGCTTTTGGAAGCGTTCTTGCGCTTTCAACAGCAAGCATTTCTTTCTTCTCCAATGAGCTTGGTATCAATTACTCACCGAGATAACCAAGCAGATTTTGATGCGCTTAAGATTATTGATGCACTTAAGGAACAGCCTCAGGACCGCAATTTAGTGATCTCCATTGGTGTCATGACATGTCTCTACGCTGGAACGTTCCGGGAACTTTGCCCGTCGTCCCGTAAGTATGGGGTGGGTAATCCGGACTCTCTTTTGGCAGATAAAGCCGCTTGTAAAGTCATCAGGAAGGATTTAGCACGAAAAAGACGTTTCCGGTTTGTGGGTGTGTCGCACTACCTCTTTTATGAGACAATTTCACTCTCACAAGCAATTGAATATCTTTCTGGCTCAGCAAAGCCGATAAATGCACTTCAAGATTTTAACAAAGACATCCCGGAACATTACGATAACACGGCAGCTTTTCACGCCCTAAATGAGCGAAACATACGAAATTGGACCTTTGTCAGTGATGTAGACGTCATTTTTGGCGCGGGCGCTGTGGACCCTCGATCAGGTTGGACTCTTTCGAGTAAATTTCCACTGAAATTAGGTTCCACCCTCAAATATGTCTCGCTCAAGAGGCCTGCCTCAACTGTAGAATCCGAGCACAACATTCGTCTCCACGTCGGTCCTCAAAACACTTTTAAGATAGTGCAGCTAGCTGACCTCCATTTCAGTGTCGGAGATGGTCGCTGTCGTGACGAATTTCCCAAGCATGACGAATGTCATGCAGACCCTAAATCCACAGCTTTTATCGAGCAGGCCTTGGATTCTGAGAAGCCGCAATTGGTTGTGTTTACTGGAGACCAAATAATGGGACAGGAATGCTTTTTAGATTCCACTTCAGCCTTGCTTAAGGTCGTTAAGCCGGTCATAGACCGGAAAATTCCATACGCAATGGTATGGGGCAATCACGACGATGAAGGGAGCTTAGATAGATGGCAGCTTTCAAAACTAGCACAGTCATTGCCTTACTCCATGTTTAAAATTGGTGAGAAGGACACAAATGATAATACTTTCGGAGTTGGAAATTACGTTCATCATATCTATGACGAGAATGGTGACGCCTTGTCAGCCTTGTATTTTCTAGATGCGCACAAGTACTCCCCCAATACGAAGGCTTATCCTGGATACGACTGGATCAAAGAGGAGCAGTGGAAGTTCTTTGATCAGTACGTAGATGATTTTTCTGAGCAAGGAAAATCGCTATCGATGGCTTTCTTTCACATCCCCTTACCAGAGTATCTCGACTTTCAATCAAAAAGTACATCTGACTCTCAAAATCCTATTGTTGGCAACGCGAAGGAAGGAATCACGGCCCCCAAATACAACTCTCAGGGTCTGAAGACTTTGTCGCGATTAGGCGTTAAGGTAGTCACCACGGGTCACGACCATTGCAATGATTTTTGTTTACTTGATGATTCTATATCGCCTGCCAATGAAGACAAAATCTGGCTGTGTTTTGGTGGTGCTGGTGGTGAAGGAGGTTATGCTGGATACGGCGGGACGGAACGCAGGATCAGAATTTTTGAGCTAGATTATACGGAGAGAAAAATTGTGAGCTGGAAAGTGTTGAACAGTTCGCCCACCATCCCCTTTGATCGGCAAATACTTGTCAGCGATGGCATTCCAAAAACTGATTCACTTGCATGATGTTGCGATTGAAGCGCTCAACCGCCAGGTCAAAGTCAGATAAATGTTGCTGGGTCGATGATGCCGCAAGGTACAAGGGCAGCGCGTTGTCTATAAGAGACGTGCTGCCGTAAAAGGAAAGCTGATGCGGAAGCGGTGTGTGGAACACTTTGTTTGCGAGAATGTGTACAAATAACAAGTAGTAACCGAGCGTCGAATTTTTCAATATTCGGTCTCGATCGTTTAACGCTGTAAATGGTTCGACTCTTTTCAATTGCATCTCATAAATAGACTGGTGTTTTTTATTTGGTATCACATATCCGCTCTGGCCACATAATGAGGTGCCCTTCATGGCGATGAGCAGTTGACTGACTTTGCGCTCTTCCAGCGATTGCAAGCGGTGCAAAGCACTTGTGTAGTCAGATAGAGTTACACCGTAGTCTTCATTCATCGGGAGCTCTGTCGAGGAGTCAAGATGGTAAGTGGACCCGTTTTGCTTGCTACATTCTAAGCTTTGGATCTTATTCAGTCGTCTTTCGATCGACAGCTCCAGTGACTCACTCGCATGAAGAAGTGCATCCTTAGACAAAAGTTTTGGTTTTTCATCAACGAGATCGTCAATTTTTTCGGATAGCTCTTGAAGCTCTAAATGCATTTGGGTCCAGTATTCCAAAATTTTATTGAGCTTGAGAACACCGTTGAAGGTAAAGCTTTTCTTTGGTGTTACTGGCTCGGGCGTAATCTTGGGAGGGACCTCGAAGTTACCTGGTGTGCCAAATACTCCATCCGAGAAATGAAGTACGGGAACATTGACATTTCCTGTCTTGGGACTGAGGTTACCTTCGTCATCACTCAAAACTGGTGAGAGCCGACTCAAGTCCAATGCATAAGTCGCAAGGGTGGTCCACACGGGAAGATCTTCATTTTCCTCGAGTAAATTTTGCGGAATTTGACCCACAATTTTGAGTTTGATTTTGGTCATCGCGTAGGGCAAAGCAGGTATGTCTTCAAATCGCAGACCGCATTGCGATCTTTTCTGTGCTTCACTTACATAAAGACATCGTCCATGAAGATCTTCAATTGCTACGAATATGGAAGGACTGTACGGTGGTTTGAGTTCGGATTTTGCATCTTTTGTCAACGAGACGTTGTATATCGAAATGCCACTGAGATGTCGCAGTCTTCGCTATAACACACAATTAACGTTAGTATTTCATATTGGTCGTAAAAAAAGTGAAGTAGAATCGGTCATACTCTTGAAAGATACATTTGAGGGCCTCGGTGGGCTGTGAGCTCTGATATGCTTGAGCTTGGGTCTCTAGAACTTGCATGATGGGTTGTCTTCCCAACGTTTAAACTGTAATTAGAGCGCCAGTCTAAGATAATGGGGTCACGTGGGTATTAGGTATTTTGGATTCCAAGATCTGACGTCTCGCTTAATGGTGGTTCGTTTTGACTTGTCATTTACATGAGTGGATGAGCTGTAAGAGCTTCAGCTGGTGCAACTTTTCATTGCAGCTGGGGGCCCTTGGTGAAGATCAAAAACAAAGGCTGTACGAAAAATGATGTAATTTCAACAAGTACATAGACGATACCCGATGCTAGGCTTTGTTGAGTTTGTCCATCACACCAACTCTCGTAGCTTGAAGACATCTCGAAACTCTTAATATATGAACTTATCGTTTGCGAACTGTGTCACATTTTACTAATCTGTCGTTCTACTGACATCTATCGGTGCAATGTCACTATGCAGTGACATTCCACGGCAGAAAGGCATTTCTAAACTGAAAAACCTTAAGAGAGAAGCAATCAATGGTTAATCAAACGCGCTTACCAAATCTAGGGTCACCATTTCATAAAAGGTTTTTTTGGCAACTGAAAATCATGCCAGCCCTGGAAGACTTTAAATTTGTTGGACAAACGAACATAGGCTTTGTGAAATAAATTTCATACGCTGTCAACAATAATCTCGCAGACGTTCACAGTACTTTCCCTCTGTGGCCGAGACTATCGATGACTATCGATGACCAGGCGAGACAATCACTTTGCTAATTCTGTGTCGCTGTCATTTCACCACTCGGCATATTACATAATTTACTATTTTTCAATAATTGGACATACCGGAACTTGAAATTAACATTCGATGAGCAAGTGTAAAGGGTCCAGCACTAAGCAATTGCTCAACAATAGTGCACTATCGTCTCGCAGCTTAATTCTTATCGATGTTCATTGTGTTGACTTGTTTGATTGCGGGAGTCCAGGCGCATCCTGGACACTCCCACGGCTCGGAAATGGCTTTGCATTCAGATGTAAATGGATTTTTGGAAAAGTACATTTTTCCATTTAGCGCTCGCTACAATGCATTATTAGCCACTCTGTACATCTCTGCCGCACCATGCATTATTGTCACTGTGATTCCTGCTTTTAGGAAAGCTAAGAAAAACCGGCTTCTGTCACTTCTGATGACTTTTGCTTTCGGCACCCTAATAGGCGATCTGTTTCTGCACTTGTTCCCCAGTATCTTCACAAGTAGCGCTTCTCAATCTCCTTATTTGGATTTGCAACAGCTAAGTCGTTTAACAGATCGATTCGAGGCCGACTGGCCCCAACTTGCGAACAAACTCGATGGCGAAAATCCTATCGTCAAAGTCAGAAAAGCTCTCTCAATGGCTGTCGCTAGCATCGGGCCTCTAGAAGACCAAAAAAGTCACACGGATCCGATTGCTGTGCGAACCATTATTGTAGGGTTTCTTGTTTTCTGCGGGTTTCTTCTTTTCATGGGTATCGATAAATGCTTCAAAATAGCTGGGTTTGGCACGAACCATGGTCCTAATGACGACCACGGGTTTGGACACTCTCATTCGCATGTTTTGCCTAATCTAGAGGTTCTAGAGGAGGACACTTCAGCGGCGACGGGTTCTTCGTACCAGCGCACGGAAGAACACGAAGCAACTCACAGACACGCTAGTGACGCCGCTCAAAAAGCTGATGAAAAGACTGTTTTAGCTACTGTTGAAAAGACTACTCATAGTCCTACCAACACATCTTTGCAAACCTCCGCTTACCTCACGGTAGCTTCTGCGTTTGCTCACAACATAACGGACGGTTTTGCGCTCGCCTCATCCTTTTACAAGTCCCGTACTACAGGAGTGGTCACCACCGTTGCTGTTCTGACTCACGAGATACCACATGAGCTTGGAGATTTTGCTATTTTACTGGGATCAGGCATTCCATTTAGCAAGGCTCTCGGGTTGCACGCCGTAGGCGTTATTGGAGCTCTACTCGGCACATTTTTTGGATGCTTAGCCAACGAAATGGCTGTTGTTGCGAATTCAAAAATCCCGGCATTTGAACGCGCTGCATGGGATATTTCTCTATCCGATATAATGCTTCCGCTGACCGCTGGGGGGTTGCTATTCATTTCTACAGTTGGATTAGTTCCCGAGCTTCTCAGAAACAGTGCAACAAGCAAAAGAGACGAGGTTAAGAACAGTTTATTGCAATTGGCAAGTATTCTTGCCGGTTTCGCGCTCATGGCATGGATGAAATTCATAGAGTAGAATTTCGTCAGCTTGAAAAAAAAATACGAGAACATAGTTGAGAACAAAAATTCAGCATTGAAGTTCAATCCCGATGGACTTGAAACCCACTTTTCGTTCGCCAACTCGGACGATGATAATTTGATGTGGACAGTGTCATTTTGTTTCTTGTTCGTGCCAAAACAAAATCATTTTTTCGTTGTTTAAACGAGAAATAAAGGGAGAGTGGAGTCTGGACACACACATCCGTCTCACAACTCTCCATTCTAAGATTCCATCGTTCGCTTCAGCCAGCCACTTCCAGGGAATACCAGACCTCCTCAGTTCACCGACGACGTTACGCCAACTGTCACTATGTCCTTTCCTGTCGCCGATTTTACAAGGTTTGAAGGGGCATCTCTGAAATCAACACGCTACAAGAGGACGCGCATCACAAGAAAAGGATCCAAACACCAACATCTAATAAGAAAGCTCAATTTACTGCTTTCAGTTATTTGTAACAACCCTGTTCAACAAATCTTCAGATGTCGACTTATGCTCTAAGGATTCCAGAATACGCTTTAAGCGAATACTCGCACAACGACAAAGTTGTGATTACAGGAAGTTTCGACAATTGGGAACACAAAAGGTACCGTTTGAGCTTCGACGATAGTGAGAAATGCTACAATGTGACGATTCCAAGCGGGAAATCAGATCGCATAATTTTCAAGGTATGGCTCTGGTGCATGTTATTCTTTGTTTTTTTGAATGGTTGTGGAACTAAAGGTTAAAGTGTTTCGGGCTATGTTTTCAAGAAAAGAGGTAATACGAACCGTCAAGTTACAAGTACAGACTGTTCCACTAGCTGAGTTCCATACCATTCTTGGTCCGAAGGTAATCATATTTCCGTGGTTTTTTTTTTTCTTTGAGTCGCCCTTTTTACTGACATTCGAAGCACAGTTTGTGATAAATGATAAAGAATGGGTTAGTCTGCCCTATTTCGAGACCCAGACTGATAGCAGAGGTCTGGTCAACAATGTGTTGCGTTGGGACGATTACACGGAAAACTGTCTCGACAACGTGACTATCTCCAGTGCCGTGGCTGGAGCAACGCAAGCAAACCCTGACAGTGCCAAATCAGGTCTCGCTCATCGTGCAGCAGGCCCTGGACCCAAATCCACAACACAACCCTCTCCCGTCGAACACGACTACATTCATGTTTCTTCTCAAGATGAATTGAGCAGTACAGAAAATCTCGATCTGAATTCCCGTGATAGCTACAATTCCAATTATGAACCGCTGGTGTCGAATGCGTCCCATGAGTCGGCCAAATCGAATCAAGGATCGCCTCCTGCGTCGCAGAAACGACTTCAATCGCTCGTGTCGGTTGTCAAACGTGTAAAAATGTATTGGAGTGGTTGAAGACCTCTTAAAAGGGCAATTTTTTTCGTCAATTTCAGCTGACTACAAGGCCCAGCCCCTTTCTTGGAGTATATGAAGGCAGAATTCCGGTTCTAATTCATTTTTTCTTTCTATCTGGTACGTTCGCTGTCGCAGATCCGGAGTTTTTCTTTGCTAGAGATTTTCTTTTTGATTCAATGTGTAGCATGTAATTCAGTGCTTACAGGTCAAGCAATCATTGATGATACATAATGTCGTATAATTCCTTGGATAGGTTTGCCTAATGGCATGAACATTTGCATTGTACTGTGACTACACTACTGGCGCGTATAGATAGAGAAAGACCTCAATATAACGAGATTGCTAAATTTCATCACATGACTATGATTTTATATAGCTTTGTACGTTTGTGACATTTAAGCATTACGTATATAACGATGACGATAATATCTCATTAAACGCGTGAACTGCAAGTAATGCTAAAGAAGTAACGCGTTAACCATCAGTTTAACCAAGCTGGATTACCGCGAACATCATAACGACCACTACGATCCAGGCTGTTAGCTAACGATGGCTGACATTCGTAGATCAACTCGGATACGCGACAAGTCTTCAAAGACGGACGACGATGAGGATCATGAGGACTCCACCGGTTTAGTTCTCATGGATGAAGATGTTGATCTGGCCATTGGCTCAACAGACGGCTCCGAAAGCGATGAAGATTCGCGAGGAACAGACGAGGAATATGAAGAACCTGCCTCGAAGAAACGCAAACGTGTGCCCAGCGAAAAAACTGACCGGACTGGTGCTCCACGAGGGACGAAAAGAGCGAAAGCGCCAAACGTGGGTCGAGACAAAAACTCCAAAAAAAGCAGAAACGCGTTTCTTGAAAGACAGCAGGGCTTTGAAGCAACGGAGTTGTTCCAAATCATGGCGCACTCTGAAGATTTTTCGGTCGAAGAGCTCGCAAACGAATGGCTTGAGTTGTATTCAGAAAACAGAAACAAAGCTCTCCAAAACTTTATCAACTTCTTGCTCAATTGCTGCGGCTCTTTGGTCCAGGTTCAGGAACATGACATTGTCTCTAACGAGACCGCCAACGAGACAGTGGCTGAAATTCAACTGCAGTTTCAACAACAAGAATTGCACGAATCACATCTACTTATGAGCAAAAACAACAAGAGACGCGCAAAATGTAAACCGCTGTACGAAAACTTCCTGGAATTTACCCACAAGCTGCTGGAGCTGGCTCATGAACGCGGCCTTTTGGCCGAAAACTCAGGCGAATCCGATGAAAGACAACCAACAGGCCAGTCTCTGATTTTAGACCTCCTAACTTGGCTATCATCATTGGCAGTGAGTAAAATCAGATGTCTACGGCACGTTGCAACATTGTGTATGTACAATTTTCAGGACTATTTGACAGCGTTGAGCGTATCCTTGGAAAATGATTACTTGGTAAAACTGAGAAGACAGCTAGCCATGGAACAAAAAAAGAAGAGAGCCAACCCGAAGACGGCCGAAAAACTAGAATCTACAATAGTGGAAATCCAGGACACGAAATCAGTAGTAGCAAATTGCATCGACAACACCATTAAACTGTCTTTTATCCATCGCTTCAAGGATGTGGACGAGGCTATACGAACTGACTCCGTAATTCATCTTGCCATATGGCTCGAGAATTACCCAGAGTACTTCATGAAAGTAACGTTTCTGAAGTATTTTGGCTGGTTACTATCCGATCTTTCACCAGCGGTTCGATTGCAAGTCGTTAAAGTAATACTGGAAATTGTCAAGTTCGACAACAAACGTAAAAAACACAAAGTTGGTAGCACAGCCTTGCGGCAATTTTTCGAGAGGTTCAAACAAAGGATAGTTGAGATTGCTTTGAAGGACGTCGACACGCAAGTTCGCATTGCCGCAATACAAGTGCTGACGCAGATCAACTCTCTAGGTTATCTCGAAGATAGCGAAGTTTCCAAGATCTCAAGTATGATATTCAATGGCCGCAAAATTGACGCCTCTTCGGCAGCTAGAGACGCCAAATTATTGGCATCCGTGGCAAAATTCTTCGCAGCGGTGCAAAACGATAAGCTAGAAATTCTACTCGAGTCACATTCATTTCCTAACAAGTCTAGTTCGTTGCGGCCTCAAGATATTATTGAAACCGGGTTCTTCATTAAATCGTTGCTCGATTCGTTCTCAAGCTATCTGAACGAACGTGAAGAAGATATTCCTTTTCAAAACCGCCCAGATCTACTTTTTCAGGCCGCGGAGTTCCTGGAACCGTATTTTGGGCAGTTGACAACATCCCTGTGCGAGATCCTGGTGTATGATGCATGTTTTGATGGCTTTGACAATGTTGAAGACGCAGAGACTGGCGAGAAAGTACTTCTCTTGCCCTGTGATGAGAACAGCATTACTCAATATGTGATTGTTCTAGGTGGTTTGTGCCATGGCGGCGGCAAAAAGAACTCTAAAAAATCTGAAACCACCATGGCGGCTATGAGTTACCTCCCAAAACTGTTTAGTACATTGCCGCTCCATTCTAGTGTCGTGATGCAACAGGTTTTCAAGATTTACACTTTATTCACATTCGAGGAATGGGTCGCAGCGCACCAAGAGTCTGAATTTCAAAAAGTTACTGACGTAATTGTCAAAACGTTTGACAGGATGCAGCTTTCAAAGGAGAAAGATGATATAACCCGCTCGTCTTTCGCAGATGTGATGCAATTCCATAAAGACTTGGGACTACCTCAAGTCATCGACGGCTGGAAAAACCAACTGGAACAGTTGCGTGCATCATTCCAGGTGTTTTTGCAGACAAAAGCTGATGGCTATAACGGCGAGGGCATAAACAATTTACTACTAGCAGCCCATGAGACGTATCTCAATAAGCTAGTGTTGCTAGGTAAAATACTGCAACTTGATATCAGTTCGGAGCTGATGAATGAATATTTCGGAAAAATTGTGAACAGAGTTCCTAAGAGCTTGGAACTGTTAAGACATGACACGATTAAGGCCATAGACTTTAGGTTCGTGACTTTAGCCGTCACATGGAATTTGCAACGCTGGTTCGAAATCTTGCAAAATGGAACGGACGCAACGCCATTCTCTTCGAGTCCACTTCAAACGGCCTTAGTCGTCATAGAACAGCTTAGTACCAACCTAGTTGCATTGTCAAGTAGCGAAGTGGAGAATATTCGCGATTGTCTGAACATCATATTCAAGCTTTGCGATGTATTGTTCGACTGCCTCACCGCATTCAAGATGTTCGAGTTGAACATCCCCAACAAAGATTACGAATGGCAGCGAGCGATAGACCACGACTACCACTTGGTAATACACCCTCAAATGCCGCAAATATTTCTCGATGCTTTCCTGTATTTGGAAGGGTTACGGGCGAAAGAACTTGGCGTACAGCTTGACCGATTTGATGACGAGGATGTCAACCTCAACGATATAGTTGATGACAACGTGGACGACGTTGAGCAAGAACTCAATCTGTTTGCTGTGAAGCTCAAAAGCTTGCTAACTTTGGGGCTACTGGACGATACTCGAATTGAAAGCCGCATAGCTTTAAACAAAGGTGTTCTGGGCCCTAATTTTGAATCTATCGCTAACGATACCGCTTTCACCGCAAATCAAGCGCCTAAGCGGCACCTGGTTTCTGCAAACCACGAACACCAGATCTTCGATGACCAGCATGATCGGGATAAAAGTCGCAATCACCCGGCACTTACATCTTCCATCCCACCAAATCGATTGGAAACAAGAGAGAGTAGCTCAGAATACCTATGATGCTTCAGGCGCTACATTTAGGTCGACTGGGGCTTTCCGAGATACCATCGTCGAAGCATGTCTCGTGGTACGAACGCGACCGAATAAATACCATTCGATATTCCTTTAATACAACACTGTTGCTCGGTAAAATTGGCCCAATCCCAACATAAAGCTCAGAAATTATCAGGTCGCAAGCCTTGAAACCTTGAATTTAGGTTGAACTGATGTCTTTGATTTCAAAATTCGTGTTTACGGTGGCATTGTTGCAAATTTTGCATTCTGGCTTTTCCAGCCATGAGTTTGTTACAATGAAGCAGCGTTTGGCTGCTAATAGCGATCTTGACCTTGATGCTTTGTTCCTTCCGAGAGACGTACAAATCGAAGCCTTTTGTGGGGTTGTCCTGCTAGCGCTGTCCATTTTCTTGTCATTTGGAAAACAAGAATTTTTGCCGTTGTCAGGAAAGCTCAAATTGCTGAAGCAGGACGGTGTATTGCAAGAGATTAGTATAAACAAGGCTACAAATGCCAAAAACTTGGCGGGAAGCAACCCATATGGCGAAATCACAAATTTGCCCAGCTTTGTCGATATACACGCAAAAAGGGCCGAGGTCAGACGGTGGAGAGAAGAACAAATCCAGTCGAAAGCGTAAGCGTTTTGGAGAGTGACAATCTTGGCCTAAACCCAAAATTGAAAAAAAACTCAAAAGTCAACCCATTGTATGCCTTCTTCTTCTGGCTCGTTTGCGTGGAGGGACTGAATACGGTCTGTCTACCTTTCTGTATAGAAGGGATTGCTCCCACCTGCCGCTGTCTGAGAATGGGATCCCTCCAATCTGCTATTGTGAGTTTCTGAAGGTGGCCGTTGCTCATCCACGACCGATGCTCGTGGTGGCATTTTTCGAAGCGGACTGTCATGGCTGTCTCTGGGCAACGCCGTCGACAATTCATTGGTGCTGCGGTTGTAAGCTGCACCACCAGAAGCACGGTGAAGATTACGCTGCTGGGTTTTGAGCTCCCGTTGTAGCCTGGACTCTTCTAGTTCCGCTTCGAGGTCCGCTACGTCCTCTGCTGTCAGACCAAGTGTAGAAGGTTGCCGTCTAATCATTTCAACTATATACAGATGCTAAACTACAGTTCGATCAACCTTGACATATAGGTAGCTTGTTCCACTCCTGGGTTTTTCAACTCTTTTCACTGCTGTAAGGTACAAACAATTTACGATTGTCCATCACATGGGGTAAACCTAAGAGAATGTAGTTCTGAGCATTTTGGCATTTTCAAGAAATAGGAGCCTTGTTGGCGCAATCGGTAGCGCGTATGACTCTTAATCATAAGGTTAGGGGTTCGAGCCCCCTACAGGGCTTATTTTTTGGAAGTTCTTTTGAACTATGACAAAATGACACTGTAACTAACTTTTTTCCGGACATTTAGTCCATTGAAGTATAACGCTTTTTTTTCGGACCACGTCCATGACGAAAGACAGCACATCATTCGCCAGACTCGAAATTGTTGAAATCACGGTTTTTCTGGTATAAAAATGACCAGAAGCGCTATAAACTAGCTGAAAAGACGAGCATATAGCATGGAATTTACTTTACTCGAAAACACCAGCAGAAGCCCCTCTTATTCTCTCAATTACTCACTTTTCAAGCACAAAGAGTTCTGTCGTCATTTTCAATCGTAGAGCGTATATTAGACATAGACTTATATTATAAAGCTGTTGAACTAAAAAATTTATAGAAACTCGACAAAACCAGCAAAAAAACTCCAGCACGGCACAACAACCGTCCAGCGTACTGTAACTGTTTGTGCTGGACTCGCATCCTAAAGTCTATTCATCACAGCATGGACCCACCAACAGCTCAAAACACCATACCGGAAGGTGCTACCTGTAGAATTTGCAGAGGAGAGCACAGTACAGATCAACCACTCTTCCATCCATGCAAATGCCGTGGATCGATCAAATATATCCATGAGAACTGTTTAATGGAGTGGGTGGCTTCTAAAAATGTCGATCTGTCACGTCCCGGATCAGAAATGAAATGTGATATATGCCATTTTCCGATTCAACTCACCACAGTGTACGATGAAGATACCCCAGACAGAGTACCCTTAACCCTCATATTCCGCACGACCTTGGGCGTACTTTGGCGACAGACGCAATATGTGATGTGCATTGCATTGGCTGCATCGTTATTGGTCCTTGGGATACCTTTAACATGGAATGTGCTAGGAAAGTTGATAGCCACGATGCTGCATGGCGGCAAACTGCCGATACCAGACTCATTTTGGAAGAGCATAATATTTGGTTTTGACTATGAAGAGACCGGAACTGTCACGAAAACGGATATCGTGGTTCAGATTCTCAAAAATTATAGGTTTTCCGTTACACAAATCGTGTTCGTGGCCGTAATTCACATCGCATTATATTTCCAATACGACATGGTAGTAAGGGAAACTATATTCAACAAGATGGTCTACCACAAAATCGGGCCCCGTTTCAGTAAAGAAGAGCTCATGACTGAAAAGCTTAAGCAGCAATTTCCAGGGATGGACGAAAATACTATTCACCATATAGTGCAACTAATGAAAACCCGAGAAAGAGCAGTTGCAACCCAACCAGAAGTGCCAGCCACGGAACATGGCCATCGCGATGATAATGACAATGAAAATAGAAACGAAAACGGTCATGACTATGAAACCAATGGCGAGAATGTTAACATCCATCGACTAAGAAACAGAAACAGCTCGTCCATTAGATCCAACGACCATCACGATGATGAGGATGCAGAGGAAGATGAAGAGGATGCCGACTATAACCCCAGCGATACGTTGTCCTCTCAGAGCTCAGAGTTGTCAGAAGACTCCAGCGATCAAGCAATAGATGATAACGAACGTCAGGAACTTCTGGAACCAGCTGATCCTATGAATCTGTTCAGGCAGCGTCGAGCAGCGAATGAATTTGATGAATTGTTGCAAGCCCAACAAGCACAGGTTCCCGAGGGACAGCCCAATGATTTCATTTTCATGGACCTACAAAATGAAGCTGCTGGTGGTGGAGCTGCCGATGGAGTGGATCCTGACGAAGTTTTGAATCAGCAAGATGGACCGGCCGTGCTCGGTCTGCATCTCAAGTTTGGAAACTTACCTTTCTACTATCTTGCTGCCAGCGTGTTTCTTGCGTTGTACCTGTTCTTGGCCTATGCAATTCCAACGATTGTGGGAAATCTACTTTTGACAGTTTATGCTGCCTTTTTTTCATACGTTTTTCAGGCCCTCACACAAGCCTTCAAGGCCGCCAATCTGCCACTACTCTTGGCGAAAGTGACTAGAGAGATGCCTTTTCATGCAGAATTGGCAGTGCGTTTGCTGTCATCCGCACGTTCTTACTTTGTCACTCTGCATATGAAATACATCAATTACAATAACACGAACTCGACTGTCGCACAATCTGTGCCCGCTTTCGTCACCTATTGCACATTTCTCAGTTTAATTTCATTAAGCTGTAGCTTCCTCAGTAGAGGATTTGGGATTAACAATGGTATGAAAAATCCTACGAGGCGTTTTATTTTTCAACTTTTCTTCGCCATAAGATGCTCTCTCAAAGTTTTTCTCTTATTTGCCATCGAGCTTGTCGGTTTTCCTGTCCTTGCAGGTTCTATGATCGACTTCGCCCTCATAAGTCCCTGTTTGAAACCACATCGTTCTCTATTTTACGTCGGTAGCCTCAATTTGTGGGCACCGACGATCTGGGTATTTTATTGGAGCATTGGAACGCTCTATATGTTTTGGTTCGCTAAATACGTGGGCATGATTCGGAACTACATCATAAGACCGGGTGTTCTGTTTTTCATTAGATCCTCGGATGATCCAAATATCAGAATTCTTCATGACAGCCTGATACACCCTATGAGAATTCAGTTTTCAAGACTCGTGTTGTCCATGGGAATTTATGCAATGTTCATTATTTTCGGGTTTGGATTTCACACTAGGGTACTATTCCCATACGTCTTTCATTCAAAAGTTCTGCCTTTCGCAGATGAGGATAACTTTTTCGTCTGTTTCAATGTCCTCATGGTGTTGAACTCTAACTTTTTGGTAGATTTTGGCAAGACCTTCAAACTTTACGTCAGACAATATTGGATTAGAGTGTTCGACCTTTGTTGCGGGAAACTTCGCCTGTCATCTTTCATTTTGGACAAAGACGTTTCGACAGAGAGAGGTTATGTGGTGTATCGCAATGCCTTCTACCGATATTTCCTATCCAAAAAAGCAAGATGGTCTAATGCAAACCTGTATGTCGACCCGAAAACGCCATCTGTGGCCCAAGAGTTATTCAAAACCCAGAAAGATGTACACGCGTTTTTCATACCAAATGGTGTGCTAATGCGCGTTCCAGCCAATGATATAATATCCCGCAATTACGTGCAGACACTGTTTGTACCTGTCACGAAAGACAACAAACTATTAAAATCGCTTGATATTGAATCGATCAGAGAGAGAAACAAGGAAATGATAGGGGAGTTTGGACATTTGGACGATCAGAGTACGGAGTTTGATGCTTATACGCTTGTGTACACTCCTCCCAACTTTCGCTTCAGGTATTCAGCTCTGATCGCTCTAATATGGCTGTTCGCCTCACTGCTGTGCATTTCTCTGGCTCTCATTTTCAATTTTGCTGGAAGGATATCTTTACTAGTCACTATGGCACCTTTGATGCAATTGAGTCCTATCCGAAACTTCTTTGCCAGATACAGTGATCTGACCGCAGTTGGTCTCTTTCCAATGATTATAGGTTCATTGATCTGCATAGTCAGTCTTGAATTCTATCAAGAATTCAGGATTTCAAAATTTGTTCAGCAAGGGCACATTGTCGAACTCGGAGAGCGCGCAGCTGACGATGATCCAGAGATTGGAGTTGGTGATCAAATGCCGCAGCACCATGCTGCTGCTGTCAACCGTGATGTGGCGCCACAGGAGCCATTTTTCGAGAGGGCGCACTGGCAAAGAATATTGCTTTCGTGCTTGATTGGAGTGGTTGGTGCAACCAAACATTTAATTGTCCTTGATTACAATTATTCCACTGTTATGATGGCTTTCAAGCTGTTTTACAAAGAAGGGCCCCCGATAGTAATCAAGCCACGCTTTTTGTTGATGGATCCTATACCAAACCTTAATCAGTTCAAATCGCCTGAGATGATAGTCTATGCCATCATTTTTCTGGTAAGTTTCATGAAGGACCAAATAGCATTTTTCTCCTACCTAGTTCGGGACAGACAAGACGACACGAACCGCCAATTGAAAACAATGCTTTATGACCTGGTGGCTGAGTGCTTGCTAACCACAGGTTTAATCATTCCGCTGCAATTGCTCGTGTGCACACTAGAATACTGGCTTTCCGATTCCCATTTCGAGTCTCCATTAAATGTCTTTTATTTCCTGATATGGACCAGAAGTTTGATTTCTCACTCGCAGGTTTCATGGAGCGTCTTTCAAGTACTATTCTTCGCCGTTTCCCCATTGATATGCGGAGCTTACTACTTAGCTGGCATCGTTAGGAGTTTCTATGCCTTTGTGCAAAGATCAGCCGCAATCACGAAAGAAGAGGTGTACGGTAGGGGACGAACTCTAACAAACTTTCTGGATGCAGCAGATACCTAGCTCGACTTGAGTGGCAGTGGTATGCATAGCTTTTCATTATCAAGATCTTATGCCAATCGCTGCATAATTCGGACCATGCGAAAGCGATAATGACAAGATATATTCCTCCAAGAGAATCTTGGTTTTGTATGCTATAAATGCTAAGTTGTAATGATGTAGATTCTTACTTCACGGGCTTCTGAAAACTGAGACGTAAGCTTCTTATGCTACGTTGGTATGCCTGAACTCTGGAAAAGGGGTTTCGTGTCTTGGAGGCGAAAGCTTTACCTGTCATGACCTAATGCGTGGTGATTCATACTGCGTGTCGGTATGTGAGCGTACGACAGAATCGTTGTTGTTGCATTGGTGGGCATGTTCAGTCAAAGTGATCGCTCGCCAGTAAATCGAATACTTTCTGTTTCTTCGTCACTAATGTTTGCATGGTCTGACATTGCAGAACCGCCATTGTGCGCTTGTGCTGCTTTTATTTTGGATCTCGAAAACGTATTCAAGAGTTTTGATCCATTACTGCTGTAACGGGAGGGAGAAGATATGAGCTTGAAGTTGGGCGTTCGCGGATGGTTCAGCCTTGCGGTTTTCGAAATGTCTTCCACGACAATGGCACTGTCAGTAGAGGAGGCTGTAGTCGGACTTCGTCTATAGTCATTGACAGGCGCGGGGTTGGTGATTTCGATTGGTTCGTCAGAGCTAAAATTTCCAGGAAAAGATGAACCCTCATCTAATTTCATGAACTCAAACTTTTGAGGCATTGAAAGCCGTTTATCTGAAGTCGCCAAGTTCTGCTTTCCATCTTTTTTTTTAAAGAAGCGCGACTCTGTTGGAGGCAATTCAGTGAGCACCGGTTCTTCAGCAATTTCGAGGGTTTCATTTTGCGACGACGTTATCAAGTTGTTCAGGTCGCTCTCCTTGGGCGAAAGTGAAACTTGTAATTCATCATCAAGTCCAGCGTTCACCCTTGATGTATTGTTAAAATCTGGCGTTGTGTTAAAAGAGCGTTCGAGCGAGTTTATCGACTGCTTTTTATGATGTTTTACTTCGTGAGGAGGCCCATTTTCAGTCGGTGAGACTGTCTCCGACTTGCTGGATCTCTCAGACCCTCCACTGAGGAGAGAATTAGATCTGTCACCTTCTTGCCGAGCGCAGATTTCTCGTTCTTCAGCACTGGTATCTTTTATCAAATCAGAGCCACTTCCGTCCGAAGTTTGCCGGGCGGGAAGAGGTGAATTTCCGATTCTCTTCTCATTCTCATTCACATTCTCATTCTCATTCTCATTGTCGTTCTCAAACTCATTGCCATGCTCAATCTCATTCTCAATCTGATTCTTATTCCCATTCTTATCCTTTAAAAACGGTTCAGTGTAGTTTTCCAAGATCTCAACGTCACTATGCCCATCGTCATCTTCACTCGCGCTGCGATCTTGTTCAGATAGAGCAGAATTACCACTATTTTTTTTAAGCTCTACCTGTCGTTTTTGCAAATCTAGTAAAACAGAACGAAGCTCTTGACGAGCATTTGTTCTGCCCTTCTTATCGAAATACTCGTTCACAACTCTTGCTGCATTTTTACTCTTGAATTTGCTCTCGTGCCACAGCTGGGTTGTTCTTTCTGGGTTTTCAAAGAAGGTCTTGGTGTTGAAAATGACATGGACCCCGCAGTCACTCATATTAGGTTGTTGCGGCACCATGCATGTTTTCATCTTAATCTGATGCTTGAAAACCTCGAGTTCATATTTATCTGCGGCGTATGCGATCAAAAACTCTTTGATAGGATCTGTCTCCCTTGAGTGAGTTTGTCGCAACGAGTCATAAACCATTATTGTTACTATCGGTGAAGTGACAGAGAGGTCATCGTTACTTTCAGCATTTGTGTCGCTGCTATGCTTAAGTTTGAAATCTCGCTCCATCTTAAGGAACGAAAGCAAAGCTGGAAGATTGGAGATAATGCATCCAAACCAATGGAAGCTTTCATTTATCGGCATAACCACATAATCTTTGGTGAATAAATCTGTATCTCTGACCCATTTCTTAACATTATCGTAATAGCTCTCAGGTTTGCTAACCAGTTTTGTGTAAAAGAACGAGGAGAGAACATGTATCTGATTCCGAGATACAATTTCACTATTGATTGATGATTCCGTCCAGAACTTGACGAAGAAATCAAGAATCGAGTCGTTGATCCAATCATGATTATACAGACATTTGAAATCCTGGTTGGAAATGGATAGGGTCGTATTGTCATCAAACCTATAGAACAAAGTCGGCTTGAAAAGTTGTGGCACTTCTTCAGGAGTATCCAGCTCTTCGGAAGTCGCAGCAGTGACCGGCGGTGTTTCAGAGCTCGACCTTGTTATGCGTTTAGTATGAGAAAGTGAATGGTTCAGTAGGCCTCCTTGCGAAGGTCCGTCGGCATAGAAATTTTTTGTAGAAATAACATGGCTGCCCCGAAAATCTGCTGAGTTGGGAATGCCTATAACCGTGCCTGTTTCACGAGAACATGATTTGTGAGTGGATTTATGCAAAGAACGAAGAATTTTGTTTTCAAAGTGTCGGTTTTCTCGCGTATCCGGGTGAAGATCTGAAACATTAACCTCGCCTGAAGTGTTCCCTTGAGTGAGTGATTGCTCTGGAATTTTTTCCTGCACTGCACGTAAAACGGTCTTAAGAGTTAAGTTCTCTTTTTTTAAAACAACAACGCTAATCATGGCTTCCTCAAGGCTATCCTTCAGTTCCTTGAAGCCCGGACGGTCATCACCCTTCCATAAAAACACTTGAGTTTGTATTTGGCTGCGTAAGCCTATGATTCTTCCATATTTCAACACCACACCTAGAAAATTCCCATTGGAGCTGAAGAAAACATGGCGACCCTCCGTCATGAAATTCACCTCTGAACCCTCTATCTTAGCGCCATTCCACCTAATTTTCATGATCAAATCCTCGTCTTTTTCAATAATCAACACTGCATGCTGCCGGACGGTGCGGTCGCCAGATTGATGGATTGCATAAAACGTTCCCTGTGTTTTGATGGTCTCGAAACCTTTGTCCCGTTTTCTATGCACTTGGTCAGTGCTGCTTCGCACTGTTTCGAGGTTATCTTCATCACTAGTCTCACTTGATGAAATTCGACGTTTGGTTGGAATAGTAGTACCTCTAGCGCTAATCGGGGAGATTTTCGGGACATAACTCATGCTGCTGGAACTCAAAAGTTCTTCTCTCATTTTCTCCTGGAAAAGTGGATCTACCCTTGGCTTAACATTGTATCTTGACGGGCAGGTGGAGTTGTTGGATCTTCCTGATTTTGTCAGCTGGTCAGTAGGCTTTAAACCGCTGGATCGCGCGGATCCCTTCCTCATTCGGATAAAGAACACTCGCCAGCAGTGTTGGGCGTGAGATTTGACTCCACTTGGGCTTGCCGAAACTCGATGTGTCAGTGCATGAACGGGGTTGTATTCTTTCGAGATGAGCTACACCATCCTGATAATCTGGTGCCTTAGTATAAAATGACCTTTAAATTCGAGACAGTGTGTGACGCCGGGCGAAAAAGCCTGTCATCTAGACAAACATAATCATTGCTTGCCATCATTTCAAGCCTATTATACTATAATTGGTTAGAGCCTTTTTTGTAGAGATTTTTAGATTCATATTACGACGTTCAAGCCTTCAACAAATTGAAAAATGGAAATCTGAGCATTATATCACGAAAACAACGACATAGACATCAAAAGCAGCGAATAGACTCCTTTATAACGACAAATAGAGTTTTTTGGAGGTTCTTGACATTTACTTACACTACTAGCTGAAGAAATGCTGGCTCAGGAGCTGTAAAATCTCAAAGATGTCATTTTAACAATGAAAAATTCTATTTCAGTCAGTTTAGCCACAAAATTGAGCTGGAAAAACCACATCTATAGTTCTTGATTTCTGATTGTTTTTGAGCACCCCACAACGCTTTATTTCGGTTCTCTCATTGCCATTGTTTCCGTTTTCTGCTCGACTTCGCGCTATAGGTGCTTTAATTAGTGAAAAATTTTGAAATTCATGGAAAATGGTGTCTTTTGACCAGCTTCTTGGAAGTTAAACTCACCAGGATCGCGAGCCTGTAGTACATTGTCTCCGCCAGCCATGTTGAGAGCAGGACAGCCACTCCCAAGCGTGGTCATACGTCGCCATCTGTCGCAAACTTTGAGAGCGAATCAAGGAAATCCACGGTCTCCATTGCAAATCTTCCGAGAAACTTTTAAACAGGAATGGAAGAAATCGCAAGAGCTGCAAGACAACATCAAAGCGCTTCAAGATGCGTCCGGTAAGATTGGGGACTCTGAGGCTTACAAGAGGGCGAGAGAGGCATATGTGGGAGCTCAAAAGGGCTCGACAATTGTGGGGAAAGCTTTCAAGAAGACCGGTGATGCCGTTGAAAAAGTGGCCAGCAATGCCTGGGACTCTGAGATCGGTAAAAGCACAAGAACAGCCGTCAATAAGACTGCTGCGAAGCTGGACGAGTCGTTTGAGCCCGTGAGAAAAACTCAGGTATATAAGGATATGTCAGAGGTGATGGATAGCGAGAACAGCTCTCGCTACGGTGGGTTTGCATCAAAAGAACAGAGAAGATTGAAACTAGAACGTGATATAGCATCTGGAAAAAGACCCAAGGCCGTCAGAAGTAACGAGGATGCCGGTTCTGCCCTAGTGGCAACTGACATCGAAGCCAAAGAATCGCTTGGTAAGAAAGTGGATGATTTCAAAGAGAAAACTGTGGTGGGTAGAAAGCTGCAGGAAACCAAAAACAGGCTTTGGGATGAAAGTGAGAACCCTCTGATAGTACTCTTGCGTACCATAAGCGGCAAAATCGGCGGGCTTTTCGCAGAAACTGAGTCTGCCCGTGTTATGGGTCAATTCAAAATGATGGACGCCAATTTCAACAGCGAATCGTTCATGAACCATCTGAGAGAATACGTGATACCTGAAGTTCTCGAAGCGTACGTCAAGGGAGACGAAAAAGTTCTCAAATCGTGGTTTAGCGAGGCGCCTTACAACGTGTACGCCGCCCAGCAAAAAGTTTTCCGTGAACAAGGTCTTTTTGCCGACGGACGCATTCTTGACGTGAGAGGTGTTGATGTAGTAAGTGCCAAACTATTAGCTCCTCAGGACCTACCCGTCTTGGTTGTGGGTTGCAGAGCGCAGGAAATCCACTTGTACCGGAAAGTCAAGACAGGCGAGGTGGCCGCTGGTACTCAATCCAATATCCTAATGAGCTCTTACGCCATGGTTTTCACTAGGGACCCTGAAAACATAGAAGACAAAGAAACTGAGGGTTGGAAAATCCTGGAGTTTGTCCGAGGAGGGTCCAGACAGTTCACTTGAGGGAGAAGACGGGTTCAAACCGAATAAAGAACTACTATCGATCTTGTATATATAACTTTACGAATCTAATTTACATCAAGCGCCCCCCAGAGTGAATAGAAAAGATGTTTTTGTCTCTCAATTCTTTGGGATCAAGTTTTTGCCCAGAACCAAGTTATAGATGGCACGTCCAGATGTTTGGCCCTGCCGAACAACGTATCGCAGCCAAGGTTTCATTGCAATTAAAACAGTGGTCCAAAGAATTCTTTGAACGAATGCCAAAAACAAAACGTCTCGTAGCACTACTTTACAAATGACAGCGGCATTGATTGTTCCTTCGTCATTGGCTTGTTCAGTGCCAACTTTCTTATTCTTTTTGGCTTCCCTTTTCAGCGAGTTTTGAAAAGTCTGCTGAAATCTGAGATCTGGGATTGGTAGCTTGTGGACCTCAGAAGCGAGGCCAAGCTTGGACATTGCTGTGGAAAGTGGCGGCCTTGTTAGATTAAATGAACGGAGCTAGCTGTCTTTGATGTCGAAGTGTTCAAGATGGTGGGTGGTAGGGCTTTAAGATCATTAAGACATATTATGAGTACTTGGCGCGAGTACATGTCATGATAAAATTCAGTATTCTGACGGTTTCCAGGGAGGAAAGTGACCAATTACACGCTCATAATCGGTGGAGTATAGTACAGGGTGTATGGATATAATTTTCAATGCCCAAGATGTTTGCGTATTGATTTCGAAAATGTCGATGACAGTAATTGTCCACAATTATCATTGTTAAGAAACTGAACTGTATTTGGAAGCTAGAGGAACGCTAGAAGAGCGGTAAACACGACTTATAAGCAAACCCTCCGGAGGTCATCTCACAAATCAATACCAGAACCTCATCAAGCCATTTTAAAACGGCTCGTCGTGTGACATGCCTACTCTATCCAATATTAACAAATCTCACAGGATCAAAACTCTATGTGTATGTGTAAGCCACTGGTCTGCAGCATTGACGGATCTTGCTCAATCGGTCTCAACTTGTCTTGGCCAGAGCTCTGTTCTTCGATGGTTTCAACTCATCTCCTGTACTCGAGTACCCATTTACAATAGTTCAATATAAGCTGAAAAATTTGTCAACTGGACCAGTAAAGACATAGAATACACTCGATTCTTGACGCGAAAGAAGCGAGTAGTGAGTCCCCCAGCGTACCCATTGGCTTCACTGATTACTGGCTAATTACCGTACACCAGTCGTACATTTTATAGCACATTTTTCAGAATGGCAGAAGAGGGCCCTCAGGTTAAAATAAGAGAAGCTACAAAGGACAATGTGGATTTTATACTGTCAAATGTGGATATGACATTGGCAAACTCGCTACGGAGAGTGATGATTGCAGAAATCCCAACTTTGGCGATAGACTCGGTAGAAATCGAGACGAATACCACGGTTTTGGCCGACGAGTTCATATCGCATCGTCTGGGACTCATTCCATTGCAAAGTGCAGATATCAACGATCTAATTTATTGCAGAGATTGTTACTGCGAAGACCATTGTGATCGGTGTTCCGTCGTGCTTACTCTGCAGGCCGTTGGAGAAAGTGAATCCACAACTAACATTTACGCCAAAGATTTGGTGATTGTCAGCAATCTCATGGGACGAAATATTGGACACCCCATCATACAGGACAAAGAAGCCAACGGAGTGCTGATTTGCAAACTGCGGAAAAGTCAGGAGCTGAAATTGAAGTGCATTGCGAAAAAGGGGACCGCCAAAGAGCATGCCAAGTGGTCGCCAGCCTCCGCTATCGAGTTTGAGTATGATCCATGGAATAAGCTAAGACATACAGACTATTGGCATGAGACAGACGCTGCTGCAGAATGGCCGCAGTCCAAAAACTGCGAATACGAGGATCCGCCCAACGAGGACGATATGTTCGACTATAAGGCCAAGCCATCCACTTTCTACATGAATGTCGAAGCCGTCGGATCGCTGACGGCCGATCAAGTGGTTATTAGGGGTATGAAAACGCTGCAAGACAAAGTAGCGGACATTTTATTTTCCTTGAAGAAGATGGACCAAGACAAGGTCAATTTCGGCGGAACCGCAGGTCTTGTTGAGCAAGATGGCGGCGCTTTGCCCATGGAACAAGATCCAAATTTCGGTTACGCAGGTGGTGCTGCTCCTTACAATTATGCGGCACCTAGTTCGGGCTTTGACGATGCATGGTAAGATACACTGAGAGGGAAAATAGAGACATTCAAAAAAATGCGGGCTCATATGTAAATTATTGATCTTGCTGTGTATCATTACGACAAATAATTGAACAAGGACGACAAGCAAACTATATTGATTGGAAAAGTCTCCTTCCTTTAATTAGGCCTTTCGCTCGTTCCATTTGCAACAATCCTCGAAAGTAACTAATTTGCCCCCAAAAATGTCCAAGGCGCTGCCATACGTTAGATCGACTTTCCCGTGGCTTAATTTGTCAACAAGTTGCAAATCGTCTATGCTTTTGGCACCACCGGCATACACGATTTTCAAGTGCGGCAGATCCTCGGTCCACTCGTAAAGTTTAGCGATCAGAACTTCGTCTACACCACGGCAAAGACCCTCTACGTCTGCCGCATGAATCAAAAACTCGTCGGCATACTGGCTCATCCATGTGAAAGTTTCTTTGCTCAAAACGACATTTGTGAGTTTCTGCCACTTGTTCATCGCTACAATCCATTGGCTTTCGCCTGCTGTCTCAACTTTTCTGCAGCTCAAGTCTATCACCAAGCGTTCCTTACCACAACGGTTCGATATTTTCTGCAAATTAGACACCACAATCTGGCCCTCAGAATCGAAAAGCCAGCTTGTTACGATCACTTTGCTAGCGCTCTCCAGCCATTTCAAACAATTATCATAGTTGATGCCACCACCAACCTGCAAAAATTTGGGAGACGATTTCAACGCTTCCAGAGCAGCTTCATCGTTATTGGGGCCCAGTTTGATAACATGGCACCCTGTAACCCCATTTTTTTTGTACATTTCTGCGTAAAAAGACGAGCTTTGTTCACAAACAAAATTGGTTTGTAGCTGTTCATCCTGTTCTTCATTCAAAGTACCACCCACTATCTGTTTAACTTGACCGTTGTGCAAATCGATACAACCCACAAATCGAGTCATATTTATATGAAAGGAATCCTTAAGAAAAGCTTTGTTCGAAGACACCGATGCACTTATCTTGATCTGACCACAAATCCCACAGATTCCTATAGATCAAGTCAAGTTCTTTGATCTTTCTACCGTCTGTCGTCTTATATACAATTTTTCAATATATTGAATATAAGATGCGATGAGATGAGATGAGATGAGATGAGATGAGCTAAACTCAAGTTCTGGGAACAACAGCAGTCTTGATATCAAGAGCCTCGTCTTCGATAGCAATATGGCAGACGATGATGAGTATAAAAAACAATTAGAGCTTCAAAGAAAGGCCTTTGAAGCCCAGTTTGGATCTTTGGAGTCGATGGGTTTTGAAGACAAAACGAAGCAGCACAGCGAAGATGAAAGTGTCGATAGCGATGGATTGGAAGGTCAGTCGCAGGAAGAATCTGGCAGCGAGATTGATGCTGCGAGCGATGCAGAAGGTAGTTTTCAAGGGTTTTCTGGCGATGAGACGGCCGAGATTGATAAGAGAAGCGAATCACAGCCCAAACGTGAACCCAAAGTCATCAAATTCGACGGTGGTAGCGATGTGTACGCTGCGCCAAACAAAAAGGAACAGAGGCTGGTAAGGTCTGGAAAGGCGCCCAGACAAAGCTTGGCAGAAGCCAGATTGCAGGAAGAGATGCAGACAGCGGGCCAGAATTCACAAGAAGAGGACACGGCAGATGGCGAAAAAGAGAACTTGCAAAATGATTTAGAGCTACAGAGATTCTTGAAGGAATCGCATCTGTTGAGTGCGTTTGGTCGTAACGAGCCCAGCGGTGCAGATCTCACGCTGCAGACAATGAATAACGTGGAATACAGAGACGACCAAGTTTTCGGGAAAGCCCGTTCTCGTACGCTCGAAATGCGACTTAAAAATTTATCTTCTACCAACGGGAAGGGCCAGAAGCTGGAAAAAGTGCCAATAAATATCCGGAAGGGCATGGTCGATAAGCACATCAAGAAAATCAAGAAACATGAACAGGACGCCCGAGACGGAGGCATCATTTTGTCGAAGGTTAAGAAGGGTGAGTTTAGGAAGATCGACTCCACCTACCGCAAGGATATTGAAAGAAGAATTGGAAACAAAAACAATTCTGCTGATGCACAACGAAGAGCAAAGCGTCAAAAGGGACTCAGAGTCAGTTCTATTGGTCGCTCTACTCGAAACGGGCTGATCATTTCGCCAGAAGAAATAAAACGCATAAATGGAGACGGCAAGAGCAAGTCCAAGGGTCGGAGGTAAGATAAAATAAAAGCATTTACACATCTTTAGACTTTAGATTTGATGTAACTGGAACAAACAATGTGCCAAGGTAATACAGACGTAAAGTCACGTCTGAAGAAAAAACATAAAAAAGTCCGAGTTTCTTCTATTGAGACAGCAACTGATTTGGAAACAGATTTGAGGACGCGTGGAGCTACTGTGAGAGTGATATCAATCTCAGTCGATAAGAATGAGATCATACTATGCGTGTGTTTGGCATTATGAATTATGCTGATTCCAGGTCACATGATGAGATGACTGATGACAGGCTTCCCTGAAGTGATAGTAGCATGAGATGCAATCGTTGCATTTTAACTTCGAGGTTGAGCCGGATGTTATTGGCTGTATAGGAAGCGTACCTATTTAGAGAAATATCTAATTGTCTAATTTTATCTTTCAATTGTCAATATTTCTTAACTATGGTAGGTTATAAGATGCTACCGCTAGAATGTCCCTTCATATGATCGCGAAAGTCATAATGCTGGTAAAAACCTTCGGGAGAGACTACAAGACACACTTACCAGTCGAGTGGCTGATTTCAAGGACCATATCCCGAAAATTGGAATTTTTTTATAAACATGTCGAAGTCCAGATTCCGAATGGTTCTTTCTGCACCTCGTAGGGGAACTCTGAAATCTCCATGGCTACCTTGTGGAAAAAAAGTGTACAACGATTAAAGCATGTTGTTCACAGCTTTCGGAGACAAATGTCATCAATCGGTCATCAAAAAGCCACGGTGCTGTTGTTGTGGGGGAAAGTCGTTAGTTTTTAGGGGCATTTTGGCTTATAGATAATAATAATTGACACTCGAGTTATTGTAGGTGGTAGCTGACTTCGTTTCATCAAACTTCAAATTTTTACGTGCAGTAGCAAAGCGGTAATGATGCTGCTTTCTCTCTGCATATTGTATGTCTTCTCCCAATGGTCTTATTGAGATGGTTACGTTGAACGTCAGATTAATGAAAGACGTTATGGGTAGGAATTCAAAAAAATACGAGCATTGCAAAAAAGAGATCATTTTAAGCCACCCAAAATACTTTGATTGGTCAAGGATTATGATTTACGGAGCACATCTATCGTTAATTTGTTTATACTCGTTATGGGATTCAGAGTGAGACACCGGGATGTCTTGATGCGATAACCGTTCTATACCTTTGGCGAAGTCTTTCATTAGTAACATTCTCTTTCACATAGCTGAGAAGTGTAGTGAGGATGGTAGTGTAGCTTAGGCAGACTACCCACTTTTATACGTTTCTGGTTATCATTACCAGAGGAACTGAAGAGGTTTGAAGTGCATTGAGGTAGGAATTATGACAACAGAAATTATTAGAAGTGGTGCCATATAGAGTGGTGGCATTACCTGGTGGCATTATCTGGTGGCATTATCTGATGGCTATCATTCCATGGCACTGAGAGTCCGGGAATATTATAGTTCAAGTTGACGATTCTGTCGCTGACACCGTGTCACGTGCCATTTCAATCGCTTCGTAAGGTGTCTGACATGGTAACAAAGTAAACCGATACGAATTGCATACAGTATCACCAAATTGGCGAGCGCGTTTCTAGTAAAAGATATGGCTACGTCTTTTTGAACATTCCAGAAACCCATTACTAGTGTTATGTGGACAATTGGGTCAAGTCATACGCCTACTAGTTGAGATGACAGTATTCTCCAAAAGTCACTCACGTGACCATATATCAGTGAACAAATGCTTTTACGCCCTTAAGCTCCCCAGCTGCCCATAATATGAAAAGTATATTGCTGCAGACCTCAGTGGTCGGCCAAGAAGTCTTTACAATACTCCTTGTTTCCTTCGAGCTGTAGTACGTTTTTTCTTCTTCAGCTTGTCAAAAAAACTAAATCAAATCTTCAAAGTGCCCATAAAACCAGATAAAGGTTGCTCCAACTACCTGAGGCATCGTTACGACGATACTGGACGGCAATGTATTATCATTTTGCTCCATAATAAATTTTGGTCACATGATAGCCACATGACTATAAAATCATTATGAACGAGAAATTACCAGGTCAAGACCGTTACCGTTTAAATTAGCTTCAAGAGTTGGTGAATTAAAGTGACTGAATAGAAGAAACATCATCTCGTCAAATATTCTAGACTTTAAAAGCGAACAAAACCGCACTAGGCCTGGCGATTTCATCGCATAAGCTTTACACTGCTACAAGAACCTTGTGTGCAAGCTACCTATAGCGAAAATCGCGGATTAAAACGAGCCCGAAACCGGTATTTTGACAATGGTCGAATATCATGGCGATTCACAGCGTCATGAACCACTGACGGACAACCAAAGCGTTTTGGACCAAGTAGACCAATACATAACCGATCATAATGCCGGTGGCCGCTCAATAACCACTACTACCACGGAAAGAACAATACAAGATCTGGATTTCGAAGTGGGGCTGCAGTCACGTGACAGCGATGCTGACACGTCTGGTGCAGGCACTGACTATGGTCCTCCCAATCCGCACCAACTGCCGTTTCATTTTGATTTGGATATGGCCTCTGCGACTGCAGGATTACACGAGTCACGTCTGGTGCGCCCAGATGCCGTGTTTTCGCCCGTTCTATCTCCTGTCGTTGCACCTGTCACAGGTTCTGTCCACCAAAATCACACTCATAATCACAACCAGAACCATTTCCAACCATCGGCTTCAACGCAGTCTCAACCGCACTCGAGTCACTATCAAGCTCGAAACTATTCTGGTGGGACCACTTCCAGCGCCAATACCCCACTTTTGAGATCTCAGGCTCCGGGATCTGCGCATACTTCAAAACCGCAATTTTCACCTCTTTCATCCCCCGCTATTGATGCCCTGGATAGTCTGGCTGCTTTAAAGCGTGTTTCATCGAGCTCTTCGTCCCGCGGAAGAAAGACTCCTTTTTCAACGCCTGCTCTTACCGCGACCACAGTATCCACTTCTTCAGCAGTCGGGCTTCCGTCCTCCTCCACAAGTACTGTTAGCACAGGCTCGAAAGTGGTGAAAAGCAGCCCTCAGCTGGCTCGAAAACGATCTGTTGCTCCAACTTACGGAAGACGCAAAAGTGGGCTTCCTTCCAATTGGGACGAAATGTTTGCTCTTCCGGATAGTTCGATTCCTCCACCACCGCTGCCGCCGGCGGCAGCTGCTACCTTTGCACAATCCCAATTGCCTCAACAGCAAAATGATGACGTCCCAAACCCACGCCCTACGTCAAGCGTTTCCTCCACAAGAACTCAAAACTCGAGCAATTCTACAGTACCACTGAGCAGTTTAGATCTCGAATTCGACCACTTCGATCAACAGCAACCAGAATCCCACGAGTCGGGCTCTGTGGTACCGACGAACTACCCAAAGGTAATTTTGCCATCCACGTCGTTTCGAAGTGGACAGTCTCCAGGTCGTGCACAGCCCTCAATAGCGACAAACCATACAAATGCTAACGGCGGTCACAATGTCATTGTTGCTTCTGAATCTCCCGTTATCAAAGCAAAGAACCCTTCACCGTCGTTTTCCGCTCCCGCCATAACTCGTAAGACTAGCGGTGGAAGCATTAGGATACGAGCAACTCCAGAATTGAAGCCTTTACGCAAGAGTAGTAAGAGCTCGCTCGACGGTCAAGAGAATGAGGATATATCAATGCGGGACCTGGACGAAATGCTAAGGAACGGTGGTGGGGGTGGGGGTGGTGGTGACCAACACAGGAAAGATGTGCACAAAGCTGCTGAGCAGGGCCGTCGTAATCGACTGAATACTGCTTTGACTGAATTGCACGCTTTGATTCCTTCTGAGCTCAAGGGCTCAACATTGGTTCCGTCCAAAGCTACGACCGTGGAGCTTGCGTGCATTTATATTCGTGAGCTGATTGCTAAAGGATCGAATTCCTCTGATAAATTGTAATTGCTGCATATAATGTTGATATTTCCCTGTACTTGAGGATGCAGTTTTAATACCATAAATGTTTGAATAATGAGTGTTTACTGAACACTTGGGATTTTGAATTAGTATAATGATTGAAGCAAGGTTGTGTCATCGCCTCTTTTATGGAAAATAAAGAAGGATTGATGCAGAATGACGGATTTAGTTGCCTGTCTGGAGCTTTGGGTCTCGATGGCAAGAAACGTGCGGCTATTGAAGTCATTCAAAAATGTAAAAGAGCGAGGATTGACTGCACACTCTAGCCACAAACATTCCAAGCGCTACTGACCATGAAATATACCCTAGCACCCAATGGAATCATCATTTCTGAAACATTGATGTTGTGGTATGAAAAAGGAATCTTAGTCGTCGCCTAGGATGCTGATGACGGAGAGAGAGAGAAAGAGAGAGAGTAGGAGAGACACCTTTTCTCTATATACTGTCACCACTACGTCACGTGCAACATTTCAATCAAAATGTCACACTACTTCTGTCATCGAGCCAAAGTACAATCCCATTAGAGACACCCGCGGTTAAACGTATCAGGTCTTTAGTTCCAATGTTTTTGTAACGGTATTGCCCGATTATCTTTCTCTAGCCGCAAACCTAAACTGTAAAACCATCACCACGTTAGTTTCAATGTGAGTCTTTCAAACTCCTCAACAATGCTATCAGCACCAGCACCTCGCGTAAATATCGAAATCAGCCATAGCATCTACATAAACACCTGAAACCCCACATACTGTCGTCTGGAAAACTGTCGCCAGGTGATATATATCACCTTTCATTTTCCTGTCGTCCGCTATTGACGAACCAATGAAATCTCATAAAATCTATACTTGAAAAATTTAGTGAAGTATATCGGGCTCGTCAAATAATCCATCAAATACAGGTGGTAGTAGAACCTTAGAATTGATCAAATTAAACTCGCTTGAGATCTTTAATTCAAGTGATTTACCTTCAATTGAATCATCAGTTGTTGAAACTTGTTTGGTAGCATCGATAACTGAGAGGACCGGTTTTGGACTACGTGGAGAACCAAGTATAAAATAGAATATATGACGATGGGCAGTTTTACCGAGTTTTTGGGAGAATTGAAGGAAACATTCGTGCCAACGGTCGCACATGCGATTGATACATCCCCTGAACAACCCAGTAAGAACCACGACAATGTAGCAGAGCCAGAAGTGGGCGATGACAGTGATTCTGAAGAGGACTCGAACGACAAGGAAGATGGTGATGCCGAAGAGGAAGGTGAGGAAGAAGAAGAGGATGAGGACGAAGATGAAGACGAGGACGAAGATGATGAAGACGAGGAAGAAGAAGAACTAAAAGACCAGTTGGACGAGCTCAAAGAGGAGTGCAAGAACAAAGAAGACGCAAAGCCTTTGGTACACCACTACATGGAATGTGTGGAAAGAGTGCAGAAGGCACAGGAAGAGCCTGGATACGCCGATTCCGAAAATAAAGAGGACTGTGTCGAGGAGTTTTTCCACTTGCAGCACCATCTCGACGGCTGTATCGCTCCAAGACTGTTCGACAGACTGAAATAAGGAACTCACAAAGAGAGAGAAAGAGAGAGAGAAAGCCAGGGCCAAAAAAGACAGGGACTCAATAACTTCAACGGTAACATCCCGCGCGCTCACCAATAAAGTAGTTCCTTTTGTCCAGGATCCGGAATAACCGTCCTCATTTTCTCATCTTGGTTTTGCATCCACTTTCCAACTTTTTTCGATATTCCTATTATTCCACTACTACTACTACGATTACTCCTCCACCCCTTCCACCAACCAACTACCCATGAAAACTAAAACTCACGATCCCAAAGAGTTTGTCGTTCCGCTAAGACATGGCTTCCGATAGACCGAACCCCTCACATAACCAAGATTCTAAGAGGCAATGCCATGCGGTTCAGACATTCTTTTGAAAAGCATGTCCGTGGTAATCGAATAGGTAAGACGAAAACAGTGCTGTTATTGTTGTGCCTAGTATTTGATCTCACGTATTTATTATATCTTACTTAATCTCAAAACAAAATATGTAAGCATGGACTTATTCAGGTGTGCTATGGTCGTAGTCGTAGCGAGAAAAGATGCATCATTTTTCAAATTCGGAAGGGGACAGTTTATAGTTGAAGGAACAATACGCAATATTCAGGAGAGTATTTTGAAATGGGAAAAGGATAGAACAGTGTTCTTCTTGGTGACAAAGAAATCATGGAATGCGAATCCAGAAGTGGTGTATAAATTACGATGGCCCTCGTAGAGTTTACGCTCTACTGACAATTGTTTATGTGTCGTCAAGCTTTACAACATAAATATGATGTAAATCAATAAGAAACTACGCATTTTTCAAATGCGAGAGTGTCATAATGCAGCGTGAACGGATGTTTAGTCAATTTTCGCAAATGATTCTTTGATACCCTGTTGATATCCATATCGTGACACTCGCGACAGGTGCTTCTTCATCTTATATTGTATTATTCAGTGACGTTATTGAGGTATTAAACCATGACTTGTGACTGTTTTAATACACCCACACATTTCGAATAAAACTCGACTCAAAATGAAAAATTCAACATCTGTAAATAAAAACTGTCGATGTGCGTGGTTACGGTGTCGTTATGAGATCTCCGTTAAGCCTAGCCTGGCCTGGCTGCCCACCCAGGCTCTCCCCTCTAGGCGCTCGGTCTAGACCGGGAGGGGGTCAGTCTCCTCGCAACACGTAACGGTGGGTTCCCTGTCCACTGTTCCAGCCTAGCGTCCCAGGACATGGCCCCGATTCTGGGTCTGGCTGTTGGAATTTTCCAACTTACTGTCAATACGATTGATATATCCAAACTTGAACATCTGTTGGCTATTGGGAAGTTAGACTAGCAGACTCGAGTATCGAACAGTACGTACAATATGGTCACCATCAGTGGCAAACTCACAGGATAGAACAGGACAGTACAGAATGGGGTAGACACGGACGACACAGACAACGAATTTTCAATTGAAACTTAATCAATCCCGAGGGTCCGCATTTTTGGTAGAAGTTCCATTGATTTGAGAATCTAGGGCCACTAGGCATAAAGGAAGAGCTACTTGACCATTGGAATAGTTGAAACCGAGGAACGTACGCACACACACTTGACAAAACCTCTTTAGAAACCCGCCACGTGCCACTGGCTTTTTTCCTTGTCTTTCCTTCCCAATCTACCACTACTGTCTCTGCACTGTGTTCCTTTTTACACCGCTTCAAACGCATAATCACATATACTAACCCGACGCTCTTTTACACAGAAATGTCCAAGTCTAAGAACCATACCAATCACAACCAGACCAGGAAGGCCCACAGAAATGGTATCAAGAAGCCTAAGACCTACAAGTACCCATCTTTGAAGGGTGTCGATGCCAAGTTCAGAAGAAACCACAAGCACGCCTTGCACGGTACTCAAAAAGCTTTGGCTGCCAAGCGTGCCGAGGAAGCGAAATAAATCCGCAGCTCAAGAGAATAGGCATTTTTAACAAAACAAAACTCTCATTTTCAAGTCTGTAAGGAAACTATATATCGTCTTTTTTGAACTGTTTCTAATTTACGTTGACCTAAGGATAAATCTAGGGTAGTTAAACGGTAAGCGCAAAATGCAATGCTGTGTTTGAAGGAAAGGGACGTTGAGTTCGGTAGATTGTTGCACCTGACTGCGTCATTGTACGCTCTTTTCTGAGGCGCCAGTGACACATTGATGTATATATTTTCCAATAGGTCAATTTGAGTTTTGTGACGCGCTCATATTCCCAGTGTATATAAGGGGTACACAGATTCATAAACCCGACTCTTTCCCGTGCAAGCAAGATCTACTAGGAAAAACACAAGTCATCTGCTTGAGGATCTTACAATCAAGTATACTTTGTTTTTTAATACAAAAAGAAGGCTCAACGATGAGTACTGAAGTTTTGGCTCGACGGGCATCTACAGAGCTTGAGGTTCCAGCAGGAGTAACGGCTTCTGGGGAAATTAAGCGGATCTACATTTCGAATCTGGACTTTGAAACGAACGAAGAGGAGTTGAAACAGTTTCTGCAAGATTTCAACGTGCTCACCGTGCTGATACCAAGCCAAACTATCCGTGGGTTCAGAAATAATAGCGTAAAACCGCTAGGAATCGGATATGCAGATTTTGCCACAGTTGGAGACGCCCAAAAAGCCATAGAGTTGCTGAATGGTCAGAAACTCCACGATCGGGCCCTGAAAATCAAGATGTATGTTCCGCTGACGGCAAAACGCAAAGAACGTCGTAGTTCCAAGAAACACACAAATCCAACACAATCGGCCGCTGAAGAACAACCACTCGATACAGAGGCTACAGAGGCTACAGAGGCCAACACCACTGCTCCTTTACCCACCCATGGCTCGAAATCGATTCAAGAACCTGTGGCCTCAGACACCCTATATTGTGCATATCTACCTTCCAACGTCACCGACGTGGAATTACGTGAGTTTTTCGCGGATTACGACCCTCAAGACATCTACGTGTATCGTAGCAGTGTGTCCAAACACCGCATACACCTGTACCGACGTTTCACTGCGGCTTTAGTCACATTGGGCGCCCCAGACTCGCTAGAAAACGCTATAACGCAGCTTTCGAAGCAGAAGCTAATGGGTAAGAAGATAACTTTGAGGCCCGCCAGGCTATCCAAAATTCAAGAGGTCAAGAAAGCCGCTGCAAAGAAACATGAGTTGGAACAGGTTCAAAACCGGAAAAAGTCTATAGCTGAGGCATCAGATGCCATTGTGGAAAACCAGGAGTTGGAAACGAGAGAGACCGAAGGCTCGAGCTAAGTCAAGTGCATAGAGGGTGGTATCCATAGGTGTGTGTCCCTCGCTTCTGCAGGCCATTAGATACGTTGCTTTACATTTTATTGAATATTCCGCTATATACATGTTGAAAACAATTATGACTTGGTAGTTGGCACACCCAGCCTGACACACAGACATTAGTGCCACAACAGTCATTTAACAAGCTACCAGACTACCAATACGAAGTGCCAAAAAGGGTTCAAGGGCTTGAGAATTCAAAAGAACAGTTTCTCGTGCTACACTGCGTTTCAATTGCTTTACCACAAAGGGTCCTATGTAGTCAATCAGCACTAGAGGGTTCCACCGCTGCCCGTTAAGCACGAGTCTCTGGGTTTATCATCTCTGAATATTGACTCTAGGGCGAAAATCGCAACTCGGTCTTAGTTTAAGTCGATACGAAACATAGCACAGGTCCTTAGGGTAGAACATTTTAACAAGTAGGTATGATACTGGGCAAACTTACCGATTGGTTTCCTGCTGTGGCTACGTCCTCCTGTATCGTCCGCGATAAATAGTCTATACATCTTTACCTGTGACTGTTACACCCATACATTTTAATAATCAAAGAAATCTAAGAAGAATTAAATAATTTGTTTTTGCATCAGTCGCTTTCAAGACGACTCTCGTCTGCGAATCTTTGGGTAGCGTCATCGCAACCGCTACCATGGCTAGGCGGAGGGCATCCAGTCTAGTGCCCACGAGCCAGAGGGAAAGTCTGCTACCCCCAGCCTGTGGTTCTGCCTAGCTGGGTAGCTCCAAGCCTAACTCCTAGGCATGTCTCTCTCCAGAGCTCATGGACAGCCACACTGCCAGCAGACTGACGAAATAGCATCGGCAACTCCAGGTAGTGGGAATATTGAAAATTCAAGTGATTTCACAACACACTTGACGATTCAGTCTAGAGAAACCAGACATCAACACAAGCAATGGGTATGTGAGGCGTGGAATAGCGATAGCTGTTACAGCTGTAACAGAAGCTAGACTCCAAAAGTGCGGACAGAAAACGACCGGGTGAAACCTTTGACCTTTGAATTAGCGATTTTTCAAACCATGGATTAGATTTCGGCACCAACAAGAACGAGAAGAGAAGAAGAGAGGGTCTTTCAACTAATCAGGATTCTGGAACACAGTGAAGAAATAGTGGTTTTTCTTAGCGGGGCTCACAGGCATCGGATTTGGCGTATTTCTCAATCAAGTTCCCGCTTTACTTTTTGCGACACCTTATACTAACACAGCGCTCCAGGTAGAGTTATTCGTAACCAAAGAAAGGGTGCTGGCTCCATCTTCACCTCGCACACCAGATTGAGACAAGGTGCTGCCAAGTTGAGAACCTTGGACTTTGCTGAACGTCATGGTTACATCCGTGGTGTTGTGAAGCAGATTGTTCACGACGCCGGTAGAGGTGCTCCATTGGCCAAGGTTGTGTTCCGCGACCCATACAAGTACAAGTTGCGTGAAGAGACCTTCATTGCCAACGAAGGTGTTCACACTGGTCAGTTCATCTACGCTGGTGCCAAGGCCACTTTGAACGTCGGTAACGTGTTGCCTTTGGGCTCTATGCCAGAAGGTACCATCGTGTCCAACGTTGAGGAAAAGCCTGGTGACAGAGGTGCTTTGGCCAGAGCCTCTGGTAACTACGTCATCATCATTGGTCACAACCCAGACGACAAGAAGACCAGAGTCAGACTTCCCTCCGGTGCCAAGAAGATCATCAACTCCAGCGCCAGAGGTGTCATCGGTGTCATTGCCGGTGGTGGTAGAACCGACAAGCCATTGTTGAAGGCTGGTCGTGCTTTCCACAAGTACAGAGTTAAGAGAAACTCTTGGCCAAAGACCCGTGGTGTTGCCATGAACCCTGTTGATCACCCTCACGGTGGTGGTAACCATCAACATATTGGTAAGGCTTCTACCATCTCCAGAGGTGCTGTCCCAGGTCAAAAGATTGGTTTGATCGCCGCCAGAAGAACTGGTTTGTTGCGTGGTTCTCAAAAGACTCAAGATTAGAGTATTTAGTAGAAACAATTCAAAATGAAAATAATCTAACAAATGGTCATCTCGTATTAGAACTGACAGTGTATGGTTTGTTACCAGGCTTGTATCGAAAGGTCTTTATGTATATCTAATCGATTTCTTTATCAGTAACGACAGATGTAGGAGCTTGTTGGGTGTCACTTGAACAAGCTCTGCATGGCTCATCGCCACACTAATTCCCTGTCGAGCATCACCGAAAAGGGATCAACGCGTCCAGAAAAGCCGTTTGATCCGGTGCTGTTTATTCATTCGTAGTTGCAACTTATCTACACGGCTCAGGTTCCTCTGTTTTACAACCTAGATCTACGGCCAGTGTTTTTCTTTAACTGGAACTTTGGCAAGGTCCCTGAGATCCTCGATCAAGATATTTTTGTACCAAGAAACCACTGAATTGATGATCGTTGATGAATCTCAGTGCACGGGGACTTGAGTTGTTGATGGATGTCCCGTGTTTCACTTCTTATGTGAACTTGAACTCTTTCTAGTTTTATAGCTTTAAGACATCATCAATTCACTAAATTTCAAGTCAATTTGACATAGTAAACAAACTTATGTTGTCAAACTACATCGAAAGACAATATCTTGCCAAGGGTGAGCATTCAATGACCTAGAGAACATTGCAAAAAGGCCACTCCAGGACACTAGGTCGAATATGAAGGTAGATGAACTTATTATCGACGGTTTCAAGTCGTATGCGACCAGAACAGTTATATCAGATTGGGATCCACAATTCAACGCTATAACAGGTCTCAATGGGTCTGGGAAATCCAACATTCTGGATTCGATATGCTTCGTGCTGGGAATTTCATCAATGGCAACAGTCAGGGCGTCAAACTTGCAAGATCTGATCTACAAGAGGGGCCAAGCCGGTGTCACGAAAGCCAGTGTTACACTAGTCTTCGACAACACCGACAAAAAGAATTCTCCCATTGGATTTGAGACGTATGCACAAATTTCCGTTACTCGGCAAATCGTTCTAGGAGGAACCAGCAAATATTTGATCAATGGTCATCGTGCTCAACAGCAAACCGTTTTGCATCTATTCCAGTCAGTACAGCTGAATATCAACAATCCAAACTTTTTGATCATGCAGGGCAAAATTACCAAAGTCTTGAACATGAAGCCGACGGAAATATTATCTCTCATCGAGGAAGCCGCTGGTACCAAAATGTTCGAAGATCGCAGAGAAAAAGCAGAAAGAACCATGGCTAAGAAAGAGACCAAACTACAGGAAATACGAACATTGCTTATCGAAGAAATTAAGCCAAAGCTCGACAAACTCAGAAATGAAAAGCGTACTTTTTTAGAGTTCCAGGATATTCAATCAGATCTCGAAAACACTTCCAAGATCGTCAATGCCTTCGCGTACCGCTCCCTTCTTCACAGCCGTAAAAATACAGAAGAGTTACAGAAATCAGGTCAGACTCGAATTGATCAACTTCGCTCCTCCATAGAGAAATTGCAAACCGAAATGAAGAGTATCGAGGAAGACCTGAATGTCATACGGGATCAAAAGAGGGAAGAAGTGAAAAAAGATGGTACATTGCGGCAGCTCGAAACTCATGAGAGTAAGCTGAATAATGACTTATCTCGTCTCAAGACCTCTTTGAACATTACTGCTGATAACATCACTGAGGAATCGGGAAAATCTCAAACTCTCAAAATGGAAATTTCCAAGTATGAGGACCTGCTGAACTCGAAGAGTGCATCGTTCGGAAGCATTGAAGCTGAATACAGCTCCTTGATTGAAGTGGTCGAAAACTCTAAGAGGTCCTTACAATCAAAAGAAGACCTCTTATCAACCCTAACTACTGGTATCTCGTCCACAGGTGCAACCAGTAGCGGCTACCAGGCTCAGTTGAATGACGTTGAGAAACAGCTCAGTGATGCGAAAATCAAAGTTCAGAGATATGATATGAAGATTGATCTTCTCAAGAAGGAACTGAGTGAGAATGAACCTAAATTGTTGAAGGCAAAGAAATCAGGCGCACAGGCCAAGAATGATTTGGAATTGTGCCAATCAAAGTGCTCAGAGTTGAATTCAAAACTTCAGAAATTAGGGTTTGACCCCAATCATTTCAAGGAGCTGAAAGAGCAGGAGGTCAAAATAAAAAATCAGCTGTATAACATCTCAAATGAGATGGAAGTTTTGAAACGCAAGGTGGCAAACATTGAGTTTGCTTACAGCAAACCTTCTCCGGACTTTGAATCAAAGTCTGTAAAGGGTGTTGCCGCCCAGTTGTTCTCTTTGGATGAGAAACATTTCGCCAGTGCAACGGCTTTACAAGTTTGTGCCGGCGGAAGACTTTTCAATGTCGTTGTTGACAACGAAAAAACAGCGTCTCAGTTACTAGAAAAAGGTAGACTGCGGAAGAGAGTTACAATTATTCCTTTGAACAAAATATCAGCAAGAACGCTGCATCAGAAGGCCGTCAGTGTTGCTAAGGAGCTGTCACCCGGTAATGTCGACTTAGCTCTCAATTTGATAGGATATGAAGACGAGGTATCAAGTGCCATGAAGTTCATTTTCGGATCAAGTTTGATCTGTAAAGATGCGGAGAGCGCACAGAAGGTCACATTCCATCCCCAAGTCAGAGCCAGAAGCATCACGTTGCAGGGTGACATATATGATCCTGAGGGAACATTGTCAGGTGGAAGCCGTAATACAAACAATTCGATTCTCATCGATATCCAGAAGTACAATAGATTCTCCAAAATGGCATTGAGCTTAGAGAACGATCTTGCAGATCTCGGAAAACAGATCAAGCACTACCATGATATCTCTAGTACCACAAAAAATATCCAACATGATCTCAATCTCGCTTCCCACAAGCTTCAGCTGGCCCAGCGGAACTTCGACAACAATCCCGCCATTCAGTTAAATTTTAGGATTGAGGAAATCAATGCGGAGATACTAGAATGTCAACAAATGAGGCAAGACGCCTTTGCTCAAATCAGTCAAATAGAGAAAGAACACATGAGAATTCAGAAGGATATGGAGGAGTTCAGCAGGGACAAAGGGTCCAAGCTAGAAGAACTAAGGAAGGAAGTAGAATTACTGAGGACGGAAATTGAGGGCCATCAAGAACGTTTGGAGAAGAGTGAGGATGTAAACCAATCACTTCAAGTAGAAATTGACCAACTGAAGTCTGACATTTCCACTGCTAAATCAGGAGTTTTGGAGTCAGATCGAAATTCAAAAGAGTTGCATGCTGAGCAGGGTACTTTCAAACATGAACTGGAAGCAGTATCATCAGAGCTGAAGCGAACGCAAGAAAAGATCTCTGATGAGAAGAAACGACTTTACGAAATAGATGAGGAATTGCGGGTCCTATCCAACCTTCACAAAACAAAAGATGGGCAGTCCAAAAACGAAGGCATTGAGCTAAAAAAACTACTGAATGAGCTCAGTAAGTTGGAAAGCAACACATCATCTGTTGAAGAAAGTATTAAAAATCTCATCAAAGAGGAAGTGTGGCTCAAAGACGAGGGTTTGGTCTCCAGCATCCTTAGCCAAAACAATGGAATAAACATTCAAGCTTACCGACAGCGGGCGGAACAGCTTGCCGAAAAATTCGATGGTATGAAGCGCAAAGTGAATCCGAATATCATGAGCATGATCGAAAATGTCGAAAAGAAGGAGTCTGCTCTGAAGACGATGATCACCACGATAGAAAAGGATAAAACTAAAATTCAAGAAACGATCACGAAGCTTAACGAGTATAAGAGGGAAACGCTGATCAAAACATGGGAAAAGGTTACGGTTGACTTTGGTCATGTTTTCGGAGAATTGCTTCCAAATTCTTTCGCCAAGCTTGTCCCACTGGAGGGAAAAGATGTGACTGAGGGCCTTGAGGTAAAAATTAGGCTTGGCACCATTTGGAAAGAAAGTTTGGTTGAGCTGTCAGGAGGGCAAAGATCCCTCATTGCACTGTCTCTCATACTGGCGTTACTGCAGTTCAAACCCGCTCCCATGTACATTCTAGATGAAGTTGATGCAGCTCTTGATTTGAGTCATACGCAGAACATTGGTCATCTCATCAGAACAAGGTTCAAAGGCTCCCAATTTATTGTGGTGTCGCTAAAGGAGGGGATGTTCAACAACGCAAACAGAGTCTTCCGGACTAGGTTTCAAGATGGCACCTCTGTTGTCAGCGCTATGTAGTCAGAGTAAAATGCTTCGAAGCAGCAGCTGTTTGAGGGCCAAAAAAGAAAAGAAGGCATCGAAGCAAATTTGAAGATATGTTCTGTATTTAGCTACTTACTGAGAAACCAATGAATCAATAAACTTCCAGAATGTAACGAGAAGTATCCTTCAGTTCCTCGATGGCTTCATCCAAGTTCACCTTTACACCTCTTTCTTCAGCATCAGCTTTGATGATGGCTTGCAGGGCCTGTGTAATGTCTGGAACAGGCCATGTAGGGCCACATAAATAGAAGGATCCCTTTTCATCGGCCATCGCGACCTTTAGGTCCTCCAGACTTTCATGAATCCTGTCTTGAATGTAAATCTTATGTGGCTGGTCTCTGGAAAACGCGGCACCTATATGGGTAATAATACCAGCATCCTTGTAAGCTTCCCACAATTCACCGTAAAGATATTCTTCTCTTTTATGTCTCGATCCTAAAAAGAGGAAAACCTTACCAATTTTGTGGCCCTGTTGCTGCTGCCAGAACTTTTCTTCAACGATCGCTTTAAAAGGAGCAAGACCAGTTCCCAAACCACTCATAATCACAGGCTGTTCTGGCGATGATGGCAACTTCATGACCGATGGTTTAACGCTAACCACAAGCTCGGTACCAACAGCAAGCTCCGAAATGTATTTAGAAGCTTGTCCGAAACGCTTACGACCCTTGTTATCAACCCAATCCACAACGACAATCAACAAGTGCACTTCATGGGGATGAACTCTCTGCGAGGACGCAATCGAGTATTCTCTTCTCTTCAAAGGAGCGATGATGCGGATCAAGTCTTCCAGTGAGGGTTTGGCAGAAGGGAACAGTTCGAAAATGTCAACATAACTGTAGTACTCGACGTCCTGATACTTTTTCAAGTCAACAGCGCCTGAGGGCGAAATTAGGTCTTCCAATCTCTTCTTTTCATCTTCATTTGCTGCGAATTCGATCAAGGACTGATAGAATGCTTTTGGGGGTTTTCCAAAAATGTCCAAGTTTTCGGTGAAGGCCTGGAGAACAGTTCTGCTCTCCAAAAGTTGTCCGTCATCTCTGTTTGGAAGCTGGATAACGTCCTGCTCATTCAAGCCATAGTTGTTCAAAAATTCGCGGACGAGATCGACGTTGTTTCTGGCGTGGATTCCCAAAGCCTCACCAATACCATAGGTCATTCCCGTGCCAGAAATATCAAATTCAATGTGGAAGATGTATCTGTCGTAATCAGCTGGGGTAACACGTCTGTTTTCTTTGACCTTGACAATATAGTTCTTGACAGGCAAGTCTGGCCTTAGCGAAGATTGCGTTGCGAAGGCTTCCTTGAAACTCAATTGTTTTGACAAGTCAGAAATACTAACAGTACCGGCCTGGACCGGATCGGCGCCCTTCCTTGGATTAGGTCTAAAGGAGGTTTCAACAGGTAGCGAAGGCAAAAGTTCTTCTTGCGACTCATCTGCGCTCACAGAAGTAACAGATTTCTTCATCTCCTCGAAGGATACTTCACGTAGGCCAACTTCAAATGCAGTACTGATGGTTTCGGACAAAACAGCTGCCAAAAGTTCAATATCAGAGCCGGCTGAACTCCAAATGCGACGTACACTTTCTGCAATAGGTAAATTGTAAGAGTATTTCCAGAAAGCAGCTTGTGACACAAAAGAAGAAGTTCTGCCTTTAGTCTCCTCTCTGTCGCCAATGGTCTCAAGATCCAAAAAGACAAGCTTGATGTTCTTGCTCAAAATTTGGTTCAAGAAAGAAGCAGGTAGCTTTAACTCCTCAGTAAGCACCTTTGCATCCGAAATATCCTTGTCCTGTAAGGATTTCTCGCTCAGGACCAGAATGGTACCATTCTCCTTACATGTGCTGGTGACATCGAACGCGTTCAAGACCGACAAGTTTTCAACGACAGATACATCTGCACGGTCGATGTTCGACAGTGATAGAGGGTTGCCGTTGAGACCTGAAGTAATTTGAGCATGAAAAACACCGCCGTTTGCGTTGTTATCAAATTTAGTTCTGAAAGAGACTTGCTGGTTGTCGACCATAGATAGGGCATGAGCAATTCTTGCAGTAACATCGAGGTTGGCACTTGAGTCAGAGATCCAGAAAATAAACTCTTTTTTGCCAGCTTGAGCCGTCACTTCGTTGAACGCAGGGACAAAGGATGTAACTACCTGTCTCGCGGCTTCCAACGACCACACGAATGTTGGCAGGTATAAATATTCCGACAACTTGACTGACCTGACCCCATGAAGGAAAAGGGCAGCAGACACTTGTGATTTCAAATAGGTCGGAGATCTACCGTCCACAGATTGGCCAACGACCACAATGTTTTTGGCGGATTTGGGAATCATGGCTGCAAACTTGTCGGAGTCGAATGGCAGAGGGATTCTGATGGCAATAAGCCCCACATTGCCTTGCGTAACAGACAAACAGGTTTTGAAAAGCTCTGACTCCACGTTACCGAACGTGATGAACACAGTTTCAGCAGATTCGTCGCCGAAGTACTGGAAGTTGTGAAGTTTGGTTTTCGCTAAATCGTTGAACTTGTCCAAAATGCGGTCGAAAGAAGATCCCATTGGCAGCGATTTGGACATCTCAGAGATGATTATTTGGTCGTGCTGCTCTTGAATGTGCGAGACCGATTTGGCATAGTTTGGACCGTCAAACAGGTTCACGGCTGCCAATGGTACTCCGAATTTAGCCAAAGCCAGCGCCAACAAAGTGGTTTGCTTAACTTCGTCGACTGCGATGGCGGAGACTACAGGGAATCCTAGAGCAGAGGCAGTTTTTAGCGGCGTGACAAAATCACTCACCACTTGACCGGTACTTTCATCGTAATCGATGGCACCCACATTCAGCAGAAAACGGCTGTCGAAGTCCGTTTCACGCTGAAAACTGTTGGCCAAGTAGCCAAGACCGTAGCCCGGTACAATAATTCCGAACACTGATTTTTCGCCCTTAGCAAAACCCAAGGGAGCAAGACCAGCACCAGATCTCAGTTGCAGTTCATCCAGCTGCAGTTTCACATCGCTGTTTTTGTGCGCCCATTTCTTCAATGCTTCGTCAAACAAGTCTGGTTCTGAGAAAGTCTTGTAGCTGAAAATGCGATCCAAGCCTTTCACCAAAACCGACGAAATTGCAGTCACCGGAGTGGTGTAAACCGATGCTGCATTAAAGTTAGAGGGAATCCCGAATGGATTCACTGAAAACTCAACGCCCATTTTATGTTTGTCACCTCGTTCTTTTCCAAAGTAGTTCAACTTTTTGACGGGTTTCCAGTTCAAGTTAGCGACACTTGGGTTCCTGGCCTTGCGAAGAACACTTAAAGCGTGGATAGCTTCGACCTCTCGCTACTTATACCACGGTCATGAACGAATGGATGAGATCTTGACGTCTGATGGGCTTCTCGTCGTAAACTTGACTAAAGCCACATGCTTTGAGTAGTTAAAGTCACATGGTATTAGAGTCACGTGAGACTTCACAAGAAGAAACATGTGACTTTAAATACGTCTTCAAGAGAGCACGGCCTATGCGTTCGCTGGCTCTTTCAGACGCACGACGGTGGTATCGCATCAGATGCCTTTGCGTAACAAATCCATATGGAACAGTAGCAGCTTAGCTTGCTCACGAACTGCCATATCACCAGCAATTGTGCTGGTCTTAACGACATCGTAGAGGCCCATCTTAACTAGTTTGGCACATCTCTGGGCTGCGAAAATGCGAAGTTTGGCAGGAACGCCGAAACTTTTAGGCCTGGTAAGTTCAAAAGTGGTGCGGACGGTTGGGTGCAGCGTTTGTTGAATATAGGAATTGTCTTCGTCTTCGTCCCCAGAAATGTGGTCGTCGTCGTCGTCGTCGTCGTCATAATCATTGTCATCGTCATCATCGTCAACGTCATCATCACCGTCTTCTTCTTCTTCTTCTTCTTCTTCTTCTTCATTGCCGTCTTCGGCACCTTCGTGGTCGTGTTCGGATCCGCGTTCTTGGTCTTGTTCTTGATGCCATTCTTCGCCATCATTACCGGCCTCGTCGTTAACAGTCTGACCGAATGGTTCGTCTTGATCACCGTTATCATTTCCGCTGGGACGGTGTTCATGAGAAAAGTCCTTGTCGTCTGGCCTGGCATTGTGCCGCAATAACGAAGAGGATCCTGGCGGATGGGAAGTGGCCTGCTCCAAGACCGGATGCGGCTGAGTAGCACTGAAAAGAAAATTGGAAGTGGTCGATGCCCATATAAGGTTGGTTAATATCCACAGACACGCAACCTCGATATCCGCCCTATGGTAGCCACCACCCACAGAACTTAAAACTTGCTTGATGAATAGCAGGATGCCGTCTTGCTCAATCACCATCTGGCGCTTGTTTTCATTGATCGCAGTGATGTTCACTATGATGTATAATACACCTTCAAGCGTCTTCGCCTGGCTCGGGTCTTCAGGATCGAGCATTTTGAGCTTGTGAGCGAGAAACTCAAAGAGGTACGTGGGCCGCACCCCGCCCGTATGAGTTTGTGAGCCTGTGGAGTTCTCGGAATCGTTAAAGTTCTCAAGTAATATGTTGACCATTTTGCGAGAATTGCACGTCAAATTTCTCAGTAGTTGAAAGCACTGCTCCTGGACCAGCCAGTTGCTGTTATTAACAAATTGCAAAACCGTTTCCATGGGTATGATGGAGATTAGCTCCAGCTTCTCTTCGTTATGTGAGTTGTACATTAAATGTCGCAGAACCCAAAGCGCATTCTTTTGTACATCTTGAACACTAGCCGAGCATGGATCTTCACCAATAACGCCAAGGTCAGCATTGGCCCGTTCGTTAAAAAGTGGGCTTTTCAATATTTTGCCGACCACTTCGATGATGCCGTTTTCAACAATGTGCGATTGCAGATTAGAGAATTCCACCACGAAGTTCGAGAGCGTGCCAAGGGCGGCACTCATTATTTTAATCTCTCCGCTTAGCAAGGCGCTTCCGCGGCAAAAAGAGTCTTCACTCAAAAGGCAAGTCCGCTTTACCAGGTTCAAGAGCAGTTCGGCAAGCCTGTTCCGTTTCAGAAATGTCCTTAATGCAGTGACGCTCCGAGAAAAAGACTTAAGAAGTAATACCCACGAGAAGGTGAACTCAGTATCATAAAACGGTTGCAGGTCTTGTTGCTTTATATCAAGAGAAATCTTACTTCTCTGAGCAATGAAACAATCCAGTAATTGTAAATGTGAATCTAAGCCGGATTCTGCATGCTGCAACAGGGCCTTATTGGTGAAAAGTCGCCTTCTAGTCGTCTCGCTAAAGCTTGTCAATGCTGCACATAATTTGATGAGTTTCCCGGTAGTTTTTAGAGTATCGTAATCGCGTCCCTGCAATGCAAGACATTTGGCTAGCATGTGCACAATTGAATTCACGAGATTGGTTTCCAGCAGGAAATTCGAGATCGGATTATTCAACGGATCGTGTTCGTTGCACCAATTTACGAGATCTGTTAAAATGTCTATGGGATCAAACCACCACGGGAGGTTGTCGTAATTGAGACACTCGCATAAATGTGGTAACCAGAGAGAGATTCTTTCTGTTGCTGCGTTCACCGTGGGCTCTGACCCTTTCAAAAAACTGTTTGCCATAAACTGGAGGGCAGAGCATCGCAGTGCCATGTTTTGACTCTTCAAAAAGCTGCTTGTTAGAAGCTCAAAGCTCTTGACATCCTCCAGGTTTGCGCTCCCCTCAACGATGCTATCCAAAGCGCTACGGTAATTGAGGTATATATGGAGAGAGAGGCAGAAAAGAGATATGTCTGTAGCATTGCGAGGTGCAACGGGGTCTGGACTGCCATACGGAGATTTGATGAATGAACGTGACGATTGGACAAAGTCATACAGGTTGTACTGCTGAGCAGATTGATCAGGTTTCATTTCAGTCACCATATACTTGAAATGGAGCTGATGCTGGTACTTTTCGGATAATTCCAGCAATAGCGTATAAGTCGCCAGAAAAACCTCTGTGTCAGCCTTGACGACCTCCTGTCTGGAGATACAAGACAATAGCTCCACAATCACTGTGTCATAGAGCTGTGAACTGCGATTGTGGACCCTTTCATGCACATAGCGGACAAAAGTTGCTCGTACAGCGGTGTGTAAATCTAGTAAACCGGGAAAACCCGTGTGAATACTCTCTAGACACATATTCAGAAGCTGCATTTTTTGCAACATAATAATAGACGCATCATCTTCCTGAAACTGTATTCTGGATAAGATAAGCTCCACCATGGCGTCATAAGTTTGGCCCAACCCTTGCTTTTCGTTTCCCCCCAAGTTCACCAAAATGAATATCAAATCGAATGCTTCAGACCTCAAATTTTCAGAAACAGCCGGCAGACCATCTTTTTGTGAAGGAAGCGCCATATCTATGATTTCTGGTATCACTTTACCAGGATTCTGTAGAAATCTCCATTTCGCAAGATCATCGCCTATGAGACTGCTTTTAAGATGGCGCAAGTCCCTTATTTCGTCGGAAGCAATTGCACCCATTCTAGACTATAGCCAAATCTGTAGCTATAAGATAAGTTTGACAGTTCGAAAGAGCTTTATTCCTTCTCTGGATTGATGGATAGCTTGAACGTTTCGGCCTATGACCGTTACCTTAGTATCCATATATATAAATCACCGGGGTTCAATAATACGTCTTAAGCTCACGTGATCAAGTTTTTCTTATAGAGTGATGGAACGAATGGGTAACTCGAGTAACTCGAGTAATCGTTGATAAGTAATGGGTAAGTATCGAGAGGTAAGGCATTTCCCCATGGTTTATCCCGTTCCTGTCTTCGCTAATACGCACATTTCAATTGATTTATTCCTTGGGACTATTCTGTCACCATTGCGCATGTCTGGAGCTATAGAGACGCGAATTTTATCAGCATAGTTGCGGTGTCAATTAAGCATCCTCCATTAGATACTTCTGTATGTCAGTTACAGTGAACTTCGAATTTTCCTTAATCCTAGCTTTTTTAAGCATACTTTATGAAAGCGTCAGGGCATTGAATTTTGCCAATCGTTACCTTTTGGGGCGTTAGATTCGAGTCCTTGTATTCCTTGGAATCTCATTTTGGGAAGTTGAAGATTTTAACTTAATTCAGCACGTAGAAAAGCTCAATAAGCACCTTGACTTGCGTATTTAAGCCTGCAATTGTCCTACTGGTATTTTTCTCTTCCCGTGAAGACGATTCTTGGCGCTAACACGATGATCTATATGACTTTGACACATACTTGAGTGACACATATTTATCGTTAAATACACCGACGAACGCCTATTCAATGACTATGATGCAATAGTAATGATAAAATAAGCCATTCGTAGTAGGTAAGTTCACGTCAGCTTCGGTTGAACCTCTCAAAAACTGTCAGAACTCCTCATTGGCAGGAGCTTATAAGACTTTTCCACCCCCAAAATCGCACTCTCAACGCGCTGTCATATCTACATTTTACCACCCTTCCGATCCAGTCCTTCATGCTCATGCTACAGAAAATAATGGGAGCCTGAGCTAACAACTGGTCGAGACCACCAGCGATCTTTTAATGCTCTCGAGACCCGCCTTGTCGTGTGCTCTTTACTCGGTCATGTGAAGAATACAGACTAGCTTGTTCAAGACGTATAAATCAAACCACTACTTCTAAATTCAACAAACTTGGAAGAAAGTACCATCGATTTAAGAATCCTCTCATAGAATCAACCAGTCATGGAGGTCATTGGAAAATGGCGGGAGTCTTTCCGTTTGGAAAACGTTGAATCCCGGGTCAGATACCTCGTGGAATACGCAACTGAATATATCCAGAATAACGACAATATGCCTAGTGTATACGCCGCAACAACCGCTTTGGGAGCTCTGATGTTTTTGTTTGTGCTAAGACCTTTGAATAGGAGGTTTACGGACAACAAGAGCAACAAGACCTCCAAGAAAAAGACCAAAGGTCAGAGCAAGAAAAAGGCTACCAGTCGCTCCTCTAAACCCGTTAGTCTGGAGGATCAGATCGAAAATGTGTACATGAGGTTTTCGAAGGAATACAAACAAGCTGTGGATGCCCTGGTGGAAGATTTCGATCCGTCGTCCGAAAAATTGCAGTACCAGCGGAACTACTACAACGAAATGCTACTAAAGCTGGTCATCGAGCTGGACGGTGTCGATCTGGTCGACTTGACAGGCGATCGAAAAACTGCTCTAAAAGACAGACGTAAACAGGTCATTAGAGCGATCCAAACAGACCTCAAAAGGCTGGACTCTCTTAAGAAACAGGGTTGCTGATAGACACTTCCTCGTTGTGACCATCTCACATAAATACTCATGTCTTATATACGTTAATAAAGTTGTTTCAGTTGGTTTCCAAGCATGGTCTGGTACAAATGTTGATCTGTGTCAGATTATTCTTGTTTTTGGACCATTTTGAAGCCAGAGAAAACCTACAATAAATCTTAATCACATTGCATTTATTTCAAGCAAGCACCTGCTTCTGTCAGTGCTTCCAAACGCCTTCATCAACCAGTGCCTTCAAGTTGTTGTTCTTGTCTTACATATACGTACACGTATATATATATATATATATATATATATATATATATATTACATACATATATCTAAGATCAACAGTTTGATACTGTCAGGCAACTTCTAGCTCAATCGACTAGCCCAAGGTCTCAACCATGTTCACCGGGATCGTAGAACTTATAGGAACTGTTGCAGAATACAAGGAGTATGATACTTCCCATAGCGGTGGTGGTGGTGTTTCAGTAAGTATAACAGATGCGGCACCTATCTTAACCGATTGTCATATTGGGGACTCTATCGCGGTCAATGGAATCTGTTTAACTGTTACCGAATATTCAGCAGATACCTTCAAAGTGGGAATTTCTCCTGAGACGATCAAGCGAACAAACGTTTCTTCGTGGCAGGCAGGTTCTAAAGTAAATCTAGAAAGAGCTGTTGGTCAAGACGTGAGATTTGGAGGCCACTACGTCCAGGGACACGTAGATGGCGTTGCAAAAATAGTGAGTCGTGAGCCTGAAGGAAACTCAATCGTTTTCGGCTTCAAACTAGACAATAAGGAGTATGAAAAGTACATTGTTGAAAAGGGATTCATATGTATCGATGGAACGTCATTAACAATCACCAAGATTGACCCTACCGGTGCATTCTACATTGCTATGATCAAACATACTCAGGAAAAAGTCGTATTGCCACTCAAAGCTGTGGGTGACGAAGTCAACATTGAAGTCGATCTGACCGGCAAAGTCATTGAAAAGCAGGTTATTCTCCAATTACAGGACCAAATAGACAACGAACAATCGCCATTGGCCAAACTGCTTGAAAAGCTTATCGACCGGAAGCTGACTGGCCCTCGCTAAAAATGGGTTATAAAAAGCGCAATAGAAGTTTGTTCCTGTCTTTGACTATGTATCAGCCCTCTAGCAATTTTATAAAATTAAGAGTGTGCTGCGACTATGCTTGAATCCCCAAAATTTATGGCAGTTGAAATATCAATGACACACCTTCATCGCCTGCTGTTATCAGCTTTTTGCCATTTTCGATCAATGCGAAATCCAAAACGCCCATGTTGTGACCAACGCACTTATGAATTTCCGACCCTGTTCTGGCATCGAATATGTAAACTTTCCCGTCTATGCTTGCCACTATCAATGTGAAGCCGGTTGCCTCATCAAATTGAAGTTTAGTTGCAGAATCTGGCAGTATAAATGTATGCCTTACTCTCCAAGTAAGTGTGTCGTAAAGCAAAACCTCGCCACAAACTAGACCAATGGCCATAAGGGAAAGTTTTGGAGACCATGCGATGGATTCTATCGACGCATCCATCTCTTCTTGATCTTCTTTGAGCTCGATGACAGTGCTTAGTTGTAAAACGGCACCATTGTTGCAGTTGATAATTGCCAGAACACCGTTATTGGCCCCGCATGCGATAACAGGGGTGTTTTTCGTCATTGACAAAGGAGCAATGGAAAGAGAGACCCAAGGAGCCTCAATACCCTTGATCTCGGCTTTCGAAACTTTAAACTGCATTTGACCTGTGTAACAAGACCAACCGATAATTGTACCGTCGATTGAGCACGTTACCAGCGACAAATTCGAGTCACCTTGCTCAATGTTTATAAATTCTCCCATTGTGCAATCCGACTGGTGGACAAACTGACTCATGATTTGTTCCAGTTCGCCAGTCTGAGAGTCTATCTGGTAGCACCAAACGGAGCCATCTGTGGAACCAAAGGCAAAAACGCCGGGAACGGTTGGATGGACCTTAATCCACACCACCTCTTCTACTTCCTGGAGTCTGGCACTTTCTTTCCATTTAGCACCGCCATTAGCAGATTTGTGTACCAAAACCTGACCGTTCATGTCACCAGTAACCAAAAATTGGCCATCTGATGTAAATCCACCGCCAATTACAGACTCAGAATGAGCTATAGAACCGGCAAATTTTGGAGGCTGCGAATGCGAAGTCCACAAAAACGCCGTATTATCGCCACCGCCGGTACACACCAATGGCAGTGTTGGATGTGTGAAAATCGAAAAGACAGAATCGGTGTGTTTGTCGAAATACGCCATAGAATTGTTGGACATATCGATTTCGAGTGTTTCCTCCTCTTCTCCCATCTGTTCATCTATTTGATCGTTACCATACTCATCATTCTCATCGTCCTCGACAGGAACATCGTTGCCATCGTCGACCAAGAGTTCTTCATCCACTTCCTGGTTCGAAATGAACTCTTCTTCTGGGGCGTCGTTTTCCAATGGTTCCTGGTAGTCTTGAGGAGGGTTAGACATCGTACAGTACAGCTACGTGGAGTCTTTCACTTGGTTATACCTGCAATGGAGAGGTTAACTTGTCTATGGATTGTAGCAGTAGTTTGTAAGCTCATCTCATCGCATCTCATCTCGTAATTTTTTTTTCACTGTGCTAATATAGAGATAATTAGAGGTGTCAGTATTGGTGAAAAGTGATTAGGCTCTGTGTGGGAACGCTGTGGTTCTGTTCCGTTAGGAAGTGATGTGAACAATTAATGAAATGTGTATTAGGCTCGAAGCTCCGTCTTCACGCTTGCGGGTCTTGCTCCGTAATGTTTATTTGTATCTCTCTATCGATGTTCAGTTTTTCGTTTCTGTTTTTAAAAATTGTAAGTTATATTGAAAAGTCTCTGAATCATCGTTTCAGAACTCGGATCGAATCTCTAGGTTATGGTGGTACCGTTGAGACCCTCGAAACATGTTTGTTGTAGATTTTGACCGATGCTTAGAGAAAGATCTAAGGGCACGTGAGCTCACGTCACTTACGTCAGAAGTGATAGGCTTATTTTTCGATGAGACATCAAAGAAAAGCCGTTGTAAGTACGAATAGGAAGTTGACATTGGTGCAAACTATATCTCATCTACGAGTTTTGAAAACTGGAACTATTCACAGCAAAATAACATGCTTCATGCAACCTAAAAAAGAATATGCTTCATACGACGTTCAGAATCATCGCATTTACGAGCGCTTGCGGGCCTTATTATGAATAGCTTTACTAGAGGGCTGATTCCCGCAACAAGCAGCCCACAGATTATTTCGCTTATGTGTGTCGTTGGCATTATCACCAAATCACGTGCACCGTCATCTTCTTAAATACGTTCAAAATGATACAAAAGACATCACTATTCACGAAAGAAAATTTGAAAAAGTCTCTAACACATACAAATTGTAACCTTCAGATGAGTTCCTTAACCTGAACTACTACCTAAAACTATACACCTAAAACAAGCCCAAATGAGTCAATCCATGGGATTTAGCTGGGGTTTCAAACCTGCGAGTGAAAACTGCGGGTCCAACACTACTTCTGCATGTAAAATCACGAAACCGCGGGTGAAACGGCGGTTCACAAGCGACGAAACCGTTCAAACTAGCGCAACGACTGTTCCCGTTACTCATCGTCCAACAAGGACCATGGCGAAGCGGAAAACAGCTGTTTCTGGAATCCAAGGCCAACCTTTGCCTCTGGCTAGAGCTGTGGAGCTCATGGACCGGAGCTTGCTGCAATCTACGCTTCTGGAACTGGTAAAATTGCATCCCGAAATCCAGAGCACTTTCATGGCTCTGCAACCACCTTCACGCACGGTAGACCAGTACGAAACGATCTTGCGAGCCAAGCTCGAACAGGTTTACCGCAATCTGCCCTATTCGAGACTGCGAGATTCATCATTAAACGAGGAAAATGAGGGACTCAGCGATTACGCTTTTGTGAGGGTCAAGTCTCACGTATTGGAGTTTCTCAACTGTCTGGTGGACTGTGTGCTGGAAAGCATACCACCACAAAGCCAATCTGCATTGCATTCTCTCAGAGTTCTAGACGCCGCCACAAAACTGCTTGGCCAGGTACCTCGGTTCGCCACTGCCAGTAACAACTACTACAAAAACATTTGCTACGAACAAATGGCCGAAATTTGGTGCACCGTAATACGTCAAGTGACTGAGGACCTTTCTTTCATTGCATCCGCATCCGGGGTCGAGGAATGGCTACAGATACTGGGGAATCATAACGACCAATCGCATGGTCGACTTCATAAACCCCTTCAACTTCTTCAGGCCCTTCAGAACCCATTAGATCCTTCTCAAACACAGTCGTCATCATCTTTTTCTCAAGACCAGCAACCATCCAACCTATGGAATAATTTGGTGTGAGCTGTTTTAGCAAGAAGGGGCTTTCGAAGTATGTATGCAAGGTAAATAAGATAACGAAATGTTCACTGGTGAAAAATAGCTTATTGAAAAGTGGTTGCGATGGATTGGTGCAGACGGTGCAGGTTAGTCCCTAGGAACCATTCTAATCAACATCTGCCACTGGTCACGTGACAGTTAAAATTACTCCGACTCCATCTTTTCCAACCATTTGACACCCCGAATTTTATCAAATACATACTTTTCGTACTTAAAATGGGACATTTGGTCTTGCTCTTAATTCTTCAATCTTCTGTCGTTAATTTTAGGGAGAGAACTGAAGTAATAGCCAAACTTGTTGTCCCATAATTTATGGTCAAGCTTCGAATATTTCAGCCTTTACAGAAATACATAAGTTACAATATCACGAATGCTTGCGATAAATTATCCATCTTTCTTGGAATGATTCCGCTTCCTTTTTTTACGCTAAAGCACTGTCTTTTATATCTGCTAGTACTCGATAGCGTGTAATAATGGTCTTTCAAAGCCTTTTTTGGTGTGCCAAAACTTCACACTGCCTATTTCCCTACAATTTCACCAGCGACATTGATGGCAATGACACACTAGTTCAAAGTGATCGAAATAATCGAAAACGTAATTCGAAAGTCATCTCGACCTGGATGCGTCCCTGCTCGGAATGAACCAAAGCATCATAAGACGTCCTGTATATCCATTCGCGTATCGCAAGTAGCGAAATAAATTAGCCCCCCATCAACGATTTACCAGAATTGCACGAGTTTTTCACGATTGTTTCCACAAACTTTTCCATGATAATCAATCACAACAAATAGCACATCAGTAGATTGATAATGACCAGTATTCAGTCAAAATGACGCATCTGGTATTACTCCAATACCGTTATAGGTCGAAATCACGTCGATCACGGTGATAGTACGTCATCCGTCGACAATTGGCAATCATCTTTAACGTCAACACTAATTTAGGACCGATAGATTAACAGACTGGAAGCTGAATTACTGCAAGTCCGATGGTAGGGACCCCACAAGCCGTTCAGGATTTGCACTCAGCACTCTTTGACTGTGGGCAAAAACGTCTAAGGCACACATCTCTTCTTTAAGCGCAATGGGAGGTGTCCAGCCCGTTCATTACGATCCGGAAACTGTCAAAGAGCTGACCCATGAGGTAAGTTGAAAAAGCGGACACGACTAATCCTGAAAGCAGCACAACGCCATGCTTGTCCTTGTTTTGTTCTTTCTCTTTTGTCGCATGTATACTAACTAACTTGCGTCTTTGTATAGCTTTTGGTAGCCTCTGGGATTGGCGCCTTGAGAGGCGCCGCTATCGGCATCACTACTGCGCTATTGATGAGGAGATTTTCCACTGTGTATAGAACTGTCAGAACCCAGGTCAGGGTTTTCTATCACATTTCCTGGATTTCCATGGGAGCAGTTTTTTACGCTGACAGGCAGCTCATTAAATTCCAGAACCGATACCATGAAAAAGAAGCCAAGAGAAGGTCGAGGATACTTGATGAAGCAGCCGACAGAGGAATTTTCCTGGAAGAAGACGTTACGGTGTCCAGCACCACGTCGTAAATGAAGAACCCACTTTAAAATTCATCAATTAATCGCTGGCGTTGGCGTATAAGATATAGAGCTTTGTACTCTTCACCACGCTACCGAACTGGCGATCTTGTATAATGTCAATATTACGTATTTCACACTCTTCAGTACCGTAAAACAGAACCAGATAGTCCAAAATACCAAAACAATAAACACTTCCAAGGCTCGATACAAAAAGGTTTTTAGCGGCTCCTTGTTCATGCGCCTTAGCGTGCCGAATCTGTCGATTTTTTCTTGCAATTTTTTGAGTCTCAGTGTCAATGTGGTGTTGATGTCACTTAGGACCCGGTCGCTTGAAGAGAGAAGACTTTCCACGCGAATCGAATAGTCGTTGAGTAACTTTGATTTCCAAATATCACAAGTTTTCAATACTCCAACCAGTTCACCTTGAAAATCGTCCAGTGCTTTCTCAACAGGCTCGCAAAACTTATTTGGGTCTTCAAAAGTGATCAATTCATCTTTTTTGGCACGGCGTGTTCGCAAGGTGTAGAGTGTGTCTTGCCGATTATGCATTACGTTCCAAGCGCAGCTCAGATACTTGAGGTCGTTGCATTGACTTTCGAGAAGGGTATTTTCTTTCGGAGTGGGCCTGAACGGACTCTTTAGCTCCAAAAACTCATACGGGGCCTGGTTGGACTCCGAACCTGCCGTGCTCGATGTATCAACATTGGATAGCCGTTTGAGACTTCGTATTTGGACATCGGAGGCATTGCGATGGTGGTAGGAAGGCCGTGTTGGCGGGGTGAGCGATAGTTGCTCATGACTTGCGTATCCCCTTCCATGTAAAGCACGGTCTTCAAAAAGATAGTGCGCACCAATGCCCTTTCCATGAAATTCCGGACGAGGCAACATTTTGTTTTTGGGTAATGCTTTGTCCCAAGAGCGTGCCGGTTGATCCGGTTCTTTTTGATCCACGCTCTCTATCGAAATCGAGGGCAATTCTAAGCCTGAAGCTGACACCGAAGCCATTGTTAGAGGTCCAGACTGAATTTCACCTGGTGTCACGCTGGTGTAGTCCTTGTAAAAATGGCCAGGGGAAGAATGAGAAGTGGAATGCGATCCTTTATCGTGACCTTTAGCAAACCATCGTTTACCATTTGGCCTGCGTAGATGCTCCCAATTGGTCATTCTCCAAGAGAGATCACCAGATTTTTCACTCACATCGACAAACCATGGAAAATTCCGTTCCGGTTGGTTGGAAAAGTCACGAATGGCTAAGATTGGAGGTTTCAAAAAGGCAACTTCATTACGCAGTTGATGATGTTGCTTCTTTTTAGCCTTACGATTTCGAATTACCTGTAGTGGATTGTATACCCCTTCCACGCCCTGATAAACGCCCCCTGTGCTATTCCCACTTTCCACTTCCTCCTCCATCAAATGGTAAAAAAAATGAATGTAAGAACGTACCCTATCAGCACGCACTCTACCACCTTTGGAGACATTTTGTACAGAGTGTTTGTGCTGGCTTTCGGCACTATTCCCGGCTTTTGCCAGCAATTCATTTTCAACGTTAAGGTCCTCCAACAAGCTGGATTTTGCGTCCATCAGAAACTTTGCCGTTTCCACAAGTCTCCCAGTACTGAAATGACTGGAGTCATGATTGTTCGTAGTGCTTTTGGAGACTTCCATACGCTATAATGAGGCATATGAGGCATTGTGGGGAACCTGTGAGCGATTCGTTAAGCCGACCGTTAAGCCTTAGCATCTTAATAAGTGCATTGAAGAGTTAAAGGCCCCGAGTACAGGTACGAACACGAGTACACACAGAAAGCATTTTGAATCTGCGAAGTGTGATCAACCAAGCTTTCAACGCGTAGCGTCGACAAAGTTGAAACGATGGTAAGGTGCTAAGGAATGATCGCAACGGATTGTGCCGATGCTGAAATTTCTTATTATTTTTGTCACTTTCTGATACTCCCCTGGCCAGTGGAGTAAACACTCAACTTGGAGATCAGACGCAGAAATACCGTGTTTTCAACATTTGGAATTCCACGCCCACGATTTTCCATCTTCTATTCGAGATTTATGAGGAAGATGTCGATGTCATCAGTTGTCAAATTTATTTCGCCTATTTCAGAATACAGAATCCGCCGAAATCAAACATGAGGCATCAATAAGGCCGCTGCAGCTAGTTCCAGTACGTCTTAATGGTATAATTTACATATTTGATCCGAAACTTGTGTACTAAGATCAAAAAAATGTAGATAGCCAATAAGTTGTGCAATTCTTGTCCTAAAAACACAGTTTTAACGGGAAAATCGCCTTCTGACCATCCCTGAAAGCCGCTGAAATTACAGTTAAATAAGCATCACAATCAAGTATACAAATAAAGATATAGAGTCTCGATTGTTATGGCAAAAGAGATGTCAGCGGTTGAGAATTTCCGAAAGTACGTGCGTATTTCGTCATTTATATATACATTTCGATCGAGGTCTGTAACTCAGTACGAAACACATATGAAAATCAAGATCCTATCTAGGCTCTAAATACAGTAAGCTCATCTCACCAGAAAGTTTCAACGACACAGCGATTAAGCTCCCTGTAGTGAGTCCCTTTCTTCCCAAATGCCTTGCTATTTTGCCATTATTGGTGCTAAAGACAATCCTATATACGAAGCGGAATTTACTAATCCTCACTTGAATCAATTTCCTCCGGAACTCAAGGAACTCAACCCATTTATACTGCATGCGTCGTTGGATATCTTAGAAGACCTGCAATGGCAAACACATCCCCAATCGGGGGCACATTCGGGAACGAATAGTGGGTTTCTGCGATCCAGACACTCATCGAGTAATAGTAACTGCTACTTGGGTAAAATTGACCATTTTTACGGCTTGGCCATCACCGGTTATCTCTCATATGGTAATATGAAATTTGTCATGGTTCACAGCGGAAATGCTAACAATGGGTCGCCTGTAGTGGTTGACGATGTTTCGGTGAAAAGCTTTTATCAAGAAGTGCATGAGCTGTACGTTAAGACTCTAATGAACCCATTCTACACCCTAAATGAACCCATCACAAGTCCTGTCTTCGATGGACGAGTGCGAGCACTGGCCAAAAAACTTTTGACGAAGTAAAAAGGGGATAATGGCTACGATACGGCGTTGAAGGAGTGCTTTCCACCTTGAAAAAAAATCACATTAGTATTATTAAAAATTGTTACACGGTCAAGTTTCGAAGCCTGAAACATTCATTATATTGTCGTGCCACTGGTTCCGTAACAGCGATTACCTGTCTCACGTCTTTGATGGTGCTAGTAGCCTGCTGAGGCCCAGAAGCAGGTCCTTGGTGTCATTGGTTAGCTGCTGTGCTATCACAGGAGTGGCAAAGACGTTTTCATTGATGTACTGAGTCAGATCCCTCAATTTTCGCTGCGAAGTTTCCGACAAAAGCTTCGAATTTGAGTGCAAAACATGAGATATTGAATACAGACGCTCCATTCGCATGCGCAGTTCGCGCTCCAACTTTGGGGTTGGGTCCAATGAGGCATCACTCAACGGTTGTTGCTGTAGCTCCTCTCGCAGTTTCTCGAGATTTCTTTTGAAATGCTCACATTCTGTGGTTTTATCCGGCTCGTCCAGTTCATGAATCCATCTTTTGATTTCGTCGTCTAGTGTATCGATCTGCTTTTGTAGAACCTCCAAATTTTTAGCATTTTGTATATTTTTCTCGTTTGGCAACTTGAGAAGCTGTTTCAGGGTCTTTCGTTTGGTCTTCTTTCGAGCCCTTTGACCGCTGCCGACGTCATCATCATCTTCGTCGTCGTCGAAAAGCGCTCGAAGTTCCGTATCCTCTTCTTGATACCGCGAATTCTCTTCTGCAGCGCTTTCTGTTGATTCTTCAACGTCCCAGTTAATGTCCAAATTTCCTTTTCGCAGATCATCCACGATCTCCTTTATGATGACCAAGGCAATTCTTTTTGGATCCACATATGACTCGCCCTGTATAGTTGATTTTTGCAGACTTCCTGAGTGCTCTCTCGTTTCCCATTTTCGCAAGCAACGAATGAAACACCAGCTGAAAAGCTGTCGTATTTGCAAATCTTGACCAAATGATGTGTTTGCAATGTGTCTGTAGAAATCGTGTTCCGGGACGTCCTTATGAGGAGAAATGATGTGACTATTGTCCTGTATGGACAGCATCGACAATCTGCGGCCCCTTTGCGCCAGCAGCGACTTACGTTTCTCCCTTCGTTGTTGGCTTCGCTGAGCGACATTACGTTGCATGTCGTTGTAGTAGTTGTATCCCGAGTAATTCGGGTAAAGCGGCGGTGGAGGCATCAGTTGGCTATTTTGTGGCGGAAGAGGGGGAAGAAAGGGTTGTGTAGAGGTGTTAGGGTAGCCCTGCGACGAGCTTACGAATTGTGGCATATTTTCTTGATCGGAAGCATGTACTGGAGACGCAGGTACCGGGTGTACCATGGGCGGCGCATAGGGATAATAGTACATATATGGCATGTATGGTGGTGCTTGTAACGGCATCATTGACTGTTGCTGCTGACGTTGAGAGTCTTGTGACGAAATTTGGCGCTGCGAACTGCGTGCCTGACGATCAAAATTCGCTGACGAGTTGAAGTTATCCATCCAACGTGCATTCTGCAGCTCTTGAATATTATCTAGTCTTTCGCCCAAACTTGCCGTTCCGGCATTATGTCGATGTTTATGACGTTTGAATCTGAACTCATCATCTCTCTCAAAACTGGAATGCTGAGGTCCTGGTTGAAACTCGTCCAATTCTTCACCAACATCATATTCCGCCTCCTGCGACATAACTACTCCATTGCGTGGTTTGAGCTCATCTGGAAACGGGAGTGTTTGCATCTTCAAGCCATGTCTTCGCTGTTGGGAGCTTTTTTGGCTCTGCGGCGAAAACGACTGCCGCTTTTCCGCGTTCATTGAACGACGCCGAAGTTCTTAGCTCTTGTTGAATCTCGCAGATCACTTTGCAACGTTCGCGAGAGTCGTGTCGAGGAGCTATGTGTGCGTGTGGTTTGAAAGTAAACAAATGTGACTTCCAATTTCGTGAAATTTGTGATTCCAGAGGTCACGCAGATATCACGCCGTTATCATGCTATAAGCGCGTGACCAAAGAAGCTGTTTAAAGGTAAAGAAACGCTTTTCCTTGTAGAGAGGCTATTCACCCAGTTCGATAGTATCAGTGGATGGGGTTTTTTTTGGCTTTGGAAATTTGACAAATTTCACCAAATACGGATCTTCTAGCGGTTTCTCGCTCTGTCTTTCTTTTCTCTCTCTATTTTCCGTCGTTCACGTTCCCGTTCTCTACCAGCCTCATATTTTCCCCAAGACAGCTTTTGACCATTCTTCCAAAAGGTCAGCGCACTTGGCCATTTCCAATTCCTGTTGTGAATCCGCCTTTTCGTCTGGAATCTGTGTCAAGACCCATTTCTCGCGTATATTGCGCGTCATCACCATAAGATCCTGAATCCCGCGTATCAATTGCGCGGTCTGTCCACTCACCATCATAAGACCACCAGTAGAAGTCTTTGACGTGGATTCGGGAAGCTCCTGTGCTCCATGTTCTTCGTCATCTTTCTCTGTGGAGATCGACGCATATCTGATCAAATTCGTCAGAGAATGCGACAATGTTTCCGTTGTGCGGTTCAGCTGCTCAAGAAGACCCTTGTCACTCATTGAGACAGCCCCTTTGTCGATGCGGTCAGTGATTGTTGGTGGTAGAACGTAGTAATAGTTGTAGTGTGATGTGTTGAGAATCTTATTGAAATGAGCCTGAGTTGAGAAGCATCCGTGAATAGTGACGTATTCGGAGCTCAGTTCCCACCTATCGCTGCTGATGCTACTTAATGTACAATATAAGTGTCTTTAGAGACTAGTTACCCGTGCTGCCAAAACCACCGGCACCTCTAGTACTTTCTTCGAGCGATTCAACCACGACCACTTCGGCATCATCCACAATGCGTTCCAGGATCAGTTGCGCAACACGGTCGCCCTTTTGAACTGAAAAATCTTTGTCTGAATGATTGAAGAGCACGATTTTCACTTCACCGGTGTAATCGCGATCCACAACACCGGCTCCCGTGTTTATTCCGTTTTTCACGGCCAATCCTGATCTGGGGGCAATTCTACCATATGTACCGACAGGAACCGTGAATGACACATCTGTAGAAACCATGCCCTGGCCTCTGCTAGGAATAGTAGTCTCTTTGGAAGCGTAGATATCGTAGCCCGCTGCAAAGATGGATCCTTTAGTTGGTGCCGTGGCGTCTTTGGAGCGAAGCTGAACTCTCAATGAAGTGTTCAGCTTCTGTTGTTTCGTGCTAGGTTCCTCTGAGATACTCATATTCTGAACTGATTGATGCCTATAGACAATTCAAATAAGTGAAAGCTGTGTTTTGAAAGACTGTCGAAGAGATTGTAGTAAATCATTGGTGGAAGCTTACTCTATATCATGTTGTAATAAATAGCTATAGGACTGCGACGCGTTAAGTAATTTCAAAAAAAAATATTAAATATATCTTTACGCGTCGCGTTGCTCGAAAATAGTAGAGCAGTCAATATGGTCTAGGCCCACAAGATTATGGTTGTCAGAAAAAACCCTTTCAGTTAGCAGTTGGATCAATCCGATGGTCATTTTCCTTTGGAACCATGCCGTCTTCTCCCAAACGCTCAGTTTGATTCGTCGTGTAGTCGTGCTCGCCCGAGGTATGCTGGCACACTAAACACTTCGAGACCTTCATCACAAGCGCAAGTGGTTTAGTGGTAAAATCCAACGTTGCCATCGTTGGGCCCCCGGTTCGATTCCGGGCTTGCGCATTCTTTTTATTGGCATTCTTGTCGAATATTGCATTTGAGGAGCTGATCCTCTACTTTTGTATTAAAACCAGCATAATTTGGTGTTGTTTACCCAGAGTATGTTCTCAGCTTTCACGTTTGCAACTCTGATGGCACTTAGGGAAGGGTTTTCCTGATACAAATTAGAAGGTTTTTCCACTTTTTGCAAAAACGTCATAAAAGAATTGCTCCAGTCTTGCTGCCCCAGTTCGGTATCCCAAAACTGCAGAAACTCTACCCCGTGTTTCTGGGCTTCTTGGACAGCGCGAGCTATTAGTTTCTTCAAATTCAATTCCTTTTCAGCCGCCGTTTCTCCACTGTTATGCAAATTCAAAATGTACAGGGATCTCTGATGAGGCCAGTAATTCAAATGCCATATAATATGGCTCCCATTTTCTAGTGAGTAACCAAACTGCACCTGGCTGTCTGGGTCCAAAAACTTTTTTTGAAACAAGGACCTTTCGTGGAACAACTTGTAGATGTCTTTGGAAGGCTCCAATGTGAACACAAAAGATTCTGGGTGGTCGGAATGCGCTTTTTGCACATCCCCGATAAATGCTTGTCTTTCTAGTTCTATCAAATCGTCCCCACAGTCGTAACCCAAGTGGGAGCCATCTTTGTTGTCGAGGCTGTCGCCACCGCAATACGCCTCCAGAACTTCGTCCAGCTTCTCAACCGTGTGCAAAGGCGCGGGACGTGAAACGTAGCCAAATTTGCTGTAATATTCACCCACTTCACTGAAAAGAAAGATGACAATGTTTTGCAACAAATCAGGCGCGTCTGGAGCGCTGGAAATGCCATCGTAATATTCGTTGAGTCGAATCATCATTTCAGCAGCATATTTCCGGCCTCGGTATTCCGGAATTGTGAAAACGCCTCCAATACATGCCGAAAGCACAGGTCTCATGGCGCCCTGCGACTTTGGCGTTACTGCCCATCCTACACGATTCAGCGTTTCGCAACTGGAAACGATCTGGGATGTCTTTGAAGTGTGCGGCAAGCCCAGGTCTTTCAACACGAAGTACTTAATTCCAAGGTACTGGCTAGCTTCAGGGAATCTATTTTGCATTTCCAAAGACCCATCCGCACTTGAAATATCACACGTACCTAAGATATGTTCCCTCTCAACGTAATCCTTCATAGTCATGAACTCCGGTTTCCATGTCTTCCCATTTTGCAGATGCGTAAACCTTATCACTTCAGGATCCACAACTGGCTCGAACACCAGGTTTCTATTTTCCAAAAGCATCTTTTCCCGTAGAATTGAAAGCACGAACGATGGAAGCCAAACCACTACCTGATCTATCAAAGAGTTTCGCACAAGTCTTGAAGTTGAAATGGATATCTCGAAACCTATAGGGCTTTTATAGTTATCGGTCTCGAATGAACTGTACTGCTACTTTTACAGGATGGTCTCAGCCTCTAACGATTGTATCAATGTTTCGCGTTTATTTTAGGGAAATGAGTCACATCCTTGCACGTACGACATGAGCAGCCAGCGTCACAATCTAATAATATGATACCACCAATTACTTGGTGTCGGTCAAGAGCGATCTACGAAATTCGTTAAAATCAGTGATCTGTACCAGTGGGACAGCAGCGATAACCTTTCCATTCATTCCATTCAGTGAGTTTAGTTCACCAACACTGCTCTTGGATCTCATGGAGGACACCAATGTCTTGAATACTTCTTTCAGCGCAAGGTTACAGACTTTCAACGTCTCACCGTTGGATATGAAGTGCTTCAGAAGGTCTTTAAGCAACCGCTGCTGATTGCCCTGCGACGCTTCGACGATTCTCTCTAGCTCCGATTTTGGAATACGTAGTCCCTTGACCTTTAAGTAGCCCTCGACCTGCAGATACAGCCGTTTTTGCGAAATCTGTTGTGCACACATTGGGCTCTCAACCATGATCGAGAGTTTGCTTCTTGTGCTTGAATATATCGATATCTTCTCACGGAAGAAGCTTGTGTATTGCTTTAAAGTAAGCGTTCTCAGCATAGTTGCATCGATGGGCTCGGAATCCATGTCAAAATTGTACCTGCGAGTAGAGATTTGTTGTCTGATGCGTTTGTGCATTCGCATTGAGGAACCCTGTTCTGAAACATTTCCACTCCGCACATTAGCCTCGATTTGACCCATGACGTCAGCCGGCCCAGCCGTACTCTGTAATTTATTGACCGTGTTCCGTTTACACATCATCTCAAATTTGTCCACGTACACTTTTCGAAAATCTTCCTCTGTCATTGTCTCAAGCAACTGAAGCTCCATGTAAGAAAGGTACTCGTCAATTTGGGCCTCCAAGTATTGTGAAGGAGAAACCGACATACAGGTAATATGGATGCCAACAGTCGTAGATAGAAGTCTGAGCCCTCCAAAGATGGCATATCCAATTTGTTTCTTGATGCGCATGTCTGGTACTAAAGTAACGGAAAAAATGTACTCTGTGAGACTTGTGAGAGTGGAAATACGTATGTCTTCACGGTCTCCGGTCTGAATGAAATATACGATGCTATTGTTCGGATCTTCTGACGAGCCTCGGTGTTTGATATAATAGTTAGTTCCGGGGATGAGCGGTCGCGCCACAGGCTCCTTAACAAAGCTCCCAGTTTCAGTCGGAGGGTTTCTTTTTAGCTCAGATTCCAAAAAGTCGTAAATTGAGTCGGCGGAGACAAGATCGCCCTGGATGAATAAATTCAAGTAGATCGATTTCGACAAAAACTCGTTGCAAAAGGTACGGAAAGAAACAATGTCTATTTCCTCGAGCGCTTCAACACGGTCTTCTACCGACCACATACACTCCTCTAACATTATGAGCAGTCCTAGCGTGGCTAGAGCAGCGCAGTTTTCAGAGATAGCATCCTCATATTGCGTCCGGACTGCGACCCTCGCCTTGCGAAACGCAGGTTGCGTTATGCGCTCTTCCACTTTTGCAAGGTCTGCAAGCCGACGAATTATCAGTGTTATTAATGTGAAGACGCCCTCAGGAAACCCTGTAACAGTAAATCCTAGTCGCACATCGCCTTTGTTTGAAGCGAACACCTCGTATGTATACCCTATTTTTTCGGCAGGATAGAGCTCGGCGGAAAGAGATGCTGCCATCAGCTGACCCAGAACCTCAAGATGCATCGTGTTGGAAGGAGACCCTCCAATTTCTTTGCTGATAATCTCGAAACTTACCATCGTCTTGGATCTAAACGATAAATCAAGTTCCTCCTCCTTCACCCACATTTCACAGGTCAAGCTCTTCTTCACTAAACGTGGAGCACTTTGAATTAGGTCTCTTCCGGCCACAAGCGATAAAGAAGCTTCCTGGGCACGAGTAGATGACGCCGCAAGAGCTTTTTTTATCAAATTCAAACTCTTTCCTGCAGAGGGTAGAAAAGCACCATATCGGGGAGCATCATAAAAATAGCCCGGAAGAGGTTCGCCATGACTGGGAATCTCAAACATGTCGATTGAGGTCTTAAAATAATCAAACTCAAAGTAGACATCAGTTTGAGTTAATGAATAGATCGACTTGACGAAAGTCGAGCTTGAATAGTCCCCCAGCATCACTAGTCGCACATTTTGGCGATTCACGAAGTCACTGATAAAATTTTGGAACATGATAGCTTGCCCAGTCCACCAGGTTTTGCTTTCAGTAGATCCCGCAAACTCCTCTATAGGTGACCCTACCCTGTTGCAATCGAGAATTGGCGAACCTTTGAGTAGGCACTCTGGCTTAAGAGCCTCCATATCTAGAAGCATTCTAGTGCTATATTCAGCACAAAGTTCCATGGGAGATACTTCTGTACCTTGGTATAAAAACTTTAAAAGGTCGATGGCATTGAGGTCACTGAGATACTTTGCAAGACTTTCTGTTCGGTCATGAATAAATTGAGGAATGTACTCCTCGAATAGAATCTCCAGAACTGTTGGAATACTTTTCCAGCCCAGCTGTGTGAGTCCCAACTCAAGTGTAAGACCATCCTCATCGGTAGCGAACTCAGACAGTGATGAGGTAGCCGACGTGATGAAATCTTGAAGTCTAAGACGGTGTGCAAAAGATCCTACACTTTCCTCGCCAAAAATATCGCACCAAGCGCGGCTCAAGTGCATCACAGCTGCCGTTGAAAGTCTGGTTGATTTGTGACACACAGGGAAAACAAGCCTAATAATTGGCGATCTCGTAGAGTTTATAACAATAACGTTTGTATCGGAGGTGAAAATATTCAAGTCTCCGTACTTTGGAGCCCATTCCTTTTTGGCAATCTTAGAGCTGGACAATGGTGATTTACTTTGAGAGATCCTAGATCTGGAAGACGAAACAGTTCGCAAATTAGGCCGTAATTGTGAAACTACTGGTTCCCCTCCCACTCCGTCGCTCCCAAAGTATGTTATCAACAGTTTGGTAAGTGCATTCAAAGAGTGAGAACTTCTGATGCATATGGTCATATTCGAAGGCCGATAGGACGTTTTAAATAACGTGGCCAGCGAGTTTTTCACCGGTTTCCGGTGCAGTAGTGGCGCACTTGTGAGTGTTTCGAAGTTTCCGGTGCAAAATCTGCTGAAAGGATGCTTTGTATTGGCTAAAAGGCGGATTGCATGATACATTTCTTTGTTAATAGAAGCCTTATTCACATTATGTTCACTTTCGATAGCATATATTTCTCGATTTATGACCGCATCTGTGAAGATCGGGCTGTTGAACGATGATGCAAAAGCGTCAAGAGCCTTTTCGAAAATCAACTCATCGCGATCATTGATCGCTGGTAGCTCAAAATAAAAAGTGGTATTTTCGCCAGTTGTGTAAGCATTATGGGAACCTCCATTGTGGGCGATCAACTCATGATAATGGTTACCATTAGGATATTTTTTGGAGCCCGAAGCTACCAGGACATGTTCACACAAATGTGCTAACCCAGGAATTTCCGGCGGGTCGTTGTGCGACCCCGTAGCCACGGTTAGACTACATGAAGCCAAAGTGTCAGTAGGACCTGATATCAGCAGAGCCATGAGACCATTCTCAAGCTGGCATATTTTAGTGCTGCGATCAGAACATGAAATGGGCGCGTAGAACGGTACCTCAAAGTTTGTCACCATGTCGCAACATGCAACGAGGATAGACTGGGGATACCTATCATTCTGCTGCAAGTATGTAGAAATACTGAGTACTTATTTAACATATAGATATTGAGTATCTTTTTTGAGGTTTGGCTGAGTAGTTGCACCCTAAGAGATGGTAATGTTGTCAAGAGGAAGCATGTTTTATTGAAAGAACCTAAAAAGGATATTAAATACACTATGATTCAAAAAAATCTCCCGGGGGCGATTCGAACGCCCGATATCCAGATTACAGTGTTAACATTACAGTCTGGCGCCTTAAACCAACTTGGCCACCGAGAGGACTCTTGAATGATGAAAAAGAAATTGAATATATAAGAGAGAGAGAGAGAGAGAGAGAGCCAGGTTCATGAGATCACTCGTACCATTGGAAGACACGTTGAATCAGGAACCTATTGGACATCGTTAGCCGTCTGGATGAAGCTTTAGTATGCTTTTATGGATCTACGATGATTTGCTTGACTTATCTCTACGGCGTGTGCTAAACATTTGATAAATTCCTGAGATGGGAAGGTGATGTCTGGAGGGATTCGAAAGATATGCACGAGAGCACACAACTGGCTGTGGAGAAAGGCGTTGGATGACTGGTGATGAGAAGAGTTATCTTCGACGGGGTATGCTATGTGCCAAATGAAAAGTGTACAGTCATTGAGCAGGAAGCGCTTGGGAGAGAGTTTGGAAGAAACCGGAAAACTGGCTCGATCATAGCTGTCATCCCAGATGACAGCGATTAGACACATCCACGATTGAAGATATCGTTCCAAGCCTTTAGTTTGACCAAAAATGAAGGGTTATCGACAGCGTCTGAGTTCAGGAGCGCTTACTTTTGTAAAGAGAGCATTGGATCTTCAATAGGCTCTGGTTTTCACACAAAACACCATTGTCTCACTGGCCTTTGAGTTTTCAATCAAAAAAACACTGTCTTGCAATGGTCTGTATGAGTTGCCGCACTACAGGAATGTCAGCGTACATTTTTTGGGATTCTCAAATTCAGTTCTCGATGCAAACTAAATGTAATTGTGGTGGAGTTTCTAACAAGTTGACGACCAAAAGGAAGGTCATTTAATGTTATCTGGTGGAAGAAGCGGACAATCCTGGCAGTAACAAGTGCGATTCAATCCCTGAACCACGGCGTTTCCCTCGTTTTCTCACATTTTACTTGTAAATGTACTTGACATGCGACGCAACGCTTCTACAGCTTTCCTAGCAATGAATTGCAGAAATCATCATCGTTCACGTGATCGATGCGAATGTCGAACGTATCACCTCTTAAAACCTTCGATAACAACCACCGTCACCACTTTGTTCTTGCCGTTCTAAACTCGAGTCTGATGTATCTATGACACAGTAGTCTCAACATCAATTGGCTGCTCCAATTAATCTTTTCGTTGTTGGATTACAACTATTTCTACTTCTTCCTTCCTCCCACAACCGAATAGCGCAATCTGAAGGACTTCAATTCGTGACCCCACACACTTTGTTCTCCCTACAATGGCCTTCAACCCTAAAACCCAACGATTGCCATCTCAGTCACACTCACACTCACACTCACACTCACGCACCATTTTTGTTAAAGCTCTTCTTCATCGCGTTATTTTCAACGTTCATCAACGAAACGCGTAAGCTCTTGTCTTTCAACATTTACGCGAAACTATTTAGCTATTACGAGGCTTGCTTCACAAGGCTAGCTCTACCTTTTTGTCTGTAGTTCCAAAAATTAAAATACGCCAAAATTTACGCGTCAGGGAATCGCTTAATTTCGATGCCATAGGATACCACACGAGAAAGACACGAGAAAAACCACGAAAGTGTCAGTAGAAAGCACTTTTTTGTAGTTTAACTGGCTCGAGCTGACCTGTTCAAGCTATAAACGCGGAGTATACCCAGCAACGCGGTGCCAAACTGTTTTTGGGACGTGAAATTTAGCGCCAAAAAAACCCGTAACGCGTTTGCGTTAGTGGTGAGCAGGAGGCTACGGAAGAGAATACAAGCAGAGTGGCAGCCTTGGGTATATTTAAACTGAATAGTAGAGGTGGCGGAAAGAACACTTCGATTTAAGATTCCATAAGATAGATCCGGTGGTGGGAAGCTGACGATAGAACATAAGTTGACGCGTCCGTAATATGAGCGATCTGATGAGAAGTCGTACTTATAGTAATGCTGTGACGGACGAAAACGCACAAGTGACAGACTCTTCCAACGGCAATAAGCCGGCCAGGAGAGCCAAGACGATGGCAGGAGCTTCGTGTGTTGAGGCACCACGCAGAGAACTTGCAGAAGTGCAAAATTGGCAGGCTCAGGCATCGCAGGACGATACCAAGCTACCAGTATTGGCTTCAACGCAGCATTCACCAGCATCACAAACACAACCACATTCCCAGGAAGAGCCCCAACGAAAGAAACAGAAAATATACACAAGCGATGACGAACAAGACCAGGACACCAAAGAACCACAGGAACCGAGCGTACAGAATGTAGCAAGTCGATCCAGACTGTTTGGAGAGTCCCTTGATGAGAGGGAAGAAAAAGACGTTTGCATGGTGGTGGAATACTCAGAAGACATATTCGAACACCTTTACCAACGTGAGAGGCAGATCTGCTCATCTTACAACTACGTTAAGTCCAAAGAGTCTCCAAAATATCTAAGACCATCGCTGCGAGCCATTCTCATCGATTGGCTTATAGAGGTGCATTTGAAGTTCCAATTGCTTCCAGAAACACTGTATCTGGCAATTAACATCATGGATAGGTTTATGGCTAAACGTAAAGTCTCGATGGCCAAGTTGCAGCTTCTAGCGGTAAGCAGTTTGCTTATTGCCGCGAAGTTCGAGGAAATAAACCTCCCCAAACTCTCACAATACGCATACATCACTGACGGCGCCTGTACTTGTCAAGACATCAAAGAAGCAGAAATGTACGTCCTTACAACGCTCAATTTTGATGTTGGCTGGCCAAATCCGTTGAATTTCTTGCGCAGAATATCCAAGGCCGATGACTACGATTTTAAGATTAGAGCCGTCGCCAAATATTTTATGGAATACGCCATGTGTTGTCCCGAATTCGTGGACGTCATACCATCCCGCATCAGCGCGCTAGCTACATATTGCGCCAGAGCCAGTTTGGGCATCAAGATAAGATGGAACGAAGCCTCAGAGCGTTACAGCGGTGGCATCGACCCATTGAACGACCTAACGTTCCAAACCGATTGCCGCACACTAATCAAAGAAATCCATAATCCAAGCACACAACTTAAAGCGCTAGAGCTCAAATACAAGAGCAGAGCGGCAGATAGCGTTTTTGACCCAGCGAAGGTGTGGTGCGACGTAATCGTGGCGAGCAATTTCGAAGGGTTGTTCTAAATACAAAGTTTAGTCATTTGCATAACAGTAATTAATAGAAAAGCATTCATCCTTACCGCCCTAAAATTTGTTTTTTGGGGAATTCAGTCATTGTTTATTATTTACTACTGCCTATGTAGGTTGATTCGAAATCCCTGCTTTCTTGAATTAAACTCGATACATTATTCGCGGTTATGCTAAATTACAATTAAGACTGTGAAGGTGTATCAAGACTGGTTTTTTGATCATCACCTAGAACTGAAATTAGCGGAGGAAACTCGGAAACAATTGAGAATAAACTTTCTTATTCCTGTTTCTTGCTTCCTCCTGTGTATGTGTGTGTGTTTGTTCCGTTTTTGTTTGTTTTTTTTTTGTTTACCACTCTGGAACTACAGGTAAAGGGTATATTCAACCAGAAGCTTAGAGCGTGTCGATAGTTGTTGTCAATCTTCTCACCTTGATCATTCTGAAGTTTCATGCAAAGTCATGATGTCGTAACCGTGGGCAACAACTTTTTTGGCCCACTGTCTTGAAATAACCGATGCTTTCATGAACTTTCTGGATGCGTATTTCTTGAAAAATTCATCATGAATCACAGGCTGAACCAAATAGTCCATCACCATGTTGCACACGGGAGCGAGCTCTTCTCTTGTGTAACCGCCGCTGTAATGAATCAGATTACCATCCCATTTTCCCTTTCCCAACATTTTTCTTGAAAGAAACATTGCCGTTGCAGCACATAGGGACGGTAAAACTCCGATGAATCTGAAATCAATTACTGATATTTCCAAAAGGTATTTCGCAAGCGTTCGAGATTGTATATCGTAATCATCTGCCTTCGAAATCCTTCTTAGAAAGTTCATTGGGTTGGGATAATTGAGATTGAACTCGAGTGTCTTTAAAATAAACTTTTCACCTTCTCTTATTTCATCTTCATCGCATGCACCATCAGTTTCGTATGCAAAATGCTTGACGCTGGGCGAGTAGACTTCCTCATATTTAGAGGCAATGAAAAGACATGCAGTGCCTACTAGTTGTAGCTTTTCTAGTTGTACTAGCTCTTTACAGAGAAATCTGTCCATGATATTCAAAGAGAGATAAAGTGTCTCCGGAAGTAGCCCAAATTTATTGTGAATCTTAACCATCCAGTTTACTAGAATATCTCTGTTTTGTCGAATGTTACTGTGTTTGTAAAGATCATGGCGGTTGGGCAATGTCATTATTTCGAGTTTGTGTAAATATTCGAAGATTTCTGTGACGTATTCGCTGACCATAAACGGGTCACTGGCGTCTTCAGCATCAAGATCTTCCCACTCATACTCTGTACCCTTGGCGCACACCTTGAACTTCTTAGGTTCATCATGTTCTACCACCGTCGATATTGGCCTTTTTTTGCTAACATCGCCTAATGCTTCTGCAAGTTCATCGGGATGTTGTTCATTGGCATGTTCTTCATCCATACTGCTTGGAATTTCTGTTTGCATCACACTACTGTGGTCCGCATCCTTGAGCATTGTTTGGTTCGTGCTGTAATTGAGCATGTCATTGGAACTCGATATCGATTGCGGTTGAGACAGCTGTTGTTCTTCATCAATACTGGGAAGTTTCCTAACATACGGGTCCATGTTTTCCTTGTCAACTTCTGATGAAGTTGCACTTGTGACATTTGTGGTGCTTATGGAGCTCATACTGGACCGATTTGGGTTTTTTGAAGTTACTGACGAGCCTTCTAGTTCATTTTCCTCACGTCTCGCTTGTGGAATCAGAGAGCCGGCTGATTTAGCATTTTGCAGCCTGTACCTTGCGGTGCGTAGCGCTTTACCCAACGAGCGGGCACTCGAATTCGATGTTTTTGCTTCTTGGGCAATGGTGGTGTTTGTAACATTGTTTAAGGCAGCGCGGGTGGACTTCAATGTTCGCGGTCTGGCATCGTGGGAGTTTTCATTGGGCACAAAAGACATGACTGGGCAGAGATGCTATTTTTTACAACCGGCTTCTGCTGGGGAAAAGGATACGACGAACAGGTTGCTGCTATGAAGAAAAATGTAGATTTCTAGCTCGCTGGTTGCTGACAGCTTGAGATGTTCGCCAGATACTGGGAAATGCAAGCTTCGAACTAGAGGGACGTTGAGAACGTTTTGGAAAGTTAGAATATTAAATTCTTCTTGACACACACACACTTGGAACCTTGACCAGTGATAGAAAAGCACAAAGGAGAAACGATTCAGATTCAGGACCTCACCAATGCGTAGATCTTGAAAAATGCTTATAAGTATATCTCAGTTTGCAGGGAAAAAAATCCTACTATCTTGAACAAGCAAAGTGTCTGCAGTTTGTTTCTGTGTCTGTACGATGTTTCCGTTTTGCCTGAATCGGATTCCGCCCACAGACTTTCGGTGATCTTTGTACCACAGGAATACCAAGTCCAGAGGTTGGATATGGCAGAGATGCTTTTAAGATTTACCAAACCAGGGATTCAAAGTAGTGAAAAAACTCTTTGGGGATGCTGACGTACTGTTCCAGCGTTTCCGTATCTGGCCTTTTGCTGTGTGGGAGCCTGTTTGTGTGTTTGGATCTTTCCGGCTTGGGTTCGACCACGACCAATTAGGGCTAACGTCCCTCGAGCATTTGTTGATGTTTACCCATTGCCCTATTAGGAAGTCGCGATGAGCTGTTGCAGTAATTCATTTATATTGGCGAACAGCGGTCAGCTGACCGCTCTGGAAACGGAGACATAAGACAACCTGTGCGTGGGAACAGAATCCGTTATGGGTGTGAAATGAGTTATTGTGACGTCCGATGTTGGAAAACGGGGAGATTGTGGTCCTTGTTATGAATGCATATCACTGGTCTCCCTTGAAATGCCAAAATTGTGGGACTCATCGTTAGGCGGGAAACAGATCCCCACTAGCACCGTTGCATTGGCCTGAAGACTCACAAACGATAGCACGTCGCGTTAAAGCCTAACGAAGCGGCACCCTTTTTATGACTAGTTCAATTGGATAGTAGCGCTTGTCTTTGTTGCGGTTCCGAGAGAACTCGTCCTTGTTAGCTCAGTTGGTAGAGCGTTCGGCTTTTAAGCACCGCTTGCAAGGAACCGAAATGTCAGGGGTTCGAGCCCCCTATGAGGAGTTCTTTTACTTTTTGGCATTTTTGGCTTTACTTCCCTGAGCTTTCAATGGGCCTTTTACAGATACTGAGAAAGTCAGTTTATTTATGCTTGTATGCGCGTCTGTTGCGTGCGAGATGTATCACTCAGGGGTTTCAAACGTCCAACTTACACTAAATGATTCCCAACTGGCCCTCAAACGTTGCTCACCTCAGTAATACAAAATTGGGAGTTCTTTATAATCCATTGCGTCCGGTTTGATGCAGATTTGAGTGCCAAACCTGCGGTTTGGCTTGCTTTATGAGTGGTATTGTTGGTGATCGTTAAGGTGCGTCTGTTAATTGGAAAGTGTCACAATTTTCCAACGACGGAAGCGTATGAAGTGACTGTGGTAATGACAATGTTAAAGTAGGAACACTACCAATAGCTGGTAAGTCAGCAAAGTCAAGTTCATTCTTTCACCATTATCTGCGACCAATCATCGTAAGCGTTAAAGATTTAGTTTCTGCATCGTATCGCTATTTTTGTAATAACGAGGGTATATTTATGTACATGGAAGAAGCTTGTCTGGTACCTGCCAGCCGTCGGAGGTGAACAAATGAACGGATCTCATGAGTGCGTTGGCCTTTAGGTAACAGCGAGTCAGTTTAGCAAGTTTATACAGGAGCAATCGAGCCAACATGAAAGCATCAATTCTTTCACAACGGAGTTGCAATATTCTCGTAGAGACTTTCTGGGTTTCTGATTGCTTTGAGATCAATGTAACACGTTACTTCTGAGTATCGTCAACGAGACGCAGCTCTGGATACTCTGGAAGCCGGCCTCTGTAATCGATCACATTAGGTCGCTGTGGCATCATCGTGCTAAATTTCGACAGAACCCAAGCAAACTGGTTTAAGAGCCATACTGCAGGCCTCGAAGACACGAAAACCAAAGATAAAGCTGTCGAAGGGATCTGTTGATACTCTTGAATGAAGGGCTTCATTTTGTTTTCGTAATTCCTCAACGCCTCCCCCATATTATCACCATGTTTGGTGAGCTCACCTGCCAGCGTGTACGCTCCAAGGAGCGCTAGGGTCGTTCCCAAACCGGTGAAGGGACTCGGGCCGTATCCTGAATCGCCCACAAGAACAGTTCGGTCTTTGAAAAGTGTTTTAAGCTTTATCTGGCCCAATTTGGTGGCATAAAAGTCGTCTGTACTCTCAATGCCCTTCTGAAATCGATCCTTTTGCCATTCAAAACCGTCGAGGATCGCAGTAAAAGCTGCTTTTTGAGCGGCGATGGATTGATGGTAACACTCGTCCAGCTGAGCAAAATCACCCCTCAAGAAAAACAATACACCAGTAGTTGGCCTATCGCTTGGTCTGGTAAAGACCATTTTGCGTCCCGTGCTGAAGAATACTTTGGCAATACTGCCCTCATTTTTGATCCCTGGGATGCTGAAGTACGCACCGTGAATACCCAATGGATGAAACGACGCGGCACTGGCTTTCTCCCCAAACATCATACGTCTGGTGCGTGAAGCCTGACCGTCCGCGCCAATGACTAGATCGTAACGGCCGCCGTACTTGCCCGACGAAAACGTGACGTCGACGGGACCCTGTGGGGTCTGATCTAGTTTCTCGACAGTTTCCCCGAATTTGTACTGCAAGCCCTGTCTGTAGCCCTCGATACTTTTCAGCTTTGTATCCTGTTCGATGCTAGCATCGTACAGCACACCGACAAAATCTCCACGCATCAGTTCGAATTCGCTCGTTAAAGTGAGTCCACGTTCGTCAGAGGGGCTGACCCCAAAGAAAGCTACTTGACGGTCATTAGCGTCTACAACTTCAAGCCCTGTCTCGTTGACACAGCAAGCCTTGACTCTATCCAAAAGGCCCATCTTTTCAAGGATGAAAGGTGCTTCGTTTTTTAGGTCAATTTGCTGCCCAGCGGCACGTAGTGTGGATCCACGTTCCATTATAGTGATGTTGTGTCTGTGATTTGCTTTTTGGAGGAGGAAGGCTATGGCTGGACCGCAAACGCCCGCACCAACAATTAGTATGTTGAGGGGTGTTTGGATGCCCGTTGTGAGTACATTAGAGGGCACCATGTGTGATCAATTAGTGGTATTGATAACTCGTAAAAGTACAGGCGAGGGGAAGGACATTGTCTAACACGCTACTTATAAGCTCAGGTAGGTTCTCTTCATTTTCAGAACATCTCGTTGTTGTAGGATTTTTAAGTGATGATCTGAGGGCGACCTTGAGAACAACATGGGTGCAGTCAGTACAGTGAATTACAGATACTAGCGTCATAGGGTGGCATGGTGCAGTACTATGCATCAGCTGTGGGTGTTGAAATGCAGATTAGACCGTCTTTTTGTTTGTTATCTCCGACTACCTCCATGAAGTAGCCCATCGCATTCATCATGTGATTACGGTCCTTCAAGTTTTTCAAGTTTGTTTCTCACAGGGTCTAAAATAAACAAATCCGTGAAATGGGGTCACGTTTTTCCATGAAATGAGCGGTTTGGTTTTGCATAGTGTGATATTAGTTATCGGTGGAATGAGAACATGGAATGTAAACACGGCACTCTGATACCGAGATCTCTTGCTACCAAGGGAGAAAATAGTGACTGGACTCTGATTAATAGGGTGCTGAAGACTCTCAAAACAGACATGTTCAACTAGTTATGATATCCTTTCTTATATATTTCCATTTGTTCACGTGACTCCTCGAAGCTAAGAGAAAAGTAGTGGATGACACACAATACTCAGGAAGTTCCTATAACGAGCTGAGCAGCCGTTCTCAACCTTGTTGAAAGAAGGAAAGGCCCTGGCACTAGCTGGCATGTTATAAAGTACTGCCCCCCGGTAAACGTAGAAAGAGCAGGAACTCAGGGAGTTCATTTTAGTATGTAGTCAAAAGAAGTAGGGCGACTTTCAGCGGGGAAATTCCATTTTGACCACCCCTAGCATCTTCATGGACAATTCTTTGCACTTCCTGTCCATGGAAAACGCAAGACGAGCTTTGTTTTCGACCACTTGAAAAATGTGTCACAACCTTCGACGACGCTGACGTATGTAATGATATCTCTGCTGTGAGTCCGTTTACCAGGGGGATTCGATGCAGAGCTATGTAGTATCATCAAGCCAGCGACCAATGGAAATCGCACAGAATTTTGCATTTTTCAGGGCTGTATCCTTCACATTCAAGTCTGGGAACAGAAGGTTGGTGATTTTCCATTTTCATTGTTTTAGCGACCTATTTGCACTTTAAGATGCCTTGGACAAAGTGTTGGAAAAATAGCTTTCACCACGCGACTTTTGAAATAAATGACATGCATGAAATCTGTACAACCGATCTTCTACTTTGCCCATCGATCTTGTTCAACCTGTTAATTGTAAAATCTACCTACACTACAACGGCCCCTCTATATCACTCGAAAAGATCGGTGAGATCGAAATTTCCCTCCGCATCCTTCGTGTACACGCCCACTTCCGTAACAATCCCATCTATAAGCTCGTGGGGCGTTACGTCAAACGCTGGGTTCCAAACTGACACACCCACGGGAGCCACTCCTACTTTTCCGGCCATCGGTTTGCCGTCCCCGGACAGTTGTGGCTCTCCAGTAGCACCGTCAATAACGGTTCCTGCAACGTGTTTAAACTCGTCTGCCTTCCGTTCCTCGACTACTATGCCCGCACCCGTTTCTGTAACGCTGTCTATTGTGGTCTTGGGAGCAGTTACGAAAAACTTGATGCCAAACTGCTTGCAAATGAGGGCCAGCTGATATGTGCCTATCTTGTTCGCAGTGTCCCCATTGCGCACGATCCGATCCGCACCCACAAATGCCGCCTTGATGGGGATATCGCTCGTAGCTATGCGGTAGGTGATTGAACTGTCGGGAATCAAAGTGGCAGGAATGTTGTCGTGCACGAGCTCGTAGGCGGTTAATCGCGAACCTTGATTGTAAGGACGAGTCTCCAGAGGGAAAACATGAGTCATCTTGGCACCCCCACGGTCCACTTTACGTTTTTTGTCGGAGTTTTGCTCTTGGGAAAGCTGAGCACTGGCATCTTTCCACAGTGAACGAATCACACCTAGAGCGGTACCGTAGCCAGATGTGGCCAACGATCCCGTATTACAAATGGTTAGAACAGCAAAGTCTTGGTCAAAACTTTCACTCTTCAATTGTTTTAGCAAAAATTCAGCACCGTTATTGCCCATTTTCACATTGTTCGAGAGATCATCGTCAATCAGTTGGCACACGAATTCGTAAAGTTGGCGACGGAAGGACTCGAGAGTGTCGGAATTCTTCAAGATCTTTTCGATTTCAGAAAGAGCATTTGAAAGATTCACTGCAGTGGGTCTACTATCGAGTAGAAATGCCAGCCTCTGCTTCAAAGTTGAACGGATCCTGTCGAAATCACTTGTATCGTAGAAAGTCTGTGTTTGAGTAAAATTCTCATTTCCTAATAGTTGAGCTTCTGAGAGTACCGAAAGTGAGCCGACGATGGCAATAGCAGGTGCACCTCGTACTTGCATCAATTTGATAACACGATAACCATCGTCAATGGTATTGATCGGGACGTATGCGGTGGTGTACGGCAGCAACAATTGATCCAAAACTTTGACTGACACATTTTGTAGATCCGATCTATCGAAGAGAATAGCCTCCAAGGACATTTTGATGATCAGGTAGAACTCTGGTGTGGAGCGGATCGAAGTTCGTCGACTGAAAGATCGATTTGGCTCAATTTGATGATGCTTTGCATCACCGTAATGTGAAAAGAGCCACTTTCCAGAGATCACGTGAGTAGCATCGCAACGACTACTAGCCAAACGGAAAAGTGGTAAGCGCGCGCGCGCTGACGTTTTCAGCTGATACTTCTGCAACTATGAGAAAACTCAACACCTGATTTTGTTCACTTCCCACTTTTTTTCGCGTGATCTCTAGCTTTATATTTGATGTCTGGAACCACCTGGTAATATTCCAAGAGCAGATTGTGACATGCACTGGGAGCGCTTTCTATGGCAGAAAATCTCATTATCCTACAAGAGACATTTGCGCTTCGTCCCAAACCCAACGAATACATTTTACCTGTCGTCATATCATATTCAGATTAAACTTCACTCAGATTGATGCTTCATCTTGTACAGAGCTGTCGTGAACCAAAAAAAGCTGTTCCCATACCGTAGAAGCAGCATCAACAAAAAGTAGCACTTCCATATGGTGTGAGAACTACTCTTACTTTACTCGATTTTCTAAAAAATAATGATACCCGCGAGATTCGAACTCACGCCTCCGAAGAGACCAGGACCTCGACCTGGCGCCTTAAACCACTCGGCCAGAGTACCTATTAGATTGATTGACATGAAAAACAATTGAACTCATACATATAGAGATACATGAATTTCATCCTCAAGAGAAGCTCGAACTGAAGGTAGATAAGTACCATTAGAGCTTCTCAAATATAGTATTGATCATGTCTTCGATTGGCAAGCGGGCCAATAAGTGTTCATTCTATCCTTATGTACCTTCTCACATTTCTTCAAGTTGCCACCTACCTAAAACTCTAGGCGTTTCTCTACTCGAGCAAAGTAAGTCCTCCAGTCGGCTGAAAATTTTATACGGTGGGATGAGAGTCCTGTACATAAATTATTGAAGGGATATGATATTTGAACTATTTCGAATTCAACTGTGGACTCCTAATTGTTCACAAAACATAGGGAATAACGCTCTTTAGGGTCAAGCAGAGCACTCCAACATGATTATACAGTGTTTATTAGCTGCTGTGGCATTTTTTCTGCAGGTTTCGGCCGCGGGAACAAGCTTTCTAGCGGTCAATTCGCAGCGCTACAAGGATGCTTTGAACAAGGACAAGATCGACTCATGGACGGAACTATCAGCTTTTAGTGATATAGAGGAACCTTTAGTTTGCTTCAGATTCTCAAAATTTGATCTTTTGAGTGCACTAGCCGAGGTTCCTTCCGAAGTAAGATTCTTACCCACGTTTTTTGAAGAGTTGGTAACGCAAGTATGGGAGGAGGATTCTTTCACAGACGTGGCTCATATTTCCACTGTCGAAGTTTCAAAGATTCCGGAATTGTCGTTGCCCTCGCTTTACAGCCAGGTGGACCGTAAGAGTGACATTATTGTATTCGAGTTCTCGGACGCTTCATACGACTTGGAACGTCTTGACGAATATTTGGAAACCGTCTATCTGTTTTTGGAAGAGGAACTTGTCAATATCGACAATATCGTCATCCAAGTGCCCTCTGTCGGTGAACCATACGTGAAGAACACGGCGAAAACATCAGATATCGATGTTTCGGACCCGGACAGAAAACCCGCACCTAGCTCTCCAACCGGAAACGGCGATGAATTAAGCACGCTATGGACAGAGGGATTGATCAGCTGTTTGATTGTCACCGCAATCCTGTTGGCCATCTTGTCTGTGGCCATCTCCTGGATCACCAGTCTGGAGATCAGTTACGGAGCTTTTGAGAAGCCCGTGAATCCGCTCAAAAAGACCAACTGATGGATTTTCGCAGTATGGCAGTAACATCATTACGCTCATATAAAATTAACTCTAAAAACAAAACTACGTAATAATTCGGACATAGATACATTCGAAGATAAACAGCCGAAAACTCAAGCTCGCTGAACCAATGCAGGTAGCTCTTGTTTTTGCCTTGTGCCTTTTCATTTAATTGTTTTTCTTTTCCTCTGGCTTCAACTTTTCAGATTCTTCAGTTCCTGTATCTTCGCTGAACGCCATAACCACGTATGCGACCAATACCAGGTTAGCAGCTAAAGCAGCAAGCCCGCCACTTATCAATGTGTTACTGGTAACCTGTTGCACTAGGAAAAAAGATAAGACTGGAAGAATCACCATTGCTGCGGTGAAAAACATCAGTTTTTGAACAACCTCGCTGTTGAAATGTCAATATACACTTGTTAGTCACGATTCAATCAGGTTTACAACATATTCGACAAACTGCTTGAAAGTTCATCACATCGCACATACCGTGGTACATCGACTGCCATAGTGTTGGATTGATACTATGAGAAATCTTGGTTTGGGTTCTGTTTTCTAAGAGTAAAGAGACGGTAGATAGAATTTAGAATTATTGATGTAGTCATCGAGTATAAAAACAATTTCAGCATTTCAAGTTACCAAGCCAAAAGTGGAGCCCACAATGGTTCTTCAGCTATGCTTGACATCAGCAATTGACGATGACTCATATGAATTGTGTACGTCGACTCTTTGCAATTTATCAGGTAATCCTCCTGTGCTATTCAACAACTTCACAGCTATGTTCAAACCTAATCCTAGCTTTGATATTGAACAAACAAACTCTAAAAATCAATTGATCGAGCAAAATCGGTTGAAGCTATGCAAGGGGGTACCATTGGATTGCCTAGAGCCCGATAACAAGCAGAGGGATCACAGAATGCTTAGAAAATATGACGACGATGAGCTGAAGGGATTCGACCTACGAATTCTGCAAAGAATGCTTCATGGAAGTATAGACGTTGATGAAATGGATGTTGATGAGCGGGATGCATCTGATAGTGCCTGGATTTTAAGTATCTCAGATATTCCACCTGCTGGGGCGAACAGAAAAGTATCGTCGCAAGCAATCACAGAAAGCACTATTACTACAACAGGTGGAAGCTCAGCTTCCATTACATCTTTTCTTTCAGAACTGGGCTACATTTTGGACTATCGGCTGCTAGTGATTGGTGTCAAATTCAATATGAAACACAATGTCTATCTTGAACTATCCAAAATATGGCAAATAGACAACGCTGGCATAACAAGACAATTGACCAAAGGTGGTTTTATGGTGAAGGCCTTTGTGAACGTCGCTAAAAGCACCGATATCAAGAGTATAAACAACGGCACGAATGCCCTACTCAATCTTCAAAAAGAACTTAGCGGATACATAGACCTCACGATTCCAGATCGAAAATCAATGGACTCACGATTGGAGAACCTTAACGATATATGAGATGGAGAAAGCTCATGATTCTTTTGAGACCGTGGCTTGCTATTCGACCTATTTAATTTATAGACGATTCATAAATGTACAGTGAGATGGGTGCGGAAATGACTTTTAAAAACAATTTAAAAGTCTTTATTTTTCCAAGTCGTTTATTTTCGATTTGGCCTTAGCGATTGCTTTCTTCTTCTGCTTCAGCTTTTCAACACGATCATCCTTCTTCTCATTCGAGTACTTCATCTTTTTGTAGAGCTTCCGCTGTTTGTTACTCATCATGATGGTTTTCAAATCTTTTTCTTCTTCCTCTTCGGTTACCTTACGTTTAGCCGATTTCTTTGGTTTCTTTTCGTCTTTCTCCTGATCCTTGGCATCGGAATAAGGAATACCCTTTGCTTCCAATTCTAATTCTTTCTGCACTTCTAGGTCCTCATCACTTTCCTCATCTGCATCTGCTTCAGCATCTAAACCATCCTCCACACTGCTGTTTTCCTCTTCCACTTCTTCTTCCACGTCATCTTCTCCTTCGCTTTCGCCCTCAACAGGTTCTGCCTCTGGATCGTAACCACCGGCATCACCCCATGGAGACAAATGTGGCGGTAGAGCTTCACCAGGAAGATATTTATTCACAGATAATAGTTCGCCCTTGTTGATGGAATCAAAAACCCATTGGGGTTGCAAATACGTTCTTGAGACGACTTTGTTCTTCAAAACTGGTCTGTCTACAATTTGATGGGTAACTTTTGACAAATCGATATCCTTGACTGAGTCTAGTTGGTCCAAAGCAGCTTCACAAATAACCGAACCGCCACAGGACAAGATTAAAAACTCAAGTATATCCACCGGAACCTCTCTAGAGATGTAGAAGACAAAGTCAGAGAATAAGGTGGCAGCAGGTGAATCGTACTCACCAGGCTGCACCAATATGTCACCCTTGTTCTTATTGTTATCCTCGAAAGTATCCAGCGCATTGTTTTCATCTGCCGCTTCCTCGTCGTCTTCTTCATCGTGACCTTGCCCGCTGCCGTCTTGAACGTTGTCTGCTTTTAGAGCGGAGGACAAAGCTGAGGAATCTAAAGCCTTTACTTCTGACGAGTTTTCAGAAAGTTGTGGAGCGGCAAGAGTTGAGGACTCTTCGTTGCTCTCCAGGAGGTAGGCACTCAAACCGCCGATGATCTTGTTCTTGGTTAGATCCAATTTTGGTGGGTACGAAAGACCTGAGTCAGTGTAGAGCTTGAAAAGCACAAAGTGCATCAGCGTAGAGTAGAATTCAAGAAACGTCAGCATGATTCTGAAGTCAACATCGCTGGGAACATTTTCAGGAAACTTGTAGGGAACAAGCCATCTGACATCTTCTCCCTTGACAGAAGCTTGGTAATAGACACCCTTGATAGAAACAAACACTTTACGAACGGCTCTTTCACGAGAAACGTAAGCCAACCATTGGTTACAGATAGTTTGCGCATCTTGAGTGACCCGTGCAGATACTTGGTCGGAGGCTGGTAAATTAGCAAACAAAAACAACATGTTCAGGGCATCGTCAATATCCCCAAGTGCATCTGAGAAGCTGGGATATCTTTCCTTGATAATGTTGTCGAGCTTGTAGGTCGTGTGATTAGTCTCGAGTCTTTTGGCAGCAGAGACTTCACCTCTGCCCAATGCTTTCGTCAGTTTTTTGGCAAAAGTCTTATGTTCACGGAATCGCTCCAAGACGGGCTCATGCATCAAATATTGAATGTCCTTGAAATAGTAGAATGTTGTAGGAGCAGTAGAGCCTTTGTTAGCCTTTTTCTTGTTGCGAGGTTCACGAGGGTAGATACCTTTGAAAATGCAGAGTCTTCTGAAGTCCGCAAGCGAGATCTGCAGCTTGCGGACTGCTTGTGAACGGGTCACAAAGTTTCTGGCATTACCACTAACGTTCTTCTTCTTAATTCTCATCTTTCAGATATAAGCTGTCAATAAAATCACAACCAGGAACCGTAGAAACAAGCTGAAATAACCACTAGAGACCTTTGTGAAAGTAGACTAGTTCAATATATTCTGCAACAAGTTACAGAGTGTTGTTGATTGCTGGGGCTGGACAGTTGAAGAAAAGTTGATCTCTTTACTTGTTCATCTCATCTCATCTCATCGCATCTTCAAAGGCGGCATCAAATTTTTTTTATTATGGACAGAAAAAAAAGCACTGTGAACGGAAAAGAAAACATGCACGGGATTTAAGTATCACGTGACCAACATTTCCATCTTGACTCGATGTTGAGGTGTCGATCCGGAAGGAGTAGGGAAGGCTCGAAGAGTCATATTAGTCAATTGGAACTGGTCTTTATCTGTGGGTGAATTTGTTAAGAAGATCAATGCTTCAAAAAAAAGTTTCTTCTAAATGGTTTTTGCCTGGCGCCGGGATCTCGAAGTGGTTTAAATGATCTAAAAATTACATGTGTGAATGAAGAAAGATACTAGAAAGTCATATTTGTTTTTAAAATGGAATAGTATCTTCATGCTTGGTGAATAATTCTCATATTTCAATTTATTTCGAGAGCGAATGTTTTTGAGATGAGATAAAAGCCCCAAAACGGCTTGGAAAAGACAGCATCGAACAAGACCAGATTTTTTGATTGAGTCTATGCGAGCTTGAAGGGGTTTCTCGTGTAGTTGATCGCTTCTGGCTTGCGCCCTCTGAAATTCCATGACAGAATAGTACAAAGTGATGAGGACCGATTTGCATCGCTCCGGATCGTGTTCATTTCGGTGTTGAAGACGAAGGACATGCTTTGACATGCATAAAAGTGTTCTACTATACTTCGGCCGTGCCGGCTGGGGCTCGTCAATAGAAGGTAGAGATACCGTAGAATATTTTGCTTATTTTCACAAAAAACGAAAAAAAAACTGAAATGGCAACTCGTCGCTAAACCAGCAGACATTGGAGGTCTTTTGACAACATTCAAGCGGTCCCGAAAGCAATCCTTGCAAACATTTTATAGAATATGCACATCACGTGATAACTACTTCTCAAATATATTATATAACTATATACGGATTAGGAATATCAACACTGTTACTGACAAAATGTCGACTGGATCAGGTCTAAACTGACAATCTGACAGCGTCTGCATAATCGGTTCGTTGCCGTTCAGTCCACCACTGAAGTACACTTTGTTATGCGGACGAAGCTATGTACGTTACTGTTCACAAGAAGCTACAGAAGAAGCTCAATTGGGCCAAAATTCAAAGATTTGGCTGAAATTAAACAATATGTTGCAACGCCGCAGTGGTCGATCAATGAATTCATGGAACAGGACACAAATGTGCAAGAATTGCCCTCTGTTGAAATGGTAGAACGGCTCCTGAAGCTTTCCGGGCTACCTCTACAGGATGCGGAGTCGTTACGCTCAAAACTTGGCCATCAATTAGTATTTTTGGACAAACTGCTGACGCTGGACGTCAAGGAAGATACGGATCCCAAAAATGCCAGAATACTGCCGCGATCCTTCAAACCGCTTGAATTTGAAGACCTAGTTAATGCGGCCGAAAATCAGATCCAGGATGTAAGCCTTGGAGAGCGGAGCGGATCTTGGGAGAGCGTCAAATTGGCGAATAAGAAACAAGACGGATTTTTTGTGTTGCGGGAAAGTTTGTTGAAACGGAAATAGATAGTATCATCAGCATAAGATATACCGGGAGGTCTGGGCTTCTAAGGAGATAATTTGGAACCCAAAACAAGATATTCAGGATTTTCGATCAAGCTTTCTCATGACTTGCATCGTTATTGATCAAGATTTGCTTCTCGCGCCATCATATTACCAACCCCTCGCCTTCCTCTTGAGCATTGGTAATTTCACGGTAAACCTTGCTCAATGACCTGCCTTCATCGATCATTATCAGGACTAACACAAGAATTCACACTAGCTGCAAAAAAGGCATGCCAAATAACTCAAAGTGTGATACGTTTTTTTACCAAGTAGGCTGTGCTAAGATGGATCTCTCCACCACCACCAACAACTATTCCTTAGTTAGTTAAATGCAACTATTTACAGTCAATCCTACGCAGACATTAAAATGCTGAAAGTCTCCTCATCCGGCGCTGATTTTCTTTCTTAATCCTTTCAGAGATCAAATACCCATATATGATACCAGCCACGGAACCTCCCAAATGAGCTGCGTAATCAAATGAACCCCATCTGAGAGCACATCCCGCCGCGTTCCATACCATAGAGCCCAAAAATGCAATCCATGCACCACCAGGTATAGGGAAAACAAACAACATTATCTTAGCTTGGGGAATGAGGTATGAAAAACACCCAAAAACACCGAAAAGCGCTCCACTGGCTCCCAGACTTGGGGCCATCATTGAAATTCTGGCGATGCGTGGGTACCAAAGCGAAAACAGAGAACCAAATATAGCACTGTTGATATAAAGTGAAGTAAAATTACCAGGTCCAATCATTGTCGCAAGATTTGTTCCAAAAGACCACAGTGCAAGCATATTCATACCCAGATGCCAAAATTCTTGATGCGAAAATGCACTGCCAATTAGCGACCATTTGCTGTAAATACTATCTTTTTCAAGAAGCATGTACCTTTGCAGAAACCGCCAATATCTAGGAACGTGCCAGAGCGCAAATACACCACAGTTTAAGCCCAAAAGACCGTATACCAAATGTGTAGGGTGTGTCCTAAAATATGTGAATGGTGGAACGTGCTGGAATAGATACGGAGCCCCAACGAAAAATGCACCCATGAACAAAACGCCGGCAACTGTCACATTTCGCAGACTGTTGTTCCCGAATGAATTGCCGTTGTTGTATCTGTTGCCACCGTTTTGAAACTGTTGAAATCTGTTCAGTCTTGCATATCGCGAATTTCCCGCACCATTGAAGAGATCTCTCCAGCTGGATTCAATTCTCGAAGTCTGCGAAAAGAATTTGGATTGTCCACCAAAAGGTATTGTTCTCGCTCTTAGGGTGCAAAGATGACCTAATATTGAAGCTTGAACCGGTCTTGGTTTTAGTTGCAAATGGATGGCATTGCTTAAGAAAAATAGTTTCCCCTGCTTGGAGAGAAAAGTACTCATTGAAAAGTTCTTAGGGTTGCACTTCAGTCGATTATAGCAGATCACCTTTCAGTTAAAACTGTCTGGTTGAACGCTTGGCAAGAACTGGCATTCTAAATGTTCAGAAATAATCCAAGGCCATCACCACTGACGGTCTAGCTCGATGCCTCACACCAAACAAAGCCGGCCTAGTCAAACAACTTTGGGTCCATTTTAATCCTGAGGAAGAATCAGCTGGTACTCAATATTTATAAATGGGCTGTCTGTTATTGGGTATGTCAGTTACTTGATACATTTAACCTCCATGTAATCATAACTTTTTAGGCTTCAAACTCCACAAAACTGTCATCTCTGGCGTCCAAATGCTCGGTAAATGAAAAGTTCTCAAGCTTCTTACGCTGCGGTTCGGACTGGTCTTGTTCTTTATCATCGTCATCCATTGAGATTAAGTCGTTCTTGAGTAAATCGTCATGCTCATAAGTGTGGCCAGTGCTAAAATCATCGATTTCGTCCTGGTTTTCCGATGTTTCTAGCGCAGAGCCCGACGATGCACTGGTTCTTGTTGCGACAGAATCAACTCTACGGCGAACCTGAGATGCTACACGTTTGCCGTCTGCCAAAAGTCCGTCAAACATGTTTCTGAGGCCGTTTTCGCGTCCATCTAGGTTTGCAACTTTCTCGTCAACGTGAATAGAATTTCTCAGCGTTTGAGCGAAAAACGTCTCATACGTTTCGTCGGCCAATATTATCATGCGAAAAGTTGCCACGTTCATAACCGACCGCTTTTCAGGGTTCAAAGCCGCATTTGCCTTTAGAGATTCCCATTTCTTCTTTTTATGCTCGCTGGTATGGCCTTCGTCATCTGAAAGGTCAAGCAAGTCAATTTCTTCCTTAGATTCCGATGCCCGTGCATACTCGAAAGAGCGTTGGAGGAAACTACTCGCTGCTCGTAGATAACGCTCGGCCTGCTCTTGTTTGTACTTTTCTTCATCAATGGTAACACCGGTGGGGAGCTCGAGATCACTTATTGCAATGCCTTGGCTCGAGTTTTCTTCAATTATTGTATCTGCAATATCGTCTATTATCGACTGTTTTGTGAGTTGGTCCACGATGCGCCCGCTCTTCCACGCGTCGGTCAAAAACAATAACGCTTCAGAAATCTGTAAAATGCCTTCACCACTGGTCTCGTCAACACCCGGCTCGGTAAAGAAAGCAAAAAAGCTGTTCATAGTGGACATGATGTCAGGAGACAGTAGGCGATCCAGACCAATGGCCACGTCACTGAGAGTCAGCTCTCCAGCAGATGCACGGTCCCACTGCAAGAAAACTCTCTTGAGAAAATCTCTTTTCTGCTTGCGGAATCGCGGTATGTGATCACTGGTACCAGGTTTACACCAGTCACAAAATGAGCTTAGAAATTGAATGAAAGCCTCAAAGTCTAAACATGATGATCCTGTTCCCATGCTTATTTTGTGACTTTCGATACAATGATAGAATAAATCGTAGATGTTCGATAGTTGATCTTGTGTGAGGTTGCGGACTTGTGGTAGATTACGCAGTTGCGTCCTTTTGGCAAAAGATTCTATGTTGTGTTGAATGTCTTTGCTGAAGCGAGCTCTTTGTTGTTCAACCATCTGAACCGATATACTACTAAACTCTTTGAAAGACACAACCAATAACTCTTGAAATTTGGTAATTTGTTTAATCCTTGGATCGGTAGAATCTGGATGTGCGCTTTGTTCGAGCGTATGAAAGTAGCTCTTCAAGATTGCGATAAACATTCCGTCGTCGTCGACTTCAAGAAGTTCTTCCCCATTAACTTTAAGAACCCCGAGGGCAACCTGGAATAACGCATTGGGACCATTTAACAGAAAAAGGTCCATTATTCTGAAAGCGAAGGGTAAAGGCATAGCGGTGAAAAACAAAGACAAAAACCAGGGAAGGGATACCACCGATAGTTGAATGTCGTGTTCCACTATGTGGTCCCACATGACAGGCATTTTTTGCTCGACGAATGATTCAAAGACCTTTTGGTCCAGCAGTGTACCGTACATGGTCCTGGAATAGTAGCCCGGAACGTAGTTATCGCAAATGCTCACTAAGCACCAAAATGCTTGTTCTTCGGTCATGAAAATCAATAATCCTGCGACTAAAATATTCATGGCCTGGCAGTAACCAACGTCAGGGTTCTTCCAAGAGTAGGCGGTTAAAACGTTACGAAGCCGACTAATGCCAGTTTCATCTTGGTACGCTGCATACTCAGGCAATGATCTGTTCAAATCTTTTTCAATCTCTTCGATAGCACGAGACTCTTTGCCCGCATTAGATTCTAGCAAAGTGCGATACTCTTCGGGATTGGCAAACCTGGAGTACATTGAGCCCGAACACACTTCCCAAATTTCACCCCTCAGACGATTAGGGATTCCGACCCTTATGAGCTTATAAAAAAGGCTCTTTTTCACTAGCGTCAGGTTTCTACCTTGGTCTTGGAAATAGTCGAACCATAGTTTGAGCTTCGGCTTCTCTTTTGAGAGCTCTCCCGGATATTTATACTTTTGACCTAGCCCGGAAGGCGGTGGACGAGCGTCCGATTTGTTCAAGACATTTTTTGAAATAAGGTATTCTGAGTAACAAGTGTCGAGAAATGGTAATAACCTTTTGGTATTGGGAACATTCTCGAGCAGAGCTTTTTTTAGCTGTTGGCAAAACAGTTCGGTTCGATTTCTCAGTCCGATGAATTGAATTGCAATCCTTGTCTGGCAATGAAGTGTTAGAGACAACGACGTTGCGTATGAAGAAGAAGCAGCCCGTTCCACTTTTCTTACAGTGCTCAGACTAATAGTGAACGAGCACGATGTAGTATCGAAAGAATCTTTGAAAACAAGATAGTGTGGCGTTAAATACAGACGTCCCGAATAAACGTACGTTGCATTGTTTGCGTTTGGGCCTTCACTAGAGCCGTTCGTGTTTCTAACACGTCTGCCGGGCTGTATGACGGAAATGTCGGCATTTGTATCGTCAACAATATATTCTTCCTGAGGAAGCTTGTGAAGGAGTCGAAACTTTTGGTCTCTGCTCAAAGGTTCGGAAGAATCAGTTAGCCTTTCCAAAAACTTAACGGATGCCGCTTTTTGGCGCAGAGTGTCGAAAAAGGACATTTGTAAAATGATCCAAATTCCTAAGGATTGTGCCTCCCCCTGTAGTTATTGCCTCCCGACAAGGTAACCTTTCTATTGAATATGGTCCGAAAATTAATTATAAGCCAGTGGCAGCTCGGAGTAAAGCCTATTCAGCTTAAATATTGTCCTATTTTTGTTGTATCTTCCCTTAACTAATGGCGAAGATTTGATGAAGCTAGTCTAATTATATCTTAAATTTGATGTATATGTGCATGATGACCTTGAAAATGGTAAAGGGACGACACACAAGTGAGAAGCGTGAAGTTTAAGCTGATACAATTGCCAGAGGGATTTTTTAACTATGTGGTTTGCTACCTTTTCTGCTGAGATACCGGCGACACATTGTAAGTTCAGATCGGTCATAGTTTGAGCATAATTCGACTTCGAACGTCAGCGGAAGGACAGATTTATGATGAGCTTGAGTAATTTGTGAGGTATAGAAATCAAATCACTGGCCAAGTCCAGGAACTCGAGCAATGTATCTTTTTGCTTGCTTATCGTGCCAGTTTTGATGCTAGCAAATTCAAATTCTTGCCAATCATAACTCACGAATGTGTCGTTGTAAATTGGATCGAGTCTTTGATATTAGATCGGTATATATCTATGACAGGGTTAACAGGACGGGGCGAAATCGTTGCATACCAGGCATAATCTTCTAGTCTTGCTAATAGCCTTTGTAACAATAGAGTGACAAGGAAACGGGCTCAACGTAACTGCCTGTCACATATAAAGGTAAAAAAATCATTAGCCGCGCAACTCACGTGACAGTTCGTTATTCCAGATGTAGATTATGTAATGTTTAATAAATGCTTTATGAGTCGTCGGAGGTAGTTACCGGGAAAAAGGTATCAACACTGACGCTACTGGCCGCTGTATCCAGTTCAGCGACTGACTTGCCAGGTTGCTCACCAGTTTCATCATGATGATGCAGCGGTAGGTTTGAAGGATGCGGGTGGCCCGATTTTACGTGTCCGGGAAACCGCACAGACTGGGGACTGCCTGACGTAGCCGAAACAATTTTGCTTAGCAGTTCGACAGTTTCTGGTTCCTTACTCCTTTTATGAAACGTCAGCTTATTGCCAATAATGTTTCCAGCGTGTTGAACCACAATCTTTATGATATCCTTCTTAAGGATTGCAATGAATTCTTCGCGAGACCAAAGTCGATTGGAATATCGCAGAGTTGGAACTCTCACCGTGAGACCATCAACATTTGTGATAAGGCTTCGTGAGCCTCTGTAGCTAATGGACATTGTTACTTTTTTGATCACCACAAGTCCCACATTGAAATAGCGAGATGATCTGTTGACCATCTCATTCATGTCTTGCGCGTTTCGCCGGCTGAAGATAGATGAAGGAGCAGGCGATGACTTTCGAGACGTGTCTACCAACGCGGAAGAAGAGATATTTGAAGATATGTTTTTCAGCCTAAAGTTTAGGTTCAAGCCCGAGGAACTCTGCCGAGGAGTGGACGATATCGAGTCGCGCCGCATGGTAGAACTCGACGGTGGCGTAGCTTCAACGCTTTGTGAAGGAAACAAATACTGCAGCAGAAGGTCTGATGTTCGGTGATCCATTTTAAAAGTAAATGGCTCCAGTAAAACGATAAGGTTGACCAAATCGGATATACCGCCTACAGACGGTCCTATGAGCCAGGAAATTTCGATCGCAGGTTTCAAACTTTCAGTGGTACTCTCATAAGGACCAAGTAAGTTTCTGTAGACTACGTTCTTTTGTAAGTTGATGCATGAAAGTGATGTTATGCTAACTTTGTTACTGTTTGTTCCGTCCAACGCTTGTGACCTAAAAAAGCTTGCTGTTCCCAGCTCGAATAAAACAAAATCATTTTCTTGATCATCAAGTAGTCGCCATGTCACCTCGTCTGCTCCAATCTGCCAATATAACTTGTCCTGATGACTCTCAGAACCGCCGGATAATCTCAACTTGTCGTGATTTTTCTTGATAGCACTCATGAGAAGATTCAATTCCAAAATTGCAGCATCCAATTCAATCGCAATAACATGTGCGACTTTTTCGTATCCTTGAGTATCATACATTTTCAAATAAGCTCGAGTTCTATCCAGATTCTTGATGGAACTCTGAAGATTGACTATTAGTGATACATCTAACTTGTCCAAATTGTTCCGCACTTCTTCAGCAAGCATGACCCTCGAAAGCTTGTCGGCTTTTTTGTCGAAGCTGGAGGCAAAATGCAACATTTCTACCGCAATAGCATAGATTGCAGAATATTGATCCGAGTTTGATGCCAGCGTAAGCTTGGGAAAGCCAATTCGCACTTTGGCCTCGCTTCTATTCATCTTGTTGGTTTTTTCTTGAAAGAATAGCGAGTTCGGCTGGGTGAACAGCATTATCATATCATTTCTTTCCAAGAAGAGGGAATCCTCAAGCGCTTCACAATTATAGCACATCTCCATGGGAAGCCAAGGCGGCCAAAAAGCTGACTTGCTATCTACCCCGTATCCATTCATTTCAAACCCAAGTCCGTTATCGGATGATAGATCTGTTCGGTCAAAAATAAAAAAGTGTGCCTCATTCAACTTGGTAGCAAATCTTGTCTCAACTAAACTGTTGACATCGACAGGGGCATTATGACCTGACGAGAATGGTACCTGATTGATTTCTACGATTGATGTTTCGACATCTCTTGCGGTAATCAAAATGCACTTTTGAGAAACTTCTTCAGAGGTCACTTGAATTTGAGGAAGCACGAATTTCACTTGGTAAGTATCGCACGCTTCGAGACCATCTTCAGATACTTGCCTGATAATATCGTCACAACGTTCAAACAAATCCGCATTCGATAAAGTGTCTTCTAAGAGAGCGTCAAAACCCTTCTTTGAACGAGCCGAGGGCATATTCCACAGCTTAACCTTCAGTAACTCCTCCAACAGAGCTACAGATTTATAGGTTTGAAAGAAGCTTGATTTTTTTCTGTTAAGCACATTGAACACGTAGTCCAGCAGCATGTCTCTCGTCTTATTATTGACCTTCAGCAAAATGTTATGGAAAATAAACCTGTTATCAAAAGACGATTTGACGAAAGCACTGGTAGCTTTTCTCATGGAACGAAATGAAGACAAAGTGTTCACTTTCAATAGCGCTTTATGGGACTCAGACCCTAATAACCCACCATCATTTGAAACACTACTTTCTAAGTCGTCGGAATTTAAAGACTCTGATGGGAGCTTTGATAGCATCAGGTCTTCCAGAACCACATGAATGATGTGGAGTCTGTGCCGAAAATCGTGATAACGAGCACGTAAAGTTTCCAAACGTTTTTCCACGTCTGTATGCTGTTTAAAAGCTTTTGGCGTTTGGGTCAGCTTCGAAATTATCTCTTCGATCGCCGACAGTTGAGCCTCCAGCTCCTGAGCTCTCGTTCTAGCCAGAAGCTCTTGGGTCACCATTGGGTCATTGTGACCCAAGATACAGTCGTGGTTGCTCTCAGACCCAAAGGGAAATTTCAAGAATTCGCCTTCAGATAATTCTCTTAAATAAGATATTCTGGGAGAGTACAGAAGGGGCGTTTCGTCGAACACACGAATTTTAAAGCGCTTCCCGACTCCTTGATTGATGTCATTGTAATCTTCTAAGTTGAACCAATTACGATCGATATCACCATCCTTCGTAGACGCGAAGGTTGAGTTCTGATCCCCTTCTGAAAATGAATCGCGCCAACCGCCATCACTTTGGCCTTCTCTTGAAGAAGTCAACTGTGAGTATATCAATCTAATGTCTGCTGTACGACAATCAATCTCACCCGCATTCATCCTAAATTTCCAAACAGTTCGGGAATTTTCCGACTTGGTCCCTGTGTGATTCATCTTGACTCTCTTCTGGTGTAGATCCAAGGTCAGACTCTCAAACGACCCCTTCAGACTTGTAAAAGCGGTCTCATCACTTTCACTATTACCAAGTTGCGAATCGGCATGAATGTATGTGTGGCAAAGCATGAGAGGTGAGAATTGAAGGAAATATTTGACGGTGAAAAGGGCTTTCGAGAATTTCTTTGGGTTTTGAACAAGGTCCGGGAACAGTGGTCCCTGCCGAATTGGCCCCGAAGTGTAGGTGCTAAATAGGTTCCACCAGCTGAAAAAATGTGTCATGCAATAGGGCGCCAGATGAACATTATTTGAACTTTTAGCGCTGGCACCATTTTTTACCTGGAAAAAAAGATGAATGAAGTCACTTCTGAAGCCATCATAGGAATCATGCGGTATATTGGGATCCAAGAATCGAGGGTTGCAGAGATCAATTTTAAAATGAGGTTTGAAAGAACTTGATCTTTCAACGCTTCCCACATCCTTAGTACTACCAGCCTCAAACGATATCCCCATGGTCCACGTCACATCACCGCTAAGTTCCATAAGCGTTTTCTCAAGTCTTCGTTGGTGGGTGAAGTCCCTTATTGCTAGTAAGAACTGACGAGATGTAATATTGAGAAACTCTGTGGGGTCGGAAGATTCGTGCAATGACAGTCGAGTATCACCTCTCCAACAGAAAGAAAGACCAGCTCCCTTATCTGTCACAAGGTAAGGGTTGTGTGACCCTTTCAAATTCAGGTGAAACTCGCTGTCCCCAAGCCATTCTAAGATTAATTGCCCGTGAAATAAAAGACGGACTTTGTCCCAAAAGCCCAGTTTTTCTGAAGGATCCACGGGCGGTTTCGTCAAGTAATCAAACCATATCATCACAGCTTGGAAGCCAGGTTGAAGTGACTTACCCCACGTTATGGTTGTAGGTTTATCGGATTGGACACGGCACTTCAAGTTCATGTACGCTTTCAGTGGGTTCAAAGTACGAATAATATTCGATCCATAGATTGAGTTGGTAGATGTAAAGAATTCTCTTGTTGCTCCTGGAACGAATGGCACATGAACATATCTTTTTGATAGTGGACATGGCATCCGCTCAGCAAAGACAAGATCGCCGTCGACACGCATGTCAGGAAAGAAAACAATTGGTAGTGGGTAATCTCTCAACGAGAATTCACAGCGGGATCCAAAGAGCTCTAATCCAAGTGGGATCAAGGTTGTGAATTTAGTGTCTTTCGGCATCTTTTTCCCATACTTATAAAGAAATTCGTCGCACTTATGCAATGGGAAAGAGGGCTGGTGCAACTTCAAGAACACATTTTCGAGTTCGATTTTCAGAATTGTGCTGTTCAAACCCTCGAAAACGTTGAAAGATGACGTTCCAATCTCAACTTGATTGATTTTCGTAAAGGGTCGGCCGAAAAATCTTAATCGAGCCTTTTTCATTCTATTAATCCACGAAACAGAAAATTGTTCAAAAAGCTTCTGCAGCTTTTCTTCCCGGCTCGGATGTATGACACCACCACGACCAGGCAGCTCTGGTAACTCTTGGTCTATAAGTCTGAGCTTTTCTAAGCGTTCTAATTGTTCGGTAACGCCCACTTTAAAAATTAGCCCCAGCTCTTGCTCGAAAGGGTCTTCTTCCACATTAAGAGTGAGCATCCTGGTCTCAAAGTTTATGGGAGGTACGCACTTGGCGTCTTCTATCTGAGGTTCGCGTGCTATTATATTGTAAAAATCTCCAAAGTACCCGCTCAACGCTTTAACGCATTTTACCATTGTGCTGATGTTATCCAGAATCCTGTAGAGCCTTAAATGATATTCAAATTTGATCCAGGTAGTCTCTGTTTTCATCCTGAAGTGGAACTCCCCGTGTGAGGATCTATCCAAGTTCAGAGATGCTTTTTGCAGATGGACAATGGGAACAAAGGTGTCGTTCGACTGATACATGGTTGCTGTGAACATTCTCAAAGAATCGAAGCTAAAATTCATAGTTTTTCCCGTCATCACACCATTTTCTATTGCAAGTCTTAGTTTAATTGCATGGGGCAGTTCGATCTTGATGAGAAGTGAAGCAATGGCAACCTCAACAGACTCGAAAAACTTGAAAGTATCAGATTTAGATGAATGAGTCTTGAGTGCTATTTCTGGCTTTTTCCTTTCAAAGAAGCCCTGTGCAATGTCTTTCAAGTAGAAAAAAAGCCAAACGGTGTTTATGTCGAGACTGACGCTGCAGGCTGGGATCAAAAAGCGATAATTCCCTTGAACACGTTCGAAGACAAAACCTTTCACTGATATCACAAGACTTTCCACATGAGACTTTTTATCGTCTTCCATCATTTTCTGTATTGCACCGTCTATAACGTGAAGTTTCTGTCCCTTAGAGCAAAAGTCCAAGAATGCTTCTTTTAGAACTAGACTAGAGCCTCGAGTGTAGTCTGTGAGGTTTTTCAAATTCCCTGACTTATCCAAAACTCTCGGTAAGTAGTGGGAGACCATAAGAGATGCAACAACGTTCTTTAAACGAAGATTGAGAGAAAATTTTAAATTCTGTACCTTCGTGCGCGACACCCTATGTGGTTCCAGCCTTTTTCTCCATTCCTCGACATACTGGCCGATGCCTTTGATCACTTCCACATCTTCGACAGATACTTTGAGATTTCGGAGTGTGCTCATAATAATAACCTTGTCAGAAATTATCTTGTCGCTGAAAAACTCCCATTTGCTGAACACAACGACGGGAAGATCATATGCCTTATTGTTGTCTTTCTCATCAAATGAGAGAAACGTTAGACTGAACTTGTCAACTTTCAAGAAATTGTCTGTGTGGTCTCTCGTATCCCTCATGTCGTCTGAACTCGACTTGAAGCCTTCAGCACAGGTTTCAATATTACGCCGATTTTGCCCCAAAGCGTGTATGTTTGTGGTGCGACACACGAAATGCTTTGTTTGAGAAAGCTTTAAAGTAAAGGATAAGTTGGAGATGATAACTTTGCAAACGAATTCGGGACAGAATCCGAAACCAAAAGCTTCAGTCCACTGGAAATGATTTTTATTTCTCTGGTGACCTAAATGTGCTTCAGCGGGGCCAGAGATGGATAGTTCCCAAAGTTTAACAAGCTGCTCCTGAGTCAGAAATATTGAAGGATCCACCGCTGCTATGGTGCATGCAATAGTGGGATATGTTTTTCTGGAGTTCATGACAAAGGATAATAGATTGAAAACAGAGTTGAGAGTGACCGAAGGTAACTTCAAAAAAGTTTCGTTATCCAGAGATAGCGCTGTCGAGTTTATCGTCAAAAGTAGTTCGTGGGTGACTTCATTACGCAGATCTGAAAAAAGTTCCAGTGCACCGTGCTCCATGAAACTCACGGCCTTTTGGGACAAGTACATGGAGGGGATACTGACGTGAAAAGATGTTCCTTTCGCGATGGAAAGGTCTTGAAATCTAACATCAATGCTGTGCAGGGTAGAAAGAATTCCAGATATGCTATCCTTCTTAGCATCCCAGGCAGCTTCATAGTTCACGGGTGCCCCAACGTAGCCAGGTTGGGTGGCCTTGGCCATAAAAATCTTTTCATTGAAATGTAACTGGGCACCAATCAGCACCAGAATATGACTGTGGCTCTTAAGGTTTATACGACGACGCATGAAAGTATCCTCTTTAGAACACTCTGAATTCATGTCGAAAGTGTAATGAATTCTTCGTACCTTGACAAATCGTTTGTTGTGTTCGATTCCTGAAACGTTCAGGTGAATCGTCAGTGCTGTGAGCCCGTTGGAAAACCCTAAGCCGATATCACAACTGGCCAGTCGCAACTCCAGGTCAGAATCTGGCCATAAAAGCACCACATTTTTCACAACGATTTTCTTTGGGGCTAGGTATCGTAGAATCATCAATGAAATGTAGCTTAACGACAATCCCAACTTCGATGATTTCATCGCGGGGGATGCTTGTTTCTGCTTAGATAGAGGTGAACAAATCTTTACCGTAAGGTCAGTCAGTTCTACTTCATACAATCGAAATGCGTGGGGCTTAATAGCTCCGAATGACACTTGATAACTTCCATACTCAAAACGTGAGAGATAAAGCCCGTTCAAAAAGGGAAGCCCTACGAATACTCTTCTTAGCGGGCTTAAAGATCCTTTTGTTGCAATCCAACCATAGGCCACTGTGTTGGTCACCGCAACAAAAACTCCCACAAGTATAATTAGATAGCGCAATAGAGAGGCGAACAATGGCCAATCATCAAGCATGATTACCTACTGAAAAGCCTAGGATTTTGTTAGATATAGCTTGGATACCTCCAGATCAATTGTGGCAAGTATAAGGATGCCACTTAGCACTTCATAGCTTGTTGTTGATTGTGGTTCTTTGCTGGTCATTGGCGGTTCGAGCGGTATTTTATATTCCGGAAAAGTGCATTAGGGCACAACGTACGGCAATGTACATAACGGAGTTCGCACAAGGTAGGTGACAGTGCTCGCCTGACTCTATCATATGGCGACAGATTGATCTATGAACAGAACTTTCGGAACATGTAGACAATGCCAGAAGAAATAGATAGATTTCTGGAGTCTGAAGCGAACTAACTCTTTTCATTTTGTAAAAATTTGTTGGATGTCTTCACCTTTTCGAAAACCAAAGTGGAGGACTAGCTTCCATGTAATTAAGGATGGCCCAGCTACCTTTCATCTTGTGTATCACATACTTTATTTCGGCTCGCACGTCAATTTTTTCAGTCTTGGTCTCCTGTTTTTCTCTCCAATGAACTAAGTAGAATTCATATTGTTGGAAAGCTCAGAAAGCTCAGCTAAATCAATGCCGTCTAATGGGAAGCCACTTTTGACAGCATTTTCTAGAACTGAGCACATAAGCGTGTACATGGAATTGAACTCATAGTGCGGGTGAGCTGCGGACAGGATAAGCTGCATGGTGGACAAGTAGTGCTTCTTGAACATCACATCGTAGGTCCCCATATCAATGCCGTTTAGCCAGCCGTGGGCCAGAGGATAGAAAAACTTGGGCGCGAATTTTTGAAATCGGTTGATCTGTCTAGGACTGGCTTCGCCCGCTTTATCGAGCTTGCGCGATCTCCACACCGTCTGATTGTTAGAGAGAGATTTATGTTTCGATACCTCATCAGTTATGGCCTCTTGTTTGGACTGATCCCAGGGCAGTCTCTTAGTCGGAAAGTCTGTTTGCGGCTTGACAATAAAGTTGTCGTTAATCCCTCGCAGTTCTCGGGCAGACAGACTCATCACAGAAAGAATTGTAATTCTTTGCTGCAGAGACAGTTCGTGTCCAAACAATATTTGTACCAACTGACCAACTTTCTCGGGAACGGCGACCATAATACTTACAAGCGCATTGACTTTCCATTCTTGAAATTGCTGTTCGTCCAAGCTGTTGTTTAAAAGGCAAATCATTGTTAAAAGTTGACTGCTATAAGTCTGAACTTCAAGCACAAAATCTCTTTTCTGCCTCACAAGTCGTACAGTGGCCTGTAACAGACGAACACGATCACTACCATTTTTCTCTTCTTGCTCAAATTCGCGAACTAGGTCTTTCAAAAAGACGATTTTGTAGCCGTCTTCATCTTCGTGACTTTCTGATAGCTTTAAATCAGTTATCTTCATCTCTGGAGCCATTTCAGAAGGGCGTAGCTCAATAGCTTGATTTTTTTGATGCTTTGTGAGGAGTGTGTAGACAATGGTATTACTCTCTGGGACTTGGAATTTCGGTACCGTGATTTTGAAATCGCTCTCGTACTCCAGCCCTCCGTTTGTGACCTCTTTGGCTATCCACATGGTTCTTTCTCTTACAACAGCATCCTGAGAGCTCAGACGTCTCGTCACAGCGTCCAGAAACAAAGTATCGGAACTTATGTTCAGCTTTACCTTGCTCGGCAGATTTTCAAAAATTATGGCTAAAAGAATACACGTCGTTGCATCTTCTGGAAAGTCTTGTCTCCCAAAAAAGCCCATCAAATAGCGGTACAGGCTTAGTTGCTCACTTTCGTCCATAGTTTTAATTAGAATTGCCTTCAACAGCGGGTTTTTAAGATCTATTAGGCTTTCATACTGTATGTCAATATGCCCTATTGTCCTTAGGATATTGTAAATTGACGGTGCGCTATTGTGGGCAGTCATTGTATCAAGATACTTCACCAAGCTTTTGAATAGTCGGGTGCGACAGAGAACAGAGCCACCATGCAGCAGTTGCAGAAACTTCCGAAAGTGCTCTGGGCCAGTGAGCACCACATCTCCGAATAAGAGATTAATGCAAAAGCCTTCATGAAGACTGAGAAATGCGACTAGAAAATCTGCGTAAATCTTATCAGTTAGATTTTCATCATGGTCAAAAATATACTCAATTTGGGCACGCAACATCAGCGCAAATGACAGAATATCTGCATCTTTTCCCAGACTATTGAGAATCTTGCTTCCAAAGAATGTTGACTTCACAATTTGAACTTCTAATGTGCTTTTAGAATGACAAATATAGTGGCTCAGAGCACCGGGTTTGTGTTCCAAGGCATCGAGTAAGAAATCCTTGTAAATCTTGGCTTCTGGTTTGCCCTGTAACATGTCAATCAAGTTCAAAGTGTGTGTGACGAGATTGAACTCGTTTTGAAATAAGTCAAGAACCTCATTTTGTACAGCCTTCGGCAGCGATGGGAATATGGGTATCACGTATTTTACTATTACCGCAGCACCTTCAAGGTCGAGTGACTTGTCCTTGCCAAGCACATGAAGACATTCTTTAATATCGTTCGCAGATGGTTGAGACTTCAACAAGTCAATTGCATGAGCTACTTTGACTTTTGACATCGGGTACAAGGTATCAAGTTGTTTCAACCCTGTCCTTCCAACTCACTTGACTTCCAGATATGTTCGCGATGATCTCTTGTATCCATTTACAATTAAAAAATGTATAGACATCAAAACGTAAACACAAAATACAGGAAGATACAAGAACGTCTGTCACTCCATAGCATCACTGATGGTCGAGGAGGATGCTACACTGCGTGATGTTGATCTGAACAGGCCGGGATTACTTTTTAATGCTAAGAATGGAGTCACTAATCCCACCAAATACTGTAATAGTAAAGACGCTAACTTTTGGGGGCCTACAGGGTCAGAATATGCTTCAAAAGCACCACAGTACCTTCAAATTGTCGAGAACTTCTCACCTAATTCTTCTGCTGGTCAATTCAAAACATTTAGCACCGGTTTGATTCATTTGTATAGGGCTTACCTGTGGAAACACCAGTTGCAGAAAATTAAGGACCTGGCAAAACTAAATATGCGCGCTGTAATCAAACTTCTAGAGATACAAGATTACGAATCCGCTACGTGTGCCATGCTGCTGCTGTTCAACGAAACAGGCCCGAGTCGTATTTCCACACTAGATCAAATCCTGAAAGCGGACTTTACCTGTTATAACGACTATTATTTGGGAGCACTGAAGATATTGGTTTTACAGACACTCATTCGAAGTAAAGTGTATCGGCAGCATGAGGAAACCATAATCCAAGTATTCGGGAGAGATGCTCGCTATTTACTGAAAATGAGTAAAGCAAAGGTACCTTCATTGATCAAACTAACGCTTAGTTTCTATTCACTGATCCCCGAACTTAAAGTTCTTTTTGGCATCAAAGTTTTGCAATACGTCAGACAATTCGATTTAAACTTTGCCAGCTTCGTTAAAAACATGACTCTGCAACAATTCCAAAGTCAAATTCAGGCTTCAGCCAAACGGGCTTCTCCCAGAGGGTTGAGCAATCTCACCATTTTCTACACCGAATACTCAAAGTTTCACACTACATCCGACAAACTGATGCTTCCCGATTTCTTCGAAGCAACAGGGACAAGTCGCGAAAGCACTGTCTCCAGTGTCATGGATGAACTGCGCCTCCCTGCGTGGAGCCACTCAGAAAAAGTACTCGCAACACCGCTATCACTGGATGAACAAAGCATGTTAGTGAGCTCAATAGAAGCCAGCATAAGTGAGAAGGCGTCCGAGGTACCCAAGACTTCTGTCTTATTACTTAACTTCATGCATCTCGCAAATGCTACTCTTAGTTCGGGCCTCCGACAAATATGGAGACTCGTTGACAAGATAACCATTTTCCTCAATACACATCTCTCTCTCATCACTTTACATGTTTTGAAAGATCTGATGGTCAGTACATGCGAGTTTTGTGTTAATAACGGAGAAATAAAACGACTATTCAACATGGCCAACGTCGCATTCAACGCTTTTGTTGTTCATAAGGTCGATGCTTTCCTTATAGAAGCTTCTCGTCTTGATCTATTCGGCCAAACGCTGTTAGAAGACCAAGATATTAATCTTGCAAAGCTTGAGAGATTCCTTTCCAGCGCATCAACAGAACATCGACTTACACTATTGGAGAGATTCTTCAGCGTTTTCACACTTTTCAAGTTTGATAAACTTAGTCGGATAGCTTGCGTCGTAGGAAAGTTCTCTAAGTGCTTCAAGTGTTTGCAGAAAAGACAACTGCCGGGTTTCAAAGGAGCATCTGAACTTATGTTGTGTCTGCTAGGCCCACTTCTTTTCCCAGATGTTGGCTCCATCGAACATTGGAGTCCTCTCACGCAAATGATGTTTGATTCACAGCGAGGTTATATGAATTTCGGCGAAATTCAGAAGAAAAGTGCCGACTACCTCGACCCGCTGAGGCTCTACGAGCCTCTACTAAAAACATCTTATGCCTTGGGACTGGAGACAAAAACCGAAACGTCTATCAAACTGGCTAAGATAACGGATGTTTACATTGAGAGATGGGTCAAAAGAAAGGATGCTGTTGATGAAGCGTTAACCGTTCTTGAACATTCATTAATTCACGCGCTTTTCGGTTTCTTACGCTTTAATAGATTTTACAGCAAGATGGTGTTTTTGGCAAACGCATTGATTTCGCAGGCCGATAAACACTACGAGACGTGCCAAGTCTACATCCGCAGGCAATTGATAATCGGCCAGGCGGGCCTTAATTTAAACGATGAAACTCGCAGCAATGCGCGTACATTACAGCACACGTCCAATCTTTCTACCGCAGGCGCTACCGAGCTGGCAGAGTCTCTGGATATCCAGCTTCTTTTAATAGAGAAAGACCTCAAAGTTGCAGAATTCAACGAAATATTTGTTTATGGACTTCCGAGAATAAGACCAGAAATACTTGACACGGCTAACGCAAGAAAAATGCCAACAAAAGTTTATGTCAAGTTTTTGTTGCTTACTATCAAAATTTTATGCACGAGCTCTATTTTGCAACTGCATTGCGGCTGTCTAGAAAGCGCACTAATTGATGCTAAAAGATCTTTAAAGCTATGCCAAACCCTTTTGAAAAAGTTAGCACATATCAATCAAGAGGCACAATGGGAAATCTTCACGTCTTTGTGCAAAACTTACAGGCAGATTATCGAAATTTATATTCGGGTGAGTATTGCTAAAGACTGCGAGTTTTTTGTTGCAGAGTATCTGAAGGTTGCCTGCTCTACTAATTCACCAATAGTGATGTTCGATTGTCTTCATGTCTGTATTGAATACTACCGAGTCACTGAACAAATTGAACTAGCCGACGCACTACTGAAGAAAGCAAATGAAACTTTCAAACGCATTGACGATAACGAATGTTTTGAAGCTGAGCTCTGGATGTTCTTCGATAACAGAGAGAACGAACGTTTGAAAACTCGACTCAATCTCATAAAAACAAGCAATAGACCACTTTTCAACGCTTGGACAGTAAAGCTGGGGAACGAAGTTTTGAATGAGCCGATCGATGCTCTTCAGAACAAAGCGAATGACATGAACAAAGGAAAAATACTCTACGAAAATGTGATCAATCAAATGGATGCCGACCCTTTTTTCAGAAGCATGAGGGACATTGTTACCACTGTTCCATCTTCTGTGACAGCGGCTCCGCAACCTAAAGCTTTTTTTCCAAGAAACACTGATCTTTCAACGCCGGTGAAAAGTAAGGCAACTATGTGCGTTGCCGAATCTCCCAGACCATCTTCTTTAACACCTCGGAGTAAACCTTTGAGACAAAGCTTTGACTTTATGAAAACTATCAATGATTTGAGAAGTCTAAAAGTGTTAATCGAAGCACTTGAATTGGAAGGAAACCAGACTTTCAAAGTTAGGGAAATATCTGATCTCTATTCCCTTTCGCTTTCACTTTTAAGCAGCATGGATGCTGGTAAACTTAGCAGGCCGGAGCTGAATCGGAATATCGCGCTTCATGACATTCCGACGTATCTGCCAATGACATTCGATCGAGCACTTTCAAAACAAGGTAACGAAATTTATGGATCCTTTGCACCCAAAGCCATTGTACGAGAGGAATTTCCTTTCAAAGACCACATGAATCAATTCCAAAAAATATTGTGCGACCAACCGCTGAAATTAGACACCAAATTTGATGTGATAGGTATCGATATATGTGGAGCAAGTGGTGACCTACTTTTATCCAAGATAGAGTTCGCTGCAGATTCCATTTGTGTGAGATTACCGTTAGGGCGGCAATGCTCTAGAGACGTTGATGAGGAGGTTTTCACTTATAACGACGCTATTGCCGAATTACACGACATAATAAGCGCTAACAATTTATCCACAACAATCGAAGTCACTTCGAAAATAAACACAAAGGAAGATCGCAAAGATTGGTGGCAACATCGGTATGGGCTCGATAACAGATTGCATGCGATGCTTCAAAAAATTGAACGCTCTTGGTTTGGTGGTTTTAAAGCATTTTTTAACCAGAACATCGTCGAGCAGCAGCATCTCGACATTTTCAGACTTAAATTTGAAGAAATCTTGCAGCGCACCCTGCCCACCAGAAAACAGTTCAAAAGTCCAAACTCTTTCTTCAGGATTGATGATAGTATTCTAGGCCTCTTCCTCAAATTAGATCCTTTAGATGCGGACTTCACCGATTCGATGGAGGATCTGGTGTTTTTTGTTTTTGACCTTTTGCTCTTTCATGGCGAGCAAAATGCCTATGACGAGATTGACACTGCATTATTACATGTAAAAGTTGAAGAGCTCATACACGAATACCGGAAAAATGCAAACCAGGCCAGCAAGTTGTCTCACACTTTCCTCATTGTATCGGGTGCGGGCCACTCAATACCGTGGGAAAGCTTGAGCTTTTTAAGCGAAAACTCAGTTAGTCGACTTCCTTCCATTCAGACATTATTGGAAATGACTAAAAAGGGACAAGGCATGCTATCGCCAAAAGTAGTTTTGGATGAAAAGGTCTCGGTGATACTCGACCCCCAAGGAGATTTATCCCGTACGCGGAACACGTTCAAAAATACGTTTACTGAATGGAACTCCACGATCCCACAGTCGAAGCTTCTGGTGGGCGAAAGACCCGAGGAGAGTCATTTCCTAGATATGCTTAGCGATTCGAAATTGTTTGTTTACATGGGACATGGTGGAGGTGAGCAGTATGTGCGTCTGAAGAAAATCAAGCAGCTCGACAAAGTGGCTCCAAGTTTTCTTCTGGGATGCTCCTCTGCCTACATGGAGCCTAAAGGTAAACTAGAATCCTCTGGGGTTGTCTACTCATACCTGTTGGGCGGTTCGCCGATGGTCTTAGGAAACCTATGGGACGTGACGGACAAAGACATAGACAAGTTCAGCAGCGTGATGTTCAATGAATTAGGAATTATAGGGCAATCCGCACCGGGCAAGACTGTTACCGAGGCTGTGTCAATTGCACGCGGGTCATGTCACTTGAGATATCTGAACGGAGCTGCACCAGTGGTTTATGGGCTCCCGCTGAGCTTTAGGAGGTGACAAGGGACATTTTTTTTTTTACTCAGTATGAATCAACAGGTTATATAAGGCAATGCACAGTTGTTTTTGTGTGGAGTACTTGATTGCGATGAAATCATCCGGTTTTTCCCGTAGTAAATCTTGTAAAAACTTGTCGTCGATACTAGCCAGGTTAATGATCGTACACCCGTCTGCTGCAATTTGTATTCTCGCGTGAACCGAGAAATCGCTTATGACCTTTATGTTGCAGTTTGTAGGGCTACAGCTGCCATCATCGTTTGTATCTAACAGCTGCGATAGGCCCTCTCGGACCTGCTTGAGTAACTTGGACCTAACTATCTGAGCTGTTGGAAACTCTTTTGGCTGTCCGATGTCCTTGAAGTTAATATTTCGGATAGCTGTGTTTAAAGACGATGTGGGAACCCATTTGGAGGTGCTAGCTTGATTCTTCACAAGCAGAGCGTTTCTATTGTTTATATACGAAGTTGGCCCTTTTTTCCTTGCTGGCACAGCTATGTCTAGCACAAATGGTTTTTGCTTGTCTTTATTGGCCTCATCCACCAATTTGACTTGAGTCAACAGATCTTTCGGACTGTGCAGTCTGGTGATCCTATCCAGCCGCATTGGCGAAGCCAAGATCGAAGCAAACATATTGTTCTGCAAGCATATGCTGGTTCGCGGTACTTTGCTTGCATCGCGGAAATACAGTTTTCGTGGTTTGCCAGCCCATTTATCAAAACGTTCAATTACTGGAGACACCTTACAGTTCGGTTTTGGGGCAATCCGTCGAGCTTTCCCGCTAATGAGCATTTCCATGCTGTGAATTAGCACATCGGGCTTCGACTGTTTCATTCCAGAAAGGTCTTCGAAACTAAATACCTATACACATAAAATCTACAAACTATAGAGGCGCGAACATGCATAAAAACATTCACAGCTTTTTAAACCATTTATGGTCTTGATGTAGTAAACTTAAACTCTATCCAAGATCGTCAAGTTCTGGAACTTTGAGTCAAAAGTCGATTTCATTTAGCGATGATGTTTTGACATACTAATATATTCAAATTTAATGAATTTGAGTCCATTGTTGAAAAATTTCGAGTTTAAGGTTCGTTCTTTCGACTTTAAGCATCAACGCACATTATATGAAGTCGCGGAGAGTTGTCTTGTATACTTTGGGAGTGAAATAGCTGGGTAGAATAATTTGGAGTGCATAGCTATTTAGGTTTGGTCTGCTCTTTTTCGTCCACATCAGTGAAGCTCTAAGTGAGTCCTGTTGAGATGATGAAAATTCTTGGATCTCGATTCTTTTCAACTTTGGAAAAAAGTGCTTCTGCCACTGTTATTCAGCAGAAGTTTAGAGACTCAATGGCTACCATGGGCAGCCAGGCCATGATCTTGACATCGGCTGGTCCGACAAGCATGCCGCACTCTTCGTTCCGGGGTGTGACGCTCAGTTCTGTAAGCTCGTTATCACTGAAACCGCAGCCAATGCTGCAATTCAACTTGCAACTCCCGTCTTTTACGTCGGAGTCGCTGCATGCACACAATTATTTCGCAATACACCTTTTGAAACCTGATTCTAGATCCAAGGCCTTGGCCAGGACCTTCAGCAAGGGAGCCACGACGCACCACGACAGTGGGAAAATTATTCCTACACAGCCTTTCAAAGACCTAACTGAATCTGTGCATTACAGCACTTACAAGTTGAAGTTAAATGAATTGGTAATTCCGATGCTGGCAAACGCAGAGCGCGTGTTTATATGTCAAAAGAAAGATGTGTTCAAAGTCGGGGACCATGAGGTTTGGATAGGCATTGTCGAGGACATCATTGAAAATAATACGCTGGGCGCTACAAAAATTACTGGGGGGCTGATCTACTGCAACAGAAAATTTCATAAACTTGGTGGGCACATTGAATGATCCTCTCGGAAGGTCGATCATCATTAAAAGCACTGTTTATAAGGGAGAGAAATAGCGTGCATATATATATATATATAAACTTTAAGTTCAATCGAATGCTTAATGTAAATGCAGGAAGAGTTTGAAAGCAAATTGGCGACAACCTGGAACTATAATTCAGCCCTCAGGGACTACGGTTCCGATTGCGGTAAAGTGATTGATTTATGTTGATCGCATCGGGGTCGTTATGTTCCTCAATTCGGTTTCCTGACATGAAGTAGTCTGTCATATTGTTGTTACTGACGTCTCCGCCCTTTTTGGAAAACAAAAGACTGTTCAAAGAGCCGAAAGAGACATTTTTCTTATGTTTCCGGAGGTTATGAGGTACCCCATGGGTCAAACTGTGCGAACTGTTCCCAGATTTGGCATTGGAATACACACTGTGCGGCGCCTCCTCGTTTGAGGAAGACAGATTTCCGCCGCTACCATTCTTACGCAAATGAACTTGAGAACCTCTTGTGATGGGGCCCGTCTCGGCTACTCTGGACGCTGAAGGTGACCTTTCGCCCGTCTTCCCTATGTTGGTCTGTTGCTGAAACTGTTGCTGTTGTTGCTTCTCAAGCTTTTCGCCCGAAAAATCACGATCGTTTACCTTGACCTGGGGAACAACAGACGCTTTGCTCCGGTCAACGTTGGCCGTGTGTTCTGCCACGGGATCCAATCCCGGTGTTGAACTTTGGGATGTTGGCCTTACGGGGATCGCAAAGTATCCACCTCCACTACTGGCATGACTAGCAGGTGAGTTTACAGGTAATTTTCCAGAGCCATCCGAGCTCCCACCACTAGGGGTTACGCCGCCTGAAAGTCCACTTGGAGTCCTTACTTTCTGTGGAGTAAGCCCGCCACCAGAACTGACAGCTGTCATTCCTTTACTGGTGATCGCAAAACCTTGGCTCATTGACGATGGAACAGGATCTTCGGGTGCAGAAGTCCCGCGTCCACTTCCACCGGCACTAGGAGACCTTGCCTCTGCATTATATTGACCCACAGGTGAAGACACTCCAGAATTACTCTTAGTTGATGGGGGACGACCCTCACCAGCTAAGATCAAGTTGCCGTTGTCATCAATTGCTGGGGTGTTAACTTTCGCTCTAGCTCCTGTCATATCGTGATAATCTTGAGAGCCAAGATGTATATATTGGGGCTTGTTTTGAGAGCGTTGGCTTCTCTCTAATGGCGCTTTATTCGGGCTTTTGACATCACCGCTCATTTTCAGTAGGTTAACAGAGCTAGCGCGAGAATGAGCACGTAGGATCTTTTCCTCGATAAATTTCGCCCTTTCAAGGGAATTATCGAAATTACTCAAATTTTTGACTTCGGACAGCCATTTCCTCAGGTCTTTGGCGTCGTCCGTATTGGGGCCAGAGTTGACAGCCTTGAAAACCCAAACAGCAACGTTATCAGAGTTATCCGGTTTTTCTGCTGCCTCCCAACCGGTAGGCCCAGAGACGGAGCTGTGATGGCCGTCCTTTTTGTTACTGTGACCTTTTGCACCACTTTTTAAGAACTTTTGAATGGACGAGGTAGATTTCGAGATCATCTTGCCAGTCTCCGTTGACTTTTTGTCGAAATTACTGGCCCAAATATTTCCTCGAACACTGAATTTGCTGTCGGTTGCCTCGATCACCTTTGCACTATTCAGATAGAGACTGACAACAGGCACCATTCCTCGTTTCTTGCCACCCGCCTGTACTTCTCCATGGTCTTTTTTTTCTGAACCATCCTGAGATAGTTTGAAGAAATTACTGGATTTAAATTCATGCAGATAGTTACTGGTTAGAACGTAGTAACTTTTATTGTAATTCTTCAGAACTTGAGACTTTTTCAGCAAATATCCCGCTTTTATGCACTTTGCCATGGATGATTTCATCTTTGGGTATCGAATGTCCGAAAGTTTCCGGGGTTGTGGAATGGGCTCTGTTGATCGCCAATTTATCAAGCATTTTGGATGGTGGCCAACAAGATGGTCCCATTCCACTGCTGGAGGCTTGCTTAGCATTCCTTGGTGTAGTTCGTTGCAAAGATTACTGATCGAAATACGAGCCGCGGTACTGACCAATGCTGAGTAACGTTGCAAAGTATGCTGTATTTCCCCATAAATGATTTTCTCGAGTTCCAAACCTGATGATTGCAAGTTAATATAAGCCTCTTGGAGATAGTTTTCTTCCAAAAGTTGACGCTTCAGTTGAAGATCCAGCTGCAGTTTCAACAAGTAAGGATCATGCTTTGGTTTCAATTTTTGGCCCTTTGTTTTTAACACATGTGTTTTCTCCTCGTCAGTGGACATAAATTTAACAGCAGCTGTGTATTTTTGTAGCAACTGACCGGTTAATGCGATGTGTTCTCCGATATTGGTCTTGAAATCGTTGTGTAGCTCTTTTATCTCCTTTATTTTAGCCTGCAAGTCTTTACGAAGATCGTCAAGCTTGGGGACCACAACTGCGCTTAACTCCTTGGACATTTTGATCTGCTGGTTCCCAATCGATGTGTGGTATTTCTTTAGCACGACTTGAACGTCCTCAATGGATCCAGATCCAAACTTCATGAAGCCGGATGGCGCAGACGAATCGTCGCCGGATGCAACGGGAGCACTGGTTTTGAAATCCAACGTGGAGGCATTTGAGCTTTGGAACGCCGAATCGTCCTCTGAGCCTCTCCGGCCACTTTGGGCACTAGAGCCGCTGGGGTTTGATTGGGCTTGGCCAGGCCTTCTTGCTCGTTGTTGGAAGGGATCGACAACTCTATTTGTGGACTCTTCCAGATCCGTGAGAAACGAGAACTTGATGTTCGTGCGTAAACCATAGTTAATGCGCGCAAACCGTTCCTGGGCGTACGCCACTTCACGCAAATAGTTGGCCAGTCCTTTGAGAATCTTGCGCCATTTGGTGAATCTGTCGAGCAAAATGTCTGTGGGATATTCGCGAACGAAACCTGTAGCAAGATCCTGGCCAGGGTCCGACAAATCTGAGGCCATTGCTGAGTAGCTCGGCGTGGGCACATTGACGTAATATGGTGAATGAAAGTCCGTTTTGGGCAAAATCGTCTCGCTTTCATCGGATGGATCAGAGAGATCCATCAAATATCCTGAATCAGTCGAAAACATGCTACTGGCATCGTCCTGATCCGTTTCCGGAGTCAACAAATGTGACTTTGACACATCGTCGAGACTATCCTCGTAGTCTTGGCTCATCACAACCTTGATTTGACCACTTGTTGGCTAGCTAGGGCCTGTATAATATTAGCAATGAGGTTAAAGCCCAAAAATCACCCACAAAGATCAAAAAACAACAGAAAACGCAGCTTTGCTTGAGTGGTATTCACAGCTCCCAGTGTGTCTTATTCAAGCTATTAATGAAGATCAAAATCAAGCGTTTTAAGCCGCTTGATATTGTATTTTGGCGAGGTTCTCAAGAGCAAGTTTCAATGGCAATGGGCCCCTTTTATAAATTCTAGATCAAATATTTTTTGGGTGGCTTGATCTTTAAATATCAAAATGTACGATAGGGCTAAAGTACTATAGTGTCTACTATATATTATGGTACCGGATAAACGCGAAAATCCCCTCATTTTAGCCTGGCGCGGGGATGAAAGACTGACATCGGTGACTCGTAGTCATGCTAGCTGCTTGTTCTTGCGGGAAAACTTGCGTATAGAAATTTTTCCGCAAGGATTTCGAGCATTTTTGGCCGAGTTAAAGCGGATTAAAAATATGTATGCCACGTCCAGGGTTCGTGTCCTGCGGAAGTTTCTGACACGCCAGCATGTCATCAGCAGACGAGAACGGCTAAAGAGAAAAATTCTATACACTAAACGACGAATAATAGCAGTGGCGAGGAGATGCCAGTGACAGTGACAGAGGGTCTTTACGAATGTTCGCTTCAACGTTTCCTGTCTTGGTTATCGGTCAGCGGTGTCTAAAAAAAAGAGAAGAAAACGAGTTTTTGGGAGTGAAGTTTTACAGAAATCTATCAATCCTGTAGGTGTAAGTGTAGTATTAGAACCGGACCATGACATGCGGTGCTAAGGTTTTCTTGTGAATGACACAAATATCTTGTTTTAATGTATTTATTTTTCTTTTGCCAAACAGCGTTCATTGTTGAGGCCACCATTCAATGGGCCTCCGTAGCAGGCTTGTCCTGAACTCGGCCACGTTTGCTGATGATCCGTTTGGCCACGCTCAACATCTTGCAAAACCACACGAGATTCAAAATGTCCAAAATCAGGTTTCCTGACACAATGGTCAACGTTTCAAGCGTCAGAAACCGCGGGTCGTGACGCACCTGCCAGAAATCACTGCACAACCGGAAAATTTGGTACCATCCCCACACGATGCGCGAGCCACAGAACACCGCGATCAAAACCACGTTGTTGGCTAGCTGCAAAAAGTTCGACAGACGGGTAGTGAGCGATTGGTTGTTTTCTGAAAGCTGGGGCGAGAATTTAATGCCAAACCACCGAAAATTCAAAAACGGGTTCGAAAGCTCGAACATCAAAAACGCTGGCGCATAAAACTGGATGTACGGTTTCAAACCAATCGAAAACATCACCGCGGACACCGCTCCGTGTAGCACAAAGGGCAGGGACGAGTAGAAAACAGAGATCACAGCATCCCACACGAAATACCCGATCGCGAACACGCAAATCACATCTGTCTCCACTTCGTGGTGGAAAACACGCAGCTGAGCCGTTGGGTGTGTCGTGTTACGTCCATGGGTGCGACAATACTTGACACACACGTACAGAATCACCACACTCTGTACCAAACTCACAAAGTGCAACGCGGCCTGGTTTACCAATCCACGACGGCCCCGATGCGAATGGTCCTTGCTATGCGCAAGACGCCACTGCACTAGCGGCGGGAACAGTATCCATTTGCTCACCAGGAATACCAGATGGTAAAACAGTGCCACGTACAGCACCGAGTGCAAGTTTGAGAGAATTTTGGGCGATTCCACCAAACCTTTTACAGCCAAGGTATCGACAATACGGTTCCAGAAGGCCCCCGGAGGCTGTAGATTCATCAACCGCGCTATGCTAGTTTCCATGGCGAGCTTTCCGGGATGTCTAGGCGCTGTTCAAGCCGTGTTTGTGCTTACTTTCGACTACCGAGTGCTCGAGAACTCAATAAACTTTCAAGATTTCATTACATGATCTTATATACGTCGCATATGAAAATCATCGTTAATGGTGAAAGAATGATAGATAGGACAAAAAATGTAAATAGTAGCCTAACTAATGGGCAAAGAGCATAAATGAGTTCACATGTGTGATTGAACAGCCTCAATTGTGCTATGGGCTATTTTTCAGATCTTTCTAGCTGCTCAGAGAGACTAAAATCGTCAAAAGCCGAGGGGGTGACGTGAACAGTTCAAAAAAATTAAATTCTATAATCTCAGACCTATACTTTCTGATAGAAGACACTTTTCAGTAGCAAAACCAGCATCTTTTATGCTTAAAACTGGTTCTTAAAAGTTGTTAATTTTCAACGGTTCCCTATCACGTGACTAATTTCTATCGTAAAATGTCTTTGAACAATGGGAACCCTTACACTTGTACGACGACGACGGAGAGAAAGTTGAAATGTAAGCGTTTGAGAAATAAAAGAGTGCCAATCAGCGTTAGACGTTTACCTCAACTTTTAGTGAGTAGCAATTTCATCTGAGTCGCTGAATAGCTCGCTTTACATCTTTACATTTACCGTTCCATTCATTCAATTCATTCCCTACTTGACCAAAAAAACACCTAAATAGTACGTATTTCGTAGGCAGATCGTCTGCCAAACACCAGCATTATCTGGACGTGTCAACCACATATCTGCCGACGATCTCGCCCTTCTGCATTTTGTCGAAAATGTCTGGTAATTCCGACAATCCTGCGATTTTGATGGGCGATTTGACCAGACCACGCGCGAAAAAGTCCAGCGCCTCGCGTGTGTCTGCACGGTTGCCCACATAGGAACCCACGATTGAAGTCGACCTCACCACCTGAGAGAAAACTTCGGACTTGCAGTAGGCGCCTCCTGGCAAACCAACCAGCACCACGGTGCCGTTGGCCCTTACATACCTGGTGGATGACTCAATTGCAGCTTCTGAAACCGAGACGTTGATGACCCCGTGGGCTCCACCGTCCGTCGCTTCCAAAATGTCTTGGACGATGTCCTTGGACTTGCGGAAATCGACGAATACTTCACCGCCAAGCTGTAGGAAAAGCTGCTCTTTTTCTGCACCACCGTCGATTCCCAGAACACGGTAGCCCATTGCACGCGCAAACTGCACGGCCAAAGACCCGAGTCCTCCACAGGCTCCCGATACAGCCACCCATTGACCGGCTTTGAGATTAGCAGACTTGAGGGCCTTGTAGACGGTGATACCGGCGCACAAAATAGGTGCCACTTCGGCCAGGTCTGTGCCCTGGGGGATTTTAGCAGCCTGCACTGCGTCGGCAGTGCAGTATTGTTGAAACGAGCCGTCGTGGGTGTAGCCGGACAAGTCTGCTTCCGGACAATTGGACTCGTTTCCCAGCTCGCACGATTCACAACTCATGCAAGAACCGTTGAGCCATTTGACGCCTGCCAAATCGCCAATTTTCCAGCCCTTGACGTTTTCGCCCATGGCAACCACAATTCCGGCGCCTTCGTGGCCTCCCACAAGTGGCAACTTTACAGCAAGTGGCCAATCGCCCTTCCATGCATGCAAGTCCGTGTGACACACACCGGAATACTTGATGTTGATGAGCAATTCGTTGGGTTTTGGTTGGGGCACATCGATGTCTTTGAACTCGAGGTCACCGCCATTCTTGTAAAATACGACGGCTTTCTGGGTGTTTGGAATTTCGTGCGCAGACATTGTTAAATTATTTCTTACAGGATAAGAAGAAGAGTTGGCAAAAGTGGATTGGATGATATACAGCTATTGTTCGACAAGTGCTGAAGTGCTTATGATGATAGGAATGTATAGAAAACCTAAAAGATGAGAGTTATGTCTCAGATACCGTGGGTGTCAAAACAACTCAATTTATATGTGAAAGATGAGGTCCGTCCGCACTTGAAATTGAACAACAACAAACTCGTAGAAGTTGCCCCACGCCGCGAAGCAGCTTCGTTTGAATGGTGGTACCCAGGTTTGGTTTTGTTGGATGTCATCTTCAAAGGAAGACGGATGATAGTGCCACTGCTAACAGCCGTGGAATGGCAGTCATGCCATTCCATACAAAAAAGCGGCCCATGGTGGTGCGTCCGCTTTCCGAGCTCGTTAATAATCATGCCATGTTCGCTACAAAGGGCTATGGGGTCATTGTTCTAATTAGTTGAGCTTGACACAGGGTAATAAAGGGTCTGTTTCTGAAGAAGAAGTCTAGTTTGTCAATGGGTCAAGCGAGACTTCTTTTTTGGACTGCAGGGGGCGTGATGGTGTGACATCGGGAGAAGTAACAAGTCCGCAAAAAGGGAAGAGGAAGAGACTGGACAACCGGAGATGTCGAGAGAAAGGAAAGAGGAACCAACACATGAGGACAAAACACGAAACTTGCGTTACTGACGGTTGCATTATGTCCTCGGACACCGTGTTATCGAAAATTTGAAGTGGCACATGTTTTGTAACCAGGGTAGCGTTTGGTTGAAAAGCTCAGCTGGTCTGCTTGACTTACAACTATTACGTCTCGCCACCGTAAGCTTGTGAACTTAATGGTGCAGAAAATGGTTGTGTAAGTTATTTTAAAATATGTGTGTTCTTTTATAGAATTCTGGCAGTTGTTCTGCCCTTTAGGAAAGTGCGAAGTTGAAGGTTGAATTTAGGTAGTTTGGTGACAAATTATGAGACTACTTGAGAGGTAATACCACCAAGGTAGGTGGTGGGACGCGAGTCAGTGGAGACTGACGTCATGTTCGGCAGAGGGCAGACAACTAGTAGTTATTTAGATTCGGAGGGAGTTTTTGTTCAAGATTTGTTCGCTTGTCATAATTACAAGTGGCTATACGCACATTTGGTAAAGAAGAGCAATGTGCAGAGGCTCGTTTGTTTGGTGGATTGTATTGTATATGCGAATATGTTGAAGGGAAATATCTATATTAATTAAAGCACTATATCGAGAAAACGACACACCAGGACAAAGTGATAGAGAGCAGGCGACTGTGTGTGTGGTTGAGGCTTCTTTCTCTTCTAAACACGCGAAAAGACGGGCTGTATTTCCTGGATTGCAGCGTTTTCGATGTAATTGGTCTCTGGCTTCTTGGATGGGTCGTTGTCCATGGACCGGACCGAGCTCTGCTCCTCCAGCACAGTCTGGGACGCCTTTTGCATGACCCGTTGATGGGCCCGGTAAGCAGGAACGCCCTTGGTGAACAAATGGTCCATGTCCTCGAGCGCAATACCCTTGGTTTCCGGCACCAAAAAAAACACAAATGGGACTGCCAAAGCGGCCACAGCGGCGAAAAAGAAAAAGATCCCGTATTGCATCTTGTCTATCATGGTGGACGTGAGCCGGGTCATGATGAAAATGGGGACCCACGACATGGCGGCATTGATGGCCTGGACAAAAGTGCGGATGTTTTGTTCGAAAACCTCAGAACTCCACACGAAGGGCCCGCCAGACCAGGCCAGAATGAACGACGCGGTCCACATGAACATAAACGCGATTGCGGCGGTCCCTCCGGGACCTGCGACGTTTCCGGGTTTGGTAGGGTCGTTGATCTTCAAATACGCTCCCAAATACCAAAAACACAGCGAACAGGCCGAAGCAGAGATCATGAACGCCTTACGTCTTCCGAAATTGTCCACGATGAACAAAATGTAGATGAACGTGCAGATAAACTTGACCACGCCAAACATCCCGGACGAAAACAACGTAGCATTGGTGCCCTTGACCCCGATGTTGGCGAAAATCTTGGGCGAGTAATAGTTGATCGACTGGATTCCCATGAAGTTGGGGATCACCAACATGCACGCACTGATCACCAATCTGCGGGCATATTTGCGGTTGCGTACAAACACTTCTTTGGCAGGATCCAACAAGCCGGGTCCAATCTGAGCACTCTGGGCCTCTACCGAGTCCCGGATGGTATTGATCTCCCATACCATGTAGCCATTGTCCGAAGGCAGATTACGTAAGAAGCACAGGTTGCGGATGGCCTCTTCGTGCCGATTGACCTGGAACAGCCAACGTGGGGACTCGAGCATCACGAACGACCCGACGAAAAAAAGTCCTGCGGGGATCAGCTGCACGCCGACGGGGATAATCCACTGTTTGTTACCCGGGGGGACGTGCTGGCTGATTCCGTAATTAATCCAGAACCCCACAAGATCGCCCACACGCCAGCCGATCTCGAACGCTGCGATGATTTGGCCACGAATGGGTGCCGGGGACACCTCACTGAGATAAACCACGGTTAAGTTGGTGGCGGCGCCTACGGTGAGTCCCGTAAACACACGGCCAAGGTAGATGGGAGCCAAATGGCCCGCTACCCCGCCCAACATAACCGCTGCGCCAATAGTAGCGATTCCAGCCGCTACTATAAGCGCCACTTTACGGCCATAGTAATGGGCTAGTGGATATGACAAAAGGGCACCAAAAAACGCCGCCGCGTGGAAACACGAGATCAGGTTGGATACGGTGTCGTCTGTGTGCGTAGTGTTGGGAGTTAGTCCGAAATTTGCGAGAAAGTGTTCGTTCGTGAAACAGGCGCCCACAAACCCGGTGTCGTAGCCAATAAGCACACTGGCCGTTGAAGCTACCAGTGCTGTACCATAGATACGCCAATTGTAAACTTCTGGTGGAGTTGGTCTATCTTCGGTCTTGGCGAAGATATTTTTGAGTTTGAGCATATTATGGGGTGCAGGGGTGTCAGGGTGTTCGGGTGTCAGGGACCAGCCTATTGATACTCCATGTATCAGATTTAGGACGAATGGGAGTCAGGTTCCCTTCGCAGTTAACTTTTACTGTTTGCTCTTATACTATACAGTCGCCAACCACTACTCGCCCGGTCATGGCCCCGATTCGTCCTGTTTACGGAGCACCGGTCGATACAGACCGCTCCCCGGCGCCCTTAAACCGAAATGCCCAGAAAACGTGGAGGGGTGGACCCCCTTTAAGCGTGGATCGAGCAGCTTCATCGAGACTATATCCGCCGTCGATCCACCGGCTATGTTTAGAAACGCGGGGTAGTGCGTTCCGGCACAGAAAGGGCCGCACAAACGCAAGCCAAGAACAAAGGTAAAATGTGGGTGGACAGAATGGCTGGCCACCGTGTTTGACAGACACTACGGGGAGTGGTACTAATCGCACATGCATTACGTCATCGCACACACGCCGGACATGTATAGCAAATCTTGTGCGGGGTTGGGGGATCTGGGGAAGGGTATAGCGGGTGTGGGTGTGTGGGTGTGTGGGTGTGTGGGTGCTATAATATTATGTAATCATTGTAGTGGTCACGTGTGTGTATATGAAAAAGGGAATAGTGGGTGTTTGGGTGGGTGGGTGTTATGATATTACGTAATCATTATGGTGGTCACGTGTGTGTATGAAGAAGGGGATAGTGGGTGTTTGGGTGCTATAATATTACGTAGTTATAATCAAATTCACGTGTGAATCTATACACGTGACTTCTTCCTCTGTTTAGAAGACCATCGTCTGTCACGGATCCAAAGACTTACGTAATCTTGGCTGTAGTCACATGTCATCCTTTTGCACATGCCTTACTCTCCTCACTTCTTCAACTTGAACCTGCAGTCGTTGCAACTGGAGTTTCCCTCTACCTTCTGTCGAACCCTACTACCATCAGCTATTCACTCAATCAAACCGCATGTTAAGCGTGCGCTCTTCTTTTCGAGTCTCAAATAGCAAGCCATCGTTAGCAAACAACATATGGACATGCCTTGAACCCTGTAGTTGGTGCCATGTGTTGACGACGGCGACGTAAAAGAGCAAAGTGATTATTCTATTTTCTAAATGCTTTCTGTCATCTGCCAAAGGCTAATGACAGCTTCTTGATGATTCCTATATCTTCTATAAATCTGGAGCCGCAGAGCGATGAAAGCTCATCACCGATTCGTTGAACCGTCCTACTAAATCTTGTGAAAACCCACTGTCTAACTTAATCGATCTTGTGCGATGGCCCGCCCAGTTCCGAGCCATCGACCGAACCCACCCCACCAGCGCGCTCAGGTGCGTTTCGATGAGTGCAGGGTGTAAAGACAAGCAACACATATTCCTAACCCGCTGAGTCCAATCCCCATGTACCACGCACCACGATAACCCTTCAAAATATGGTCTCCCTCGGGGTCGATACGGGACTCGATGGTACCGGCAAACCCAAGACCTAAAGAAATTGAGTAATTAACAAAAGTGTTGACCAGTGATGCCGCTAAACCTTGATGTTCCTTGGGCATGCAATTGCTCAGCAGTATCGTTGCTGCTGGAAAAGACATATCCATGCCCCAAGGCATCACAATGATGGTTAGAAACGTTTGGGCCCAATATATTTGGTTCACTGGTGCGGTACCGATCAAAATCCCACCAACGGTAAATGCTGTCATGGCAAACAACATCACAAAACTGGGTCGTACATGACTTAGCATAAACCCGGTGGTTATAGCGGCACACAACCCGCTGACGGCTACCGGTACAAGCTGCGCACTCGTTAGCAATGGGCTGTGGCCCCGCAAAACTTCTAGCATTCTCACCAAATAATATAGCCAGATCCCAAAAGATGACCACCCCGTCGATATACATGCAAGAACGAATGCAACGTCTTTTGTCAGGTATGGGAAGGGGACTAGGGGATACTTTGCTCGTTTTTCCACAAACACAAACGCACCGATGGATATAAACCCAACTATGAGAAGAATATAGTTGTATGGCGTAGGCCATCCAACTACGGGGCCCTGATTCCATGCAAAATTTATCAATACCAGTCCCGTTACACCAGTGATCGATCCCCAGATATCCACATGTTCGATGACGGTTCCTGCCAGTCTCGGCGATGGTGTATGAGGAATGACCACCGTACCGGCTAAGGCTAGCACTAGACATGCAATCGCCATGACCCAAAAAGACCATGGCCACCACAAGAGCTGACTGAAAATCGAAGAAAAGACGGCGCCTAGCACAAAACCGCTTGGTGCCGTGGCACCAAACAAGCTAAACACCAGATTCTTGCGTCGACCAGGTTCGTACGTTCTGCCCAGGATCCCTAGCGCATTCGGCAGCAAAAAAGCAGGTCCCAAACCTTGGAAAGCCCTACAACAGTTGAAAAAAATGCGGTTTGAGTAAACGCTGAATCCTGCAAGTAATGACCACAAAGCATACCACATGAATGCCATCACAAAAAGTCTTTTATGACCGAAAAGATCGCCCAAACGACCCGCAATTAAAATAAAAGTGCCCACCGTAAGGGAATATGCTGCTGAAAACCAACTGAGCTCTCCTGGTTGAGTGGTGCCAAAACTATCCCCAATAATGTCCACCGGTACTATCGACTGCGCCAGACCTGCCTGTGTCATCAATTGCGCACAACACACTACCGCCACGAACACGGTTTCTTTGAAAAGCGACTGTGGCCTTTCAACATGACTCTGGGTTGGCTCTATCTCATCTAGCTGTGCCTTTTCCACGTCTGTTCCTTCCAAACCCATTGTAGAGTCGCTACTCATTTTTTGCTCTTCTACTGCCTCCATATAATTCACCTTTTAGTTGAACTGTTCTGAAAACCTGAATAGCGATTATCTTTTATCACTTATAATCAAAGAAACACCAGGATATCGTTATTTGTAATTCTTTATAATCAATTATATAATTATTTGGTATACGAGCTGATGCTGCGAGAGAACGTTCAACACTTGCAGGTCTTCGTCTCTGTCCTTATAACTTCTTCTTCAGATACTCTGTTCTAGAGTCTTTATCCTAATATCCTGATATATCCGTCCTCTTTCTAACTGTTCTTGTTTGTTACCAACAGCTCATCTATTTATGCCAAGCATTGGGATTGCCCAGACGGTAATCGGACTTGGCACCCATATTTAATCTCAAAAGATAATATACGTCTATATCCTATAGGATTTCACCGTCTATATCCGATAGGATTTAACCGATAGGATTTAACCGTCTAACGACATTGTTCGGCTTGTTTAAGTTGGTTGCCTCGAATAAATTTCTCTCCTCTCGCAAGCTGTCCTCCTGCAGGTTCCCCCCGTACAAGTTCTCTTCTGACGAGCTCTCTCCCCCCACCGGAAACAATATGAAAGCTATTCAACTTCAAGGACAGGCTCCTCCAAACACGGTTTTGATCGACATTGATACTCCAACGCCAGGTCCTGGAACGGTTCTGGTTAAAATTCGAGCCTCTGCTATACAACCTAGTGACCTGCTTAATGCCAAGGGAGGATTTCCATACACTACGTTTCCGAGAATCTGTGGTCGTGATTATGCCGGAACCATTGTATCCGGACCAAGAGCTGGTGAGGACGTTTACGGAACCAGTGGATTCACATATGCTTTCACCAAGGACGGATTTCATGCAGAGTATGCTCTAGTTGCGGAAGATGCTTTGGCAAGGAAACCCAAAAACCTGTCTTTTGTCCAAGCCGCATGCATCGGAGTTCCTTTCACCACCGCCAAACTGGTTTTGCGTAAGGCCAACGTAAAAAGCTCAGATACAGTTCTGGTAATCGGGGCGGGTGGATCTGTGGGTTCAGCTGTTGTTCAAGTGGCCACCGCTATTGGTTGTCGAGTTTTGACAGCAGGACGCAACGACAAGATGGATGTGAATACTACCAAGGATGTGGAATTGGCAAGCGTTTCTGCACTTACCAACAAGAACGGCGGCGTTGACGTTGTGATCGATACCGTAGGAAGTCCGGCGATCACCAAAGCTGGAATCAAAATTTTGGCGCATGGTGGGAGAATCGCCATAATCGCCGCACCCGGCCAAGTCGATCTTACTTTCGATATGAAAGACTTGTATCGTCATGAAAAATCCATCATTGGCTGCAATTCGTTGTCGTACGATGCTCACACCATGGCTTTAGATATGGCTGAGTTGGCGCCTGATTTCGAAAGTGGAAAGTTGCTACCTCCAAGGGAAGAGTTGTGGACTCCCATAAATCTACAGGAAGCATTGCAAGTGTACAAAATGGACAAAAAAGGTGTCGAAAAGTACGTGATAGTCATGGACCATTGAGATGGTTGACCTACAAACACTGGATATGCTTACTGGAAGTTGGAGGGGCCTGGTCGAAGCTGAGAAGGGTCCGTGATGCTTGTTATGCCGCACGTATTGTGCAGAATTTACCTTTTGAAAACGTTGTAATCGTTCATCAGCTATTAACGTTGGTGCTCCGTTCATATGTCCCGGATTGACAAGGGTAGAAAAAGATTAGCGCTTCATCCAATATTCATTATTTGAACTGGTAAAAGTGCATTGCGCCGTCGAAATGCATTCATCAAACAGCGTTCTATGTGTTAAGACCACACCTGGGGTTTATTGCGCTCTTTTGCAGTAGGCGCCTGTTGCAAGAAGCTCTTATTCGACCTGCCAAAATGTTTAAATACTTTATATCATGCGTGTTGGGGGTAGTAGTTTTTATGATACTCTTTATACAACGAATAGTCCAATCTCTGGCAGGATTTTCCAATGTCTTAGTTACGCTTGTCGTTAGCGTTTTCTGCGTCCTTAGAAGCCAAGAGCAAGGCTGCACGATTCATCTGTATAATGTTTGCCAACTGCTTGAACAAGTAACCTGGCAGACACACCACTGCGATGACGCCGGCAACGTGGGTTTGCCCCACGAGAGGCAAGTTGAAGTGCCATAGCTGCGGGAATGCATATAGATACAATGCAAGGTAGAACAGCTCGTTGAAGGCGCAGATGGTAAACAGCGCAGACCGACGGCTGTAGTACAGGTGCAAAAGCCACTGTTCCTTCTCGATAGTCTTATGAGATGCACCACCGGAAGTGAGCGTCGCGTACATGTGCATGTAGTGGCTGGAAAGGTCTAGCGAAACCAGGAGTTGGAATATTGGGGCGTATTTAGGGTACGCGACACACAGATAGCAAATCAGCGAACTGGTGGTCGACCGGTCCGTTACCATGTCCAAAACGGCCCCAAAATTGCTGGTTTGATTATATTTCCGGGCCATCGTTCCATCCAGTGCATCCAGCAGACAAGACACTCCATATATCCAAGTTGTCCATATTGGATGGTTTGGCATCAAGAAAAACGACAGTATCGCGGTAAAAACACGCGTGAAACCAATTTGGTTGGGAATGTACCATAAAACCTGTCTGGCAGTAACGTTAGCCATAATTGAAGACCCAAATATTGCGTATTCGAGCTATTCTACTCAAGAGTTTTGATTATATTCTCCTAAAAACAAGCTTTTTTTCAAGCGTTACCTAATTTTTGATTGATGCTCTCTACCATAGTATAGAATGAGATGAGATTTTGCCATACTAAGAGAGTCGACGACAGCGACAAGCCAAGAATTGAAGAGAGATTAAGATTTATAAATCTCATCAGTTAATTTGAAGTGAATGCTGTATTTAAATCTCGTGTGTTTTTACAAGATTTGTGTGTATGTCTTTAACATTATAACGAGGGTGTACAGTCAGCCTTGATAGAGCCAAGGCTGGCACCAACGAGTAAAAAACAAACAAAACTTCTGGCTTGGATATCATATTAGAGGAAGATGATTGGGCATAGTGTGCACAGAATAATTGTATCCAAACACCTCTCTCTGGCTATGACAAAGTGGGAAACATTAGGAGCTGGCTCATCCCAGATGATTAAGGCTCACAAACTTACATATTAATGTACAAAATACTTCAATTCCAAAAAATTTACATCAAGAGGAGGTATGGGTAGTTTATTGTTGTTAAGTTGATCAAAGTTTCTGTAACGAGCGTTCATATTTCCGATGAGGTTTCAAGATGTCACTTCAAAAGAAGCACATTTAGAGAAGAGGCTGTCAACATGAACAAAGGAGAATCCTTTGTATCACTAAAACCTCTTTCCCTAAACGTAGATTAAGCTTCCTATAATGACCCCCCGGTGGAAAACATTCACAACTCGCTTCAACAAAACTAGGATCGCAAAATGCGTGATGAAAAAAGCAGGAGTTTTCTTTAAAGTTATTTGAGGAAAAGTAGCAGGTGCGAGAACTCAGCTTAAGAGGACTGGGCAGCCTTGGCGATTTGGTCTCTCTTGACCTGGGCCTTGGCACCGACTAGACCACCACCCCAGTGCTTCTTGACCTCGTCGTACTTCTCCAAGTAGTTGGCGTTGACAGTAGAGACCAACTTGGCTAGAGCAGCCTCGTCTTCCTCTCTGACTTCAGCCAAAGCAGCGACAGCAGACTTCTTCTGGTTAACCAAAGTTCCAAGTCTGGCCTTACCCTTCACGATGGCGTATGGAACACCCATCTTCTTGCACAAAGCTGGCAAAAAGACAACAAGCTCAATTGGGTCAACGTCGTTGGCAATCAACACAAGCTTGGCCTTCTTGTTCTCAATAAGAGAGACAACGTGGTTCAAACCGAACTTGACAGCGTAAGGCTTTGGAGAAGCTTCTTGCTTGGACTTACCTTCAGCGTAGGCAGCAGCCTCCTTGGTTAGTCTCTCCTTCTTCTCGGCCTGGGATTCAGGTCTGTACTTGTTGAAAAGCTTGAAGGTCTCAGAAGCAGTGTTTCTGTCCAAAGTGTGTTGGAACTGAGCAATGGTAGGAGGAACCTTAAGTCTCAAAGACAAGATCTTCTTCTGTCTTTGAAGTCTAACGTACTCTGGCCATTTCACGTATCTAGACAAGTTTCTCTTTGGCTGGATGTCCTGACCAATACCAAAGCTCTTTGGGGAAGAGTTGGTCAATGGGTTCTTGGTCTTACCGGACTTGCCGGCCTTGGAAGCCAATGGAGCTGGAGCAACTTTCTTGGATGGAGCCATTATGCAGATCGATTTGAGTTACAGTCTGGGAACGGAAGAGTGATAAATTCTCGGTATTAGATAAAGTCCAAACGACATTTCTGTACATTTATAGCTTCGACAATTCCAGAGACATCGGTGAAAAATAATGGCCAAAGTGTTTGCGTCGGTTGGATTTCTTGCGTGGTCGTCGAGACGGAAAAATTATGATTGTTTTTTCTGAAATTGAGATTTTTTAAGAGGTAATAATTTTCTGGTGTATGGGTTTTAGCAGTCACATTTGTGAACTGTTGAGTCACGTTAGTGGTGACAGTATCATCTACGTCTATCCTGTCACTCAAATAGGATCTTGTATGGAATAGAGCAGGTTGTCCTGTTGGGTTGAGTAAACAAAAATACACTAGGTTAGTATATTAGGCTTGGTAAAAGTGTTTCTCATTGCTTTAGTACGTTATTGTACGCTTTACAGTTCCATTAGAAAGCTATCAATAATCAAAGCATCCTTCTCGTATCGCACACCAACTTCGAAATGTTTGATTAAGCAAAAATTCAATTGAAATATACCGCTACATGAGTAAACAATGCACATCTTTGGCTTGCATCCTCAAATGCTCGGGCTTTAACTCCATGCTGCGGCTTATTTTATAAATATTCGCACCCAATGTTCAAAAATCAATTGCAAACATTAATTCAAAGGAATATATAATTAAATATCAACTCACAGCCCCACAACTACACGTTCTTAGCAGCAGCGGTACCATTCTGCATCGTACCCATCCCATCGTTCATGATATCCGCCCAGCCTCTACATCTCTCAATTGCAGCCTCCCACAACTTCCACTTCCGTCTTCTGTCGTTGTCCTCGGACTGAGATCTGAAGGTTCTTGATTGTGACGACCCCCCGGTCTCTTTGATCTTGCCGGCAGACTCTTCGCCGCCATACATTATCCACCTCTTGACGTCTTTGAGGTCTTTCCACAGTCTGCGATCCTCACGCTTTTCGTAAGCAAGGGCGGCAGCAATACCGGCACCGAGCGCGGTACACTCGGAGCTCGCAGACGTTCTTACTTTAACACAGGGACCCAAAATGTCCGCTTGGATTTGCATAACCTCTTTAGACTTGGACATTCCACCATCTACAGCTAGTACCGACAACGGCGCCTTTTCGTATGTTCCGTCCACAACATCTTCCAAGAAATCTCTGTCTTTAGCACCTTCTCCGGCAGCATCCGAGCTCATGGCTTTGAGAATAGCTCTCGCTTGGAAACATACACCTTCCACTGCAGCACGGGCGAGATGTGACGAGGTGGTATGTTGTGACATCCCCATAATCGTAGCTCTTGCGCTGGCATCCCAATATGGGGCGAAAAGCCCCGAAAAAGCGGGCACAAAGACCACGCCACCACTGTCGCTTACCCTTGAAGCTAGAGGACCGATATCCTCTGCCTTTGGTATCAAACGCAAGTTATCACGAAGCCATTGTACCACGGCACCTGCTACGGCCACCGAACCTTCAAGGGCAAAATGGGGCTGGGCATGCTCTTCGTCTTCTAAATGGGGGAACCAGTAGCCAAACGTAGTCAAAGCACCATGCGATGAAATCAGCTTTTTCTTTCCCGTGTTGTATAGTAAAAAACAACCTGTACCGTAGGTACATTTAGCGGCACCAGGTTTAAAGGCTAGCTGTCCAACTAAGGATGCACTTTGGTCGCCAAGACAACCCTGAATTGGCACCGCAGGCGTTCTTTCCATAAAGTCACACAAAAGGGACCAGGCCACAGAGGTGAGCTTGGATTTGACACACTCCGGTACCGAAAAATCGCCATAGTACTCAGACGACGAAACAATTTTTGGCATATGGATCTTGTCGCGGGATATGTCCCAATATTTCAATAACTCGTCGTCGTAATCCAAAGTATCCAAGTTCATAAATCCAGTACGGGACGCATTGGTGATGTCTGAGACAAAGGCGTGGTTTGTGGTAAGATGATATATTAGCCACGTATCAACCGTTCCGAACATGAGATCTCCAGCCTCATAGGCATCGCGAACTTTAGGTTCATTATCAAGTAGCCAGCGTAACTTGGAACACGAAAAATAAGTCGAGTATAAAGGCAGTCCAGTCTTGGCTCTGAGATGATCTTGCAGCTCTTGTGGCGTGCTGTTGCGTTTTTCTGTGACGATGCCGCTGTTCCGCGTATCATTCCAGACTATACCATAGTCAACAATAGGTGCTCCTGTCTTTTTGGACCACACTAAAGTGGTCTCACGCATATTTGCAATACCGATACACTGGATACGGTAAGGGGGCAAATTTGCGGAAACCCTGTCACCATTCACACTGTCCATGGAAATGAGGTTTGCAGCAAAGCATTGAAGAACATGGGCTAGGATTCCAAGCGGATCACATTCGACCCAACCGGGCTGCGGGAAACTAAGGGTTGGTCTGGAGGGTCTGTCGAAATCTTCAATCTCCAGATATTCCGTGGCCTCAATAGCGATACCTTCCGCCGAAAAAATGGGCTGTGAGACGGTGGAAGAACCAGCTGTACTCTTGGGACTGCCGTTTGACATAGCCGTACCTGCAGCCGTGGAGGAGTCCACGGAAAACCGTCTGGCACCCACAGACGCGAAACGCTCCTTTGAAGCAGAGGTAGAATATTCAATTTGGTGTTTCGACACTTCCTGGCCCTGAATATTGAATAAAATCACTCTCGATGACGTGGTCCCTACGTCAATGGATGCTACCAATGGCACGTCTTCCGGCTCTGCGGATTGCAAGCTTCCAGACGGCATTTTAAAACTTAGAAGGCCGGTTTTCCAAAGGTATGTTGCGACCAAATAGCTCCACGGTTCAGCACTTTCGGGTAGAGTTTTGATAAGTCCTTGAAGCTTGATTTTTCTGAATTCTTAGAATTCTTGTCCGGAAGCAAATAATATTTCGCCAATCACAGGAAAAAAAATCCGGGGTAATAATAATAGTTAAATTTCGAGTTCAGCTTTCTCTGTTAAACTTAGATTCACACAAGTGAAGGGCAAAATAACAATTTCTTAACAATTAGCAGAGAAGTTTGATGCTCAGTCCGTAAAGGTAATACAGAGAGATGATAGTTGTAGTAGTGAGATAGAACTCAGTCACTGTTGGTTCATCTTTTTTAAAACCAGCCCAATACCAAAGTGTAGAGAGGTGTTCTTTGCTTTCTGTAGTCTTGTTGTACTCGCTTTTATACACGTACTGGCAGCTGCTGGTTTTGGTGTTCAAACTTTGGCCAGTCGTGCATTTCGTCCACTCCGTTGGGCTATCCGTCAGCCCGAAATCTAGATACAAGCCTCGAATCCAGCCAGGTTGAGCGGGTTACTCGAAACTCGAACACGGGGATATGGCAAAAACCCAAAGGATCACGCAAAACGGAGGGAGTGGTTTTGACACATGCGTAAACACCAACCTCTTCCAAAGCGGTTTTGCGATGGGGGCGTGATGTGTGGTATCTGTGCATCGAGCTTGCAGCAGGAGTTATTTGCGTTTCTTGAACGAGGGAAGTAATTGGCCTAGCCTTGGAGAGACAGGGGGATCGCTTGGCAATCTCCGGTATCGGAGACGGCCCAATCTCAGCTCGCCATGGACGGAAGTCGAGCCGTTCGACCTTAGTTGTAATTGAGGTCATCGTTTTTTTAGGGTACTTTACAAGTGTATTATCATGACCCGAGAAAGTGAGTGTCGTTTGTGGATAGCGATTGCTGCTTCCAGGCCGGAGACAAAGACTCATTGTAGATACCGGAGACAGATGTCTAAGTTGCAGCCTCGAACCATTAGACATTAGTAATGGTTGGCCGAAGGGGTGACGGAAGCTTCTATTATTTGTTTTTGAAAGAAACACAGTTTTAGAGATGTTCGAGAAGGTCTCTTCAATTTTGAGCGGAAAAACGGGATCTGTGAGATATCTTAGGAGTTTCACAGATCTAGTGATGGTCAAAAGACTAGGTCTCCCACCAACGTGTTTAATAATCTATATCCCGGTTTTATAGCGTCTCTTTCGGTTTGTGTATGTGGTCTAGAAGAAGAAAGGTGGGTCTTATAGGGTTTTGAAATATTTTTGTACGTGAAGAAACAAGTAGCCGCCCAACGTAAATGTGAAGAAACTTGCATGAAAGGATGTATTCCAGCTTGATGGATGTTAGAGGAACACGAGATTGTTGTATTGTATCTATGCGATCGCAACGGATGATATTCACGAGCAACGGCGTGTTTTCACAACCCTTGGGTGAAAAGCGCGATAATTTGTGGTCCAGGGTCCCAATAGTGCAGACAAGCACTTTGAATCATTCGCTTTCAGAGTGTGAAACGTTTTATAATCTGAAGTTTGTGTGCGTAGCTGCAAACATAAGTAGAAGACCCCCCTATTGGTACAGTGCTCTATTATCAATCGAATAGATTCCGGTAACATACCTACAAGTATATAAACTGCCAACCGTAGTCTTCCTCAAAGAACACACATAAACAGCACCAGCGGGTAAATTTAAGCTGTATATGGGATTGTAACGCGCATCGCTATTCAACAGTGTTCAAGCTGATGTCTCAAGCATATATAATACAACCGACTGTAAGTAAGGTCTACTTGGCTGGAATGGAATCAGCTTCCTTGACAGATTACCACGGAAGCTCACTGCCATCGTAGCTCATGAACGTGCCTGCGTTTTTAGACTTCAGGTCCTTCAAAATGTTCTCGTTTATGGCCTTTGCAGATTCCGCGGTGGTGAGATACGGCAATGCTTTCCTGAGTTCGCCGGCGCGCTCATCACCAAGCTGAACCAACGAGTCGTCACCCATTTCACTTCCAACCAGACCGGGATGGATTGCCACAAAACTATACCCAGCTGGCGAGAGGTCTTGGATCAACGCCTTTACAACGTAGTTGGCAGCAGCCTTGGAAACTCCGTAACCTGAAAAAGGTGCTGGTAGGTCGATGTTGAGAGACCCCACCACAGAAGTGACCACGGCAACTTCTTTGGTGTCCTTTTTGTCCAGCAACGGTTTGAACGCTCTGACCAATCTAATGGGACCCACAGTGTTGATGTTGAAGTGCTCGATGTAAAGTTCATCGGGGTGGTCCAAAACAGGACCTATTTTTTGCAAAAATCCAGCATTCGAGATCAAAGTGTCCAGACCATCTGTAAGAATAGCAGAAGCTTCCTTAGCAGCTGCTTCAACGCTGCTGCGAGAGGTGACGTCCAATTGCACGATTTTCACGTTTGGGTGTTTGCTAGCCCAATCTTTCAAATCACTGGCGGTGTTTGGGTTTCTAGCTGTGGCCACAACAGTGTTTTTCGCGTCAGAACTCAATTCTTTGACTAAGGAGAGGCCGATGCCCCTGTTGCCGCCGGCGACAAAATATGATTTGGAAGACATTACAGGCGAGTAGTTAAGATGAGGAAGGGATAATCGTTACTTTTGTGTGTGTGTGTACTTGAAGCTTGTGAATATCGCCAAAGCCAGCCGTTACTGGGGCACGTTTATATATCCCAAACATATCATTTGTGCACATTTGTCATACTGTTTTGTACATTTGTCATACGTTTACCACACCTGTAAGATAGTGTATTTAACGAAATAGTTGAAAGAGGTTCCTTCGCTATCAGTACCGTCGGAGCGTGCAATAGTGCTACCGACACTTTGAGCACACATTCAATACGCTCAGAGCGCACCAGCCTATGGTGCCCCAAGTAGTGCTGCTGGGTAAGAAAAATTCCCCTACTGCCTTCACGGAGGGGGATACAGTATTTGAGTCAAATTCTTAAGGGTGGGCAGCTAGTATCTCCACCCACCACCCCGTCCAGAGCGGTGGCATTCCTCAGATCAACAAGCGCTTCTGGCTTACATTCTTATCGCCATGGGACCCCAAATGACGTGGTCTTGGCATGCATGAAGGATCGCCCGCTCGAGGGTGACGGGAAATTAAGATAGTGATCTGGTGAAAATTCGAGATTCGAGAACCATTATAACTACAAAAGACCGCGACAGACCAAAAAAAGGAGCACCTAAATCGAATGACTCCGAAAACTACAACAACGGCATATTTTTCTCATGATGGTTGACTTTACTAAAAGAATTAGACAGAAAAAAAGGCTGACAACTCGCAATGCAACGTTTTTTTCGTCCTGGGCGATATATATCGGGTTTCTGAGTAGAAATTGGGTAACGACAAAAAAAGTGAATTAAATGCATAATACGTATTGTAGAATTAAGATCTCATTGTTGAAAAGTATGAAGCGAACCACTCTTTGCAACGTTCATCCAAGTCTACGTTTCGTCACATTTTGGTAATATTTAGCGCCTTCAAACTCGCAAAGTATCGGTCTTTGTTTGGTCTTCTAGTTTGTGAGCAGAATAGTGCTCTTCCTTTGCCTAGTTATATACATATTTAAAGAATAACGGGCGATAACGGTGTAAGGACAGTGTTCAAATGAGTAAACGAAACTCGTCCGAAACGCAAGACGATCGGCGCAAGAAGCCGCAGGAGTATATGAACGACTATCTTTCTGACAATAATAACGATACCCGGTCTCAACACTCAGCAAGGGATTCCGGATCTCAAGCGTCCAGAGACAATGCCTCATCGCAACCGAACAGCAACAACAACAACAACAACAACAACAACAACAACAACAACAACAACAACAATAACGATGACAGGTACATTCCGTCCCGGGATTTTGCACCCCAGCATCGAATCTCAGCTTCTGCGTCCTACATTCCGCGGCCGAGAAGTGGAACCAACTCTGGTAGTAACAACGAGGACGGCAACTACTCTAATACGCAGGTAGTGCCTAACACACAGCAGCCGTCAAGATCTAACTCTGCAGCGCATTCCACCGGCCACAGAAGTAGAGCCCAAAGCGCAGTGTCGAACTCCAACATGAATATACGATCGCTGCGGTCTAATACAAATACCTCAGGCAATAATAACGAGGATGAAATAGAACAACCTACCGCTACCGAAGACCCACGCGACTCGGATGTTCCACTCAACATCAAACCCAAGACGCTTTACCAGAACCCTCAGACCCCAACGGTTCTTCCTTCCACTTACCATCCGATCAACACATGGACTACGCTGAAGCAAACGTACCTGAAGGAGTTTCTTGCGGAATTCATCGGTACGCTAGTGATGATTTTCTTTGGGTGTTCTGTTATTTGCCAAGTGAGGACTGGTCAGCAGCAACAAAGGGTTGTGTTCCTCAAAGAATTGGCGGGATCTTCGGACATCCCAGCAGAAAACAAGATTTCACTTTTGCAGTATCTCGTACCGGTTGATGTATCGGGTACGTTCGACGACATCGCCCTTATCTGGGGAGGTGCGGTTGTTATGGGATATTTTGCTGCGGGTGGCCCTGCCCTTTCAGGTGGACATTTGAACCCCGCTATCACTTTGAGTAACTGTGTCTACAGAGGTTTTCCTTGGCGTAAAGTGCCCATTTACTGGGCAGGTCAACTGCTTGGTGCTTATGTCGGTGGTTTGGTGGTGTTCATGTATTACATGCCCGTGATTGAGTATGTTTATCCGGACTGGACCGGAAACTCGACTGTGTTGAGTATGTTTTGCACATATCCCCTCGATTACCTCACACCCTCTCGTCAATTCGTAAGTGAATTGGTATCTGGTGCCATTTTGCAAATTTCAATGTTCTCACTGACAGATCCCTACACTTGTCTGAGATCTGATTTATTTCCACTCATGTTATTCGTTCTGATATTTTGCTTGATTGGTGCCAGTTCTTTGCAAACGGGTGCCGGGTTGAATCCTGCTAGAGATCTTGGCCCTCGTTTGGCTCTCGCGACTGTAGGTTATGACGGCAGAATTCTTTGGGCAGGTCACCATCACTATTTCTGGGTGCCCATCGTGGCGCCAATGGTTGGGGTTTTATTGGGCGGTGGCATCTATGATATTTGCATCTATCAAGGTCACGAATCGTTTTTGAACTGGCCATGGTCGTTGGTTAAAAGCAAGATCAAGCGTTTATGGATTTTCCGTCCTCGTTTTTACAGAAGAGAGAAGGATAGCTCTACCGATACCGAGAGTGATTGGGATTACGACAACGAGAGTGGTCAACAAAGTCAACACGATTCAGAATATGATGAAAGCCCAAAGACCGGTTTCTTCCCCGAATCCGACGCACAAATACAGAAACAGGTTCAATTCAAGAGCATGTCAAAGAATTTCAACGGGAAGAGAAACCCGGTATCAGGAATTCCGACAATTTTCGAAGAAGGTGGCGACGATGAGGAAGATGACGAGAATGATGTCGCTGAATTACCAGCAGATAACAAGCACCGCAGGCCCTCTTTGTCAAAGACTAAGACTCGGTCTAGCGAAGGCAAATCTAAGCGAAGTTGATTGTAATAATAGTTTGAAGTTTACAAATGAATTTAGAACACGGGCAAGGCCTGTCAGTTTAGGACTTTGAAGGCTTACCAGGTGAAAAACAGGAATAGTATACACAGTGTAATTAGGCCGGCTAAAATTAAGGCATTCTTTTTCCTTCTTGTGTTGATCTTGGCAATTACTTGATTAATAACAGGAACGCGCTGTAACGTATTCATCATTTTGTCCCCAGCCGATTGCAATACGGCTCTCTGGGAAGCAAACTGATCTCTTGTTTGCCAGGCTTGTGATAGTAGACTGTCCACAACATTGTGCGATTCTTCTATACGGCGGGATTCGTCCTGAATGTAGGCATCTGGACTTTCTTCAGATTGCTGAGCAATGTCTTTCTTGACGCTAAAAAGCAGGTTTAATCGGTTTCTTTCTTGTTGAATGGACGATCTCAAATTCCGGAAATGCTGTCTATGCTCTTGCAATACTTCTTGGTGCCGTTGCACTTGCAACGTTTTGGAAGTCGAAATTCCTTGCGTTTCGTCACAAATTTTACGCAGTGAGTCAACAATATCCTGTCTTTGGATAAGCACTTTTTCAAGCTTGTTGTCAAGGGTCCTTTCTTGACCTGTTGCGTCCGAGCTAGTCGTTTGTGCAAACTGTGCATATTTTGACAACAATGATTCTGTTTGGGACTCTAAAGAGATAGCCTGTCCTCTTACGGTCACAAAGGATGCCATCGTCTGTGTTGTGGTTATGAACGTACTGCCAACTGGCTTTGACAGCGATCTCAGCTCTATCTAGAGAGGTTGGTGAGAAATCCGGACGGTATGAGATATACATTCACATATATATATCATTAATATTTATCAGAATGCCCAACACCAGGAACAAACATCAAGGAAACATCTGAGTCGAAGATAGTTAAGAATATAGAAGCCCAGCGATTTAAGTAGTCTTTGGATTCTGGTCCTACAATCTCTGCGGTGTCGCAAGCGTGAACGCTATACCAAACGTCACGATTGGACGGATGTAGATAGTCCAAACGGATGGTAAAGTCTTGTGTATTTAGCCATTGACGAATATCGTCAGGAAAGCAAACCTGTTGCGTATCTATATCGTCTTCAATTTCGCGTTTCCATATTCGGAAAGTGAGTTGCGGTTCTTGATAAAGCGGTGAATATTGAATTTGCAGTTCTACTGAATGGTTAGGTTTAATTGGAAGACAGATCATAGCGTTGACACTAGTGTTAGAAACATTCATAATCTTGTAACAGTGTTCCCATCGCGTTAGCAGTGGGATTAGGGAGCTCTGAAGCTGTTGCTGGAATGCATCAGCTGTTATCATTTGAGCTAGACGTACTTCAAACCTTTTATCTCAACATTAAAATATGATTTGTATCTGTCTACCCACCACCATGCAGCATAGACATGAACGAGACAAACTAGCGAACAAACAAGAATGAACGATAAAATCGAAATTATGGAATATAAATAAATGATTTGATAATAAATAATAGTAGAGAACTGTAGGGGCGGTTGGGAAACTCTATTTCCACCAGACCTCCAACGGTTTAAATAAATATGTGTGAGAGTGTTTTGGGAGAGAGAATTTGCGTGTGTTGGTATGCTGAGTTAGATGTTGACACGCAGAAAATCACTCAAGGGCCATAGACTTTTTGATTTCTTGAATGGCAAAACCAGGGTTCAGACCCTTGGGACAAGTCTTGGTACAGTTCATGATGGTGTGGCATCTGTACAAGGACATCGAGTTTTGCAACATTTCCTTTCTCATCTTCGAAGCCTGGTCACGAGAGTCGATCAACCAACGGTAAGCTTGCATTAGCACAGCTGGACCCAAATATTGTTCCTGGTTCCACCAGTACGAAGGGCATGACGTGGAGCAACAAGCACACAAGATACACTCGTACAACCCGTCAAGCTTCTTACGATCTTCCACGCTCTGCAGGATTTCCTTGCCGTCTTCAGGGACACTGCTTCGTTGCAAATAAGGCTGCACCGACTTGTACTGTTTGTAAAACTGCGTCAAGTCCGGAACCAGATCCTTGATGACGTACATGTGTGGCAAGGGGTAAATCTTAGACTCCTTCGACGTATCGGGATCGATCTTGCACAAACACGCCAACGTGTTTCTGCCACCGATGTTCATGGCACACGACCCGCAAATACCTTCTCTACACGATCTTCTCAACGTCAAAGTCCCGTCTTGCTCGTCCTTGATCTTCAAAAGCGCATCCAACACCATAGGCCCGCACTTGTTCAAGTCCACCTGAAATTCTTGCAATCTGGGCTTCTCAGTGGGCTTATCAGGACTCCAACGGTAGATCTTGAATGTCTTCAATCTGGGAGCCACTTGGCCTGCTTCCGTAGCCAATCCACGTCTCAACGCAGTTCTGGTGAAACTTGTCCTCAACAACCCGCTCATCGACATCATTAGTTCAAAAAACCCCTTTTTAAGTAGATCCAAATAACCGCCTTACTTTGAGATCGCCTTTTCTAAGCTATCTCTGAAAGGTGCCACTGATCAACGACGTTTTCAGCATCTAGTTCATGGCGTTTTTCGATCGCCTTTTATACTCACAGTAATTTGATGACATGAAAAAAATTGGGATATCGGAAAATATCGGAGCCGAATTGCAAAAAGTCAAAATGTCAGTATAGAAAAGAGTGATATGTGTCACGTGTATATTGCGGGGTCAGTCTTCAAAGTAAAGAACGTGAAACAGTAACGTAAAGGAAATCGATTTAATCAGATACATACTGACTAGTGCTGATCTGAAATTGAGTTTCTTGTGATCGGTTTCGGATTGCAGATCGCTTTCGTAGTGGTATGATTTTAGAAGTGTCACACAATATTTTAGCCTTTTTTTTTCGTTCAATCCAAATGGATCGATACCGTTGTTAGTCGTGGTGGTCTTGTATTCATTCAAACTGAGGGAACTTGTAGTCATTACGGTAGGAAAAGAAGCTCTTGTCAGAACCTCTGTCCGTCGAGCGTCAGCTTCGTGTCAAAGTGATCTCATACACGTGACACAGTGACAGCGACAGGAGGGATACGATATTCAAAGAACCTAGAAAAATTACTGATCTAACGAGAACTAAATTGATTGCATCAATTTTAACCACTCTTAATTGATCTTATATCTTCTAGTTCAGCTTATTCACGGTATTTGCACTCGAAAGGCTTAAAATTTTTTACATCCGCCAGCAACGGAACATTTCAGACAATTTGTATAAAAAGAGCATTGTATCCTGCTTACAGGCGATTTACGTTGATGCTTTGTTCACTAAGGAAAGAGAACTTTAAGCTCGATAGAAAGACAGTTTACATCTTACAGTAATAAATAGAAATCACCCACGATACGAAACAATGATCGTGCAACGACGCTCGGGGGACCAGAGTCCCGATACGAGTACATACAGCTGTCCATAGGTTGTTATGGCTGAACAGCCCCACCGCAGTTGGAAAACTTTTATCACTTAAGTCTCGTCCGTCATCCCTATCACTGAGGTCACGTGACTGCGTATACGATCGGTGGTTTTTAGGCTCGGACATGCACAATATGGGTCTTCCTCTGATTTTATAATCCGTACGACTAGTTTCAGAAACTTAGATGGCACCGCTTCCGTTGACTAGAATCTACATTAATACCACCCTTTTTTTCAAAAGATACGGTTTTAACGATTAATAACAATGCCAAGGTTGACTGGAGCTTCCACCTTTGACATATATTTGCTGCTACCAAGCTTCCACCAAAAAATTAACACACACAACATTCCACCATTGCAAATGGTCTCTGAACGTAACTAGGATTGGGTTGACATCTCGATGAACTTTCCTCTCATGACTTGTTAGTACAAAGTGATGAAAGAAGTCGTACGCACCAGCTGGCTGGAGTTAGCAATGGTGCCAGCAATGGCGTCAACAACAGTGTCCACAACGGTGTCCACAAGCATTCCTGTGTTCCAATGTGAACAGCACTCATTAGGCGAGCTGAATACTGTTCAGGACGACTGTCCCGAAATAACAATAGCAGAAACGCATATTCATGTGCGACATAGGTGATCTGTTGAAACAATCTGCATCTTATCTGTGAAGCTGTTGATCAAAGTAATACCTGCATTTTATATTTAGATCTTACATATGCTGAGCAAACAGATCACGCTGGACTTGATTTGATGCTCAGAGGTCGCAACTGATGTTTCCACGTCAGTTAAGTTATTGATGTTTGAAACCAAGATGTGATGGGCCGCTACCATCAAGCGCTCCAAACAGACTGGTATATGATCAAGCACGTTTCAAAGCTGTTGACAATCAATGGAAAGTTAATCTTCTCAACGATACTCCCACTGCTAAGCTATTTCATTTATTTTCAAGAGCCGTATATCCCACAACATACGGAACGTCAAATCATGCTGAGAATTCCGTGTGCTCGAATTGTCAAGGATCAAAGTTCTGCCTGACAATACTTGTTATACTCATTGACTGCGATAGAGATGTGCTTGTACAAGAACCTCTTTTCCTCGGCATCAGTGATGGGCACAAACAATTCAGTGGATGCGTTTTTTAGCGTAATGACCAATCCCGCCCTCTCCAAAGTCATGGCCCTAACATCCTTGTAACGAACTTTCCACATTATTTCCAAGTTCGACAACCGAACCTCGATCACATGCGAAAGAGATACAATAACCGCTAGTTGCTTGCCCGGTAGTACGACGTGCGCAAGATATTTGTCAGTAATGCATTCACCACCGTTGGAATTTTTGAGCCAGAATTGTCCCTGAGACTCACGCAGATTAAATGGTTTGATGGTTTTGTCAAAACCCACATACCGAGGAAGGCGGACACGATTCGTCAGCGATGCATCCATGACCGTGGTGGTGTTTCGAATTCCTTCACTAACATTGCTCGCCAAGTCAAGCACTCCGATTGCAGTCTTGGTTGGAAGGCCTATGAAACCTTTGCCTAGACCCTTGAAAAAGCCTGGCATTCCTTCTCTCGAGGCACCTTTATATGGATCGAAGGCGATTCCACGTAGCCCGCTACTGATCCCGTTGACAAACGATGTTGCACCGGAGCCAATTCCATTCATGCTTTTGCTATTTTTTGCCTTTCTTTGCTCGAGTCTGCGGCGTTCTTGAAACTCGCTATCTTGTGTGGCGACTGATAATCCTTTGGCTACGGAACCTGTAAACCGAGCGAAACTATCGGATAGTCCAAACACAGACTTTTTGACAAAGCTCAAACCACCCTTAGCAATACTGATGCCAAGTTCTTGAGGTCTATCGTTTAGCATGTAACCCTGGTAGGGCTCATAAAATATATCCCAAACACCTGAGCTTATGTTGTTGAAAAGACCGACAGGATTTCCCAAAAAGTCCGCTGATCCCAAGATTTTGTGAATTTGGTAAAAGAACTGCTGGCTGTAATGGGTTTGAATGGCACTAAAGAGCATAGGCAAAGGAACTTTTACATTATCCAAAAACAGCGAGTTCAGTTTTATAGGTGCATCATTGACATTTCCTAGTGCCATTGTCAATACATTTGCAAAAAACATCAGCGTATTTTGAGATGGAACCTTTTCTGTATCAGCGTTCAGGCGCTCAGTACGAACGAAAGACAAATGAAGCATAGTAGGCTGCAAATGGAACACCTCGAAATAAATATCTTTGTTTCTTTGCAGCTCACTAGGATACGGAAGCATGGAATATTCTGTATCTAACTCGTCTTTGATTTCAACGATCCAAGACGCACCAGGAAACTTTGCAAAATCAATAAGAGCAAAAAGGAAATCTTCGTCGAGCTGAATTGTGAGCTCCTGTAACAAGAGAGTAGCGTGTTTCAAATAAAGAACTCCATGCGTGTCATCTTTCACCTTTGAGACAGAGCCAGATAAAACAGGATGGTTGCTGAGCTCTTTGAAGTTTTTCTGGATCGCTGTGGGGTAAAGGATATTAGGGAAAATTCCACCAAATAGCTGATTGTCAATTTGCATCCACTTGAGCTTGAAGCTTAACGTTTGATACAGGTCTGACTCATTGAATCTCAATTCTAAACCACTTAGCGTGATATAACACAGCTCGTGTAAGCGTGCGTTAATGAGTGATATACCGAGACCATCTAACGATACGATGATTTTGGTGGAAACGTTCTTGTCTTCCTCTTTTGCCTCGAAGCGGTCACCTTTGTCCGAGGACAATGATGTTGTGGTGGTTTGCCCTGACTTGAGCTTATAAAGACTCAACTCAGGATTATAGTTGGTAATAACTAGTGCTTGAGTTGGACCATCTGCTACGACGTTCAAATCCACAATATCAGTAGACTCTGCAGAACTTCGAGCAGACAACCTCATGGGTCGCAAGTTGCCTATTTCTGCCAGTTGTATTTCGCGCTTGCGTTGCCGAGATGTCAAGATCAGCTTCTTCTGTCGGGCAGCTGGGTAATCCCAAGCATAAGGCATTGCACTTCTCGGCGGAACTCTGTAATAAAGTGGTTCATATTTCATGTCTCCCAGATCATCGTACAAGTCATAGTCTTCATCATTATCGAACGCGTGCGGATCACGCTGATAAAATATAAACTCGTGGTCACTGAAGTTTCGAATCGAATAAGGCCATTGGCCTTTAGCGTCAGCTATGTTGATAAAGATGGTGGAATCTTCTAAAACAATGTCAAGCTTCAGCAGTTGATGACCAGATCCATTCTTCAAAACTTTCACGTAGCTTGATCCGATGTCTTTGATCATAAAAGGTGAAGACCATTGTGACTGAGATCCGAGAAACTTTATGCACATATGCTTATCAACAACGTTCCTCATTTTGTAGAGCGGGACAGAAACGTTTGAATGCGCTTTCATGACGGAACTCGATCCATATTCGCTCACTTCTAAATCGAAATCAAGACTGTTCCGGATAATATAGCGAGGTAGTAATTTAACAATTTTACTGAGTGCAAATTTCCCGCTGCCCTCTGAGATAGTCACACCAATGTTGCTCTCTTGGTTTCGGTTAGGAATTTCCATGGCTAGATCCACTGACCGACCGATTGCATCAAATGAAGTCTGAAGACTCCAGTGAGAGTCTTTAAATTTGATTCGGGCCCGATTTTTATTAGAGCGGTCACTTTCAAATGAAAACATAGTTGGCTTTGTATAGCGAGTTGAGTCCTCTGCTTTCAACGATACTTTGGAGAAGGCTGTGTTATGACCATCTCCTTCTATCTGAAGATCCCGGTCTGTCCCATTGTAAATGATGTAAGGCGAATAAATGCTAATAACTTTAGCACGCGAACCTTCGATCCTTTGATAATGAAGCTTCAAGTTCAGATTTTGTCCATTTTCATACCGCAAAGCAATCAATTTTTCGGGCTCCAACTCTGATTCGGGCTTTGTGTTTATTAGAGCTTGTTCAGACATGCCTACGCCTCCGTCTTCTGGCCGCAATGACAACAAAATATAGTCGCTCAAGGTCACACTGTGTACCAAAACGCGCTCGCCAATTTCAAGGTAACACATTCCAGTTTCGTTCTTCGACCTTGACTTATTCAAGCCCTCTGATTTCCAAAACAACTTATAATGCACTGGAAATGGAAGCAAGTTTTCAAGAACCAGTGGTGACGAAACTACCATATTCATATGAGGATAAATTCTCGCCAAAGGCTCGTTGGAATCAAATTTAGCATCGACTTCATAGTAGAAAGGGACATCGGTTTGATTTGAGTCGCACGATATTGAACTTGGATTTGACAAGAGGTCTTTCCAGTACAAACTTCTGCTTGACCAGCTATAGTCGCCAGCAGGTTTCAGATAAACGCGGGCGTTGTAAGCATCTTGCGCCGGCACTGAGCGAGACTGTCCAGGTGCGACTTTATGAATACTATCCTCATCACCTGATAACTTGAAAAACAGATCCCCATCTGTTGCATTTTGAACCACAAGGGTCGATTTGACGGTGATTTGCTTGACATTATCCTCGCAAAGCTTCAGTTCACATGCTAGTCTCGCATGTACGCCGTTTACGGCAGGATGCAGCGTGTAAACGTCTTCGCCTTCGGAAGTCGCATCTATTTTCAAGGTTGTTTGGAAATCCTGGTCCACGATACGGACAGCTAAAATGTTCATCGAGTCGTCGGTATCCAGGTTTTCTCGAACCTTTCTCCAGTCCTCAAATTCCCAAGGGACGGCAATGCCATTTTCGAGAATTGTCCTGTTCTGTGATTCTGCGGACTCTTTAGTTGGAATCCAGACTTCTATTTTCATACCAGTGTCATTGAAAAGTTTGTAAGGTTTTGTAGCCCCTCTCGCCTCGGTATCTTCCTTCTCATACAGGGAATTGGGAATTTGCGACAAGAGTGCAATAGTGCGGGAAGACAGAGTCACTTCAGCCAGCTCACGAGAAATAATATCGAAGTAAAGAGCCACATCGCCTTCAATACCTTTTGAGAGGTGAAAAGATAATGGTACCGATTCAATTAGAGGCTCCCAGCTAGACCTCGAATAGTTAAAAATGTTCGCGTAGGTTTCGATGGAAGAAATCAACTCAACATCATTAGACCAATCTTTTGCTGTCACGTTGAAGGGCTTAATATTCATGTCGATAATAGGAAGTTCGTGAACATCTCCGATCAACACGAGTCGTAAGCCTTGAAGATCAGCGTTGAGCTTCTCTTTTTTTACTATCGTGACTTGTTGTTTATTCTCGACCCTTTCACTTGATAAATGACTAATGGATGATATCAAGCTCGGAGCGTATCTCGAAAGGGTCTTTCTAAACTCTTTTGAAAATGCGCCATTAGCAGCCTCCTCATCTTCAGTCGTCTCGTTCGTCAATCCGTGCTCTTTAGCAAGTACCATCGCTCTGTTGAAAATCGACATCGCGAGTCTTATATCTCTCAAAGCTAGTCTCATTGTGAGTGGCTCAATAGACACCTGAATTGACGTCAAAAACTTTTCCAAGGTCGAATCTCTACGATCTATTACCGCTGATGCAGAAAAATCATCCAGCAGACGTATGCGATTTTCATCGAACGACTGCATCTTGCAAAGAAACATTCCAACATTGTTAGCATTCGCAGAAGTGACATTCTGCTCGGAAAGGAGCAATTGGCCTACATTGAAAACGATAGCTTCGGTGTTCAGGTCCGAAGGATCGGACAACAGAATGATGGAACTATCAACGATGTTAACGGAGTAGTATAATTGGCTTCGAGATACAGCAGGCTGAGGTTCTACATTTTGTGGTTGTTCTTCGACTGTTGAAAACACTTTCGCGGGGGAATTGATATTGACAGAAGCATCAACAAAGGATTTCAACGAAAACAAGAAGTCCAATGCTAGAATTATCCGGGGACTGTCCACGGTAATGCTGATATGGTCGATCTCCGAAGAACCACGATTAACTTTCTTGAAAGAAGCCATGAATTGGTAGTTTCCATTTGAGACCTTCGGTATAATCTCATTATAACGACTGTATTTCGTGTGCCTGATATCATCTATGGTGAAGGATGAAATATGGGTTTCAGCCTTCATCCCCGTTTCTTCGTTTGTTTCGAGACTGAGACCAATCTCGTTGAAACTTATTTTAGTTAGAGCCTGATCCTTAATGTCATCACGGTGCTTCGTGCCATTGTACAGAGTTAATGACACTTCAGGAGCAGAGAACTCAAGAGAGATGTCCGTACGTTGAGTTGGACCAGACTCTTCAAATGAGCTATCGTTGAGAGCCGGCGACGAAGTTTTCAACCCACTGCCCGTAGGCACGACTTTGTTCGCAAACAAAGCAATATCTTGAACCTCATCCAATTTCTGTTCATGCTGGTCAATAATAAATGCATTAGGTAAATTTTGAGAAAGCACGTATAAGTATTGCAGCTGTAGTTCTGTGACATTCGCGAGTAGAGGCTCAAAAAATCCCTTTACCATCAACTTAGATGTTAGTCCTTCGCTGTACTGATGATGATCAATGTCGAAATGCAAATTCAGGCCGTCCACAATGTTGAGTTGCTGAATTTTGCCTCCTTCCAAATGAAACTGGGTAGCAAGACTTCCTGATCTTATACCAGTCTTTATTTGATTGATAAGTTCACTCTCACTTTTCTCAAATGAGTTAAATATCGTCAGCTCCCCTAAGTAAAAGGACAGCTTATCGTAGAGACCTTTTTTCGGGTTTATAAGCTTAGGAAACGTAACGACGGGAGCCCTTATCATAATATCAAGTTTTGTGGTATTGACAGTATCAATGCTGGGGGCCCTATCATAGGCGGCCTCTCGCGCCCTATCAAAGAGCACCTTCATTTTCTGGAATTTAGCCAAAAAGTTAATGATTCGATTGACTGCCTCATCGACGATATTGATATTCATCGAGCCTGTCTTGAAACCAACAGCCGAAGAGTATTCAAAATCCTCATTGTGATTATCAAAAGTCTCGTAGGATAACTCGGCCAACTCATTTCCATTCATACTGATCAATTTTCTGAGCGGGGACGCAGGCGACAACTCATCGTGAATTTCGTTAGTCAACTCCATCGTGCCAAGTTTTGCCTTCAGTCTCATCTTCTCGGGAAGGATGAAAAGCTCAACTTCGGCCGCGCTTAATTCCAAAGTGGCCAACTTCTCGGCCTCATCGTTGAGCAGAACGATAACATTGCCTAAGTTCATATTCATGTTGATCTGTTGAGGAGAATCCGCTACGTCTGGAGAATTGTGCTTCAAAGCATCCACCGGCATCTCTGGAGCATTGGGATCAGTAAATGTTGTGAGGGTATAATTGAGAAGCGTTAGAATTGATTTCGGGGTTAACACGACGGTTAACTCAGTCATAGTGATGTCAATATCCTGATCAAAAACTTCAATCAAAGTATCATTATACGTAACAATTCTTTGTGTGCGTTTCAGTTTCAGCTTAAACAGAGGTGACCCTTTGGTTGATTGCTCAGAGGAGGATATTAGATTTTTGAACTCATCTGAGATACTATCATCAATGCAATCTTCAATTTTGAAAGACTGAAGGTCTAGTCCTAACAACATATCCTGGACTCTCTTGGAGAAGTCGAGGCGCAAGTTGTTCCCTATCAAGTTGACTAGTAAATCAGACTTCAGTGATTTCGCATCAACGCACTTGAACATTGACAGCTGAATGGTCTCGACATCAAACTTCAGATGAAGGAGCCGCTGTTTGAGTTCCGCAGCAGACATTCCACTTATGCTTTGCAGAGTTTGTCTCAGAAGGTAGACCTCTTTAGCCGCAGAACTTTGCTCAATCCCCTCATCGCGATTACGATTATTCTCTCCTTCTTCCCAGCCGCCCTGGGCATCCTGCAAATCTGGAATGCACTTGTCAATCAGCTGCATGATGATTTTGTATTGAAAATCGTTGAGGGAGATTTTGAGAAGAGGTAATTTACCATATACCTTGACTTTGGGTAAGTTTAGAGCTTTGGGCAATATTGAGATATCCACGTCCAACCCGACTTCAAGATCATTCAAAATAGTTAATGGGCTCTCTCGTTCGCTCACCTTAAGATCAGATATCGTCGATCGTATGTCAGGCCCAACCAAGACTTGCGTATCGGTCAAACGAAGCTTGAACCTGTCAAACATCAGTCTCTTTAAATCTTTCGAGTCCAGCTTTTCATACTCACTGGGGCTTAAGTTTTTGTATTTCCTCAATGTTTCTCTTGGAACAAGATCACTCGTAATAGATATGTGGCCAGCATCTATAACGGCACATGGCGTTTCCCATTTATGAGGATCTAATGGAAGGATGAGTAATGGAGCTTGCAAGTCCAGATTCAAGTTGACAGTTTTATGATCTTCCAAAATAGATTCTAGTCCCATTCTGCTCTGAACCGACCAGCTTCCTACCGTTGCTTCAGCAGCGCTCATTATGGCCCCAATTGTATCCAGATGTTGCTGAGGAGGACGAAATTGTCTTATGATTTCGTTAATAAAATGAACATGGTAAAAGACCGTCATACTACGGAGTTTAATATCCATCTTGTTGTCAGCAGAATCGTCCAATGGGTTATTTTCAACAAGAACATGGAAAAACGGCTCTTCTAGACGGGGCGATTGGCCATTTTCATCCAATTGTAAATTTTTGACACTGACAATATGCTTGTATAAGGTATCTGGAGAGCCATCTTCAACCTTGAGTTCGTGCAATTTGAAAGAAGCAAGAAACGAGTCTGAACGTTGGCTGAACTCAGTTTGTGAGTTTTCGAAAATAACCTCACCTATTTTGACACCATTCTTCCTGTCTATGATAGAGAGAGAACCTCGATGCAGTGCACAAGTTATTTTGGTCACAATTCTTTCTCGTGGAACATCTAGAATATCTGGGCCGGTTTCTTTCTCATCATACTCAATGGCATCATAAAGCTCTTGCCTCTGTTCTGTAGACATCGCGAACTCATCAGAGTCGGTGCTGTTTGATGATCCACCGCTCCACCAAGAAGAGAACCATCCTGGAGAATTGTTCGTGGTGTCCTTGCCCGAATCTTTGGCATTGTGCTCGTTCTCTAATCTCTTGGTGGCATAAGACCTCCGAGCCTGGACTCTAAAAGATTTAATATCCTCGAATGTCAAGCATTTATGCAGGTCCCTGAGTTTTTCTTGGTCACTTGCAGACAGCTGCTGTGATTTAGCATCTGCAGCAAGCTTGGCTTGCCACAAATCCACGTATTCGTTCTTTTTGCCCTTTCTCCACTTGATGTAATCCCAACTCCATTTATAGTTCTTTTCATGCACTTCCTGGAGCACGGCCTCCGCAGCATATTTCATCCAAGCTGTCGGGTTTTCACTGACCGTGCAAGCAGGTCTTTTCCTCCTAAATTTCAAAGTTTTCTCATACCAATGCAGCTTGGATAATGTATTCAAGATATCCTCGTACTGGCAGTTATTGATATCAAATCCGAACTCATCGAAAATTAGGCCGACGTCGATATGAGGGCTTTCGTCCGAAGCTCCCAACTTATTCAAAACTAGCCTTCCAGCTCCAGTCACAGGTTTAAGCAGGAATTGGTGTTCGGGACGGGTATTTTTGTTGCAGATCAGATTCCGCAGGCGTCTGAAGAGCTCGTCATGGTCTGGATGGTACACACTTTTCGTATCTGCATTCCAATAAACAGCCAGCGAGTTCAAGGTCAGAAGTTTGCGAGCAATAGCACTCGTTATGGATATGAAACTAGGCTCCCAGTTCTCATCTGTGGAAACGACTGACAGCTCGCTCAGTGTAACACCCACAGAGTAGGGCACCTCAGAAAATACGTTTTCCATATCCTCGTACCTCACATGAATGTTTTTAATCGACACCTGTAGATTATCAACAATCTTGGTAACCAAAGATTGCGTGAAAGTCTCGTTTGCGTCTGTTGCGTTATCATCGTGAGGTTGTGCCTTGCTTATAGCCTCAAACTCATCCAATTTTTGCAACTTGAGGCGCAATTCGCGCTCTTCGTCGTCTGCTGCATTGTCGGCAGACTGATCACGAGGACCACACAGCAGATACACATCTTCAATAAGAATTTTCACAGGTTTGTTTTTCAAGCTTGACCACGGTACTTGTAGCGTTAAGTCGCCTAGAAAGCCAAATTGCACATCAATTGGAAGATGCAGTGCATCTAGAGATTCTCTCTTCAACTGCAAGTTCTTCAGTTTCACGTCACCACTCCAGATGCCAACATTGAGCTGTTTGCTATCGAAGTTCTCCACATATGCTCCCAAAAACCGATTGAGCAACCCTGCCGCTAGCGACTCCAGCATCTTCGGATCAGTGGGATCAGCAACTTTAAGGGGGTTACGTCTTCAAAGACCTGTTCGATGTCAATGATGACTAGTGACAAGGTTAAAGTTTGATTTTGCTCGACGAACAAACGAATCTCACGTCTTGTCTCATCGTGAGGGAGGGTTGCTATAATACAATTGCTGCCTTAATTCTAGATTATATATATACGAAAATATCCATATCGCGTGGCACGAAATCTTTTGACGTTTAATTAGTCTACTCTAATGACATCGTCGCCACTGGTATGAGATCGATCCGAAAATACAGAAAGTAGGAGGGCATAAAGCGCGGTGATAAGGGATTCGTTAAGTGCAAAAGAGTCAATTGCGATGGTGTTGACAGAAAATGAGGAGGTACAGCTCTTAGAAAAGGCAGATCTGAGATTCGTGCTTGCTGCATCTGAAGAGGCATTGGAACGCAATCTGGACATATTCTTTCCGGCAGTGTTGCTGAAGCTCTCATCGGAACATGCTTCAGTGCGACAAATGGTATTCCAAGTTGTGAAAAATGTGATGGGTCGCATAAGCTCATTGAAAAGCGTCAAGCTGCCCACTGCCAAGCTCATCGCTCAAGCACAAGAGAAGTCAGGCAATTGGCCCGCTGTTGGACAGTATAGTCTCTTGTTTGCCTCACGAGGTGTGGATCGCATGGATGTTGAGGAGAAGCGGGATCTGGTGCCACAAGTAATCTCAAATTTCTCGTCTCTTCCGGAATCTTTAAAACCTCGCATGTTCAATATTCTGTGCAAACTGCTCTTGAGCTGGAAGGGACCACCAAGGACCACACTTGAGGAACAAAATACGCGCAAGCTGCTGGATGTGGGCTCAATGGAAGACAAACAAGTTTTGCTGGAGAAATTTACGCAATTTTTTTTCCTAAAATCGCTTCAGGCCGACCGAGAAGCTAATGTCATTCCGCGTGGTTATAGTTGTCCTGGGCTTAGTGTTCCTGATGTTGAATTCTTCACCTACAACGCAGGTGTGAGTTTCAACAAAGAGCATCTACTGGCCTACAAAGAAGCCATTTTTCGCTTTGTTATCAGCGGCTTCCTACCACAAGACATGCAGGCTAAATTTCTAACAGTGGTATCGACCGATAATTCTGATCTTTCCAACCAGGCTAGTGAATTTTTGAAGAGGGTTCATATTTTTCACGAAGATGAGCAATTCATCGCAAGCTTGATTACTCTTTACATGGGCGACAAAGACTCGGGCAGGCCCCCTGTGGCGCCGGTTTTGCAAGAGAAATTACTTTCCATTTTGACGATGAGTACCTTGGCCACCAAGGATTTTAGGGCAGTCAGTGTAATATCATCTGTTGGGTTGAACTCACCACTTTTTAAATTACGATCTACGGCATTGAATTTCATTCAACATGTCGCAACGCATAACCACGCTGCCTTGGCAATTCAGGACAATACTTCCGATTTTTCGACAAATATAGCATCACAGATTCGTAATAATCTGCATAACGAAGGATGGCCCCTCTACCAGCTTAATTCATCTGTCCCTAACTTCGGACAAAGTCTAGAACAGAGGCGAAAGCAGTATGAAACCCTAGGGGTGATATTAAAGCAAGATGAAGCCTATGTTCAAGATCTCTCTTTTGTCGAATTTCTGCTGGACTCATTGAGGGGTGATTTGAGCATTTTCAGAGTGACTATTCAGGACGCCCTGACATCGTTAAGTCCGCTCATGAAAACACTCTCTGACCAAATGAAGGAAAAGCTCAAGGCAATTGCAATGAAAATTTTAAATGACAACGTCGACTTATATCACGGCAGTCCAGACAATAAGGAGGCGCTCATGTTTTGCAGAATCGTGATGATCAAATTCGTCAACTCTACATTTCCTTTTGAAGATCCCGAAGCCAGACTTCTCAATGTGATGGGCACATGCAAAGACAATCGTCTCGATGTCAGAGAGGAATCGTCCAAAGGTCTACACCCTTACTGGTACAAAGTCTCCCAGTCCTACAATGCTCAACGTTCCAGTCCATCTTATCAAAAAGCCGGTGGTAACATTGAAGAGGTTTTGTTTCCTGGCACAGAGAAATTATTACTTGCATTTGTATCCAAACTGAGGGGCCGTGGATCCGGACGCCTTGACGCGGTTAATCAAACCTTAAGCGAGGCCACCAGATTCATATTTAGAAGCTTGGTGAGTCAGGTCACCTCGAGAGAAAAAAAGTATTTTATAGCTCAAGATGAGCATTGGCTCTTACGGGTCGAAAATACGTTGCAGACCAGTGAGAATGTGAAGTCATTAGTAAAGAATGAAATTGCAGGAATAAGCGAAGAGGTTATGCTCAACTTTCTCACGATCTTGATAGAGGAATTAGTTGATGAGAAGAGCGCAACAAATGAAAACCAAACAGATAGCGAAGCTATCCGTTATGGGTCGCTGGTCGTGTTTTTTGCTGAATATGCGAAGAAAAGCACCATCCAGGAGTTACGTGGTTTGATTCACAAGATTCAAAAAGCATTAGAAAAAGAATACTTATTTTCGGAAGAAGACACCGATGTTATTGCAAGATTATTTGGTGTCCTCTTTGCTGTTTCCTCCAACGATGACGAGGTAGCTAGCTTGCTTAAAGGTACTAACGTTCCAGTGGAGTCTAAATCATTTGTCTGGGCATTGCATTCTGCGAGCTACTCTGTTCCTCTTAGTGTCTTGCACGGGAATACGTTGGATAACGAACAGTTTCGCTGCTATATTGAAAAATTGAAGGAAGCTGCGACAAAATCGCAGATACATTCAGTTGCAATGAGAGGCTTAAATCCGTTATTGAAGTATGGCCTTTTAAACTTATTGAAAGAATCCTCAAGACTATCTCTACTTGAAGGACTCTCAACATTGTTCCGGAAAAACCTTTTGAGAAACCGTGATTCTGTATTTCTTTGGGCACTGCTGTCACTATATGCCACTGATGAACAAAAGCTTGAGAATTACTTTGGAGCTTTACAGAGTTCGCATGACTCAAAGGAGCTGGAATTCCAGTTCTACACTGGTGAGGCAATTTCTATTGTGGCAGGAGGATGGAAGTCTAAAGTTCTCATTAATGAAAGTTGCTTGGACGAGAGGTCGATTTCAAATCTAGATTCTAAATTCAACGATAAGTCTGCTGACAGCATTCTACTCAAATTAGTCGAGTTTTGTAGGGCCACAAAACCATCCCTACGAAAAGCTGCTTGTATTTGGCTCTTATGCTTTGTTCAGTACCTGGGAAATGCAGATGCGGTACGTGTCAGGGCGGAAGAGATACATTTATGTTTTGTTCGGTTCTTGGCAGAAACCGATGATATTGTCCAAGACTCTGCTTGCAGAGGCCTTGGCCTTATTTATGATTTGTGCGACACGAACAAGCAAGAAAGTATGTTAAGAGGATTATTGAAATCTTTCGTCGATCCCAAAGCCACAACGGGCATAGTTCCAGGTACAGTCAATTCTGAGACACAGCTATTCGAGCCTGGGACGCTCAACACCAATGAGGGATCATTGACAACATACAAAGATATTTTAAATTTGGCAAGCGAAGCTGGCGATCCCTCTATGGTTTATAAGTTCATGCCTCTCGCAAAAAGCTCGGCGCTATGGACGTCAAGAAAAGGAATGGCTTTTAGTCTCACGTCAATGTTTTCGAAGGTATCTCTAGAGGACCTTCTTTTGTCGAATCGGACATCGGCTGAGAAGCTCATTCCTCTTCTTTACAGATATCGCTTCGATCCCTATCGGAATGTTGCAGATGCCATGAACGGAATTTGGCAAACCTTAATCAAGAGCACTGTTGAGACTGTCGAAACTTTCCATGACCCTATATTGGAAGAGGTTCTTGCGGGAATGGGTGCCAAGGATTGGAGAGTAAGGGAAGCCAGCTCCTACGCTTTATTGGATCTCTTGAGCTATAGCAGCGATGCCTCCTATTGTGAAAATCTTGAAGCGATATGGACTATGGCTTTTAGAGTCATGGACGATGTCAAGGAAACTGTGCGATCCGCTGGTCTTAAGCTCACCAAGGTTCTTTCCTCATCTCTCCTAAGAGTTTCACGCAAAATTGCTGATCAAGCTAGTTCTCAAGAAACGCTCAGTAGGATCATATCATTATTTTTGGGCTCAAAAGGCTTGAACAGTGATGCAGAGGAAGTGAAAAATGTGGCACTCAAGACGTTGATGAAATTGATCGAGGAGGCTGGGGACACGCTCAGGAAGTTTGCGCCCATGTTAATCTACGAATTTTTGATGTTACAGTCGTCACTCGGACCGCAGGAAATCAACTACTTAACGTTGAATGCCGATAAGTACAACATCAGTGCTAATGCAGTCGACCTACAAATAGCTTCTGCCATACAAAGCTCTCCCATAATGAGAAGCGTGGAACAACTTATCAAATTATGCAGCGGCGAACTCTTACCTACTATGGTTGAAAAGATGATTTTGGCGTCCAAAAAATGTATCGGCCTTCCTTCAAAAATTGGATGCACTAGATCAATCGACCTACTTGTAAGCTCGTACCCTTTCGAATTGAAGCCATTTGGCGCCAAACTCTTGAAGGCTTGTATGCTTGGTCTAAGCGATAGAAATCAAGTCGTCCGTGAGGCGTACGCAACAGCCCTGGGCCGCGTCTGCAAACTGTGCACGCCGGAAAGAATCAGCAAATACGTGGGCAAGCTCATAAGCAGATTTATGGACGCGGAAAATGAATCTGATCGTCTCATAGTTGGGCTAGCAATCGAATCCATTTACAAGTACTCAGCATCTATGTTTGACAGTGTGGCATCGGCATTTTTGCCGTTTATATTTGTTGCAAAGCATAGCAGCGGTAATGTCATGGAGGTTTTCACCAGAATCTGGAATGAGGTGGCATCATCGGGTGCAGGAACTGTGCGTTTACACCTTGCTGAGATTGTGAACTTGGCGAGCGGAAATCTCAAGTCACCTTTTTTTGACGTGAGATTGATGTGTGCGAAGAGTGTTTGTGATGTTTGCACATATGCGCTGCCAAGTACTTCCGAAAAGCTCATTGAGCAGCTTTGCATCGTATTACTCAAAGCATTGGAGGGTCGCTCTTGGCAAGGTAAAGAAGTTGTGATAGACTCGCTAGTGTCGCTGGCGACCAAGTTTAACGTTGTTCTGATCAACAAAGAGGAACAAAAAACGGGTATTGAAACACGTCTTCTAAATGAGTTGGCAAGAGACAACCAGCAATACGTACGCGAAGTTCTGCTGCTTATTTTTCCATTTGTCAAGAGCTTTTCAAGTTTAGTCCTGTTCGAGAAGTGTCTAATAGTTGCGCAAAAAGTGATTACTGATATTGACGACAGTGGAGTGAACATGGAGGTTGGAGATGCCGACCTTGATGGCAGTCATAAGAAACAAAGATTGACATCAAGTATCACTCGAAAATCGCAGAAAGATAATCTGGTGAACGAAGAATACAAGATCAAACTTTTGAAGGAATGTGCTGGTGTGTTTGAATTTTCTGTGGTCAATGGACAGTCTGCTGCTCTTTTGGAGTTTCTTAGGAGTTCCACAATTGGTCTTTTTCATTCTCAAAGCATCGTGAACACTTGGAGAAGTCAAATAGCAGTTTCTGAAATCGGCTCTATTGTTGCCCGGGCTGCCGGAGGTAGCTCGGACAGTGAAATTACCCAATTTTTGAGAGACATTTGGTATAAATCCTTTGAGGAAGCTACTGAAGAAGAAGCTATAGAAAACGTTAAAATTCAATGCGTTAAGTTTGGAAGCACGCTCATGGAAAAGAACGTTTCTTTCAAATTTGTTGTAGTGAATAACTTACTCGAGATGCTGCGTTCTGGACCAACACCTCAAGTTGCTGCCGTGCTTAACAACGCAGGAATTGCGTAAGGAGATAGAATGAAAGCTATATGTACTTTTCTACAGAGCTAACTGGTCCCGTGAATCCCGTGCGATAGTATTACTCAAATACCGCCCCGTAGTCTGAGCACCAAGTGGAGAGTCGATTCCTTTTGTATATTGTAGTCAGACAAAGTTCTGCCATCTTCCAATTGTTTTCCTGCAAAAATCAATCTTTGCTGGTCTGGTGGAATACCCTCCTTGTCTTGAATCTTGCTCTTCACGTTGTCAATAGTGTCAGAAGATTCCACCTCTAGAGTGATGGTCTTTCCGGTCAAGGTTTTCACGAAAATCTGCATACCACCACGCAATCTGAGCACCAAGTGGAGAGTCGATTCCTTTTGGATGTTGTAGTCAGACAAAGTTCTGCCATCTTCCAATTGTTTTCCCGCAAAAATCAATCTTTGCTGGTCTGGTGGAATACCCTCCTTATCCTGAATCTTGCTCTTCACGTTGTCAATAGTGTCAGAAGACTCCACTTCCAGAGTAATGGTCTTTCCGGTCAAGGTTTTCACAAAAATCTGCATACCACCGCGCAGTCTGAGCACCAAGTGGAGAGTCGATTCCTTTTGGATATTGTAGTCAGACAAAGTTCTGCCATCTTCCAATTGTTTTCCTGCAAAAATCAATCTTTGCTGGTCTGGTGGAATACCTTCCTTGTCTTGAATCTTGCTCTTCACGTTGTCAATAGTGTCCGAAGATTCCACTTCCAGAGTAATGGTCTTTCCAGTCAAAGTCTTTACAAAAATCTGCATTTTTCCTTGTTCAAATCGATATGTGCTGTTTCGAACGCGTTACACTCAACAGTCTGGTCTTTCCTTAACGTCTTAAACGTGTTCTTATGTCGGAGGTGATGAACAAGCACCAGGTGGCAAATGTAATCAAATCTCGGAACCCCCTGGTATTTATACCCCCGACAATGTCATTTTTCTAATTTACTTCCTGTGGTCCGTTATTATTGAGCCGGCCTGGCCATTTCCCCTTTGGTTCGGGCCATTACCGCCCCTTGTTTTTTCCCGAATCCTCAGCTCGAGTACAAAATATACTTTGCCGGAGAAGAAGTGAGTACAGCACGTGCCAGCTGTCCGGGTAAATATTTCAACGATTCATATCACGTGCATTTTTCTAAACCCGTACACCATTAATCCGTATATTGTGACAGGAAAGTTTTCCAAATTTCGTTCAACATGACCTTAAGATCTCAATTTCATAGTATAAGGCGGCAATACATGTTTATTGGGCAATAGTGTGGAAAATAAAGGTACGAGACAATAATCATCAATTGAGGATAACGTAAGCGTTATCACGCTTAGGTCAATGAGACATTTACTATTGCAGCGCGTGTTTCGTGTCTAGCCCTCCAACATTTTGTCCAGGGTGTTCTTCCTAGCTTCGTTTCCTTAATATGGTCTCGAGTAGCGAAAGAATCCGATGGTCGAAGAGTGGGATAAGGAAAAAAAATTATTTGATGGGGGTGAGAATAATGAGTTATGTCGTTACGTACGAGGTGCGGTTTCTTGCGCGCGCAGCAGAACGGCGTGTGTGGGTGGGTGCGTGATTAGTGTTGTGATTAGCACTTGTGTGATTGGCACTTGTGTGATTAGTGTTGTAGTTAGCACTTATGTGATTAGTGTTGTAGTTAGTCCTTCTGTGACTATTTACTTGCCGTCTTTCACTTTCGCTTTTGCTCTCGCTTTCTCTTTCAAAGTAGAAACCGATTGGAAAGCCGTCGCGTCACGCCTCGACGCTTATACGCAGATGCGTTCGACAGCTCATCTTCTCTTTTGTCATCTCGAAAACCGGTAGTGAGGGTACCACCCCAGTCAAAGTTTTCCTCCTCTCGCACCGGCCCCAAAACCACTGGATCCATAGGTTGCCGGTGACTACTTTCGCCATGCCATCGGCTCGAATCCAAACTTCTTTTATGATTTTCGTGCGTTCTTGCATCTGTATTCCCCGAAACCAGCCTTAGATGGCTGTTATCCGTTGATTTTCTGCCCGGCGTCGAAATACTAGACCGGAAGAGAGTGATATCGCTCCTTCGCTTTCGAAGAAGCTCGTCGTCGCGTAAAAGCTCTGAAAGGGAAAATGCAAGTCTTCGTATCTGGCTCGCCATCGTTTCATTCCCACGACTACCTATCGTGAATTCTTTGAGAGTGTTCACAAGGTAAGCATACGATCGTACCCACGATATAAATTCATTCGAACCACTGTTTATAAGATACGAAACCAGCGTCAAGGTCTTCAGAATATGGATTGCGTTGACCTGTGAGCTTTTCCGGTAGTTCCCGCTCAATCTTTTCCGTATCACCTGCGTGATCTCCCGCAGAGTCTTGGGACTGTATGTCAGAACGGAAAGCTCACTCATCAAAGACCCGGTCGCGCCAGTGTATTGGTTGTCATCTGTTGCTTCTCTGACCTTAATTTCGGTCGAAGTCTGTCCTAAGGTCTTGACACTCTTGAGGATCGACATTGACGTTGATCCCGAGGCTCTGTGCGTCAGATTAAGTTCCGTGGATGAATTTGTTGGAGTACAATGAGTGTTAGAAGCCTTTCTCGAGTACGCAATCGGCTCCCACAAGGTGGTAAAGAGCTCCGTTGATGTATCCGCTTTCAAACTATAAGAGATGACAGTCATCGATGCCGTTTATTACCATTTGTTCGTTTGAAATGAGTTCGGTGAACCAGTGTGGTGGTGAAAACGGATAAAGTTAACACGGAGAGAGGCAAGCATACGGAGTCAAAAAGGGACCGGTGCTCTGTTTAGATCATCCACAAGCGAGAATCATCCAGTAGAAGCTTCATGGTCATTGGCCTTTTAATCCTTCCAGTTAGTCGATAACAAAAGCTCGCGCTTGATTATACTACTTTATTCGCCGCCTAATTTGCCTGTACGACTTGATGCGAGCAAAAAAAAACGCGTAGATTTCCCAGAGTACTCTCGCATTTGGCGATTTTCTCCGTACTTCACTTTCCATCAACTATTGTTGGTGAGAACATGAGTTTCAGCGTGGTATCGTATAACGGTAAAGTTTAAGATCTGTGGAACATCAATTCTCTTCTCATTTGTGACTTCGATTCGTCGCCACGGGTCAGGTTGCAATCTGAGATCTAATGTGTGCATCGCTATTAGCCCGGACGTCGGGTCAAATAGCGCCATGAGTAGAATTTCACAATCAATTTGGTCATCATCTCACCGCCTTGGTTTTGTTAGTAGTGTTCGTTCACCCTTGTACGTCTTTACCTGACCTGTTCGCGTATGCAAGTAGTCATCCAAGTTGGGTCAAGTAAACCGAGTTCGCGACTCTTTGTATCGTTCACAAGGCGCACAATTACTCTCTGATTTACTCCAGCTTCAAACTAATCAACTCATTCTCACCTAAACCTTTAATGAACCCGGATTCCGCATCCCACAAGTACGCAAACTCCCGTACGGTGGTAGCATGCGTGAAATCTGGTTTTTTAACCCAAAGCTTGGCTGATTTATCGAACCCATACGACTGAAGAATTGATCGGCCTTGCTTCTCCACAACCACAAACAATGATTTCATGCTAGGTTCAAGATCCCATGCTATCAAACTTTCGTTTTCAAAAGTCAAGATCTCGGACGCAAGAGTGTTAGGTTTTTTCCTCAGATCAAATATCTTGAGTTCCGTTCGTGTGGTGACCACAAGCCAATAGCCGTTTGAAGCAAACTTGGCAGAAGTGATTGGGCCCTCTGATTCAATGTCATGAGTAAACTCGATGGGTGGTTTTTGCAGCTGCGATATGTTTTGCACAATTAAGCTCTTTTCGTTACCTTGAAGTACTAGTAGGCCATCCTTGTGCAAATGCGCATACGATGTAGAAAATTCTTTCGTCCGCAGGGCGTAGGCACACTTCTTCTCGGTGTCGAACAGTGAGATTGCGCCGTTAGAATCAACAGTCAGATAAGCGTGTCCACTGACATCCTTGACCCATGAAATTAGAACGATTGCCCGTCCCTCGTTAAATCGAAGGCTGCTGAGGGCTTTCCCTTCAGATATGTCGTAAATACCATGGCTTCCCATTTTCGTACCGAACATTATCTGTTTGGCGTTTAAAGGTGCCATGAAACTAACTTCGTCATTGTCATTGAGAACCATATTCACTGTTCCGGTTTCAAAATGTGATGCTGAAACCAATTTGAATGATCCTTCTTGGTTGTAGACGGCAGCTATCTTGCCCTCAGCTATGTTGCCGTCTACGAATGACGCATTTAGCGTAAAATTTGACGGCACTTCACAAATCACTTGGATCTCCTCAAACACTTTCGAGCATGGAAGCGAGCGTAACTTTATCTTCCTGCTGTTTTTTGCGAATTCTATGGAATTTTGAGCAATCTTTTGAAGGGCATCCGCTGAGAACTCTGTCAGCAGCTGCTGGTCGGTGCCATCGGTAGCTTCAGGTTCAGTTTGTAGAGATGGTGCCAGATTTTGAGACAAAATGCTCAATTCATGCTTTAGTCTTTCCGTCTCGATTGTTGCTCGCGTGGCAACATTCATCGCCGCATCACACTTGTACAATGCGTTAGACAGTTCCACCTTACTGGCCTCCAATTGCTGTCTTAGCTGGAAGTTTTCTAGCATGACAGCGTCCCATTCGTCTTGTAAAGACGACAGCAGGTTAGGAATGCTATAATTGGCTTTTAGTGTTGAAGAATTCACCGAATTGGACATGGCATATTGTTCCGGGGTCTGTGCTATTTCAATAAGCTCTTGCACACTCAACGGCTCTCTATTGATGGGATCTAGTGCATTTTGTTCAACGTAGGTTTCTATCAATGATTTCTCGAAAACACATTTCGACTTGGGAGAAAAAACAGCCGTTTTCAAAGGCTTTCCGCTGACTTTATAAAGAAGTTAGTAAAATAAGGACAGGCTCACAGTTCAAGACTTCACAAGTAAAACATACTAGCACAAAACATGCTATTCTTGGTGCAACAAAATCTATATCTACTCCTACTTATGATGATGCCCTTTGCCAGGTTATATATTGATTGAAAAATAGCCTTCATAATTACCCGGCAAGCGGCATCGAGAAGATGTCAGCACTCGAATAAAGCACCCAGAAGGCAGTGGGATCGTCACTAAGCCGAAGCTAAACATCGACCTTCTGAAACGTCTTGCTAGCTGTAATATTTTCATCCGACCTTTACACATCTAGGTAAAGTAGGACGGTAAAGGCTTATCCGCCAGCATTGTCTTCTAATTCTCTCCAAACCCACTTCCTCCATATATCACCGGCGAGATTGTATAGCTCATCAAACGTGTTAGACGTTTTGTCGTCGTCACCCACTTCAATAAGCATGTGTGGCGCAGACGAGCTTGATTGGGGTCTTTTTGACAAATCGTCAGATTCTGCCTCACTAGAACTCACCGAACGAGATTCTATATCATTGCCATAAAGATTTCGATAGTTATGGTCATCGGCACGCGACAAAGACGGCACGTTGTTGAAAAACTCGGAAATCTCAGTTTCTTCGAATTCCAAAAGTTTAAATTCATGCTGCTGGAGAATTGCCATGTACACGAAGATAAGCTGTATGTGCGGATCCAGCAATGAAAACGGTATCCCAGTTCCCGTCTTGGGTTTCCAAAGAGGGTCCTCAGAATCTGTTTTGGTGGAAAATTCTAACTCGTCATCAGACGACCCATATTTGTTCCGCCGGACCAGTTCGGACAAAACTTGAAAGTCGCATTTTAGTTCTGATGAGCCCAAGCGTAATACCTCCAAGTCCGGAAACCAAAATGCATCATGTCCATATTTACAGATTTTGTTCAAGAACTCGGTATCCAAGTGAAGCGAAGTGGTTTCGGAGTACAAATGCTCGAAGATCTTGTTGTTGTAGTTGAGATAAAAATTCAAGGATCGCGGGTGTGGTCGCCAACCCAAAAAGGTGTCCCATACTCTGCCTCGGTCTTGTTTATGCAGCACACGAGCACCGGAACACTTGAACCACCAATACATCCAATTTGTTTTCTTTGAAGGCCTCAAACTTTCCTCGTCACTTACCGGCTGATACAGTTCCGGAAGGACTATTGAAAAGACTTTGAAGAAAAGTTGACACTGAAATGCTAGATCGCCACCAGATATTACTGGATAATACTGTGATGTAACGTCAGATTCGCTTTCCGCGAGCCTCTCGGCTTTCGGCACATCAGGAGAATGCAAAATGACCAGAAGTAATCTTTCGTAAAGGTCATTGAATGTGAACTCGGCTTTGGCCGGAATCTGGTTTCGTATGTGTTCCGGCAGGTAGTACTCATCATATAAGTTCACTGGTGGACCATGTCTTTTCCCCGGAAGTACGCTGTCGCAAGCGTCGAACGGGTACCATTCTGCCAAAGCTAGTGCAATCCATGCAAGACCACTTTCATATTTGAAGAACTGCGACCATTTTTTTAGAAATTGGCAGATACAGGATTTGAGATATTCGATGCTTTGCTGCTCTTCACAAGACAAGTTGAGAGGCTCGTTGATAAATTGACCGGAACTACCAACATTTGTGCTCTGACTCTTACTTGCTGCCGGTCCTCTTCTATGGAAGTACTTGCCCAGGTCATGTAAAATGAGATGCTCTATCTCTTCAGATTTTCTGGTTTCCGGATGATAGCGCCAGTTTTGGTTTTGAGAGTCCCAAACCAGTGTGTTCGACATGATATTGGGCGAAATGACCATTGGATGATACTTGAGTAGTACAGGCCATACATTTTTGCGCAGTTGTGGTGGTATGCCTGTGGTTCTAGCCACCAAGGCGAGCGAATCATGATCCTCAGCTTGAAGCAGTGTGACTACTTTGGAGACCAGCTCCCGCTGCCACATTTTTCTTTTCTCATTGCGCCAGTGGATGTGCGAATGCACAAGAGTCTTCCCGTCGGTCATCAAATAGCAGGCCAGCTATATGGGGTCGATTAGTTCTAGCTTTACGGCCTTCACAGATGACTGGATTTAAGTTGACTGGGGTACCACGCTCAATGCAGTGAGAATCAGTCACCAGCTATGCATTTAGGCTTCAACGTAATTTTGATCAAGTCACGTGACAAAAGGTTGATCTAGGTTTGATCCTGGCAATGAGTGACTTCCAGCCATTGACAACTTGAGTACTTCACACAGTCCGGTAAGAACCGGAACACATTTCGCTACAGTTGAGAGTGTCGACCGCGGGAGAAAAATTGTGGCCTTTGGTTCCAAAATACTCCGATCACAGGCTCGGCTGCTGGTTTTTTTAGATGTTGTTGAGACCTGGTCTTCTCTCAATACCATTAGCGACTCAATAGCACCTACAAATTCGAAGCAGTACTCTTTTGATGCAGTTGTTGGAGAAAAAGCGTCATAGTAGCACACGAATGGTCACTGCACTTGTTTTCCTTGCCCCAGCAGCTCGACTTTCGTGTTATTCTTATGTTCCTGGCTTAACATTCCACCCTGCTATGCTTATACACACTTCTTTCCTTCTGCGGAACTGCTTTCCCTATGCAGCAGTTTGCCGGTCTATATATTTTCCCAGGGCAATAAGAAATCTTCCCTCTTGGTTATATGTTCAGCAGAAAGGAAAGAGAACACAAAACACAAAGAAACCAAGACTAGATGTATTCAAAGCGAGTTATAAGGTTCGCATAGTATTTATGGCACTGTGAGAGAGTCATCGACCTATCTTGTGTTTCGCTAACCGCTTTTCCTCACATCAAGATTTGGATCCAATCTCTCACACTCAAAAGAAGAATATCAAGATAGCCTCTCACCGAACCGCAATATTTGGACTAAACCTGTCCTGTCTTCTGCTCATTCCGTATCGGTATAGAAGGAAGAATTTCGTGTCACCTTCCACTCAAGCCGCTCAAGATACCCCTATTCCGCGCCCTTCTCATTTGCCGCCGAAGTTGATTCATATACACCCCTCACCTTGACTTACGTTCCGTATATCATGATGTCACATGATTAAGTTTTGTTTTCCTTCTGGTTGATCACTTTATACGAAACGCGGCTACCGTTCTCTTTTCCCGAATGCCAAAAAAAGAATTTTCTGTGCAGCAACCTAGACGCAGCGAACCTTTTTCAGATTCGATTCGATTTCATTCAGAACGGTGCGTGAAACCGAAAGAAAGTCTCATCCACCCACGTCATGGCTCTCTGCGGATCGCACTACCCGTACGTCGAAAGCCCGGAAAGCACGGTGGAAAATGGTGTCGGAATACCACAATAAGTTGGCAGAAAATTTGGCTACCAAAGAATCTATAAGAAATGGAAAAACTTATCTTCTTTAGGATGGACAACCGGCAGGGAAGTAACCATTATCAAAATCCTTCACTAATAGAAGAAGTGCCGCTGCAACCAAAGTTTTTTGATATATTTGGACTCAACAGCCACGGCATCCCCCAAAAATAGAGAATAATAACTTCCACTTCTTCTGCAACCCTCCATTTCATCCCCTGGTCCCACGTGATCCATATTACGCCTGCAAGGTTTCGTTTACTTTTTCCAGTAAACAAGCGTCTCCGTCGGTGCGATTTTCAGCGTTCGTGAAAGCTAACCTGGCGATTTAAAATTATAAAGGAAATTTTACCTCGGAAACATAGATACAGATCCAAGGCTGAAGGAACATCAGATTCTTGAAAAAGTCTCCGGGTTTTAGTTAACACGGGAAAAATAGCTTTGACGAGCCTGGATGATCTCTAGCATCAGGGACCCCATCTTTAGCTTCGCAGCAGCATTTCTGTGGGCGGTTTTCGCATCTTTCGCAGGAGCTGCCCAGACCGTATGCTCGTCGCAGAATACGGGATCTACTCCGGCGAAATTCGACCAGTACCAAAGCAACGGGTGGTGCTCTAACGCATGTGGTGGCTACTCGTATGCGATTGTACAGGACCATAACTGCTGGTGTTCGAATACCGAGCCCTCTTCACAAACGTCTGTCGGGAGTTGCAATTCAGCGTGTCCGGGCTACGGCTACGAGAACTGCGGGAATGCTGATGAGGGGCTTTTCGGATATATTTATTTGGGTGCTGCGAGCTCAAGTTCGAGCATAGATGCCAGCTCATCAACTTCGAGTGCAAGTTCGAGTCCCAGCCTCGCCTCCAGTTCGAGCATTACTGGAATCTTTAGTTCAAGCTCCAGCTCAAGCTCCAGCTCAATTTCAAGTTCAAGTTCAAGTTCAAGCTCCAGCGTGAGTTCCAGTGCATCTTCAAGCTCGAGCTCAAATTCCTATCCAAGTAGCTCCAGCTCCAGTTCTACCTCTAGCACAGGCTACAGTTCAAGTTCCAGTTCGGTACCTTCAACTAGCTCGAGCTCAAGCACTACGTCCACTTCTGCTTCTACTTCCAGTTCGAGCTTTTCTAGTTCGCTCACTACATCAAGCAGTCAGAGCGCCAGTTCCACGCTGCCTTCTTCAAGCACAACACCCCCCTCCTCGACTTCCAGTTCGTCTTCTTCTTCGACCTCCTCCTCCAGTTCCTCGTCCGCTAGCTCTTCTTCTAGCTCATCCACCAAAGCAACGGGTTCGGAGACTTCTGGGGGTTCGGTTTCTTCCGTGAAGCTGTCATATCTAACTGTAACGGCGTCTCCAACTGCGGACGGAAGCTCGGGTGGGAACGTTTACACAACGGAAATCGTCACTACGGTTATTTCCACGCCAACCGGCCAAGTCTCTGCCGCTCCCAATTCCAATGGTGCTGACGCGAACAAGAATCGTTCCAGTGGTAAGGGCTTCTGGGGATCGCCCGGCAAGATTGCCGGTACTTTTGTCGCAGTTGGCATAGTGGTATTTCTTCTTGCCCTCCTGGCCTTTGTGCTATGGTACCGTCGCAGAAACCATCGTGACGAAGATTTTGAAAAGCGTTACAACGATGTCGTGGCACCCGTTGGGAGCAACACCAGCATTGGACCGGCTTCCTCTGCTTCTCCTAATGGGTTCATATATGCTGACGAAAAAGGCATACAGAGAGCCCCTCCAGCGTCTTCGGAGAACAACGAAAAACGAGGGTCTCAGGAGACCAGTGTTGCGGAAATGGATCACGGAAGCGCCCCAGAAGAGGGTCCTGTCGTTGTTGACCAACGACTCGATCCTCGGCAGATGTTCATGATGCAATGGGAAAATGGTGGAAGTAAAATGTCGCTGGCAGACGATGTGGACTACTCGAGAAAGGTCTTACGGGTAATGAACGATTGATCCAAGAAACCAAACAAAAAAAAACACATGGGAAAGGACGTTAGAATAATAATAATGTAATATAGTCAACGACTTCAATCGTATCGTCTCATTTATAGCAAAAAGGCGGAAATCGAGTTGTGTGCTCATGACTGGTCATGATTCGTAACTAAAACGCTGCGTCTATTCCTGTGGTCCCGTCATAGCCCTTTCTTTACTCTATACGTGATAACACAACCACCAAGTCCTGGCGTCTTCTACCCAGTCCTATGTCCATATCTCTACTTGTTTTTGTAGTCGGCTTTATAATGTAACTTCATACGTCAAATTCAATTTTAGATCGTGGCTTTGAAAAATTGGACCCTGGCAACGCATAAATATTAACTTGACTCTCTTTAACCGATTTTTCTCCAGATTTAAACACCTAAGAAATCTACCAAAATTCAGCATAACTTGTTTGTCAACTAGCTCATAAAGCGCGAATCAGTTACGGTAACTTTTCCTTGCAATTTTGAGTTTACGAACCCGTTAGAAATGGCACCTTTAAAAGACCTGTTGAATCACGACGAAGATCTCGGGATCTTGTCGTCTCCCCCAAGCGAGGATGAACGCAAATATTGGGAAAGATGTAGTCGCAGCGGTAGTGAATCGTGCCCATCAGAAGTGTCCAGTACTGAGAGTGACTCCCACCAATTTCTGGCATGTCAGTGGAATAACTGTGGTCAAAAATTCGCTCAACCAGAGTTGCTGTACCACCATTTATGCAACGACCATGTTGGGAGAAAATCGCAGAAAAACTTGCAGTTGAACTGCCAGTGGGGCAACTGCACGGCCAAAACTGTCAAAAGAGATCATATCACGTCGCATTTGAGAGTCCATGTACCATTGAAACCATTTGCGTGTTCCTCCTGTGTCAAGAAGTTCAAGCGTCCCCAGGATCTCAAAAAACATCTGAAGGTGCATTTTGACGACGATGCAGCGGCTGGACGTAAGAAGGGGCCCAAATCCAGCTCGAAAAAAGTGGCAAAACCGGACTCGAAGTCTGCTGAACTCACTGCACCCAAACTTGCATCAGCAACATTTGAGAAGTTTTTATCCGAGGAAGTTAGACACTACCAGCCCTTCTATACTCCACAGCTAGGCCAACGTATTCAGTCGTTGCCCGTTCCGTCGATATCTCATCTGGCTAGGAACATCCCTGAAAATGGTCTGAACCCTGGTGCTGCTGTCACACACACGTCGCCACGCCTACAGGAACACAGCGTATCTCCTTGCTCGTCTCCAGAAGACCTAAGGCATGCAGCAGGCTTCTTTACGTCCCTTTCTTACGATATGAACAGAAGACTTCCCCGTCTGCCCCAGCTCAATGCGGTTCAGCCCCCCACCGCTCCCCTCTCTCCTCTCATTCCCGCTGGCGTACCTCAAAGATACCCACAAGTACTTCAGCTTCCTCCAATTTATTCTGCTGTGCCTTATGGTGCTACTCATAGCAGCCAAATTCCAAGTGCTTATCAGATGAACGTTCCATTCGCTTCCTCCAGGGTAGATACTCCTGCGAGGATGCCTCAATTCCGCCCTGGTGACGTCTTCAGCATGCACCAAAAGAATTCTGGCCACTCGTCAGAATCTAGCACACACGAGGAGCAAATAGGAGATTTATTCAATGCTTTGAGCTTGAATTCATCTGACGAACAAGATTTTATGGACACTTTGGAGAAAGTAAACATCATGAAAGATTATTTGATATGTTTGATGCTTGAAGATGAATATCTCTCGGACGAAGAGGTCTCAACTGACGAAGTTCACGGCACAACGAAGCGTATCGCTGCCGATGTGCCATCTGCGAAACCTTTATCGAAATACCCGACCGTGGTGGTATAAATACTAGTGTTAGAACGTGTAAAATAGTGAATTAATGGGGTTTTTTATTTGAATAACCACACGGCTTGAACTTCCAGCTGAATATGTTGTCTTTTAAGCTTCGTCCATGAACTCAGCGAGGCCAGCCGATCATGTCATAATTTTCAACGATGACGATGAATGTTCCATTAATTCATGCGATGAGCTGAGCTATGCTCGAAGTTCAACGATAACTGTAAAGATAAGTCCAGTTCGCCTGTCGCTAGGTAATTATTATGGCTATACGTATGTCGTCAATTCATGGTGTTGACTCATGAAAAATGTGCTTGGCAAAGGCCTTTACAAAATAAAGAATATGTGCTAACTGACGCTTCATTGCAGCTGAAAAGTTGGAATCAGAACTTCAATATCAAGATGACATAGAAGACGACGATTCCCTAACATCAGAAACCTCCTCGAGTGTAGCAGATATCATTGATAGTGCTGATGATGATGCGCTGCCGTCGGCTGGACCCGCAAGTGAATATGAAGACGACGCTGAGGAAGGTGAGAGTGATGAGAAGGCTACCCAAGACATACCTAGTGCGAGAAAGTGGGAGAACTTCCATCTTCTCGGCGGTGTAAATCATTTTTTGTTGAATAACGACGGTACTAAAGCACTGGTGGCTTTAAAACAAGGTGAGGAAGTTATGATTGCAGGAAGCTTTCAAGTGCAGATTCTCAAGGGAGGAATCAAATATAACGATGTCCATTATAATGCCTCTCAAACCGCACTTCGTGTATGGCACCCATCCTGTTCTTCGATGTCTCCAATCTCAAGCTCTTTCTTCGCAGGTTGGAAGGAACGAGCATTCATAACACCTGAAATTTTAAAGACTCAAGTAGCGCACAAGGACTTTGAATGCATACTGCTTATTTCTAATAGATGCTCTGGATTACTTGAAATCTCGAAGCTAGACTCCATATTCAGCAATCTGTGGGTTTCTCGCGATTACCTCACATCTCATACCGCTTCCTCACAACAATCAACATTTGCCATCCTAACCGGACGCACAATGAGAGATACAACCTCCGTATTAAGTCTCAATATATCCAGTTCGTGGACCCAAAAGTTGGATGAACTCTCACTATTCCATCAAGGAAACCCTCTTGATATGCGCCTTATGGTCCTAGGAGGCAAAAATTCGGGGAAGTCTACATTCCTGCGGCTGCTATTGCAAAGGTTTCTACATGTTGATAATGACGATGACGAGCTCATATTTTATTTGGATATAGATCCCGGGCAAACCGAATTTTCTGGCCCAGATTGCATTTCACTAAACTGCGTTGGGAAGGATCTGGAACTTGGCAATCCGTTGGGACAATCACCTAACGTACCAACTATCGAACGCTACGTGGGTACGAACACTCCGAGCGCATTTCCATCAAAGTATCTGGCAGAGATTACAGAGTTAATAGATATTGCCGCCAATGAAGTTCACATTGGTTCCACGGTATTAAATGTCCCCGGTTGGGTCAAGGGATTCGGCATTCAAATTGTGAATAATATTATCAGTCGCTTCAAGCCCACTCACATCTTACTCTTGGGTTCTGTAGCGAAAAATCAATCACTACTGAATGAACTGCAAGTAGACGGAACGTTCTCTACGCCTCTGCGAGAAAACTACAAGGCAGAGGTGGATATAATTGATGGTTATCATGGCTCACCAGCAGATTTCTCACTTAAGGCGAGAATCCAACCTTATCACTTGAGGCAGTTTCGTCTTTTGTCCCACTTCCACAAACTGTGCAGCGCCTCTCACCTCATCAAGTATGATTTTACACCCTTAATCAAACAAAGACCGTTGAGAGTTTCATTTGGAGCATCTGGGCCGATAAAGGCTTTTAAGTTACCAATACCAGGAGATAAATGGACTGATAAGAATATCAAAGATATGCTGGAGGGTACCATAGTTGGTATTTACAAGGCCGCTGAAAAGTTTGATGTCAACACACAAGGTAGAATTCCCGTTGCTGGACAAAGTACAGGTGGTGTATTCCTTCATTTGGGCTTTATTCATTCGATAAACGTTCAAGAAGCGTACGTCAATATCTACCTTCCCTTTTCGCGTAAAGTCAGCCCCACAGATCAGTCTGCTTTCGATTTTTTTATAGAGAGACGCAAAACTGAAGCACCAGTGTCTGAGTTGTTGCCGCATAATGAGCTTCTGAACGATCATCCAGAACTCGAAATACCATTTGTTTCTTCTCGTAAGCCCAAAAAGTATGAGTATGTGTGGAAAGTACGGAGAAATATCCAAAGGAGAGGACATCTCACAAAGTGAATATTCGACAGTGATTAGAATGCAATGCTAAAATCTGTATAAACCTAACCGACGTTTCAACTGTCTTCTACCCACCCCATTTTTTTGTTGAGTCTATCGTACTTCGTTCTTTCGTTATCGCTAACGGATGGCTTGACCTTTCTCAAAGCGCGTAAGAAGTCATTCATGCTGACCTGCACATCCGTCGATGACGTTGTAAGTTCGCCAAACTCTTGTTCCAGGTTGTTTTCGGTGACTGAATGGACTTCTTCTGTCTTGAAAAAACTCCTTTTTAAAGCCAATACGGAGCTTTCTCGTACAAGAGCCGCCAGGTCAGCACCCGAAAAGTTTCTACAGCTTTCTTCACGAATCACGGCCTCAAGGTCAACATCATCGGCCAGTGGAGTACCATTAGTTCTCGTTAGGGTCTTAATGATGTCCAGCTTCTCTTCGAAGTTCGGAAGTTCGATGAACAGTGTCTTGTCCAATCTTCCGGGTCGCAGCATGGCAGCATCTATCATATCTGGACGATTAGTAGCACCTATTACAAATATGCCTTGTCTATCGTTGAGTCCATCTAGCTCAGTTAAAAGAGTGTTTACAACTCTAGACGATGACTCGGACAAAGAAGCATCCCTTCTGGGTACCAAAGCGTCCAGTTCATCGAAGAATATGACACAAGGAACGGAAGCACGAGCTCTTGTGAAAACTTGTCGAATTGATCTCTCAGACTCACCAACGTATTTGTTGAGCAACTCAGGGCCTTTTATGGAAATAAAGTTCGCCCGTGATTCATTGGCAACAGCTTTAGCTAATAACGTTTTACCGCAACCAGGAGGACCCCACAATAGAACCCCGGCCGGAGCGCTTATACCGACTTTCTCATACAGCTCTGGCCGTTTGATGGGCTGGACTATAGCCATGTTCAGCTCAACCCTGATTTTGTTCAAAGCACCAATATTTGACCAGCTTACGTCAGGAACAGTTGCAAATCCTTCTCTTTTCGCGGTGGGCTGTATCGTAGGCAAAGCCTTTAGGAAATCTTCATATTTTATGGAAAGGGAACTGAGCTGCTCTTGAGACAGTGGCTGCGGGAAATTCTGTAAAAACTTTTGTACTGTGGATAGAGGCAGTGGATCTATCATATTGGCTGTGTTCTTCAACTCCATGGCAATATCGCTAGAACCAAAGCCGCCATCAACTTCCATCAAACCGGGTGACGCTTGTGGCGATGAAGCATAATCTTGAAAAATGCGTTTGATTGCACACGTACCAGCAGCAGTACTCAATGCCTTAAGGTCAGCGCCAACGAAACCCGGCGTGAGTTTTGCGAGCTTAGAAAAATCAATATCACCATCTATCTTCAGGTTTTGAGACATTTTCCGCAAGATATGCAGTCTAGATAACTCATTAGGAACATTGAGGCAAATCTCCCGGTCAAATCTACCAGCACGTCTCAAAGCTGCATCGAGGGAATCTGGTCTATTCGTAGCTCCGATTATGATAACAGGTTTGCCATCTGTTTTTTCAAACGACAACTCATCCATAGAAGTCAATAACTGAGCAACAATTCTTCTTTCCATCTCTCTTTGGGCTCCACCATCCCTTTTTGGTGTGATGGCATCGATTTCATCAAAAAATACTAGACATGGTGCAAGGCTCTTGGCCTCTTCGAACAGATCTCTGATCTTCTTTTCACTTTCGCCAGACATTCCACTAACGACGGAAGGTGCGGATATCGATATGAATGGGACTTGAAGCTCACCTGCAAGTGCATTCGCAATCGAAGTCTTACCACAGCCGGGTGGCCCGTGCAAGAGAACACCACGAGGAGGCTCGACACCGGTGGAAGCGAATATCTCTGGATGTAAAATCGGCAGCCCGATGAGCTCCATTAATTGTGCCACCACATCTTCCATGCCCCCCAAAGAAGATAAATTACTGTTTGGAGGACTTCTGTCCTCCTGAGTTTTTTGTCTCTTTGGTTTCGAGCTACCATCCTTGGACCGTTTTTTGGTGGTTTGCTTTTTTTGATCTTCATCCTCCTCTTCATCTGCAGTCTTCGCTATTTTCCATTGGCTGGTGACACTCTTATTCATTTCATTCGAGTCCTGTGCAACCATTAGATTTTGTTTACTCAACTTTTCGTCTTCATCTTCTTGTGCCTTCGCTGAAGATTCTTTGGCGAAATAAGCAGAAAACTGCTCCTCTTCTTCAGCCACGGCTTGTTTAAGTACTCTCTCGACGGTTTTTTCGAGAAGTACCTTTTTCACCCGCTGCATTGATAAGTCTTTGGATAGTATAAAAGCTAGCACCTCGCCGAAACTTAGATCTCTGGCCAAAGAGACATCCGCAAAGTCATCCTCTTCAGACAAGCTTTCTTCAAGCATATCGTCCTCTTCCCGACGAATTCGTTTTGCTTCATTCATCCGTTGCTTCTCCAACGACTTTTCATCGAGCATACGATAGATTAGCGATGAGATTTTGTCGTCGAAATTGCTCGACAACGACGGCTTCGCTTTCTTCGCCTTAACCATCGTGACCGTCGTAGCGTTTTGTAGTAAGCTGAAGCTAAAAGCCTTCTATCACAAGGGCTTGTAAGTTCCGCTTGCAGCGTGCAGCTGAAGGGCATCGATTTAGCTCATCGGTTGATGATGCAATGTTTTTCAATCCTGCGTTCATAGTGATATTCGATTTAATGAACGTTCCAATGAGTTACAATTTTGAACCAAATGACGATGGCTCGGTATTGGCATGGGTTGATCCTAATGTGGGTTATGTTGTGCGTCTGTTCATGTCTCTCCGAGGTTCCACTGTCACCACAAGAAATGCAATTGTCACTTCTGAAAAAGCTCTTTTGTTGAATCATAGCAGGTATCTGCCACCTGCAAACCTGGTAAATGAATATCCCGAAAGGGACGCCTTGAGAATGTGCTACCGTAGGTTTATTCGTTTGACCCCTTTAGTGTCACAACGTCAAATGGTAAGGACCACGTATGTTCAGTATCTTCGCTATAAGTTCAGATCTGAGGACTACGCAAGAAAAGTGAGCGCCAGTGCGGTCTCGCTTCCACCGCACAAGCGCAGTATATTGGATGAGGTGGAAAAGAGTCTGCTATTTTGTACCAAGGCAGTTTCGGATGTGAAGAAAAGAGTAATCGACGAAGAAAAGACATCTAGGGATATCAGGACTGCAAAAAGTATTCTAAAGAACGTCTTGACAGTGGAGTTCGAAAAAATGGAATTGATTTCGAAAGATCCGGCGCAAAACCACGAACTTTTCCGCAAATCCTTTTCGTATCTGTCACCTAGCTCTAGTAGTTCAGCGCTTGACTTACGTTTTTCGTCGTTCAAGCACTTTGACGAATGTCTTATTCTTTTGAATGAAAAGCTTGGAACACGTTTATGATGTGTGACATTGTTGCGACTTCACAACCCTGTGATTAGGAAATTTTGAGGAGTGATCTCAGATCAAGCTTCTCGTCTGCTTTTATTCGAACGTTTTTTGTGTCCATGTATGCCTCAACAATATCCAATGCCTTGGATATTTGCTTGTCATCGAGACCTACAAAATTTAACCTCAACGACTTTCCCTCTAGCGTTGCTTCGATATTCAGCACTTTTCTGAGCGATGCCACCACCTTGTTAGAGAAGTCAACTGTGTCCGACAACGAATTATCTAGCGTTATAAGCCTTTCCGACGACAAGTGCTTCAGCAGCTCTTCAGCTGCATCCACGGAACTTTGATCATTCCCTCGAATTTCCAAACTTTGATTTTGGCTTGGGATCTGAGCTGGGAACATGATATACGTTCCTGTCTTCCTTTCAATGTCGCTGATCACTTTATGCCTATGTTGTGCATCGTGAAAAAAGTGCCGATACTGGCCCACTGACATACGAATACATGTTTTGGGTTGCAGTTCGCTGTATTCAGCCACAATTCGTTTTAACTCATTTTTAGCCAGGGGGATAGACTTTCTGTTTTTGAAAGGGCATCTCACGATCACATTATCTAGTCTGATAAAGCCGTAATTGTTCCGTTGTGCCCGAAATGTATTGGAAAATTGAATAAAGACATTGTATTTCCTCATTATGGTTTGTATCACTGATCCTCTTGTTCCAATGACTGGCCTGTGATATGCATCTGGGATGAAGAACGAATCCTCGGCCGGTAGTTCATCGCTTAGAAGGGAAATTCCAAGTTCAGATTTCTGGAAAGAGTCCGCGGTAAGTGTTATGAACATGTTGTGGTGACTTTCTTTAAACACCAAGTTTATTCCGCATTTAGCATTTTCCATTATCCTGTTGATTTTGCCGCTCTTCTTGCCAGAGACAAAGTCTCTGTATGCTGGATCCAACTCGATGGAATATTTGATCTGTATTTCACCAGAGATACCATGCTTTTCTATGGCGACTAAACATCCTGAAATGTTCTGGTAGCTGCTGATCAGCACGTAACTTGCTACCTCCGTGTCAAGCTGCATTATGATTATGCCATGCTCTGATGCAAGTTTGTGAAGGTTGGCCACCAGTTTTTTTTGTTGCGATTCGTCGGCGTTTGGGAAACTAATATATGCTTCGAACACCGGCATCAAAGCTTCCAATGTAAAGTGTCTGATAGCAGAACGCAAGGCGGTGATAGAGGTAGAGGCAAACCGTACAGTTTGCGCTTCCATTTGAATGAAACATTGATGCTTTTCCATAATGGCTTTTATCTCGTTCTGGTGGAACTTCGACAAGTAAAGCAATTTCAACGGGGACATGTTTTGCAGGGCCGAGTAGTACATGCTGTTCTTTGCTCCCTGGATCAATTCCTCGAGACATTCTTTGGCAGCCAAAACGGAAGAATGCGCCCTTCCAGAGATGAAGAGAAGATTACAGGATTTTCCCCAGGTGTGTGGCATTATGATCTTCACATTGTAAAGCTTTTGAAAGTATTCCACATTATTAAGATCGACCCCCGCACAAACCGGAAACAGCGCCGGACTGTCCACACTCACGCATTCGACCACTTTATTGCTAAAGAGGTCGAGTAACGCCAGTATGTTTGCCTTGCCAGCATGGACCTGCTCCTGGGGTCCCAGCAAGCACAGAACCCGCTTTCCCCTGTTTTTAGCCCCGGGAGTGTATACATCGTAGGGGACCACAACAACATCGATGCCGAGTTTTGCCGAAAGTTGCATTAATTGTTCGCTCTGGGGTTTTGTCAACTTTTGTTCTAGGGGTATTGAATAATGAATAAATACTGTAGATTGTTCCGCAGACTCTGTTGAATAATGGCATAAGACGCTATTTTCAAAAATCTCGTAGCTCTCAATCTGTGCGTGTGTTGCATCCAGCTGGCCAATACATTGTCTGGCTTCTCCGGATGGCACCATTTTCTTCACAAGCTCTTCGTTGGGCGGTTTCCAAAGGTTATCGGACGCCAATTCGGTATTTTGTGGTCGGAAAAAAATCGTGGTATGCAGTGGAACCACCACTTTTGGACGTTCCATTGCTCTCGAAGCTGTACTTAATTGAGAAAGGAGTTTACAGACCTGTTTGATGTCTCTGTGTTGTGCATGTTGTAGCCTTACAGATACGCAAATTTACATATATGCATGTATCCCATATTAAAAAGGTAAACATATAAAAGTAAGGTCGTATCACACGACATCGAAAACTCACGGCGAGTTTTTGAGCTTAGAGCACACAATCGTGGCGAAACAGTTAGTGTTCAATTTGGGAGATACACCGCTGCCAACTCTCCAACGTTTCTCGTGTATGCAAACCATTTTACTTGGATTGTAAAACTTATATCACGTGACTATTTCGTTTTTCGAAGAGTTTATTCCGTTTTCCAAATAAGAAAAAAAGGCTTACCACAGTTATGATAGTAAAGGGTTCTTAAATTTTGAGTACTCTCGATCTATTCAGCAATCAGTTCGGGTGTAACTCCATTATTGATAAATTATTACACGTGACTTTGTTTCTCTTTTCGTACCGCATGACCTCGTTTTTTTCTCAGGTAATCAATTACTATCAAAAAACCCGACACACCTATCGGGAAGAGATGCATCGTTTCCCAGGTAGTACGGCGCAGCACATTTGGCCAGAGCCACTTTAAGAGATCCTCAACCTGATAGCGGCAAGTCCGAGGTTTCTGAAAAGTATAAAAACTTAAGGTGTGTTTTTACGTCTCCCCTCATGGCAGTCAAAAAGAAAAAGTCTAGTAGCATCAAAACGCTGCGGAACGGTCAAAATAATACACATACAGGGTCAAACGACACGACGCGACTGAAACCGGAAAACGTTGGAGGCCTGGTTCACGATGAAAGCGACATCATTTCTTATCGGGCATATTTGACTCAAAACCTCATAAAGGCAAGCGAGATGATGGATATATTGACCACTCAAAACATACCACTGCCGAAAATACTGGCACCACCCATATATCCGAATCTGGACCTAGATGGTGCCAAAAAGTCTCTGGAATTTGAAAAACAAGAGATTGCGGCACTTGAAACACAACTGCTCACCAGCCATCGCTTAGAACTCCCGTCGGAATACATAGCGTTGAAAGAGCTATCGGAAGCTGTCGTGACAAATGAAGGCTCCACCCCAAAAGCAATAGAAAAGGTTCAACAAACGTTCATGTCAAGGTTTCAAAGGCATGTGCAAAATGACCGCATCGTCGTTCACCACAATAGGTTTCCTCAGCTTCGTGGTGACTTGTCTATAGCCCCAGCAGACTACTGGGCCAAACGGGCCGAAAATTTGGCAAAGCAACAAGAAGAAAGGTTAAGATTACAAGCGCTTCGTGAGCAAGAACAACGTGAAGAGCTTGCACGTAGGTCAGAAGAACAAGAAAGGCTGCGGCGAAAACAAGAAGAACAGCAGCTATTTGAGGACCCCTTTGCTCAGCAACAGCCGCAGCAAATTCAATCGGTGCCTGGAGTACTTGCATTCAATGGCAACGGTAACGGTAACGGTAACGGTAACAGTAGCGGTAACGGTAACCAAAATCAGCAACAGCAAGCGGATCCATCGCAGCAGGCAATGCTGGGGTCGATCTTTGGCGACGTTAATGGAGAAAATTTCAACAATGGCTTCGAAGACGAATTTGCTGATCTAGATACCGCATTCTTTTGAAAGCGGCTGGATTTCAAAATGAGAGTTGTGTTAATTTATCTAAACTCCGAAATAGTAAATGTACAGGTTTGACGGTTATTTCACGCCCAAAATAGGTTGTTGATTTGTCTGATCAGTCTGCCGCTTGCGAATGCAATAGTCACGAGAGTAATGATTACTTGTAACACTATCAGACTCAAGCTTGCGAACATAAATCTTGGACAAAAGATCTTCCATACCATCAAGTGTCTTCTGAAGTGTGTCACCCACACAAACGAGCTTAAACACAGAACAGTATTGTAGATTAGAAGCATACCACAGTTTGAGACCACGCGAGCTAAAAGGGTCTGGGGCTTCAGAACTGTAGGCGGCTGTTTCCAAAGGGTCAGAAGTGCGACTGATAGAGCAATAATGATGTGAGGCCCAAAAGTATTCATCACGATGCCCAAATGCGTGAACGGAAAGGTTATGCGTTCAGTGAGTACGAATCCGACGTCCCACTGCACAGCTGGTATTGTTGCTTGATGACCGGTAGAGAAAAACTGTTGATATGCAAGTAAGCCTAAGGACACAGGGCCAATTAGATTTTCCTTCAACTTTAGAAGATCAACGATCTCAAGAATTGACAACAGTTGATTGCACATCAGAAAGAGAGAAATCTGTGCAAGAGGCTTGTTGAACAACATGATGCACATGAAAAAGTTGATGACCAATAAAAAGAATTGTGAACCGTATACGTTGGCATACCCTAGGATTGTGGCTTGTTGAGACTTGACATCGTTGTTGTGAATGTTCAATTTTACGCAGAGTGGTCCCATCATCCAACCTACATTGGCAGCTATAAGGGAAAACCCTGCAACTATTCTGGATATTGTGAGCTTGAATACCTTCAGGTCCCAGGCCAGGTCTGGAATATTGTTCTCCATCGCGCATATCGACCAGTAAACAAAATTGGTCAAAAGTACCCAACGTAGGAATTGACTAATCCAAATCGGAGCCGCCGCTTGATAAGATGAACAAATGTTATAGTAGCCTTTCAAGCATGAGGGCAGGAACGCGACAGCGGTCAAGCATAGCATTAGACCCCAATAGGAGTAATTGTTGGCTGTTGTGAATGTTGGAGTGCAAAACTCACCTTGTTCCTCTCGACAAATGGTGATCATGGAAGCCAATCTGGTACATGTAATTAAGACGATCGAATGGTAGCCTCCAACGAGACGAGCGAATCTACCAAGCGGAGATGATTCGGAGTCTAACGGCTGTTTCTTTTGTGGAGATTTTTTTTCTTCCCCCATTGCAGCTGCTAAAAGAGCAGTGGTCAAACGTCTTTTAGGCAGAAATACAAATTCGTATAATGTCAACATGCCCAAGGTAGCCAGCAAAAAGCTTACAATTCTATCTTCCCAAATGGTAAAAGAGTTTGAAGTGAAAAGAACGGCATGTAGTGTGATAAAAAGAGCTGCGATCCTAGACCAATAATCGGAAAGATCCTCCAAAAACTTACGTCCGATCCACGCGACGGTGTAGCGGTCAAAAATGGTGAGGAAAAATCCCACACTTATCCCTACCGCTGTTGAAAATAATGTACACCAGAGCCAATTCTCGAAAAAAACGGGCTGATGTAAAACGTGGAAAATTCCATTGAAACAAACGTTTGATACTAATGTCATAATTGCAATCGTTGGCACAAATTCAGAGACCATCTGTCCGATAACAATTGAGGGTACAAGTTTTGTGATAATTATCAATAGTACGAGGGACGTGGCTAGGAAAAATATGCCCACTACAATGCTCCAGTAGTCAAACCTGGCCCACAAATCCTTGCAAGACTCTAAAAAATATTTTTGGTATTCGGGAGCAAAGGAAATGTCATTAATTGATTTTTCCCAAAGGTCTTGTAAATGCTCCGCTTTGTCAAAATTCGTGATCACACCGCTTGCGTCACTGTAACTCTTTATTTGGTTTAAAGTCACCTCATGGTATAGCTTCAATTCTTCTGCAGTGGCTGCAATTTCTTGAATAGGCCAACCCAGATTATTGAAAGATATGGGCAGCCCCAAGAGTAAGGAAAGTGTTGAGACCAAGTCGATCTGGTTCACACGGCGGTGATTTTCACCCAAGGACGTGGTATCGTAATGGTCTGGTGATAAGTGGTTCCACATGTTTGGTCTCTTGGAGTATAGCCAAAGTGCGGCTTCGAGCTCCGACTTTGAGTCTCCTCCATGGTTTCCGGTATGGTCCATACCGTGATCACCCATGACAACCAACAGCGTTTTGTCGTCTATGCTCTCACATATACGTTCGATGAATCTGTTGGCCTGTAGCTGCTTTTCCTTCATGGTGAAATGGTCGGGGCCGTATTTGTGGCCAACGTGGTCGATCCCGAGCATATGTCCGATCAGGACATCCCAGTTTGCAGGGATAGCTGTTTCGTTCAAGAGATGGTTTTCGAAATAGCGCATTACGCCGTTGTCGACGGTGTCCAAATCCCACACGTTGAGAGACTCGAAAGGTTCACTGTTGGGAGACAGAAACGGTCTGAACAGTGCGTCCCAAGTGTCATCGCCCGCGAAATAGACTGTCTTGTTATTCAAAGAAAGCTGTTTGATAAAATTGTCCTCGTCTATCACTGAGCCATCGAAATTCGAGCCTGCGTCTATGAACGTTGGCAGCGATCCGGTGGTGAGGCCCTTTAGCCGCTGCAAGGTGGTGGTAGGAGGGTCAGCGATGAATTTCAGCAACAGTGACGAATGGTCAGTTCCGTGACCATTTTTGAAAACCTCTAGATTGTTGTGGTGGTTGCTGTTGTATCCAAAATCGCTTGGATCTACAGGAATGGTAAAATCGAATCTGAGGGCATCGATGACCAAAATGACGCATTTGTCGAACTTGGGCTCCACCGGGCTATCGGTAGCTACGTTATCGAGAACATTGCGGGTGAGTAGAAACCCTCTGGCGAAAAATGCTATGGCAATGAATTGGAGAATGGCCAACGAGCTGATGAGATATATGTACAGTCTGTGGGTGGTCTTAAACCGGTGCAGTCTGGACCAATGCAGCCGTTTGTCTTCAATCGAGGTATTGAATACCCGTTTTCTGACCTTGCGTTCATCGCTCGCATCGATTGAGGACATGCTGTGGTGCGAGTTGGCGGAATGCTCGAAAGGCTGTCTTCTCTCTCTATGCGGGCAACTAACTGTGTGATTAATTATGATGGGTGGGTGATATGAGAGATGAGAGATGAGAGTGAACAGAGTGAACAGAGTGTTGGTGCCGGATGTACTCGAGTACATCTGGATCGAATCGCCGAGAGTATCTGTCACGTGGTAGGCATTCGCAATGAGTAACTCGAGTAAGCGCTGTTTGTTACTCGGTAGTTGTGAGTAAGTAATCAAGATCGAGTTTTACTTATCCATGGGCAACGAATAACCCGTGAACCTTTGATGTAATTCATTCGGCGCCAGGGTTTTTCACAGCAATGTTGACTTGAATCGTTCCCGGGACTTATCTAGACTAGCACCTCGAGCCGCACCCTGGGCTAAATGTGGGGTTTCTAAAGGCCTGATACTAGCGGATAATGCATTTATTCTGCCTGAAAACTCCGTGAAGCGCCAAGTAACGTAACGTAACATAAGCAATAATAGATAGGATACTCAAACCAAAAAAAAATCGGCCTGGAATCACATCTTTGTGAGTAGTCCTCAGATCACATGACACATTTCTCATGGCACAAGACAATGCTCATTTCTCACTACGACAACGACGAAACCAGGTTTTTCATTGTCCCCGCGTCGTGATACTCCAGGATGCACGTATGAGGAGCCCGCTCTTTCTTTTGTCTAGTGGACATCTTTCTTCACTCTTTGAGGGTTTTCGACCTTTACTTACGTTCGTCCGTAGCAAAACTCCGAATACCAACCAGATACCTACCTCGATTACCGACGCGGATACCTACCTCGATTACCTCCAATGGGTACAATCTGGACGATTCTCAAGACAAAAGCATCTCCCGTAATCCTTTGTCTGTATCTTTGTCCTCCCGTAGTGGTTGTCCCGCGCCCGATTGTCTCGTAACCGCTGCCTGTCTCTTCTCGTCTCGGAGTTGTGACGCCGCGATTGTCACGGAACGGAACCGTTTAGGATCCGCGCACGTGATCTCCGCCCCTTTGTTTTGTTTATACCTTTCAGGCCAACTCCACCCCTACACCAAAAGAAAAACCAAATATATAAAAAAAAAAAAAGCGAAAACACGCACTACGCACTACGCACACGCTACGCACACGCAAATTGCTCTGTCCCCGGCAGCGGTCGCGCTTCCGCCCGCGGGCTCCGTGCCTTCCGCCACGGGTCTATCTGACCCGAAACCCTAATCCGATCTGTCGTTCTCGACGTCGTCGTGCAAGCACTTCCTCATTCTTTCCTTCTAGCTAGCTGCATGGTGGTACCTTGCACTACGTCGCCAACGCTGGTCTGGCGCGCTTCCGTTCTTCCTCACTCTTCTGCGGCACACGATGGAAAAGGCAGCACCTATACATAAAAGGCAGCACACACTTGGCTCTCTTGGCCTATAAATTGGTGAAATTCAATCACCGAACGCCCTTGAGTCAGCATTGAGTGAGTAGACACAGCAGAGTGAGTAGACGAACAATAGCATCATAGCCATCCAAGAACGCTGTCACTAGAACACACACACACTCTCTCTCTCCCTCTCTCGCACACCTACATACATACAGACCGGGATAAGCTTTTTCACGGTACCGGAACGAATTCATAGAAGTACTCACCCCAGTCACCCCCCATTCACCCGAAACCACCCACACACCCCCGCACACATGTCCTCCCGTGAATCCAGCGACTACGCAGATCCCGTGCGCGAACTCGAGTTCGAGGGCAAGCCCAATGACGTGGCCAGCAACGGCGCCGATCCGGACCTCGAGCTAGAGCTTTCCCGCACCGGCACCAACGCCACGTCGGAGACTGAGGCCCGCATCAACCGCCGCGTCTCGCGCATTTTGACCGGCTCCCACAACGAGCCCGAGAAGGTCGGCGTCGACTACTCCAATTGTCTACCCATGGGCGGCGGCCGTCCGTACCCGCCCATGCTTCCGGACCGGGAGCAGTTCGAGGTGGCGTTCGACGGACCCGATGATCCGCTCCACCCCTACAATTGGCCCACCCGCAAGCGTGTGTTTCTGTGCGGTCTGTTGGGACTCAACTGTCTGGGCGTCATCATGGGCTCGTCCATCTATTCCTCGTCTATCGAACAGATCTGCAGAGACTACAAAGTGGCGCCGGTCGTGGCCATTCTCGGTATTACGCTGTACGTGTTTGGGTTTGCCGCCTCGCCCGTCGTGTATGCGCCGCTTTCGGAGTTGTACGGCCGCCAAATGCCGCTCATCCTCTCATCTTTCGGATTCGTGTGTTTCTCGTTTGCCACAGCGGTCTCCAAAGATCTGCAATCCATTCTAATCACCCGTTTCTTCGCGGGCTTTGTGGGCGCTGCCCCGCTGGCCATTGTGCCAGCGTGTATGTTCGACATGTTCAACACAGAGACTCGAGGCAAGGCAGTGACCATCTTTGTTATGGGAGTGTTCATGGGCCCTATTCTGGCGCCTGTGTACGGGTCGTACATCACTCAGTACACAACGTGGAGGTGGACAGAATACGTTATTGGCATCTACTCCGGAGTTATTACTCTAATCTTGCTGTTTACGTACGAAGAGACCCACCATCCAATGATTTTGGTGGCCAAAGCGCGTCGTCTCAGAGAAACCACAGGCAATTGGGGTATTCGTGCCGCGCACGAAGACGCGCAGCTATCGCTGCGCGATATCGTGCAGAAAACTGTTACCAGACCCATCTACATGCTGGCTACCGAACCCATTCTGTTCTGCATCACACTGTACCACGCGTTTGTGTACGGGATCCTGTACTTGTTGCTGGAGGCATATCCAATTGTGTTCGAGGGCAAATACGGGTTCTACAAGAACGGAGAACTGCCCTACATCGCATTGTTGGTGGGAATGGGTGTTAACGCCCTGTACAACGTCTACGAAGAGAAAAATTACGTGGCCAAAGTGCGGGCCAATGGCGGCAAACCGCTGCCGGAGGCCCGGCTCCGCACCATGGTGATCGCCGGCATCGTTTTCCCGATCGGGATTCTGTGGTTCTGCTGGACCGGTAATTACCCACATAAGGTGCATTATATGGTTCCCACAGTAGCCGGCTCGTTCATTGGGTTCGGGCTGATCGGAATCTTTCTACCGTGCTTCAACTATATCATCGACTGTTACCTGTTTTTGGCAGCGTCCGCCATTGCCGGTAACACATTTATGCGGTCCTCGTTTGGTGCGTCATTCCCGCTATTTGCAGGGTTCATGTTTGATAACATGGGCGTAAACTGGGCCGGGCTGTTGCTGGGACTGTTTGCGCTGTGCATGGTGCCCGTGCCGCTGTTGCTGATGAAATACGGCAAGGAGTTGAGACAGAAGTCCAAGTTTGCGTTTGTGCTGTGAAGACGCTTTAGAAAGTCAAGTAATGCCGAAATACGGATTCAATTTTTAATGCAATAGATACCCATAGAAAGATGCATGTAGGACAGGCAAGGGTGCGCAAGGGTGCGGGCCAGTCGCATTTGGCCAATACACTCTTCAGACAGAGTACTCGCATATCATACATTTGCCAAATGACAGCTGACAACAAGTTAGTGTGACAAAATGACACGGTCGTATATAGTGATGTTGTTTTCTAAGCACATAGTTCGGACGTTTTACAAGCGAGAAAGGTTGCGCAAAATACATCAGTCTGGTGTGCTACTATTCAACTTTTCTGGTCGCACACTTGGTGCCTTGATATGCAGGTAAGAAATGTTTTTGGAGCTCGAAAGGTCCGCTCCCCCCCCCCCC